GCACATCAAATTCCTTGCTCTTGTTCCTCAAGTTATCCTGATCCTGCAATAAGCTTTCATTGCTCTCAGCACTTTCTGATGTTCCGCTAGATCCGTTCAGGTCTGGCAAGAACACAAGCAGTCCAGCAGGTGTGGCTGCAGACAGAAGCTGTGCGAGCACGCGCAAAGGCCGTGTAGGTCTGTCTTTGCCCAGCTTGTGTGAGAAATTCTATAAATGAAAACCCCTGCATGCAGCACAATGATGTCGACATGAGCCGAGGTTCTTTTTGAGGGGCACCTGCTCGGCCAGCTTCGCCTCGACCGTACCGCAGATTCGGCAGCCGCATCAGAAGTTTAGAGACCGACAAGGATAAACTTTGCCAGTCGCTTAAAAACGGATCAATTTAAAAATTTTCAGCGACATCACTGCAACGCCCTCGTGCCGCTATATACCATCGCCTACGAGTCCATCGACGACATCTGTACAGGCATGCCCTGGCTTCGCACAGCTAAATTTGCCGAAAATAGATGCATGAACATACACATGCGTCCATATGGTGTTTCTACTTCTTGATAGGTACCTGCTGCTGCAAGTCAGGCCACGTATGTCAGCCTGCCAGAGGAAGCGATCTTGAGCATTGGACGAGCCTTGCCACAGAGGCACTCTGTCGTATGCATTGGTTCCACACGTACAACGTTATATGATTTATAGGGAACTCATGATTGCGTTTGGGGGCCCTGACATCAAATTTTCGAGAGTGTCCGTCATTCCCTGACGTCAAACTCCGAGATTCAGGGCGTGTCGGGAAGCTTTCTTCCCAAGAAATGTGCCTCACCTGTGTCCAACAAGGCACTTCACAAGCGCAAATCTACCTCTTTATTGTGTTTCGATAGTAGAAAAGCATACTGGCTGACAACAAAATGTGTGTTGCTGCAGGACAATCGACGATGGCTTCCTTCAAATTTGCCTTGTTGCTGTTCGCCTTGTGGGCCCTGGCAATCTTGGGCACCGCCTCCGCCATCAACGTATGCTTCGCGGAACAGGGGGCTTTCAAGACGGCCTCCAACTGCCCCCTGGACGGCAAAGAGTACCTGGTGCGAAAGCCTGGAACCCATGAGCAACCCTACCATAAACACCCTGACTTAAGCCAAACCCCTTGCGTTCAGAGGATTGCTGATGGCCAGGCTGGGTGCTTACAGCTCAAAGCTTTGGGAGGGAATATGGATTCTGCGTGGAAGCACGTTAGTGAGAGGTGTTAGGGGCCCTCTGTGAGCCTGCGTAGGGACATTGCCGGTCGTGCACTGCAAGAAACTTACGGCACTTGCCACTGCAGCTGACTCATGATTTGGAATTGGTGCACACGCTAAGTAATCCCTACGAAGCCCACCCCAGACACCCAAATCCCTCAGACGTGAAACTGCGCCTGGATGCTGGCTACGCTCTGCCAGACACTTTTTCACTCGCTTTTTAAAGGGTGTAAGCCCTACATCAAAACCCTACAAAGCCTGATGAAACCCTGACAAACCCAGAAATGTGACCGCTGCAGGTGTGCCTGTCTGGGCCTGCAATGGGAGGCTGCAAATTTGTGCTCTGCTGGAAGCTTTTCACACTAGCTTTTTAAGGGGTGTAAACCCTTTAAAACCCTAATGTTCCCTAAAGAGACCCCGAATCTTGAGTGTCATTGCTGCAGGTGTGCCTGTCTGGGCCTGCCAGGGGAGGCTGCCGGCTGAGGTCTCTGGGCGGCTTTCCTCCTTCCCAGTGCAGTACCGAGTGCCTGTTCGGCTCCTAGGCACTGTTCCCAGGACTTGAAGACCACCGCTGCACTATCAATACCAGGGGCATTTCCGGCTTGTTTGGATCACAATTCCGGCTGTGAATGTAGTTTTTCCCCGCTTGAATTGGCCCCATCTGGCCCCCAATTGGACACCCAAACAAGCCCTTATAAGTCATAGCGCTGGCGAGCCTTCTCGAACCCCCTACCCAATATGTACGGTCTGGGGAGAAGGGTGCACATATATATTTAGGGTTCAGGGCCTAGGGATCATGGTTGAAATTTGAACCCTTGTCGTGTGGGATCTGCCGAGAGTTTTGCTCGGGCAGGCCAAGCCGGCAGGCCTGCGTTTTGCAGGCCTCCGGAAGCTACAAGGTCAGTGCTCCTTTTTGGCTGAGAAAAAGCACACCACCAGGAGATGTAGGCTGCAGTCTAGCTATGCTCTAAAGAGCTGACGACTTTGTGGTGCTCCTTTCAGGACAACCTAAGGTCTTGCGCTTGTTGCTTCTTGGCATGAAAGCGCTTGGATGATGTACAATAGACGATGCCGGAAAAGCAGAAGTGCTGCAATTGAGTCTTGCTATATGTGGTTTGCGTTGAAAGCAATACGTAAGGGTTGATCACAAATGGTTTCCCTTGTCTGAGCCAGAAAGTAGCTTTTTTTGTTGTGCATGCATTCCAGTCTGCAGTGTAAGAATCATTCCTGCAATCTGTTGTAGTGCTGCGCGCTACACGGTCGCTCATGGCAAGAACTTTAATGTTACTGCTGGGCAGCATCCACAAATCCCTGCACACAATGGTCAAACCTGTCACGTGTTCTATAGCAGGGGTGGATCCTAGCATGCGCAATGGAATGCCCTTATTGAGAGCTGCCCTAATCCGCCATCAAAATTTCTAGGGCCCCTGATATTTTCAGAGATAGAAAATTATTTTTCGACCCTTTTTCCAAATAATTATTTAATATTTGACTAAGAATTAGAGACAGTACGGGTATATTCTTTACTGTAAGTGGCTGCTGACACTTCCACTTCCCATGGATGACTTGATGAGTGATCAGGATTGCCCGGAAATGGTTTGCTCGGTCCTATGCTTGCCCTATGCAGTCATGATCATGGGCGCCATTCTCTGGATCTTGTGTACTTATGCTGGGTCTTTGGGAGATTGCTGTATTCCTACTTGCCTTCTTTTGGCTGATTGAAAGGCGCCCTTTGCGCAGACAGCACTGACTGCTGCACACCGGCTGCAGTACTAAGAGGCTTGTAATTGCTTGAAGCATTGGCTAGTGTAGACAGGAAAGCGCTCGAGCACTTATGTATCACCATGTGCAATGCACAGGGAGTAGAGAAGGTGCAAGTTCTCTATTTGTATCCCAGGCAATGTGCAGCTGAAGAAGTTTGGCCCGTGGGTCACTCAAAATATATGCAGTTCACAGTCACAGTAGTCCTTTTGGGAGCAGTCAATGGTAAATTACCATTGGTAGTGCCCTTCCATGACAGGCGGAAGACCTGGATGGAAGAATGTGAGACACTTTTCGCACAGGTGCTTGTCGCAGTCGTTGCATTGCAATGATTTACATGCTACAGCTCATACGCATGCGTGCTAGCAACTTGCGGTTGCGGCCGCTGTGGTATGAGAATGTGAGCCTCCACATGGCTGCCCAGCGTGAAAAGCATGACAGTTAATGTCATGCACCTGAGGGTCTTCGTCGTAAACTCGCAAAATTGAAAGAGCTCCAAGGGAGAAGCTGCGTGCATGGGAAGCTGCGAGAAGCCCAGCATAATCATGACGTTATGATGATGAAGTGTCCTCCGAGTATGCAGTCAAGGAGTTCAGATTGAACCAGCAGCACAATTCCAACGAGACAGGAGTAATCCTACACCTGTAACATAGCCTGCAGGCAAATATTCTCAAGATTCCTCGGCACGCGAGATTCCTTCCGTTCAAACGTCTGCTCCAGCAGGTGTGGCTTGGCCCCAATTATTGTCAATACTGCTTCATCTTCTGAAGAATCTTCAGGCAACGATTTGAACAAATCGTGATATCATTATTATTGGCTGGATGCTTCTTTTAATAGTGAGAAGGACGTGCTCGTAGTAGTCATCGTAAGAACTGTTTCGCGTTTTCAAGCTTGAAACGCATCTGCTTGGCGAGTGCAATTCAATGTAGAACCTTACTTTGTGTAATTTATTCAGTCCTGAGGCGCTCAAGGCCAACATTTCCCGCTAGTCAAAGTGAACAAAGGCAGGAGGCACAGTGCAAGCGTACTCAGCAGGACAACTCATTATGGGGAAATTTGCGAGACTATTGAGCACATGGTCACCGCAGATCTCCAGCCTTCGATCGCTACAGTCTGGGGAGGAGGCTGTGAGCAGGAAGCAGCAGCATCCCAGGCTGCGGAGGGATGCTCTGGCGCACCTCGGCAGCACCTGGAGACGAGTCAGCCCTGCTCTCGAAGATCTCATGGCCAGCATTTCTCCTGCCACTGCTGAAGCATCCACAACCAGCCTTCCCTGGTGTGCTTGAGTTCTTGCTGCTCACCGCTCCCCGCTTTGACTGCTTTGTGGCCTCACAAGCCTCCCAGCCCTCTTAATGAGAAACTGCTGCATCGTTCTATTCTGCTGCTTGCCTGTTCTCACAGCATTGTCAGATCCTGATCTGTGCTCGCAAGACATTGCAGAGCCTGGCAGCTGCCCATGCACTTGATGCAGCACTTGGCCCGGCAGGAAAGCTGCAGGTGACAGTTGAATTCAAGGCTATGTTGGGGCTGCACTGCAGGTATGTAAGGTACACAAGATGGAAGCCCACATCGCGGGCCGAGGCGGTGGCTGCCGAGCGCAACCTGCTGGCTCTCTGCAGGTGCGGAGTGCACCTGCTTTCTCACTCCAGGAATGACATTTGCGCTGCAGTCTGCATACGCATGTGCATTCTGATGCATCTTAATCACAGATCATCAGCGCTTGCAAGCTTCTGGAGCCACACATGCGGTTGTTCGTTGTTCCACCACAAGGACAGAGGGTTGTTTGTCTGCTGCATAGTGCCCCGAGCTACCCGAGCATGCTCAGGGTCTGGCAGTGAACTCATTACGGTCCCTGGGTCAAGCAGCACTCAGTCAGGTACACCCGGGGTGATTATATCCAACCACTCCGAGCTTGAAATGCAATGAAATTGGAGTTTGAATTTGTGCCTTCGCCTCGCAGCACGGAGCTGGAGGTCAGCGACGTGGCGGTGGGCGCGGGGCGGCAGCAGTTCATGCACACGATATCGGCCGGCGCGCCGGACGCACCGCCATTGGTGCTCGTTCCGGGCTACGGCGCGGGCGCGGCCTTCTATTTCCGTAATCTGGCCGGCCTGGCTTCGCACTTCCGCACGCACGCCGTCGACCTGCTCGGCACCGGCATGTCCGGTGCGCCTTACCGAAACTTGAAAATTGCCCAGTAGTCCAGTAGTCCAACCCCCCAGTGGTCCAACCCCACTACAAAATGCTGAAAGTAGGTCACTCTGATGCCACCTAGTGAGCATCTGATATATCATGCCAGGTTATGATTGGGGAGTCAGGGTTAGGATCATGGAAGCTTTGCTGAAAGCAATGATAACACTCTGGCAGGAATTACTCGGCGGTCGGCAGGCATGGGGGTGCAAGTGTCTCTCTGTGTGAGCTGTACCTGTTATTTCGTGCAAATGCCCGCATGGCATGCTCATGCAAGGGTTATTTTGACTCTCTGCACAGATGATGCTGCTGGTGACATTTTGAAGCTTAACAATAGAGCAGGTCGCTTGACATTGCTCTGGGCGCTCCACGTAAAGCGCAGCAAGATGTTCAAGATAGGCACTCCTGATCAAGCGCCACACCCACGTGTTTTGCAATCTTTTTGTCCACCATGCAAGACAGCTTTGTGAGCCCGGTCAAATGGTGCGCTTGTGCTTACAAATTGCAGGGCGGCCCAGTTTCCCAGCGCGCAGCCGGGAGGAGGCGGAGGGCTTCTTTGTGGATGCTCTGTCGCGCTGGAGGGAGGCCATGGGCGTCGACAAGATGGTGTTAGTAGGCCACAGCCTTGGCGGCTACCTGGCAGCTTCCTATGCGCTGCAGCACCCGGAGCACGTGCAGCACCTCGTCCTCGTCGGCCCCGCTGGCGTGGTGAGTCACCCCTCTTGTCACCTCTGCATAGAGCATTGCTGCCTGCACTAGCATGGGCAGACTCCGGGCAAGGCCTCGAGTCCTTGCAAGACGAGCAAAAGAAAAGGGGCCGGCACAATCATGGAATGATTAGTATTCAGCCTCTGTTGTCTGGGAAGCTTTTATTTGGCATGCGCTGTTTTGTCTTTTAGATGGGTCGCTATCTTGCGCTGTCTTGCACGCAGGAGAAAAGAATGGCGTTTATATGCCAGTGACAAGGCTCAGACACATTTGCACTTCACCTCCTGGATGCCTTGCGCACCATTTCGCAGAGTCCCTCTGGACCCTTCTGCTCATCAAATATTTGGAATAGACGTTCTTTCTTGCTGTGCAGCCGCAGGATGAGGGTCCGAGGAGGTTCTCGGAGGTGAGCAGGTGGAGCGTCCGGGGGCAGCTGTACCACCTCAGCAGAACGCTGTGGGAGTCCGGAGCGACGCCCGGCGCCGTCATCCGAAGCCTCGGCCCCTGGGGACCCGCGCTCATCCAGAAATATGCGCGCAACAGGTACGGCGCTGCCAACTCCAGGCTAAGGGGATGTGCAATGATTATGCGCCGGATGTAAGGAGGGCCCTTCAGTGCAGGGATCACAAAGGAAGTCACTAGTACAACATGCGCCCCGTTCATGCACTTGCGAGTTGCAGCCACGTGTGATTTCCATCGCCTTGCACACTGCTCTCTTGCTGAATCGTGACAGTCTTCAAGGCTGTGTGACAGTCTTCAAGGCTGTGTGGCAAAGCTGCGATGCTACTTCACAGCAATTATGCTCGACTGTTTATCCTCAAATCTGTGACATTAATGTGCAGGTTCCGGGAGGGCATGGGGCTGAGCACTGAGGAGGTGGCGGCGTTTGAAGAGTACTTCTACCACATTATGGCAGCGCGCGGCTCCGGCGAGCATGCGCTCCGGCATTTACTGGCGCCCTTTGCTCGCGCCAAGCACCCGCTCGAGGGCCGCCTGCACGACCTCAAGGTGACTGTCGGAACTTTGAATTTGAACTTGAATTTGAAATTGAATTTGAATTTGAAATACTTTCCTGAGACCTGGTGAAAGCCGTACCATCTAGCTGCCACCTCCAACCACCCACTGGTAGAGGTGGAGGTGTGCAACTCGAGAGAAGCATGCAGGGATCAGGGACCGCAAAGAAATCGACAGAGGCTCTGCCCGAGAAGGTTCTGGCTAGCGCGTGAGAAAGTGTCGGAGCCATTGGGGCAGAGCAATGATGTCAAAAAGAATCTGGCCAGCACAAAAGATGAGGCAACTGATTCAAGCCAGTGATTGATGGAGTTCTGGAGTCCTTGGGGCACGGAGCATGAAGCAGCAGCGCGTTTGGCAGAGCGACTGCCTTGTCACGGCATGCGCGCCAAATGTTGTGCTGGAATAGCAACGCAATTGCCGGCCCTGGTGCACGCGCAGTATTCTCAAGCCACAAGGGCCTCGACAGGAAGGGCCGCAGGGGATATCTGATGTCTGCCGTCACCATGAGAGGACAGAATTGGTGTCTTGTGTCTTCTTCAGCATGCACCGGCGCCAGACAGCGCAAAACGATCGTGCTGACCAACAATTATCCTAGGGAATGCTGACAAAAGTTTTGTAAGTGCTGCAGGTACCGGTGTCGTTCATCTATGGAGACTCGGACTGGATGGAGCCGGCGGCCGGGCAGCGAGTGGCGCGAGCCGTCCTGCAGCACCGCGGCCGCCTCAGCCCCACAGACGGAGAGGTACAAATCCCTGCTTCCTGCCAGAGCATGAGAATCGCCTGTAGGGAGGGCTTAGCTATGCAGCTAAGGTCGCATTGGCTTTTGGCAAAGGAGACGACCTCTACTGTATCCTCGTGGGTCGTCAAAGACAAGGGGACCACTCTGCTTGTAAGATTGTAAAGCTCCCTTGCTCCTCGGCAGTGCGTACTGTCTCGGGATTCATGCAGCCAGTGGTGTCCTCTCACATGGGCTGCAGAATCAGAAGACTAGAGAAACAAAGTGCAGCAGGTATATCTGAATGTCACTTTGGACCATCTAATATAGGATCTGACAGGTGTGTTGTGGGGTGTATTGCACAGGTGGATCTGGTGGAGCGGGCGGGGCACTATGCCTTCCTTGACCAGCCGCAGGAGTTTCTTCAGAAGCTGCTGAGTCAGACGTTGACCGCCTTCCCAGACTGGGACGCAAAACGACAGAAACCTGATCAAGCCTCTGGATGATGGGCAAATCTTAAAATTTGGCCCTCAGATGCTTCTTGGTGTAGACGTTTGCCAGATGGTGCTGTCTTGTATCTGTTCATAGAGGCATGTGAGCCTATGAAGTTGATAGTTTATAGCAGTATAAACCTAAATAGCATTGGGCCCGCTTGGATGGACCTTTGTCGAAACGCATCAAAGTTTCATGCAGGAGATCCACATGGGTCTGCTTCTTGAATTTCAGTTCCTTTGCAGCTTGTAATCTTGGCAGCTTGTGATTATGGTATACTGGGCGTTGAGCCGTTGCCCTCTTCGGGTTAATAGCCTGCGCAACGTATCCGCGAATTGTGCTCTGTTCTCGTTGGAGGACTCCTACTGTCCTCTGGAAAAGCGGACACAGCTATCGTGTACACATTTCGGCCTTTGTTTATTGCTGACAGATAGCTAGATGCAAGGGGTTGATTATCTTGATTTGGTAAATTTGCAGCAGTGGCATGATATTTGGTGGATTGTCTTATTTGTGTGACCCCGAGGGCATCTGCACAAGAGTGTACACGTATCCTTTTTGTTTCTTCCGTCCACAGCTGTAGCAACTAAAATTCTGGAGTTGTACCTGATGTATAATCAGGTAGAACACTTGTAAATCACAGTGGGGGTGTCCAACTGATGTGCTTGCAGCATTTCTTTGTTCATGTAATGCCCCATTTTGATGCATGCTGCAGAGCTCGCTTGTGCGCAGCACAAGTTTGTGAACAAAAAAAAACCACACAGTGCTGCTTGCCCAGGGCACCAACTCTGCATTCATACCTACGGTGAGATGGGGCACGCATGCAGGATATCTAAATTTATTCAAACACCCTTAGTAGCCTGGCGTCTGCCGGACTTGCTTGCTATCATCATGATGATCAACTGAGCTAGTCTTGTTAACCTCCCCAATCTTCCTCATATGCTTATCCTGTTCTGCCATTACAAAAGATCTAATACCCCTGACATGCGTGCTAAATATGAGATCCCTCGAGCACCTCTAGAGCCAGCTCATGAATGCTAAAAGTGTAAGTGTCACACAATGTCAATGCTGACTGTCAAGACTCCTCTGCTTGTCAGCCAGTGAATGCCAAAGACAATCCACTGATACATACCTAAGACAGCATGCATCCTTGTCCAGGTGATACGACATACAAAAGTATCAGAGTTGATAGACACGGTTACGTGTGCCCTGGTGCAATGCTTGACAGCGTGCCTCACTGATCAATAAGCCAAAGACCAAAACTTTTTTGTCCCCGCAAGCTTAGCACGCTTGATGCCTCAGAATCAGAGGCAGACATTCAGACCAGCATTCTGCAAGAACAAGAGAGAGCAGTGCAATGGGCAATACCCAAGACCCAGCCAATAAGGTAACTGGAAGAGATCAGAAGGAGAGGCGTTGAGGTCCCCGTTGTCCGTCAAAGAGAGATTGCTGTCCACAGCAGCACTTGGGCGTTGGCCAAGGAATATCTAGGCGCCAGCCCCACCAAAGAGACTTGCTGTCCATTTGCAGCAATGACGTGTCATCAACCAAAGACTCACTAAGCATGACAAATACAGCGTCTGTAGGACCCCTGCAATAGCAGGAGTACTCTGTAGGCGCTTGGGGGTCCAGAGAAATTATATTCTCAGAATCAGGGCGCCAGAGCCGGCACTTGGACATCCACCAGACTGTCAGAGATGGACAGAGGCCCTGTGGGGTTGACCAATGTCTTGACCGGCACAATGGAGATCAGAGCCGGCGCAATGTTGAGTCCCTGCAAGCATTGCAAGCCACTTTGTCACGTTTCAGCCGATGCAAGCAAGCACACCTGACGTACAGACGGGCACGGCATGCTTTGAGAACTTCTCGTGCCTCGACGGCTGATTTAACACCAGGCATGCCCTTGCAGAGATTCTCCACCACAAGATTGCCAACTGCCTTACATTCGCTGTGCTCAGTCAACATGACAGAGGACGTTTACTCATACTGAGACACAATTTGACAACCATGGTCCCTTGCGCTGCCGATCACAGGGGGTACTAATGACTACAGCTATTAATACCCCCTGACGGTTGTATACAATTCTAACTGCCTAATGGACATTAAGAACGGTCATCCTCGGACATCAGTCCAGTGGCTGAGTGCGCATAAGAGAGCCTGATTTAGAGATGCAGGAAGGATGCCGATGAGTCACCTGCGGCTCAATTTGGGTGTCATAGGGACCGATGACAATGAGGTTAGGCGCGATCTGGAGGCCCTGTGGCTGCACTTGGACACCTGCGTGCACATGCGTATGAGTCACACCTTCCTAAATGACTGATATTAGTCATCATGAGCTCGACTATCAGGAGCAGAGATCAGGCACTGGGGGCAGTGCATGGCAGTGTCCCTCATGTCACCAATTACAGGGGCCGACACAGAGGTGTGCCTCTTGACTCAGCAACCGTTTCAGACTGAGACTCGATTTAAGCGGGCTGAACTTTGCAGCCTTTGCAGCAACGTAAATATACATGGGCGTAAAATGGGTCTGTAAGAGCGCAGCGGCACATCATCATATCTCGATTAGATACATATATCCCTGGTAAGCAAACCCTCAAGGGGTGTCACAACGGACGGACCTGTGGGCTGGATGTAGAGGCCGGCTGGCTGGATGTTGATGCCATTGGGAAATATGCCGACGCCGTAAGGGGTGATAGGAAGCGCGCAGGGGGCGTAACCGATCCCGCTGAATGTGAACGATACCGCCGCAACTGCCAGGCACACAGCAGCTGAGTCAGTTTGAGCCCCACGCTTGATCAGTCAGTCAGTATGCACTGATGGCCTGTGGTGGGCATCCGCAGCAGCCACAGGGTGGCTGGTGGAAATTTAAGGTGACCCCCTGAACAGCAAAAATCCTTAGGGGAGGTAAATAAATTAATGGCAGAAATGGTGATTAGTCACAAAAATGAGTCATGCTGTGGCTGTTGGCTTCCCTGCGAGGCTGGCCAAAAAGCCGGTAATTAACTATCGCCACTTCCTTAATTGAAACACTGGAGAAAAATTGCATTGCCTCTGGGCTGATCCGATTGCCTGACTCTGATCTTGCAGAGTCAGCGCCCAGCATCTGAACACTCTGAGATAAATTTGGCGAGACCTACTCATAATCCTGCCAGGAGAACTGCAACATAGTACAACAATCAAACCAGGAGGAACACTGAAGACATACTCTGCCAGCTGTCACTGCAGCTGCGCACACAGGAAGCAGCAACCTGCTGCAATCTGATCTCTCCAAATCAGTCACAATCAGCAACATTTCAGTTTTTTCTTGCCAAAGGGCAATAGGCGCCTGCAGACGAGCTGCCATACAAGGGTGCCAAGCCAAATTCCTACCCTTGTTGTACTCGCCAGATTCAAGCAAGCAAGTTTGCATGCAGACAGAGAATTTGAAGAAGAGGAGATTTTTGCATGGTTTCCAGGTGCCCTTGTCCAGGTGCCCAGGAGATGGCGCGTAAGAATTGATTAATTAGAATAGCGCACTTGTTTGTGTGATGGCAGACTGTGGGCCGCCCATGTTGGAAAAGAAGACTGGGGCCTGGATGTCAATGTTGGGGTTGAGCACCTTGGTGATTATGTCTGTCAGGTCACCGCTCTGAAGCTTCTTGAAGGCTGTAGCCTGGTGTGAGAGCACAGAAACTTTGGACATCCTGTATGCATCCTCTTGTCTGCTATCCGTACTTCACTGTGCATGGGCCTGCAGAGTAGAGGTGCAACTGCACTGGGATGCAATATCAAACATGCACTGGTTTGACCCTATCAGTCCAGATACAATCCTAAGCTCTAGTACTTGACATGATTGGTTTTATGAGGCAGCAGCAGACCCTGGTGCTGGAATCGGCTCTTTCAATTCGGGAATCCCATGGGACGAGATTGGGGGCTCACCTGCTTTTGCATCTTGGCAGTGGCCTTTGCTTGAAAGGTCTTGAGGGCTTGTAACGACTGGTCTTTGTTGCGTCCGCCAAACGACATGGCTTTGGCAACCACGCCTGCCCACTCCTCAAATCCATGTGTTGCCACTGGCAGGTCCAGGCCTGCTGCGCTAGTCAACACCATTGCAAGGATACTAACGGTGGCCATGGCGTTGTATCTGCGTCGCAGACGTACTCCGCTCATAACCCGCAGGTGACAGTAGAGGTAGCCTTGTACATCCTTCTGCCATCTTGTCATATACTTCCAGCCCTCAATTTGAGTTATATGAGCTCAGCGCAAGGACGAACGTACATTAAACTTGAAGGCATGTCAGGTGTTCGCAATTTTAGCTCTGAAGTTGGATATTCGTTGAAAGCGCTCACCTGTCGTTGCGAAATTCAACCATCGCAACGAGACCTCCAGCCCCCTAAAAGCTTATCGCCTGCACAAACATGTCAGATAATCTCCTTCCAGATAATCAATTTTAGGCCACTTGAACCCGTTTCGGAAAGATAAAAAGTACTAGACACCGCAGGACCAACTTCTAAAGAGTGATGGTGTCAGGTACCTGAGCACCCTGGAGCCCACTACAGTGAGCAACTCGCGCGAGGTTACTGTCAGACCGTGTCACAACCGCCGGAGCTTGAAGGGAAAGTACTTAAGAGCAGTGCTTTACAAAATTGCCAACTCAAATGCTGCATGGCAATTGAATGGCATCATGCACCAGTGAGCCTGACTTGGCCACATGAGTATCAGGCACCATTCAAGCGTCTTTGATCGGAATTGCAGCCGGCTTTCGTCAACGATCTCTTCTTGGCATGCTCAGAAATATCTCAACTTCTGCCAGGGCATTTTGCGGGACTGAAAAAGGAGAAAAGCAGGGTGCAATGATTGTGAGGTAATGGGGTGTGTGCATGTAATTTCCTCGGATCCCAAAAATAGCCGAGCCTTGGTGAATCATCAAAGCACCAGCCAAGGGGCCTTCTTTCAGCGCACAATCTCTTAGGCGAGAGGTCAGGAAAACTCGTGCTTGACAAGAACAGGAAGACATGTCGCACAAGTTGGGCATATCTCGGCTGAGGGGCATTCTGCACGGGGATGAGGCTGGACGGCGAAATCCTTTTGCTGTCTTCAGGCTTGGCCATAAGAGGAGCCAAACGAAGGCTTTGAAGGTTTGGACATGATACTGATCATCAATTACTTATCGCACATTCATGAAGCGAAGTCACTTAGTATCGAGAAAGTCTACCCGACCCGATCAATGCACTGCAGAGGCCGGGGGACACGCCTGCCTGGTCGGGGAACTACGAGATTGACGAAGTGGACTACGATCACGATCGAGATCTGCAGGTTACTCTCTATGACAGCACTCCCAGTGGAGCTGTCGCTATCGGTAGGACAGCTGCCCGATCTCTTCCCCAACTCTGTGCAGTTACTTCGTATGGCAAGTGAAAACATTCTGCTGGGCTTTTTCCTTTGTTCCAAGCTGCATGTTCGACAGCTCTAAGCACGCAAACTTGGATCGTGCCACTTCGTGAGAGACTGTAAGAGACCCCAGCGGATGGGGATGGAATTGCAAAGTGGAGCATGCCAGATCGTGGTCATCTTCAGATAGTCCGATCTTGTTATCGGTGGCCACTGCGCAGGGTCGGGCTTCCTGCATCTGGATGCCAAGACAGGGCCGGACGCAGAGATTGAGCTGCTGGACAAAGCCAGCACGAGAGTGGGGCACCTGAAATTCCACATGGACACCCACGGATACCTCCTGGAGCGCCCAGGTGCCTTTTGCAACACGTCTCCGCCCGTTCCTGTGCCTTGCCAGCAGGGTTTCTTTTAGTGGCGCTCTGAAGTCAACTGCAGTGACTAATTCTGCGCTGATGTGTGATTTCAGTGACTACGGCAATTCGCGCGGAGGTGCCAGCTGGCGTTGAAGTGCTGCACACTGAGATCCTGGAGACTGGGGAGGTCGACGCGCCCAACACACCCCCGGCCAAGGCTGCGGCAAGCATGGTGAGTCACTCAGCATGCATGGAAGCGCAAAAGGGAAATGGCTTGATGTCAATTTCACAGAGGGGAGTGCAGCAAGTGGCAGAGCCTGCATATCAATGTGCACAGCTTCTGGTGATGTGCAGACTGCAGGCCCAAGACCTTGCATGCATGATGCTGCCGTGCAAGCTGTCGTTACTGTGCTTTCAGGCAAGTGGGTTGTCCAATTTTCCTGGCCATTGGGCATGTAGAAGCACCCTACTTGCAGGTCAACTGGACCTGATAAGTCAGGGTCAGAGGAGTCAATGTGGCAGCATGGGTGAATCTGGGGGTCCTTGCGCAGAAAGTAGTTTCACGCAGAAGCAAGCTGAAGGATGAGCTTGTTTATAAAATTCTCAACACAGTGGGAGCCTTCACCTGCAGCTTGTCTGCAGACGCACCTTGCCTGTGGCAGGAAAAGCGTGTACTGGTAAGAATAATTGAGGTGGTCAAAATGTAAGATTTTATGGCCGCGCAGCAGGAGTACATGATGGTGCCGGAGGGAGAGAGCGGCCCTGTGTGCAGCTTGCACCGTGCACCAAATTTAAACTCAAATTTCAATTCAAATGTGCCGTGCAGCAGGAATATGTGATGGTGTCTGAGGGAGAGAGCGGGCCGGTGTGCGGCTCGCGCATGTACACGGTGGTGGAAGACCGGCCGGTGGAGATGGAGCGGCACACGACCATCCTGGAGCACCACAAGTGGGAGAAGACATTTGTCATCGAGACCCGCTGTGCCGGCGAACGCGAGCTGTCCGACCAGGCCAGGGTGAGAATTGCATTGTGTCATTGCACGTGTACAAGGGCTCAGTGTATAATTGTTTTGTTTTGAACCCTTGCTGTATGCTTCTGGCAAGCTGGGCCGACCTGCCAGCACTGCAGCTTGTCTTTCAGCCCTGCTCTGCCGCTAGCCCTACGACTGTCCAAGCTAGACTGTTCAGATGCCGATGTTTCAGCTCCTTGTACATATCCTCGTTGCAACCTCTCTCGAGCGCTGAAAACCGGGAGGGAGAGGCAACATAGTGCCGCCCAAGTCTTCGCGGGATGTGACTAGCTCTTTCTGCCCATAGGGCCAAAATTTCAGACCTTTCCAACAGCGGAGTCAGCTTAAGTGCATCCTGCGGGCCTGTAGAACTTGTGCAGGGCAGGCCTTTCAATATATGCGTGCTGCAGGGGAGATATCATTAGAATAAAGTGCACTGTGCAGACGTCTCTGCGTTTCGCTGTGTCACAGCTCGCGATTCCTGGAAGCAGTCATCATGAGTCATCTGCTGTGCTGCAGGTGGAAGTTGTCAGCAGGACGGAGCGGGTCATAGCAGTGGCGAAGGCCGACCCCTGTGCAGGAGCCCCCGAGCTTGTTGTGGACACCTCCTGAACAAACGGCAGACACATGATGCCATGGCATCGTTGAGATTATCATCATGACAAGTATCGACAGCCTGTGCACCCTTCTAGCGCCAATGCATCTGCCGCCGTCAGGAGACGCAAGCAACTATTGATGCAAGCCAAGCCAAGACGCAGCAAGCCTTTGAGATGCACGGAGTTCATGAGCGTCTATGGCCTTCAAGATTGGATAATTTGGGAGAATCTGGTCAAGTCTAGCTTGGGAGCTGACCAGCAGCATGGCGGCGTCTGCATAAAATCCCTGCGCCCTTTTCCAGGTGATTGTTTTGATTGAGCATTTGTGGTTGCTGTAAACTTCTAATGATTCTGATGATCCTTGTGTTGCCTGATGACTGATGCCTTGGCTGAAAACTGGTGTTGGACTGCTTGTGCACAATTCCCTGTCTGTGGCTCAACATGTGCCGTCGCACTTCACTTGAACCGTTTCAGCATGTTACCCAAGGTATGCCAAGATATATGTGTTTGGTGGATGTCCGGTTCTATTATGCATCATGTGACGACGTCAGACCTGTGCAGCTCATGTCTTTTGCATGTAAGCGAGTGGTTTAGACAGAGGCAGACCCGAGAATTCCGGCAGGTTCGAAGTGGTTCTGAGCCATGGCAGAGCAAAGTACACACTGATCAGAGAAAATTGGGGAGTTGGGGGCTCCTGGGTTCGCCGTCTGTCATGAATGCATGGAGCATGCCACCTCTCTTGACTGCATTCAATTGATGAGTCATACCAATCCTCCCGTTCAAAGCACCGGAATATTTGCTCACCTCCAAAAGGATCGCATGAAAAGATCTCGAGAATGTGCATTGTCAATGGAAAGCCTCAGGATGGACCGGGTGACTGTGTCGGGGCTGCACGCAGATTTCGCAAGCGAGCAGGGCGTTCGGGGACGGCAGCCATACGCGATCTTCCAAATCGGCTACGCCAGGTTCCACACAGGGCCGCTGAAGGTGCCTAAGCGTTGTCTTTTGATCTGTATTCCGTGAGATCTTGCAAGCATACGGCTGACACGCATCAGGACGCAAGTGCAGCTATTTTCTCGAGACAGGCTCAGCGGTCTCTTGCAATGGTTCGTTGTGAGCTAAAGCTCCCTCCCTCTCTCTTTCTCTCTCTCTCTCTCCCCCCCTTCCTCTGCTATAGCAAAAATAAATTATGACCCATGCAGATCGAGGCTGAAGTATCACTGAACGATGGTCTTGTGCCGTGCAGGACCCTGGGCGTGCAGCACTTTGGCCAGGCACTCACAGCACGACAGGCTTCAGCTTCGACGAGTGCCGCGAGCTCTTTGCTGCTGTCTATGACAAGGCTGCCGTTGCAGGTCAAACACTGATCGGTGAGCACTCCTGGATTGGTGCTCTGCATAGATTCCATGTATCTTGCCAACAACGGTGACTAGTCTTCAGCCATATTTCATATCCGGCGACGCAAGACCTTTACAAAGTTCGAGACACGTAGTCTACTCACTTTGCACCCGCACGTTGACTTTCTCCGTTCCAAGCTCAAGTAGAACTCTGCCAAGTTGGCAGCGTATCAGACTACTTCAGATCTGCAAGCCACCACTGGAAGGAGCCGCCAGTGGTGGATTACAGCCACCACTGTAATCCTGGCTTGCATTTGCGCCATTGACATGCTTTCGAATGCTGTACCTCACCACAATTTCAACAGCCGCTGAGCGCAGTGAAGGACCAGTGCAAGCATGTCCATTGCATTGCACGGCAGCAGGAAGAGCCGGCCCCGGCTGGCGGCAAGGATGGTGTAGAGACTGAGCCCTGTGGCCAAGGTTGATTGGGTCTTGCTCGGATCTGGCGAGTCCAGCAAGGATTTGAATACTGGCAGCCTTTATCTGTAGCTTGTCTGCAGATGCACCTTGCCTCCTAGCAGAAACAGCGCGTAATGAGTGAATGAGTAAGAGCAGCTGTGTTTGCATGCATGCAGGGATGGGGCAACAGAAGCTGGATGCTTCCACAGGAACAAAGGGTTGCGTCAAGCTGCAGCAGGCAGATGGGAAGCCCATTGGGCAGCTGAGCTTTGACCTGGACACCCATGGGTACGATTTCACCCGCCCTGGTGAGTGGATCAGGGATTATAATAGCAATTTTCAGTTACAATTTGCAGGCCCCGGCTAAATACTGAGCACCGTGCCCACGATTAATTGGGTCTTGCTTGTATCTGGCTAGGCCAACAAGGGAAAGATAATACCAAGAATAATAAGAGTAATACGCGGGCACTTTGGCAAGGTCAATGCACGGATGCTCCTCAGATCGAGAGGCCAGAGCCAGAAATGCCCAGTCACAGACGAAAGTCGGGCCCTTCATCTGACAAATTTTGAAGCTGGGACGGTTTCTTACAGTGTCATGGATTGCTCATGTGGTGCATGTCCTAGCAGCACCCTTGCTGTAAAGACACATGGGGGGTTGCCAGTTTTGCAAACCTTATGCATGCCAGGCAGTGGCAGAGGATTGACCATAGGAGCTTACTGTGCTTCTCGTAGTGTATGGCCCATGGGGAGCAAACATCGAAAACCCACACAACCGAGTGATCGACATCGGCCAACACGGTGAGCCCGTTTGTCTTTTCTGGTCCTCAAAAGTTCAATGGAGCTGAACGCCTTGTTGGTGTTCACACCGTGGACTCCACATATGCTGCAGGATTACTGTAGCAGGACTGACTTGGCATGGACTGGCGCTATGTGCAAGCAGGACAAGCTTAAGCAACTTGTTTGAAACCCTAGAAGTGCTGGGCTAGCCTGCCTGCGTTGCATGATGCGCATGCAATACGCATTCACAGCTTGGCTGCAGCTTGGACTGGTGTCTTTCAAGTGTCAGACAGATTGAGTGAACTAGATGTAGCCAAGTGCATGGTCCTGTGCCTCAAATTTCCTAGCCGGCTGTACAGCAGCTCGGATCACGTTCTCAAGGTACCATTGCGGCTTTGCAGCTCGGATCATGCAGACTTGAATTGATCCTGGCTTCTGTGGTTTGAAGCAGGATAGCAAGGAGTAGCAACCAGGAGGCAAGCTGGGTTGGACTGGAGAAGGAGGTGGAATGCTGCGAGCTGATCTGGAAATAGACCCCACATTTGATCAAGTTTGATCTGCTTAGCCGTTAGATGGAGCTGGCACTTGCATCCTGCGACAATGTTGACTTGAATGCCCGAAATAGTCCAAGCCCTGGTTGATTGTGAGGGATGGCGCCGAATGAAGCACAGATGCTCAAGAACCCTTGCAAGTGTGGATGATGTACACCTTCTGTGCCAATGTAGCGAAACATAATACTGTCTGACTGCTCATGCTGTCTTCTCCCACGAACGCCTCACACGTCTTCTGCGCATCCCAAAAGTGCACAAAGCGCATTCTGACGCGGACGCCTCCTTAGAACGGTCCTGCTGGGAGGCCAGAAAAACGGTGACCGCCTATCTCGATATTACGGAACATCGTTTTTCGCAAAGGGGAGGCAACAATTGTGCTGAGGCCGCCGCTCCATGTCAAACCGGGAGATCCGGCGAACTGCTCAGGAAGAAGATTGTGTTGCACTTTTTCATCAAAGTGAGCATTGACTGTTGAGTGCACATGCCCACTATGGATACCTCTTGGAAGAGATAAATTTGCAGTCGCACAGCCTCCTTGGCAGCCATTCTTGGGGGCTTGGAAGGGGTGGGTGCTGCTTGAGAAATTTATCAGGAGCATCGCAGCAGGCAGTGAGGCAAGCGCGGCCGGCGGGCGATGCTGCCTCACCAAACTCTGCCGCCTCTGGCGCATGTCAGTGTGCGCGTGAGCGGCGTGGTTCCAGCCCCGGTTGCAGAGGTCTGGAAGATCGTGCGCGGCTTTGGGACGGTGTCAGATTGGATGGCACCGGTCGGGCTCGAACGCATCTCATCAACCTTGCTGGTGAGCACATCCTTCTTTGTGGCCCAAATCTGCCCCTTCAAGGACCTTTTCGAGTGCAACGGGCTCTATTATCACCCCAGTGAGGTCAGGATGTACATCTTTGGGGCATACAGTACACTCTCGAACGTTTTAGTGGCCGTGTCCAAGAGGCTGTCACCTTGTTGGCGCTTGAGTGCAGAGTATAGGTTAGGCGGTAGAGCGCTCGTTTTGGGAGATGCATGCCTCCACTTTGACTTGGGTCGGCCACAGGACAGCGTTTGGCAGTCATGGGCTGGGGTGGGGGCTGCCATTCAGAGCTTTTCTCCGCGAGAGTGATTGTGTTTCAATGCTTGACATCATGCGCAGCGATTGCTGATGTTCTGCTTTGTTTCGTTGTCCCAAGAACCCTTCTACAACAAGCTTGATCCTGACTCAGCCTTTTCAGCTGCTTGTCCTTGCAAGCTTTTTGCATCTTTTAGCCTCGTAAATATGACTTCATTTAGTGACACAATGCATCATTGTGCAGTGTTGTCTGCCGGGGGTCAACGAACTGTGCACTCAAGTTGATGTTTGTTCTGGTACAGCCTGGCAGCATTGAAGGGCAACTTGGCGCGTTGCGCCGCGTGTGCTTTGGCGAAATGGGTTTTGTGGAGCAGCTGGACGGTCTGGATGACGACCACCGAATAATGTGAGTCTCCTTCACCCCCGTTGCTGGGACTCTACGTTGTTCCTCACTGGGCACTTTTGCTGATGGAGGATCTTGCTGCAAGCGTCTCAGAATGAATATGACATGGAGAAGAAGAGCCATCGCTAAGCAAGGATGTGTGTGCATGCGCAGAAAATGGCGAGTCATCTCTCACCCGCTGAACACAAATCCCTTCCCGGGCTCCTTCCTGAACTACAAAGCCAAGATCAGGCTGCGCGATGTCACCATCAGCACGGCCACGTTCCTGGAGATCGAGGCCGAGTTTGACACTGAACACACGGTGGGTCCAGTAACAGCATCCTGGTTTGAACATCGCTCCTTTTGCTTTCTGCACCCTTGAAATAGGACAGTGCCATCATACTCTGAACCCCGCACTGTAGCGCGTGCTCTCCAACATCTTAGCGTTGGGCAAGGGCTGCTCTTCAAGCTCTTCCAGCGCAAGTTTCGCAGGCTTGCAGGCCCGGCTAATTCAGCTGGACAGCACACTGCGGCTGACTCAGTGCTGATGTGTGCGCGTTCTGCCGCAGAGCGCGGAGGCGATGCGGCGGGAGTTGACGGCACGGCACGAGGCGAGCATCCGAGGGCTGCTCACATTGCTGAGTGCCAAGCCCGCTCAGCAGGCCAACGTGCAGGCGATGCTTGCCTCACTGCCACTCGGAGCGGTGAGCCCAAAATCTACTCCCGTCCTTAATTCCTTTTTTCAACCTACTTGAGAGCTCTCATCGCAAGGCTGCAAGGCATGGGAATATTGACCAACATGCCATTACCTTGTTGGCCATTTTCCTCATGCGTTTTCCCCTGCATTTGCCAAGTAGCAAGCATTCCTGTGGGTTTGCACACTTGCTCAATGGGAACCATGAGGGGAACAGGGCCGCTGTCATCTTTAACATCACCCAGCGCAGTGCGGCTTTGAGAAGCATATGTTACAGGGGTACCAGTATTATTCGCAGGGGGGCAGCGTGAACAGGAGTGGCGGGTCTTCCAGCGGAGTTCCCTACCCCAGCGGGATCGCATCTGCGCCCATGCCCAATGCTGCCACCGTGCTGCCTAATGGCACTGGAGTCATGCTGCCTAACGGCCAGGTTGCACTGGTACGCCGTATTTCCTTATCCCATTCGTTTGCCTGCACTCTGCATGCCTGCATATTGCCCTACCCGCAGGCAAATCCAGCATGGCATATTACGATTCGGCCAGGTCCCTTGGTCTTTAAGAGGAAAGCATTGTAGTGGAGGGCCAAGGCACCTTCATTCTCAGACAGCTGGGTGTGCCTGAGCCTTCTTCTGAACATTCTGAGATGTTCAGGGGTGAAGCAGTACGTGTGCAGATGCGGAAGAGCCCGAGAGCTGTGCTGGAAGCAGCGCAGCTGTGCAAGCAGCAGAGGAACAGTGCCGTATGAAGTATAGCATCATTGGGCGATCAACTTCAGTGGTCGGCTGGGTGCTTCTTTTGACACTCGTGCGTGTCATTGTGCAGATCCCCGACATCGCAAAAATGAGCGTGTCGAATCCCGGCAACAGCGGCGGGCAGTCTCACCTGGTCAACAGCCTGGGCAATAGCACTGGGGGTGTCAGCGTGAACAACAGCGGCGGCGTTGACTTGTCCGCCAGCCTGGCAACCTCCAGGGTCCTCGCATCGAACAACCTCGCAGCCCAGCAGGTAAATGATCATGCACGCAGTCTCCTGGTCACTCTAAACCCGGCACCCCCGGCGGTGCGGGTACTTTCCAAGGCAACATTTGGGGGTCTTCCTGACATTTATGTCTCCAGGGGCCTGCTCCATTGTATCGGGCTTGTCGAGAGCTTTTCGAATCTGGTCTCAAAATTGCCTTAGGATTTATAATTTGGGCCACTACCCTTTTTGGTCAAAAAGTTTTATTTTCTGCGGGGTTTATTAGACTGACCAGTACGGTATTTCCCGGCACCCTGGTGTGACAGTGACAATTTCTCCAAGGCCATCATGCATGCACAGCACGTGAGCCTGCCAGAAGCTGACTTACAGGCCCAATGTGCCATTTGCATTCATAGCCTTCCCTCCATAAAAAATTTCCTGACAGGAACGCTTCTGGTTTCCCCGCAGGCTTTGGCGGACGCCTCAAAGGCGCTGCACCAGCAGCATCTGTCGGCCCAGGCGCAGCTGGCAGGTGGCCTGCTACCTGGAGGTGCACCCTTGCCCGGCGTGCTTCCGGGAGGCATTCCCTCTGGTGGTTCCCTGCCCGGAATGCTGCCCGGCTCGCTGCCCGGAGTCCTGCCCGGCGCACTGCCCGGAGTGCTCCCCCAGGCCGCACACCCCAATGCCATTTTCGCCGCTCAGGTGACTTTTCCTATCTAAGCGCGGCCCATTGCACATAATGACACGTGATAGCCATCCAGAGGAGTTGCATGCCCAGGACCAGCCTCTGTTTTTTTTTGGACGCCACTTTAAAGCAGGCAGTCTCAACGTCGAGGCAGATGACTGTTTGCTCAGTGTCTGGCAACATGTGAATGAATGGCATATGGGTTGTATGCGTCGGGAGCACAGATGTGAGGCGGCATGTGCGTGCATGTCATGTGAGCCGCATGCATGCGTGGGGGAAGCGTCTGTGTAGCACCTTTCACCAGTGCTACCTGATCACCGCTTCATTTGGCGCAGCTGGCTGCACTGCAGGCTGGAGCGGGAATCCCGGGGCTGTCAGGCGGGTTCTCCGGGCCGGAGATGGGGCCGCGCGACCTGCGCACGGCCAACAGCTACAACAGCTACACCTCCAACGAGTCCCTCGGCTCCATCCGCGGCAACGCCCTCGGCCAAGCCCTGCATCAGGTGCAGGCCGGCCTCCTGCCTGACCAGGTGCGCTGCCCCTGTTTTGTTCAAACCCAAGTTCGTCTCCAATGCGTCAGGCAACTGTTGATTGTCAGGGTATTTTAATGCAGCCGACATCATGGCTGCTTTGGGGTGTGAATTTGCTCAAAGCTTTGCGTAGACCTGTGCATGCTGGGACTGCTCGTCCTGCAGTCAAGCATGGCAGCCTCATGCCCATCTCCCATCTCCTGTGGTTAGAAAGCCCCGTGGCTACGGTGCTGATCAGAGCGACCTTGTGACCTTACGTGCACCCTTCCAGATATTGCATGCTGACCTGCCCTGCCCATGTGCTGAGGCTAAGGTGCCGATGTGCGCTGACTCATTAAGTGACTGGCTGCACAGGTGGCGGCACTGCAGGCATTACAGAAGCAGCACAACGTGCGGGTGGCCGCCTCGGACGGCCGCGCCAGCTTCGAGTCCAATGACGCGCGCTTCCGCGCTCCCGAGCAGTATGTGAGCAACTCCGGAGGCTCCGCCGCCAGCTTCACGGCAGCTTCCCCTCCCCGCCTGTCCCCCAGGTGACACTTTTTGAAGACCCCAAAGTTGTGGTTTCTCCTGTGGTGGGGTGGCCAATAAATATGTCGAAGTTTTGTATATTTGAAGGCCTTATCCTGGCAACTTGGGTGGCCACATTTTGCGAATGGTCCTGCCTTCTGTGCCGGCCCAAATCCCTTTCCTACCTTATCTTGAGTCAGGCCGTGTGGCCCATAATCTTTCAGGATGCTGCATGTTTAGAGGCCTTGTTGTAGCCTGCTGTAGTGGCCGCACTGTGCAATTGGTCCTGCCGTTTGTGCCGGCCCAACTCGCTTTCATTCCTTTCTTGGATCAGGCAGTGACGCGCCTGCCAAGGGCCCCCCTGCCCACCGCGCATCTGGCTACAAAAGCGCAGCCTGTTTTCTGGTCGCTCGTGCTTCGAAGAGCTGCCCTGGCAAGTTGCCGATGCTCCGCGGGGATACGAAAGGGTGCAGCTTACACGAGCACTGTTTGGAAATTTTTGAGTGTCTCAGAAGAGGCAGCCTAGTACATCGGCACAGGCCAGTGGTGGCTCACGCGAAGCCAGCTGATCTGTGCAGGTCCATTGAGAAGGCAAAGACAATTCTCAGCGGCGGCATTGTGCCCGGCGTCCCTCCAGCCGCTGCCGCAGCCGGCCCGGCCACGCTCGATGCCACCGGCCGGGTCACCAGCTTCTGAAGGGAGGGGGCAGTCCCCCCGATGTGGAGGGGACCCTGTGATGCACCCCAGCCCAGCCCAGGGTGAAAGCATCGCCCCTGCAGACCATGTCCCCTGGGTGCTCAGGGGCTGACTTGAGCTCTGCTGCGCACCCTTGGTCGGGAGGCACTCGAGGGAAAAGGGAATAGGGGCCTGGAAGCTGCATACACTTGGCTGGCAGCTTAGTGGACTCCCAAAAAATGAGTACAAGGAGCGTCAGTGCTTGCGGCACAGGAAGGATGGTGGGGCCTCATGTGTGAATATGATTGGATGCGTTGGCTGAGAGTGGGCTCCCTACCATATGGCGTGATTGAAGTGCCTCGAGCAGATGCTTCAACGACAGCACATGAGCTTGGTGGTTTCCAGAAATCAGCTTGTCGGACATCTGTGGGTGCTTCCAACTATATGGCTCGTGCTTGAGCTTACGGCACAACAGGAAGTGGCTGTGCCATGTCAATTCAAATACTGGCAGGCACAGTGCAGCCTTCAGGAGCAGCCAGTGAGCAGCATCTCTCTTGGGAGTTCAAAGTGTGGGACGGGAGCTTGTGTTTTGCGAATCTTGACAGTGCCCTAATGAGCCTGTCAGCAAGCAAGGGTGTTCTAGGGGCTGTATGTTCCTGATAAGTCACCATTAAAGCAGCAGAAAAGAAAAAGAGGCAAAGCAGCAAGTGTTCCCAACCTTGGAACACGTATTCCAAGACAGTATCCGTTGGGGTCGTCTGGCAAGTGGCAGGGAGTGCTCAAAAAGTGTCGAGTATATTCCCAGCCTGGTTCCTTTGCCCAGTACCAGAAAAAGATCCTGGCCGATGCATTAGCCAGCACCGGTTTTTGCTGGACTTCCTAGTTCTGGGGTGTTCCACAATCCCGGCCATATGCATTTCTTCCAAGGGGTGGTTTGGCGAAGAAAGTGGCGTCCCCGGAATGTCCCAAGACGTGTGCAAGCCAGTCTTTCAAGAATTTGTGATGGCGGCAGGGGTGGCAGCAAATGCATCCGCTGCAGCAGAAAGTCTGGACTTCAAACATGTAGGACAGCAAATTGCTACTGAGCTGCTGCTTGAAGAACAAAATCCCTCTTTTGAGGCGAATATATTTGCTGGAATGTGCAGGATCCATGGTAATATGTATGATTATCGGTATCTCTGGATGTGGAGAAATGTGATTTTCAAGCCACAGAAGCCAGCATAATAGGCTCAGGGTGCACCTGTGCTCAAGGGTTTGATCTCTTGAGTTAACTGTCCTTTTTGGTCAGGTCAGGCTTTTGGATCATGTCAGGTCAGGACTACTTTTTGCCGGGACTTGGACGCTTGTGTATTTCCACCTTTCTTGCTCATGTTGAAGTGCTTACATATTACTGCTGTTGACAGGGTATATTCAGAGGCCTTACACATTTTTGTGACATGTACTGTGACTGGATTCTTTGGTCAGTGGTCTGCAAAATCTCGGTGTGGATCTATTGTAACCTTCTTACTTGGCAGGGAATCACAAAACACGCGACAAAATCTCGAGCACGCACTGATACCCAACGCGACTTGCATAATACAGTACTACTTATTGTGCAGATCTGCCCAAGAGCACACACTTGCTTCATTACACTTGCAGATCTAGTCCAGTCACACACAGGATATCCCCCACAAATCTGATGCCAGCAAGCCCAGCACAGCATTAATGGACATGTGGTAACAAGTACGTGAACCCCATTGGCCCATTTTGTGACCTGTGATTACATGAGCAACAATTGTGTCACTGCAATATACATATGATTTCTCCACAACCAAATTTTCCCTGACCACACTTACATGCATCGCTGCAAAAATTTACTCCGGAGATTTAGTGACAAACCCTCACCATCAACCTGCATCTACTGGGACACTCTACATTACAAGGCGGAACAAACTTGACAGATGATCAGCCTTTAGATCAGCCTGCCCTCCTCGAGCATCACATTGGAGGACACCAACAGTTGAGATCGCTTTCTCAGCAGTCTCAGCAGTCAGGCATTGAGGCCTAAAGGATTCCTGCAGCATTTCCCAGCTGGCTCTCTGCTGATGCTCACTTGCCATTGTACTTGTTCCAGTTGGCCTTGGTCTGATAGCCCTGCCCTGTGTGAGCACGGGGGTTGCTCAGGACCTCTCTGAACTGGCGTTTAAGTCAAGGGGGAACATCTGGGTCTTGCCAGCGCTTGGGTGCTCCATGGATGTCTTGACGGTGCCTGCGCCACATTGGCAGTGTCAGTGTCAGCTTGCACAGCAAGAGGTGGACCTGAAGCCATGCAGTCTACAGCAGGGAGGTGTACACAAGTCCTGCGCAAGTCGATGCTGCACCCACCGGCACTGTGCTTTTTGAATATCACGGTAAAGAGACCGTCCGGACACAAAAGCCGGTACGTGAACGGAGGCATGAAGAAAGTGGGTGGACAAAGAAGTCAATCCGGGGGCGCGTGATACCAGTCCGAGGAAACGGGCATAGTACCTGTAGTTGAGTAGTAGTCCATCTTGGCGCCCTGGTCGTTCTGCCAGTACTCCACTCGGCTCTGGGCGTTGGAGCCCTGGTATGTCCAGCCGTACTCTGCGGGGTTCACGTTGTGCTTTGGGCCCGACATCCTGTGTAAATGCAGCAATTCCTCAGTCAGTGTCATTTTTATGGGACGTCAAGTTGGCTTCTGATCGCGTCGGCAACAAAGCTCAGGACAGCATTGGTTTTCAAAAGCAAACTCCCTAGGTGCCAGGAGGAGCTCGAAGAAGGAGCACCTTTGTCACCAACTGAATGCTTGGCCTCCAGGAGAATCCTCAGGAGATTGTGCCAGACCAGATTTTCGCAGAGCTTTTGTTTTTGCTCACCCGATCCGTGTGCTGTGCTTTGCCGAGTGAGCCTTCGACGGGGTGAATTCACGTGGAAGCCCTTCGAAGGGTGAACGTGTTCAAAGAAACCAAGCGCCAGCTATAGGACTCCAGCTGCTGGACCCAACAACTGCCACAACAATCGTCAAGGCTTCCTCCAAATATGTGCCTGCGCCTCTGGCTTCGAACTTACTAAGTTTAAGACTTAAGCACAATGTCTGGCCACAGCCACAAAGGTATTTAGATCAGCTGATCAGGCGCCGCGCCATGCGCATGCCGCGGCATGCGGCATGCACGTGGACTCTAGAGCTCCATTACTAATCTGATATATACAAATACAAACAAAACCATAGTATGATGACGCATATGCATGCGTGCGCGCGTGGGCAAACAATCTTGTCATGAAATTACCCGCGTAACCCAGTTACATATGATCTGCCAGTAGTAGTGCCATGCACTGTAACTTCAGACTCTGTAGCCCGACACCCCATTAGCCCCGGGCCACGTGTAAATTTCTGCATGCGCTAGGCATTGTGCGCAAAGTCATTATGATTGTCATGCATTTTGCATTGGCACAAAGTCCGTAGCCAATCACACAAAGACAAACTTGAAGATCCTGAGACCTCAGGTCAGACCAAGATTTGAGGAACACATCTACTGTACAGGATAACCAAGAACTTCATTGACAAACTTGTGACTGACATTTCAGTGAACAATGCTTGCCCATGCACACCCAAACAGCACACCTCGGCCTAGTATATTGCACATCCACCGGCGGGTACCCCTCAGAGCTTCTGTTGAAGCTTGTGCTTATGTCTGGCTCATCTTGGCAAACGCCGTGGATAGGATTCACTAAATCCCATTTCAATTTTAGTGCTTGTGGGAGATGGTAGCCCCACGCAATCTAGCAACCATGGGCGCTACAACAGCTGCCACGTACCACAGCAGAAAGTAACGGAAAAATAAACCATCCACCCAGAAATGCCACAGCGGTAAAAGGAGCTTCCTGCACTCCACCTGTGCTCATGGCATAAATTTGACTCATGAGCGCAGACGGATGTGTCTAGCACCTTACCACCCAAAAGAACACATAAACCCCTTATTTTCCCCCTTATGAGCCCTTGCAGACTCGGTCCGCGGGATCAAGCCTTCTTTGGAGGCCGAAGGAATAACTCGCTTAGGTGCTGCTCTTTGTCAGGTGTGCTAGAAAGAGCAGACACCAAAGTGGCACAATGTGACAAACAAGCCCTGACGCCCTGCACCTAACTCAGGTTCATCAGGGCTTTGAATTGCTTGGCATTGACGCTGCGGCTCTTGCCATAAGATGCCTGCAACGTTGTCCAGGATGGTTTCCTACAGGCAGGAAAGACAAGCTCAGATGAAACTAGCATGGATTTAGTATTTACAAAGGCTTCGCAGCACTGCAGGTTCCTTAATCAATCCGCTACAATTCCTGCAAAAAATCATAGAAAAAAAGGCTGGTGTCGCACACTGTCCTGTGCTTCTGAATGCTTTGATGGCTCGAGATCAAGAGCGTGGGCTCAGAGCTTGTTCGGCTGCAAACATGCAAGGAATCAAGCAATGCAACCGCGCACTACATCCACCGAGGGGAGTATGCAAACAAGGCAAACTCCTTTCTCAAGCAAATAGAAAAATATTTTAGACTACATGTGACAATAGTAAAGATACTAGCGGAGCCGATAGACCCCAGCGCATTTGACTTTGCTCTGTACACATCAGCGCAATCGAGGTTGACTCACCCTTCTGAGCCCTGGCTGCTTTTGGCAGACAGAGCGCTCTTCAACGGATGCAGCGGCCGGCTCGGCGAGTCTGTGTTCCCATTCGAAGCCGCCTGCGCGCTTTGCACCACGCCGTGGAAGCTCTGCCCGCTCGAGCCTCCTGCCACGCAGCCGCGGCAAGCGTTTGAAATTCTATTCTAATACAGGTCAAGTTAGGTCAAGATCGAATTCAAATATAGCGAAATCTATATTAAAAAACGGGAGAAATGGTGTGAGGCGCACGCCAGAGTGGGAAGCAGCGGGATGACAAGATCGGCAATCAGAGACAATTTAAGCATCAGCAGTAGACCCTGCCCTGTCTGGTGCCATCTTGTGCAGACAAGTGGAAGAAGATGCAAGCAGGTAGCATGGTGAATGGATCAGTAATCAGCACACAGCAGAAGCAACCTGCATGAAGACAGGACCATTGAGTGTAGCATGCAGCAACTCAAGTCGGCATTCTGGGATCCCCCAATGCCTCCCGTGCTGTGCAAACAGCGAGTCACAGTTTCACTGTTCTGTAAAAGGTGGTCTTCGTCTCTGATCACACCTTTCCTGGAGCTCACAAGAGAGCTCCCGTTGCTGCCGTTGGTAGGCTCGGAGCCATGCTTGCCCCCACCGCCGCGAATTGATTCAGCGCTCGCCACACCACCACCCGCTTGATTCTGCACACGCCCACACAGTACCCTTCTGTTACATTGCTCATAATGGAAGCACAAGAGGACTCTTGAAAAAACACAAGGCAGCCAAACATATCCTCGGTCATTGGCAGAGATGTCCGCATCGGACGGGGGCAGGACCCTTGTTCAAAGCCTCAGATGACAGAATTAGTGTTTGTCAGGCGGCGCAGCCCTCGCAACTAGTGCTGCGACTAGTAATAGGCAGAATAATTATTTTGCATGCAGCGTGGAGATGGCATTTCTGCTCATGTCCTGTCTCTCAATCCTCAAGTGACCGCAATACCCGTTTCCCCGAGCCAGGTCCATCTTTTACACATTCTTAATTAGAATGCTGCAACAGCCTGGCCCACCTGGAGGTCATCTGCTTGCTGACCCGTGACCAATGACCAGGGGGTTATACTGTATAGGAAGAGTGGGTGCCGGGGGTGGATTACTCACCCCGATGGGGTTAATGGTGAGGTAGTCGAAGGACATGCTGGGGACGGCCTCCTGCACGGCCTTGTGGTAGAGCATTGGGTTGCGCCGCAGCAGGGGCAGCAGGTCACGCATGGGAATCACCCAGAGCAGACATATCTGACGCGTCCTGTGGCAGGGCAAAAGTGCTATGTCACCCATATTCACTTCAACACCCATATCCGTGACTTCAGTGTGAGTAGCTGCATGGTCGGCTGCGCAGCTGCTAGCGCCTGGGTGGCCTGACAAGCTGCTTCACCCGCGAATGCTAAGCTGAGCATCTGCAGAAATGGTATCAGAGTTGGAGAAGATTCCTGAGCAAATCTCTGCTGCCCGCAAGGCACAACAGCAGGGCCCAACTCAGGGCCGATGGGCCTTGATGCGCGCCGACAAGAAACATTTAGCTTTGCCAGCTGGCAGCAAGGAATCTTCGCTGAAGCAACGCTTGTTTGCATCGCCACTGCCATCGTGGATCATTTAGGAGCCGCAAACCCTCCCTTCATGTTTGCAAAACTCCCCAACCCTAGGGGTAACGCACCGCAGAGCGGAGGGCCGGAAATGGAATTCATCGTCCAATTCGCGCAGTAGAGCAGTCTCGCCCAGTAAAGCCGCTGCGGACGTGACACTCGTCTCGTATCCCGCAGCATCAACTGTCGCCACGGAGCCCTCGTGCAGGAGCCAGATGCAGTCTGCCACGTCACCAGCCTCGCACAGGTCCGCACCTGCCGGCAGCTGCGCACATGCACGCCGCGGGTCAGATCTTGTTTTGGAACGAGGACTAATCAAGAACACCAATACATCCTGTTCAATACCGATCAGTCTGCCACGTCACCAGCCTGGCACACGTCGGCACCTGCCGGCCGCTGCGCGCATGCATGCCGCACGTCAGAACGATGTTTGCAATCTGCAATTATCTAACACCTGAAATTTTCACATCACCCGCCTCGCACGTGCCGGAACCTGCCCGCAGCTGTGCGCATGCAAGCCGCATGTCAGGGAACTGTTGTTGTGATGAAAAAGCAGTTGTTTCACTGCGACTCCCGTCAGACGGGAAAAAGTGACTGCCATGACCGATTTTGGCTTTGCACACCTGGCCGGAGTGCTTGCACTACTTGAAACCTGATCTTCAGGCTGGAAAACGGTCTGCTATGCATGCAGTGTGTACTGCTATATCCTCGCTTCCCTTGCTCAAGAGTTTGACCTCCAGGTCATCAATTCTGAGTGATCACTCGGGCGAGCCCAGCATTGGTCTGGACATGACACAAGAACTGCGCGCAGCAAAACCTGTGGAACCTAGATTATTTCCCCACCTGCAGCGGGTTCATCATGGCGGCGATCGTCTGCTGCTCGGCGAGAGGGAAGTCGTGGAAAATGCGCAGCCGCTCAAAGATTTTTCTATTGCATGCGTACGCAATCTCCCGCCTGAGCACGTGTGGCACTTCCTCCATGATCTGCACCTCTTCTAGCGCTTCTGTGTCGGCGATCCACTCCTGCATGCATGCATGGCATCCGAGCCTGTTCAGGAACCTCTGTTTGGCACATGCAATGTGCCAATAGGGGAGAAAATGAAAGGACGCCACATTTGGGGGGAGAAAAAAAAGGAAGTGCTGCTGGAACGCACCTAGTCTTGGAAGGCTGGAACTACATGCACTAGCAATTCTAACAATGTTGTCTGGGAGTACAAAAGCTCACGAAGAGTTTTTTGGCGCGCAAAATTTTCAGAGCGCACTCGTGTGAAAAAACCATGGCCGGCTACAATGCTCAATTGTCTTCTGTGTTACCACTAGGTTAGAGCGGGAAGATAACAATCCCGGCTTCTTAGCAACCACCATAGCCAAGCAGTTATTAGCACTTCACTGTGACAAGAGCGTATGAGATTATCCACCTCCTGGTAGTGCTGCCCGATGCGCATGCGGAGGCTCTTTGACAGGCCTCGCTTTCCCATCCACTTATCCACAGTCTCCATACGAGACCTGAGCACCGCAAATCATTTCTATAGAAACAAATTAGTACTATTAGTAGTAAAATTGCATGCCATTTCCGGCCAATGGGCAAGGTGCGCGGGCCGACAAGGCGCAGGCAGAGGCTGCCAACAGCCTATTTCTCATTGGACTCGGCAGACCAAGCACAACGGTCATGGATCACTCACACACCAAGCATGCAGAGGCTTGAGAGACACAGAAATGTCCCCGCAGCATGCATGCCGTATCACAAGCATTTACGAAAGTAGTCCGAGGTGAGCGCACCTGTACTTTGCAATCCTCTTTGACTCCTTGTTGAGGTCCTGCTCAGCACAGATGCACATGAGTACATTCAAATAGTAGGTTCAAAGTATTCCTCTGATATTTTTCAAATCAGCCCAAGACAGCTGTCTGCAGAAATGCATGGTGACATGCACTGCAGCAAGTGCTTCTTTGTATTCAATGCTGCAGTCTGCCATATAGCTGAATATCTTATTTGCCAGTGGGGCATCGGCACTCACGTTGAGGGCATCAGCAATTGATCCGAGCAGGATGCCGAAGAAGATGATGCCGGCAATCATGCAGAACATGCAGATGATGACCTCAGTAATTGTTGCCGGTGTTACGTCGCCATAACCAATGGAGAGCATAGTCACAAGCATGAAGTACGCGCCCGCGAGCCACCTGAAACAGAAACATTCAAATGTGAAAAAGGGACGCTGTAATGGCTGCTTTTACCATAGGCCACAGCTCTGCGCCGGCGAACGGGATCACTGGAGTCTCAGAGTCTGGCAAGTTACTACAAAAGTCCGAAGAGGCACTTCTGCCTCCTACTAGTATGATTGAAAGACACTTGATACACTGACTTGACACCGAGAAAGGCGCACAAAACCATGCACGCATTGCACTTCGGGACATCAAGATGCTTATCTTGTACAAATGAAAAATATCTCTGCAAGCAAGCTTGCTCATGGCAAATCAAATTTAAACATTCCAAAAATTTGAATTTTTGAAATTTTGAAGTTCAAGTGAAGGGTGGGGCTTCTCACTTGGCAGCGTCCGGTACCGCAGCGCAGTCCTCCTGGTTCAAAACGCCGGCTGTGACTGAATCTGGGCTGCCATAAGTTCTCACCACAACACCAAAGCGGCTCAGCCACGAGCCGTTGCAGTATTCACGGCGGGACACAAAATTCCTTCACAACACACGTCCAAGATTAGCAGCAATGCAAGCACAATTTTCTCTTCGTAAAAACCATTATCGACATAGTGCTGTCCCGCCGTGACAGCACAGAACATCCTTGTCTGCACGTCTGCCCAGTGCATTTCACTGCCACAGACACCAGGTTCTCTGCAGAAGGCTGATTGGTGCACATGCTCGGTTTATTCATCCCAAGTGTTCCCAAAAGCTTAAACACTGCACTATGCAGAAAGCAGGGCTGCAGGTGAGTAGCTTCTACTCTGTGCATGCAGCTGTGCTGCAGATAAAATCAGAGCATCAACACTATCTGCAAACATGCATGCGTGCATGCGCTGCCCAAGCTTTTCTTGACCATGATGGCACGTACAAAGACCGATTTCCAATAGTGTGGAATCCTTTTCTCCCAAAATTGCGTGAAAATTGCAGCATGTGCCCACCCATTTCCAGCCACGGTGTGGCAGCAAGATCAGAGGCATGACAGCCAAAGGCACAGTTGCCAGTCTATGTCAAACTCATACTCATTTTGTAGCACAACGAAAAACAACCCTGTTGCACAGACTATTCTGAACACCCCGAGCAACTCTCCCTTTCTTGTAATAAAGACCTGCATTATGAGGGACCATTGCAAGATATGAAATCTTCACTTTAATTTGGCCCTTCTCTAAATCCTACAGTGTGTTTGATTTTGAGTGGGGGCTGGCGCTTACATGATGCAGGAGAGGAAGCTGAGGATGGCCAGGCCTCCATAGATGAGGTTGACAAAATAGGCGTACTGCGGTTTCAAATTCAAAACTGGAAAGATCGCGCCGCCGGCAGCTATGGCAGTTGCGTACAGTCGGTTCATCAGCGATATAAATCGGACGAGTCGCAGAATTCGAATTATCTGGTACAGCGTCGAAATGGGTCCGCTTATGTCAACGCCCCTCTCTGACAGGATGATCAGAACGATCTGCACAGCGAACATGGTCATGTCAAAAATCATTTCCTGGGATTGATTTCATTGCTTTGGGATGCTATTACTTATGGTATTGCAGAGACTCCGTTCGTTCACATAGTACCCCAAATATGGGGACCCATATGCTGCCGCCAATTGCCGCAGACATTGCATTTAAGCAAGCGAGAGCAAACGGCACTTTCACTTATTTACACACAGCTTCATGCAACAATCCCACAATTAGTCCAGGCTTGTGCTTGCACTGCAACCCGTACAGTCTACCGCTCAAGCACACTGTGTTCAGTTGCCATGAAGGGAAACAAGGAGGATTTGCGAGGGATCAGTTTCACCTGAGCAATCCAGGCAATGGCTGTGAGAACATCCACAAAGAATTGCCCTTGGGTGATGTAGTACCAGGCTACAGCCTTGCCGTCGATGAAGACTTTTTTCTGAGAGCCCCACTTGCCGATGAAGCCGATGTGGAAGTTGAGCAGCAGCTCCATGAAGTAGATGGTGCCTGCAAGCCAAAATATATAAAAATGCTGAGTCACCCATTAGTAACAAATCATCTAACACACCCTGGTAACCCATCGTTCCTTTGAGCATAATCCTCAGGACTGAAAGCTGTCTGTGCAACAACACCCCTAGCAGAGAGATTCTCATGCACCCTTCATCTTGAAGTGCAAGGCACACACACAGAGCCACTTCTAAAATATGCAATCCTCCTTGCTATGTCAGTGGGTCATGCCAGGTGGTATTGTCAAATTGCAGTTCAGTATAGAATGAGTTTCAGATATTTGAAGATATCGATGTACATTGTACACCAATACTTGGAATCCACTGAGGCACCAGCTTGACCCTTAAATGGGGTATTCCATCACATGACATCCAAAGCAGGGGCAAAGCAGCAATCCGGGGAGTCAAAAGAATCACCTGCTATCAGGTTGATGATGCACCCCCAGGTCCAGCCGATGTCTGGGACCTCAAAGGACACAAGGATGGGAATCAGGAACGCTGTGTAGATCAGGTCCAGCGCCAGAATCATGCTCGACCAGATCTTGGCAAAGGGCGCCAGCGGGCTGATGATGGGCAGCCCAAAGATTGACCGGGGGGACCTGAGGGCACCAATCGGGCATTTTGACCCAAGCGCTTGACTATTCACATACAGGACACAGCAGACACTGAGTGCAAGAGGCAGCTGAGTGGTTGGCTTAGGGGCCTGCCCCCAACATTCAGTGATTCTGGGCTCCAGGGTAGCCAATCGGTAAATTCGATTCGGGTCTCTGTTATTCTAATGGGCACTTCATGCTTCCCAGAAAGGCAGCCGGAAATGACAGTGTCAAAGGGAGTAACAGGTGTTCACAACTATCATTTCCAGTGCATACGACAGGAGAGATGGCAGCCTAGTAAAGCGTACATTTACAAGTCAATGAAGCAAGCCCCACACCATGCAAATCATAAAAGCAGGACATTAGAAGCGCCTCGGACGGAGCTGCACCTGGCGCCTCTCCTCCTGACATTGCGGCCAGAGGCCTCCATGTCATAGGTGGAGGTGTTCCTGCGCAGAAGGCCCCCCTTGTGCTGCACAGCTGCTGTTCCAGTGGCAGATGCCTGGCCATTGGCATACTCGTTTCCACTGCCGGGCCCGGATGCAGTGCCCTCAACGCCCAGATAAGTCTCCCACTGCTGCTGTGTGATCGTGCAGCGGCGGTGGACGAAGGCCTGCTGCACCGGATCCTCGTCTGCAGGACATCCCAGAGCTCAGCTAGGCAACATCCTGGTGCTTGGAGGTGTGTCCCTCGGGCATCCATGGCGATGGGCATGCACTGACCCACAAAAGAGACTGTCTTGCGGACATGACAGAGTGCAAAGTGCATGCTGATGCTTTGCTATACGGGCGGAAAACAAGGATGTCAAGGGTGCATGGGGCGGGAGGAGGGTGACTGATGCATAAAGCATAATCTAGGCCGTGGGAGCCGCACCTCTGGCCAATTTGACGGCCACTGCGTAGTGGTTTTCATAGTGATTACCATCAACGATCCTCTTTGACTTCTTGCTCGAGAACATCGTGGTGCCGAACAGGTAAGCTCCGAATTCAGCGGTGCAAATAGCCGTACGCCTGTCTTGACTCCAACAATCAGCAATCTAACGCTGTACGCCTGGCAAATATACTCTAAGTATCAACCTTATCGACGAGGAATACCAAGGAACAGCTTTAGGTTTGCCTGAACAGAAATTTTTGGCAGCACTTTCACGATCTAACGACACCTGAAGGTGCTAAGTTACTATCAGATTTGCACTATCAAAGTTTTTTCGATGATGCTGATGTTCAGCTTCCCAAGGAACCCATCGTTGCCCTTGACAGGCTGGACATTGCCCTAGTGTGTGACAAGTAGACTGCCTCACCGAAATCTGCGCGAACTATCAAGTTGCTTACAGTATTTGTGAAGAACTTGGAGAGCTTCAGCCAGCAAAATGCCATGAAAGGAAGTTTGCTGACGACACAGGGCCACGGGGAGCCACTAGGATGATCATATGACTATCTCATCGACGTCGTCATGCTCACGTCAGCAGATGTCCTTCTTCGTCCAAGGAAGTTTTTTGCTCCCTGTATTCTTCAAATTACTACAATTTACGTAAAATTCCTTCTCTCGTCAATGTTCAATTCTCGCAGTACTGTTTTGTTTGTATCATCCATCATTTGGCAGTAGGAGACTAGCCCAAGCAATATAGCACTTCGTCGGTGGGAGAAAAATTGCTAGTCACCGCAATTATGTCGATGTAAAGTTCAGGAACAGATGTCCTCCTATAAGAAAAGCGGTTCTATCATCAAATAAGGGGAAATCGAGGGCTTTCGAGACGGAGAGGTCCAACCGCAAGCGTTGTGTACTTGCAGCCCAGGATGTGAGCATGGTAGGACTACAAGCACGTAACTGCAATCACTGTGCTCCCGTGATCTATAACTTTGTCTGCATGCTGCTTTTTTCGAACAGACTCCTGGTCCATCCCATTTTTTACATGAAATCAACAGGGATGTTGTTCTTTTGCAGCACGAGAATGCAGACGGTCAACAGACCACCATCAAAGCCACAAGTGAGTGCAATATACCACGATGTTGTGGAAATCATTTCAATGACTCTTTGCACCCAAAACTCTATGTCCTTTGACAAATCCTGCATGCATAGGTTCCACAGGTGCGGCGCCACTCACAGCATTCAGCGTCGACTCACCAGCGATGGCAGACCAGCAGGTAAACCTTACGTGTCAAAAACCTGACGTTCGAAGTCGTTTTGGTAAAAATGAGAATTGCACTTTCAAGCTGGGTGCAGTCACACAATCTTGATAAGGAAGCATAAGGACACCACAAGGCCGAGGAAGCATCCAGCAGGACATGTGGCAGGGTCTTGAAATAATATGTTTGTGCAGCGGCTGCTGGATGGAATGCCTCAGGACGTGGAGCAGGGCGGGGATGCTGATGAGGGGCCCACTTACACCGTCGGAGAAGCGCTTGACTGCATCGGTGAGGCCGTTACTGAGAAATCAGTTAAAGTTTGCGCAGATCAGATACAATGCCGGGAGTCACAGAGGACTCATGTCTCATTTGTGCAGACAATTCTGTCGTCTGCATGCTGCGACCAAGGAAGAAGAAGGCATGTTATCCTGACAGAAATGGGAAGCCTGATTCATACTTTATTGTGCATGCATGTGAATGCCAACCTCTCGTCATAATTCCATGGAGCAGTTTCCTGCGCCATGCAGGCTTTGGCAGATTCCAGGGGATGGTATTGTTCTACTGCGGATGTGCCTGGGCAGCGGATGCCGTGGAAATGATGCTCCTCTCCTTCCTGGGGCCTGCGGTGCGCTTCTTATGCGGACTGTCTATGTACTATGCCTCTTGGACATGGCTGCCTTTACATGGCTCCTTCCAACCACCCTGTCCTTCTAGTAATCTCAGGTTGGGCCGACAAGGCGGCATTAATGCATCCCTCGTGTTGACGAGAGTCATTCTATTGCCTAGCAACAGCTTTGCGCCATGTTCTCTTTCTTCACTCATACACGCTCTGATATTCTTCACTTTTGAATATGTCTCCCAGCAGGGCAGAACAAATTAAAAATTCAGCGATGCAGCAGAGTGAGAGAATGTTGTGCGCGCAGGTGCGGTGCGAGTGGGGCATTTCGCCCTCGGCAGAGAGCCTGATCACGAGCATTGTTTTCTGCGGCACAATGCTTGGCGCGTACGGATGGGGCGTGCTCGGTGATGCAAAGGGCCGCCGCGTCGGCTTTGCCGCAACCGCCGCGTTCACTTTTGCGTTCGGCATCCTCAGCGCAGCTTCCCCCAACTACCTCGTGCGCGCCTTTTACTGTTTTGCTGTACATCGAATAATAAGGACCCTTTAATGCGACGAACAATAAAGACCTTTCAGTGCGCCGTGTTGCGCGATTTGGATAGACTTCATGCGGAGTTAGGAAGTGCTTGCCGCTGTTATCAGCTCCCCTTCAGCGCAGCCTGCTCGAACCATGCTGCAAGAGCTTTCATCATGTTCAGTTGGTCCACAATTGGTGCTCACCTTGACCACCTCGGGCACTTGGGCGAGCAGGGTGGCGTACTTACTTCTTGGCCGGCCAAAAATAGTCTCAACCCACTCGAAGTATAGGGCATACAGCCTTCTACCGTGCGGCTTCTGTCATGAGGCTGTGCCCTTTGTATGGCTTGCACACGGCCTCAAACTTCGAGCAGGTAACAGTCAACGCTTCTCTTGGTAATTTGCTATGAAGTTTATCCGGCATTTTGCGCAGAGCCTGGTGGTGCTGCGGGGGCTGATGGGCGTGGGCTTGGGGGGAGCGCCTGTGGCGTTTGCACTATTCTTGGAACTTGTGCCCTCATCAAAGCGGGGGGTGCTCATGGTGGCGCTGCAGTCCTTCTGGACCGTGGGCAGCATGCTGGAGGTAATAACTTTTCTCTCTTCTTTTCTTTTTCATTTTCTCTGCTATCTCGCGTGACCTCGAGCGCCCGTCACCCCATTGCGCACTGTGCAAAGGCAGGATGCCAGCGCTCCAGTTTGCTTCGTGCCCGCTCGCCAGTGATTGCCGGTACCACTGCCTGACCCGAGATCGTTCTAATCTTCATTTCTGCCTTGCCGGCCGGGAGATGCGTACCCACAATCTGTACAGCGTGGCATGCACGCTTGTCAGGTGTTGCACATCCACCAAACGTTCCCTCCTCCCATTACATGCAAGGGGAACAAACCATCCAACGGCAGCATTGCGGAGCCCCCCTTAAATGGCAAGGTGACTATATGCATCTGAGCACTTGTTTGCTGGCACGCAGGCGGCGTTGGCATGGGCAATACTGACAGACTGGGGCTGGCGATGGCTGGTGGCAATCTCGTCCCTGCCGCTGCTTGCATTGCTGCTGCTGTACCCGTTCCTGCCAGAGTCCCCCTACTGGCTGGTCGCCTCCGGCCGCACTGCCGATGCGCAGGTAGAAAGGTTTGCTTTAACGGAATTTATTGCATGTATCTTGGGAGTTTGCAGAGAAACACCCAGTTCTATGGAGTTCCAAAGGCTTGAATGCCATTTTTGGGGCGTGATTCAACGGCAGGGCTCTCTACTTAAAGCAAGCTATCCCGATCGTTACTGTGTTGGGAATGGAGTTTTGGAAGGAAGGATTTGTGTCCAGAGCCATAAGTTGGGGTGCACACCACAAAGTGAGATGGTTTTTGGTGCGCGCAGGCGCTGCTGCAGAGAATCGCACACGCCAACGGCCGGCCGCTGCCGCCGGGGCGGCTGGCGCCGAGCGCCGCGGCGGCAGCCGCCGCTAAGGTGGGAACTTCACCGCTTACTATATGCACTGCCTGGGCAGCCGATGCTGGATTGTCCTGGCAGGCTTACCTTCTGGAAGTAAGTCTGAGGGCAGCACATGCACACCTGCGTGCCAGCACATGCAGTGCGCCGGTTGTGTGCCTTTGTTGAGCGGTTCCTGAAGTGAAGTCGCTGTAGGGGCATCTGAGCAGGGCCGACCCCAGTTCTTCTGTTTGCCCTGAGCTCTTGCCGGTCTCCTCGTGCTTACTCAGTCACTTCAGGTCCAGGAAGTCAACCAATTGTCTGGTCGCTGCACATGTCGCGCATGCTGCTCTGCTGACCGCATTGCTCGATACAGGCTCAGGCGGACAGCAAGGCGCTGGAGGTGGAGGGGGGGACCCAGGGGAGTACAGGTACTGGCAAGGGGATGAAAATATGGGGCCCGCTGAGTCAGCTGGCGACTGCGTTCCGGCCACTTCTGAGCGGAGACCTGCGGCGCACGACGCTGCTGCTGCTGCTCATCTGGTTTGTCAACGCGCTGTGCTACTACGGCCTCGTCCTGCTTACCACCTCGGTGAGCTTTTCTACTCTTCATCTTGGAGCAATATCACCAACGAAAACTGTCATGTTTAATTGCGTGAATGCCTCCTTCCTGTTTACCAGCTGCTGGAGTGCATGTCAAGTGAAGGCGGCCTGATTAAGAAGAGTGGCGCGCGGTGTCCAATTCTGCATTTTTGTTGGAATTTTAGGATTGCATGTGTTTCAAGATGCCGAAGCCTTCTGCTCTTAGTCAGCAGAGGGCCACACCACAGCTGCATTGCGGCAAAACATTGTAGATATTTCTGTGCCAAGAGGCAAGGTGCGTCTGCAGACGCGCTGCAGTCGAAGGCTGCCAATATTCTATTCCTTGTTGGACTCGCCAGTGGCATGCAAGACCCAATATCTGTGGGGCTCAGTATTTACACCAACCCCCGGCAGCCGCAGCTGCATTGCGACAGTTACTACCTACAAGTGATGACGCAATTTGCTCTGGCTCGTTTCAACTTCCCGAACCCTGCGCAGCTGCACTCGCACGGCGGCGGCAGCGGCTGCAGCACTGGCGGCCGCCTCGTTCTGTCCTCGGCCGACCTGCGGGACATCTTTGTGGCGTCCACAGCTGAGCTGCCGGGACTCCTGCTTGCTGCTGCAGTCATGGACGGGCTCGGCCGCAAATGGTGAGCTGCCTGCCCTCTGTGGATGTTTTTGGCGAAGGCAGTCCTCAGAGCATCGTGAGCCTGCTGTCTGATGAAGCTGCAACCCAGCGCTTCAGACAAGCCTGTCTATGATTGTGTGAGAGCGCCCTCTCCCTGTAGATTGTCATCGAGTCAGCGGCCCTGAGAAGCACGGGTAGGCCATGACCTTCATTTTTTTGTGAAGTGCATTCTGCAGAGCATGCCTGGTCAGCTGAAGCGCGCCAGAGCCCACATTGCTGAAGGCACTCGCTCTGTGAGTGGCAGTTGGGGCCATTCCCCCACGGTGCTGATTACATCAATTTTGTGATCAGCACCTTGGGATGGACATGACAATGTCACTGTCCATCCCCACAAGGCGCAGTATACCTTGAACGTACACATAACCATGCAGCAACTTCACAAGATTTGCCTCCCGCCAGTTAACCCCGCTGTACCTGCCGCGCAGGCCCCTGGCGGCAAGTCAGCTGGTGATAGCGGCTGCGACGGGATCTCTGCTCTTGGCGCCCGGCCGATGGGACACGGCACTGCTATTCATCGGACGCGCATGCTCCATGGGATCATATGCCATCCTCTATGTATACACCCCCGAGGTGCGGCAACACTCCAATTTTGCAGCCCCTTCTTTATCTGCTGTATCACAACCCGCGAATGCCTGAACTCCGTTATCTAGAGGACCAGCCTCCAGCTTTTGCTTTGCAAGTGTGGATATAAAACGGGCCGTAACAAGTACGGAGCACTACTTTGAGGGGAATAAGTACAAAAGTACAGCCCCGTTACCGCATGCAGAGCAGGTATGTAGGAAGTGAGATTTGGCTTGAAGACCTAATTTTAGAAGTGTGCTACCCTGTCTCCCGCCGTTTTCTGTCACCTAAGGGCTTGGGATTGAAGACCCATACACGAACTGTGATGCAATTTATCTTTCACCTGTTTTACTTGTATCACGTGCATAACGATGCATGCAGTGAGGTGAGGCAACATTCAAACGGCGCAGGTGTTTCCGACACGGGTGCGCACGTTTGGGCTGGGGGTGAATAATGCGATGTCCAGAATAGGCGCGCTGGTGTCCCCCTTCCTGGCGGTGGACCTGGTGGAGCGGGGGTCCCCGGGGATCGCGGAGGGAACGCTCGCGCTCGCCTGCCTCGCAGCCGCCGTTGCGTGCGCGTTTCTGCCCCTGGAGACCTCCGGCAAGGAGCTCGCGGTGGGTGACTGTTGCCTTAGTCACCATGTACAGTTTGAAGCTTTTCGGATATACACGCACATAGATACACTCATGTTTACACCGCGAGGCAGAGATTCTTCCACAATTTGGCGCTCGCAGTGTTTATCACGTCTGCAATTTCTCCTGTTGTAGAGATCAAACGCGCGGCCTTACAAGGTGAGAGAATACATTGCATTGTCTTGATGTCTGCATTCCTGCTTATATAAGCTGTGATTAGTCTAAGCTGCGAGAGTGTCCCTGTTTGCAGGTGGACGGTGCTGCGAATGAAAATTCACAGGAGGATGGGGAGATGCTGCCACCGGCGCCATCTGAGTCAGAGCATCGGCTGTGAACGTATTGTATTGATAGATTACTACATCGATTACTGATAGATTAGTGAAAGATTGGCAGCCTTTTCTGCAGATTAACCTTGCCTGTGGCAGGAACAGCCGGAGAAAATAATAAGTGACAGATAAGATGCTACTGTCTGCAAGTTCTGTGCCTTTCAAGATAGAACTCTGGGATTGAAGCACAACTGGCATGCATGCTGTTTGCGCAAGCCTGCTGAGCGGTTGTGTGTCCAATTGATTGGGTGTTGCATAATTAATCAGCAGCTGTGCATGCACTATGCATTTGGCGTGCGGTGGCTGGCAGATATTCTTCAGCCAATTGCCGCATCATGCATGATGCGCAGGACCTGCGGTTTAATCGAGTTGCAGCTTGCAGTACTGCGCAATGACTGCACATGATTGGGGGTGGCAACAGACGCTTACAACTTCAGGGAATGGTGACATCAGGCATGACAGTTGCGGTTTGGTCAAAGGATTAATGTTATGCATGTGCATTCTCTTGAGTAAATTTTTGCACATGGAGCCAGCTGGCCAACTTACATGCCGTTTTGCCCGTCTTGCAAATTAAGCATTGCCTGTTCTTTAAATGATAAGTAATTGTGACAGAAAAGGCTAAGCAGTTAAATTGCTGCTTCATGACAGTTACACATGTGACACAGAGTGTTATAACATCAAGATCCAGCACATACATTTTGTGTGCAACCACAGCCCGGCAGGGCCTTTCATGTACACGTCCTTCATGCAGCTGAAGAACTAAATGCTGCACTGCCGCCCGAGGGATCATCAATGTTATAGAGTGTCACACACTTAGCTGCATGTACAAATTCTTGTGCTACTGATCCACCTCACACTAGTGGCTTAGGACAGGCACTATTGTCCGTGCAAGTCCTTTTTCTGACAAGACGGCATGTTTAAATTGTTACATAAGGTGTTCAAAGACATAAATATAAATGCGCTATCTGCACGAAACCATCCAAATCATAAGTTCCCTCTATATAAGTACCATTTATATCTTGATCCTGATTGTCACGCGTGTCTTTGCTACCCTGCATTTCCCACCAGCAGGGGATATCGTGTTTGAGAAGCAAAATCGCTTACAAGCTGGTTCACTGGATTGCATGTGCAATTGGCTGAGTCATCCAATCATCCACTCATCAAATCACATGACGGAATGGAAGGTCTTCAGGAACCGTCGCTGAAAATCTCATCACAACGTTTCTTGTGACATCGCCATGACTCAAGAGCGGGTACAGCATCATCCAGGCATCGAATTTATGCAGAGCTGACCCATCAACCCCACCCCAGAATATTTGTACTGTATCATCCACTCTACCCGCAGAAAGTTGATTTGGCAGACCCAGTGTCAGCACATGATCAGCATGAGGCCTTCATAATATCCTGCATGCGCAGGTCTTGTGGCACTTGCAATCTCATGATCAAGATAATCATTCCCACCGGAACCTAGGTTCTACATCATTTTTGAACTTCAGGTTTTGCGCTATGTACTGGCAATACAATAATATACGTCGCACACCCAAAAGCATTTACAAAACAGCTTCTGCTTCTTGGAATATCTTAGGATCACTCTGCGTCTCTTATTTGCTCACATCCACACTGCAAACTGCATGCTACTATGCTAGGTGCACTGACAAAGAAATTAGCGATTGCCATGTCTCAAGGAGCGGTCCAGGAAGCAGTCCTGCACACCTACCCGGCATAAATACTGCCGCTTTCATTACTATTGGACAATGTCTGCCACTTCAAATATCTCTCTGTCCTCCAAGCTGGCACCCACAGCAAGAAGAGTGTCTCCACATATCCCGATATGAACTCTAACCAGTGATCAACCTCGAGCAAATGGTCCACTGGTGACAACAGCCAAATCAATAAATATAAGCCGGAGCTCGGGCACAGGCAAACTGGAAGCAAAGAAATTGTGCGTGACGCTCTTTCGTGGCAACCTTGGAGAGTGTGACTGCACGAAATAACATGAAAAGCTCTCAGATGCTCTGCAAGCAAGCAGTGCGAGCATAGTGCAATGCAGTGCTCTTCAAACACTGCGGCAGGCAGCTTGCCTGCCCTGTGGACACGCTAGAAGCACATGCACGCTATGGCTGGGCAATCGAATAAGACAACTGGAGGGTATCTTGGCTTTGTAACAAAGAGCAAAGCATTGACGGCCGCCTCGTTCCCACCATTGTGCAACAGCACACATACTCCCACCACCGGACACGATTTTCCAAGCAGGGCTACTTCTAAACACGCTGAAGCTGCAGAGAGCCCTCAGCAGGGTCCCTCCCGCTGGGGGACCCTGCTGAATCGGCCGGAAACATTCCCAGTGCATCTGCACATTCCACCTTGTACTGCCTTTCAAATGCGAAATTAGCAGTATTAATAGACCGCTCAAAACCTGCTTCCAACATGATGTGTTGCCCGAGTCCCAGGCTGTGGGGAGGTGCCGCAAAGTGCCGAAGCATTTTGCTTCTAGCACAAAACCCTCGGCCATGTGGGATATTTGCTGGCAGCAGCTGCCCATTAGGGGTTTGTGCCGAGGCTAGCCCAAATGCAGGACTTTCTGTCAAACCATCCTGATGCATGCGCGCACCACGCAACATCCAGTTGTCCTCCAAACAGGACAATGAAACATTTGGGAGACCGAAGGATCTTCTGTTCTTTCACACGCCTCGCTCCATAGTACTTACAGCAAGGCTCACCCCGGCGGCGATGCAAATAGCACTCACCGCCAGGGGTTCCAGGGTCTACAATTTATAATCAGGGGGTCGTCAGGGGTGCATGCCGAGATTGGCCTGCAGCCATTCGATGTCGGCCGGGGCCCAGTCGGGAGGCGGCAGGCTCCAATCCGGGCAGGTGGATCCCGGCGGCAGCGGCAGGAGCGAATCCGCGGTGGCCCCCGTTGCCGCGGGGGGGACCCGCACCGGGCAGCCCAGAAGCTCATGTGCCGGGGGGGCACCCAACTCGTCTGCCGCGCAGTTCACTATCGCCAACGCCTCGGGGCACCAGGGGTACGACTGCGGGGCAAGAACGCGGGTGTCAGCAGATTGGGGAGGACGAATGAGGACGGGTGCCTTTCTCGGTGGGACGCCGGGAAGTGCACGAGAACCTTGGCAATGAGCACTGCTTGAAGAAGGCTTGACAGACCAGTGAGCAGCCACATGATGCCCCTATTGCAAAACCTGGCGTGCACTTCAATGCGCTGGGCGTTTGGGGAGGCATGAGTGCCATCGTCGGTCGCACCCGAGGAGCCTGCCAGCTTCACAGTGGGGCCGTGCTGCAGCGCCCCACTGCGCCAACGGGTGACCCTTGATGGGGCAGATTTATAGAGCACAGGCATTGCCGCTTCAAACAAGAGGTACGCAGACGCACACGCAAACACAAACGCGGGCATCAAAGCAGATGCAATCTACGGCTTATATCGGGGTTTTTTGCCGCGCACATGCACGATGGCTGTGGCGCTCTGCAGGGGATCCAGTTTCGAGCGCACGGCGAGCAAGAACTCGTTGTGAAGCTGCTGCTCCAGAGCGACGTTCTGCCGAAGCTCCTCGGCCACGTCTCCGGCCGCCAGCAACCCCTGCGCCAACGCAATGCCTCCCTGGGGATCCTGCGCAATGCCCCAACACACGGGGGAATCAAGCGGGGTATTTGGGTGCACGGAGAGTTGATGCAAGACCTGCAAGGCAGTGAACGCCTATGTCGGAGAAAGGGCTGTCTTGCATGTGTAACAGAGTACATCACCAACAAAAACACCTCCCACAACTGTCTGATCCTCATTAGCTGCTAAAAGTACTTCCTCCGCAGGTGCCGCGACTGATAAATGAGTCCACTGCCATGTGGACGAAGCAGGGTCACGCCTCGCAATTAAAAATACAGACATGCCCAGCAACAAACAAACTTCGCCATGCAACCCTGCAGTGGCCTCAACAATGACAAGGTAGCGCCGCCGCGCACATCGACAAAGAGCTCGGGGCAGGGCCCCTCCTGCCGCCGCAGAAATTTCAAGTAGATGTCCTGCCGCGCGCGCAGAGTGTCGCCCATGCGCAGCAGCATGTGGTTGCGGTATATCACAGCCGCCGCCCGCTGCTCGTCGCTCAGCTCCATGGCTTGGTAGACCTTGCGCCACCAGTTTGGCGGCGGTGTCTCCATCACGGGCGCGCCGCCCGCAGGGTCCATCTTCACGGCCCTGCAAACGAGCAGAGCATGGCCCTCGATTTTGGCAACACTACACCATGGAAGAAGCTTTGTCAGAAACTGACTAAGTCACACCACAACCAGCCTGAGTCACAACCATACGTTGTTACAGGTGCATATAGAAAGCAGCACACCTACAGTATTCAGGGATTAAGCTCCTCATGTGACACGATCAGGCAACGAGGGCGCAATTGCTGAGGTAACTTCTGCCAGAGGAAAAGCCATGTAGGCTGACCGGCACGATGGATGAAAGCTGCGTTGCTACCGGGGATTGCCCTTGGGCGAGGTATATGGAGGAGCCCGTTGCAGCGTGCACCACAAGTATCAACAGACGACCAGAGCAACAGTGTGACAGTCCTAGTGGTCACAGAGGAGACACATGCATCTACAGCAAAGCTCCCATTAGACTTTCCAGTAGCTGCTGAGTGTCAGCCTTTCCAGCGGCTCTTTACTCAACTCTCTTCTCTCTCTCTCAAACCTGAGAGAGTGCCGATCAATGTTCCCAGGTGCTGAACCCCGGAGCCAAGAACTCAGAGGCGCCCACCTGAGGGTGGACCAGTGCTTAGGGCTGGCGGACATGAGGTTGGACACCACAAGCCGCATTTCGCGCGCCAGCTGCACCACTTGCAAATTTGCGGCTGAGCCGGGGGCGGCGCGCGCGTCTGGGAGGAGGCCGGCCATGGCGCTCACATAGTCGCGCCACAGCATCGCCAGCTCACCCACCGACAGGGTCTTGAACTGCTCCATGGAGAGGACCAGCGCTTCCCCCGCTCTCGCCACCTCCAGACATCCTGCGCCCCCCGGCACCGGCCGGCTTCAGCATACTGCCGGGTGCATTGAAGGATTTGATGCCCCAAAAAAAAGCAGATCAGACTTGGAGTGCACGTAAGGCTCCCCCATATCACTATGGATCTACAACATGCAAACATTAAAATCAGTCAAAGGACACGGCTAACAGCGCAGAATAAACTAAGGGCAGGACGCTGAGACAGTTGACAGGCAAGTTCAGGACGCATGGATTGCCCATGCATGCATACGGCCGGCACCTGTGCGGATGCTGAGGTGGATCATCTCCTGAGCTGGCGCCCACGTCTCGGGTGTCACGCTCCTGTTGTGGCTTTCAGCGTTAATGCCTGCCTCTTCAGGATCCCTTTCGGCACTCCCCTGCAGCACCAGCACCGCATGTAAGAACAGGTAACCCCGGCATCTGCGATTGCAGCCGGTCTATGCTTCAAATTTGAAGACGAATTCCTGTAGATACCACTGTGATATGGGGACAGAGCATGAAGCATGTCGCAAGTCTCACGAAGAGTATTACAAAGACTGGAGCTGTGCACCTGAGAATATGCCTCGTCACTGTGCGGCGGCGGCTGCAGCGGCTGAGGACTGTTGCCATGCAGGCCCACCATCCGCTGAAGCAGTTCGTTGTGGGCCACCAAGACAGATTTCTCCAACTTCAAGGCCTCAAGAGCCTTCTGCAGTTCCTGCGCTCGGCTTTCGCTCAGCTTGAGCTTCTGCTTCTGCCGCTCTCGGCACTTTTGCTGCGCACGCCTGTGTACCCAAGTAACAGACATACAAATTTGGTAGACATTGTCTGAAGTTATTTATATGTTGTCATGATTGTGTGTCGGCGAACGGGAGGCACTTCCGCACAATGACCAAAATGTAGCAGAGTCCCTTTGAACATAATATTTTTCCCTGAAATCACTAGCTGCAACCTGCTCAACGTATGTTTGGTGCATGTGGGTTTACATCATATCTCTGGCCTTCGGCAAGCAGAACTCCCCGGCACAGCACGCGCAGTGGGGATGAGGAAAATAAAAACTTGGCTTGGTTGGATGGGCACAGCAGTCGTTCAATGGAGAGAGAAAAAAAAGCAGGATAAAAGCGGGGCAAGTTTAATTGCCTCACATACATCCAAACTATCTCTTCTGCTGGTAGCATGCGCGCGTTGAAAATCAAAGAGCACACAACACAATGCAGTAGGAGAGGGGAGAGGGGTTCAGCAGAGGTGGTCATATCTCCCCCTGCATAACATAGGTGGATTGCCTTGCTTTCACCAGATAAAAGTCCCACTCCTTCCCGAGCAGCAAGGGCGATTGTTGCGCGCATCGAGGGCATACCGATTATATTCCCTTTGCGACATCACATCGTTGGGGTCGACACCCTGGGCGCCCTCCTTGTCGTCCGAGCTGCTGCCGTCTGAACGCTTGACAGGCATCACCCGCCGCCCATTCGGACCATTTTTAAAATTTCTGCTCAGCGCCAGCCGCCATTCGCTGTCCGCCACCGGGCCTGACAGGCGGGCAGACCTCTGCCTCTCCATCCTTAGCAACGGCTGAACAGCAGTCACAGCATCAATGCTATCCATGCTGTAATATAGCCCCCATCTAGGGTTCATCTGGTCACTGAAGACAAAAGGAATAAAATATATCTCGATCAGAAGAAAAAGCTGACGGGCTGCAATTCTCCAATAGCAGGCAGCAGGAGTACCCTGACTGTGGAGCCAACCGGTGGTCTTGACCACTATCACAACCTTGAAAACCATTACCTTATAGGACAGGTCCGCCGACTTGCGCTTTCGCATGCAAGAGACACTGGATACTGCAAAGACCCTAAGGAAGGGTTTCCGAATTAACCATGGGCGCCTTGGGGTCTTTTGGGCACTCTATGGAGATACAATGACACATCTTCTGCAGAGCCCCAGACAACTCAAGGCCTGCAGAAAAATGAGTGGCTAAGTAGCTGATGCCCCAAAAAGGGGGGCTTATATGTGCAAAAGACCAAGAATTCTTCTTCTTAAGATGCTGTGCTGCTGTGAGGAGGGCGCACCCTATCTGGCGGTGGGGCACAAAGGGGCACCTCTCCTGGTGGGCAGGGAATTTCCAGAGTCCGAGGGACCAGAAAGGCAACATCTTGGCACCCTGCAGGAGCAGAGAAACGTCATAACTGAGCAGCCATACTGAACTACTTGAGGGCTTCATACGGTATCCTGTTACATCGACGGAGGTCGCAGGTGTGAGGATGCAGCGCATTCCTTCCACTTGACCATCAATCTTAAGGTAGCAGCAGAAGATAGAGATAGGTGGTTCTGGCTGAATTATGGAGAGACAATTGTTGCACCGCCTACCGCAGTGCCGCTCGGCTGCAGAATAAACGCTTCGATCAATACACCTGCTCACATTGAGCGCGATCTAGAACGCACCGGACCAGTAGACAAGCCATCAAATCCCCTAAGTTCAGCAGGGCAAGCACGAAGGCTATGCGTCTGAACCTTTCAAGCTCAATGCCTATGGAGTGGCACACCACTCCCTAATTCGCATTAGCACTAGACTACTCAAATTTTTTATGGATCAGCAGAGATGTGTAAATCCGACCGGCTGCCCAGCATCGCCCAAACTTCCAATCAAAAGGCCCTTTGGCGGAGAGTTAGGAACGTCGCTCACGTGGCACGTGGTGCGTAATCTTGCGCCAGGGTAATTTGAGTCCCTGGACGTGACATGCTTGCATCAGACAACTAAATGAAGGCAGAGCACGAATATTTCATTTTCAAACTCCTGTTGTTCACATCCAATTCACAAGCTCTTGACAAAAATTACGTAGTCAACTTCCGGCAGAGCTCCCGGTCGTGCAACGATTGATGACTCATCACGTTGGGCACATGCTGCATTGTCCCTGAGCATTGCCCTGAGCACTGGTAAATGATCAGGGAGGAATCTTCTATACGTTTTGAAAGTATACTTCTTTTCTTCTTCATCAAAGCATCTAAGATCGAAATTAATGCATAATCTGCTGTACTGAGGAGAGAGCATACTTCTGAGAGGTCGAGCCGGCGGGGAAGAACCTCTCCAACGTTGTCCATCTTGATTAAAATTGAAAGGGGGAAACATTCCACAGAGATGGATGAAGAGGAAGGTCGGAATCTGCTCGTTCCTGTAGATGACGCGGAGGTGATCTTGCTGCCTTCGTTGCATGCTGGCAGGATGCAAAAGCTAGTATTACTCATTCCTAAGAGAACGGGAGGATGCATTTGTTTTCTTCATGATTATAGATGCGTGACTTGATCTTGTGCTAGAATACAAGCTAAGCACTTTCCATTTTACCAACCTTATTTCAACGTAGGACTGTGAACGCGCTCTGCATTGGTGCTTGGACAACGTACACAGGAAAGGTATGTTCAGATACTCTGCAACATTTTCACAAGCTCTAGTTTCTGCTTCCACTATTGAAGTGGAACAGATGGTCTTCTGTCAAGCAACACCAACAACGTGAAGGCAATCGTGAAGATGCCGTCCACTGTGGCAGGAGACACTGTCCACCTATTGCACGTCGTTCCCCATGCACATAACTCATCGTTCTCACACCTGGACGAGCACCAAGACGAGTTGCTGGTGCGAGGCTGCTCAATTTGTCTGTTGTTAACCTACTTGCAAACAGATCTTGAGCGCCCTGATGCCTGCTGCTGCACAGGCCCTGCCGAGTCCTAGCGCAGGATCATTGCTCTGCTGATAAGGACTGTTCAAGGCACTTGCACTGACTAGGGCTAGGAGGATCCCCTGCCATAAGTTGCACTCCACACACACACGTCCTTGCGGGAGTCACAGCCTGTTGTGACCTACAGGCGGAGCAGGCACGCGGGTTCATAGAGGAACGCTTCCTTCGCTCCCTGGAAGCCTCTAGGGTGAGTGCATATCAAGCCTCAGCAACATTTTTCTTCAAAAAAACTTGCCTTAAGACCAGGGTCACCGCATGCGGTGATTCCGAAAATAAAATGCAGAAAAATGCATGCATTATTGAACTAAATAAATGCGGGTAAAATGCGGGCTGCGGTGCCACATTGACAAGCTGGTACCTTCTGAGCAGCTCCCAGCCTCAGAATCGACAGCTGACAGGTCAGTCCGAGAGAGCCGAGGGCAGAAGAGCACCATGGGCAGGAAGAAGGGAAAAGAATGGGACTTTGTGCATGTCATCAAGGAGGTTCCTGAAGAGGCAGGGGAAGACAGGGGAGACAAGGCAGGGGAAGGCAGGGGAAGACAGCCAGCAGGATGAGGAAGAGGACAGCTCTGAGGGAGCTTAGAGAGCAGAGAGCGAGCTGGGAGATACTGGCAGGCAGTGCTTGCAGCACAAATGTAAAGAAATGGCCCAAAAGCCCGCAGCCTGCACTTTACCGCATTTTATTAGGGCAAAATAAAATGCGGTAAAATACACACATTCTATTATATCCCGCATTATTCGCATTCCGCATGCGGTGACCCTGCTTAAGACCACTCTTAGCCACCTGCTCAGTTTCTTATGGGCTACCATTCAGGTCATTTGATTATGCCCTTTTGTGAGCACTCCAGAATGGCTGCGCCTGACTCCAACCGGCTTGTCCTGTCATGATTTGTCCCTGCTGTGCTGCATTAAGCTGTTTCCAGGAGACGCACCGTGTTGTGCAGGCTGCAGGCTGGGAGTTTGCAGCTGCCCCTATGGGGGTCGAATAGCCGTGGGGCTGTGGGCGCAGATTCCAGCACCACGTCTCAAACAGTATCCCATGTGCGCGCAGGTGCCATACCATGTGTGCATCGTGCGGGGAGAGACGGACACCGATAGTGTGGGGCAGCTGATATGCCAGAAGGCCGACGAGCTGCATGCCTCTCTTGTGGCGATGTCAGCGCACAACAAGGGCCGCCTCGTGCGCTTCATTGTGGGCTCGACCACCCGCTACTGCATCCGCCACTCGCACGTCACAGTCCTGGTCATGCAGAACAACTGAGTGAGTGCACCGTTGAACAGCACCACTGGGATTGGCAAAATCACAGGGATTCAACAATCAGAGAGCTGGTTGAGAGGCTCATGTCCTAAAGGAGCTTGTTCGAATCAAGCAGGCAAGCTCAGGGGGCCTGGTCATGCAGAAAAACTGAGCGTGCGCTCTGGTGAGCAGCTGTGGCAGCAATGAAGTGGAGGCAAAAACAGCAGCATGAACAGCAGAAATCGTCAGCGTTTGAACAATTGGCAGTCCTAGCGGGATCTTGGGACCACGCAGAATGAGAAGCCATTTTGCTTGGAGAGCCACGGTATTCATGGGTCAGGCGACAACAGAAAATAGCCAAGACATCAACCTTTGGAGGGCTGGTTGAAAATCTGATGCCCAGAAAGAGCAAGGAGGCAAGCTCAGGGGGTCATAGTCATGCAGTAAATTTGAGTGTTTACAACGGTGAATAGCCCTCAGCAGCATATGCTCACTGATTCGGCAGGATTTGCTAGGAAAGTTTCCTGCCAATGTCAAGTACAGTGACTCAACATTTCCCCAATGGTGATCAAATTAATCCCAAAGGTCTGTAGCAGAGGCTTATTTGCATTGGCAAACTCAGCAGCCGACTTCTACTGCATCAATAATCTTGCCGCATGATCACACTGCCCAAGTCACTGGACAGTCCCTGTCATCTATTTGTAAACAGTAATAATATAGAGTACCGTGACTGCTGCAGACAAATGAACAATCACACAATCCCGCTCTAGGTTGTACAGATCTTTTTCTCCACGGATTTGCATCCCCAAGGGACCAGGGCAAATACAGTCAGCAGTTCTTGGTGAGACAAGCGCTCTCAGGCTCCATGCAGAGCACTGACAAGGATGCTTTCCCAATTGTCGACTCTTGCAATCAAATCCCAAAATGAAAGCTAGTGATAATAAGCAATGCCAGCACCTGGAAGCTGCGCAGCTCATGCAATCTGATTTCCTATACAGAAGCAGCAGCAAAAATACAGCAGTGCTAGCTCCTAAGGATGCGCAGCTCAAACCATCTGATCACTGATGCAGAGGATGTCAATTTCCAGATTTCAACCTCATGCCCAGATATAAAGCCAGCTGAGCTCCCTAGTGACATTCCCAACCCTGCTCAGAAGGAGCAGCAACAAACACCAAGTTCTCCCTCATACGCCAACCATTCTGTTAAGTAAATCTCATTGTTCTGGCAAGAAATGGAAAGCGCAATACGCCTCAAAACACTCTGGGTATGCTGTCTCATCTCATTCCTATCTCACCCAGTCAGCCAATGGTTTCCACAACCATTGGCTGGAGAATGGTCAGGGGAAATCCTGTGCTTGATTTATATTGGAGATCTGCAGCTTTATTTGGGTCTGCAATTGTGGTGCGCTCTGCGCTAAGAAGGACTGGACCAAAGCAATTTCAGCGCAGTGCAGCACTCTTGAAGGGGATAATCTCTTGGCAACAAATCGGCCGGCTATGCGTACTACACGCCTCACATCAAATGAAGATTTCATCACATGCTGTTGCACCGGCGCTAAGATATATCTGAAGTGCTTGTCTGTACTAGGAAGCGCTTATGGCTCCCCATGAATGATTTGAAGCATTGCAGAATCAGAAAATTGCTCAGCAACACAGAGTTGGAAGACGGGGCAGGCATGGCAAAGTAAGAAACTATTGCTCGGCTCTTCCTTTTGCGGCGCATGCGCATGCAGATGCGTATACCGGCTGGCGCGCTCTCAGAAGGGGCACACGTCTCTTTCTGCTTCAGCCTTGTCTTCGCTCTTGTCGCCATCAGAGCCCTGTCCCGCATTGTCATCGCCCGAGGCCTGGGATCCCACCTTGCGCCAGACAAAACGAGTCAGTCCAAAACAAGTTTCATAAGTCTTACAAGCATTTAAAGACATAACAGAACCCATATTTATAGGTTCACACCATTGGCCAGGGTCACTGACGGGACCACCTTGGAAGTTTTGCATGCTATGTGAGCCTACTGCAACGTTCTTGGCGCATGAGCTCAGGAGAGGCTGATTTTTCCACGCACAGTGCGCCTTGCTGTTGTTGTTATGCACTGAGCTTTGTCCGTGTTATTTGCATCACAGGAGTGAGGGCATCTCACCTTGGCAGAGTCCTGCCTGTCCACTTTGTGCGCGCATGGCTGCTCGGATTCACAGCCAAAGGTTTTCTCCATGGGAGCCAGGACTGCTGTGGTTTCGCCAATCAAATCCTGCGCAAAAACTACTTATATTTCCTGAGGACATCCCACTCAGACCATCATCCCCTGGCTATAAGGGAATCAACTGTGGGTACTGCCCACAAAAACTGACAACCACCCAATCCTGTTGCAGATCAATGTAGGTACAATGTGCGGACACAAAACAATGCCTGGGCACTGGCAGAACTGGCAAATGTGAATTGCCAGGTATATACGCCTGGCTCGATGCACTCGCCCCCTACTAAAAATTCACAGCGTCACGCTGTACTGCTCTAGACTCTGTGCATCGTGCCAGCTTCACAGCAGTGATGTCGGCAGTGCTGGGGCGGACTTTCTTTAGGTTTCATGCAAAGAGTCTTGGAGCCAGGTAAGCAAGCAGGGGTGCAGTAAGTCTTCTCATGAAGGGGGATATGTCGCTAGCTTCAGCATGTATATTCTAACCCAGCTGTCTCAAAAAGCGGGGCAGCACCTCGGACACGCCCAGCTCGCGGAGGGTATCCTGCAGGTGCCCCACAACCACGTAGAAGTGCTGCACTCCCAGGCCCTTCTCGTTGTGCAGCCGCCGGTGACTGATCGTGGGGTCCTTGCCCACATACTCGTCCGCGCCCCCCAGCGCATATGTCAGGAACCTTACCTGCAAGAGGCAGTCAAGTCATGGTCGGGGATAGGGGTGTGTTAAGTTGCCGTTTATTCATATGCTAGGCTGCCTTGAAGAACCATCGGAGTATCTTTATCCTCTTTGGTGCACATGCTCTCGGGAAACGGCAAAGTCAAGTGGACAGCAATGCAAATTTTCATGTTGAGCCAACGCTGCACCAGAGTGAAAGCTTTTCCAGTCATTGCAGCCTCTTGTAAGCTTGGGACCCATGCTGAACCACATTTGCTTTCCTGCTTTCAGGTGTGTTGCTTTGCATATTTTAGTATTTGTGGAACGCTGCTGGCATGAGCAGGTGCGCATTCAATTTCCGCGAAGTCCACAAGCCCTTTTGCTTTACCGTGCGACAACACGCGCCTGCTTAACCTTCAGGCGCTCAATGGAAATGTTGTTGAAGAAGCGTGCCACTCGCACATCCCCCAGGAGCTTCTTGTAAAAGATTTCCACCGCAGCCATCACCGCGGGTTGCCCTCCCAGCCTGCAACAGACACTTCAATAAATTCGTGTTCTTGAGGTGCCAATGCACACACAGGCAAATAATCCATGAGGAGTGTAAGGAGTGCAAAAAGAACTGCAGCACTTTGAATAGTAGTGATTTTGCCGTCTGTAGATCATGATGCTTGTCTGACAGAGCAGGCAGCGGACCTTTCCAATGGTGGCTCAAGGCAAATCCAGCTCAAGGCTGGACGATTACGGCTTGTGGTTGCATGAGCTGCAGTTTGCAGGGCAGCACTTTCTCTGGCGCTAGCTGCCAAGATGCCTGCGTACGTCTTACCCTCATAGTGATATTATAGAGCTCACCTTATATAAGTCAGAATGTGTCAAGTGTGGTAAATAAACTCACTTGTCATACAACGGCTGCCTGCAGCTCTCCTGATGGTGCTCAGTCATCTTGCTCAGCGCCGCCTTGTTGTGCAGAACATGCGCGGCCGCTATTGCGCTCTGAGACTTCGACCTCTCCTTCAGTTTTATCCCCAGGAAGCTTGCAGACCTCTCCTTCAGCTTCACCCCAGTCATGTCGCTCTTTGCGCGGTCCATGTGTTTGGCTGCTGCCATGTCGACAGGGGGTGGCGCCTCCTGCATGTGCGGAGCATGTATTAGCACGACGCCGTCAGTGATATGTCAGAATTACTCATCTCTTCATGGGCCCCATTTCATCTCAGCAGAAGACACGGGGACCTCTTTCTAAGATGGCCATATTGGCCGTTGACTGACATGTCAGAACCCCAGATGATGGCGCGAAATCTTAAACGGAATTTCAAAATATATGACATCTCAAAGGCCGTCAGAGCCTGCCCTGTCTTGAAGGCTGCAGCGCGCCTGACCGTTGATCTCGAGAGTGTTCCAATGATTTTCAAACGGCGTGAGCCGCTGCAGCATGTTTGACACAGGGGAGATGTGTGCAAAGAACATGCCAGTGCATTATGAGATTCAGGAGGCTCACCCCCTTGCCGTCATCTGGGCTGCCTCGCTCCCGGATGAAGTGCAGAAATTCCTGTGCGTTGGCGGCGATTGTGGCTGTGAGGCCCTCCAGCTGCGTGACACATCAGCACAGCGCGCTCAGCATGCTTGCCACATCAGCACAGTAAGCTGAGTACCCCATGCCACCTCAGCATGCTCAGAATGTATGCGAGCTCAGCACAACATACACAGCAGCCATGCCACCTCAGCACAGCACATAAAGTCTGCATGCAGACAAAAGCACAGCGCACAGAGCGTGCAGAGCTTAGCTTGCATTTTTGCATGACACAGAACAACTATAAAACTGCCTAATACAGGCGCTGCAGTTAAACTTCGCTGCACAAAGGGGCCAAGGTACAGGGCAGGTGCAGGTGGACAAGGACGCTCATTAACGTCCAATCTTGCCCTTGGGTAAGCATGCGGAAGCGGGGGGATTTTGGTCCTCTCACGCACCGGCAGATCGCTGAAGTCTGTGCCAAAGGGGTTCTCAATCTCCACTCCAATTTCCTGGACAAGCAGCCTCACTCCCTGAGAGCACATCATTGCCACCCACAGATGCTAGCACAGAAGCATGACAAATTTCAGGGACAGGAATGCCCTGGAACTGCACATTGACTTTGACTTGTGCACATAGGGAAGATTGTACGACTCTCATGTTACTCATATTTGCACGTTCCCAGGACTCAGTTGATATTCTGCAGTAGCACAGAAAGTAATACAACACTTGCAAGACTGCTTGCGTTGACACCTGTGGCTCTGGCATACTAACGCAGGTGCGCGCATGTGCCAGGGTGCAGTCTCACCTCATAGCCGAGCAGCTCGTATCCAACAGCGATACTGATTGGAATCGTGTACCAGCCCAGTGTGGTCACTTGGGCCACGGGTAGAAAGCAGAGCCACAAGATCAGGAACGCCCTACGAGACACAACAGCCCGAAATTTTTTTCCTGCACGTTGCCTAGGGATTCTAGTAGATTCTAATTTGGCCTGTGCAAGCATACGTGGCATGTGGGAGAATGTACGCGCAGTCCACTGCAGAGCTGCCTGTTTCAGATTACTTCTGGATGGAAATGGCCTTGCTTTGGAGTACCATAAGCTGACTGCTTGAGTCACCTGAGGTGCACCACGTAGGCCCAGGGCATGGGTGTGTTACGGATTCGCAGGCAGTTGTCAAGCTCGTCCAAGAGAGTCCTCAACCGATTGTCAGCCTCGACCATGATCTCCAACGACCCAACTGCGCATCACACTTATCTTATTTTCATTGGCAAAAATAACCCACTTCCAGCAACCCTGCAGGAGACACCTGGCCCCTGAGAGGGTGCACCAAGACAGGACCCCAGCCATACTTTCCCCCCCTTTTCTTAAATCCCCCCAGCAAAACTGGGGGCACAGGACATGCAGTGCAACACTTTGCTGTCGGATGACTCACAAGATGACAGGTAGAATATGTCTCATCCCCCTTTTGTCGAGCATTTCTGTCAAAGACATGACGGCCAGTTTGGGGCTGCTGTGTGATGCTGAATGCACTAGGCAGGAGCCAGCTTTGTCTTGGGAGAGAGCTTTCGCACAAAGCTGGAAGTCATCATGCGAGTGGATCTAAAATAAAAAAAGGTCTCAATCATTGGGTCTGGCAGGATGTTTTGGGGAATAGCACATGGGGCTCACTTTCTTCACTTTTAAAAAATAAAGCATCTCTAGCCACAGAGGGAACACACTAGGATGTGGGAGGAGGGCCTCTCACCATACTTGTCGATGTTTGCACGGAGCACATGGGTGCAGCGCCTGATGGCATACAGCGGCAGGTCATCACATGTGAGCATCTTACGCATTTCACCAATTGAGAGCATGTCCGACACCTGTTGCACATGAAACCACGCATGGCTGAAATGGCCCATTTTGAAGATGGACAGGCACGGCAGTCCGAGCCAAGTAGGGCTGTGCTGTGTAAGTAGGCATGCATCGAGAAAAACATCACCCGAAGCAGGAGCACTGATGTTCACATCGCACACGCGCTGTCAATACTAGGTGTGGCAAGGTGTTTTCCAATTCAAAAGGTCACCAAAACATGACAGACCTTCTCATAACGCCCATGCATGCATGCAATTAATGTGACCCATCCAGTCAGATCTGCACTCTTAAAGGCCTGCTGCACTGCAAACAATGGCGCTCATGACTCCATTCCGAAAGCGTTGTGCAGGGGAGTAAACCCAGCAGAGTGTACTGGCAGCTCACCTCTGACATGTCACGGCTGTAGTGCAGATCCTGCTTGACCGCCACAGCAAAGACAGTTGTCCACGTGACGAGCTGCGACGCCTGTATACCGTCGTCGATGTACGCTGCAAAATGCCACACAAGCTTACTCTGCTGGGTGGCCCCTGATTTTTGCTACCACATCGTTTCCGGCCCGCTATTGGCTACAGCATTGTCTGAGCATGCAATGTATAAATAGGCCGAGGGCTGCCTTGCTATGCAGAATGGCATGAGGTGTCTGAGCACAGGCAGAGCAAGTTGCATCATCCCATACCATTTGCATTGCCGAGTTCAAAGCTCGCCCAATGCTGACACACAGCCTTTGACCTTATTCTTGGCGATGCGCTCGCTTACAAATTTGTGCATCACAGACTTGTACAGCAGGTGAGTTGTGACGATGAGACACTCTGCCCGACTCTGGCGCGAGTAAGCTTAATGCTTTTTCAAAGGTTCAAATCAGCATGTAAACCTTGTGGGGTCCCAAGCTGAAGTCCACTAGTCCCACTTGCATGGCAGGGGGATCTATATCCAACTATCTTATCTAAATAGGTATGAATTCTCCTGGGCATGCAAGCCAGGGTGCACAGGCATCGACAGGACTTGGTGAGATACCACTGCCTCACCTTCTGATATGCGGCAGAGATCACAGCAAGTCGCCATGATGTTTCCCCAGGCCCGTCGCCCCTCCCACCATCTGTTCAACACAGACACTTTGTGTTGGTGGGAGGATGTGAAGGATGCAAAGGGCGGGTGAGCAAATTTTCAGGGATGCTCATGGATGCTGAACAGGGGCCAGGTCAGAATTTGTAGGCTTATAAACGGATTGATCGCTACAAGAAAGTAGCTGTGGCAATCGCTTGCTGCCTGGCCAGCCCACGGTAGGCATGCTGCGCTACTTGTGACAGAAGCACAAGGACCCTGTGCTTAAGGGCGCGCTTTTCCAAAATGAAACTCTTCGCACCTCTCGTATGCCGTTTGCGTCCGGAAGGTCAGCAGGAGGAAGAGGGCAAGTCCTGCAGTGATCACACAGCTATTCTTCAGATCACTGGCCAGTGGACCCTTTTGGTAAACCCAAGATTTGCCGAGCAAGAAACTCACCAATAGTATCAACCGGTGACGACAGAGCCGTAAGTTCTTTGTAGTTGTTGAAGTCGTCGACATGGAGCTTTATGAGCGCGACAGCCAATATGACATAGCCCGAGTAGATGAGCATGGGAACGACAGGAAAGGCCCGTCCATGAAGCGCGAATAGTGTCGCAAACCTGTAAAGAATACAGAATGGGCAGCTGAGTCATGCGATAGAATAAACCAGGACAAAGCTGATGGAAGGGCTTTTTTTCCGACTTGACTCAAACTAGGGCAGCCCAAGTGCCGCACCAATAATTCTTCCAAGGAATTGATGAGTTCTCATCGCGCAAGATTGCTAGCTTTGTAGTTCCTGCGCCACCAGGGACTGGGGTATTTTTCTTCTTCCGTTCGCTGTTGGCTGCCTGTTTTTTAAAGAGCGGCAGGCCGCCGCCCGTGCAACCCCACTTCATGTCTTATGCAGGTCTGCAAGTTGCATGGACACTTACGCTGATTTGGTTCAACTCAGACGCATTGAATCGCTCAAGCTCAACTCAAGGCAGCAACCTTTCCTGCCAGGGCGAACACATGGGTGCGGTAGCAGAGGGATGCGTGCCAATAGGGTACTTAATACATATTGTATAATATTAATCACCCTTGTGGGCCCTTCCTGGTTTGTCTTACCGCCTGCACCTACTGCAGTACAGTGCAACAGAACACTTATTCTCGGCAGATCAGTGAAGTGAGCTTGGGCCTTGCCAATTGTCTATATTTGTGTCTTGCGTGCAGGCCAATTCAGACCCGGCTGGCGGGGGACAGTTTTGAAAGCACCAGTACAAAGGGTGAGCACAACCGTCACGGTCACGCGTGACGCCCACGGCGGATGTTCAACCAATTGTTTTTGTCTTGAATGGATCTGTCGAGTCCATCAAGGTTAGCATATGTGCCAGCCTGTACCTGCATCTTGCCTCTGGCAGGAACAGCATATACCAACGCAGGGCAGCTACAGCCTACCATGCTCAGAGCTGAGACACAGCGTGACAAGCCTTACACTGACTGCATCAGATCAGATACCATCAGATACCAGAGTCTGGTATGGAGGCCCCAGTCTTGGGCATACTGTGCCTTGACCACTGGCTAGGATCACAATAAATTGAAAGGCGCATGTTGTGAAATCTGTGAAAAGGGATGCCTGCAAACGCAAGGAGCTTATCCTTTATGACTAGTAGTCATCTGATGAGGCACAGCACTGATCTTTACATCGCACAGCAAGTAAATTTTATTTGAAGTCTTGTGCACACAAATATCACAGGGCAACGCACAGCGCTGGTGTTAAATCTTCTTTCAGCCACACTGTCACCCAAAAAAAACCAAATCAGAGACAATTGAATAGTAGCATTTCGCAAGCAAAGGTATTGAGCGCCATCATGCTGCAGGTAGGAATCAATTTGTACCCCACAAGCAGGGTGAAATATAACAATCAAACAAGCATCAATACCATAATCAATGCCTCAGTTTTCCTGCGCAAGAGCCTAGGCATTGATGCACTAGGGCATACTTATTAACAGCAGCGGTGAACACTTGCTGCTTCAAGTTTTCAAAACATTTATTTCTGCTAGTCTATCACTTTTGAACAAACAAAAGTGCAAGCTCAAAGACTTGCTTTGATGATCATTCCTTATTCCCCGTACTCTTTTTCAATCGTGCAGTTCTATCCCAGAAAACTTTCAGCCCTTCTTCTGGGCCAGTGCTTTCTTTCCAAAAAGCTGACAGGCCTTTGCACTAGGGAGGGAGCGTCGAATTCTCGAATTCTCCTCACAGCATACCTTCACAGAGCATGCCCTCTCCTGCTAGCAAAGCCATGCGCCGCAGTTTGTACATGAAAGCACCCGGCATGTGTTGGCGAAGCTTCGCTATTTACAGGCTTTGCAAATGTGAATTTGAAATCAGGCCGTCCAGACCATGGAGCCATAAATGATGACACCCAGAAGAGCTCCAGTAAAAAGAGAGCCCACAGCGTAGATGAATCCGTGCAGCTTCTCTGGCAGGACCCTGAACTGCGCTGTGATCTGCGCAGCAACACATGATATCTTCAAAGTCCTCAGATCCTGCAGGTGTACAATGTACACACCGTGGAGATGGTCCTTCCTGGGCCTCTCAACAAAAGAAGGACCGAGCTGCATCAGTGTGTCCAGGCAACGCTTGCCCAAATTGACAAGGTAGATCCAGCAAATATTGAGGGGATTGAGATTTCGAAAAATATCAGCAGCGGTACTGGCTGCTGCCACAAAATTTGCTGGATATAAAATATGGATGATCTTGCCATGTGGAGTACTTTCTTGATGTACTCTCCTCGATCTTACCACACTCCTTACCATATATCCGTAAGTGCTGTGTTTAAAGGACAGCAAGATGGCATCTGGGTCTGTCTCTGCTCACCTCAGCAACAAAGGTGGAAACGGTGGAGAGAGCGCCAGAGAATCCAGTCCGGATGGCGTATGTCACAATTGTGCTCCACATGCTCAGCTTGCCCAGGTGGCTGCTTGTTCCCTACAGGACAAATTGCCCACGTCACACCCCAGGGGCAACACACACATGAGATTATCATAAGGTTGCAAGATGTTGTAGTCACAACTTGACAACACGCGGGAAACTGCCTGTTGGGTTGTGCAATAGCCAAGATGCACCACAGAAGGCGCAACACACCAGAAAAAGGGGTTGGTATAGTGTTTGCTGGATCAATTCCGAGCGTGCAAGAAAGCCTGCAGGAATCTCTTCATTACCTGGATTCTTCAATCACTCTGGGTTTTGAATGAGCACTACAATAGCATTGTAACAAATGGGTAATCGGGTAAGTGCGCACCCCAATGAAGTAGTTGACAGTGCAGGCGAGCATGTTGGCGGCGAATGTGCCGATGGGCAGCCACTTCCACTCTCCCGGCAGCGTGTAGTTGGTCTTTGACAGAGTCCAGCGCAGCGTGCATCCAATGGGTCCGAACAACACTGCCAGCCAGCGGCCGCGCCTGCAGCAACCCAGAATTTCTGCTCAGCTCAACTGTATGGGTAACTGCATTATCATGTGCAGCTGCTAAGTAGCTGCCTATGACTGATATTGGTACCCACATTATTTTGTTGCCCCCTTAGACGAGATTATATGTACTGCAGCGGTATGCTCGTTCTTGTACAGACACAGTGCCGCGTGGGGACCTTGCTTTGTGATAGTACAGCACAGCAGAGCATAATAGGTGCATTCTGCACCAGCAGGCACCCAGGAAACTTTCCACACATTACCAACTATGCCTGTCACGAGGTTGCGCATGCTGCTACCAGCGAGACTAGGCTGGGCTGCACACAGCAACATGCACCTCACAGGCTCTGTGCATTCCCTTTGTACATGCCCCATTAATCACATCCAAGGAATACTACAAAGACACTTGATGTTATTCTCCGTTGCACGCAGAGACAGGGGCTTGCCTGCTGATGTGCTTGGGGGAGTTGTCCAGGACAAAAAGCGCCAGGAACAGCGCGGTAGACAGCGCCAGCAGAATGCCAGCGCCAATGTGGGTCTTGTAGTGGAAGCCCGGCTCTGAGGGGCCCTCGGTCTCATATTCGTCCATCTGGAGAGCCTTCTCAGCGTCCGTCAGCTCGCCTGCCCTGGATGCCTGGATGTCCGCAGTCTGCCTGCGCAATCGAATAGTAACATGTATGGGAATGCTAAATCAGTCCACTGTCCCCCCCACCCCCCACCCCCGGCTTTTTTGGTGCGGCGGTGCAAATGCACTGCTCGGCTGCGGCCGCTTGGGTGGGAAAGAAGCCATTGCTGTTTGGCACATCGGCACGGTGAGTCATGGGAGCATCTGCAAATGAGCCAAAAATGATGCTGTGGCCTGCCAAGCAGGCACTTCTGCGTTGAGTCTGGAGGCCGCCGAAAAGATCATCAAGGGCGTCCAGAACCAGCACCTCATCTCAGGCCTCCAGGCAAGATCCTAAATAAAAAGTAATAACTGCAAAACCATGCATCCTGCCTTGGGAGGGCTAGCAGTTTCCAGTAGCATCCAGCAGCCCAACCAAGATAGAACGCCAAGTCATCAGGAAAATTCCAATCCAAATTTGAGTGAGACCGGGCCGTACATGGCTGCCATCTTCTCAAGGTCGGCTTCGGCGCGGCCGCCGGGGGTGATGTAACGATCGATCAGCATTGCGCAGTACTGGCCAAAGACATAGGAGGAGAGGGCTGTCTGGAGTCCGATCACCATGCCCCAGAGAAACTCTGTCCACTGGCCGCCCTCCTTGCCCAGACCTGCAATTTAGCTATTGTCAGAATGCGTGTATTTGGAAGAATTATTATTACTATTACACGCTTTTTCTGCCAAGAGGCAAGGTGCATCCTGCAGACAGGCTGCAGTTAAGGGCTGCCACAATCCTACCCCTTGTTGAACTCGCCAGATCCTAGCAAAACCCAATCAACCGTGGGCACGGTGCTCAGTATTTGTACCGCCCCCCGAATTGGAAGAATAAGTTACAATACTGGTAGGACTTGTTAGGCCACTGAGGGGCTAGCCAACGTGAGGATGCCAGAATGTCGCCTGCCCATATCCAAATTGAATGTAGAATTGAAATTCGGGAGCTCGAAACAGCAGGAATAGAGAACCGCATAGGATTAAGCAAGCGCCTATGTGCAGACCGTTCCTAGTTTTGGGGTTCCAGGCAGCACGTGAGTCACTGGCCACTGTAAATGCTCAAGAGCATTCCCATCAAAGTGCTGTTTAAAGCAGTGCCTTCATGCAATGCTGGGGCTGTTGTGGCATGCTCCAAACGTCCTAGTTCGTCGCTGCGCTCAGAGTCCATCCTCGTGTGAAAGCTTCAGGCTCGACAGATGATCAGGGAGTCGGGAGATACCTCCGAGGAGGCTGGTGACGAGGCTGTACTCCCATGAGGCGAAAGTGGTCAGAGAGCCGCAGTAGCCCGTGCGAAGGCCGATGTGGAGCTCAGGGGCGCTCTGCAGGTTTCGGCATAGCAACCCTCAGGACTCCAAAACCTCGCGCATGCTCAAAATATAATGCTGTTGGCACGATTGCGTATTTACGTACTGTTTCGCGACGGTGAAGTCCTTATACGCTTTCGGCAGTGCCTCAGTCTGGCCATCAGTTGATGGGCTCAGCGCCGATTCGGCACGAACATGATTAACCGACTTGGATGAAACAGGTCTGCATAGAAATAATGCTAAGTTTGAAGATGGTGATACCTGCCAGCTGCTCTTGGCAGGAAGGATAGCGATCTCTTTCTTGGAAGACAAACCAAGGGTCGCGCCGGCAGCCAGGAGGCCCATGATGAACGAGCCCAACATGTTGGAGGCAATGTCAGTGAAGTATGCGCCCAGAGTGTTGTGCTTGAGGCCTGCGCAGCATAAAAACACCCATAGTTGAGAGGAAATAGTGGCGGACCCTAGACTCGATGAAATCCTGGCACCATTGAATTTGCGGCGCCAGCAACTATTGGTGTCGGATGAGATGCCTTACCTTCCGATGTCAGACAGGTACCAAAATCTGGACCCGGTTTGCATGTCGCAAACAGCTTGTCCAGGTAGATACGAGTCAACACTCCTAGCTGGGCGAACAGCGCAAGGTGAACAAGCGTGACCACAAGGTCCCTCCATCTCTGAGGCATTGTTCCGAAGCCTGCAAACAAGTGGGAGTGAGATTATAGCTGGCTGATTTGGGCCCCAGGCTCGGACGTCACCTCCCTTCATGTTCGATGTCGAGTTGCAGACATAGGTCTCAACGGACACCCAAGTGAAAGCAGGCTTGTATATCTCTGAAACAGCGTCATGACTGCTCTCGCATTAGATGCTACCCAGCAACAATGGTCAGCAGTGCTACTGTCGCCGCAAAGCACCAGTGGGGTTCTCTGATCGGCACGTCTCCCAGAGCAAGTCTCGAAGAAGGTCACCCAGTGGTCAGGCAATACGCCTTACCTGCAAGGGCTATGCCACCAAGGCCAACAGTGTCGATTAGTGTCCGAAGGTGCTCTTGCCTATAGCTTTCCACTTGATGTTTTGACTCAAAACTTTTGAGACGAAAGTCATTTGAGTCAAAAGATCATATCCACCTAGCGCCGCCCTCGTTGCCTAAGCAGGATGTTCCAACGTTTTTGGCGGGAACTTCTCCCCCTATCTCGTGCGTGGTGATGCAAGACATCGTCTTGAGATGAGATGACCTCATTTACGTAGATAGCACTGCATCACTGGATTACTTTTGTTGTGGTGGTTTTTTAAGACTCTTGAAGACATCCGCCTGCGCAGGTCTGCATGCATGCACAATTTCATGTAAAGACTCCCCGGGCGACTGCCAGTGGCAGTCAGAATTGATCTACATTGGCTAGAAAGTCTACCTGTAGCCAAAACCCACTTGATGTAGCGCAAAAATCCTGGTCATGTATTGGTTTCTCCACGTTATGTCAACTCAGAGGAGCCTCCAAGCGTCAAGATTGGCCAAAAGGGTGTGATAGCCCAACCGGGGATACCAATTGCTAAGAGTAGCTGGTGCAACTTAAGCAGCATGCATGACTGACGCTCGATTTGAACAGCCGTGTCCCAGCACTTGCCACACAAAAAGTTTCAGACTTCACACACCCTCCTTCAGCGGACCACAGATACACTCTTAACTTTGTGCAGTGACCGCTTTCAGAAATGAGGCACTTAAATGAGGCAAGTAAATTACAGCAGGCTTGCTGCAAACACATGATCAATACACCGCAAACAACAGGTTCACGCCCTGTTCCTGTCACAGCGTCTGGGCTGAGCAGGCATCATAGAAATGAGGCACGGGGATTTCTGTGCATGCTGAAGTCGCTTGAGAGGTCTGAGTTGGCGCGATCATACTGCGCCACCTGTTCTGCCAGAATCTTCTCGGCAGGTCCCATCAGCCGCTCAAATGCATCACGTGACAGAGTTAGCACCTGCATGCATAATAGCCACTGAGCAATTCTCACTTGTTCTCTTGCCGGCTAAATTTGACACAACTTCACCCGGTGGGCCAGATTGCTGGTGTGAGCATTTCAGCTTGCACGCGCTGTGCAATCAAAGTGGCGACGACAGTGGTAACTCGATTCTCAGGTGGTCACTCATGCTGTCTGAATTCTCCTTCATCCCTCGACATGGCAAAAATCTGCTATTATGCATGCGCAGGGACAAGGACGTTCCTGCCAACCAAGCACGGGCCGAAGTCTGCACAAGTGTGGGCAGGAGGTGTGTTGCGAATTGGGCATTGCAGACACATTCGGGCAAGCGAGGGACGATACAAATACTCAGCACCGTGCAAACAGTTTGATCGGGTCTTCCTTGGATCTGGTGAGTCCAACAAGGGGTAAGATATTGGCAGCCAATAATTGCAGCTTTTCCGCAGATGCACCTTGCTTCTCGGAATGAAAAAAACGTGTAATAACAACCACTTTCGGAAGGTCTAGGTCTGAGAGTCAGCAACGGATGGCTCACCTTTGTTCTTTGGCGTGCAATGCAGTCGGCAGCGCGATTTGAGTTCTGCCGCACCAGTGCAATCTCTCCAAAGAATCTCCCTGGCCCCATTGTTCCCACCGACCTTTTGGCGCCCTGTTTGAGCACAAACAAGATATGCTCTTGTAAGGAGCAGCATTTCACACAGCCACTTCCTGCCACCTGTATGAATTTCTCCTAGCTTATCAGGCGCAAAATGTGTGTCAATTTGGTATCAGCAAAGGGCAGAAGCAGGTCCAGAGCAAGTCCAGTCAAACGCAGCGTTGTCAGGGGAAGTTTCACCTTAGTCTTGTCCGTCAATGCTCCCTTTACAAATACATATATCATATACATATAGTATCTGGAGCGTCCTTCTCACCTGGATGGTTTTGCAGCACTCAACCAGGCCCTCCTCAATCATGTAGAACTTTGAGCCTGTCGCCAAGGGCTCCCCCTCCCTCAGAATGTACTCACCCTCCTGCAAGACACAGACAATTAGCACTTGTGAGCATGGTGCAGCTTTTCAATTTCAGGCGTAGCATCCATGCGATTCCAATGAAGCAGTGCTAGCCAGCAGGCCCCTTCGCCAAACACGCTCTCAAACACAACGTAGACGGATTGAGTCTCTGTTGCACAGAGCGACATACTATCTGCTCGCCCGCAAGCAATCCTCTTGAGAAGATACATGCCCATACTGCCACTTTCTCCAGGTCTTCGTCGCGTATCTTTCCTAGCTATTTGCATCATCTTCCCAGCCATTAACACATTCTGCATGGGCTCACTGACCCAAATGTATTGTTCAGCTTGCTCAAAAAATCTTGACCTCTGGGGCTCTTGGTTCATCTTTGTGGTTGTGTGATTTGTTCACACTAGAGCCCAAAGTCACGGACAGTGCATCAAAGCCCGCGCATAGAGTGTATGACACTTTGTGTCCGAAGTCAGTGTGCTTGTTCAGCTGAACACCCTGGAGTGCTGAGGGGCAGAAGTGCTAGGCAGACAAAACATTCTCAGTGGTTTGCCAGAGAAATGCTGTCGGCGCAACGGTAAAGCTCTCTGAATATTATTATTGTTATTATTACTATACGCTTTTCCTGCCAAGAGCCAAGGTGCGTCCTGCAGACAAGCTGCAGTAAAGGCTGCCAGAATCCTACCCCTTGATGGACTCGCCAGATCCAAGCAAGACCCAATCAACCGTGGGCACGGTGCTCAGTATTTTTCCCGCCCCCCGCCAGCCGGGGCCAAACTTCTCTTGCCATACCTAATATCCAATGCTCACCTGGTAGACTTCGGCGGTGAGGCAGTCGGCAATGGATGAACGGTTGGCAGGGGTCAGTGCCTGGAAGATGTCCATCTCCCCCAGAACCTTGCGCAAAATAGTGACTAACTCTTACTTTGCAAGCCTGATTGACTGCCAAATCAGGCGCTGCACTTGCACAGGCTTCAGACGCCAGCACCTTGTGACACACTATGACTGACTGTTACCAAAAGAGGAATTAGTGACTGCCAAATCAGGCGCTGAGCTATTGCAGGCCTCAGACGACACCACCACCTTGTAAGAATGCATGACTGACTTCCACAATTGCAAGGATGGTTGACTGCCTGATCGGACACTGCACTGCCGCGGGCTTGAGAGCCTTATCATGCAGTCTTGAGAGTGTTCAAAATCATGTAGCAGCGTGTCTGGGAAGCTACATGCAATCTAGACAATTGCACCATGCCCATGATATCCTTAACCTCTGTCTCCTGAAGCTCGCGCCAAGCTACATCGGGGCGTCTGTATGTTAAATCAAAGTTTGAAAACCACTTCAAGTGTAATATTACTCACCTCCTCGTAGCGCCGCCGCTTCTGCATGCGCGCCGCCAGCACGATGGTCCGGAAGGTCGAGCGCTCCATGGCCCAGAGAACGCCGTCGGAGACGGCCTGCGCATGCATGCACACGCCAGATCAGTGCTTGTCACATCACCCCTCACATGGAGGACAAGAAACACGTATGATAAAGAGTATATAGTGTTTCCTTCTGCTCTTTCTGCTGCACAAGGCAGAATGCGTCTGCAGGCACATGCAGGTAGAGCCTGCCAGATTACCTACCCCTTGGTGGACTCGCCAATTTAAAAAAATACTCACTCAACGACCCCCTGTCAAGGCCAAGGAACCATACCTGTCCCTATCTGCACGTGTCAACCCACCAGAAGCAGTTTTTGCTGACGCCAGACCCAGCCTGTCGCCTTTGCTGAACAGCACGAAGCTGCCTAGCTCATTAATGCAGAGAGGAAAGATCTGCTAACAAGCGTCATTATGTAGAAGTAGTATTGTATTGCGCAGAATGGCAAACACCAGGCAATGGAGGAATACTGTGAAAATTTTCTGCGCTTTCACCTCTACCCTTTTCAAGTCCCCTCTGCGCTCAACTACATAAGAAGATCCATCCGGTCTGGCACGCTGCAGTCAACAGTATCGGCATGTGCTCACCCTGACAGTGGCTGCTCTGGGGCAGTTGTACATGAGGGCCAGCTCCCCAAAGGCGCCCGCCCCCTCGTACTTGAACAGCACCCTCTCTCCATCTGCCGAGCTCTTAAACGCCTCAAACACGCCGCTCTGGATCACATACAGATTATCGGCTGCCTCCCCTTCCCTGCACATTCATTTGAGATTGTTTACTATTCTCTGCCTTCCCACGCTAGGTGCCCCTCAGCAGGATTTTCATGCATCTCCAAGAAAACCCCCCGTTCTTGCGTATTCTCCACCAGCTTTGTCAAGGTCACCTCCTCATCTATTTACCAGATTCAGGTGACACTGACACATGGTGACGCTGCTTGACTACTAGTGTTAGTCTGTGTCTCTGTCTGCATGTTCCAATGTGTGTTGAGACAAATGAGGCGAATGCCGAGTGTTCTCTCAGCGCTTGACATTAGCAGCTGTCCCCTGGGGAAGCAAGATTATGTCCCACCTGATTATTATCTCTCCAGAGCTGACATCCCTCCTGAACATCGCGCCAATCACATCCTGCTTCTGCTCTTCGTCCAGGTCTGCAGAAAATATTCAAGCGTTCAGCTAGCTCATAAGATTCTTGGCAAGCTGGACTGAAACACCCAGTCAATTCAGAGAAAGAGGAATGCTGACATCGAGGCAGAGCAAGCGCCAGAGATAAGGGAAAGGGCTGCCACGCAGTCTGATTAAGTGAAAAATTGTGCACCTTGGAAAAGAAAGCACTGTCCCAAGGCAGTGACGAGGCCGCTGTCTTCCGTTTTCAGGATTTTCCTGAGACCTTTGGCTTCTGCAATACTGATAGAGAAGCTCTTCACTTCGGCACTGACCTGCGTTGCAGGCACACAGAAACTCGCAAGATAGCAGAGAAAGTATATATCTTCCTTTCAGATGACACTGCCAGAAAATTTTCTTCTCTGGGAGATAGCAATTAGTAGTGATTTCTCAGGCAATGTGCTTGTTTTGAGCCTCCGCACCGATCCTCGTCGGGTTCTATAGGCCAGGCTTTGCCTTATTGGCAAAGGGGCGGTGATTTCTTGTTCTTCGTGGTGCTCCGCGTCTTCATTTGTGTCTTCGCTAGGGCCAGTTTTGTTCTCTGGATTCACTTGGATTGGATTGTGGACATTTGTAGCCTTGCTGCCGATGCAGCCCATGATGGTGCGAAATGTGTCTGTTTAATACATCAATAACGCTCTATAGTGCTCCTTCATTCATGTCTGCAGCGGCTGAGCATCTGCTGGGCAAGCTGTCCTAGGAGCTATTTTTGGAGCCTTGGCGCGTTTCCTCATTTGGCATGTGGTGCATGCATAGATGAACACACTAAGTGCAGAAGAGCAAGGTTTATCCTCAAAGTGCAGAATAGAAGTATTTTGAAGCTTTTTTCAATATATAGTCTATAAACACACGTTCCCACTTGCGAGACTCCGTTGCCACGCTTGCCTCGATCACATCCTGCCTCGTTGTGTTCTACCTGAAACGCTATATCAACAGTCATGGGTCTAGGAAGGGCTGAAGCAGATCAGGAGATCATCAAGCCTCTCAGCTTCAAGGCGCAGCAGTTCAAGAGACTCGTGCTAGATAATAAGCTGGAGTTCCTGCTAGTCAGTGATCCTGAGCTAGACAAGGCAGGCGCAGCTGTCGATGTAAGTTTCATGGCTCGATATTCCTACTAACAATCATATTAATATTTTTTTCTCTCCCTACGCCTTGTAGCTGCGCTGTTACAGCACCTGTGTCATCGTAGCAATGTGAGCCTCAATGGCTCAGCCTTCGACATATCTAAACGAGAGCGATTTCCATCATCATTACGGCATCATCTAGCTAGTATGCCTTGATTGGGATTCATCCAACTCTGCTGTGTCCCTCCTGGCTTCAGGTGCGCGTGGGCAGCTTGCTGGACCCCAAGAAGATGCCTGGCTTAGCACACTTCTGCGAGCACATGCTCTTCTACGCCTCTGAGAAGTATCCAGAAGAAGATGCCTACAGCAAATTCCTGGTGCGCCGCTTATCCTTAATGTCCACAGCCATTTACTGTTGGCAGGCACCGCCTCTACCAGCACACGCCCACATTCATTCGCCCACTGAGTTGAACCATGATTATTGCAGTGTCTGTTGTACAGAATATGCAGAGTCACTTGCCCTCTTCTGGATTGAGTCAGATTACTGCTGCTGCACAATGCTTTTGGCAAACTGGTCTGGCAACTAACCGGCTTGGCGTCTGCTTCCCTGCAGTCAGAGCATGGAGGACACACAAACGCATACACAGCCGCAGAGAGCACAAACTATCACTTTGACTGCAATTGGGATTCTTTGGAGGAAGCGCTCGACCGCTTCGCCCAGGTGATTTCCCTTTACTGCCAAACAGAGCACGAATTGCGCACATCATGGACCTCTTCTGTTTTGAGGCACTCCCTTGTGGTACTTCCATTTATTTCCATTCTCCCAGCACAAGGTAAGCATGTGTGCATGTTAAATTAGCATTGGGAATGTTGCTGAGATGTTGTGGGTCTTTGCATGCAGTTTTTCATCAGTCCCCTCATCTCTGAGGACGGCGTGGAGAGGGAAGTCAATGCTGTTGACTCTGAGTGCGCCCCTCCATCATCCTGAACTGTCCTTCAAACAGCCTGAGCCACCATTTCCTTGTTTCCCACAGAAACTACTCAATCTTTCTGCTGTCAATGCGCTTCTCAAGCTAGATCGTGCTATGCCCCTGGGCATTGTGTGCACCTGCACACTAAGGAACTCGAGATGAAATCAGTGAGAGTAATCCAGCTTGCAAATGGCTTCTGCTGCAGGCACAACAAGAACTTGAACACAGACGCCTGGCGGCAGATGCAGCTGTGGCGACACACTGCCAACCCCGGCCATCCATTCAACCGCTTCTCGACAGGCAACCTGGACACCCTCCTACACACACCCAAGGTGCATCCCAGAACGATGCCCTCTGAGGGCGGATCTTCTGCAGAATATCTGTCCAAGTTTGTTACTGAGCCCTAATCTGCAGCCAGAGAGGGGCTGTGGGTAGCACTTTGTATTGAAGAAGAAGTACGGTAACATTATTGTCTCATGTATGCCAAAGAGGGAGGCTGGTGTCGTACTGAGAGTGAGTCAATCAAGTGTCACCTGCGTAAGGAAAGGAGCTGGTTCTGAATATTTGAGCATTTGCCAATCACTTGTCTGAGGAAGGTGATCAAGAGTGGCACGGAATCTGACATTTATGGGCTGCCACGAGATGCAATTTCACCCTCATTTAAGTCCTTTCTGAAAGATTGCCATTTGTCATGAGTGCAGGAGCGGGGCCTGATCCCCCACGAGGAGGTGCAGGCGTTCCATGCGCGGCACTACAGCAGCAACCTGATGAGGGGCGCCCTCGTGGGCCGCCAGCCGCTCGCTGAGCTGGAGGCTCTGGTGCGCGCCAAGTTTGGCGCCGTGCCCAACACCGACCTCCCAGTCCCCCACTTCCCTGGTGCGATCCATTCTTTCTAGCATACTTGAGGTTCTCACCAGAATTAATTAGAAATTTTTTGTTGTACTCGGTAGTTTTTAAGAAACCTCTTGGTTCTTTGCATGCCTGACCCCTCGCTTTGCCCATGATGCTGGCATGACAGGCACTGATAGATCTCACAAATAAAGAATTGTGGTTTGGGGGCTCAGCATGCTTCTTGAAGGCAGTGCATTGCCCATGCTGTCCTAGAAAGAGACGTGCCCAACTCAGCGTCTGTGACTAAAGTTGGTTGTGTGCATGTGCAGAGGACGTGTTGACAGAGCAGCAGACGGGGCAGCTGCTGCGGGTGGTGCCCCAGAAGGAGGGACACAGGCTGGACTTGCAGTGGGCGGTGCCACCAGAGCAAACAGTCTACCGAGTCACCCCCTGCGGCTACCTCGGCCATCTCATTGGGTGAGCAATCTGCCGCTGCACCAATCGACACCTTTTGTAACAAAGGCATGGCGCAGTGGCAACCTCTAATGCAAAATGGGGATGATAGAGACGCAGATTCCGCACGACTCATAAGTATAGGGATCTCTGATTATGCGAAGAATAAAAGCCGAGGATGGCGCAGCTGCGGCCCTGTAAGGCCCCCATGGAAGGACATCACGAACCAAGTTCTTCCAAGGCCTGCCCTGTTTTAAAATTATATATAGATATTTGTTTGATTTGAGCTGACGGCCACGCAGATGACTGCATATTCGCTGCATCTGTCCTGTGCATTTCCAGTGTGACCATGTCTTTCCAGGTGCGCTGACAAGAAAACATGACGTTTGTGTTCAGGCACGAGGGCTTTGGCAGCCCATTTGCGGTGCTGAAGGCGCGGGGATGGGCGACCGGGCTGTCTGCAGGAGAGGGCGGCAGCTCATTCTCTGCGCGCTCATTCTTCACTGTCGGCATCAGTCTCACCGACGAAGGCAAGTCTGACTGCGCCCCTCTACTCGGCAAGGCGGCTCTACAGGGTCTTGCTCTGACTTCACTGCTGATAAAAAACAGCTGTGTTGTCTTCTGCAGGTCCTTGTGAAGTTGCCTTCATTTTGAGGTCACTTTCTGAATTGGGCGCACTTGGACTCTTTACTGCCCGATTTAGATACCCAAATGATCGATCATGGTTGCAGTGAGTGTTGTTATCCATATTGTCATGGCAAAGGCGGCCTCTGATGAGTTCGTGGAGTGAACGTCATGCTGGGGGCTTGCACATTATCATGTGGGCTTTGATGATCTTGGAGGTGGTTGGTGCAGGCCTGGAACATATAGAGGAGATTGTGGGCATCATCTTTGCCTACATTGGGCTTGTCAGCAAGCAGGATGGCGTGACAGCTGACAGGTGAGCAACTTGCTTATCCTCTCGATTCTGCCTGATGTGACAGTTGCCAGCCTGCTGAGATTGCTTGGACACATTCTAACATTTTAAGTCATATCTGTGGCTTCTTGTGCCTCCGTCTGGCAACATCACACTGCAGTTCGCTGTGTTACTTTGTCAGAAATTCGGCCTGGGATTTAGTGATTCTGGCGTTGAGGATAAATTTTGTGTGCCTGCGGACTCAGGTTCAAGCAGTACAGCGACCTTGCACAGCTGCGCTTCAACTTCTCAGGTGGGATTCTGTCAATGTACATTCTTATCCTGGTATTCAAGGACCTCAGCACATTGCATGCCGGTACAAGCAGTGGGCAAAACCAGTTACATGTGTCCCTCTCACTACCTTGGTGTGGGAGTGGGTCTGGCAAATCCCAGCCGATGATCGTGAAGGTTGTGCCTTCTTTGATACTCTGCCGCAGGTCTGTTGGCAGATCCGCAACACTCGCTCTTCCGTTCCACTCTTTCTAAATGGAGGACCTACACCTTGGAAGCGGGGGAGAAGTCATTCGGACTTGGCTGCCACCCTCATGCCAAACCCTCAAAAGCCAACCATACGATTCGTACTAAGTTGCACAATGATGAGCAAGGTCATGGTGTGGTGTGCTGCAGACAAGCAGGGCCCGCTGGCGATGGCGCAGTATTTGTCCTCCAAGCTGCAGGAGGTGCCTGCCCAGGACGTGCTCCTGGCCCTCCACAGTGTGCCCCAGGTGCTTAGTAATCAATGACACATATTGCCCACACATGATCTCTAGGATTCAGGATTGCCGTCTGAGGGCGAAGGCATGCGCGATCTTTGACATTCACGGTCCCTTGTGCAGCACTTTCAATACAAAGGCACCCCCACTGAAGCCCTTTTTGAATACATCCTCTGTGTAGAGTCAAAAACCCGTCATCATCGCCTGCTGCCTGTAACACGATATCACCTGTCCTTTGCTGCATGCGGGTAGACGCGCTTCAGTAGCAGTTCTGCGTTGTTGTGGAGGCATGTGGCCAAGAAATGACAGTGTTTGATTTTGGGGTGGCCTGTTGCCTTGAGCAGGAATTCAGCGAGGAGGCCGTGCGCGCAGTGCTGAGGGAGCTGACACCGCGCAACCTGCGCATGATGATCGCCTCCAAGCGCTACAAGGTGCGCACAGGACCCCTCCTCATGAGATCACATTGTCAGTGAGAATACCAGCTGGTTTGCCTCCACACAACAGCAGTAAGGAGCATGGCAGGATCGAGCTAGATCCTTACAGGCGAAATAAGGATCCTGCTTCGATGTGTTGCACAACAGGCATGCCCTTGAAAGGCAGCAGCTAGGTTCTGGGCAAGCATGGCAGCTCGGGACAGCTATCTCAGGGACAGAGTGCCTTCCAGTGCTGTCATATTGCAAAGATGTCCCATTTCCCCAAGACATGATGCCCATGGCGCTGGCTGCAGAGCCTCTACCCTTGTCAGGCGCTGCTGCCGGTCTTGCCTTCCACAGCCTTTCTCATTCTTTGCAATGCTGGATCCATATGGCTGGTGCTGCAATAAGTGAGCAGGTTTGGAAGGCAAGGCCCAGGAAGCAGACCAGCATGCTTGGAAGTTTTCAGCAAGCCCCATTGGCATTATGCTGTCTGGCAGTACCCAATAGCACTTAAGGCCCAATTTAGCAAGAGGGATAATTCATAGTCAAGAGTGTTGATGAGGAGAGCATGAGGTCTTTTGGGGCAACTGGAAAAAACAGGCTGGCGATGGGGACCTCAAGAGAAAATTGATGTGGTATTTGCAGGGCCAGACGACGTTGACTGAGCCCTGGTATGGGACAGAGTATTCCCAGGAGGCAATCTCCTCAGAATGGCTCAGCGCCTGGGCCTCGGCTGTTGCACCCCCAGAGCTGCACCTGCCCCATGACAATCCCTTCATCTCCTCTGACTTCACCCTCATAGACGTGCGCACACCCCTTCCCAGTCCAGACTCACCCTTCATTGCATGCATGCATGAAGGCGTGAGCTTTCGAGCCTAGCGACTCCTCTAAGCCTACACGTTTGCAGAGTGGCTGTCAGTGCTGCCCCTACCTCGCCTGCATGTCTGGGTGACAACATTGTGCCCGGTCAATTCAATTAGTCATCATATGTATCTCTGTTGACCCTAAGGCCTCAAATGACCTGTAAGTGGGGCAGTTTAACACAAGACATGCAAAGCAGGGATGCTTAGAGACAGTTCATAAGCTCACATGACGACTGATACTCTTCGCAGCTAACATGCTAATGTTTGGGTGATGATGCACAGGTGAAGGACACCGAAGAGGTCAGGCCGGAGGTGTGCCATGAGGGCTCACTGCTGCGCATGTGGCACAAGCCCTCCACTCGCTTTGACACCCCCAAGGCCGTAATCTACCTGCACTTTGCATGCCCCGAGGTGCGCCCGGGCATTCCTTTCCCAATATTTCATGATTCAAAATACGTTGTATTTGTAATATCAAACGGCTGTTCAACACATGCATTTTAGCAGTTTCCATGCCGTTCCAAGTCCTGTTTGTACAGTGCTAGACTTAAAGAAGGGAGGAAACGTCCTGTGTTGCTCCTGAGTGGCATTGTAGCCTACTGATCTGCAGCGTGGATTTTTCATTTTTGGCCAATTGACTTCAAGTCGAGTTGAGTAAGTGATCACTTGGCTTGGTGGACATACACATAAATAATGCCCTTGAGAGATGGGGCAAGGAATGAAACCAGGGGTGATCAGCAACAAACCCATCAGGATTGATTGGCCTCGCGGCCGCTGCGGGCGCCACTCGTCTTGCTTCCCCTGGAAAATCCTTTGTGTATCTCTTGACAACCCCTGACCCTGACCGTAGGCGTACACAAGCCCAGAGGCGGGGGTGCTGACGCGGCTGTACGTGAAGCTTCTGAGCGATTACCTGAACGAGATCGCGTACGATGCTGAGCTGGCGGGCCTCTCCTGGGGCCTCAACTCCACCACCACCGGCTTCCTCGTCAGCTTCTTCGGGTGCGCGTACTAGTCTTGCTCGAGCCTCCCAACTCATTTCCTGACTGTTACTTGCCCACTTCACATCCCAAAGGCCTTCTCCCCATAGTATTATTGATTGCACCACGCATTCACCTGAAAACTGGATTTCACGTGAAATAATCTAGCTCGACCATTTGGGATCCCCTATGGCTGTCTCACGAGCAAGCATGGGCATCGCTGCATTTGGCTAGGTCTGAGCAAAGACAGAGAAGTGGGCTGTCATGGAGAGGTATAGCGGTGTACTACCCAGAATAGCTGGCTAAAAGCCTAAAAGAGGCGTGCCCCCAAACTTTTTACATGCATGGTTATGTGATGCTGGGTGTTGTGGTGCGGGTGCAGGTACAGCCACAAGCTGATGGAGCTGGTTTGCCAGGTGCTGCACAAAGTCGGCACCTTCGCTGTTGAGGATGACCGCTTCCTGGTGCTTCCCATCTTCTTTCCTCCTGCTTTCCATCTCTCGTATTCCACACTGCCCAGCCGGCAGGCTGCAGCTAGATTGATCACTTCAGCTCCAATATACTGCATGTGTTTCATCACGACTTTGGTTGCATACCTCTTATCTAAAGGCCCAGGTTGACCATTGCTCTTCCCATCGCACAATCAGCAGACCCAAGTCTTGTAATATATAAGCTGCTGGTGGAAGCCACACACAGTCAATATAAGCGTCAATGGTATGAAAATTGATGATGTTCGGATGCATGGTGAGTACAGGTGCAGAAGGAGGCATTGGCGAAGGAGTATGCCAATGCGCGCTACCAGCAGCCGTACCAGACAGCCATGTATGAAACTGCAGTTGCCTTGGAAGCACGAAGATGGCACACGAACGAGTACGAAGCCGTCATCGGCGACCTGCAGCCATCAGACCTCACGGTGCGCGCCCCCCTGTACATTTTATGATTCTCTAGACGTTGAGGCCTTTTATGACCTCTAAGTGGACCAATCTGTTACTTGACATGCAAGGCAGGGATGCTTGGAGGCACTCCTTGTATCACCACCACACGGTGTTAGACCTGGAGCCTTTGCTGTGTTACAGCGGTGGCAGGGTATTGGTTGTTGGCGCACCCTTTGTGGTTGCTCTCCTCCCCAACCTGTTCTGGCAGGTACATGGCGTTCTGGGCAGCTGTCACGCCCACTGGTATGACTAAGCGTGTTCTGAAAGTCTCATGGAAGAGCCTCCAAGATGACCCTTTGAGGCTCTGTCTGGACGGTCAGAACCCGCGTAGGTCAGGTCTTGGGCAACACGTCTGCGAACAAAGTGCCATATATCTGCCAGACTTGGGCGTGCTGTCCCTTCCAACCAAAAAAAATATACGTGTTCTGGGATTCTCTTTTTGAGAACGCTGAGGTGCAGATCTTTGGCAGTGCAATCCATTGACATGGGTTGTTGCCTCGGCAGGCGTTTGCGGGCCGGCTTTTTTCGCGCTGCTTTGCGGAGGGATATGCCACCGGCAACTTCAGCAAGGAGCAGGCCAGCGACCTCACTGCTGTTGTGGAGAGCCTCCTGACGGTGCGCACACCCCTGTCTCTTTTTATCCCCCTCGAGAGCACCTACTGACCAGTATTGTGGGGCGAACCTAGGCCATTCCAGCTCCATCACCCACGCTGATGCGCGCAGGCCACAACAGTTGCATGCAACTTAGAGAAGCCAATTTGTGAGGTTCCTGAGGGGCGCATAATATCTACATCAAAGCCGCCGAACTGCATCGATGTCTCCGTATGGTGTAGGTGGTCAGCATGGCAGGTTTTCACCCTGTAGTCCCGGGTTCGAGTCCCGGTACGGAGGTGGTTTGCTGATCTTTTCGGTGTGCTCAGCAATATTTTTGAGTTTTGCAGTCTGGTTGCGTCCAACCTCTTTCGTCTCCTTTGTGGACCATGATACTACCTCTGGCGCATTAGAGGGAAATTTAGGTTGACTTGAAGATGTAAATGTAAGAGCTTGCAAGCCAGGCTGTAGACCTAGATCTTGGCTATATCTGTGGTGGGGGAAGCTGTGATATAGCACACACTCTGGCGGGCACGCACACAATCTACAAAGGAGAGCTGAGTAGGGACCTCGGGAAACTAAGAACCCGGCCTTGCCATGGTGCGCTGTGGGCTCTGGCTCATTGCTGGCATTCACCGCCCGTTTACCATTGCTGACATCCCTTTTGCTGTCATCACAGGAGCAGGTGCGCGCGCGGCCGCTGTTCCCATCGCAGCGCCCGGAGAAGCGAGTCGTGCGGCTGCCGGCCGGCAAACCGGCGCTGCTGTCGGTCCCGGCACCCAACGACGCCAATGAGAACTCCGCCGTCGTGCTTACCTACCAGGTGCCCTTCTTGTAGGACACTGGAACCTCTGAGACACAGATTGCACTTCCTGTCATCACTCGCTGTTCCAAATGGTTGGTTTGTTATTCCCGGATGATGTCGGAGGATGTCTCCGCCGATGCAAATTCCTTCGCTGGGCTCCTTGGCAAATTGTGTCACCAGCCCTTGGTGGCAGAATGACAGTTTCTTCGCTCATGTGTGCCAAAGCAAGGGCTTTTGCACTGTGCATGTTGAAGAGCTTCTGCTGATGCAATCCAATTGAGCTCTTCCCGTGACGCACCTGGGTGGGCTGCTTGCACTCTGCCATTTGGAGAAATCACAGTCTGATGCTCAGCAGCTCATCACAAAACTTGCCCCTGGTGGCATGCAAGATCTTACAGTGTGCGTTGTGGGAGAGGGGTTGCAGAGCAGACTTAGCAAGCTTACCAGGCAGAATTGTCTTTGCATCCCTTTGATTTACTAGCTTTCAGGATCATCTAGATGCCAGGGTCCAGAGAGGGTTGGACCTGCCGTTTTTGCAAGGTTGCTATATAGGTCAGGGGATTTATACAACACAGAAAGCAACTTATGTAATCCCTCGCGCCTATACAGGTGGGCCCCGATGACCTGGCGCGCAACGCGCTGGCGGAGCTAGCCGTGCAGTGCTGCCGACGCGATGCGTTCCACACGCTGCGAACCGTCGAGCAGCTCGGCTACATGGTCTGGCTGGCCGGCCTGCCAACGCTGACCGTGCGCGCCGTTGCATTCGTGGTGCAGTCGTCCGCGTTTTCTGCAGTGCACTTGGAGCAGCGCTGCGAGGCGTTTGTGGGAGCCCAGCTGGCGCGGCTTGCTGAGCTGGACGCTGACTCGTTCGCTAGCCAGGCTCGCGTTCCCTCCCGCTCATGGATTACATGCAGCTTCTTGCAAAACTAGTACAGTATTCAGAGTGATTTGTCAAGCTTGGGTGGGTGCCAAGGATGGCTGTGCTGCAGTGTGCATACTGCGTGTCATGGCTTGAAGCTATCAGCATAGGGAGACGCAGAGTGTTTACCACCATGCACAGGTCACCCTTGAGGATGATTACAGCTGAGACTCTAGCTGACTGTAGCTCAGGTGTGCAGATGCGGTATGAAGGCTAGATTTCATGTGTCTTCTTGAGGGTGTTCCAGCTCTCTTGAGGCAAATACTGAGGTTGTATCAGACTCTAGGCTTCCAGGTTTTCTAGGTTCAGGTTCTGAGGAAGAAGCTGAGGCAGTATCAGAGTGTATCAGGTGGAGGAGCTGGCCAAGGCGAAGCTGGAGAAGCCCAAGCGTCTGCGCGAGCTGGCGGCGCGAGATTGGCGCGAGATCGACGATGGCACGCTCATCTTCGATCGTCCGGCCGCCGAGGTGGCCGCGCTTCGCACGCTGTCCAAGGCCGACGTGCTGCAGTTCTTCCAGGTGGGCGCCCGCTTGTTAGAGAAAGAGATACACATAGAAAGGAAGAAAAAAGAAAGAAGAAACGCAATAGAGGGAACCCCGTAGGAGACCCAACTACGTGCAGAGGCAGAAATGGCTGAGCAGGGGACATCACTGGTAATGGCCAGTTTCCGTCATCAAAGGGTAAGGGCAAGGAGAGGGAGGCAGGGAGGGCCTGGTAAGGGGCACGGGGGGCAAGATCAAGGCAGAGCGAGCGCCAGAGATGAGAGGAAGGGCTACCTCGCAAGGGATCATCGTGCAGAAAAATTTACAAAAATCCCCCGGCCCAGGAGCTCTAAATGCGGCTGCGCCCACAACTGCCCTTGTTGAACTGATGCAGACGTATGATCAGAGAGGGTGACATGGTTGTGAACCATCAAGTAATTTTCCCTTAAATGAGTGCTGACTTAGCCAGCTGTCTTGCTTTGCATGTTGGAAAGTTCTTTGATTATTGCTGGCAGCATATAGTCTTCTTGCGTCCTGGATGAGGGTGGGAGCTGATTATGGAGTGCCCTGGATGCACTGCAGGAAAGTATCTTGGATGAACAGAGCAGGAGGAAGCTTGCGGTGCACATCGTGGCCTCCCCAAAGGCAGCAGCTGCAGATGCCAGCAGCGCTCAGGACACAGCAGCAGACCGGCTATCAAGCAGCGCAGAGTCCACTATAGCTGGGGCAAATGGGACTTTTTCAGCTGCCAAGGAAGGAGCTAGCGAGGCTGAGGTATCTCAGGCAGAGCAAGTGAACGAGGGAGCGGCTGTGACAAAGGCAGCAGTGCCAGTTCAAGTGATCGAGGATGTGTGGTCTTTCAAGCGCGCACAGGAGATGTACTCCTCGCCCAAGTGATCTAGTTGACCTCTTGTTACTTGTGCTTAGCATTGCTTTGATTACGGGAGGATATTGTTCTCGTGGCCCCCTAGCACAGAGTGATTGTACATGTATAGAACAAGATATCCGAAGGCCGACAGCGACAAGGCCATGCTGGTGTCTGCTGGACCCTCGCTATGTAAAAGAGTGTACAGATGCTGATGAGTGAGCTTGTTCGTGAGCCCTGAAAATGATTGCGAGCACATACAAGTCGTCACAGGTAGACACACAGAAGGCACCATTCGAGGACCATCCCTTGCGCTGCTGCGAGGCAACTCCTCTCACACGGAAATTACATCATTTTTTGAGGTCCAAGTGTCGGATCGAGGCTTGTAGTACAAAGAGTCCAGCCCACAAGGCGAGTACGGCAAGATGTGCTCCTGCGCTTGGAAAGTCTAGTGATGATGATCCTGGATCCAGCATATGCCCAACCACTCGATCCTTGACAATCCCACATCGAGTCTTAACATCCCTATCCCCATCCCTCCAAACTTGATCAAGATGTAGACAAGGCGAGGTGCCGTATATCTGACTTGGTCACTTTACGGGGACTTTCCCTCCAGAAGGCCTCATCTCAGGTTGTCAGCCAGATTTTTTCACGTCCACCAAAGATACCTGGGAGCTGACGACTTTGATATCTCCGTGTGCATCTGCTAGCTGAGGAAGGGCACACCTTAGGCCAGGGAAGATCCAGCCAGCCTAAACTTTGCACAATCAAGATTTATTAACTAGCTAAATTCAGGATCAGCAAAGCTCCTCGTCACGCCCTAGCCAATAGCAAGAGCATCAGGTGAGCTTGCTGGATGGTCAGCCATGCCAATGATTGGAGCACATATTCTGGGAACGGCTCATAGCACGGGCGGATCGGTTGATGATGGTCACAACGTTGCCAGCACTTGATTCTTGTCTATGCTCGTTCCTGCGATGTGGCCGGCGTATCGGATGCCGTATTGGGGTCCCTGGGTCCTTTATGCCGGCTTCTGGGCGTTCGTGTGGGCTTTTGAGCCATCAGGTCTCCTAGCTAGTCCTAGTCCGCCTTGTGGGTTGAGATCCCATGGTCGGTGTCTTTCTGAGCGCATTGGGGCGTGTCCGGTGCCAGGAAGCCCGGGATGGGTTCTAATCATGTTCAGTACACCCACATTGGGCTTGTGCAGCGGTGCTGGGCGCATCAGAACGCCCCACTGTGGTTTCCCGCTTCTTACAAGCCGTGACAAGTTTTTGAACGGGATCGCCCGCGCCGGCGCTAGCCAGGCACAAGCCGGGTAGTCTGTGGCCATCGATGGCAAGGTGAAGTCTGTGCGAGTCACGGCATGACTCCTCGGTGGCCTAGGCTGGCACCGTCCACTGGAGGAAGGGTCCCGCAAGTTCAGATGCTCAGTGGGGCACGAGGTTTGTACTAATCCAAGTTTTTTCGGTGGGCGCTAGCTTTATGCGGCATCTTCAATAGGGTAACGTACCCATGTACCAACGGCGTGGACATAGCGGGGCATTGTGGTCAGAACCAGAAGAGTGCGCACGTCCCATTGGTAGACCAAATGGGCGGGATGCTGGTGCCCTAAGTGGCCTAGGCAAAGACTGGTGATCTGACTCTGAGGTGCATCCGATGCTCTAGATATCAGGCTGACGTCCTGGCTCCGCAAGTAATCAACGGGGCTAGGTTGTTTTGTGTCAAAGGAAGTCAAACCACCTGGATCGCCATAGTGGTTCCAGTCAGCGACTGCGGACGATGATAGGACTCCTTGACATCCTGTACGGATCTAGCATGCAGGCAACGCGTGGGGCTAATCCAATACTGTGATGTTTCCGCAGGTTTTCAGAAAGTACGAAACCCGGTCGCCGTGAGCACTGAGCAGGACTGCAGGAGCCGCTCTCGCAGGAGGAAACCTCTGCACCCCTTCAACAGCATGCACGGACTATCCGACCAGTCTGAGGTGCCCTCATCGATCTGGCCCTCCTCTGATCCCCGTAGCTGGGGCCTCCTGTGAAGTTGGAGTGGCCAGATATCAAGAGACGCGACCTCTGCATTCATGTCCTGCACACCTTTCTTTGCCAGGAGCCTAAATCAGAGCCTTGGGCGTGCAGATCCCCACACATGCCTCTTGGCCAATTTGGTGCACTCCTCATGCAATTTAACTGTCTGCAGGACGAGGGGACCCTGGGCTCTCTAGACAGCGAGGGCCGGGCAGCAAAGCGCGCCAGGAGGGAGTTAGTCAGCAGCAGTGAGAGCAGTGGCAGTGAGTCCGTGATACTAGCGCCCCTTCCAATCCCCCCAACCCCAGAAGAAGCTGCTGCTGCCTCCAGAGAGCAGGTGCGTCCCTATCTGCATCTTCCCCATATTTTATTTCCTACCCCCAAAGAGCATCAACATCACAGAGTTGTGTCCAGGTGTGCAAAATGGGATAAGGGTGCCATGCCATGGCGGATCGCTGGGAGTGAGTGGGGCAGAGTCCCCAAACGGGCGGGGGTGAGTCAATTGCTGATGTGGCCACGCTGCGAGCTGATCACGCTGAGCGCTGACCTGGCAGGCGGAGGAGGCCGCGGAGTATTTGAACTTCCTTTCGAGCCTGCCGCACATCTCCAAGGTGGCGCGGCGATCGCGGGGGCCGCTGCTACCGCCGCCGCGGCCGGGCCGGGACGGCCGCGTGCGCAAGACTCTAGTGTTGGATCTGGACCACACGCTCATCCGCAGCACCCTCTTCAACCCTCACAAGCCCGCCAAGGTGTGCGCTCTGTTCTAGGATGCACCATCTGTACTCTACTGTCTTGCCTCTTCCTGGGGCCAAGCCAGAACACTGCATAAGCAGTCTGCAGCTGAGCACCCACCTGCAGATGTGTACTAGCATTTGCTATTGAGCCTGCTGCATGCCAAGCACAGAAATACCTAGAGGACAAATTGCTGGTGGAAGTGGGACTGCTGTGGGCTCAACCGCCAAAATACAACACCTGAAATCAAGGTATTATTCAAGTGTGTGCTGCTATGTGCGCTGCTCACTTCTAAGGGTGAATATGATATATCTGCAGGACAGCCGGGAGGTGTTTGTCACGGGTGACGGCGCGCGGACCGCATTTGAGCGGCGGCCGCATCTGACGCACTTCCTAGAGTCGGTGTCCACGCTCTTTGAGATCGTCGTCTTCACTGCCGGTAGCCAGGTGGGGTCCATAATCTTTCAAACGTAGAGCGTGTCATCAGGCAGATTTTTTTTTTCTCGCACAACGCTTGCATGAATATGAAGACGTGTAGTCTGGTGGGTCTTGGATTTCTAGCTCTCTGAAGCTGTGTGGTCCACCTGCTTGCCGCGTATGTTCTACAGGCAATGTTGTTGCCCTGATCTTGCCGGCAACTATCCCTTTGAGAATGCACGGTGGACAAGTCTGGAGGACTGATGGTGAGACCGTTCGTCATGCAGAGCTACGCGGGCCCGCTGCTGGACATTCTGGACCCCGAGCGCAGGCTCTTTGAGCACCGGCTGTTCCGTGACTCGTGCCTGCGCGTTCCCTCCCACTCCCAGCCGGGCCTCGCCTTCCTCATGAAGAACATGTCCGCGCTCGGCCGCGACCTGGCGCACACCGTCATCGTTGACAACACCCCCACGGTGTGGCCGCGGCCCGACATATGCCCTTGAGACAGAATTGCATGCTTTGGATAGATTGCTCCAGCTGGCGGGGGCCGTCACAATACTAAGCTCCGTGCTTGCAGATGACTGGGTCTTGCTTGGATCCGGCGAGTCCATCAAGGGGTGGGATTTTTACAGCCTGTACCTGCAGCTTGCATGCAGACGTATCTTGCCTCTGGCAGGAAAAGAGTGTGCGAATAGTAACAATAATAGAGTGTGCACGCTCAAACGGATCTGGCCCACTTGACCACAGGTGTTTGGGTACCAGCTGGACAACGGCATCCCGATCGCGTCCTGGTACGAGGATGCGGCCGACTGCGAGCTGCTGCACCTGCTGCCCTTCCTCGCCAAGCTGGCCGCCGCGCCCGACGTCCGCCCACTCGTCGCGCAACGCTTCCCCCTGCACAGGTCCGCCGCATCCTGTGCAGCACGGATCACGATGGCTCTCCCTTGAAGCTCGCACCTCACAACAATCATCAGCATGCCAACTGGCCTCAAACACTGAGAGCTCTGCGTCCGACTGGAAGGTGCAGATGGGGACGTGCGGGTTCAGAAGTGCTGTGAGCTCACATGTGGTCAAGCGATTCGTCGTTTGCTGAGATCTGGGGTTCAGAATGACTGGTGCCAAATATCTGAGCTATTTATTTTATCTGCGCAGGATGGTGCACTCAGCGATGAGCAAGTTTCCGGTGGCGTTCCCGTGCGCGCAGCCAGCCCCGGGCCCGGAGGCGCGGCGGCCGCCGCTGCCGCCACAACCGCCGGCCGACACTGCCTCGTTGGGCCTGCTGGCCGACGCCTGCATGGGCCTCGCCTGCGACGAGGACCTCGGCAACTCGCCCTTCGAAGCGCTCGACGACGACGATGATGATATCAGCGCTGCGCAGCCGCAAGATCAGGCCGTGGAGTTGCCGGGGATCGCCGATGAAGATCTTGCCCCAGTGGAGCGCATGGCGGCGGAGGCCGACGCGGCGCTCAGCGCCATGGCGGCCGGGCCGGCCGCGCCCGTTACGGGCCAGCCGGACCTCGTCCCGGTCGGCTGCGCCGCGGCGCACCTTGAGCCGGAGTCGCCGTCCGCCTCTGAGCTCGCCGCAGAGGCGCTGCCGGCCGGCGGCGACGCGGAGAGCATGTGGGCCGCAGAAGCAATCGCCGAGGCCGACATGCTGTCGCACCTGGAGTGCGTCGGGTCCCCGGTGGAAGCCGTTGCGCAGCTGAGCCTGCCGATGTTCCCCGAAGCGGTAACGCCGCCAGAGACCCCGGTCCGCGGAAACCCGCCGCCGGCACCGTTCACGGACGTCCAGTCAGCGTCCGGTGAGTCAGCGGGTGACTCAGCCGAGGCGGCGTCCGGTCAGCAGCAGCTTGCGCAGCTGGCCAGCCTGGTCCGGCGCAGCAGCAGCGAGGGGATGCCAGGTCAGCGTCAGGTCATCTCCGGGTTCGAGACGGACCTTGCCGGTGCCCTTCAGCAGCGGCTTTGCCGTTTGGACGCCGTCAATGATGCATGCGGCAGCAGCCGACAAGACAGCGGCAGGCTCCGAGAGGCCGCCTCTGCGCCGCCCACGCTGGATCTGACAGACTACCTTCTTGACCAGGGGCCCCGCCTCCAGTCGAACGGTAAGCACACGCCAGCACTCTCTGTATCTGCAATCTGGGAACTAATTGCTTGGTATAAATTATACAAGTGTGACGGCAGCGGTGTATACATAAGTACTGTTTTTTGCTCTTCAATGTCATATCTCCTCAAGCTGACTCACCATCACATCATCAAGGTCTATTGTGTGGTCTGAACTGAGCTTGCGGCTGGTGGTATAGGTCTGAAAACAGCGGGAAGGCTGCCGGGGCAGCTGCACCGGCTACCCATGGGGCGAGCCGGCAGCGCAAGCGCATCGCTGGACCTGGATGCATTAGAGGAGCTGTTTGCGCCCAGCAGTCTGATCGGGAGCATCCTCAGCGCCAGCTCAGCGGACAGCACAGAAGGCGGGGGGTCCCTGTGCGGCCCCAAGGAAGTGCAGTCCCCCCAGATTGCATGCGCCTGATCTGGCCGCCCTGTCCCTGCCCCAGAGCCTCTATCTCAGCTTCTGTTTCTACCTCAGACCCCTGTCTGCCTCAGAGACGATTGTACAGCCCCAAACCGCAGAGAGAAGGGCCTCAGAGGCCCTGTCTCTGAGTCTGCCTCTGCCTCAGAGCCTGTCTGGCTCAAAAGCTGACTGTACAGCCCCATATTGCAGAGAAAGAGGCGCCTTGTCTCTGCCCGTCCGCAGCGCCCCAAGGTGCATGCGCCTGATATGGCCACGCTGTGAGCAACACCGTCTGCAGACATGCAGTGCATGCCTGGCGGGTCTGTAGAATTTCCAGCACAGTGGAAGGAATGTCAACAGTTTTGCGGCCTGTACCTTTAGTGTAGCGGGAGCTGTAGGGCCTTAGGTGGACCTGAACGTCTGGCAAGCTGCAACAGCAGCACTTGAAGTAGTGAGCAGTGATGGGCATTCCTATGGCCAACAGAATGACTCTATCAGCTCATAGAGAGGATATATGTATTTCATCCTGGCCCGCACCAGCCAGCAGTGTCGGTAGATGCATGCTCAGTGAGGATGCAAGCCATAGCTTTAGAGGGTATATCGCACTACAGCACTCATCGTTTCAAATTGCTGCAGACAATGCTTGGTCTTGGGGAGGTCTCTGTCTCCAACTTGTGCAGATGTGAAGGAATGACATTCAATTTGATGAGAGGACGAGAATTGTAGCTGGAGGTGCTTGCAATTGCCAATGCACGACTAGCGTTTAGAAATGAATTTCCTTCAAGAATTTCCTTGGCCATGAATTCCATGGATGAGGGCTATCAGCTGCCTTCAAGAAAATTCCACTAGTTTGCGGAGTGATGTTAGGCCAGTCCCAATCCCATTTGTAAATTTAAATTTAGATGCAGGAAGCAAAGCAGAGAGATCCAAAGTCGGCACAGTGCATTCATTTTAATTACATTCCACGCTTTTTCGTGCCTTTTGCAAAAAGCAAGATACGTCTTGCAGACAAGCTGCAGTTAAAGGCTGCCACAATCCTACCCCTTGTCGGACTCGCCAGATCCAAGCAAGACCCAATCAACCGTGGGCACGGTGCGCAGTACTTACACCGTATAAGTAAGCACGATGACCGCCCCCCAGCCAGCCGGTGCCCGGCACCGGTGCATACAAACAAGCCTGGAAAAGAGAACGCATATGCTTTGCATGTTTGCAATTGCATGCGCAGCACCAGGCACTCAGAGCACCATGGTCAGCATCTTTTGCCTCACATGCGACCTTTTACCTGAGCAGTACCAGTTGGATGATCTTGATCCTAGGACCAACGCCGCCGTATTCTGGATCAGATGGTGACGTTAGGTTGACAAGACGTGCGTCAGCGGCACCCTCGTTGTTCACATGATCCTTGAAGTATCCATGTGTTCGCCTTAGGTAACGAATTTATCAGGGGTTTCGTCTCTCTGAAAGCTGCTTATGGTCAGTCCTTCGTGCATATGTGTAGCAAAGACAGATACAGCGCGCCATGCTATGTGTCAGGGGTGTCAGACGGCCGATGGGTATAACACCCCGGAGAACTCTGGCCGTGCGGCCGTACTGGCGCCTACCAGGGATATCTGTTCGGCATAACATCAATATGGAAGTTTGATGTGCTCCAAAACTTGTCCTGGGCGTTCAAGGAGTACGTAGCCGCCCCGCAGACATTCAGGGTTCGCGGAGGGCTCGGCAGGACAAGTGAAATGCTTCCGTCCCAACAGGAGCGGCGAGAGGAGGATCACCGGCGCGCGATTGCCGAGATCCTCTTCTTTGCGTCCGTTGGCAATGTCCCGAAGATGAGGGCGCTGTGCGAGGCATCAAACGTCTTCGTGAGTGCTGGTTCCGTTGCACCGGCTAAACCCCCTTCGCCTACCTTTCATTCAGAGTCTGTCCGTAATAACACAATTATCTCGTTACGTCCGTGTGAGGCTGATGTGCATGCCTGCACTTACCTGCGGTTAAATAACGATCACCTGAAAAGTGAGCTTCTGTTGCCCAGGTCTCTGACGCCTCCTGCAGCGACTATGACAAACGGACGCCTCTGTGAGTCGCTCGCCTCGCTCTTGACTCTTCAGTGGCCCAAAGCACTTCTGTTGAGCAGTTGAAGCCCCAACCCTGTTCACAACTGCCCCATCCAAGGTTCCTATAATATTTGTCAGCCTGCAAGAGATTTTGCTGAAAATGCTAGACACTATCCACAGGCACTTGGCGGCGGCTGAGGGGCAGATGGCTGCAGCAGAGTGGCTGCTCAAGAAGGGCTGTGACCCAAACCCAGTGGATCGTTTTGCTCGGACCCCTCTTGAGGTGCCACCCTGCAGCCCCATCAAACAAGCCTTCAGCGCTCAGCAGCTACCTTTATACACTTGCTTGCCTGAGACCTTGTGCACTTGCTTGCCTGCGACTTCATGCACTCACAAGCCTGAAACTATGTGCGCCTCAGCCTCAGCAAATATCCATGCCTGAGACATTCTGCATTTGGGTGTCTGATAACGCAGTTCATGCACTCGTTTGCCTGGGGTCTTCAAACATTGAGCCCATGGTTTGGGTGTCACCAGGATGCCTTGATTGGCGACCATGTGGAGATGCAGCGCCTGCTGCTGTCCAAGGGCGCCAAGGTATACAGGAAGGGGATTGGGCTAGTGGAGTACAAACCCCCGGCACAGCCTGCGCCGTGAGTGCTCCGAGCCCTTCAAATTGCCTGGGAAATGATTTGAATTTTTTTTGTCACCCCAGCTGATAGAGCAGGCTTTGCACGCATGCCAAACAGGAAGCATCTCTAAGCTTGGCATGTTTGCACCAGCAAGCAAGCAGTACAGCAGAGAGAAGGTTCAATGAATGGTAAAGATCACAATGATGACCTGCTATCAAGGCATATCGATGAGATGTGCGGGTTGCGTGCATGTGCAGGGAGCACGTGTCTGGCAGTGGGAGCAGCCAAGAAACCACCATGCGCTTCATGCAGGTGGGCTCAAAAACATGCTGCTGCCTTAGGTCATGCCTGGTTGCCATACTTCCTTTGGCATTGGATGCCGCGCTGTCTTAATTGTAATGTGCCCCACGTGGTGGGGAGGGTTTTATCATGACCAGCACTTTTTCTTGGTCTCTGCTCTTTGCTCTGCGGCAGCGGCTTACCCAGCAACAAATTATTGCTAATGACACACTCTGTTCTTGCTGTCACCATCGGATGGCTAACAGACACTGAAACCCAGGTCTGGTCAAAGAGAAGGGCAATGCAAAGATGTCGAAGCTGCTTTTCGCGGGGGCAGAGACTGGACCACCGACCTCAGCTCCCCTTGCTCTATTATTCACCCCAAACCTTGAATTAACAACCCTCAGCAGACAACGTAATACCCCGGAAACCCTGCGCAGGAGCCGTGCACCCTGTTGGGCGCGGAGCAGCGCCTGACAATGCTCTTAATTTACGTTTAACCACCCTGCAAACCCTATATTTGCCACCACAAATTATGACAATCCCCGGAACCCTGCGCAGGAGCCGCGGACCGCATCGGGCGCAGAGCAGCGCCGGCCGGGGGGCTCGGGCGGAGGGAACAGCGCTCCGAGCAGCAGCAGCACAGGGAACGCGCACGCGCGGCGCCAGCTCAAGCGTGAGTCATCACTGTACATCCTGCCGGACCTGCTGCAGCGGCGCAGCGCCGAGCTTGGCGGCCTGGAACTGGAAGAGCTCATCGGCAGGGGCAGCTTCGGCCGCGTATACAAAGGTGCGCGCTCCACAGGTTCTCCACTGGGATTATTCAGCGCGCTGCAACTGTTGTCCATACCAAAGATACACCAGTGATATAGCCCTCTACAGGATAAAACTTCTGGCCAGCTCTTTTTCCGTGAGAAACCATAAAATGCACACCAAGTGGAAGAGATATAGCCCTCTGCAGGCTGATAAAGGATCATGGCCACCTTTTAGCAGGGTGGCACAAGTGCGGCCTGGAACGTTGCCATCCCATTGCGCCTGAGTGCGGTCTGCAGCCAATTCTGCAGCCATCCGATGTGACAGGCAGTGAATGAAGACAATCTGTGTCCCGTGGGTTTCCCGCTGCTCCTTCACTGTCTGCAGTGAGACAACAAGGCTCTGACATCGGTATATGCTCTGCTGCTGCAGCGCTGTGGCGCGGCGGCACGGTGGCGGTGAAGGTGCTGAGCCACGAGGGCAGCCGGACCGCCAAACTCAACGCGCTGCACGAGTCGCTGGTGGCCGCGCACGTGCACCACCCCAACGTGGTGCGCATCAATCCCCTTAATTATTTGCCCTGCATCAGCTCTGCTGCAACGCCTGAGCCTCTTATCAGGCTGGGGGAGCGTAGCTTGCTGCAGGAAGCTCAAAGGCTTTCTGGTAGGCTGTGTATCATGCTCCATCCTCCTTCATGGCTGAGGGAGGTGCATGCTGCATGCTGGTTGCGGCCTCTGTTTTGGAAAGAAACTCCTTTGCACTATGTGTACTTCCCAACCTGCAGCTGCAGCCATGCTGGCCTCATGTTCAGGGGTCAGATTGCAGGATTTTGGAATAACTCTCCCGACATCTGAAGTTCATGCTCACGCACGTGCAACCTGCGCAGGTGATGACGTACCAGATACACACGGTGCAACACATCGAGGCGCCCGAGGCCGACAACGCCGACGAGCCGCAAGACGAGGCTGAGGTCGCCCTGCGCTCCTTTCGCATCCGCACGCTCTCCGAGTCGCCGCGTGCCTCGCTCGAGGTGTGCCCCCCGCCTACAACGCACTCACATCCCCTGGTCAACCGAGGCAGCCCGCAACTTTCAAACACCCGCAGCTTGCAGACCCCTCTGTTTGCCTGCAGCTTCTCCGCCTCTGCCGCTGCCTGTCTCCTGCCGGGGCCATGTTTGTCATCTTGTACTTAGCAAGATCAATGTCATAACAAGCTATTTCTTGTGAGATGTAGCCGGTGCTGCAATTGTGATTGAGGCAGCAGTCGCTCTCGCCGTCCGCAGCAGCAGCAGAATTAATCTGTCCCAGATGAAGCCTCTTTGCTGGGGGCAATATATGTCAACACAGTGCTCTTACCTGAGTGGCTCTGTTTCGCGCAGCAACAGCAGCAACAGCAGCAGCAGCAGTTGAACACACCGGCGATGCGAGTGCCGCGCACTTCGGTGTTTGCGGGCGCGTCTGCAGGGGCGTGCCGGTCGATCAGCGCCACCTCGCTCGACCGCTGGGGCGACGTCACCCCGGACCAGGCCGTGCGAATGGTGTGCCGCCGTCATTGCACTCTAACGAGCACCTCAAATGGCTATCACAAGGAGTGGCATAGCGGTGTATGGCAGACGGCTGCTGTGAGTTTTAGTACAAATGAAACTGGGCTGATTGCCTCAGCTTGTGCGGGCAGAAACTTGAGCCGCAGCCTTGATCGGGTTCTTCGCCTGATTTGGCGCCGGGGGATTCCAAATCGAGATTTGAAATTAGGGTTCAAATTTGTTGCCTGATCTGGCGCGATTCCTGAGCAGGCGCTGGGAGGCTCCTTCCGCACCAACAGCTCGATGCTGACCTCGCATGCATCCTCGGCCAGTGCGGCGGCTGTCGCGTCGCCGTTTGAAACGACGGTGGAACGCGTTTTATCGCCAGAGGGACGAGCCCATGGCGGCGGCGGCGGGCCGGAGGGCCGGGTCGCGCAGCTGGCGAAGCGCATGTCGCTGGAGCTCGGCTCGGCCGCGGCGGCCGCAGCCGGGCGGGGAAACCCACTGAGAGCCGCCAAATCAGGTGCGCGCCCAAACAGGCAACCCTGCTTTAGAAGAACACCAAGCTCCTTCACGCGAAGTTGGCTTGTTTCTGCAACCACTGGTTTCTGGGCGGCATTGTCGGCATGCCGCCCAGAAACAGTACGCACGCCGTCCATATGAAGCTGTGTTGGTTCACACACGCGAGAAATATGCCAATCACACGCCATGTTGTCTGATGCGCGTATCTCCACTGGAAGCTTCACGCTGTGCGCCCCAATCAGCACCCCCAGTCAGCTGTGAGATCCTGTTTGGGAAATCATGGAAGTACTTACAAGTCCATTGCTATGCCTGCAGCCGACAATACTCCCGAGGGTGCGGCGGCGGTGGCGGGGGCAGAGGCAGCCAGGGAGGGAACGCTGCCCACGGCAGACCGGGAGCCCTTCAGCCTGGAGGATGCAGATGCCACGGTCGAGACGCTACTCCTGATGGAGTATGCTGACGTGGGCACTCTCGACCAACGCATCGTGCAGGGCCGTCTCAAGGGCGACCTGGTGAGAATTTTCCTGATTTTGCGCAAGTTTTTGGCTTGTAGATGTACTGGGGAGTGGGGGGCTTCAAGTTGTTACTGCAGCACAGGCAGCTTTGAGTTGATGATTTGAACCCCTAGCCACCAAATAAAAAGCAGAGCTCACTGTCCATTCTGCAGTTGCTTGTTGTCCTCGGCTGGTATCAAGTCCCAATGGTGCCCGCCCACTCTGCAAATGCTGGAGTGCTTCGCACCACTCATGTGCTTCACACCCAGGTTACCCGAAGGATCCTTTTAGCCGAAACGACCAGCGGGTCCTGAGTCTGCTGGCGCGGCGCAGGTGTCAATGCTGCTGTGCCTGACAGACATAAGCGCGGGCATGAGCTACCTGCACTCCATCGGCCTGCTGCACTCTGATCTCAAGGGCGCCAACGTCCTCCTCAAGAGCTGCGCAGTTACTTCGTCCGACCCCCGCGGCTTCCTCTGCAAGGTGTGCTGTCTCGTGGTGCATGAGGCTGCTTTGCCAGAGTGCTCTCTACCTGACGATCTTTTCTGCAGATTGACCCAAGAAGGCGCTCTCTTTGCATGCCGCTGTTTCTGCCTGAAGATGAGATCTTCAGTGCCTCATCTCATCCCCCAGTGCCAAAAGCATCGACACAAAGGCTGCGAAAGAAGTGTGCCACTTTTGTATCGAAATATCACATATCATAGCCATCATGCTGAAGGGCATGAAATATCTAGTAGTGTCATTCACTGAGGGGTCTCTAGGTGGATATTGCTGTGCAATTGGGTGTTGATGTCGGCATTGGAGGGGCTTTGTGCATGCGCGCAGATTGCCGACTTTGGGATGTCGCGCATCCTGGAGAACAACATGACCCACGTGTCGACCAACACGCACGGTGGGTGCTCAAGCTTTCCCCTTCACTGCGCACTGCTTTTGGTTGCAAGCCTCCCGGACTCGTGCCGTCCAGCGCTGCAGCACATTTACATGTGCCATCCACCATGTGGGATATTTACATCTGCAGCAGCGGGTGCCCTTCCTGGAGGCTGTGGCGAGGTCCCCTGCACTTCTGGACTACAAAGATGTTAAAATTGGGACTCTGAGAAGTCCAAAAAGATCAAGTTCTGAATTTGAATACATGGCGCAGGCACGGTGGCGTACATGAGCCCAGAGATGCTGCAGCGCGGTGCGATGGCGATGCCGGCCGATGTGTACAGCTTTGCCATGCTCATGCTGGAGCTGTGGGCCGGTGACATCATCTACAAGGGCGTCAACACCCACCAGGTGCTGCGCAGCTGCCACAATGCGCCCAAATCCTGTGCAACACATTAATTATCTTAAGAGACCGCGCACAGCTTGCAGCCAAGGTCGAATGAGCCACAATCTCACAGCTGTCTGGATGTCTCTGACCCTGGGTAGCACCTTCTGGGCATGCCTTTTTTTTAAATTCAGTCAGGATGGTGCGATTGGCGGCACGACGGCGGCTGACATGTGCCGGCACATGCGCGCAGGTGCTGTTCAAGGTGTTCTCGGGGCTCAAGCCGGAGGTCCCGGGCGACATGCCGGCCGACTACCGCGCGCTGATGGAGGAGTGCTGGGCCACCGACCCGGCCGAGCGGCCCTCCTTCCGGGCCATCCTGCCCCGGCTGCGCAATATGCTCGCCGCCGCGCGTGCGGCCGCTGCCGCGCCGGCCGCTGCTGCCGAGGCTGGCCTTCCTGCCCCCTAAATGCCACCCTTGCGGGGGAAGGAGCCGCTGCCGCGACGCGCGCGGCTGCCGCCGCAGAGGCCGGCACTTCGGCCCTCTGAGATCCAACCCCTCACGGGGCTGCGAGCGTCTGCCGATGCACTTGCGGCAGCCACCGCGCCGGCCGCCGAAGCCGGCCGGTCCTTTGGGCCCCTGAGAGCTGGAACCCTTCCGGGGGGGTTGTGCCGGCCGACGCGGAGGCGGACCCCCGGCTTCCTGCTTTGAAAATTCTCGTCTGGGCATTCAATCGCTGCTGTTTGGCGGCGCTGTAGGGGCGTAGCAGCCAGGAGCTAGGCGGGCTGTGTCCGGTTTGAGCCGCAATGAAATAAGGGCTTACGAATCAGGCCTACTGGGTTTTTGGCGGAAGGCACTCAAACGTCAATCCCAAATGATTCAAGTCAAAAAGCAACAAATACTCTGCAAGCGACAGGTCTGGTCCGATTGCTGTTCCGGCATGGAGTCATTTTCCACCCGTTGTTGGGGGAATAATATGCTCTGTGGCCACTTTGCAGCTCTCAGATTTTGCTGCAAGGAGGCTGCAGCAGCAGTCCTGCGTATTACTGGCTGTCCGTGAAGTGGCTGCATGTCCCTTATCGGGCCATTCATTTTGGATTCAAACGCAGGGCATCTTGTGTCGTTTTCGGCTGCAGCAGCAAAGCCAGGGACATTCCAATAATGGCGGAGGCAGCTTCTTCAAGACAGCCGCATTACGTAATTTTCAATCGGTCACTTGAGCTCCAGCCATACTAGGGCGGGGTTCTATGGCGGCTTTAAAGGGGTTTTAAAGTATTCACCAGGGGGTGAAATCAGCACTTACGTAATTCGGCTGGCATATACACATGTGGGCCTGTTCTGCGCCCTAAGTTGGGTGCAGAACAATCTTTTACAGGGTATTTGGGGAACAAATTACCATCTGAGAGTTCACCGGGTGTGTTTGATCTTTCCGCCGCCGGTCACACGGCTGCTTTGGCAGAGTCTTTTCTGCTCTGCTGACTCGGCTGGCTTAAGTCAATGCAGCTTATGGGGACCCGACATTTGCAATGCTGGGCATAAGACCTTTGGAAGGCTCTCAAAGTTCTAGGGGGGGTCAGCTGGCATCCCAACTGTTCACCAGAGCCTGTTGACTGTAGCTGTGCCTGACTGGGTAGGCTAACGGGAGAGAAGGCGCTTATAGCTCTCTCCCTGAGCAAAAATATGGCAGCAGCGTTCTCTCAATCCCACCTGGGCGCCAGGTGGCATGTTGCAGCGGGACCTCTGCGGATCTGTAGAAATACATAAGAAGCACCTTATTGGAAGGTGGCGGAAATCACGGCAGTCGCTGTGGCCTTCAAAGCGCAACAGGGAAAATTTAAAGGGCTCGTCAAGAGTGCGGGAAGGCACAGTAGCTCTTTAAAAACCTCTGAGCAGCACAGAGTTGCTGGACAAAAGGGATGAATGGCTGATCACAGGTGCAAGGCCAGAGCAGCTCGCAGGGGGCAGATTTGGATGTGTTTGCAAAGTTTGGACGGAAGGCTTTTATTCCTTGGGATGCTAGAGGGCGCCTCTGCTAAACTGCCAATACTAATTATGACAAAGTGTTTTTTCTTATATTCTTTTCCCGACACTCCGCAAGGGAAGGTGCTCATATTGAGGTTGATCTAGATCTGTTGATAAATGGACTGCTTTGATTCTCCAGTTGTGAAGGAGAGTGCAGATTTGCCTGAGCTGCTTTCGACCAGGCAGAGTCCGAGTCCTTTTCTTTGAAAGCAATATTGTCCAATTTCTTAGGAGATCGAGGCGAATTCTTCCTTTATTCCTGCTTGGAAGGGCACTGACCCTTTCTTATTGTCTTTTGAAGAGCTGGTTGCCCGCTATTGGTCAATCAGCCCAGTCATTTAAGTACTGAGGTTACTCCAAGCTTCCGATGCAGCCCGGTACAACCGCGGTGGGGCACAGATTGTGCTCCATGCATGTGTCCTTCCTTATTGCTTTTCGATTTGATTGCTGTCATTCTTGACCCCCTATGTCTCATGATATGAGATGAAACCTGCTTGCTTCAGTGTTGCCTTGAAGCCCTGTATTCAATTTCACCCGCGTGCCACATGTAATAAAATTCAGCTCTGAGAATGAGCACCCCTACACTCGCGCGGGCACCAGGTGCCCATGCATGCAAGCCTTGGTGATCACTCTCGTCAGTTCGCATGGGCTCGCCTGTGTTGAATGCGTCTCGAGCAAGCGAGCGAAAGCGAAAAGGGACACGTTTTGGCAGATCTGCAATGTCACATCTTAAGATCCAGTGGAGATTTCCGGAGATCTTGTTGAGCACTTGACAGGAACGCGCGACGTCATCTTTTGAGATTCTCATAATTGATCTGGTGATCTGAGGACCGGAGCCAGAGGTCAGTAGATTTCAAGAAGAGGATTGCGCGGGGCTTTCGGAAATGTTTGCCTTTCTAGATTTCGCACTCTCCTAAGCAAGACCCTGCAACTTGTTGCTGGCCAATGTCCACCAGTGACTCGATTCCGTGGCGACGTCCAGTGTCAGGGTGTCCCGAGATTAACTTCGTGCGTGCAGATTTTGTGGTGCTCTACTTACATAATTTGGGACTAGGTAACCAAGAAGTTACTGCCTTGCGGGAAGCTCGTTGACATCTCGTCTTTCTGCTGAGCGACCTTTCCACGATTGCGACTCGGACTTTATTTTGGGCACTGCCAAGGTCTATTGTTGCTGTCCGAAATTGGAAGGAGCCATTCCGTAGAGGATGCAGGCGATGATGAGCGGTATGGGTGACGTATGCGCTGCTGCCGGGGTCACGGTATGTGGCCACCCCACACCTTGAAATGCAGAATGAGGCCACTGGCGCTCACGAAGCATGAGAAAGTGAACGATTGCTCTTCTGGGAAGCATCACAGTTTGAAAGAAGCACAGGGCTCGGGCAATTTCTACCGGGGCCTGATAGTCTCGTTGATTGGCATTGTCCAGGTTTTTGACACCGTGCTGGGCCCACCCGCGCCGATCAGCGCCTTGCAACCCTTGTAAGTTTCTTTTTGTATATCAAGCATCTCATCGAGTCTATTGCCTTGCTGGAATTTGCACCACAAGTTCACTGGCGCCAAGGGAGGCAAAGCTGCTTATGTGTCGTGAATTCTGCACACATTTTATGGTGCTGCGTCAAGCATTCAATCTACATCGCCTTCAGTTGCAAAAAATTATCTCTGATCGCATGGCCTGCCTTGCTCGATAGCACGCTGCCTTTGCCACAGGGGGACCATGCCATCTGCAGATGGCCAAGTCATGGCCCTGACGCCTACGCTCGTCGAAGACAACTTGAGAGCGGAAGCATGCGAACGCAGACAGGTGAGGCATCTCAAGAGCCGCAACGCAAATGGGACCACCTGGCAGGGAGCATTTGGCTCTGTACCTCCCTTAGCCGTGAAGCCTTGCAGGCCTTTCTTTGCATTAACAGGCGTGAAAATGCGTCACTGCCTCCACCTACATATTGCAGCTGCCACCTGCAGCGACCTAGCACCTTCATACCTTGTCACGTCCAGAGCTCCGATCAGCAAGAGCTCTTGAGTGGGTCCTCACCTTAGACAAAACTGTAGGTTCACGAGTGGTCTGGCCATAAATTGCACATGCAGGTCGACAGGATTGTACTGCATTAAGACTTCTGGGTTCGGTGCAGTGTGCGCTGATAGGCGAGCACACAGACATCCAGAGGCTGCTGCTGGCGCATGGGGCAAACATGCTGCGATGGGGGTTTGAGCTTGTTGATCTACCTCCCCTGCAAAAGCCCCTGGACATGTGGGTTCTCCCCTTATCTCCCTCCTCCTTTCCCTGCGCAGGGACTCTAAACTAACTAGTTGGTTAATAGTCCCTGTTCCTGCCTCGACTCGACTATATCATGAGACTTTGCTCTCAGCACACTACCCTCTGGCTGTGCTGTGTGTGCAGCTCCAGTGTAGGATGCCATGGAACTTTCTGTTGAAAGAGAGCCTACTGGCAGGAGCAGTGAAAAGTTTAGTTTGTCATGTGCAGGAGGAAAAGTGCTCAGAGCGAGGGAAGCTACCCCTCAACAGCAACCAGCAGCGAGGTGCGCAGCATGGCATGCACTTCTTGATGCAAGCACCCAGCCCCTCACAACGACCTGTACTTTGCGTGCCGAAAATTTCTCTGTTTCACTATGACAGCCAACGATAATCCATTTGGAAAATTTATATCTGTGACGTTGCAGCAATCGATGGGTCTGGACAGCCCGCATGCGCGCCACGCCGCTGACATCAGCGGCCAGGCTGTCGGGTTACCTAAGCGCGCGTCATCGGCGCCGCTGGACGGCAGGACCCGGCTGCCCGGCCTGCACCTGGGCAGGCTCATTGGGCTGGGCAGCTTTGGCAAGGTCTACAAGGGTGCGTCTCCCACCCACAGCCCCACTCTTCTTACTTCCATTATGTTTTTGAGCATATCCGACAGAGCGCCTGACCCTTTGTGAGGTAGATTGTGTGCTGTAGTACCTGCTCTGCTGCACAGCTGGTTGCATGCACCTTGCAAGCAACTGAGCACACTGGCGTTTGCCATTGTGCATGTATCATATGGAGCAGTGATGTTTTATAGTCTGAGCCAAGGACTCGCGGCATGCATGGCGCTGGTCCAAGAAAAGTCTTTGCCTGGAGAACAGGTTTGGAAAAGGGGTTGGGGCAAAGTAATGGCCGACTAACCCTTATGCGCCTGCAGGCACATGGGAAGGCAGGACGGTGGCAGTGAAGGTCATGAGCCACGAGGGCAGCACAGCCAACCTGCTAAATGCACGCCACGAGTCTCTGGTAGCAGAACACGTCCAGCACGAAAACGTGGTGCGTGCCTGCCTATGCTTTCATGTCTCTGAAGTCTCCAGATCTTCCTGGCCTCGGCTGGTGGGGATTGTTGTAATTGTGAGTGCTGCACAAGTCTGCTGAGCGCGGTGCACATCGTTGATTGAGTGCGTGCCTTCTATCCATGCTGCCGCCACCCTGCTCAATTTTGTCTCACCGTGCGACTCATGCCCAGAGCATGCAGGCCTGCAATCAACAGCGCTGCCTTGTCCCAACATCACAAGCTCGGCATCACACCATTTGCAACAACCCAGGAAATTGGGGCTTGTTCCTGGAACGGCAATCGGTGACGGAATATTCCTTTGGCTGGTCAGGGCACTTGGTGTAATACGGCTCTGGCGCAGGTGGCGACTTACAGGGTCCACACAGTGGAGCGCCCAGCAGGACAGCAAAGCTGGAGCCTGTACAGGAGCGCCTCTCTGGGGCACAACAAGTTTCGCTCCTGGCCGCCTTTGCAGCCGCGCGAGTTACCTTCAATCCCCTCCGGCAGCTTCCCACCCGCAGGAAGCTCACAGGGCGCAGCTTCCTGGAATCTGGAAGCTGGCAGATCCCCCGCAGCTGCCAACCTCACAGCTGCTGCCCTGCCTTCGCAACACGTTGGCTGCGCTGCGGATGATTCAAGTAGCACGGGCCAACCAAGACCGCTGTGTGACGATCAGGTTTGCTCCCGAGCTCACTTTGGATCCTGACTTTTGATCAAAGGTGCGCGTGATGAAGTATTTGATAACGGGCACCTCACATCATACATCACATCAAAATATCATGCCTGCCGTCTCTCCATTCAACTGAGCATCGATGCCATGGTATATGAACTGCATGAATTACAACTGCACATGTGCATGCTAGAGGGACATCCAGCACCGGTGCTGTGCTATCTTGCTTTCATCAGACTGCAGACGAGCTCATGCTGACTCATCCCTTTTCTGTCTGCTCTCCCACAGATCGTCACGCGGAACCCCCCGCCAAGCGCAGCGTCTCCAATTTCAGGGCCAATGCTGACGCCATCCGCGCTGACATCATCGCTGCTGGCATCATCCCCGCTGACGTCACCGCTGCTGACGTCACCCTTCGAGGTGACACTCCGGAAGGCAGCCTCCAGCGGCCTGGATGACAGCGTGGAGCCGCTGACTCAGCTCGCTCGGCGCATGTCCCTGGAAGCTGACCTGTACAACCGCCAGCGAGTGGACCCCAAGTGGCGCAGCATCAGCCTTGGGGAGCCAGGTGCGAGCAGGATGCATGTCAGGTTTTTGGGATTTTTTGGCACTGCTAATCAGAGGAAGATGCATTGTGTTGCATGGTACATTGTGTGCGCATGTCAGGATGTCTGGACCTTGCCTGAATGATGCAGTGTTCATTTGTGAAGTGTCAACTTTTGGTGACCAAATTCAGCTCATGCTGGTTCAGAGTCGCAAGACAAAATACGCTGGAAAGAACGGACATGCGCCTCTGCAGAGGATGTATTGTGCACTGAAGTGCAAGAAGAAGAAAGTGCTGCTGTAAAGTCCTGCATCAAGGAGAAGCGCAGCTTTCTAAGGAGAATTTCAGCTAAGGGGGGACAGTACCACTTTACAGCATCTTATTTTGTGACTGGCATTTCATGTGGTGCTAACAATGGTCTTTCCTTCTGCGCAGTGCCAAAAATGGTGTGCCCTGACAGCCTGGCGGCAGCGAGTGCGGAGCGGTCCAGGATGTCTTACTTGACTGCAGACTTACATTCATCAGACAGCATTGAGGAGGCTGATGTGATCGTGGAGACCCTGCTCCTGATGGAGCACGCTGATCTGGGCTCCCTCAACAAGTACATGGTTTCAGCATGCTTCAAGGACAACATGGTTAGTAACTTGAACATCTCGCCTCTTTCCTAATTAGCACTCTTGCGAACTGCGTTGCATGCAGAATGCATGCCAGGCCTTCACGTAGAATAGCCGGGCCAAATTGCTGATGGTGTGGAGATCAAGATTCATATCCATAGTAGAGGAGCATGCACCTTGCGTGCACCTGCAGACTGCATTCAAAACTATCATTGCTGGTGTTCAGAGGACACTTGTTGGTTGGCAGTATTGCAAGAAGAAAGCAGGGAATGCTCATCTTGTGTGTGTGTGTGCGTGTGTGTGCGTGGAACAGGTAGCGCTGCTCATGTGCGCGTTAGACATTGCAGCTGGCATGAGCTACCTGCACTCCATCAATCTGCTGCACGGGGACTTGAAGACAGCCAATGTGCTGCTCAAGAGCTGCCCCCCAAGTGACGGAAATCCCCGCGGCTTTACATGCAAGGTGTGCGCCTTGTCCCAAGCCACAGATGCACCTTTCATAACAAGCTATAACGTGTGAAAATTCGGCTGTGTCTGGGCCTGAAGAAGCCTTTCAATGCAATCAGATACCAGCTTGTTTTCTCAGAGATTTTTTGCACACCTCTAAATGTGCCCTGATTGAATACCTGCTCTGCTGCAGATCGCTGATTTTGGCCTGTCGCGACTGGTGTCAGAGGGCAAGACACACGTCTCCACAAACTCACATGGTGCGAGCACCTATTCACGAATGGCACATAATCACATCTGTGGTGCTCTCCTTGAATATCATATGCCTGGAGTCCAGAGCAAACTGACTCATCACGGCATTGGTGCTAGTGGCTCGCTGCAATCCAGTGGTTCTTGTGCACAGTGATCAGCTACAGCCTTGTTCTGCCGTCGGTGCATGTGCACGTGCACATTGCTTGGCAGCTTCACATTGCTCTTCTCAAGAAGGCTTTGCAATGCAGGCACCATCGCGTACGTTGCGCCCGAAGTGCTGCAGACTGGATCAATGGCAAGGCCGGCGGATGTGTACAGCTTTGCTATGCTGCTCCTGGAGCTGTGGGAGGGAGAACTGGTCTACAGGGGCATCAACACCCACGAGGTCCACCTTTTTTTTCTTTTTTTTTTTGGTATACACTTTAGTGACGGAGCACTCCTCCTGCTTGGCTCAATTACTCCAATGGGTCACTCTCTCCCACCTGGTATAATGGGCTGAAAGGAGTACGAGAAACCACATTTTGTACTGCCCTTTCTTTCACTGGCGGCCAACGGTCATGCAAGGGCTCAAAGGAAGAGGGCTTATAAAAAATGAAAGTCCTGTCAATGACGGATGGGCTCTGTAGAGGGTGTAGCTGATGTTGGGGTGATCGTTGTGCTAAAAGTGTTCTTATATTAATCACCACTACCTAACATGTGCGGGCGCCTGCGCGCAGGTGCTCTTCCAGGTGTTTGGCGGCCACAAGCCGGAGGTCCCGGGCGACATGCCGGGGCAGTACCGCATGCTGATGGAGGACTGCTGGGCCACCGACCCGGCCGCGCGGCCGACCTTCCCGGCAATCCTCGACCGGCTGCGGCCTATGCTCGCCCATGCGCACTCCGTCGCCGCCGCCTTGGACGCCGGTGCGCCGGCCAGCCCTCAAGCCGCCTGAGACTGGGACCCACATGGGCCCGAATTGGCCGTGCCAGCAGCCTTCTCGGCATTCTACCGAGCGTCTGCGGCCGTTTGCTTGCCGGTGCGAGCGCGGCCGCGGCCGAGCCGTCCACCGCCGCGCCCGCCGCCGCCGAGGCCGGCCCTAAAGCTCCTCTTCCCCCTTCTCGTCCTCTTCTTTGTCCCTGAGACGGAGAGCCTCGCGGCTTCAACCCTGCCGCATGCCCGAACTTCCTGGCAAGCCTTGGCCGGCTGCGCGTTGTGCTTTTCAATGCGCGCGCGGCCGCCGCCGCTCCGGCCGCCACCAAAGCCGGCCCTGAAATGTCCTAAGACCTGGGTCCTGCTCCGGGACCCCCGGTGGCGCAAATTGGACCGTGCATGACCTCCCTGGCAAAATCAGAGTGGCTAGGCAAGCCATGCCCGCCGACGCGCGCTCCGCCGCCGCGGCCGAGGGCGATAATCCCCTGAGCCCGGAACCCTAGCAGGGGCTGCGATGCGCGCGCCGCAGCAGCTGCGGCCCCGCACAACGCCGTTTCAAGGGTGCCAGGTGGCCTGCCTCGCGGCATTTCCTCCATCATTCAGGGGATCATTTGTGATATACAGTCAGTACTCTTGTTCTCCAGCATTAGTAATACCCTTAGTGATACTTGACTCCCCTCGGTGGGCATCACAGCCTTCTTGGGTGGGAGAGTAGCCCTACGCATGGCAACAGACAGAAGGCATGACAGCAATGGCCATATTTAAGACTAGCCACCTTTGTGGGTGCCAGCAGCGCACACTGTGCTGACAAGGTTCTAATAGCATCTTTATAAGCATCTTTACATTACCCTTCGAGTGGGGTTCTGAGAGGTGCATGCCTAGGGTGCATTAGAGAACCAGCCACGGGTTGTTGTACATCTAGACAAGGGTCAAGGAGGTAATTAGCCACCGCCATGCCCTTCTGTACTTCAATTATGCGAATCACAGCAGTTCTGGCGAGTTTTAGAGGCTTCAAGCGCATACGATGAAAAGGGACTCCAGTTTCGAAATGAGTTGGGCTTAGGCACTCCACATTTCATTGCTATCACCTTAGTGCTTGCCCTTCCGAAAGGGAGTGCATGCCTAAGTGATAAAATTCTGCTTCTCAGCCATTTCATCCCTTTGTACTGCCGCAGCTTGCCTGCAGGTGCTCAGACAGGAAGAGTAGCGCATTATTCGCTGGCCCTTCCGCATTTGCTCAAGCAAAAAGTACTGTTCTACGGGGAGGCTTAAAGGGACGCTTTAACTGAAATCGCAGCTGCCATTGAGAGGTCTTGATTGCGGCCAAATGTACAGAAAACTGAGCTTTTGACGTCTGTCAACTCCAGGTCATACCAAGGATTTCATTCAGCATTGGGGTGTCACGTTCATCCTTAGGACCTCGTCCTGCCCCATGTCCATCGTTCAGCTGTTTCTCCGTGGCAGATGAGTGTCTGACAATATTTTGCTGTTGTGATTCTGCATTGGACCTGGAGAGAGCCCAGATCTGCAGCATATGATGGATTTTTGGTTTCATGGATTGCAATCTGGGGGATTCAGCAATGAGATCATCTTTCAATCAGAAAACCATCTTTTAAGTATGGATTCTATAGGAGGAAAAGACGTTGAGGTGCATATCCATGTTAGTGATCTGGGAACTATGCGTCACAGTGGTAACATGAGGTTCTTAAGATGTGTTTCCCGATAGCCGCTCTTTGAAGATATGCATGCAGAGTTCCGAGGCAGCTCTTCTCGTCAGATATCCAGTGTGTGTGTGTGTGTGTGTGTGTGTGTGTGTGTGTGTGTGTGTGTGTGTGTGTGTGTGTGTATCATTACAGTCTGTTGTGGGTTTAAATCGGTTAGGTATGTGCTGATGCAAACTGAAATGACAACAGGGTGGACCTCATGCAGCACTGCCGGTACCAATAGTAGTGTACACGTAGTAGAACATGTTCTTCTTTGATTGAAGTTGTTTTCTTTTGGTAGCCGAGGGCCTGAAAGCCCCATTTGTTTGCTCAACTTGATGACAGTCTTGTACAGGGTGCTCAGAAGGTGTCTCGTGAAAATGAGTCAAGATGAATCGCAGATTGCTTGGGATTTATTATGTGCTTTGCAGAACCGGGAGGTAGTTGATCATATTTCTCCTGCATCTGGTTCCTTCATTTCATTGATTTGTGCAGTGCGGGGTGTACTACTGGGAAAGTTGTCAATGAGTGGCTGTACGTTTTGCTCACTGCTCTTGCAAAAACTATGCTTGCTTTGTAGGACAATTCATGAGTGTGCGCTTATATCGCTAGCTATAATGCCTTCCTGTGAAGGCAATATCTTGTTAGATTGTGGGTAGGGGTAGAGACTCTGATCAGGATGGGGTGCTTGCATGTGACAATGGTTTCTGTAAACACTTTGCTAGTTTTCAGGGCATCTTGTTGCCATGCAGTTGCTTGGCTCTCGACTGCGCATGCTGCTACAGCATGTATGCAAGCTCCCTGCTTCTATTACAAAATCATGTATCCATACTTATTCGCAGTAGCCATATCAGTTGTATCCATACTTATTCGAAGTAGCCATATTAGTTGTAATTGGGAAATGCCAGTTTTAAGCCAACATAGAACAAGACCGATCCCAACACAAGACCTGTCACCAGAAGTCCTGCCACTCGCCGAAAGATGCCTGCGCCAAACATGAATCAACAAAGCTCAGCTCCGAATATCCCCTCTGTACATACTCAAAAGCAAACCCTTTCTGACCAATCAGCATCTCTAAATGATTGCATCAAAAATTGTGCAAAACATGAAAGCTGCCAAGGCTGAATATGAGGCGAGAGCTCTGTATTTTGAAGAGAGCAGCGCCACCCCATAGGCCAGACCAAGTGGTCTGCAAGTTCGTGTCCGGCATCCCTGCCATTGCCTAAGGCGGCTTCACGCACAGAAAGTCAAGCTCTTGCCAGGCACCCCAGCCAAAAATACCTTGTATTGGATGCCCCACCTAGGGGCCAAACTGGCCTTGAGGTCCACTGAATTACATACCTCCGAGGGAAGGGTCAATGCCGGTCATCTCTGTGCGCAGCATGCTGGACATGTCCCGGCCGAGATAGCCGCCGCCTTCGGCGACGCCGCCGGCCGCCGCCCCGGCCCGGCCGCTCGGCGCGGCCGCCGGCTTGTCGGCCGTTCCGACCGCGCCCTTTATGCGCCGCACTGCCTCTGCAAACTTCCTCAGCTGTATCACGATCTGCGGCGCAGCCACAACCACGCAATGTAAATTGTCAGACACGACTGCAAAACACACACTTGGGGCATGCCACTAAAAATGGGTGAACAGTCGTGCTGGAGCATGACTTATGCCTGTGCCACTGTAGACCCAAATGAGGCAAAGATCTCAAGCACTGATATTAATTATTTCAGCGCTAAGCCTGACAGAGTCTATGGATTAGCTTTTCCTAGACCTGGCCCCACATGCGATTGACAAACCTTGCTGCTTGCTTCCCTCTTTGAGGTGCTGAAGAGCTTAAATGTCCCATCTGCTGGGGTGAGTGCACATGGTGAAGATGCTGCTTACCTGTGGTGACCCCTGAAATCTGACGAGCTGAGGGTCATCTGTGCTTTTCAGGCAACCCTCAAAATCCAGGCCGCGATTCACGCCCTCTGCACAAATCACATGGTAATCAAGCTGTGTAGCTGCAATATTTGCTTAGTGGATGATGCATCTCAGCAATGCTGGTAGTGTCAGTGGTCGCAAGGAAATTACGAGCTGGGGACATTCAAGAGCCGCACCTCGCAGAGTGATCTGAGCAAGCTCTATATCGCCAAAAGAGGCGTGCACAGCTGTGGAGTTGAAGAGGGCCGCATGCCTTTGAGAAAGGGTCGGGGACTGCATGGCACAGCAGATCATGCTGGATTGAAGCTAATACGAGAGGAGCCCTGCTGGAGGCATTTCCTTGATGCAGTTTGAGCAGGCAATGCAAAGTGCCAAGAGCAGGAACCTTCTCCAGCGACTGCTCAAAAAATTTAAGTGCTCCCATGCGATCCCCATTATTAAACTTCTGCATTCCCCGCGATAGACAGTCTGCTGCCTGGACAAAGGCAACATACTTTGCACTCTCAGATGATACAAGCCAAAGAATAGTGTCCGTTACAGTAAGAAGACAGATGTCTGTGACACACATTTATATTGAACGCATGATCTCACACAATCAAGCAAGCACAGCACCTCAGAGCTTGCAATCGGGGTGACGATATTGTGCCTTTCATAGCCTGCATAGAGCACCATCCCTGTTAAGGGTGTCAATTGAGGATTAGATGTGTTCGAACCAGCAGCTACCGACCAGAAACCAAAAAAGGATTGTGATTTTGCGCGTACCTGCCAGGCAATGTTGTCGTGACTTATGTGGTCTCTGCTGATTCAGTTTCAAGGGATTGCGATGCCGCGCAGATCTGAAAATAAACTTGTGCCACTGGCATGAGGCACTGTGATGGGCATCAAAGCCGGGCCTGTTACAGGAAGCAGAGCAATGAGAACCCAGGTTATGCATCTGACCCAATGGTTTGGACGTAGGACAGAAATTTCGAGTGTGGTCCACAACAACTAATTCTCTGGGTGTCTTAGATATTCAAGATGTGCAGGATTCTCGTCGGATCAAGAGATACCTTGCTTCTCCCTTGCATATTGGATCTTGCTGACGTGCAAGAGTCGCACGTGTCCCTCATGTTGGCAAACATCCCAAAGAATGCATCCATATTCGCAATTTCTCAAGCCGTCGACCACAGAAACCAGTCCAGGCTACAATGCCAGGACTGGTTGACAGTATTTCTTGCTCCCAACTCCTTCAATGAAGATGTCCCAGTACAAGTGTACGACGATCTTCTCTTGTCTCGTCGTCTTCGTATTGCCTGCGACATCCGCTCAGGTAACATGTAATTTGTTAAAGGGTGGGACTGTCTGTTCAAAGGGGGACGCGCAAATAAGATTCTCGCACGCTCGTGTTACAACCGTGTGCAAAGGGGTCTCAGGCACCTACATTATAATGTACAAAACGCCATGATATCAATTTATAAGTATTTAAGGCTGCAAGCTATTCCTCGTTTGTATCTGAGCATCGTCTGCAACCGGATGCAAGCTCACTTACTGAGAACTAAACATCAAGATGAGCGAAGGCAGGGCACTGACGATGGCGCCTTTTGCAGGTTATAAGGGTCAAGGAGCCTCTTCAAAACGGTCCTGATGCAACAGCTCGGGCTGGTCTCGGCATCGTGTCTCTGCAGACCCTGTCTGGCCGACAAGATGCAACAACCATCCCAGCTGGTCTTGCTGCAGCAGGGGGTGCCGCCGCGACCCCAAGCAAAGCTCTGACACGCGATAGAGAGGCTGCAGCCCAGCTGCAGGGTCAGATAGCGCACACAGATGTGATGCCCTCGGGAGTCCTGGGGTGGCCACCAAAGCAGGCAGCAGCCCCATCCAGCAGCATATCGGAGCCAGGAGCAAATGGAGCAGCGGACTATGTGCCATCGCCTCCTCCAGATGCATTTCAGGTGCGGACATCTCATAATTTCCCAGTCGCAGTATTGCTTTGCGCGATTTACCGCCTTGTTTTCAGGAACATTTCAAGCGAAGCTTTGGCCTGAGCTCCCCTTTCATATCTCTATTGACATCCTGCATCCACCAGTGAGAAGAGGGTTTTGTTGGCAGCCTCCTGGTATCAATGGAGATGGCGGGGCGGACAACTCTGGAGCTTCGTACAATATTATCACCGGAGAAGATGGCTATTCCACCTTCTTGCCGAGCAACAACACGATTGATGGCACTGGATTCCAGCTGGTGAGGGACGTTTCTCTTGGACAAATTGGGTGCACACTCACTGAAAATGATACCTTCAAGCTGAGCTCATTAGGACGCAGCCGGCAAGCTTGCCTGTGGCCCAGGGCATGCAGCTGCTCTCTATTATTTGCTCACTGCTAACCAAGCATGCACAGCATTTCCCAAATCTGATGTACTAGCCACCTGATGCACATCGCCATCGGCTCCCGTACTTTTTGATGGTTCAGCATAGGTGCACCTGCATCAGAAGGACAATTCTGACAGTGCTGGCTGACCCTCGCCTCTATTGGTGCAGTTCTGGACGGACAGAATGCGAAACCCCCAAATCCTGGGCGCGCGAGTGCCGCGTGGGACATACTATCTGTGGCCGGCAGCAGGCGCAGCAAATTCTGGCACTGCCAGAGATGGAGGGTACCACCTGTCCCTTGACTGCCTTGGCCGCATGCTGCCCTTTGTGCTGGACTTCCAGGGCAGCGCTGTCATACTTGTGGTGAGAGCCTCTCCCCCTGGAATGCAATCCCTTGGAAGCTTCACTTTCTTGACTGTCAGATGCTGAGGGTGTGGCTTGATGGGTGCACACAGGATAGTTTAGCCTGAGATGTGCGAGTCACTCGGACTGTAAGCCCAGTAGTCAAGCCCTGCAAGGGGACGGTTGTTACCAAGGGGATTGACTCTGCGCAGGACGGTAGCAAGGGAGGCGTGGCGTTCTATGGTTGCAGCCGGCTGACGGTGAGAGGGGTGTCGATGAGTTACCCACCCTCGCAGTTCCACCACATCCAAGGGGCGGTGGTGGATGTGGGCGCTCCTCCAGTGCGCACAGTCACCGTCCAGGTATGTACCTGCATGTCATTTAGCCAAGTGTCTTACAGAATAATAATCCACATTCCAACAGTAGCCATGCAAGCATTTGATCAGAAACGTACAGGACTGGGTTGTGATGTGCTCTGAGTGGACTTAGATGTGACCGAGTCTGCTCCATAGGCCAAGTCAGAACTTTTTATAGCATCCCTGCCATGCATGTCATGCACTAATTTGCCCCATTTAGAGGTCATCTGAGGCCTTGAAGTGGGAATGGAACTTGGAACTCTCACAGCTCGCATCTCCCTTGGCCATGATAATGAAAGATTTATAAAGGGCTCAAATATGCTTACACTCCTGCATACAGGCGCACGATGGCTATCCTGACCATCTGTGGGCGGACGCGCGCATGTGTGCTGCGTACACAGCTGGCACACAGGTCATCCGGGTGAACAGCTCAGATATCGTGCCGAGCCTTGTGCAGCGGGTGGATGACAGCCGCTTCCAGCTGCACACCTCCTATGACCTGTATAACATCCAGCCTGGCGCCCTGCTGGCGGTGCGCGCCTTATAATGCGCACGTACTGCCCTAAGTTCTGAATTTCATATTGTCATGTGCATTCTGAACGGATCAGAGTTTATCAACATGCCAGTTGAAATGATCAGTCACCCCATCTGTTTTTGGTTTGGCTTTCTGTGTTCTCGCTGCTTGGTATGCCCTCGCACAAATAACCTGTTTTGCACGTCTAAGAGTGCCTCGCTGTGCGTGGTCTGGCTTTTTGTGTTCTCGTTCCTTCATGAGCCTTCACACAAACAACCTGCTTTGCACGTCTAGGAGTGCCTTTCTGTGCTTGGTCTGGCTTCATGAATTCTTGTTGGTTCAAGTGCTTCACACAGAGTTTGTGTGCTGCCTTAACCCAGTGTCGTACTGGGGTCGGCGGCCACGGCATGTATTGGGAGAGCTGCGCTGACTCAACCATGGCCGACACTATCTTCCACAACCCAGCTGGCCACTGTAAGCAGTCCTCATCAGATCATTTCACCTCATCTAAAGAGCCAAATTCAAAATTGAGTGTAACCTTATATCCTCCTTCCAGTGGTGTGTTAAAAATTTCAGCCTTGTCTTTCGCATCCCTGCCTTGATGCCAGATTTGAGCGCATTATATTTTGATACAAAATAGAGCGCTCATCTGCATGCCAGGGTCAATGGTCATTGAAACAATTCGCAGTGGAAAGAATTGGCAGTGGTTGAGACCTCTTAATTGTTGCCAGCAATATTTTTACTGGGGGATATTGGGGATCTGGCGAGTCCAACGAGGGGCAGGATGCTGGTAGCCTTGTACTGCAGCTTGTCTGCAGACGGACCTTGCCTCTGGCAAGCAAACCGTGTGATCCTCTATTTTTGGGTGCATGCAGGGATAGCGGAGGTGGGCTGCAGGAACATGACATACAGGGGCAACCACCTGTCGCCCTACCCATCCACGCTGGGCACAAAGCAGGAGCTTCCGCTGATGTCATCAATTGGAGATGGCATCAGCGTGCGGGGCGCTCGCAGCGGGCCTGCCATTGTGGGCAACTCCATGCGAGGGTGCAAACATAATTCCCTCAGACTATTTACATTCTTTACCCTTTAAATTTTGTTGCATTTGAGCCTATGATCTCCTCAGCACACATCATGCTCCAATACATTAGCTCTTCACGTCATCATTGAAATGCTGCCAAGCTTTGCATCAGTATGTCTAGCCTTACTGACGGACGTCACCCTGCTGTGTCCTTGTGCATGATATGTGCAGTGCGTGAGCGCTAGTCACTTGTACTCATGCTCCGCGTTGAGAGTTGTGCATGCTACAGGATGGGTGGTGATGGAATCACTGTGGCGACTGTGCCTTATGTCATCACAGCGTTAGAGGCACATAGCAGTACAATTACTGTGGACTGCTCTGGCGTCACATGCTTTGGCATCAGGCAGGGTGATCTAGTCACAGCGGGCTCAGCCGTCTCCAAGCCGCTCCCGGGCTATGCCAAGGTACGACCCTGGCTTCAACACTCCCCCAAATGTATTGAATCCTTGGCCATGTGTTGGGGATCAGGAAGGACTCGAACAACAACATGGAGGAGTGGGGAAAGGCACTTCCCCTCTCCTGAGCTGACTGCAACGCAAAACCTCCTGCTTGTTTGGCTGACAGTAAACATTCACGTTAAGGCACAAGGCAGTCAAGCTCAAAGCAGACCCCATTGACACCCCTTCCTGCAAATCTGACCCACTGAACGCTATTAAAGTGCCATCTTGACCTGCAACTGCCAATTGACCAGGTGCTGACTAATATGCTGCTTATGCACTGTGCACTGGGCGTGGCTGACTTGTGTCTCTGTGGGGATCATGCCAGGTGGAGGCAGTCAAGTCCTGGGCCACTGCAGCGCTGGCCAATGCCACTACTGAGGGGGGACCACCAAAATCGGATGCGCTGCTGCAAGTGCTGCTGGACAGCTGGCCTGTCGCGTGGACCACGGTTAGTCACTTTTGCCGCTGCATTGTGTAATCCCAATGTTACACTGTGTTCACCAATGCTCATAAGTCACAACATCTGTCAATGCGTCTCATGGCTTGCACGGCAGCTGAAGCAGAAACCCCACTTTTCCATTTGATGGCAGAAATGCTTGATCCCTCATGCATTCTTAATCACTCTTCTTCCGAACATGCACTGCTTGCGCTGGGGAAATGGGGAGTGATCTGAACGATAGAGCGCCGGAAATGTCCGAGCAGAATTTGCCAATGTTTTGGGCATTTCGATGCTAAGACCTTCTTGTTGCTCATGGCAGGTGTCTCCGACCGTGCTTCTGGTGATTCCTGGAGCGGGTTTCCAGATCAGGCGCAACACAATCGCCAACAACCGCGGGTCAGGCATCGTCCTGCAGGCACCGAGGGGCGTCGTGGCGAATAACATGATCACCTCCCCTAAGTATTGGGGGATACAGGTAAGCATCATTGTGCACAGCAGAGCTTTGATTGTCATTCGCTGCCCTTTGGACAACGTCGAGGAGAGGTCCTCCAGCAAGCCTTTGAGGCATGAACATGACAGAGGCTTCACCCCAGCAGTTGATGCGAAGACTGATGGGAGCAAGGGAGGAACTCTGTTGTGACCTCAGCTTTGTGTTTATATGTGCACCCATGCTCGCTGCACCTGGCTGTGTGCACAATCAGGATAACCTGTCCTGCTCGCTTAGTGACCTGACATAAGTACTCGCCATGCAGGGTCTGCCCTCTGTTGACGGTCGGGGAGATGGCGCGTTCACAAGGGATTTACTTATAACAAACAACACCATCGATGCGGTCTTCGGCGGTGTTGTCGTTGGCTGCCTGGAAGCTGCCGGGCAGGCGCCGTGCCCAGCTCGGGGGCACTCAAATCTCACAATCGCTGCGAATCTCATCCAGAACGCGGCCACGCTCCCGCTGCTGCTGACATCAGCGCGCGGCGTCAGCATTGTCGGCAACGTCTTCCGGTGCGTTCCCTCCTCTCTCTTGAAGCAGCTGAAATGCCATGGCCAGAAATGTATTGGCACCAGTGTAATGTACAGGAACTCCACGTAGGGGTCATCTGGAGCCTCGGGCCTCCACAGAGCACAGACATGATCTATAGCTTGTGGGCAAGCTACCCCTACCTCTTCACCCAGGATTTTCTAATTAATAACTGATTCAGCTTGGGCATTCACATTTAATGTCAAGCATTGCTTCAGCTAAACGTTTATGTCTTGTTACCTCAAAGCTCATCATTAAGGCGGATATTTTTGCAGGTCGGTGCTTTGCTACCCCTGGGTTCTATACAACGGCTACCCCTGGCTCCCACGCTTCTGGGGGTCCGTAGGATTTGTCGCCGAAGCCGCTGACGTGGCATTCCAGAGCAACGTCATCGACACGTCAGCGCAGTGCGCCTACGGCAACATCCACAACCCCTTCGAGGCCCTCTCCGGCACCGTTACTAATCTCACCATATCCTGATTTCATCTGGTTACTAACCGTCAGAAAATTACTCATCCTATGTTGGCGGTCGAATCCTAGCTAGAGGGGCACTTGCGCATAACCTTCTCAAGGGTATGACTGGGGACTGACCCGCACTTTTCATATTCAGGGGGTACATAATTGATGTTCAGGAGGTTACCTTCCGTACCCCCTGTTATTTTCACTGGGAGGGTGGTCTTATATTTGGGCTGCTGCACTGCAGTTGTGGCCTGCTTGGAATTTTTTTAGTTGTTTGAGCATGCAACGACGCTGTGAGGCAGCCATTTTACCAAAGGCTTCTGCATGCATGCAGATGCTATGACCACGCAGCAGGGCCTTCTGCCTTACAGGATCGGGTGGTGCTGCATTTGCTTTGCATTGAGAATCTGCACGTTGTCAGAAATCCCATCAGAGGACAGACTACTGCTGTTCTGGGAGATAGATTTTAGCAAATTCCCGGTTGTTGGGGTGGATACAAGATCAGCTCTAACTTTTGGATTCCTCGCTATTTACACTGCCGGAATGGTTTCGATGCCTCTGCAGCATTGGGGCCGTTCCCTCTTCTAGATTTATGGCACATGGGAGCCACAAGTGCACCTATCCACGTGGCTTGGGCTTTCCACATGGGGTTTTGTGAGAAATGTATGCCCAACACAAGGTTGTGTTGGGGGTTCCTTTACTTGTTTTTAGGAGAGTTAATGTGGAAAGGCCATGTCACTCGGAGGATGGGTGCAGATCTGTTTTGAAGGTCTGCGCCCCTTTTTGCGCACCTGTGTTCTCTCATGTGCCCTATTTTTCTAATCTTGAGGAAGACTAGAAACTGCTGGTGCTTAGCTGATGAGGTGCTGAGTGCAGCATGTGGCTGACTCAATTGGTGCCAGTTCAAAGATGTGTTGTGAAGGGCGAAGAAATCTGCCTTGTTGCCTGTGTCGGAGATTTCTGGATGGAAGAAGATGTGTTCCTGCCAGGAATGAACCGGATCAGGAGTGCTTTACAACTTAAAGACAACTTTTTGGTTGCTGCCAGCAATGCACCATGCAATAAGAGTGCACACACGGCGTGCAATGCCTAGAATGCTTCTCGTAGGATAGATTGAGGTATTTAGGACCAACAGTTTCTCTGGGAGTCTGGTGGCAACATTTGGGGCAGGAAAGCGCCTTTGATCTTCGCCTCACTCCCATGCTGTTGTTGATGTGATTGATCCATATTGACGTGCTCCGAATAATGTCACGTATTGAGGGCGGGCAGTCAAAACAAAACTGCTTTCCATATTCATGCCAGCTCCACGCGGTCATGCTTGGCGGACAAAACAGTACAACGTATGGGCATCTGTACATACCTGAAATGCCTGGGCGAAGGGTTCTTAACCCGTGGCGCTGAATAATGTAGCCGCCAGTAGCTTCTGGCAATCTTTCAAAGATGGACAACAGAGAGGGGACATTCCTGCGAGGATGTCAAATTCATGTCAGGTGGTTACCCGTTGTCAGTTCCAGCTTAGTGAGGACTGTGCCGTGTGAGAAGCAGGCTTCTCAGGAGGATGGTCGTGCATGCGAAGAATAGATTGCGGCTGCTTAATTTATTGCTCTGATAATGCGGCGATGTCCTTTGGCCCATGAAGTTGCCCCGAGCTTCTGCATGCAGGGGCTGCCTTGTGTTGCAGTCTTCCAAGCACTTGCCCCGAGCAATGAGTCACAGCGTGGCAAACTTCTGGCGCAATTGCAGACTGTTGTGAGAGCTGGTCAGTCATACGATTGGTGTCTAGACCAGATCAGAGATCTATGCATTTGGATCAAGAGGAAGGAGTCGTTGCTGGTCTGCAGTGTTCAGTATGCTTGACTTGCTCTGCAATTCTTTTGTTGATGGGGCTTTGTCAAGGCGACGGCGCTACATGCGCATGCATGCGTGCCGGCGCCGTTCTGTGAATTCTGCACTGTTGGGTATACGGACGTATCATGTGCTGGTGAGCTGCTTGAGCTTGCCAGCTATCTGGGAGTTTGTCATGGGAATCATATATGAATGTATATGAATATTATATAAATGTGAGTTGCATTCGTGGCCACATGGGTCAAACGGTGCGGTAATCTGCACGTGCACATGTTGAAAACGCTGATCTGAGTATTAAAGTAGGCCTGAAAGCACTTTGTATCTGCATGATGTCGACATGCTCAGCGCATGACGTCCCGGACCCTTTGCAGCGCAAACCCTAAACCGGTTAACCAATTACCGCTCAGCGGCTGTGATGCCAGGCTGTGATGCCTTCTGCATGTCACTGAAACTTTTAAGAGTTTCTTTTGGATTCCAAATTTTTACACTCAGGGGCTGTAACACTGCAAGGAAATTCTTCTATTGTTGCAACCCCTGCTGATGTGGACATCAACATTGAATCAATAATTGAGTCAATAATTGGTTCGTGTCCTGCAGATTTCCTAATCAGGCATCCGCTTCAAAGCCAACGATCAAATCTTTTCCCGCCTTCAAGGCTTCCCACAAATTGCGGCATCTGCTTGGCAACTGTGAAAGCGTGGGCACATTAGCATCTGGTATATGTTTAATGGTATTGAACATTATCTCTGAGCTTCCGAGGGTGTCACGGAGCTGAGATTAATTGACGAACTATTGACATCCTTACAACATCTTGCAGTATACTTGTCAGGGGGATTTGCAGAGGGAAGCCCGAGGGTAGAGCACAACACCTGTCACAATGGATGAGCAGGCAGAGCAGCGTCTGACATTGAAGCGCAACTTCGGGGATTTCCTTGATAACGACCATGGCTTTGGGGAGTATGCAGACAAAGTCAGGGGGTTGCTCACCAAGGAAAACCTCGACAACAACCGGCTGCGACTGGATGTCGATCTTCAGGATCTGCAAAATTACAATGCAAACATGCACAGGCAGCTGCTCAACAGCCCAGGGGAGTGCATCGCTCCTTTTGAGGAGGCCCTGGAGGAGCTGGTCAGGAACAACAATCAGAAGCAGCTGAAGGAGCACCAGCACGTCCACATCGGATTCACAGGCGAATTTGGCCCGGCCAGGTGTCCATCACCTCTCTCTCACAAGCGGTCTCAACTGATGCAGATTCTTTGTCCTGAAGACTTTGTCACACTCGCAGGGATTGCTTATTAGACCTCGCCAACTAAGGGTGGATCTCTTGTCTTCTGAAATAGCGACTGGGCCGGCTGATGCCTCTTCCTACCCTGTGTGCAGGGTGAATCCCCGCTCCCTGAGCGCAAAGTACATCTCAAAGCTGGTGGAAGTAGAGGGCATTGTGACCAAGTGCTCACTGGTGCGACCCAAGCTGGTCAAGAGTGTGCACTATGCTGAGGCAAGCGGCCAGTTCACAACAAGAGAATACAGGTGAGCTCTTCTGCATGACAGCAGCGGCTCTGCTGCTAGCCCTCCTCTCGGACATTGCCTTTCCCCTGCAAGAAGTACGACTGTGTGCAACTTCTTCGCAACGAAACTATCTGCGTGCAGAAGCCTTGGAGTTCCCTGGCAAAACGCAACGTTCTTAAAGGATGGCCTAGGAAGGGAGGGACGAAAGAGACTAATTGCATGGTGTGCAGGGATGTCACGTCAAACTCTGGCCTGCCCACTGGCTCAGCATACCCAACCAGGGACGAGGATGACAACCTGCTCACTACCGAGTTCGGCCTCTGCATCTACAAGAATCACCAAGTCATCACCATGCAGGTGAGGAGTTGCAGCAGACAGCGCTGTCAGTCTCTTACAAATGAATAATAAGCGCCTGGTGCACGCAGAAAATTGCAAATGCGTACAGCTGTGCACTTGGCGCTGGCCTTTGAGCTCCCATGGCTGGCAAAGCTTTCAAACCTGCCTGCTCAATTTTCAAATGTCTGCCGTCAGCGCAGCCCAATGGGCTGTCTGCAATCAGCACCAGAAAATTGACTTCACAGCTAAGCCACTGGAGCAACCGCAGGGTGCTAGACACAGAGCCAAAACACACTCACCCAAGCACACCCGCCGCCCAAATAAATAGTTTCACACAAGCACACTTCTCATCGAGGGTCTCTTTTGCGGCAGGAGCTGCCGGAGACGGCGCCTGCCGGGCAGCTGCCGCGCAGCGCTGAGATCATCGCTGAGGATGACCTGGTGGACGCATGCAAGCCGGGGGACCGCGTGGCGATCGTGGGCGTCTACAAGGCCGTTCCCCCCTCCGCCAATGGCACCATCAGCGCCCAGTTCAGGGCGGTCGTCGTCGCCAGCAATGTCAAGCGCATGGTCCGCGACGCAGGTGACGCCCTGCTGTCGAATACATTAGTGATGGAAGCCCTCTTTGATTAGTCAGATACACAGGACAGCACCTGCCAGAGCTGCACAGCCTCAATGCCAGCTTGTTAGGAGCTGATACCCCTGTGCAAGTCAGGCTGCATCCAGCGTGACCTGTGAACTTTGCTTCTGGGGAAAAACTCCCTCGCGAGCATCGGCTGTGTCCTTGCCGAATTGGCTGTGCTTCAGTCGTGAGTAGTACGGGTGAATGTCAGGTGGCCTGGTAGAATTGGCGTGGCTACACCTGCTGCAAGCAATATGACGCAGAATGTATTCCGATCATGTGTGGGGGGTAGTGTAGGGGCTAATACTGAAAGCGAGTGGCCACACCAGCTGTCAGCACTTCACCTTCATGCAGAAGCGGATGCACACTCTGAAGTCGATCTTGACAATTGGTTGGGAAATGTGCCCGCAGCTGCGGCGGCGATCACGGTGCAGGACATTAGGAACGTGGAGGCGCTGGCGGCAGAGCCCGACGTGCTTGAGATCCTGGCGCGCTCACTGGCGCCCTCCATCTACGGCCACAACCTCATCAAGAAGGCGCTCGTGCTGCTGCTGCTCGGCGGCAGGTGCGCGCACATGCCAACAGCCTCCTAGAGAGCCATCCGACTTATTGCAACGAGCTTGCTTTTTGCATCGGCCCGGGTCAGAATTGCCACACGGCAGTAGGGCTATATTACACATTATTGGGTAGGGATGATTGCTGCATATTTTGAATGACCGGTCTCTTTCAGACGCAATGATGTGAGAGAGGCTCTTCCACGCATGGAAATTACAATACTGGCTTGGCATCACACTGGGCAGTAGAGCTCTAGAAAAGAACGGCAGGCTCCTTGACAGGATCTTCATGCCTGCAGGGAGCGCAACCTGGCGAACGGGACGCACCTGAGAGGGGACATAAACTGTCTGCTGGTGGGGGATCCGGGTGTGGCGAAGAGCCAGCTGCTGCGCGCAATCATGAACCTGGCCCCCCTGGCCGTCTCCACCACCGGCCGCGGCTCCTCCGGCGTCGGCCTCACCGCCGCCATCACCCACGACGCCGACACCGGTGCGACGCCAGCTCTGTTCATATTGGAACGAAACGTAGAGGCCGCAAGAAGTCTGATGAAGTATGTTGCCAAGCTTTCTCTCGTGCCCCAAAGCTCAGATCTGTCACCCGCAAAATGCCGAAGCCATTGCGCGCCGATCTGATCCCGGCACCAGTGTCTTTAGGATGGTTTCGGAATGGAGCCCGCCGCTATCCTCATTTGCGTGCATGCACCATGCATTTTTCTGCCGTTCGAATACAGAGCCTGGGCGCTGCATGTTGCTCACTGCAAATTTCCGCTTTGTGGCTGCTCCGTGGCACTGGGGCACTGGAGGGAATGCAGTCAGAATAAAACGCTGTAATCGATGTACGGTGTTCGAGAGCTCAGTATGGTTGGGGAAGGCCTCAATAGCAGGTTCGTGCATGTTGCTGACATGCTGCTGACTTTCCAGGCGAGAAGCGGCTGGAGGCTGGCGCGATGGTGCTTGCCGACCGCGGCATCGTGTGCATCGACGAGTTCGACAAGATGTCCGACGCCGACAGGGTCGCCATCCACGAGGTCCCTTTCATTCCCTTTTTGTTACATTCACCCCTGCATGGGGGACCCAGCTTTGCAGCCTACTGCTGTAGCATGTTGTGTCATTGAGGCACAATTGAGGCACAAAATTATCACTTTTTTACAACCCTCAAGATTATCCGCGCGAGCAATATGGCAAAGCATTCATGCATGCATGGCCCAGATCAGAGGGCTGCTTCCATATCTCAACATTATTTTGTCTTCCAAGTGAAGCATGTTTTAGAAGGTACATGTCTGGGTCATCCTGAACCTTGCAGGAGGCCTCGTCAAGCCTTCTAGGTTGCTGCTATTCTCAAAGGACCCGGATGACCCCACATGCATGCTGAAATAGATTACATGACCATTCAGGTGATGGAGCAGCAGACGGTGACGATTGCCAAGGCGGGAATTCAGACATCGCTGAATGCCCGCTGCAGCGTGGTGGCCGCAGCAAACCCGCTGTACGGATCCTACGACAAGAACGAGTCACTGACGCGCAACATCCACCTGCCGGACTCGCTGCTATCCCGGTTCGACCTCCTCTTCGTCGTCCTGGACAACCTCTCCTCGCAGCGCGACCGCGAGGTACGTCCAGAGCGTTGTATCTGCGCAAGCGATGCCAGCTGTGCATTTGCATGCTCTCCTGCACTGTCCTGTGTCACATGTGCTGGCATGTGCGGGGAGCTTTGTTCTGATGCCTGACTCTGTGGTGATGGTCCTGGAAGCTACATGTGCACGGTTGCTGCTGGGATGTGAGCTGAATTTTCACCAGCAAGCTGATGCCTTCGTGGACATGCATGCTGCCAGTGGCATGGCGTCATCTGTATATTCTGAGAGGTGTCCTTTCGTGTGGTGTGCAGATTGGTGCGCACGTCCTCGGGCAGCACAGGTACCGCCCACCCGGCGACGACGGCAAGAGCGGGCACACCGTTGCAAGGTGGGGCTGCCGGCCGCCATCCCAAATAACACGACCGCGACAGTTCCAACCCATTGCAATAATACTTTGAGTAACATTGTTCCCCCCTGGATCGTCCTGCTGATCACCGCGACTATGCACAACAAGGCTCGAGTCGGCCAAGCGCAGCAAGGGGTGGCGACAACGATTTTGGACGTTGGCCTTGGCAGTGATGCAATGCTGACATCATCGCTGATGTCATCACCGCTGACACCATCATCACGGCCATGCGCGCGCGCAGGTTTGAGGACGATCTGGAGATGGATGAGGCTGAGGAGGATGATGAAGAGGGGCGCGATCCGCAGGCTGACATGTATGCCAAGTACGACGCGTGCCTTCACGGGCCGCGCGCGGAGGGCGACCACCCCCCGCTCTCCACCCACTTCCTCAAAAAATTCTTCTCTGTCATCCGCCGACGCGCCAGGTGCGGATTCTCCTGCGCGCACCTGCCGGGCGATGCCTGGATACCTGCTCGAGGTGCTTGTAATTAATCTGACGCTGTTCACACTGCTGTCCTCACGAGTAAGATACTGAGCAGGCAAGGACTGACAGAATTCAACCACGGAAATGCCATTGGGCTGTCCTTTGCCCACCCCTCTCTGAAGTGCACATTCACACAGTGATGGACAAGCTGCCGTGCACCGACACAAGGGCGGTCTCTCATTGCTCGGGCATGCGGGCGGCACGGGCCCTTAGCATGCATGCATGCACGCCTTGCATTGACTCAAATCTAGAGGAAGGAGACGCACTGTGCTGTGTGAGCTGCGCAGCAGATAGAGTTGGCTAGCAAGTGCTGCAGCACAGATCTGCTGCGATTTTCCTGTGAGGAAAATATCAAGAGGCATGCATGCAGGCCCTCAGTGCCTTGAAGTGCTGAATATCAGATCCTGAGGAACGCATGTTCATGTGCTGCGCAGCGAGATAGAGCTGACCGGCGAGGCGATGGAGGCGATCGGGGACTTCTACGCGGAGCTGCGCACGCGGTCGGAGGACAGCGCTCTGCCAGTGACTGTGCGCACGCTGGAGACCGTCATCCGCCTCTCCACCGCTGCAGCCAAGGCCCGCCTCTCCAAGGGTGCCGCCCTGTACCCTGCCCCCCCCCCCCCCCCTTTTTTTAATTGGATAACCTGCGTCAAAAAATGCTTTGCTGATTGGAGAAGGTTGAGAAACCTTAACGGGGGCTCCCGAGGAACTTGCCACATCGTGGACATGGTGTTCCGGCTATGGTTCTCTAAAGGTATCTCCCGGTTATGTTCCCAGCCCTCAGCCTCAGTGTGGACATCATACCCTGCCCCTTCCTCTCCAAATTGGGAGCTCTGAGTTCTGATATCATTTGCATGCGCTTGCAATAACTCCAGGCTTGAGGTGTTCCAAACGCACGTGTCCTCTCTTGTGAGGGAATGGCTAAAATAGCTAGATGCTACAGCCGCCTCAAGATATGGTACTGCACCAGCCTGAACTGTTCTATGTCAAGGGGCAGGTGGCTGCTGCTGCACTTGCAGTCATTCATGGCATCACAAATTCCTAGCGCACCAGCAGCATGGTACCCAGGACTTCACACAACAGTCCGATTGAGCGCAAGCCCTGGGGCATGACGGCGTTGTAACTTGCAATGGCTGGGCGCAGGCGTGGAGGTGCGGGATGTGGAGGTGGCAAAGGGGATCCTGAGCGCCATCCTGGAGGGCCATGTGGAGGGACTGGCCGACGCCCAGGAAGACATGGAGCACTCCGACGACGACGACCAGGCCGGCCCCAACCGCCGCAGGCGCGTCTGCTATATTTTCCAGACAGGCCCTGTGTATTGCACGTTGTGCACTGCATGCTGCAACAGGGTGCCCTACCTTAGGTCATGTGATTTTCAATGGCAGAGCATTACAAATGCATATGAATGGGTCTGGGGTGATGTCTGCATGGGCTGCATGCTTGCTGTATTGGCAACCGATGATCCACCACACCTGTCACACATGCCTGCTTGCTTCAAGGGCCCAGCTCAAGTTCTGCTCACCAAATCTAAGCGGCCTGCAACTTGTGTCACAGCCAACGGCAGCAGAGGGTGACTGTTGTATGCACCTGTGCAGGCGCCGCGCGAGCGTGGGCCGGGCGCGGCCGAGAGCCGCGCAGAACTTGCCGCAGAAGCGCCTGGCGCGCGACGGCGGCGCTGACGAGGATGCTGATGAGGATGCTGGCGTGGCGGACCCCGACTGCGCCGGCCCCAGCGGCGCAGCCGGCCCCAGCCTCGACCCCGGTGCGCACCAGAACCAACCCCCCGTGCACCGCACTCCCATCATCCCTGACATGACCTTTTCTTTGAGGCGCTGTAAGAGTCTAGAGGAAGGTTTTGCCTCCATGCAAATGGCAAAGGAGGTGACGCAGTTTCTGTCACAAATTTAGTGGCACTAGAGGACGGCTTGAACAGCAAGCTGCGGCTGGCGTGACTGCTTGCCACAGCGCTCAAAGGGCTCAATGGCAACTCATGGCTGCGCCGCTTGAAGCTTTCAGTGCTGACAATATTGACTGCAAAAATGGCATTCAGAAGGCTGGAGAATCAAGCTTTTGGGTTGGCTGCGCAGATGCGCCGGGGCCGTCCGGGCTGGCCGCGCCGCAGCGTCCGGCAATGGCAGCGCGCCACGTGGCGACGCTGGACGTGCTGCTCAAGGAGATGCTGACGGAGCGCTCGACCGCCGCAGCCGCCGCACCGTTCACCGTCGCTGATGTCATGTCCCGCCTGGCGCGCGCCAACCTGGCGTTCCCCGAGAACGCCGTCGTGCAGGTGCGCACTGGTGAAGATACTGTAGGGTATTACCGTACTCGTGACATGAATAACAATCCCAAGTGAAGAGAATTAAAGTTAGGTCGCTGCAATTACCATAGGGCCTGTAGTTCTGGGTTTGCAAGTTGTTCAACCATGCGATTGTGCTGCAAAATCGCAGCTGTGTCCCATGTCTGTTGGTGGGCTGTGAAGCACTTTGAAGCCTTTTGACAGCACGCTGCAGCAGATCAAGCTTGGGGTGACTGCCTGGCACTTTTGCAATGGCATCTTGGAGAACGCCGCGCACATACCTGCTTCTTTAGGCACACATATGCAAGGGCTGCCACTATGGTCTTTGCAGCAGCATGAGTTTTGAAAACATTTGGAGGTGACTCGCATGTGGCCAAAATGAAACGTGCACCTATCATGGATATGCAGGCCATCAAGGATGCCAGCGAGCGCTTTGAGGCAGACCCTGACTGTGGCGCACCTCCCATCATGTGGGACGACGTGACCAACACCTTCGTGGACATGAGCTGAGGAAATCATGCGCGTCATGCCAAAGATACTGGTTCTACCGGACCAGACGACCACATTAATGGATGCCATGGATCGTCAACGTCTGCCTTTACAACTTGCAGCAGCTCTGCACCAATTCGATGTTGAAGAGGTATTGACTGGACAAAGTCATTATTTGGCAATAGAGGTGATCGTTGGAATGCATGCACCACTCTGTGAGGCGTCAATGACACTGGAATGGTCTATAAACCATGCGAACACTCTTGTGAATTGCTCAAATTCTTCCCACTCAAGTTTTGTAGCGTATCGGAAACAATACTGGCAAAGTGTAGAAGGAGTTGCGCAAATTACATATTATTCCTTGCCAAATGTAGATGAAATTTCCAAGATCATATTTCTGAGCGGGATCCTGCTCAGAGCGGGATATCCTGGGAGCCTCCAACAGCACAATGTGACCAGACCCAACTAAAGGAATCTACATTATTTGTACATTGTAACCCCTCAATTCTATTCCTCACTAGCGCACTGAGTGCGCCGCACTCACACTCAACCAAACTTGGATCCATCATCAAACCGGACATCTACTTGTAATCAAACCTCACTTGTATTCAAACATCTACTTGTATTCAAACCTCTACTCCACATCGGATATGCTTTCATGCAGAGCTGGGCAGTCTGGAAACTGTGTTAAATCTGCAACTCTGATGCAGCGGCAAAGAAGTCAGCACAGCCAGCTGGCGCCATGTGCCATCAGTCCTCTCAAAATTCCCGCAGCTTTGCTAATGCAATATTCAGCCTCAACCTGCCCTGGTCAGCAGCTCTGCCGCACGCTCAAGCGCCCGCTGATCCGTCAGTCCCTCGTGCGTGGCTGTTCTCAGAGCTCCCCTCGCTGCCTCCAGGCCGAAGCCCATCTCCTGCAGGTGCCTCAGCAATGCCTCCACTCGCGCTCGGCCGACCTCCGCCGGATCATACTGGGTGCAGATCTGCAGAGAAAGCATGCAAAGCTTACATCTCTGAGGTGGCTGGATCATATGGGGTGCAGTGTCTGCAGGCAGCAGGAATTGTTCTGGACATTACAATCGCAAGGAATCGACCTTCACTAGACAAGACCGGATGCAGGTCTGCAGAGGACAGCATGCAAAACTCTCATCTCTTAGCTGTTCCGGACATTCCAATCACAAGGAGCACTGAATCCTCTCCCTTTTGCCATCACTCACCTCCATCATCAGCTTCCCGTGGCAACAATGCCGCATGTCCCGCCAGCACTGCTTGTCGCCATTGTCAGCAATATCCTTGTCTCGTTCACGTGTAAATATATGTGGTACATATTTGCTACCAACTGCAGTTTCACATCAATACATCACTGAAAAGGAGACACACCTGCAGAGTGCTCGGCCCGGCCTCCGAGTCATTCGTGCAGGGCAGCGTGTCGGCGCCCTCATAGCAAACCGTGGACGCTTGGGAGGGCAGCACTCTGTGTGGTGTGCGTTGGGTTGCTGCTGCCGCCGCTGCTGCCGCCCTGTCCCCATCCTGCTGGCAGGGCCAACTATGGTCCACTGCAGCAGATGCTTGCAAACCCTGTCCTGCCGGCTGTGCTGCTGGTGTGCCAACAGGGAGCGCAGCACCATTCTGCACAGATCTGCCTGTGTCGCTTGTTGCTCCCATGGGAGGAGGCTGGCTGCCCTTCGGCAATGCAGCCACCGTCAAGGTACTATCAGTGCGGGGCAGTGGCGCTCTTTCTGAGTATGGCTGCGGCTGTTGGAAAGAATCTGCTACACCACTGCTCGCGCGCGCCACTGACGGCCCTGCAGGATTGAGGCCGCTGCCCGGCACATGCGCGCTTGCAGACGGCACATGCTGACCTGCAGCGGGTGCTGCAACAGGTGCTTGCGATGCGCTCGGTGCTGGGGCGGCCTGAAAGGAGGCGCGGCTGAGGTCGGTGGACTTGAGGCCAGCGGCTTTGACACTCTTGATCCGCTCCAGATCAGTGAAGGTGGCAGTGCAGCGCCAATCGCCCCTGCTATGCGCCGCCTGTATCTCGCTGTGGAGGCTGCATGGGCAGAAATCCAAAATGTAAGCAGATCGCTCAAAATAATTACCGTTAGATCTCCATAAGTCCAACGTGCATGCGATTACCCTCTTGGAGTTTCACAGCGGGTGCAAAACTTTGCCAGGATGCCACGAGAGATATTTGGTATGCAGCCATCAACGAGAGCAGGCACTTGCCGTCCCCATCAGTCACTGGTCAGGTGGAACAACAAAGAAGTTGGCGGTCTGTCTCACCTCTCAGCATTGTGGGTCCAGAAAACGGTCACATCTGGCGACCCCGCATCGCCTTCCCTGGTGGGCGTTGAGGTAACTGGGCCAAGGGCGTCTGTGAGTTTTAGCAGCAGGAATTTGCTGCTGTCGCCCTTGGTAATAAGCCGGGGCGCGCACGCCAGCTGCATCCTCACAGTGACCAGCGCAGAGGACGACATGGCAGCTTGCACCTCAGCCATTGTGGTCAGCACCTGTGAACACAGTTGACAGTGCGTGCATTGAGTCGGAGTCACCGCACCACTCACGAACCACAGCAGAATCCTACTGTCATTTTGATGTAAGATACACTAGACTTGCCCAAGAGCACAGACAGCTACAGGCAGTCGATGTTTACAGCTTCTGCGTTGCTTGTGCTTGATGCAACGGACTTGAAGTATGGGGATAAATAGCGGCAGAACCACATGGACAAGGACACCTCAACTGAGCAGATGCTCATATACCCCACCTTGGCAGGCTGCGGCTCGCGCTTGATTTCTGGCGCAGGCGCGGATGCGTTCTGGTGCGACGGAGGCGGCCAGTTCTCCTGCATTGCCTGACCATGCTGCAGTCCAGGTGGCGCTCCTGGGCCCCCCGCCCTGGGGGGTCCCGCCAGCGCCGCCCTCGCCGGGGGGACCGCTGCCCGGCTGGGCAGCGCCAGCGCGCCTGTGTCCTGCCCGGATGCCTGCAGTGCGGCCAGCAGCTCCTGGTAGGCGGCGCTGTGCGCAGCAGAGAATACATCAGTCACAAGACCCATTGATGTCTGTGCATTTGACATCATCAAGTGTCCTACCCATTCTTGCTCTGCATGCGAACCCCTTGCAGAAGGTACAGCATAGGCAATCCTGACGCTGGACCTTCTGTGAGCATCAACATTCAGCAAGAATCCAGTACTGGGGGCAGCCCAGCGTCAAGGTTCAATGGACATAACTGTCTTTGACCCAATATGTCAACTCCCAACCTGAGCATGCTGCGCAGGCTTGCGTTGGCGGCTAGCAGAGCGCGCAGCGGCGGCGCGGATGCCGCGGCCCAGCCGGCGCCGTGCGCGCCGGAGGCGGCCAGCGCGCTCAGAAAGCCGATGGCGCGCTCGGCCAGCCGCCAGCGGAAGTCCCCGGGGCGGAACCGCGGCGGCGGCTGCGGCGCCGGCGGCTGGCGCTCTCCGGGTGACAGGTCAGGCCCGTCGTCGGCTGCAGCAGGCTCATAGCTGGCCGGCGCCTGTGCACAGAGTGACATTCCAGATTGTCATGGTGAAGGGTGGGCAGTACATGATACTGCGGTGACGAAGAGTGCAGCCTGATGCATGTCACATGGTGAAGTGCATGAGTCACAGTGGACACCAAGGAGATGGAAGATAGTGCTAGAAATGGTCTTTACATCAGCAGCAACGGCCGTGAGCAACGTGCCTCAAAGGGCGGCTTGGACTCGAATATGCGGTTGGTGGCATCCTGCGGCCGCGGCTGCCCCAGCAGAACAAATAGCGTGTTGCGCACGGCATCTGCACCCTGCACGGCAATCACGCATTGATTGATCAATTTGAATTTTGCAGCCCATTAAACGGCCCACTGCAACAGTATCTTCATGAGTGAATCCAATGGCGATCTTTGATGTGCACACCTTTGTGCCTATGAATATTGATAAAGAGTTAAAACAGGAGGGTGCACTTGCCTGGTGGTCCAAGGGTGTGAGGCCATTGTGCTGCTGCAGTTGGCCAAGGTTGACGGTGTCAGAGGCGCCGGCCACACATGCCAGCACATCACGGCACAACGCCTGGAAGAACAGCTGCATTGCCGCCTGCCACCTGTGGAAGACATTTACTATTTATCTCAGGCAATTCTGGTCACCTCATTTTTGGGCATTTGCTGGGAGTCAATCACACTTACAGTTTGAGCTATCAAGCACAACTGCCAGTACCGTCAAAGAATGCCAGCACAAAAGGGCCCAAACAAAATTTCTTTTGTCAGGAATAACTCACTTGTCCTCTGGGAGAGGCTGGCACTGGTGCAGCGGGCCCCCCTGCCGCCCAATGATGACTCGTGCTGACGCGGCTGCCGGGGGATCCCCATGAGCCAGAACAGGCGGAACGAGTACTGCAGCGCTGTCTCGCAGCAGCTCCATTAGCACCGCGTATAGAGCCTCCTTGGCTGCCAGAGACGGCTCAACCGCCAGCCTGCACCCAAGGGGATTCAAACTATCTGTCATCATCTTCATCACTGCCTTACTGAGACAGAACGACGCTTCTTGAAGAACTTTGGATGCCTTTAGTGCACCTACTGCACCTCGCTGAGAAGTATGATTCCGATCTTATTTCTAACAAAGTATACGTTGTAGGAGAGTTCTTTCTTGTAGAAGAAATGCTGTCTTTTCCTAGCGCAACTGTTCAGCAGCACGGCAAAAACATTCACGGTGTTATTGAGTCATTTATGACTCACCCTGGGGGCCGCAGAAGGTCCAACAGGGGCCGCAGCAGGGGCGGCAGGAGGGTGCGGAAGGCGGCTGCGCTGCCGCGGATGGCCGGGCGGCTGAGCAACGAGCACAGCAGCCGCAGCGTGTTCACCGCGCACCTCTCCGTCGCAGCATTTCTGCCCCTTGCAAAGCACGCCCTGCACCCACAGAACGATATAATCTGTCCATGCAATAAGCAATTCATTGCATAAAGTACCCAACATTGCTCGTTGCCACATCTACTGATTGCATACATAGAAAAAATAGTGCATAGGAGCTGAGATGGTGCTGAGTAGCACGTGAGACAAATCAAATTTTCTCTGCCATGATGATGCAGTATACTGAACCAAGCTATTGCTGTGGTTCTATGGACGCTGAAGAATTGCTGAATAGTTGCACGTTGAAGTTCTGAGAAGGTTGTCACCTCTCAAGGTGGCGCTTGAGCTGGGTGCCGATGAAGTAGTGCAGCATGCGCTGACTGGGATCCTGGGATTCCCCGGTCAGATCAGGCACCGGCGGCTGTGCATCGCCCCCGCAGACCAGCGCCTTTGCCATGCCATCGTATAGCGCTGCATCCGCGGGGTTGATGTTCTCATCCCCAACCGGCACCTGCCCACAGCCACCTCATTCAAACCTTTTCTGTTCCACCATGACATGATCAAAAGGGATGGGGTATGGCCTTGCAGAGAAACAATGGAAAGCAGGATGACAACATCAGAGGATACATGCAGAATGGACAAAATAATGCAAAGGCAATCTGTTGTGTGGATGTGGTAGTCTGCAAGATCAGCAAGTTGACAGAGGTGAATGCTGTCACAAAGGAGTGTCAAGGGTGAAGTTCTTACCTCGACAGCGCACATGAGCACAGTGCGCAGCACTTCCAAGGCAGGCGTGGGCGGGGCAAGGCTCCGAACGGCAAAGAAGTGCGATGCAATGAGGTGCAGCAGCGGGAGAACATGACGGAACACTGTCCTTGTCTGGGCAGCAGGAGCACACGGCACATCAGCCGTCATCCCAATTGACACATGCAATGAACCAACCTGTCTGAGAAGCACAGCAGAACAGTAACACTATCATGCACAGCCGGAAATTGCGTAGTGGTGAGATTCTTCCTCACTTCGTCAAAATCAGATGGCTAACATTCAACTCTCTGGAGGTCAAAGCACTCACCTCAAGGCGCAACCGCGCATTCCCCTCGAGGGTTTCTTTGGGCGGCGGGGGATCAAGACCCTCGAGGTGCGGTGCATCTGCCGCCCACCGGCGCTGCAGATCCATCGAGGCGCTGCCCGCCCAGCGGCTGATGTGGCCCAGCACCGTCAGCAGTGCCGCTCCTCCGCCTGTTTGCCCAGTACACAGAGTGCATGTATCGGTATCTACAGCCATCACTGCGCATGCAGAGAAGGGGGAAGCAACCTGTGCTCTGCTAGCTACAGATCTCAGACCTGCCACTTTCAGCAAATCCGACCAGGAAAGGCAAAAATCCAACAATAGATCTTTAACGGCTGTCTAGATTCAAGACCTAACACAATGTGCGCTTCAATGTCACAGACAGGCATGTACCAGTACAGTACTGTACTGGCCTCCAGCAGTCCAAAAAACCCTCTTGGAGCTAAGGTTGACATTTTCCAAATTGAAAGACATTGAAATAAACTGCAGTTTGCCACATGCAGACAGCTATCTAGGCAGAAGGGGCTCACAGGAGCAGCTGGTCGGCGGCTGCCGGCAGTGGCAGGGGCCAAGACCGGCGCCGGAGACGGCTCCGAGCAGGATGCCGGCAGCCGCCTGCTGCCATGCGGCCAGCTCGCGCGGCCGCCGCGCCTCGGCCATGCGCTTTGACAGCACCTCGCCGATGTCACCAAACAGCTCCCAAAAGCGCTCGCGCCACTTCGATCAAAAGAACAAGCACATTCCTTCAGCAGAAGCAGCAGCGGCGGCAGTAGCAGCAGTTGTGGATTCATGTATGTTGTTTTGTAATGGAAAGACTTTCATTGTGTTGGCCAAAAGGATGGTGCATGTGTTATATTGAGAAGAAGTACTACAGGACTTATATTAGCCAAGTTGGCAGTGGGAGTGACTGGCTTGCATTGGTGCCGCAACTGCATTGCTACGTCTGTCTTCCTTTCATGAGATACCACAAAACTGTTGAAGCATTGCAACTGTCGCACCCTCTGATAGACAGCCATGGTGCTGAAGACGCCGCGCACGAGCTCTGCGCGCATGTCGCCGCTCTTGTCGTGGCGCAGCTTCTGCAGCTCTCGTCCCCTGATGCCCGCCACCGCTAAAAGCTTGCCGGGCCCGGGGCATTCTTCAACACCCCCCGCCACGCGTGACATACCCTGCCGCCACATCAGAATTGAATGTTATCCCGAAAATTGAAACAATGACGGCGGAGCTGTCTTGTTCTGCTGTAAATAGTACTGGCCATTGCTCTCAGTAGACGGAAGCTAAAGAATGCATCAAAGCTCAAGGCTTCCTTGACGAGGACTCTGCATGTCAATTGGAAAGAGAGTGCATAAGTCCTGAGTCACAATAGCGTGGCCCGGCCTGCAGAGCAGCATGCGGCAGAAAATGTTTGATCATGCTGCTGAGCGGATCGCACCAGGGTGAGCCAGTAGGCGGACTCTCGCCTCTCGGTGTCAAGCAGTGCACGCAGCCACAGGTGCAGCAGCGCAGTGTGCAGAGCAGGCAGCACCTGCGGGAAGGCCTGTGCAACAAGAAAAAGCAGCATTACTTGACATTGAACCTTCTCTAAGACTTGCTCTCCTAGCCCGCTTGTCAGAAAGTGACACAGATGCCAACTTTGCTTGCTCTTTTTGGTGGGTGTATATGTCTTGTCATTGCATTTCACACAGCCATATATGCTGTTCACATGTGCTCTCTCTTGACGGCAGCCATATCTACTTCTTATGGGCTGCAGGGCAGCGAGGTGATCAAGCATGTGTCACCTCAAGGACGTTGGCGAGGAAGAGGGCTGCAAAGTTGCGGTATGTGGTGTTGGCGCTGGTCCAGAAGCGGATTTCGCTGTATGGCAGCATGGCGTAGGGGACCACGTCCTTCCACGCCACCAGGTTGCTCGCCGCCAGAAGCCCGTAAAACTTGGCCAGGACCGCAAACTGCACACAGTCACAGGATCACCGATGCCACCGTTTCTTACATATTACATGGAACATTACAAAGCATGCAATGCCTGCACGGCTCCATGCATGCCAGAGAGGACAAGAAGGTACTGTCTTCACATGGCTACCCATGCAAGTTGTTCGCCAGTGCAAAGAACAATTGTGCATGCCAGATTCGTACTAGCTGCTTTAGTGCATGCATTGACATGGAGAATGTGAGTTACTGTCCCGCACAGAACACGAGAAACGTGCAATTAGGCCCAGAGACGAGAAGCACACCGCGGCGTCGGTGACTTCGGAGATGTTACGTTCGCCGGGGAGCGGCGCAGCGGCGAGTGCGGCGCCGATGTCCCGGCCGGCGCCGCGCTGCGGATATCGGTGCGCGACGGCCGCCTCCAGCCGCTGCAGCAGCCGCGCGTCCCGCAGCCGCTGGCCAAGTGCCTTGCGCAGCATTAGCAGATCCACAAACTCGTCGTCCATGTCCCTCTGCACAATTCACATCCCCGAAAAAATATCAATATCTGGTTGTGCTCTGCGGTCATTGTCGGTAGTCATGCCACTTTGCCATGTAATCTTTAATCATACCCCCAACTATGACATGCACCAAAATTGCTGCAGATATCTTGTCAAAAGTACTGGGTTGCTTTATCATTGGCTAGTCACGAAAATCTGGCTGTCACACGATTTGCATCAAACTTGTGAGATTTTGCATTGCTGCTCCAATTGGAGTGGCAAGACTTTGTCAAGAGGAGTCACCTCGTCAGCATTGGGGGAGAAGGGTATGTCATGCACGCTGCAGATGACTCGTGACAGCAGGTCGAGCACTTTGCGGCGCACAGGGGCGGCTATTCTGGCGCTGTCATCCAGCAAGCACATGACTGGATCCCCCAGGAGGGCCAGGTGCTCCTGTGAGGGGTACTCGCTGAGCCCCGGACCCAGCATGGCCAAGGCTATGCGGTCCAGCGCTGTCTTCAGCAGCAGCTCGTTGCTCTGCAGCAGCCCAACAGTCAACCGCAGTGCCTCTAGCTGAATATTAGGAAGAACTGGAAAGTTGATGACCGCGTATGTGTGTGTGCATCTTGCTAGCAGGGTTAGTGGGTCTGAGCATGCGGGTGGCAATGTTATATGCTGTGCAAGTATGACTATGGGCATAGGGCAGATGGGCACCTTCTCTCCAAGCTCCAGCAGAGCTTCAGCCTCCACCTTGTTGTCATCCGTCCAGGGGGGATCCTGCTTGAACGGCCCTGCAACAAGAACACACCTAGTGCTTTTGCCTTGCAAGATGTGGCCCATTGAATCTCCAATCACCCCTGGATGTCTTGTGAGGTCTTGTGAGGTCTTGTGACAAAAATGCAGACATAAGGAGTCCTGGCACAGATCTCATATTGGCAGAAGCACCACAGTGTAGTCAGGCAAGTCCCCAAGTGGGCCATGAGCACTGTGCACACCGATGCAGAAGGAGTCCCTGTCTATGTAATGGGTGGTTGCATTCTGCTTCCACTCATCCAGCGCTTCATGCTCCTTGGCCAGCACCTCCAGGAAACCCATGATGCCCGATGTGATCTCCCCGAGCTGCACTCACGCATGCACAGGATGTTTCAGACACCGCTCCAGGTTTCAGCAGCATTCGCCAGGCTATTCTGCCCCAATACAGCTCATAGATCAAATGAGAGAGCTCCATCTGATCCATCAGAGCCTGCCATGCATGTTATGCTTTCTTCACATGACTGTTGATCATGCCACTGTCCCACAGACCCCTCAACTCTTTCTTTTGCAACCTCGCGGTAATGCACTGTCACGTTGTACGCCAATGCACAAGGTAGTGTCCTGAAATGTATAGAGAGAGGATCAGTTGAATAGAAGAGGAGAGACCACCCACCGGGATGCTGCGCTGCCATGCAACGTCCAGCAGCTCAAAGGCCGCACTGAGCAGGTGGCTGCGGGTGGCGGGGTCGCTCGCCTCAAAGTCCACAAAGTGCTCCAGGCCGAACAGCCGCCGCGCAACTGTGTATGGGACCTCGTCCTCCGGCAGAACGCGCGCGGCCGTCAGAAGCACCTTGAGCACTTCACGCAGCGCGCCCAGCGTGAACTGCTGCTTCTTGTCGCCTGCGCACACATTCACAAAAGTTGGCGAAGTCGCAGTTGACTGGACACCGGCGGGAAGAAATGGCATGGGCGTTTGCAAAAAATTTGGCAGCAATCCAACGGCCAAAAGAATGTTTGGTAAAGCAGAGGCACGTCCTGGTCAAGGAGAGTGTCAGTTTGGTTCAAGGTAGGTACGGTGTGGGTCTGGCATCGGTTGACACACATTTTGCTGCTGCAAAATTTCGACGGCCAGCGAATAAATAATTGACGGCCAATAAAATACTTTAAAAGCCTCCCGCATTGCAGGAAGCTTGCCTGCAGACAGGGGAATGATCACGTTCTCGTCGAATTGGTCCATGACGTGCTTCAAAAACACACTCCTGAATGTCTCCATGAGGGCTTCCACCTGCAACAGATCATCTTCAAATACCATGATCCTGTGTGACAATAAGGAAGGCAACATAAATATTCCTGCTGTCTCTCAATGCTCAAGTGTCTATGGCGCCCCTTAACCTCAGCCAGGCCTGCCAATTACTTCCTATGCATGCTGGAATAGACTGGCAGTAGATGGGCACCCTGCAATAGGGTGTCCCATCTATAGGTCATCCTAGTTACATCCTAAACACAGATTGACCAAAGGTATACATGAATCATTCCAGACTTGATGAGTTTCAATGGGTTTTTGCGCACCATGGAGGGCTCTCCGCTAGCAACTTGCAGCAGATGAGGGAAGTGCAGCGCCCTCTCCAGGAAGTCATCTGTCAATTGGCAACCAAGCATCGCTTCAAATTGGTTAGTACGCCAGTCAAAAGACGGCGATTGTTCCCAACGTGTATGAAGCTATCAAGGCAGTAAGCTTGCCAAGGATATCAACACGAAGATTACTTGCCTGGTATCTGCAAGGCAGGCTCTGGTGCAGGCTGCTCACTGCCATGCTGTGGCAGAGCAATTTTGGGATGTGTGGGATACACTATTGTAGAGGTCTCCTCTGCGCCTGGGCTCTTGTGGGATGCTGCAAAGCAAAGCCACACCAGTGAGGTCATCTGTGTTGATGCAGATTGTAAACTTTTTTGACATGCAGATCTTTGCCTACTTTGCATGCTTCTAATCATGACTGCTGGCAGAGGTTCCAACACAATGCTCTTGTATATTTAGTGTTCTGTCCGAAAGCTGTTGTCCAAAGTGATAGCAGCTTTTTGCATGCATTCACATCCTTGGTCACCTGTCCATCTGTCATGATTCTGGCCTGCCTCTGCCACGCTCCCGCCTCCTTCCTTCTCCAGTGGGGACCTCCATTGCTGGATCCCTGCTGCAAAACATCACAGATACACCTAGGACCAGGTGCAAAATATGAACAACATACACAGCCTAGTTTAGGGCCATTGAAACCGGGATGACCGCCCCAACAAAAGGTTGAGCGCCGAGTGCCGAGATGCAATTTGCTCTTTGGGAGTCAGCATAATGTGCACAAGGACAGCAAGGAGTTACCAGGCTTTACAGGCTAGCAGACAAACGCGTTTTGGAAACATGTGAGAGGGGGACATGCTGCTACCTGCTTCCCTGTGCATGTGCATAAGTGCAAAGTCATCATCGATGTCCTGCGGTTGTTCTTGGGCCAATTGGCGCTGCTGCACTGGGGGCGCCCGCCTAACAGCAGCTGCTAGAGAGCCCTGCTGTGCTGGCATCCCACGCTCACCACCTGCACAGCCACAACCGCTTTGTCATGATGGCTCAACTCATCAATCCATGAGTACACTCCTCATCAGCCTCTCTTCAACGCCATACAGCATCCCCCATGATCCCCTCGGACTACCGTACATCCTGTAGAAAGGTCGGCCCAATGCCTACCAACGCATTGGGACGGACACAAATTTGCTCGTGCATCTACGTCCTGCACTAAGGACGGCTTGATACTTACCAGCGCATTAGGAAGCATGCAAATCTGCTGGTGCATACTACGTGCTGTACAAAGGACGGCCCAATTGATACCCACGCATTGGGAAGCATGCAAATCTGCTATTGCATTTCCAAGGAAGACAAAATGTACCTCCCAGACCGCCATGTGCGCCGTCCCACTGTCCGCCTGGAGGCACATCTCCTGCCACATCGTGAAAATCCATGCCCGCATCGCCAGGCTGCTCGCAGGTGCCGGCATCACGCCGCTGCCGCTTGCGCGGGCGTCGGTCACCTGCACAATAACGCCATTCACACCAAAAAATGCCTGCAGCATGCATGGAGCGATGAAAAGAAGGTGGTGGCAGAAGCTCTGCTGGAGCTTGGAGAGAAGGTGTCCATCTACCCCTGCCCCACTCCCTCTGCAGCATTTATATGCCATCTGTATCTCTTGAACCCTCTGATCTTTGCTGGCAAGCTCCCACTGGAATTACGAAACCTTTACTGAGCCTTTCAGCATGCACTTTAACAGCATGCACTTTAAAAAGCTGGGGCGGATGCTCCTAGGCAGCATGTGATTCAGTACTTGCATGCATGGTGTCATCCAATATTATCAGGAGGCTGTGGGTGTATAAGTATATATCATGTCTGCCGCGAGTCTGTGCAACACTCTGCCAGGTAGATACATTATGATATTCGGCACTCCCAAAGGCAGAAGGTACCTGAATTGAAGAGTCCCGCGGCGGTCACGCTGGCAGGCGAGGTGTCCAGCACACTGGCTGCCGCGCTGCCGGCCGCAGCCATGACCGGCTCCCGCCTCTGAGCCGCACCTCCGCCCATGCCACCCGCTGCTGCTGGAGCGCTCCCTGGAAGCGCATCAAACCTTTTGCAACGGAAGAACGGAAGCTTCCAGTTCATTGTGTGAAGCCCTGTAGAGACCCAGCCAAATGCATGATTTCCACATGCTGGCCAGGGCACCACGAACCACTGAGCAGGGAAGAGCACTCTGCGATATTCTTCTACAGCCCTCTGCACACAGCTCCACTACATAAGCAGCCAACTGACATTTAAGGAATATACTGGTTTGAGGGAAGCAGCCATGCAAGGATGAGCAGGCCTCAAGAACATCACCTCGTCCCAGAGGGCTGTCAAAGGCAGCGCCGGCCTCGTCCTCAGACTCATCTGCTTCATCCGCATCAAGGGCCACGGGGCCTGCGCTCTCGGCCATCCTGTCCAGGGGCACGCTCAGCTGCTGCAGGGTGGCAAACGCCTCGTGCATGAGCGCCAGCTGCTGCTCCAGCTTCTGCTTTGCGCGCTGCTGCACCCGCTCCCTGTGTGCCACACATCAGCTCAACCCTCGCGCATGACATGACTTGCAATTGCAGCTGCAGCTTTGGTGATCCCCCTGTGTGATGCAGCAGGCAAATATAGCTCACTTTGTGCAGTCGAGTAAAGAACTGAAGGCAATCAAACGAGCTTTGAGGTACCTGAAGCTACACCTTGAATATATGTCCTTTAAGCCACACCGCAACCCTCATTAGCTCATCTCGCTTGCATGACATAACATGCCACTGCAGCAGCAGCATTCCTCATGCCCCATGTTGTTGCACAGGCTCAACTCGGCTCGGGTGCGCAGAAGGCAAATAATAAAGCGTTGAAGGCAAGTAAAAGAGCTTTGAGCCACGTGAAGCTACAGCTACCCCTTGCGATCGGTTGTTTGAGCCAGGTAGTATCCAGAGTTGACCCATGCAGAGTGAGGTCTCCATGCAAAGGCACAACAGGAACAGAAATATATAGCCACAAAAAACTAGCACTGGAGGAAGTGCTGTCGGTCCGCACTTGTGGTTTCTGGCGCCGCGGCGGGCAGCTTGGTGGGGGCCTTCAGGGAGCTCGTCTGGCCGCGCGCGCTTGAGGCTCCTGCCCTCGTACACCGACCCGATGGCTGCAGTGACCGCCTCCTCGCTCAGCAGCGTCTCCACCAGGTAGTGGGCCGCCTGAACAGGCGGTGCCAGTCAGGCGCTGCTTCACAAGATCGCTGCTTTGCTTGTGCACCACCGTGGTTGTTTTAATGTGAATTTTTGCCAAAGTCACAGTAGCCTGCTCTCATCATGTGGGGTGGCTAGGCAAGCATGCGATGTTTGATTTCGATGCATGTGTCCAGCTGTAAACACAAAAATACAAGTCAGTCCCGTGCACGCCAGCTGTCTATGTAAGTGTCCATGCCATCCTGAGGCAGGGCATCTACTTGCCATGCAAGCCCAAAAATTTTAGCTATCTAGCAGCAGTAGGCAGAGGCCAAGGAGGAAGGGGTGTCGGGGAATTGGGCTCGCACCGATTTGAAGCCCTGGCGCACGGCTTCGCTGTGCAGCTGCTCGGTGGGTTCCAAGCCTTTCTGGAAGCGTGAGCATGACCGCCCGCTGCAGTTGCACAGATCCAGGCAGGAGGGACAGCGCCACACACCCTCCTCACACAATGGCAGCACCTGCGCGGACCCAAGGTCAATTTTCTCTCTGTCTGGCTGTCCGATCCATCCTTTTCTTTTGCATGCGATTGGCAGGTCTGCCGGTTGTTAGGATGTACTTTCACGAACAAGCACCTCAAAAAGTTCCTGGATGCCACAGCTGACTGGTGTTTAAGCGTAGATGGCAGAAAGAGCATCACCTCGTTCAGGTTCTGCCCCATGCGCAGCCAGAGGCAGTTGCCACACCAGATCCCTCGCCCGGTGCCGCGGCGGCCGTTGACCCCATGCTCACAGGGGCACCACGTCTTCTGCTCTATCGTTTTCTGCCTGCATTTCGCATACAAGCTCATCTGCCTGTTTGACAGGAAGCTTCCTGATCGGCTTAGTGTCAATGCCGCTACCCAGTGGTTATGGACCAGCTCCATATGAGGCAGCATTTTTGTCATTCCCTTCCAAGACGCGAATCACATCGTGTGATCAACTAGGCCTGTCCAGAAAGGAAGATTGCTGTATTAATGTGGAGCATGCAAGATAGCTACTTGTTGGGCTCTCCTTGCTGCATATCCAATATGTCCGATGTGAGGAGTCCCGGCCTCCAGAGAAGTGCAAGTGCAAGGCAGCGGCTGGCGCGCACCTGCAGAAGTGGCAGGTTTTGCAGGCGACGCAGCGCGCGTCGTTGCGAGAGTGGGCATCAATGCAGCGCACTTTGTCCCTCGTCTGGAACTCAGCCCTCGCCTCAAACCTCCTCAAGCGCTGGTAATGCTCCAGGGAATAGCTCTCCCTGCGGATGGCGTGTGCAGACTATATCATTACTAGGCAACAAAGTATTCACCCACATATGGACAGCTTTGCAAAGATAGGCACGATACAGCAGTGGTGCAGCATAAACAGTGTAGTTGTGCAGCTAGAGGACGACTAGGTTCAGAAGTCATTTTTGGGTGTGACAGGAAGTCACCTTTGGAGGTGATCAAATGTCACTTTTGTAAACCCAAATAGCCACTGTTTGGAATCAGACATTCAAAAATTGGCGGTTTCATCTGCGGCTTCAAAAGTGCGCCAATTGTTGCAAGCAGCGAAGGGGCACACCTGACAGGAGGGTGCTGGCCCTCCTGGGCTCCAAGCAGCCCCCTGAGCTTGGGACCCTGTCTTCCTTTCCATCGATGCAAGTCCTCCATGGTAGGACCTCGGATTTCCTCCATCGCTGGCACTGCAATCCTCTCCCGCGCAAAGGCTGCTGCACAAGAGGAAAATGAATGTCAGCATGATAGTCTAAGTCTGTCCTGTCTCTGGAGGATGTGGCAGCAAAGATTGGAGGGACATGGGAATCTGGTGTGATTGAGGTGCTCACCGCCAGATCTGTGTCTTGATGGTGCTGCAAAGGAGGCTTGCAAGCTACGGGAGCTGGCTGCCCCTCTACTGCCATCACCCCTGCTGTGCTCCGCCATCTACAGAAGTCCCGACAGGAGGCTCGCAATTCGATCACATTGGAATCGGTACTTTTGTCTCGCAGATTTGTTCATATGATATGAATAACAACATTCGCATTGTTACTGAATTGCAAGCTCTGAGACGCGAGATGCAGGGACTTGTCTTCCCCCAAACCACCCATCGCAAGCCCAAGCTTTGATGCTGATCGAACGCAGCCTCATGGAAACTCAAATCATCTCTTTGAAGGCTCACAAGAGACGAATATGTCGCGATTGAGGCAGACACTCCTCATGTATTTTACAAGATGGAACCACCCGAGCCTATCAAAGACACTTTGAAGACGCAATTGAAACACTAGATCAACGTCATCACAGTATAATTAAAGGATCACAATTGCATTGGTGCGCCCATCAATGCCCACCATGATGGCATGCTCGCGGGTCCAATTTGGAAGGTGACATCACCAAATTTAAAGGCAGAATATAATCTCTCCGATAATCTTGAGTAGTGTCCATCGTCAGGTGAGGCGTGGTTTTCCTGATGTCAAGAACACGCTCAACTTATTCTGTATATTTGGTTTGTGGATAGGCGCAGGTTTTGACGTGCAGCTGATAGCTGGATCCCTAAAACATCTCAAAGCACTCAGTGAACACTTCCTGAAGGCCCCAGACTTTCTGCGATATCGGCGATTTCGGATAACAGAATGCCTCCGAGGAAAAGAAAGACAGTAGAGAAGCAGCCCACTCTGGAGGAACTTACAGATCAACCCGTCAAGGTTGTGACGTCGACCAAAACAGAGCATGCCACGACGTCGAAAAAGCAGAAAACGACGGGTGGTACTGATGCGAAGCAGCAGGAATCCAAGAATGACCTTTTCTTGAAGCGACGTGCCAAGAAAACTGGCGTGGCAGAAAATCCTGCCCCAAAGACGCAGCACGAAGCTGAGCCCCAAAAGGACAAGGCGATCGGATCTGAAGCTGGCATTTGGATAAACAGGGCTCCCACTCTCACCCTGTGGGTGTCCATCGTTGCGCGACAGCAAGGATTCAGCAAGGAAGCAGGTTGTTCTCCACTGATGGCTCTGAGATTGAGAAGCTGCCCTCAGAACCTTGCCAGCCTGTCTTCGCTATGCCGCAAAATTTCAATCTATTATCGCATCACGCATGTATCGCAAGTTGCCTATGAGCATAGCAGCATTGCCAACCGATGAATATCTCTGTGTGGCGCAGGCCTTACTTTTGGCAAGACCATAGCGGGCATTCTGGCCCACAGCAAGGGCCGGTCGATTGGGATATACGAAGACCATGACAAGAGCGAGGCAGAGGTGCAGGAGAAGAAGGAGAAAGAGGAGGCCATGGGGGTGGAGAGGGCTGACGTGTTTGGCATGAAGGGGGAGTCCCTTTGATCACATCCCTTTCCTACCTGTCCGTGATCCCATTTAGATGCCTGTCTGCCTCGCATATACGTAGAGACTTTGCCATTGCACTCTCTAGCGGTTGGGGTTGCCCGGGGTATGCAGCAAGTGTGCTATGGAGGGCAGCATGCAAGCCTTGGAGTACCAATCTTAATTCTACTCTGCGCAGATCAAGACTTTGAAGGATCAGGACGGGAACGATGTGCGCGCTCTCGACAGCGATGATCAGGCAGTGGACCCCAGCAAAGTGCAGAGTTACCTGACTAGAGCGTTTGGGACCAGGCTGCCCGATGCTGAGCGGGCCCTCACAGTAAGGATGTTTCACAATTTGATGCCATTGCTTTGGCATGCAAAGAAAATGTGAAGATCGGCAGAGATTGCCACTGCCAAACAGGAGTGCCGACGCTGTGAAGGATTGGCGACTCCGCCAGACAGTCACTTCTGCATGCAGCGCTGTTTGAGGTGGGAGGGTGATGCAAAGAGGGCTGATGGATGTTGCACTTGTGTGCAGGCACTGGCGGAGTCATACAGTGATGCTGATGAGCTGGCAAAGGAGGCGTACAACCTGTACTCAGAATTCAGGCCCCAGATCCAGACAGGGCAGTCAGGATGGGGCCAAAAGGGACTCTTGGACCTGCAGCACATTAAGCAGCTGCACAAGAAGTAGTCTTAAGGGCCAGGTGCTTCTGAAGGTGGTCAAGCCTTAAGAGTTGAGTTTGGAGAGCATCGTTGGGAAGCTTGATCATGAGCTGTTGCTAGAATTTCTGATTGTTCTGAGTAGGTGGGATACACAAAGGGAAACTGTTCCTTAATTAAGTGTTGAATTCAGTGAACATATACTCGTGTGAATGCAATGTTGCTTTCGTGCAGAATTGTATGCGCCATGTTCCATGCAGTAAGGCTTGCTATCCTGTTTGTGCTATAGCTATGCAGCAGGCAATGTTGATGTAGGGGTCATTTACGACAGGAGAATTAAATTTATTGTCTAAACAGGAAACTCGCAATCTTGGTGATACCATACACAGTAGCAAAGACAGAGGAGGCTGTCTTTGCTGCCATGTCACATGATCACCTGCCCAAGTCTCTATGTATAGCAAATTTTTAAGGCCTACGTGCCCCAAGAGGGTTTGTTCGGCAACCGTTGTAGACTTGATTTGAGGACTCACACACACTGCATCGTCAAGAATCAGGAGCTAAAAAATAGGCAAGGCTGCATGGGACCAATCACCGCCCGGCTGGCAGCAAATCTACCAGGACACCTGAAGATTCCAGAAGCGCCTTTCGTGCTCCTCAGAGAGCAGCAAAGTAGTCCTTGGAGTCCTTGGGAGTGGGCTTCATTGTCACATCACCGGGCTTCCAGCCAGCCGGGCAGACCTGCAAATGGAAGACAAGATTAGGATTGGGGCTTTTCTCTCACAGCGCAAGACAAGATAACCCGGAAGAAAGGAAACATCAGTCATTTCAAGCTCCCGTTACATTTCACCCAGACCGATGCCTTACCCAAGTTACCCAAGTTACTGCTCCTTGACTTTCTTACTATGAACACTTAAAAAACCTTCATAACTGGAAGCAACTGCTTCTGCCATGCTCAGAGCATGCCAAATGATGCACGGCAATATGGGATTCCAAGCCCCGGTGTATTACAGGGTAAGTACACCTCCTCATCAAAGGGCCAAAAAAAGAATGTATTTCTGGAGATGCTGATTTTGAGAAGAAATCTTTGCGGACAGATCACTAGTTTTCCACGCAAACAGATCAGGGAATAAGTGCACACCTCATCGGGATTCTCCTGCACATACTGGATGGCCTGCAGGATGCGCAGTGTCTCATCCACGCTGCGCCCAAATGCCAGGTTGTTGATGGTGGCGTGCTGGATGACGCCCTGCATGGCATCAGCAGCCATGCATCTGTCAGTAATATTACAGAGCTTGCAGCCAACTTAGGGCTGATCCGACGCCCAACTCTGATTTAGGACATATCATGAGCCCATTTTGCTACACACAGCTCTGCCAGAGCGTGGATCCTGCATGGCCGACCCAAGCAAGGCCACCCCGATAGGAGCAAACAGATCTTCCATCACTGTTTCTGGATAAAATCAGGTCTCGCACATGTCCCCAAATTCAGTTGCAGGCACATCGCCCCGTGGAGTGCGCTTTGAAGATTTATAATTTCATGATATGTAAGCCCCGTCTTAGCCAAGACCCGTTAAGTATAAATGGCAGTACATCGAGCAAGGGAGGTGCTGGCATCGCACCTCCTTGTCGATGAGGAAGAGGCCACGGAGGGCAACACCTTCTGGCGTCAGCACATTGTACTTCTGCACAATCTCGCGCTTCAGGTCGGACACCAGTGGGTATGTAAGGTCACCAACACCGCCCTGGTTGCGGTCTGCATGCACCCAGCAAGCTACTGCTTAGCATGCGCTTTTGGATTTGATTCTCTCACAGAACATGTGGGACATAGTTTCTCGTGTGACATTTCAATGCTTCCTTCATGCTGCAGAAAATTCATCCACGAAGCACTCTGTGTTGACAGAGGTACATGAAGGGTTGCTGAACGCAAGTACTGAGACATTGCTGAATATTGACTGCTGGTCAAAGCATGCATTGCTGGAAGTCTCCCCCAAGCCTGAGGAGATCTATGGCAGAGGGCCACGTCCAGCTTTTTATGCATTGATGTCAGAAACAATGGGCATAGTACAGGGGTGCATCACTGCATCTGGCATGACTGTTCGCAGATGAGAAGCTTGACAAATTCAGTGCTCCCACCTGTCTGGACCCAGGCAAGGTGGGAGAAGGGAGAGTCTACTGAAACTCCAAGGATCTGCGCAACAGACAACGAATCAGGCATGCAATGCATGATGCACGGCTTTGCTGGATGCTGGTGGAGTCGATCAGCACTTGCTGATCGGTACTTTGCTCTACAGCGCACCTCTGTGTTCAGCTTGGCAAACTCTCCATGGCGATCAGAGAAGGCTGTGATCTCTGTGGGGCACACGAATGTGAAGTCCAGAGGATAGAAGAAGAGCACCACGTACTTGCCCTGCAGACAAGATTCACGCCGGTGAGATCAAGAAGGATGCACGCAGCAGATTGACCAATCATATTGATAACACTGCTGACAGTATCTTTTAGGCACGTGGCATTTGCATGGACATATAGAAAAGAAGGCTATGCCACTCTTCGATGCAATGGCACCCACCCTGTACTGGGAGAGGGTCACAGTCTGGAACTCTTGGTCGTACACAGCCTCAGCTATGAAGTCCGGTGCCTCTCCCCCGACAAGTGGCAGCTGCAAAGGTCACCAATCTGATCAGACACACCCCGCGTGCAAAAGGATATTTTGTATGCCCCCATTGCCGAAAGGACGGCACTGTCGGAAATGATGCGACGATGGCTCCGTCTTTATCATTGCAAATCCTAAATGCACGCAAGTGATTTTAGCACTGCATGCAGGTATATGTTAACTCAAGTTGCTTCGCTCATAGATTCTCAGATCGTTAGGGACGTACCCTGTACTCTGCTTTGCATGTGTTGTCACGCTGCTGCCTCTGTGCACGGTGAGCTGATGTTGAGGCACGCAGACTCTGGCCCTGCAGGAAGGGAACACGGCCCGCCAAGATCCTGCCTGCTGGCCTGGCTGTCTGGCCATGGAGCTGGCACTGCTTGGCCGCAGAAATGGTCGGGCATGCCAATGATGCTGCAATCTGGGCCGCCATATCGAAAGCTGCCGCTCACCTCAATCTGATGCCAAACTCAATCCTGTTTATTTCCTGGAGGCTTGCTGGATGAAGGAGGTCTTTATGGCCAGCCAAGAATGCATAGGACATCAACCCTAAAACCCTCGGCTTAAACCCTACGCAAAGCATCAGGGGAATGCTAAACACAACGCCCGAGGATAACACCTTGCAATCGCAACCACTGCTTTCAAACCAACCTCCTAATCACGCCGTTCAGCACAAAAAACGACCGTCCTTCGTGACAGCACTCTGCAATGGCATCTGCTATGGCTGCATCCACTGTCTGTGCCCGCCCCAGCACCTTCCGTGGCCCCAGCGCCAGGAGGACTTTCAGCGTGAAGCCCACCCGTGGCGTCCGTGCCGCTGGCCAGTTCAAGGTGTGCTCAGGCGATCCGGGAAGTCACCAGCATAGCCTAAGATGGGGATTTCTCGAGGTTCAGCATGGCTGATTGGAGTGGGAGCCTGGCTGCTGAGCGCTGGTTCAGGAAGCTGCTTGTTGGATCAACTGGCAGCTGACTTTGCGTTTCCATGTGCAGGTCTCTGCCTACAAGGTGACCCTGAAGACCCCTGAGGGCGAGCAGACCATCGAGTGTGCAGGCAAGCCCTCTTTTCAATTCTGACCTGCCTGGTGCAATCCTCTCTGGAAGCAGGGTGGAAGGTGGATGCATTGTTGTCTTCAATAAAGCATGCTTCCATCTATCACCAGAAATTTATTGGTGCTGTTGTATAATCTCCCGTTGCTTCAGATCTGATGAAGCAGACGGCTCGGGATACAGTCGGTGTCCAGGACATACCCTTTGCCTAGGGAGACAGCTGATCTGTTCGGCGAAGAGGTTTGTGATTGCTGAATGCAGCCACTAACAATCTTTATGGTGGGTATGCAGATGACGTCTACATCCTGGACGCCGCTGAGGAGGCCGGAATCGACCTCCCCTACTCATGCCGTGCCGGAGCTTGCTCCTCATGCGCCGGCAAGGTCGAGGCCGGCACCGTTGACCAGTCTGACCAGTCCTTCTTGGACGACACCCAGCAGTCCAACGGCTTCGTGCTCACATGCGTTGCCTACCCCACCTCCGACGTGACCATCACCACCCACCAGGAGGAGGAGCTCTACTAGACGAACATCGTCTGATCCTGAAGTGCTTGTTTCTGGCGGGGAAGGTCCTTTCCTTCGGGCATTGTGATCTACAATTGAATAGATGAAGGAATGTGGCTTTTCTGGTTTTTCATGTTGTCGTGTTGTTTTGCACAGCCCTGAGAGAGTAGAGTCAGAACCCCCATTCGTGAGAAGACAAGACTACCAGTGCGTTCACACTGGTTTAACCCAGTGAGATTGCACTGGAGCGGAATGCTCCCGCATACTATTTTTGGCTTGTAAAGATTGCGCATGCCAACAATCTATGTTGTCTACCTCAGACCTGCCGGACAACAATCTACCTCTAAATCGTTTGGTATAAACGGCAGTTACAACCTTGGCAATCGCAAGCGACTTGGCTTGAAGCCTGTGCATTTCCAGAATCTTAAAATAGTGGCTGACAGCATCCAGCCTGGCCAAAGCACAGCTGAGTCATTGGAGACGACACAGGCCAGGGCCCAAGGAATATTCCTTTGAACGTCTCGCAGGCAAAGCAGGCATATCGATTTCCAGAAGTTTCAATGTCCTAGATGGTGCTCATCTGTCTGGCAAGCCAACATGCGATGCGCTTTTATTGGAATTAACAACATTCGCTGGTACAACAGTACATTTCATCTGCAGCAGCTCTGCTGCCATCCATTTCGCTCAATCCAGGGACACCACTGCCATTGCAAGCTAACCATCCTCCTCCCATACATCTAATCATCATCCTCCCGCAAATCATCTGTAGTGCCTACCAGCACTTGCCGGTAGGCTATCTTCAGAATGAGGTACGACCTGAAGAAGCAGCAAAACCCGGTCTTTTAGGCGGATCCCAGGCAGTGCTAGGTGTATGGAGACTGACAGGCATGGCAGCTCCATATGATTATGGAATGCAGCAATAACATGGCTCAACAGGGCTCGGCTGAGCTGCTTACCAGTATATGTGAAGGGAAAAGAGGAAGCAGAGCAGGCCCAGGAAGATCTCCCAGTGCGGATGGGGGTTGATATTGTGCACCTTTGCCACCAACTGCATAGCGCAACCAAGAACTCCCATTCAGCAAACCTCCAGCCAATCAGAAAGGCTTGCAAGGTCAGCGGATCTGCCTATCAGCCTTGAGGCTTACAAGCTACAGCACTGCCGCCATTGAGACATGGGCTCATCCTGGAGAGCAGATGCATCAGCGGTTGAAATAGCATGCATGATTGCAAAGCTGTTACCCTGACAAAAGGTATGCAGAGCAGCAGGTAAGGCATGCAGGACAGTGCCAGGAAAATTCCATTCCAGACAGTACGCATGGGCAGACACGATTTGCAGGGCATCAGTAGATCGGTGTACAATCAATAAATAGATTGGCTGGATGTGTCAGACGCATGGTGCAGGTAAAGCTCGAGGAGAGAAGGAAAGGGCGCACATTGATGGGCTCGTAGTAGACAGAGCGGATGACATAGACGGGGAAGTAGTAAATGCGCGAGGTGAACCAGGACAGCATGAAGACGGCGAACAGCGTGGTCGGCAGCCACCGGTGCTCCGCGTAGCGCGCCATCTTGGCGCTCTCCATGAAGATGTCATTGATGTCGTGGCACAGGAACACCATCGCCCCAACCTTCACAAAGCTGCGCGGACGCACACACACATGTTGGACATAACGTCCTGGAATATGATCAACAGACATGCACCGGCGAGGCAGCCCTTTCTCTTATCACTGGCGCTCGCTCTGCCTTGGTGTCTGCATTGCTCTTTCTATAGACTCAGTCAGTAGATCCAGCGATAAAGGACAGGTAGACCTGTGTGCCTGCATAAGGGTCCCTGGGACAATAACGGCCCCCTTTCTCGTCTTCCTAGACCTGTATGCCTTTCTCGTCATACAGCATAGGTATGATCACCGCAGCTATGCACGCGATATGCAGCACCAGGCTGGAGGATGACGGACAACAAAGCTCCTGTGAGCACAGCGGCTTCTCGAGGCAGTTAATCAGGAGATGGCGCCAGGAAGGGCGAGTTGCAGATCAAAGAGCGCTCACTTGACTTGGTGGGAGTAGGTGATGAGCCCCAGCGTGGCGATGTGGTGCGCCATGTTCTCCCAGAAGTCCTTCCTCCGCACCTCCCAGAACACCAGTGACGGCACCGCCTGCACGCATCCGCACCCACAGCTCAGGCGCTTATTCCTTCAGCCATCACCACGGCGTGATGCCATTTTTGAGAACATAGTTCCCCTATCCCTCTCTCCAAAGATTTCAAGTGATCTACATTATATCCGCCGACATACTTCGCCTTTCCCTTTTCCCCAAGACCCCTCGTGCGCTTCTATTGCTGGAAGCTGCAGCCTTCCCACCACTGGACTGGAAATGCATCAGGACTCTGCAGAACGATGCAGAAGAGGCGTTTGCCATGCCAGGAGGCTTGTATCGAGAGGCCTCACTCCAGGCTGCTGCGATGGCAGCTGTCAGGCACTTGGGAGTGAGGAAGTCAGGCGGAGGGTGCCTGCCTGCAGATAGTAGCCGAGCTCCAGGGCATAGAGCAGGCGCAGGCCGCGCGAGACCTCATAGTTGCAGGGAGGGAACTCCGTGCAGCCCAGCCAGAAATACCTGGTGTCCGTGAAGAAGCTGCGTGCCAGGACAACATGCTCAAAAGACAGGTACTTAGTAAGGGACAACATCTGATATTTATGCTCCCGGTCCGCTGCCTATTTGTGATCTCCAAGCTCTTTGAAAGTCCTATGTGAGTACATGTCCTCTATCAGTACTCAATGAGGCAATTCTTACAAGGCGGCTTGAGCATCACAGGGTGGACTGACAGAAGAGCTTGTAGGCGATAGGCAAGAGTGAAATATTATTGGAGAGGCCAAAAGCCCACTTCTCATTGATGCTGACGTAGAGCCCCAGAAGCACTAGCACAGTGTAGATTGACGTCTTCCAGAAGGACTCTGTAGGAAGCACAACACTTTCCCTCTCAGACCAGAGCTACCGCGGTTTTCAATGCGTGGCAGCCTAATGTCAATCCCTTGCTCATCATTGCTGCAGCAAGATGATGTGTTGCAGATAAACTTGATCAATTGGACAGGACTGAAGGATGCAAACGGCCAGGATGCAGTACCTTTATACTTGTACAGGCGAGACTCTAGGTTGGCAGCAGGTGGATCATCTGATTTCTTCTCCTTTGGGAAGAAGGATGCCCTGCCAATTGGCTGCAGACACATAAGTCGCATGTCAGCACAGGGGAGAATCGCACGGCATGTTTTCTCTGCCTCGGAGTTTGTGACCAGATCAACCAGGTGGAGCATATGCCTTCTCACTCAAATTGACTACAGTCACTTCAGATGGCAGTGGAATGATGTGGAAGTATATCAAGTGTCCGCCAAATACAGTTTCAAGCCATTGCCTCCACCACGTCGCTTATGCAACTCAGTGATGACCTTGAAAAGTTGTACCTGCGTTGCTTATAATCGTGCCTCGAACTCCTCAATACAAGTGTACCAGGTATTACAGAGATAAGCGACTTCTATTCTGATGCATAGGATGCGCTGAGGAGCCCTTGAACTCACCCCGAAGACGCATCTGTCCAGAGCGAAGCGCACGATTGGTAATAAAAATGCCAATAATATTGCCAGTGTGTATCCCCCTTTCCTCGTGTCCAGCATCGCGCCAATGTCCATAGCATGACCATTCAAGCCAATTGAGCCTCCCATGCTCCCACCAGCAGATCCTTGTTTCAATCAAACTCCTGGAGTTTGGTCCCCCATCAACAGACACATGGACGTGATAAGATGAAAGAAGAATGTCCTATTACATCCGGCAACCTTGTCCTTCCCACAGGCACTAACGCCCTCATGAAACACTACAGATCTCGCAACAATGCATTGTGGACAATTTGTGCCCTGCAGTGCAGCCTGTGCTCGCACGTTCCAACGGCGTTGCCCAGATTACGGTCCTGCCCAATTGGAGAATCCAGTGCGCAGTAGAAAGCACGCCGATCATGCTGCGTTGGAAATCAACTGCTAGATAAATCATGGTTGGAGACAGCCTAGAATTCAGGTAGCAGTAGCCGGCCTGGAATGGCGCGCCGACGGGAGGCGGCAGTGACCACTTGGATCATCCTTTCCATTTTCGTGTTCTTGGATAGCGGACTGTCGCTCGTCCGGGGACAAGTGGACCAAGCAAATGCCAGAGCAGTCGATGGGTTCAGTTCTGCAATTGTTCAAGCAGGTAACTGATCCATGGATCCCACGCACGACACAAACCATGGGTTCGCAGATCACATGCCGGGAACCAATTGCAGCTTTCTGCACACGATTGCCCCTCGGTGCAACAAAATTGCTTGCCTTGAGATAGTTTGGGTGTTTTTATATCATATTGGATCGTATGAGGGCGTAAGCAAGACGTTGAGGCCTGTTTCACTTGCAGGAACGACCGTGGCCCAGGCAATTTGCACACCGCTGTCGAGAGCCGACACCATAACGCTTTTCGATGCCGCGACCGGCCAGACACTGCAATCCACCTGCGGTGAGCCACAATGACCTCGACGAAAAACTAAGTCCAACAAGCTTGAGGACATGCCTATATACAAAGTGCGCTTCCAGGCCATGTGATGCTTTGGGCTTGACTGTGGACCAATCTGCTGACTTGCTGGCGTTTTGCCGACCCATGCAGAGGTGACGGACAAGATAGACCAGTTCATAAGGGGCGTGCCAGGGGACCTCAAGAGCGCAGCAGAGATTGTGCAGACCCAGGTGAACAGCACATTTGGGTTTGTGCAGTACATGGAGAGCACCCTCAGAGGCATTGTAGGCAACATCACTGCCCAGGTGGACGCCATCAAATCGATTAGCAAAGGTGCGCCTCTCCCCCCCATTGGTTTTCTGCCTTGCTCTCAGTAAGCGAAATCCTCAACACCAGAGCCCCCTAGGGCTGAGGGCAAACAGTGACTTTGGCGGGAACTGGGAAGAGCTGAGTTGATGTGTCTGGGCTGACATGCAAGTTTGGTGCCCACTGTGCCTAGGGCGGCGTACATTGCTTGCAGGATGCTGTGCAAGTCTGGGAGTGACCTGCTGGTTGGTTGATCACTCTCCTGTGTGTGCAGAGAAACCAATCAACCTGAAGGGTGTCTTTGAGAGGCTGGTACAAACAATTGAGGACAAGAAGACCAGTGATCCTCTGTGCATTGACGCTCAAGAGTACCAGGGCGCCAAAATCCCCACGCAGTGTGTGGTGCGTTCCCTCCTGACAATATGCCATGCACTTCTTATATTTACGGCATGTGACGCTCTTATCTAATTTGTGCTGATTTTCCACAACCTCGCTCCAACCTGCCACTTCTTTTAGCAGTCGGCAACTCCTCCTGGTTGACGCAAACTAATCCTTCAAGCGAGTGTTGACTTGCTATTGTGATTGCCAGCTGTGTGGAATGCAATCGCACTGGACTGGACCCCATGCATTTGACCATTGGACAAATTAGGGACAGTGAAAGAACTATGCGCATGGAGCAACACCCATCTCTGTCACTTGCTGCAGGGGCCGGTGTTCGCGCTGCTCTTGGATGGGGGCGCGTGTGTAGAGGACCCAGACACCCTGGAGATAACCTGCACACAGCCCTCGGTCACCCTCACAAAGACCCCTGGCGCATGCAACCTCAAATACACCAGCCCCACCGTCATCCAGGTGCTGACTCACTCCTCTGCAGCACTCGCGTCCAAGACTTCCCGTGCTTCGTTGGCTCAGCAGTGTGAGCTTTGATGGCACGCTGAGTCACAGTTGCACGATGTATAGAACTGGAGATTGTGCTTGCCTGTGTATTGGGGAGAAGGGTGTTAAGAGAGGCTGATGCAGATTTTGGGTGGTGCATACAGGACAGCTACTGTGCAATGAGCACAACCTACGGCAATTCTACGTCGGGCACCTTCAAGCACCCTGCAGAGATCTTCAACCTCGCAAAGCTCATGACGGTGCGGGCACCCCTCTTGACCACCGGCCACACAGCAAACACCTCCTCATTGCCATGACCATGGGTCTCCTGAGCAATGGCCTTGCGGCAGACGAAGGGCATCAATGGCTTAGCTATCTTGGGTCGCGGCTGCAGAAACAGATTAATAAGACATACTCTAAGGGAGGACTAAAATCTGTATTGCCATTCTGTGCAGATTCCCAACCCGTTCAACCTGGACCTCAGCTTGTACACAGCCACCGCCTCCGCCTCCGCATCCCCAATAGCAAAACGTGAGCAGCAATCTTCCGCAGTGCATGCCTTGCCCATTCTCTTTACCAGCTGGAATGAAACATGTCTTCGATGTTCAGGTGTCCTACACCGAGTAAGAACCTCACAGAATGTGTTGTTTAAACCAAAATCCAAGAGCTTTATTGTGGGTGCTTGCAGCACCGGAGGTGGCGCCTCTCGCAGAGGTGCCGATTGTCCAGCCACCTGCGCCGCCGCCCCCGCCGCCGGCCCCGGTCCCGGCCCCGGTCCCGGTCCCGGCCCCGGCCCCGGCCCCAACCCCCGTCCCCGCACCAGCACCCGCGCCAGTTTTGGCGCCAGCCCCCGCGCCTGTCCAGGTACCGGCCCCCGCGCCAATCCAGGCACCAGCACCGGGGCCCGGGGCGGCCAACTCACCCAAGCCTGTCAGCACCGAGGCGCCGAACACCGCGCCGTTCGCGCAGGCGGCCCCCAGCCTGGAAGAGTTGCAGCAGCAAGGCATGCATGAAGATGCACAGAAGAAGGCAAATGATGCAGCATACGCGCAGAAACTGGCTGCAGAGGAGGCTCAGAAGACAGCGACTGCGGCACCTCAGCAGGGCGCGCAAGCGCTTCAGGGCCTGAGCCCGGTGCCTGTGTCGCCGTCCCCCGTAGCGCAGGTGGGCGGTCGCTGACAGGTGATTACAAATGGCTGTCCGCTGCTTGTCGCATGCTGCTTGTTCCATGCCCTGCTGCAGAGCAATGTGCTCTACTCAGGTTCAGGTCTTTGCACACATTCACGGCAGCTGTTGATTGAAAATGCAGCTGACAAAGATTCCTAGAAAGGTGAGCGTGAGTAAGCAAGGATTGCTCATTTTTTGACAGCTTTCAGTATGCCTGCAACATGCTGAGGCGTACTGTCTGCTGATGTGATCTGTCGTGCAGGCACTTGTGCTGGCACAACGGCCCGCGCCAGCACCAGGCAGTGTCGATGCTGCAGCCTTCAGCAACCTCATCTCGCGGCTCGTCAGCAGCGGCGAGGCGCAGGAGATCTATGGCTGAGCTCAGGCTGACTCTCGCTCAGCAACAGCGTCCTTTCTACTTTCAACATCTGTCGTCATGTCACGCCCTGTTGCACTGCGACTGTCACACGGCAACCATGTGCAATGAGTGGCAGGGTAGTTGGCAAGCTCTCTCATGATGGCTGTTGTGGCAGCCTTCTGATCGTCAGAAGTCCTGAGATACTGAAAGCTTGTCCAAGAACTATCGGAAGTATAGCAGCACACATGCTCAATGTTCTGCCTTTCTTGCACAGCATGCGCCGTACAGGCGTGTGCATGGCCAGCGCTGCTAGCAAGGACAGGAGCATAGGAGGGGTGATATCAATGGTGTCCATTGGGAGACAAGACTTTTTAGGCTTTGATGTAATGCAACGCAAGGCGATAAGCATTGCAGTGATGATATCTTGGTGTGCTAAGGTCTGCGTTCATTGCATCCACGGTGAAGGCTGTGCCTCATGGTGAGGTGTAATCTGGTGGGATTTGGAAAGCCAACCAAGCAGTCAAGAATTCGCAACGCATGCGAATCGCCGTTGTTGCGGCGGACTTCGGCCCAGGACAGCGCTAACGAGCATCCACGGAGGGTATCCACTCATTTGCATGGGTTTTTTATGCATGTGCAGGTGAGAAAATCTAAATGTAAATTTCTAGTCGCACAAGAAAATCAAAATAACACCGCAGTTCCGCAAGAGACTTGAACCGGGGACCTCGCTGTTTGTATTTCAATCTTGTCTTCAATCACCTGGCCATGCAGAAAAAGTGTGGAGATGAGAGAGAAGAACACCAAAGAAGCCCGAGCAAAAGGGGAGATTGGCAAAAGGACAGATCGTCACGTCGGGTTCGCAGGTGGTCACCCAACCCACTACTGGTGACGCCCAATGCGGCTTTGCTTCCGGGAGCGGACGAGAACGGGCGTGTTCAGCCTGGTATGAACGATCCGTGTCAAAGGTGGATTGATGCACATATATGTACTGCACTACGGCGGATTGCACACTCGAGTCAGGTTCCTAGCTTCTAGACATGTGCAGTAGATATCTACAGGCATGCAGGGCACTGCAATCGTGAGGGGAACTTCCCCTGGGGAAGGTCTGCCTGCAAAATGACTGGGGCTACAACTGATCGTTCAATATGTATAATGGCTCGAGCTCCAGAACACCTTTTGTTTGCCATTGAGGCACCATGATCTTGTTCAAGAGTCAGAGGCATGCAGTGATCACAGCAACATCACACACGCAACAAGAAGAAGAGGAATGCTCACATCAGACATCTTGAAGACATCCTGATTCACACACTTATCTGCATCTTGCTCATACTTAACTACCTCTTGCGCATATGCAAAATGACGCGCTTCTTGCCCTAAGTGATGCCATATGCAGACCACCTGGACATCAGCATAGATGGCCAGCAGTACAGGTATACCGTAATATCTTGCCATGTAAGATCTTGCCACATTCCTTTCTTGCAGTTCCTTTATGCATTTTTTGCAACAATCCCTCCCAGCAGCACCATCTGTTGCATTACCCACAGCAAAGAACGCAAGTCGAGCCTAAAAAACCCCAGACAGTCATAAGTAACAAATACAGTACATCGATGACATCATTCAGGAGGTTGCCAAATCGTTTGATTATTTTCTGGTGAAGCAGCCCCAAAATTTCCAATTCCGACCATCCTTGCAAGCTCCCCGGATGACAGGCAGTGCAATCAGAAGCCACCAGGCCCCTGGTAACTGTTTCCACCCCCGTATGCGGGCTGCTGGTTGCCGTAGCCACCGCCACCGTAGCCGCCACCACCGCCCTGCTGCTGCTGCTGGCCCCCGTAACCGCCAGCTCCATAGCCGCCGCGGCCTCCTCCGCCGTAGCCTGCTTTCAGCAAGCATGCCTTTAGTCAGCTTGCAGCAAACACATCACCAATACACAGACAGCACATCCCTCATCAGCCCACATTTTCCTACATTTTAGGCTTTATGCACAGCTCAAGATGCCAAAGTACATGCTGGCGGCACAGGCACGCATCAACAGGACAGCTTTCACGATATTTTGTCGAAGAACTGAAAATCTACAGCAATCAAGGCCGTGACAGGGGTGCATACCTCCGCCTCCGCCATAGCCGCCCGGAGACCGAGCCGGGGGGCCCCCGTAGCCGCCGCCGCCGCCCCAGGGGGCTGCGCCCCCCTGCGGTGGTGCACCGTAGGGGGAGGTCTGCGGCTGCTGCGGCGCTGCGCTGCCCCCGTAGCTGTTGTAGCCGGGTCCTGCGCCGCCGGCCCCGTACATGCCTGCATCCAGTCCCGGAGATTAGCATACACAGCACACACAAGCATCGTGGCTGGGAGAATGTGCACAACAGCACATCAAGTGAGCTTAGCTCCTGCAATAGAGCATGCAGTGCAAGTGATGCCTGAGGCAGAACCTCCCAATAGATTCACGCCACCCATGAGAAGGAATGGGTTATGCTCACCCCCTGGAGCGCGGCCGCCTCCATAGCCGCCGCCGGCGCCGCCAGGAGGCGGGAGTGGTTGCATGATGGGCTGGTTGAGGGTAAGCTTGGTGATGTAATCCACCAGCTGCCTGCTCTCCTTCACATTATCCACCGGGTCCACTCTGCATGGAAGAGCCACTCAGAATCTGTGTGAAATCTGGCAAACAGGCAAATCAAATCTCATGCTACCTCTTGAAAACGACCTCTGCTTGGCACAACAACATTTGATGCACAGATTGAGCTCCAATCTTTGTGGCAGGCGGCAGCATGTTTGCGGCCTCAAAAGTACAAGACATTTCGTTGACTTCCGATGATCAGGTTGCCAGCTGCTTGATGGCGTGTGGCATGCAGCGGGAACGCTTAAAGGAAAAAAGAGCTATTCAGGGTGTGAAGCGTGCAAAGGGGCCTCACCTGACGACGTTGATGCGGATGCGCTGCTCGTCTTGCCAGGTGTCCTCGCTGACCTTGAGCTTGAAGAGGTAGGAGCGGCACTTGACGTCGTTCAGGCGCGCCTCAAACAGCGGCGACTCAGCCTCCTTCAGCTCCTGCATCTCGTTCGCCGTGTAGCCGATGATCTGCTTCCCCTCCTCCTGCACAGCGCAGCCATGCCACAATCTCAGCAATCTCTCAGGATTCCTCAATCGGAAGAAGCCACAAGAAGCTACATACCTACCAGCATCATCGATCCATGCTGCACATCTACAAGACCACCCATCAGGGACTCAAAGGGACACGTTGAGGATAAGGATTTCGCAGGGCCATTATGCTGTTGGACCCCAGGACGTCCTTTCCCCCTGTACCAACGTGGTAGCCTTGCATACTGCCTCAGATGCTGTGCGCAGAGCACATCGGATTTAAGCATGCATGCTCAAGGACTTCCTCCTCATTCCAGCGCATCTCTTCCCGCAGAACCATACATGCCAACGATGCATCGCATTCATGGGTTAGATGCTGCATGAGCATTCTCAGATCCCAGGACATCTTCCACTTCTTCTAGATACTATGATAGCAGGAATGCCCTGAGGGTGAAGGTGAAAGGGAGAACACCGTACCTGGAAGGCGGTGACCCACTCCTTGCCGGAGTGGTCCTCGATGTTCAGGTTAAGCATGTAGCGGTACTCGGCCTCGCACGCAGCGCTGCAGCGCTCGCACCACCAGCGGTTGGGGCCGTCGCCGCCGCCGCTGTCGGTCACCTTCTTGTTGCACTGCTTGCCGTTGTACTGCAGCGTGCACGCCGGGTACGCGATCGGGTCCGACTTCACAAACGTTATCGTGCACACGATCTGCGCAGCACAGCACACGCTGATCATTGATGCGCGGCACGGCACACGCCGATGAGTGATTTGCTCTTCTGTATGCCCCACTGTGTGTAGTGAAGGCATGCATGCATGGAGTGCAAACATCTCACTCTGATCCTGACAAGTGGTGCTGACAAAGAGTCAAAGAAACTCACTGTGGAGAGCGACAGAGCCTTGCATCGAGATAATGAAAGACATATTTACACGCTGTAAGCAGCCATCCATGGACATGCCCACAGCTGCACCCTGTTCCCATGCTGTGATGCTGCTGCTGGATTGACTTAAGCAAGGGAGCAGGTGCAGGGAGCAAACCTGCACCCAGGCATTGGTGCTGTTGGTGCCCAGGGCCTCCTCCTTGATGGTGGCCAGCGTGACCCGCCTGTCGCCCTTGCCGCCACCCACGCTGGCGCCACTGCCACTTGTCAGCGCACTCACCGGGGCCGCTGCGCCGCCCGCGCTGTCAAACCTGCAGCCATGCGCACAGCCATTTCACTATGCCTCCTACTTTCTGGCCCTTCATCAGGACGTTGAGGAAGGCTGAGGGTCGCTAACGTACTTCAGGACTCAATCAGAATTAATATCACAAGATTCCTGATGGCCAACTAGTATCAAAGGCAGCCATAAGAAGAAGCACGACGTCCCCAAGTAGAATGAGCAAGCCTAAAGGGACTCGTCTTTGATCAGCAGCTTGGGACAACACATGCCAGATCTTATGGGAGCCATCGTATCAATGCTTGAATTCGCTTTCAACGAGTCCAGCAATTCTTGCTTGGGGTGCCCTGCTGGTGCAGCAACCAGCTTGTGAAGGCCAAGAAGCACTTGAAGGGAGCATGAGGGCTCACCAGTGGCGAAGGTGGCCGGCTTCGGGCACATCGGGGTCCACAGTGAGCGTGGTGGTTGACACGGTAGACAGAGTGCGGCCGTTGTAGTCGCCAATCTTGGCGTTCTTCAGCGCCAGAACCGAGTGCACCCCGCCGTTGAAGCTCTGCAGCAGCAGCAGCAGCAGCATAAGTCAACCTAGCGTGTAGACATTCCCTGTCATGTAAAAGCTGGCAATTGTATTCGATCAGCTGCCAATGCAGGTGTGGATGATGCCACACGCATAGGCGCGCAGCTTCTTTGGGCAACTTTTGCCTGCTTTACAACCAACAGAAATGTATACAATTGCTTCTAGGGTGACAAGAGATGCAGCATGCGAAAACAAGAAGTGGGTCACAGAAAGTAGAACACCTCTTCCAGCTGGTCACCGGGCTCTGAGGAGTATGTGCCCCAGAGGGTGATCTCCACCGACGCCCCAGAGTCGTCCCGGATGCTGATGTTGCGCTTCATGAGCTGCCGGCACACACCACAGCCTCAGCACACCAACACTTCTCACACATGTCCACAGACATGCATGCTATACAGTGCAAACTTGTCAGTTGCAGAATAGTGCACTTTGTGACAGGGTTCAACCTCCCACAAGAGCATGGTCCCTTCAGTGTGGATTGAATTCAAAGAGGATTAGGCCCTCACCTCTTTGCCTTCCCTGGTCTGGATGACAGCTGAGGGGTCCACTTTGTCGACAATGCCAATAATGTCCACTGTCTCATTGGCAAACTTGTCGTTCAGCTCCTTGACCTTGATGAACTGCATGGACAAGTAGGTCACGTCAGCTGAAGAGAGTGGAATCTCAACTGCGTCATAGCATGCAGTGATATTCGCGAGCTTTCAGGGACGCCTTACATGATATTGCATCTTGGGGATGGCCCGCTCATCTTCCTCGCAGACCTCGATGACTGTATTAGGCTCCAGGGTGATCTCGTAGTCATGCCTGGTGTTGTTGAAGGCCTGTCCCCCAACGCACAACCACAACTAAAAATCATAACGCAGAACACTGATATAGATATTTTTGTGTATTCTGAAATGGTGCAGAGTCAGACATCTCAGGCTGCTGCCATTGTCCTTGCCAGAACATCTGCACAGCGTTTCATAATGCAGGCTGTCTGCACCGGTCAACAGCAACAGTCAGAGAATGTCTGTTGGGAGTCTCAGAAATATACTGCTGGGGCGCACCGAGCCGGGTTTCTTGTTCTTGAGGGAGGCCTTGGACATCATGATGACAGCACCCTGCTGCATGATGGGCTCGAACTTGTCCACGCACTGGTTGAAGCCGCAGCCGCGGATCTCGCCGCCCTGCGCATCCAGCAGCTCGAACGAGAACAGCTTGCCTGCATGCATGCACCACGCACACTTAGCTCCAGCAGCAAACAATAGTTCCATCTGCAGGACTGCCACGCCACTGCCATCATCAGCATTGGATTGAAGCTCAACAAGCACGACTACTGGTCTTGACAATGGCAATGAATCCACGTGTCCTGAGGACAGCCCAAACGACCTCCAGGCTTCCCAAAAACAAGTACTGTGGATCTGCTGCAGAGAGGGAGGGCGTGCCTTCGCCACGGGCGTTGCTGTAGCGGCGGATCTCGCTCTTGTTGGTGATGCGCGCCTTGATGGTCCAATGGCTCTGGTACGAGTTCAGGCTGCTGATGGGCACGATGCGCGGCGGCGCCTCGTTCCGCGCAATTGGCCCGTGGCCCTTGTAGTTCCCATTCTGCCCGTAGCCACCACCGCCGCCGCCACCACCTCCACCGTACCCACCTGCAGCACAGGCAGTCATATCAGCTTCATATAACGGCGCCTGTACTCTCCCAAATGACCTCAAATTCTGCTTTGCTGGCAACAAGTTTAGCACACGCGCCAGACAGATGCCGGCAAACCTGTGCCAATCTGAGTAACGCAGGAGAAAGTGCAGGCGTGAGATGCTTGCTCACCATAGGCACCGGCGCCGCCGCCCCCGTAGCCCCCTGTGCTGCCGTACCCTGGTCCAGCCTGGCCTCCCCGGCCGCCTCCATAGCCCCCGGCCCCTGCTCGCGCAAGAGACACAATCTCAATTACCACTGCCGCCTTGCAGCAGAACTTTGCCATCTGTGCCAACATGCTGTCCCTGCCCTGCACACTTGTAAATTGACATGCATAGGCAGCAAAGTACTTCCACTTAGGTGTGGCTGTGGAGAGACGCACCAGCGCCGCCGCCGTAGGAAGGCGGGCCTCCGTAGCCGCCAGAGGCAGGGGGACCTCCATAGGCCCCTGCTGCTGGCGGCGCGACGCCTGTGGCATAGCCGTTTGCTTCCACTTTCGGTGCCGGTGGCCCTCCGTACCCGCCTGCTGCTCCATTGGGAGGGCCGCCATAGCCGCCACTGCCATTTCCATACGGCTGCGCCGCTGCCCCTGTACATGTACATGAATGTTCAGGACCAAAGATTGGTAGCCACCCTGATCTGAGTTGCAGGTGCTCCTGTCCTCACGACCTAAAGCGGAACATTGATGAATGACAAGATCGTCTCAGTATCGTAGATGGATGGCTAGATAGCACTTCAGGGCTCAGCATACATCCTCACCGTTTATGGCTGCATATGGGCCCGAGCCGGCACCTCCAAGGAGGGGTGCGGGTCCACCTGCGTTGCCTCCTGAGTTCTGGCCCTTGCCCACTTCTGTGGCATCCGCCATCTTGTCGCTTATGCCCAGGTTGTCAAGCTGGAGCAGGATGAGGACTCTGCAGAGCAGATGAGACCAATGGGCTCATGATAAATAATGGTTTCTTCACTCCGACCACCTTGGTTGAGATCCTCAAGGACATTTCGCCACAGACAATCAGGACCAAGCGGCAAGGGTGAGGTAACTCACTGTCTGTTGTTGACGTTGTTGAAGAGATATTCCTCCAGGCGAATAACTGAGCCCACTACAACAACTTGGTTTGTGACGAGGTCGTCAAGCTGCGTGGCCGGGATGGCAGTAATCCAGTGCTGGCCATCGCTGAGAGCCAATCGATGGCGCTGCTTTCCATCCCCTTTGTTCGGCACAGGTTTGACACCTGCTTGGAAAGGTGTGCCACCAGTTACTGACAAGCTCTGAGATCATCCTGTCAGCTCAACCCTGGCCGCATGAAGTCCGTTTGTATAAAAAATACATATATGTCTTGGAGGTGTGTTGAACCCGATCAAAGAAGAGCGAAGCAGCAAAGACACAACCGTGAAATGCACCCAGAACTTTTATTGGTGCTGCCTCAACCGCTGCACGCATGTTCTGAGCAGGGGCTTCATCTGGCCGTTCTTGCGCACATGGCATAATAGGAACACCTTGCAAGCCCTCCGTTGAAAGCTTTACGCCAGCAGAAATTAATGATGGTGTCAACATCAACAGCACTGCGTAGGCTGCTTCGCAGAACAAGACGAGGGAGCGCACCGATAATCTGCACGACTGCCTTTATATCTTGTGCGCCGTCAGCTATGGCCTGGACAGCGCCTGCTGACAATGGTGGCAGGGGCTGTGCCATCCGTGATGAGTATCAGAACCAATCAAAAGGAGGAACACCTTGCCAAAGGCATTCTTACGGTCACGAATGTGTGCTCTATCACTCACAATAAGTATAAAATTGTTTTCTGCGTTTGGGAAAGTGCGATGCAGTTCTGTTTGGGCGTCAAGATGGGAAGCCGTGCTTTGATCAAAGCATGCCGTAAGCAGCGTTCAACGGCGTGTCTTGCCTGCTGTTCATTCTCGGCGGGTATTGCTCACATCCTTCCCACAGCATCTCGGCATTGGCACAATCAAGCGAATTTTCTACATCAATTAATCGCTTTTGGTGGTTCTGGGTCAGGCATCGTTTGTGCCCTTCGGTGTACACTGAATTTGATGTAAGAAATCAGTTCCCCTATTGAAGCGCAAGTCTTGTGCCCTATCAGTGTCCAAACTTACAGCTTCATGAGACAACACTGATATGACAAGTTCCACAACGTTGTGCCGTCCTGCGCTCTCCTTGGGCTTTTCCTTGTACATGTTGTGCTTCAATTGACACTGATAGCGGCCAGTTTATAGGCTATCATGGAAAATGGGGCAAAGGAAGATGTCTTGTCCACTGAGAAGACCGGCACAGAAGACCTTAATCCCAAAGAAACATCTGAAGGACCAGAAATGCCAGAGGATCCCGGCACAAGTGCCCCAGGGGGAGCGGAGGATGATCAGCAGAAGGAGAGAATCCCAATTGTGTGGACAGGCCGCCCCAAAGACCCCCCAGCAGCAGCTGCGAGCAGCACCGGGAACACTGCGGACACCACAGACGGCGCCACCGCCGCCGCAGCCGCAGCCAAACCGATGCAGCGGATGAAGCCCAACGCCGGCTTCCTGCTCAACCTCGTGGCAGACGCGGAGCGCGGCAACAAGCGCAAGTGCGCGGAAGAGGCCACCCAGGTCTCCCTCAATGTCCTGGGCCAGGTGTGCCCCAGCTCTCTCAATGCATTGCAAGTATGCGCAGCATTCCACGTTTGGCCACTTCTCCTTTCTCGTTGGTCGCACATCTCCTCTCGCATCGCGCTCATGCTTACAAGCTGCACACCCATCTCCATTTCAAGGGTCGTTCTTTGCCGTGTTTCTCTTCCCATGCGCCCTTGCCTTTTGTCCATCACCTATAACTCTGAAGCCAAGTGCCCCTGCCTTTGGTGGATACTTTTCCTCAGGCAGAGTCATCAATTCAGTCAGCTCTGCTTGGGCTAGCACATCCACCAATGCTAACTTTGGCCGCAGGCGGTGGCTGCGGGCGTGCGGCCGCAGCTGGGGCGCGTGGGGCCAGATGGGGGAGATGCAGCGGTGCGACGGGTGGTGCTGTCAGTGGCGCAGCAGCAGAGGCTCGCCGCCTGCAGCGCGCTGCTGCGGGAAGTGGCCGCTACCTTCGGCTTCGCGCTGCACATCGCGCCTGATGTTGGGGACGAGGATGCAGGTGCGCGGAGTAATCACCGGCATTCTCTCAGTTCCAAACGCACAGAATCTTTTCACAGCACACAGAACAGAGTCACATTTTGTTGTCCAAAGCATGCAGCACAGTCTTGCGGGTTCCAAGAATAAGTGAGCTAATATACATTGGATTACGCAACTTATGAATTGCGATCAAGCACTTGATTGCATCAGGTCATGACTCCTCCTCTCCTCACCTTGACTATCCAGCAAGATGACAGGGCATGCTGAACTGGTATTCCTGGATCTTGCAGCAGAAGGCGAGAATGAGACAGCTGCGTCAGGCGGGGGTCCTGCAGGCAATAGCGGAGCAAACAGGCTGCCCAATGGAACCAGCGAAGCAGAGAGGGACCGTACAGGATTCCAAGCACTGCAGCCTTTGCGTGTGCAGCTGAATCTGGCTTCGCGTAAGCAGACACCCGAGCCCGACAAAGCTGTGTCTGCGCCATCAAATGATGATGACTCTGCCCAGAGGTACGGCCTTTCTGAGCCTGGAGCAACATTGGCTAACAAGATATTGGCTCTATTCTTCGATGTGCTGCTGTACTTCTAATTTTTGCGCTGCGCTGTGGTCATCTATGAATGATTGTTATTCAAGAGAAAGAAATGACCATTCACTGTCTCCCACAGGCCACCCAAGCCAAGGGCCCCAGGCATCAACATGACAGCAAGCAGGCTGGCAGGCGCTGCTCTGGGGGCTATTGGAGTGGCGGTACCAGAGAAGCCAAAGCTGTCACCATCCCAGGCACTCCAGAAGGTTTCTGCCAAGGTACTTTTGCGATACTGTTTCTGCCTTCCATATCTATGCACAGATGGATAGCATGACATGGGCATTCGTCCGATGCTCATGGATTATGTGGTCTCGATTGCCACTGCATCGGCATCATAGCACAGAGCTGAGGAGCATCATGCGCAATTGATGCGGATCACTGATGCGGGTAATTCACCCTAGAGTCTGAATGCTGCAGGGCCAAGGGAAGGCAGGGCTGTTTGCGCGCAATGAGACTGAGGATGAGGCAGCGAATGGCATGCAGTCTTCTGAGGAACTCGATGACCTGGAAGATGTTGACGATCTTGATGCGGATGCTCTGATCAATGCTGCATTGGAGGATGCAGCCTCTGCTGAACAGTCTGCCGACGAGCCTCCGCTCTCCAACAGCAGACAGGCAAGGCTCCCCTCTTTCAGGGTCTTCCGTAGCGCACGATCTTGTCGGACAAGTGGCCTGTGAAGGGTTCTGTAACTGCCCCAGTGCTAGAAAAAAGCCAGGACCTTTAAACCAATGAGTGGCCATGACTGATATGTTAGGAAAGGCTCTGGTGGGGATACTAAATTCATTGTCATGAACATTGCACGCATTTCTGGGGTTTCGATCATTCATATCTTGCTGCAGGAACCTGCAACTGAGATGGGGAGCGGCTTCTCTTCAAGATTGATGCGGCACCTGGGAGCCTCCAGGGCTCCCACCCCAACAGGCAACGGGCCTCTCTTGGGAGCTGCCTCCAGAGCAGGGTCCTTGAAGCCCAAGGGAGCCCTCAGGATGGATGTAACCGGTCCAGAAGAGCAGGAAGAGCAGCTGAAAAGATCCGATGAGCAGGAGAAAGTGCCACCCAACAAGCGGCAACGGGCCAACTCTGGCTTGCTGTCGAACAGCGCAAAGAGGCAGCAGGGGGAGGAAGCTTCTGCTGCAAGTCGTGCCGATGCGGCAGCTGCGGAGAAGCTGCCAAGGAAGGCAGCCGCCGCACCGGCACCCGACATGGCGCGTCTGCTGTCGCGAGCCAGCGCAGCGGCAAACGTGCAGAAGCGGCAGCCAACTGAGAAGGCCGCGAACGGCAGAGCCGCAAGCGACGGCACTGAGAAGAAAACCGGCAGGGAAGGGAGGAGTGACATGGCGGCATCTTCGGCGGCCCGGGACGCCTCTGCTTCTGATGACAGCGCTGGGTCGGAAGGAATGGAGGAAGCTGTGCAGAAGCGTGCGCCAAGGCGGTCTGTGAGGGGCAGGGGGGCTGCAACGCAGGAGTCAGAAGCAGCAGAGGGGATTGCAGGCAGGTTAAGCGGTAGCAGGCAGCAGCTCAGAAGCCAGAGAGAGAGAAAGAGGGAACTTGACGATGATGAGGAGCCTGGCTATGGGGAGGATCAGAGTGCGAGGGGTGGCAAGCCCGGGGGAAAGGCAGGCAGAGGGCTTTTTGGTGCGGCAATGGCTGGTCTGCAGAGGAAATGAGCTGGTTCATGAACATCATGTGAGACGGAATTTGACTCACAAAGATTTCTAGGTGCAAGGTCCCAAGCTAAAGCATCTCTGATACCACCTTATAGTATCGCGCTCGCTCACACATGAGTTACAGTGCCTGCTGTGGCACATGGACTGTGAGTAAAAGAACCAAGCTTAAGCAAGGTATCAGTCTGAAAATCAGACACGCAATTCATCCTGAAGGCGTTTGAGCACGTTCATATACTGTAATCTAAATACTGCAAATTTGCAATGTGTGAAGTTCCATGAACTACCTAGCACACCACAAGTCCTGACACTGCTTTCAAGAGAAATAGCTACCAAAATTTCGCACGCAGGATCAACTGCACAACAGCATCAATTCTAGAAATTCGTCCGCATAAGCTGCTATCCTAATCTTTGCCAAAATTTTTGCTGCACTGCCAAGTGCATGCTGCAGCTTGTGAGCATTTGAGCTGCCCCTATGCACTGCAAACTGCGCCCAGCCCAGAAAGTTGCGCCATGCAAGAAGCCAATACGTGCGCTTAATTGGACATCCCTGCAAGGACTAGTGCTCGGCAGCAGCCGCCTGGTTGAAACTCAGAATCTGCTCGCCAACATCCTCAAAGCTCTTCACATCAAATCCCCACAGCCATGCATGGCACCCCGCACTTCGTGCACCAGTGATGTCATTCCTGCATAGCACACAGAATGTCACATCCAGCATGCATGACTAGAAAAACTCCTGCAAGTCAGGACGTTGCCTGCTCGTCACTCTGGCTGTACAGGTCACAATGACCCACAATTGCAGCATGCCATAAGAGAGCTTCAGCAGCTGTGACAACACAGAGTATGCCAATAAAAACAAGCGGTACAGGGGAATGCATGCGTGCCTGCGGTCATCCCCAATGTGCACAGCTTCCTCTGGTTCCACGCCCAGCTGCTGGCATGCAATCTCAAAAATGAGCGGGTTGGGCTTCTCGGCTCCCACCTGCACATACCAGTCACACCTGCCTTGAGGCCATGCTTCTCCTGTCCTATCAGCAAGATGACACAGATAACGCTCATCAGCTTATGGCTCTGTGCCAGCCATGGCTCTGGCCCAGGAACACTGTCCTCTATCAAGGATAGTTTGAAAGGCTCTTCAACTCCAGGAAGCAGGACTGATGACAGGGGCATCAAGAGGCAGGAGAGCATAGGAGATGAAAGTCACCTCTGCACTGATCACCATAGTGTCGAAGACTTCTGCAGCGCCCATCGCCGTCAGCAGCGGGCGCAGCCGTGTGTCAAAATTGCTCACGACTCCCAGCTTTATGCCTGCACCACAGCGCACTGTTGATTTCCTTTCACACTGCTGGACCAAGAAAATCAGCAGAGTGAATAGATTTTGTAATCCTCTTGACGATCACACTCTGTTACAGCGCCTGCTCCCCTCGCTGAGAAGAAGCCATGCTGCCTGCATCCAGCTATTGCACCTGGCAAATCTGCACGGTAAGTCTATCACCAAATTTTTAATGACTGCTGAAGCAGTTTTGCCTGATACTTCAGCAGCCTTGATGCAGTGGGCCTGCTGCAGGTATTGGCGCACCTGAAGATCTGATGGCTGCCAGCGCTGGGAGTGCCCCAGGAGCCAGCTTCCAGGCGCTGGGCTGCAGGTAGTGCAGGTACAGCTGCTCCATCAACTCCGGGTCATTGCAGCCAGTGGACTGCTCCACAACGAACTTCCTGCAACCACAAGGAGCCTGACATCAGCAGCACATTAAGCTGCTTGAGAATTGGGACAAATTTCTAAAATCAATTCAGCTGCGGCCCTGCGCAGTGCATGTGTATGATGCAACCCATGGCTGCCGCTGACATGGCACAAAAGACGATATGAATATGGTTGTGTCAGCACCAGGATGCAGCTTCTTGTTCGGATTTGCTGATCAGTCCAGTATTGTTCCTGGCTTAAGATGTGAACATGCATGCACCGGCTCAAACTGTGTCATGTAGATCTCGGGGACACTGCATATAAATAGAATGGCAGCTGAGCGCTTGAGCGCGCACCAGAAGGGCCGTCCATGGCCTTCATACTTCAACAAGGTTCGCGTCCAAGGAGTGTTGAATGCCCGCCTGAAGTTGGCTAGCACCTCCCTCTCCGACAGGTTGCAGCCATAGTTTCTGGCATATTCCAGGTACAACTGTGCAAGAGAGGAGGTTGGCATGTTAATCTAGGCGGATACCAAGTCTAGACTAGCTTCAAAAAAGGAAGAACAAAGTTGAGGATAGAATCTATGCAAGATTCAGAGACATCAGTACTGCCACATGCCACATAAAATAATGAAGTATTCATGGCATGCAATGTCTTTTGGGAGGAGGAGTATTTTGTATCAGCAACGCACCTCTGCGACGTTTTCAGACGGTGAGATCAGTGTTCCGGCCGCATCTACTAAAAGTGCTCGCAACGTGGACGTGTGTGGCTCTTGATGCATCCCTCCGATAGCAGCAAGCTGTAAGAAGCGAGCCGTCCTATTGATCTGCGGCGTTGCATTTATACGAGACGCACAATTTCTCGCCAGAGACTGCATCAAGAAGGACATGGGTCGATGGCACCAGCGGTTTCCATCCTGCACGGTGTGCAGGTGGAAGCTGCTGGCTCTATGTCATGCTATTGATCAATGACGCCGTGAATAATTCAATCGCAGGAGCGCACAACTTTGATCGAAACTTCCCTTTCGGGACGAGATTGGGGAGGCCAAACCCTTCCACGAAACCCTGAAATATTCCGAAACATCACAGGAAAACTTCTTCAGAGCTCAGATGGCTGCAGAAAGCATCTCTTGATTAATGTATGGTTGTACCTGAAGGATCGGTGGGCCCACTAAGTGTAGGACGGGACTATTGCCTGCTCGAATTTTCCTGTAGGATCAATGTACACTGGCAGATCACTGCATGTTATTCGTCTTATATCTGCTAGCCTGCATTAGGATCCTATAATATCTTTATTACACGCCTTCTTTCCATGCCTGAACATTTGGTTACCTCCTGATCACAATTAGAATATCCAGATGGCGGCAGCCACGCTTCAAGGTGAGGAGGCGGAGGAGGACAAGACCTCTCTGGAATCCGAATTTTTTGATCTTCTGATTGCGTCAGAGCGCGTGGGCACATTGGTGGATCGCATCAAGGATACTTCCTGCTTCCAGAGGTGAGTACCTCTGGATGCTCGCCTGTGCTGCCCGAGCAGCCACAAGACCACATCACCATAACTTGTCTGTCTGTTGCGTACAGAAGAAGGCAGGCAGTATTTGATCTGGCGGCTGCCATTGAGAAGAAGGAGACCTACGTTGTGGAGGTGAGTACTGTGGACCTGCATGCCAGTGACCAAGAAAGAGAAATATAGCACCAAAACCTGCACTGCACATTGGAGCAAACTATCCGGCACCTCTCTTAGTGGGGCTGCTGGCTGAAAGACTCCAAAGAGGAACAGCATGGCTATCAGCCTCCTGTTCTGGATGCTACAGACTGAGGGGTTAAATACCGATGCAACATCATACAAACATTACCGTCATTCCAGAGAACTTTGGTACCATCGTTCTCGGTGACAGCATACTGTGCTGATGCCTCAGGCAAGGCAGGCTGGCATTGTGGATCTGCTTACTTCTATTCTCAAGAAGTTTTCAGGCACGCTCATATCGTCCGATTTCCCTCAGTATCATCCACCTCTGTAAGGTCATTCAAAGATACCCGCGTGCTTACCTTATTTGATCGCTAGACGCTTTGCTAATCATGGTGTGTCATGCAGATGATGAGCAGCTTGTCCAGAAGGCATGCAGCATCATCACTGCTTGCAGCGGCACACTCTCATGCAGCGGCAAGGTATTGCACCACAGTCCCAAATCCCCTTTATTCATTTCTATCCCAACAAAGAATGCAGGCCACATCTCAAAGCCTTCGAAAAGTTGCTTTAAGATGTGAGGCCATCTGTTGAGACAAGATTTGAAGCCGCCACAACCGTTGTGCAGGTGCAGCAGCACAGCTATGGTCCTGTGACAGTGACGGTGAAGGAGGGAACGCTGGCTGACGGCCTGGGAGCTCGGATCTGGGCAGTCGCCAACAGCTTGTGCAGGTATAGCCCTGTCTGAGGCCCTTGGCCTGAAGGATCTTGAATGCCAGAACGGCAATTTCGTTTCGTTCCTTTTTGGTGTGATTATACCGGAAAATGGCTTGGGTGGCCAGAAGGTGCATCATCACTGAATCTGCGTGGCTCAAATTCTTGTGCAAAAGGAGGAACAGCACGTTGAAGATGTGTTGGACAATCTGCTAAGAACTTACTGTTGGGTAAGGCACGTGCGTAAGAGCAAATTTGTGTGCAGTGCGCTGGTGGACAAGCCAGCACTGGTGCAAGGCAAGAGCGTGCTTGAGATTGGAGCCGGCACCGGCTTGTGTGGCATTGTGGCTGCAAAGCTAGGCGCTGCACATGTGACGCCCAACCCTCTCTCACATTGCTTTTCATATGCGTGGCAAGGCTATGATCATGCACAGCATAATGGTTCTCTTTTGCTCGATACACCAAAGTAGATTGTGAGCCCAGGACCAGCCCACGCAAGAGAGGCATGCCCTGCGCAAGGCCAGATGATAAAATCTACGCCTACGCGCAAACGATGTTCTCACTGTGGCTGCTGCAACCACAGGTCACACTCACAGATTATGCGGAGCCAGTCCTGCGTCTCCTGCGTGACTCTGTCGCTGCCAATGCGAGCTGTGCAGCCGCAACCAGCAGCCGCCCACTCAGTGCCGAGGCAGCCTCAGATGACCGCTACCAGGTGACACGCAGATCTGTTACTGATCAATGCATTCCTGTTCCAGTCCTGTGTTCCGCATCCATGGATCCATGGCTCCTGCGTTGCTTCGTGATACATTACATTTTATCACCTAGCATGTCCTTTTCAGAAAATGTTTCATGTCATCTCTCGTAAGAAAATCATGCCGGGCTGCTGCATTCAACTTGTAATAATCTGTGCAGGCGGAAGATTTGGAGTTTGATCCTGAGGATGCAGAGGAGTGCGATGATCTGGACGATTTCTTTTGTGGTGGTGGTGAGCGGAAGCAGCCTGCGACACTGCGCTGGGATCTGGTGAGCCTTCCCTGTAAATCCCTTCAATCTTCTACCAAGGCATGCATATTTCATAATTGTCTGGGGAAGAGACTGCAATGTCCAGGATTCTGCTCAGACTGTTGTCAGGGAGCACATTTAAAGTTGGGATGTTCATGTGAGTCTGATACATCTGATTCTGTCAAGCAAGGGGCACTCGGTAAATGGGATGATTGCATGACCAGGACAACATGCGTGTACGCCACATGGACTGGGCGGATGATTTAAGGAGGCTGCAAGGCAGAACAGACGTGGGTGGGAGCAATGGAGTGGTGAGGGATGATGTTGGGGAAATTGTACCCGATGTGGAGGATTCTGACACCTTCGACGTCATCATTGGGTCCGATGTCCTGTATGAGGTGCGTCATCATATACCTGCAAGCCCTCACTCCTGGACTCTTCTCAAAATTCCACAACCTTCTACTTGTATCTGCATCCAAGCAATTGCCCTTATCTGCAAGAGCTTATTCCAGAGTGATGATATTCTTCCCAGCACAAATTTATAGTTGCTCACATGGTTGCCTTGCTCAACAGATGGCGCATGCGCAGCTGGTGGCAGCAGTGTTGGGAAGGCGCTTGCGAGCGGGCGGCACAGCATTGATAACGCTGGCCGTGAGAGATCAGGCAAGTCTCAAACCCCCTGAAGATGGATGTCTGGCGCTACATCAAGCCGCATGTGCATGGCCAAGATCATTTGTGCTTTGATCACTGAATTTCTCTCGTCTCATGTGCTCATAGCAGGCCTCACATAGTATTACTTCAATCAATTGTGGTTCTGCATTGCCCCACAAAACCATCTGTGCAGTCGCGTGGATGTACTGTACAATTCACTGACAAAGAAGCTCTATTCAGGCTATCTTGGACACCTTCCTCGGCTCTGTGACTGGCATGGGAATGTCGGTGGAGAAGGAAAAGGTGCAGCCATCTACGGAGAACAGAGGTATCTTAGGGCTAGAAAGGGACTACGAGGGTGGCTTCGCCATGCTCACAGTGGTCCACACATCAGAGCTGTGAAGTCAGCCATGCTGGAGCGAATCAGCAGCGTGCCCGACTTCACTCTTTTCGCACATTGCAGATAGATTCGATTTGCAAGTATTCTTTGGCAGGCATCGCGCCGGGCCCCGTAGGTTGCAAGCATTCCATAGGTAGCATTGCAGAGCTCACACTTTCGTTTGTTTTCTGCACATTGCAGGCTCCTTACTCGTTTAGTTTCAGAACTTGCTGGCCAGTATTTATGGCCTTTTAACGCATTCAACGCACCCTGCCTTTGACTTGTTTGAGTCTTTGGAATAGTTTGGTAACTTCCAGTGGTGCTCCCTCATTAGAAGGTTCGCATTGCTGTAGCAGCAGCGCAAACAGGAAATCAACTCATAAGAGTGACTGCCCTCCAGACCACGTCGGATATTGGGTGGGCATGCTCTCATGAAGTGGATCTATGCCCTTTTAAGCTTGCCGGCGCCATTCAGCAGTATGTGTCTCCTCTGTGTTGGACGCGTATGGGCATTGCGATTCATGGTCGTCACGTTTGTGCACAGATTAAATTACATGTCAAGCTTATCGAGCAAATTTACTGATATGATGATCAGCATTTCATGAACTAGATCAATCATCTGGAGGCTCAAGGCATGTAGCGTGTGGACACGCATCTTCTTGTCACAGTGCTGGGAAGGAAGCTAGCTTATGTCCAATTTACACTTACACCCCAGTGAGATTACACCCTGACTCAGGCTGAAGCACCAGCAGCATGCATGGTCATGGCCTAACGAGAGCAGGATCTGCCTGCAATACTTGAGCTCGCAATACAGCAAGTCAAAGGCAGGCGCCTTGTCACTGCTCTGTACATGAAAAAGCTCGTCAAGGCACCGACAAGCACGACTCAAGGCTTTCAGCATCAAGTCTTGGGAGCCACAGCAGCCTTCTCAGTGCTCAGCCGCTCTGAGAACCGCCGTTCCTTCTGCACTTCTTTGTCCACCCTGCAAGAAGCCACAGCCGTGATCATGCAGTCTCTACAGGTATGCATGGCCGTCCTATTGCACATGCACAACACTTGCAATGAGAAAAGCACCAATGAATGCAGATATTTCCCAGTGTCAGTGTGCACATGTGCATTAAAAGCACCGCCGCTTGGTGATCACACATGCAAGACCCTATACAAATAGCTCAGTAGAAAGAGAAAGAGCCCGGAATGTCAGATGTTAATGGCAAGCAGGTGTTTTGAGGGATGCACAGGTAAAGCTCACCGCTCGTTGAAGGGGGTGTGGCGCAGGCGGACGGCCTTGTTCTCCTTGTAGGCAGTGGCGGGATTGCTCAGGCCAAAGATGTGCGGCGTGCTGTCCGGATCCTGGCTGCTGAATGCATAGGGCCTGTCACTCTCCAGGGGAGATGGTGTCTGGAAGGGATTGCCCTGCATGTGTTGAAGAAGTTCTGCTCAGACATTGCAGCCTTGCATTGCCGGGTTAAACAGATAGATAGAGTCAACTTAACATCAGCAGTCCTTCTCACATACAGAGCGGGTGCAGCAAAAGTGCACTATCTTTTGTATGCACTGCAATGCCGAGCCATGCAATTTGTTAGACAGGCAGGCAGTGCAGGACGCAGTCAGTCATGAGGAAAAAAGAAGGTAAGCGCTTGCCTTGTTGGCCAGGCTGTCACTCTGCAGGGGGCTGGGCCGGCCGGGGCGCTTGACCGTCTTCACAGCCCTTCTGGCGCCAAGGACTGGCGTTTCTGGCTGAGGAGAAGGCCGCTCCACACCCCTGAACATGCATGCACATGGCAGCTTGTCAAAATGGCATCCCTCGGCAGCCTTACAGGAACTACTGCAGTTTTCGTAATTTGTCATCGTCATGCAGAAATTTTAGCGCCCAAATCACATGCACATGACTGCCAGCAAAGCATGCTTATATTTGTAGCTACACAGGTGGTGATGACATTGCAGAGCATGCTGCGAGGGACAGAAAGGATACCTCAGCTCGATGGGAACAGTGTAGGGCAGATTAGTGTATTCTGGGGGGCCGCTGGCCGGTCTCTTCTGGCCTGCAGCATCTCCCAGTGCCTGGGCCAGGTTTGTGGTGCGGGCAGGGTCAGGCACAGGGCTGCCAAATGGCATGGGGGTGCGCATAATCTCCAGTGCGCTTGAGGACACCTGCATAGCAAATTTCTTCACGATATCAGATGCATCAGCTACTAGCCACATGCTGCTGCTGGTTCATGACAGCCTGGATAAGTGCAGGACATTGTGACTCAGCATGCATTCAACACCATGCATCAGAGGGAACAGCAGAAAAGAAATGGACCAAATGGCAAAATTGCGAGGAGGTCTGATGCAGGGAAGCTTACAGGTGAGGCGCTCTGAGGAGTCAGCGGGACAGGCGTGCGCTGCATGGCAGGGTGGGGGGACCTGATGTCCAAAAAGAGGTCGATGTCATCCACGCTGAGCTGGCTTGGGCGGTGCTTTGTGCCTGCTGCAGTCAGCGCAAGGTCCTTCAGAGCCTAAAACTGAGGCATCATTGCATGGTTGAGGACGTGGCAGAGCTGTTTGCCTGGTTGATGGCAGTAAGCAAATGTGCCTGCAAGAAAGCTGTAGGTTCGTACTTTTCACAAAGGGGCAACTGTATGGGCTCTCTTCCACCTCCTGCACAGAACTTGTCACACCCTCCTTGGTGTCCAGAGCCTCTGACCCGTGCTTAAACAAGGGCTTCCTGTCTTCAGAAAATGCCTGCAGGAACAAAAGGGATCCACTCAGCCGTGATGCTTCAGTGAACCACAGGGCAGCATAGTACAAGGGCAGCTTGATGTACGCCATGCTTTGGCATCGTGCCTTCAAAGGGACATGGAAGATTATATGAAAAGAGGCTCTGCTGTTTACCGTGCTTGGCATCTGCTGGTGGCTTTCATGTGGAGCAGGTGATGGAGTTGGAGACTCAGATGCAGGCTGCATATTTCGTGCTGAAGTGAGGGCTTGTCCTGGTGGTGCATCGCCCCTGGTGCTGGTATCGCTGACTTCATTCTTCACGACCGGCTTCCTGCTCATGCACAAGCGTAAAGGCCATGGCAGCCACATCGTTCCTCCTCACACTACCTGCAAGCAAGGAAACGTGCTTTGCTCCGGCGGGAAACTTATCACATAGGAATCTTTACTAAACTAAGAGGCGGTCTGTATACACACGATGCCGGAAGTCTTCGTAAGTTGAGCTGCTGGCTCCAAAGTGTAGAGCATTAAGGACTTTCATTTAGTCACAGATGGAAGGATTGTCTACTTCGCATGCCCGTATCCTAGGAGATGCACATGTAATGTTATTTAAAGATCATCGTAAAAGCGAGCTGCTTGCCTGAAGGCTTGCCTGAAAAGAGCGGTTGTCAGGTCAGCAAGGCCCCAATGCAGCCCTTCCCTGCTGGTGCAAGTCTCCAACGTGTAATGCAGACTTGATGCCTACTATGATGATAATCGAAGATGTTCTTCAAGCGATCTGACAAAAAGAGAGAACCAGCACCTTCTGGGCTGTCCATGGGGATTTCGAAGGATGCCCGTCTGGCAGAATACAATCTTGGACAGATGCTTTGACGAACAAAGAAGGCCAGATGATGAAACCTATATGGATGTAGCAGTGCTAGATTTGATAAATTAGTCGTGCACCTGTCCATGGACAGTGTGAGGGTGAGGGTGCAGATGGAGTCGGCTGAGCCTGTCAGTCCTTCTGTGAGTGGAGGTACACCGTTCTCAGAAGCCACAGATGCCTCTTTTGTTGGAGGCAGTGCCCCTGATCTGACCAATCATCCTCATCTAGACAACTCAATGCGATCTCTCTCCAGTTCGGTCGCTACTCGCCGGAGGGTAAGCATTTGAGAGACAGGCCAACTCCACATGTTCCTGACTGGTATTGTAGCTGATGATCTTATAAGGCGAGATCAGTCTGCTTAGTTGGTTTCTTGTGAAGTTTCTGGTGCAATTTGTCTTAATGACTGACCATCAGATCTCTTTTACTGCCAAGCAGGAGTATGCCGAGAAGAACATGAAACTTATGGCCAGCAGAGGACGGTTAGCACAAGGAAGCATATCTAGGGACGATGCTGCTGCCCTGATGAAACGCACACGCAGCGTGAGTTCATGTGCCCAATCTCTTGTGTTAGAAATCACAAGAGAGTTCATCAGATGCACAGCAGTAGTTAGGTCTGCACGTTGTGTTTGCACCTGAGTCCACAGGGAGTCCCTGTGGACCCCCATGGAATTGATACTGCTGCAGAGCACCAAAAGCGTTGAAATGAACTTGTCGCAGAGCGCATAATGCATGCAGCTTAGTCTGATGTGCGACCCCGTAATGTGCAATTTGCTCAATGGTAATACGTCCTGCAGAGCACTCATGTAGGTCCTGTGCTACCTTGCATTTACCCCGAGCCTGCTCGTGCAATGGCAAGCGTGATGTCCAAAGGGATCAGCATTGAATCTGTGAGCTGATCAAGGTTGCATGCATGCAGGAGCCATGGCTGGCAGACCATGACAGCTCGCTGCCAAAGATCCACATTGGCATCTGCGCAATGGACAAGAAGGCGCACTCGAGGCCCATGAGTGCCATTGTAGAGCGATTGGAGGCCTACGGCGAGTTTGACATCAAGTACTTTGGCGATGAGACCATTCTGCACAAGCCCATCACCGAGTGGCCCACCTGCGACTGCCTCTTGTCCTGGCACTCTGATGGCTTCCCGCTCCCTAAGGTGCCAGACCTGAGTCAATGCTCTGGATCCTTGACCAGATTTCTCCAGTTCATGTGGGACGTCTGCCGTCAAGTCTGCGTGCACACCTTCAAATAGATGCATGATACCAACAAGCCCAGTACGTCGTATGCCACAGGGTGGGCGTCAGAGTGGTCGTGGTCTCATGTGCACGTTTTCATGGGAAAACTACTGTAGCTATTCCATGTGAGTTTTGTAGGTTGCAAAGATGAAGTAAACAGACTCCCTGACAAATCTATTTCGGCACTGAGTGGGTGTCATTTCTGGCTGCGCAGGCGCAGAAATATGCTGCGCTGAGGAAGCCCTACCTCATCAACGACATGGTCATGCAGGACGTTCTGCTGGACAGGCGCAGAGTCTATGGCTCCCTCCAGGTGAACATGCCTTCTATCCACTTGCCATGCACCCATGAACAGATTGGCCATGCCTTGCCAACATCATCAAATAGACATGCCTGAGGAGTTGAATTTATCTTCATCGGTGCACGACATGAACAATATGCAACGGCAGACAAGCTGCAACTGAAACCTAAAGCATCTGACTATTCCACAATTGCATGCTTGAAGTGTTACGCTGGTGCATGCAGGAGAATGGCATTCCAGTCCCTCATCACATCTGCGTGGACAGGGATAATCTGCCACCGGGCACAGACCCCCCAGGCTTTGTGGAGACTGAGGATTATGTCGAGCAGAATGGTGAGACCTGCTTCCACATTTAATTTGCAATTGTTGGGGTGTTCATTACCACCATTTCGTTCACCTGGTCCACTTCCCGCAAGCATTGTGGTGATGCATATCAATTAATGCTCACGGGTAGTCCACAGCGCGCATGACGATACTTGTCACCAGTGTACATCTGGAACAAAGGTCACCTTTGAAGGGAGGACTATGATATATAGTTTTAGACTTCATGTCTATTACTTTGCACAGGCGTGCAGATAAAGAAGCCATTTGTGGAGAAGCCAGTGAGCGGAGAGGACCACAACATTTACATCTACTACCCTCACGCCATGGGAGGGGGTGTCAAGCGGTTGTACCGCAAGATTGAGAATCGCTCTGGCGACTATGACCCCAATCACCCTGGCACTGTCAGGTGTGTTTTGGGTTTCAATCAGCCCATGTGCCTCTGCATGCCCCCTGCAAGTCAATATTGGTTTTGAGTATAACTGCAGGAAAACCCCACTATCTGTGCAGGTTGTTCTGTGCCAAAGGCTTTCATTACAGCACTGCATTGATGCAAGGAGTTCATGCAGGCGTACTGTACATTTGCAAGTCTGAGCAGTTCATGCATGTGCCATTGCGTCTGTTGACAGATGCTGGACACGTTGTTTGAGACATGCTTGCAAGAGCTTTCAAGCAGATTTGCTCGAGCTGGGATTGTGTCCATGGCAGGCGGGATGGCTCGTATATCATAGAGGAGTTCCTCACCACAGGCGGCACAGACGTGAAGGTGTACACAGTGGGTCCGCGCTATGCGCATGCTGAAGCACGGAAGAGCCCAGTGGTGGATGGCAAGGTCACGCGCTCTGCTGATGGCAAGGAGCTCCGCTTCCCTGTGCTGCTCTCGCCGCAGGTAAGCCCTGTTGCCCAGCAAACTTGCATGCCTCATGGGGTTTTTCTATGTCTAGATATGCTCCGCTGCATCGTGGGGCTGTGAATGCCTCTCTGGCGCCCAAAAAGCTAAAGCTGAGTCCCGCTTTGGGGGTCCAGACTTCTAGGACTGATTTCGCGCATCTCGTGCCATGCATCTTGCACGCATTCCTGTACCTCATGATGTGCATGCAAGGCGATGCAAGGCGAGGTAGTGGAACTGCATGCTGCAGGAGAAGGAAATTGCCAGGATGGTGTGTCTGGCGTTTGGCCAGAAGGTCTGCGGCTTTGACTTGCTACGCTCGGAGCGGGGCAAGAGCTACGTCTGCGATGTCAACGGCTGGTCCTTTGTCAAGAACTCCCACAAGGTGCGCACCTCTGTATTTGCTCTGCTATTCACTGCAGGTCCTGTGCCAGAACATATGCATTCTGAGAGCCCAGTATCTGCCATCATATGTGGCTGCATAAGAGAATCTGGCAGCGCTCTCCTGCAACAATGCCTTACTCACTCACCGTCTGTGTGCATCGCCCATGTTTTGGCTCTTGCCTGTCTCGTATTCTCATGTACATGCCGCATGTCAACAGAAATTAAAACAATACATCGGCTGATGCCAGGGCGCTCTTGTTTTCTGGGCTCTGCTCACAGTTTCCTGTGTGTTTTTTGCAACTGCAGTACTACGACGATGCGGCCGGGATTCTGCGCAGCATCATTCTGAGCGCGATCGCACCACACCGGCTGGCGACGGCGCCGCCGCAGCTGCCCATGTCCTCGGCTAACTCGGCAAAGGACGATGCCATGATGCTGGCTGAGCGCCAGGCAACAGAGGAGCCCAACTTCTTGCCCTATGCCGCCATGGACAGCAGCGATGAGGTGGACGACAGGTGGACCTCTCACCTCCTTGCCCAGTGCAGTACCATGGTGTACGATTGAGTAGCTCTCAAGAGGAATTTTTACCCCGCAACCGGGAAGCTAACTTTAGTTTTGCAAAAATTTGAGCGTGCTGCAGGAATTCCCCAGGTCCAAGGGCAAACATTGCATTTGTCGAGTTCCTGGCCTATGCTTGAAAGGGACAGAGAATAAGATATTGTGGGTTGCAGCTGTATATTGTGGTGACGCAGGCATTATGAGGAGCTGCGCTGCGTGCTGGCTATTGTTAGGCATGGAGACCGCACGCCCAAGCAGAAGATGAAGATGAAGATCACACAGGTGCGCTCCTCATGCTGTGTGCAGTACAGGATGCAGCATTTTTGAGACCGCCGCGTTGGGTTCATGATTTGGGTGCTTAATAATGGTTTGTGAAATTGTTTGCTCCAAGTTTGACATTTGCAGGAGCCCCTGCTGGAGCTGCTGCGGAAGCACATGGACTCCAAGGGCAAGCAGGCAAAGCTGAAGAGCCCCGCCGAGCTGCAGGAGCTGCTAGATGTCACCAGGTAGGCCCTATGAATCCATTGGTTCCCTGCCTTGGCATTTTATTGAGAATCTGCACCAAGCAAGAACCCTTAGACCCCTTGAGAAGGGTGAGATAGAATAGAGAAATTATAGGTACAGGTGCATGCTGCCACCTCCCTTACAAGTGTTGCTGTGCTGTGGCTCAGGGCTCTGCTGGCAGACATGGACAAGAACCGATCTGCCAAGGGGGCCGACGGTGACGGCGCAGTAGCCACAGGAGAGCTGAAGCTGGACGCAGACCAGGACGAGCTGCGCGAGAAATTTGGCATTGTGCGGGTGCGAAAGTCATCTATAACCAGCCATGCAAGGTCTTGTAATCTGATATAGCACAATTGATGGGGCACAGTACAAAGCCAGCTGGGATTCAACACCTGCCGCTGCTCTCTGCAAAGCCAAGAAGCTCCTAGAGCCAGTCTCTGATGTGCACCATCATGTGCCCTGCTGCGGGCATGTCCATTCGAGCCTCTTCAGCGCACAGTCTTGATCTCATTTGGCACTCTGCATTAGCTTTCTAACCGAGCTGAAGGGCATCAGAGGCAGCCTCGACATCTACGCAGTTTGCTTACTTGCGCAAGATCTCAAGAGGGCAAGACGTCCTGTGCATTAAGAAACTCTAATTGGCCCTTGGCAGACGGTGCTGGAGCACGGCGGCAGCTTCGCGGGAGTGAACCGGAAGGTGCAGCTGAAGCCGCTGCGGTGGGCGCCGCCGGAGGAGGGGTCGCAGGACGCGCCGCGCATCGTCGAGGCCCTGCTCATCCTCAAGCACGGCGGCGTCCTCACCCATGCCGGTCGCCAGCAGGTGTGCCCTTATTGCACTTCGCAGAAGTCCCACTTGGATTGAAGCGTCCTTGATAAATCTCTAGAATCTACACTGACCGCTCTCTGGTGTGTGCGCACCCGCGTCCACCACAAGCCGTGCTTGCATTTTTGGCGAGATAAGTCTACATGCACTTAGTAAAACCTGGTCAAAATAACTATTCGTTTGACTATTCTCTGCCTGAGAATGTTAAAGATGGTGCCCCTCAGATTTGAGAATACGGGACATTCTTTATATGAGCAAGCTTGTGAGGATTTGTTGCAGGGATGTCACATGTGTTGATGTCAAGATTTTCGCATCCGAGAGGTAGAGTTAACGGCTTGCGCTGACTGGCTGCCCATGACTGTTCATTGCAGGCGGAGGCTCTGGGCAATGTGTTCCGGACGGTGATGTATCCGCGCTACGGCCCGGCCGGGGGCGGCCTGCTGCGGCTGCACTCCACGTACCGCCACGACCTCAAGATCTACTCCTCGGACGAGGGCCGCGTGCAGACCAGCGCCGCCGCCTTCACGCAGGGATTGCTTGACTTGGAGGGCGACTCCCTCACACCCATCCTCGTCAGGTGCGGCCTATGCTTGTCAACCGTTTCCTCTACAGGGAACAGAGGGGGCTCCCATGGGCAGCCATGGACATGAATGCCTCCACATCCATGCAAGTCCTTGAGATCCATTTGCACCCTTTGGAGGCCACATTAGTGGGTCTGAAGGGATCTGTTCACCTTCAGTAGGGGAGGTAACAGATAGATTTCTTCTCTGAAAACAAAACTTGACTTGAGGCCGGTTTTCTGACCAGCTGTTGGGAGGTCAGTAACGAGTGCAGCACTGTGGGATGCGCAGTCTGGTGAAGAAGGATGCCGGCATGCTGGACGCGTTTGGCAAGGGGGCGAGCGAGGACATCCGCGCGGCCAAGGCAGAGCTCTACGCGCAGATGACGTGGGACCCGATGACATCCCAGTCGCTCAACACCCCTCCCCAGATCACCACCCCCATGCCCTCGCCACCGCCGTCTCCCAAAACAGACTCCGCCCTCCACAAGGCCAACTCAGGTGGCGCCACCTGCCTGTGCCCCCTTGTGCCAACTCTGTCCTACAAGTCAACGCACAAGGGCAACGCTTGCAAGCTGACGCTGCCTGTTGCGAGTTTTTGGAGCAGTTTAAGTGAAATATTCGCCTGTGTATGCAAGATCGTAGCTGACTAGCCGCTTTCCTGCATCCTTTATGGACACGAGTGATCACAGCTGCTTGTTTCATAAGCTCAAGGATGTGCTAGCACAGGACACTAATGGGACCCTACTAAGTATCAGTAAGCAACAAGTATACAATCCAGGGTTCAGCCGTGCCCCCATGGGTTGAGCGTGACGTCGACTGTGCAGGCAGCATGAATTCGCCTCCGCAGGGAGTCTCCATCTTCAAAGCGGCGGACGCCGCGCAGTCGCGGCCGCTGTCACCGATGCCTTCGGGGCTGACCAGCCGCCGCGCGTCGCATGACGGCTCGGTGAGCAGCGGCGCCGGCGGCGGAGGCAGTCGCCGCGCCACCGAGGACGCCGCGGCCCGCCCAGTGATCCACCCCATGCCCCAGAAGCCGCTCTCGCTGCTGCGCCAGCTCACCGGGCACATCAAGGTGCGCAGCCCCATGCAGATTTAGCGTCCCGGTCATAACAAGCACTGAAAGATTCTGTGCACCAATCAGGTCTCGCAAATGCCCACAAGATGCACCGCTTGTCGCTTAATGAAGAGCTGTCCAGTCTTTACTCCTCTCAGTATCTCTATGTGCGCCGCACAACCCATGCAAGGCTCATGAAGCAAAGGCGATTGGCCTACTTATCCTTTGCCCATTATGATTGGCATTTGATTTTGCATTTCATATTGTGCAGGTGTTGGTGGAGCAGCTGAGGCAAATGTGCCTGGACGAGCGGGTCGGCAGGAATGGCCCCGAAGGTCGCAACTACAGCGCTCTCACGCAGAGCCCACGCGAGTGGGGCCTGGAGTCTGGGAAGCCCTGCAGCGGCGAGCGCCTGCTGCTCATGTTTGACAGATGGTACGTTTGCTTATACTCTGCAGAACAGGCTTTCGAGTGTTATAAAGAACAAATAGGTGCTAAGCTTGCTGGTCTTTATTTTGTACGCTTCTCGTCCTGTTTTTCTTCATGGCTTTAATTTTGGGGCGAGCACTATCGCAGTTGTCATTGCCATCTGAACAGATTGCATCGGGCTTCTTCTCGTTGAAAAGCTGCCTACAGAATGTAGTTTGGTGTCCTGACGCTGCTGTCTCGCATGCGCAGGCGCAAGCTGCTCAAGGCGTTCTACAGTGACAAGAAGCAGCAGTTTGACATCAGCAAGGTGCCGGACATCTATGACTCTGCCAAGTACGATGCCATCCACAACAGCGAGCTGGGCCTGACCCTCAAGCCCCTCTACACGGTGCAGCCTCTTCCCAGCTTCCACAGACAATCCTTCAACCCTTCTACTCCCCTGACAAAGAATGCATGCCTCTTTCTTGTCGTTGCCATCATATCTTTCTTACAGGGTCTTAAGGTCCTGTCTTGATGTACTCCCGTCGCTCCTATCGTCTCCATGTCTCTCCTCCATTTCTTCTTCTCGTACTTTCTTCCTGTTCTCTGCTCTCTTAGTCTTTCTACAGGTTGCAGCATTGTGACTCCTAATGAAGCAATCAGTCCCCGGCTGGCGGGGGGCGGTATAAGTACTGAGCACCGTGCCTACGGGTGATTGGGTCTTGCTTAATCCTGGCGAGTTCATCAAGGGGTAAGGATATTGGCAACCTTTGCAAGCACCTTGCCTTTTGGCGGCGAATGTGTGCCAAAAAAAATAAGGGAAATGAAGCACTAGAATATGATGGTGGTCATGCGCAACAGGTGGCGAAACAGCTGGCGGACTGCGTGATTCCCAACGAGTATGGCATCGACCCGGCCGGGAAGATGCGTATCGGCTCCAAGATCTGCTGCGCGCTGCTGGGCAAGCTGCTCGCCGACCTGGCCAACATGCGCGAGGAATCCATCGCCACTGCGGTCAGCGCCCCACACAACCCCTCCACACATCCCCTGCACTCTCGTTAGTGGCAAAAATTGCACCAATGGGCTGTGCGCTTGTGCAGCCGTTTCATACAATGCTGCCACACTTAAAGTGCTGTCAAAGCTGCAGCACTGATGAGGGTACCTGGGTCAGCTGAACGCTTCTAGTGTGAAGGCACATGTGAAGAAAGAAGCTGAGCAAGGCTCCAGCAATCCTCAAGACCACACCAGGGTCAGTTGAATGCATGTGTGGTGAAGGCATCCAAAAATATGGAGGGTTGCAAATTGATAAAAAAGGTAATGAGCGGAAGGTTTGACACTGCAGCACCACAAGCCGTTTTATTGAAAGAAATAATGTGCAGAGAACAAAAGTAATCTAATTGTGGTGTGCAGGGCATGGAGGGCACAGGCGAGCCGGTATCGCCCTTTGACTACGTGGATCTGAACCCGGCGGCGTCAGCGGCGGACATCCCAGGGCCGGCCGCGCAGGGCATGCAGCAGAGGGCCGACGCCTTCTCTGCCACATCAGCGCCGGCCCGCCTCGACGGCGCGGACACCATGCTCTCGGACGACAGCCTGCTGAACAACGCTGCCTCCACCTCCTCCACCGGTGCGCGCATCCTTGTTCTATGGCCTTTTGCAAATTTTGTTTCACTGCTCAACTGATATGGCGGTCTAGGGCTTCATACGCTGTGCCACTCGTGGCGGAATATTGTAAGGGTCGCCAGCCATGATAGACTGCCTGTGCAACACAAGAGAAGAAAGTGTCAATTATAATTTGCTGCAAAATTTAAGAAGTCTACACTGCATACGGCAGATGATGTCCCCAGCGGGATTTTCTCGATGATGTGGACTTCCACCAGATTTCTGCTTCTTCTAAGTTAAAATTTAGATCCAAAACACTGAAATATAAATCCAAATTCAAATTCACATGAGATTCATGCGTGGAGCTGGGGCTGCAGGCGTGCTGGGAACGGAGGAGACAGCGGGGAACGACGACGAGGTTGAGGAGGACAGGGAGACGCTGCACCGGCTGTGCCCCACGTACGCGCAGGACATCAACTCGCCGCTGCGCCACGTGCGCACGCGCATCTACTTCACCTCCGAGTCCCACATGCACTCCCTCATCAACGTCCTCCGCTTCGCCCACCTATGTGCGCGCCCCTTGCCCATCTCTTGCCTAATTCGTGCTGATAGCTGACAGTCTCTTGCCTAAGCTCGCTCTGTTAGGAGTGTACCTGCCTGTGACACCTACTCACTTTGCCAGAGGGAGAAGGCTGCGTGGACAATCCAGCCCCCAGACTTCCAGCCCCGGACAAAATCCTTAGAATACTTGGAATGGTTTATGTGTGCTGTCCATGACTTTGCGACGGGTCAGACACGCATGATTGGTTTCTCTCCTGGACTGCATGCTCTGCATATGGTGGCAGAGGTATCTATGTTTATACATGTTTGATGCTGTACTGAGTGCCTTGTAACTTGATGTGTGCAGCGCGGGACATCCCCACAGAGAGCCTGGTGAGCGACGCTGCGCAGGAGATGCTGCGGAACACCACAGAGCTGGACTACATGACCCACATCGTCTTCCGCATGTATGAGAACAAGAGGTGGGGCCACCACAATAAAATCACCCTCGTCATACTGTTGACATCAATATGCTCTGTTCAATTTTTCAACTCAAATTCTCTCAAGAATTTCTCCAGGAGGAAGTCAACGTATGGAGAGCAGGCATTGAGTTTTGAAGTTTTCTGCTAGGTACAGCTCATTCTAGGTATAGACGGTATACTTTTTGGCAGTCATAAACCCCCCCAAAAAAACAGTGCTTGACATCTCAGCATTGGGTAAGCCAGGCCTTCAAGGCGTCGGTGTCGTATAGTGGTAAGTTTATCACGTTGTGGCCGTGAGAATCAGGGCTCAATTCCCTGTACCAACAACTTTTTTCCAATTATTCATTTCTTTGGCATTCCGCTGATCAGCAAGCTTCCAGGATCACTTCACCGGGCATTTTTGGGCTCAGGTGTGGGCATGCAAGATCTTGTAATCATACGGAGCGCAATGGGCACAACTTTGGGTTCCCGTTCGCGCGCATGCGCAAACCCCACAGGGCTGCTGGAAGTACTGCAGCACCTATAAAATTTCAATTTCCGCATGTTATGGGCGACTGTGACATGCTATTGTTGTGGCACAGGGTGCCTGTGGAGAGCGCTGAGAGGTTCCGGGTGGAGGTGCTCTTCAGCCGGGGGGCGGGGCACAATCCATTTGAGGTCATCCCCATCAAGCAGGACCACACCCTGCCCATCGCCCTGCGCACTCCTCTCCACCGAGGTGCCTTTCCCGTCGGTAGAATTAACCTCAATCTCTTTCTCTGGAACTGGTCATAGCATGCCCATGGATTGCTTCATTATCTGCCATATGCGGGAGCTTCTGATATTGTTCGATATAGACGTGCGAGATGGCTTGGGCATGTTGCCAGGATGGGAAATGAAAGATTGCCTAAGATGATGATGTTCAGTACTTTGGAAGGTACTGGCAAAAGGGGTAGGCCTATTAAGTCCTGGAATGACTATGTTAGGAAAGACTTGGATAGTCTTGGGTTGGCCCTGACATGGTGGAAAAGATGCCAAGATAGGCCGAGCTGGAAGGCTGTCATAGAAACGCTGCTGCGACGCACCTAAGCCAATTGTGGCTTGGATAGGCGTGTAATAATAATAATAATGCGGGAGCAGCTCTCCAAACCCAAGGCTTGCAACGCTTAGCACGGGGGTGGTAGGCGAGTAGACTCTTTTATGCACAGAAATCTGCATGTTTCAGCAGAATTGTCGATAAGCACTGGTTAAGGGGATATTTGAAAGGTAATTTCAGCCAATACAGTGCCAGATATTGGTAATGATACTAAGGTGACGCACTGCTATGGTTTGTGCTGCTACACAGATACGGGGACTACCTGGTCGCAGCTATCGGAGCTACTCAGTCCCCACTCCACACCGGCCAAGGCGTCCACGTACACATACTCTATGCAATGACAGCAGTGTTGCGCTGAGTGGGGGTGTTCCAGTACCGCTGATGCAGGATGCAGAATGTGTTGGAGGGTAGCAGCATCAGCCAGGCATGACTTCTCTGTGCGGTATTTATGAATAATTCTCTGTATGAGATGCCCATGGATGCTGTGCAAATTATATGCATTGCTAGAGGGGTCTTTAGCTATTTTTCTTAGGGAATATGCGTGAAGCGACGGTGCACAGCATTTTTAGCTATATAATGTTGAGAAAACATTCTTTCATTGTTTTCAATCTGGCAAATATAGAAGTTGATTTGCAAGACTGGAACAAATACTCTATTCCAGTACCCGCATGCAACCAAATGCACATGCACAAAAGCATGTCACAACTCCAGCAAGTGCCATTGAACCGCACTGCAAAGTCACCTTGATCATGAGTTGACATTCACCAGCAACTTGGCAAAGTTCATAATATTGCACAGAGTGGATGCTAGAGGCAAAGTTGCTCATGTGCACACGTGTCTAAAGTCTGTACATAGAATCTTTTGCTCGGCGCCAATGACAGGCTCCCGCACACATGCTCTGCAGTGCTGTGTAGCATGACAGCACGAATTAAGATCTTCCAGGGAACTGCGTGCCGTAGCCTGGCTTCACAACAGGCCGCTCTAGAGGCGGTATGCTCCCGGCCCAAGGGGCCCTTGTCGGCGCCATGCTTGCCTGTGCTCCCGGTGAAGGTAGCCCAACCCTGGAAAATGCACCTGCAAGCATGCAACAATTCTAAGTCGCAAGGAACCCAGCAACTCTACACTGGCAGTTGGACAACATTTTGGTGATTCCCAAAAACAAGAAAATTAGTCCTGGCCAAACGATGCAGGCAAATGATTGGCCCCGGCTGGAGGGGGCGGTAAAATAACTGAGCACCGTGCCCACGGTTGATTGGGTCTTGCTTGGATCTGGCGAGTCCAACAAGGGGTATGAATTTGGCAGCCTTTACATGCAGCTTGTCTGCAGATGCACCTTGCCTTCGGCAGGAAAAGCGTGTAATAAGAATAGTGATAAAACGTTGCAGGCCAAGCATGCTAGGCTTTTGCAACTTGCTTGGCTCTTCTTCACTAAATCCCGGCATAGGAATTGTTAATATTCCCAAATCCACCTAAACAGAGACAGATGCATTAACAACCCAACTCTGAGTCTCCCGCAGGGAAGAGCAATCCCAGTCTTCTTCAAGAAGACGCAAGAAGCAGGGTCACCAGCAGCTAAGATGCCCCTAAAATGCTCTTGCATGCCCATGCGCGGGAGCCTGAAGACTGGAAAAGTCTAAGACATGAGACAAGAGAAGGAGGGTCACCGCAGGTGACTCACCGGTGGGGACCGGGACGTCGGGGCTGCGCGCCATGGCGGCGGCCTGATCGTCGGAGAGGTGGCCTGCCCAGATGCCGGGGCCGACAAAGTCGCGCAGCCGGCCCGCGCACTTGCCGGCCGCCGCCCGGCACAGCTGGTGCTCGCATGCCAGCGAGGCAAAGAGCGGATCCAGCAGAGCATCCATGTGCCTCTTGAACACCTGCGCACCAGGTTTACTTTCAGTGGCTTTTAACTATTAAAGACGGCAGATTTATGGCCTTTGGCAGGCTCTTGGATGTCCACTTGGAAGCCACAAATTGGCTTCGAACAAATAAGTCACACCCGCAGAAATGACACGATGTGTGCCTTTTTTGGCCTGAAATACCCTGAAAACAACCAGTTTGAGCCGAATTTTTCTCCAATATCCTCTTTTCACCACCACTCTTGTGGCTTTGGCCGAGCTATCACAAGACTTCGTTAAAAGCCACATTGGCTTTCAGCCGAAATCCTTCGGAGAAACACTGCTGCGCACATGTCAGGTCAAGACGATCGAAAAATGGCAGGGCCAGCGAATGAGCCTTGTGTGTTCCATCAGCTTCTAGGTGCTCGGTGGAGCAGTCTTACGTATGTCTGACAATTAGAAAAGCAACAAATCAGGCCACTGTCTGACAGGCAAATATTAATTGCCGAGTGGCTCTCAGCTGGAGCATATCTCAACGAGCGTTCCAGACTGCACATGTCCTGACCCAGAACTATAGCAACAAAATTGAACCTGCTTTCCACTGACCACTGATGTCAGCACCAGAGCACAGGGTAGCATGCGCCTTGCAATTTGTGATTTTCTATGCCGAACAGAAAGGTCTCTCCACACGGCATCAAGAAGGCGGAGTGCAATGCGCATACTGCACCTGGACCCAGGTGCTCACTTTCTGCCCTATGTTTGCTGGTTGCAGAATAATTATTGACTCAGCACTGACTGCGGCTGTAAGGCATCTAGGAGTACAACTAACAAACACGAATGAAGACCCTGAGCTGCACATTTAGGACGAGGGCGCACCCTCTTTCCGAGGCCGGCAGCGATGGCGGGCAGCTGGTTCCAGATGGTCTCCTGCAGGTTCCTGGAGTGTGAGAAGTGCTGCAGGCTTGCCACCTCTGCCAGCCCTGGCAGGAATTCTGGCACTGTTTCTGGGGCAACCTGTATGCAGACATCAGGTGGTGGATTGTGCTGTTCAAGCAAAGAAGCATCTTCACCAGGGTCATGGGAGTGCAGTGATGATCGATGGCCACACCCAACGACAGACAGGTTCTCCAATTCACAGGTGTCTAATACAGTAGCCTTGGCGTGATAAAGAAGGCACAATCGCAAGAAAATCATGCTGGAGATACCTTGAGAAGCAAGGTGAGTCCTGCCTAAGAGTTCAGCCTCCCAAGTCAGCTCACCATCAGGCATGCGTCGGCAAATAGATGCAAGGATAAGAAACTAAGACAGACCTGGGCCAATTCTCTTAGCAGGTAGACAGCGCCATCAGAGGCCTCCCACGGCTCTTTGGGCCGCCTGAACCCATAGTCCATGCAGCCACAGCTGTAATCTGCGCATGCACAGGACATGCTCATATGATGCATGCATGCGCGCAAGCTCTCAGAAGCACAGCATTGCTGCATTCAGGCTGTGCTGTGCCGGACGTACATGCCTGGGACTCGCTTGGAGCTTCCCTCGCAATGCAGATGGAGAGTTTCCTTGAGGCTCTGCATTTATGAGGACTAACTGGGGCACTCGTGGTCCCAAGCATACTTCCAATCATCGCATAACATCAGCACAAAGACAGTTCTTACCCACGCCGCCAGTGTCCTTCTTGCGGTTAGTCAGCGGGCCGCCGTGGAACATGCCGCCCTCCTCCGGCGCCGGCAGCTCCGCCGATATTTTCCGCGCACCCCCCACCGGCGCAGCAACGCCCCCTGATGCTGCCGTATCTCCCCTTGGTGATGTCGCAGCCTCCTTTGGCTGACCAGAGGGTGACAGTGCAGCAGCTGTGGCCTGGCTTGGCGCTGAGCTGGCGGGGCTGCTATACGCGCTGCCATCCGCTGCGTCTGCTGGCTGTTCCTTCGCTTTTGGTAACGCTTGCCTGCAAGTGAAATCCACACGTTACTCACTCACATGCCTGCAGAAAATGCCGCCTCGTCTATAATCTTCAGGAGCTCTATGAGACAGAAACACTATGCCCCATGCACAGAGTCAGGTGATGACCAGAGGCTGAATTTGCTCAGAACGGCATAATACACCCAGCACAGGATCAGGTGAGGGTCAGATACCCCCTGAATGACCATGTGGGAGAGCACCTTGGATGCAACTGGGGACGTATGGAAGCGCAAGAATCGAGCAGACTGGAAAGCAATAAGCGCGATCTTGATTTGTCCTTACAAACAGACAATTCGTGGGGATAAATCACATTATGAAAGCATGAAAGCCTGCCTAGAACACGTGCAGCAAAGAGGCGATCAGTAGTAAAACCTACTGTCAGCGCCTGAACAAGCTGGGAAGCAAATAAGCATATAAGGCTGCAAATGACGACCTAATGACCTGACTCAATTTCAAGGTGTATATCCACGTTCAGAATGTACCTGAGCCAGGGCAGCAGCCGGTCGAGCGCATCCTGCCTGTAGGCGCGGGCAGCGTCTCCCAGCGCGATTGCAGCATCCTCGCGCACAGAGTAGATGTTGTCGTCCAGGTGCGCCATCCACAGCCGGTACAGCTCCGGGAGTGATTGTGCGCACTCGGCAGGGAACGCCACCGCACACTTGCCCGCCGCCAGCAGCGCCCGATCGCGCACCTGCCGCCGTGAAGCCCTCACATGACTCCCGAATTTGATAATAAGATTATGCTTTATATCTAAGCTATGCAAACAGCTCCCCAAATCAGCATCTTGAACGTGCTCACTGGCAGCGGCGCTGCGCCTACAGTCTCTGTGCTTCCAACCAGCATTTCTTGCATTATAAGCTTCAAGGTTCCCAAAGGATACGCAGCTCGCCGCCAAATGGACTGGGCAACACTTTGCAGTTTTTCTCAAGCGCTGATCGAATGCAGAAAGGGGCGCGATGCATCTATTCAGCACACCTGCCCTCTGCAGCGTTCTGCAATAGGAGCTTGTATTTGGGCTTGTGTTGTTATTTTATTCAAAGTTCAGCTGAGGCCTGTGGCGCACCGGCCAGCTGTCGTCGCGCAGGCAGGTGATGAGCGTGCGCAGCATGGCGGGCAGGTGCGGCCGCACCGCATCCGGGTCTATCTTGGACGCCAGTTCGGCGATGCACGTGCATGCCGCCTCGCGCACTGTGTGGTTGTTTGTACGCGAGCACCGCGTGTAACACTCCATGACCTGCGACCGTGCAGTGCGCACCAATCAGATCTCTTACTCATGACTGAGAAAAAAAGTGCGGTCCTCCACAACTTGCGGAGTCATGCCAATTTCCTCAACTGACACCCTGTTTGGCACCATCGTCCACAATCCCAAGCACAGCCTACAACACACTGCAGACCTCGCCATGCCTCAGCGGCCTTATAGGACGCAATCTTTTGCAGACATGCCTCTGAGAAACCGAGAAGTAGCTGTGTTATCTGTGTGCAAGGAGCAAGCAGCGGATTTTCGAGCAGCATGCCTATCCCGTAGATCCTGCACAGGGCATTGCCAATATTATTGTGGTTGCTTTGGAGCTGAAACCTGCGGCATGCACTTGGCGACCCAGGCGCGGCCCTCAGAGCCCATGACGAGGCGCCAGGTGTCCTGCGAGTAGGAGGCAACGCCCTCCGCTACGTCGTGGCGGTTGAAGCACAGGTGCGGCAGTAGCGCTGGGTAGAACGCCGTGCGCGCATACCCCAGCGACAGCATGAACGACCGCGCCGCTACGCACGCCGCATACCTCACCTGCATGTTATGTCAAAGCCTGCTCACGCATCGCCCTGTGAGGAGGGAGGGAGGGAGATAGGGAGGGAGGGAGGAACATCGTTTTTTGTTGCTGCATTGCAGCTGACTGATACGTGTGCCAGAGGACATAACCTCAACATGGTCCATTTTGCAACTCAAAGCGAAAATCATCAGTAGATGGTGCAATGCATGTCTTGTAACGTCTTGTGACTGTCTTAACAAACAGTATAATATTCTTTGCCACTCAAGCATGCTGCATGCTGAGCTGAAATCAACACACACAAGTGGGTAAGCCAGAATTAGTGTAAAGCACGCAGATGAGAAGCGAAGGTGTTTGCAGCGTGCCTGGCTCCAATTCTCGCTGAGGCCGTCCTGCAGCCGCTCGGCAGCTTCCGGCGCGAAGGCTTCCAGCTGCGGCCTGGCGCACAGCGCGCACAGCGTGGCGGTGATGTGGTAGCAGGTCTCGCGCACGAAGCGGTTGGGGTGCAGCAGCGCCCGGAACAGCAGCCGCCGCAGCTCGGGGGTCACATGCGGCTGGAAGGCCGCGCCGCAGCCCTCCATGATCTGCTGCAGCGCCTGTTGCAGCGTATTGAAAAACCTGTTGATACTGCATCACTGAAAACTTACCTGTACAGTTGTGACAGCCAACAATGAGCTTCTGCACCATGCTATCTCCTTGCTGAGATCAAGCAGCCCTGACTCCTTGGAAGGAGGAAGCACTGACATGCCTCAGAAATGATGTGGATGCATTGGCAAGTGTCCTGCAGCTCCAGCGGCAAAGGACTGAAGTACATGTGGGGAACGCACAACTTGCACACATTGTGGACCTTCACCTACAACCTCAGCACACAGATTGCCTCAAGTGTATTGTTTACTGGGAGTGCAGAGCCCCATGCCTTGAAGCTGGTCTCAAGGCTGCGCCACCCCTCGGTGCCATGACGCATGTCACCGGTCCCAGGGGCTTGGAAGCTGTAGGACGTTCCCAGCAGATCGCTGAGAAATCCATTGCCATTGCCGCTCCCATCTGCATTGGGAGCCTCCGCGCTCCTCTGCTCGGCAGCGCTCTCCTCTGCATCACGGTCCTGCAGTTTTGCACAAACTCAATAAAGTTTGCCATCCTCGACTGCCACTGGGCATTTGCACGATGCCATCAGCAGAGACGATGCCATCAGCAATTTTCTATTCTGCCGATGAATGTCTTGACGGTTATGTCAGGCTATCAGCTTTCACATGCAGCACCCGGCTACCATAGGAACAAAGCAAGACAGGGTCAGGAGGAAGCAGAGCTCACCCAGCTGTGCTCTATGCTGCCCAGAACAGAGTCACTGGCCTCCTCCCAGACAACAACACCCTGATGCTGGGCCAGCAGCCCCAGATATTCACCCACAGCCAAGCGCACTCGAGACTCTGGGTCCTCAAGGAGAATCAGGGCACCCTGCAAGACGTGATTTCCCAGCTCCCTCTCCTTCTCCTGCTCCGCTTCGCTCACAGCTTTGCCTTGTGGCTGTTCCACTTTGAGCAGCGCCTGCATTAACCAAAGACAATCTTATTAAATAGATATCTTTGTGAAGTGAGTGGCAATGGCTTCTGCACGTCATGCTCGTGCGTGCCACTTGGTGCAACCTGCTGCAAGACCCGAAAAGAACAGCGTGTGTGGGCTCGGCCTTACCTTTGCCATGTTGACAGCTGCCAAGCGGTGAGTCCAGTGATCTGATGTAACCAACCGCAGTGCTTCTGTCAACACAAGCTCGCTCACAAATCCACTGCTGTCTTTGCCTGCACACAAGATGAATGCCGTTGCACTCTACAGCCATGGCAGCAGTGGAGCCCTGTATGTTAATGCAAAACAAATGAAATGGGGTCGTGTCTTTACCGGTCAGGAGACGATTAAGCTCTAGCAGGCCTCGCTCCCTTTGTAGTGCACTTTCAGCAGTCATGTTGACGATGATTGGCTGGAGGGGACTTTGTGGCATGTTGCTGTCCGATATTTCTCCAATACTATCAGCCATTGTTTTGGACTTCTGCGAAAAACTCCCACGTTTGCTCTCCGTCCTATCACTGTTGGGACTGCAGCTGTATCAACACATAAATTGTCATTCTTTGCACAGCAATCTGCGCTTCGACAAATTTCTTCCCTTCAATCATCCTGGATTAAATTCAAAGAAGGGAGATCCTTATGTAAGACAGCGGACGCATCCTGATGTAACGGTATCAACGGTGATCAGATGTACACGGACACTTGCATGCACCCAATTTATATTAGAATCTTACCTCTGAAAGACAACAAACGCGAACCCTTAAAGTTCTAAAAGTGGATTTACTGATTTCGATAGAAAGCCTCTTGTCCACTTATGATGCAGAACACGCGTGCACGATTGGCTGAGGTATGTCTCATCAGGACTAGTAAATGAAGTCCGAGATGTTTCCACTGACATGAATACCTCCTTCGAGCAACGAACGTCCCATTTTACTCATAAGATGATCTTCTGCAGCACCATAGGTGGAGGAAGAAGCTGAGGGAAGCTAAGCAAGACACTTGAGCCAATCTTGGCTGCAGAGGGCATGACGAGAGCCCACACGTTTCCCCGGGAGACTGGGCCCGGCTTCATCCAGTTCGATAGATGGTGGAAATAGATTGTAATCGTTTTGATGTATGTAGATAATCACCCACGATCATTCGTTGCTCGCATTCATCAATTGTTCTTTACCGTCTGGTGAACGTATTGTGGTTTTCCAGTGTGTCATTTATCGCAAACTATCTGTTTAGGGCATATACTTGATGCAAGTCTAACGCAAGTCCTTACTTTGTGATCGCACTGAAGCATTAGCATGCTATAGTCAACCCCACTGAATACCTTTACACATCCCCGAGGTTAAGCAGGCTGTGCCACTATGTAAGGAGTGAGAGCATGCATAAAATCAATATTTTGCAACTATTGTCTTGTCTACAATGGTACACATGGACGCACCCAGCAATGATACGTCCGTGCCGAACCGCACGGACAAGAATAGCACCACAAGTCCATTCTTGTTTTTGAGGTCTGACTCAGGCAGCAAAGTTTTCCCAGCAGAGGGGTGCCCCGGAAAGTGGACAGATACCACAGAGATTGGAGACGATCATGCTGCAGAGCACATGCCGCTGCTTGTCCCAGGTCCTCTTAGAAACACAGGCAGCACTGCAAACTCCAGCGGTAATGGATATGTAGACATCAGAATCACAGATGTTGCTGCTTCAGAGCAGAACACAGGCCCCACCGGACAGACAGCAGGAGACGATCAGGATCAGAATAAGCTGATCAGATGGCTGCACGAAGCCCTGTCCTTTCTGCGCAGACTGCGGAAGTGAGGGCCTCAGCAGCACGCTCTGAAAGCATGTGAACACTGACCAGGATATGTCAGATTTGAGGGGGAAGCGGTAATCTTGATTTGCTCTCAGACATATTTTGAGCCTGCAGGAGCTTCTGGGACTCTGGGACTGCCACAATGGTTGTGGCGGCCCTCATCATGTCGACTGGAGCTCTATCCGTTGCCATGACAGGTGGCCGGGTGCCAGTATTTGAGATTGTGGTGAGCATCTTATCCTCTTCACTCTTGTGCACAGCAAACAGAGCCAAGCATATTTTCTTCCAAAATGCACCCCATCCTTCAAAGTACCCCATCCTATTTCTCTCTGACTTGGCAGTGAGGGATGGTTATTGTCTCCACTCTGCATGACAGTGCGCATGGTGGTCGTTGGTTGGCATCTTTTACTACACGCTGATCCTGTCATGCGTCACAGATGATCCGGAGCGCAGTCAGCCTGATGCTGACTGTGTCGGTGGTGAGGGCGGAGAAGTGGACGTCCTATCTTGGCACCAAGCGCCTGTGGCCGATTCTGGCCATGCGAGGCTTTGTTGGTGCTACCAGCATGACGCTGTACTATGAGGCCATTCAAAGGATGCCACTGGCCGATGCGGTAAGTCCCCATCTCATCGAATCTGATCGGACCCAAACCTTGTCCTTTAAGCCGAATGCACAGGTGGCTAAGGACACAGGTTCCACTGCATTTTGCATGGGAAAAATGATGGTCACGCTCTTGATAATAACCTATCTTCAGAGATTACCATTGTGTACATGCAGCAATTTGACACTTGAGGCCAGCCTGGATCTCTGTGTCCCATCACATATAAAAAATCCAGCACACTTCTGCATGCTGCGCAGATCACAATCATGTACAGCAATCCTGTGCTGGTGGCGCTGTTGGCCTGGGCGCTGCGTGGGGAGGTGCTCAGTGCGCGCGGCTGCGTGGGGATTGCCGTGACACTCATGGGTGTCATTGTTGTTGCTCAGCCGCCCTTCCTCTTCGGAGGCCATGAGTGGTCACAGACGCGCATGGCCGGTGAGCCAAATCCCCCTTGCTGAAAATCCAATTGCTCCGCTGCTATCTATCCTGTCCTCATTTTCACACATTGCCATGTGTTGTTGCCTTGTCGGCCTGTTTTGCCTCACAAGCAGCCCTGCTCAGACATGGCAAAAATGGCATGCAATTGAGCATTGTGCCTACTGCATGGTTTCCTGCATTTGTAGCAAAATAAGGTCGCGTGGTGTTGGAACGGTCTATCTGACTGGGGATATGGGTTTGCTACAGGCTTTGTGATGGGCGTGCTGGCAGCAGCCACTGCAGCAGTGGCATTCTTTGTCATCACCTGCATACCAAAGACCGAGCCTGCCCTTGTCGTCTCCCTCTGGTTCCATGGCGCGGCCATTGTGATGTCCATCGTCCCTCTCATTGTGCGCATCCCCTCTCCATCCTGCTTTCAATTCACCTTTGAAAATGAATTCGACAGCTAGGCACTAATTGATTGAGGTGATGAGTTCTTTAGCATGTGAATCGTCCAAGTACACAAGATGGTTTGTTTGTGTGCCGATGTGTGGACTCTGGGCAGGTGGGCTACCCGGACAAAGTTGTGGTCCCTGGTTCCTTTGACTGTGGCATGCTTTGCATCATCATCTTGTCATCATTCTTTGGGCAGATGCTCCTGAACCACAGCTTCCAGATCCAGAATGCTGCCAAAGGCTCCTCCATCAACTGCACCCAGGTATGTATGTCTGCGCTCAATCCTCTAGTCTCGGCGTTCTTAGTGACAGGTAACTGGGTGAACATGCAGCTGCAGGTGTGATTGCTTCATGCTGCGCGATGACACCTTATTACTTTCCTAAATACCACTTTGTTGTGTACTTTCCTGCAGGTCTTATATGCACACATTTTTGGCGTGACGCTCCTACATGAGCAGGAGACAGTGTGGGGCATCCTCGGCTCGCTGCTGATAGCGTCGGGGGTGGTGACAGTGAATGGCGCAAAGAACAAGAACTCCAATGCGCATGCCACTTTCGAGCACCCCTCCTTGCTGCCCATGTTCCAATACCGCCCTAAAAGCACCGGCGACAGGAACGCCGTTGAAGATCTGATCAAGGCCGACAAAACACCCCTTGTAGCCCATAGTGGTGTGGCTGGAATCAGTGCTGGGGAAGGCAGCACGGTGGAAATTAGAGCGGCAGGCAGCGGCTTCTTGCAGTCTGTGCTGTCCCGCCTCAGGCATGCGGGGCTGCACCCGCTCGGCAGCTTCCGCCGGCAGCAGGCAGCTTCCCCAGAGCTGGAGCTTGCAGGTGTGACCAGCGAGGCAGAGTCCGGGCGCAGAGATGCAGATGACAGCAGTGCAGCAAGCAGTGCCGGGGACGGCGGCTTGACTGGGCAGCCAATACCGGGGCCTGCCCCTTACACGAGCCTACCGCAGCAGGAGGACAGAGAACTGGGGAGGAATCACTTGAGCTCGGCTGGGGGTGATGCAGCGGCTGACCTGCCTGAGAAGAGGCGGCTGAGGGGACAGTGCGGGGTAGTCGGCTCGCTGAGAGACGGGGAGAAGAGCTGGGTTGGCGAGTGGGCATTTAGGCGGGAGATAGATGGGAATAGCTTGGCGCCTGCCATGGCCCGCTATCATCAGCTGCTGGAGCAGAGCAGACAGTAATCAGCCAACATTGTATTTGCTGTACTACAGCAAGGATATGCGTACCGTGGGAAGACATTTGAAGACATTCTTCTTCTTCTTGGCAGTGTCAACCAGCTATTGAGCTATGCTGCTCTGGCTTGCTGAGTAGGTTTCCATGCAAAGCTTGGAGCAGGTTTTTTCAAGAAGGCGCTTCTGTTAAATTTATTGTTGTGCCGAATTGTCATACATTAGGTTGGACTGGCATCTTCTGAAGAAAGTGCCAGGCTATTGTAGTAAAGCATTATGTAGATGAGTGCGAGCGCCTGAAACGGTTCTCAGTTGGGATATATATTTAGGAGGTGTCAGCGACTGGTCACTTTTGGACCAACTTCAGCAACAGCCAGTACTACTCACCATGCAGTAGTTATTGGCTCTTGCTACCGCACGTGCTTTGACAGGCGCCTCTTGCCAGTGCATCCTGCTTTTCCAATTCCTAGAGTTGAAGTGGATCAATTGAATGTTTAAATTGGAATCGTCCATGACTCACTGAGCAATGGCATTGGATGCACTTGCAATTTGTGCACGCAACAGCCGAGCTGCAGTGCAAAGCTCTGCAAAGGCCAGGCTTAAGTATTATGATGGACTGTTCTCGATAAATTTGAAAACTCGAACAATGATTGATCCAAGGGGTCGGCAATCACGTTGCCTTCGGATGGCACCAACAGTGTCCTGGTCGAGGCAAGGAGTAGCTGTCATCGACTGCCTTTGAAATTCCACGATCCAATTACGCATCGATGACGCATCCTGCCTTCGTGGTCTGGTCTTCCTCTGACCCAGAAATGTGCATCCCAATGCTGAAATGTTTGCTGCGTAGCAGATCAAGCCAAACATAAATAAATATCACGATCGATGCAATGCACAAGCGTTGAAAAACACGAATATCTGAGGTGTTTTAGGAAGTGGCATGCCTGTAGTGGATGGGGTCAGCGTCCTTTTCCCTAGTTTGATCCTTCCTTCTGACCTGAAATGTATCTAATCTGCACAGCAGCATTTCCGATATGACAAGCACGCTCGGGATGTCACGCACAAAGGCCAACGGGCCCCAGGCTGCTCCACGAAAGCTGGTGATCAAGCCCTTGAAAAGTAAGCCGCTGCTGCCCGCCTCATAGTCGCCTGTATGTTCTCGCACATTCATGGATCACTCCTGAGCTTGAGAGATTGAGGTCCCTTTGTCACGAAAGCACCGTAATAGAAAGTCTTACTGATCTGCATCGTGCCCAAAATCAGTCGCAAGCACATGGCCAACCCCCTTGCTGACGTCACAATATGAGCTCTTGCTGGCAATGCTTTCCTCGAGCCACGTAGTTTCACTCATACATTGGGTGTGGCCTGCACTGTGCAGGCAGACCTCAATTACCAGCTGACTTTGAGGCCAGGACATGGGGAAAGCTGCGGGAAGCGGTCCTTGCTGTCCATGCCAAGAGGCCTGTTTCATGCAGCTTGGAGGAGCTCTATGGGGTGAGTGCATTTGCACCTTCTTTTCAGTGTCATAATCATATGCTGGTCTTGCTTTTGGCTGTCGGGATGCACCTGGCTCACTTGCATGGGGAATTTACGCATGATGATACATGCTGCTTGCCTGAAGCAGCAAAGGATGGTGAAGCTGCCTTTCTGCATTTCACAGTGACACTCTTGTCAATGACACCTTCAGTAAACCTTGAAGCGCTGCGCAGCTGTACCTGCAGCACTGAGATTCTCTGCCTATTCTGTGCAGTTGGTGGAGGACATGTGCCTGCACAAGATGGCGGACCGGCTGTATGTGAACCTGCAGAAGGAGTGTGACCGCCACGTCAGCGAGCAGCTGACCAAGCTTGCCACAGACCAGATCATGGACCCTGTACTCTTCCTAGGAAAGGCAAGCAACACTTGCTCATCATTCCAAAAAGGGCTGACTGATCACAGAGATATGTGTGACAGTCAGCCCATATTCTAGTTTCTGATTTTACCCAGAAAGGGCATGTGAGGCAGATCTATCCTGGATTAAGTACGTTGGACAGGATCTGCAGTCTCTTTGTCCATCTTTGACTTGGTGGAGGGGTGCTCAAGATAGACCAGGATGAAAGCGCTTTTGTAAAAATGCTGCAACGCACCTGGTTCTAATGGATGGGCAAGGCGTGTGATAAAAACGATAATAGAGAGAGAGGGAGAGAGCGAAGGGAGTGATGTTGCAGGTGGCGGCTTGTTGGAAGGATCACTGCGACCAGATGCTGATCATCCGCTCCATCTTCCTGTATCTAGACCGGACCTATGTCATCTCGACCTCAGGCGTGAGGTCGCTGTTCGAGATGGGCCTGAACCTCTTTGGCAGCCACCTAGCAGAGCACCCTGAGGTGGGCACCGTGCTGGCAATAGCAATCAACTTTCTCTAGATGGACAAACCTCAGTTGTATGGAGCACACCACCCAGAGAAGCACTGAGGAAACAACCGCAATAAAAAATCCCGGCATAGGCAGTTCGTCTCAGCAATTTCGCCACCAACGGAGGTTGCCAGCAGATGCAGTGTTATGCTGGCCTCCTTAGCTGGTGTCGGTGGTGCTGGGTGCTGGGGGGAAGAAGCACCTCGGGTTATCTGAAAACAAATACGATCCATGTCTCACGGTGTTTCTGAGGGAGTGGGTGTGACTGTGTGCAGGTGGAGAGGAAGACAGTGGTGGGTCTTCTGCAGCTGATAGAGGCAGAGAGGAGCGGGGAGACAGTGGATAGAGTTCTCATGGCGCACTTGCTGCGCTGCTTCACTAGCCTGGGCATCTATGGCACGATATTCCAGGGCCCCTTCCTGCAGCAGACCACTGAGTTCTATGCGGCCGAGGGGCTCCAATATATGGCCACCACAGAGGTCGCCCAGTACCTCCTGCATTGCGAGGTATTCCGCAACCCTCTTTATAAGATCAACCTCTTGCCAATCAGCTTTGTTGGTGGTTTGTGATGGCTATGACAGGGGCACAGTCAATGCATGCTCTCAGGTTCCCAGCGATCAGGGAGCTGCACAGTAATTAGACTGGACCAAAAGAGCAGCTCCTGGCTTTGCAATGTAAATTTGCACATTGTTGCAGGGAACATCTGAACCTTTGAGGGCCTTGAAGAGTGGTTCCGATGGCGAGCATGCACCTGCTTATTTCAAGTGATGAGTCATGCTTACTGTATGATGATGACTGAGCCAATGGGGTGTGACGTCACAGCGGCGGCTGGCGGAGGAGTACGAGCGGTGTCAGCAGTACCTGGACGCGACCACGCGGAAGCCGCTGATCTCAGCGGTCGAGTCGCAGCTGCTGGAGCGCCACGTGGCGGCCATCCTGGAGAAGGGATTTGATGGGCTCATGGCGGAGGGACGCGTTGCAGACTTGGGCCGCCTGTTTGGGCTGTGCGCGCGCATCCATGCGCTGGATCCCCTCAAAGCCGCCTTCCGCGCGTACATCAAGAAGGCCGGCATCGCGCTCATCATGGACGAGGAGAAGGTGAGTAACCCTGCTTAGAGAGTCACCCCGCTGAGTGAGGGTCAGTCACCTGGGTAGCGTGCTTTTGACTGCGCGGGTAGGACAGGATAGGACATCAAGAAGATCGGCATTTGCTAATCATGGGCGAGGAGAAAGTTGAGCCACCCTGTGCAGTGAGGGTTAGTCGCCTGGGATGCATGTTTTGCTTGCGTGTCTGAATATTGAAAGCGGACAATAGAGAGGCCGGCATCGCGCTCATTTCATGGACGAGAGGAGAAGGCGAGTCACCCCGCTGAGTAATCATGAGGAGTGAGGCCAGTCATGTAGGCTGCAGGTTGTGTTTTCTGCAATGGCCGTGGGTGACTGTGGGCTATTTTACTTGTTAGGGGTGCGGACATGAGATTTCTCCCAACCGAGGACTGCAGAGGGCCTTGCTACTGCCAAAGGGAAGTGACATGTGTGCAGAGAGGAAACCATATGCATGCTCTGTGGCTGAAAGTGTTCGATGATGTCGGCATGGTCAGATGATCACAAGGCAGCAAGCTTCAACGTGATGGCTGTCTGGTGCAGGACAAGGACATGGTGAAGCTGCTGCTGGATATGAAGGAGCGGCTGGACACAGTCTTGATAGAGGCCTTTGGAAGGGCCGAGCAGTTCGGCCATGCTCTGAAGGATGCCTTTGAGCACTTCATCAACCAGCGCTCCAACAGGTGTGCTTGTTAATTTGCCCTGCTGCTGCGGCAAAAGTAAGTTGTAAAAGTCGTCAATAGTAACAGGAAAAGAAAAATGTGCTGGAGGATCAGGCACGATGAGGCTTGTTGTCTGGGCTCGTGGACGCGATCAGGATCTCACTTTATTTGCATGCTAGCTTGTTGTCAATCCAGATGAACATGCATGCCAAGCAGCTCACAGGAGACACCTATATGCTTTTGCAAGATCTTTGTGGCCTGATATATCACAGATAATTGGTGGATTTGTGCCAAGATTTGTACCGATGGTCTGAATTGCACGTGTGCAGGAGATCTCTCTGCGGTTTTTGGGGTTCTTTGGAGATATTCCTGTGTGGTGCAGGCCGGCTGAGCTGGTGGCGAAGTTTATGGACGAGCGGTTGCGCGGAGGGCAGAAGGGGCAGAGCGATGAGGAGCTGGACAGCACGCTGGACAAGGCACTCATGCTCTTCAGATACATCCAGGTACGCAACCCTGTCAATTGTCATTGAAGCCTTAATCGCATGCTAGGACCCCCTTGTAAAAGTCAGAGCTCACCTTGAGCATGAGCGTTAAATCCGCACAGAGGTCATGCATGCATGCAAGATATGAGCGTCAACCAACCTCCTTGAGGATCTATCAGCAAATACCTGAGGCAGACTTCATGCGTGCTGCTATCCTTCCCTTGTCAGTGCTCAAGTCCTGCAGAAAATAGGGAGGCTGAAGTACCGGCAGCTTGAGCACCAGAAAATTTTCTTTCATGCGAGTCTGTGGCATGCCTGCAGCTTTGGCTGCAAGAAAACAGCAGAGTGCCCCTGCCCGCTTGTGCACGTCGTCTAAGGGTGCACATGCGTGTGTGTCCCTCTGCAAGAATTCATTTTGTGGCGTCCCAGAGCAAGACCATTATTCATGCGTGTGGCCCAGGGCAAGGATGTGTTTGAGGCATTCTACAAGAAGGATCTGGCGAAGCGGCTGCTGCTGGGCAAGAGCGCGAGCACAGACGCGGAGAAGGGGATGATAACCAAGCTCAAGGCGGAGTGCGGGTCGCAGTTCACCAACAAGCTGGAGGGTATGTTCAAGGACGTCGACCTGTCACGCGACATCATGACCTCCTTCCGCCAGTCGGTAAGACATTGGCGCTAGAGATGAAAATAGGCAAAGGAGCAAACGGAAGTGTTGTTCCACCGCATTCTCTAGTCATGTTTGCATAAATCTGTGGGCTGCTTGATGGCAAGCAGGACCTGATAGACCAGAAGCGCCAAACCAGCAAGGAAACAGTCAGGCCTATCCTTAAGTTCAAGTGTATCTTGGGGAAAATGAAATAAGTGATATGCCTGGTTTTATCAAGCTGAAATGTCGCGAGCAGCTCGTCTGTCAGGTCCTGCACATCTGTCAGGTCCTGCACCAAATAGAATCTTCCTTAAATTGGTGAATAGCATGTTCCTGACTTGCAAAATAGTAAATTCTTACTAAGCTGCGCAAATTCTGCGCAGGCGTCCTCGAGGTCAAAATGCCCCGCGGGTCTGGACATGAGCGTGCACATACTGACATCGGGCTACTGGCCGACGTACCCAATCCTGGAGGCGAAGTTGCCGGAGGAGCTGACGCAGTATCAGAGCGTTTTCAAGGAATTCTACCTCTCCAAACACTCGGGCCGGCGGCTCGTGTGGCACAACTCGCAGGGGCACTGCACCGTGCGCGCCCACTTCCCCAAGGGCGCCAAGGAGCTCTCGGTCTCCCTCTTCCAGGTGTGGCGATCTTTGTGCAGGCTTGATGAGTGCTGCAGACAGATGAACAGTCGCACAATACCATTAGGAAGACTCACGGCTGCACGTGAAGTCATCTGCAAGCTTTAGGTGAAAAGTAGATTAGGTAGGTAGGGTAGCCTAGCCATACCTAAATCATCCGATTTTGAAATCCGTGAGAAGGGGACCTCTTCTTGCCCAAATGGGAGTTCCTTTGTTTTGGCTTTGGAGACCTGTTCTTTCTATCCAGATGTAGAAAGTGTGCAGCCCACGTCAGCCAGCATTCTGGGGGCAGCACATCGTCATGCACGTGTGGCTTACACAGTCATGCCAGCTTGCATGGCAATTGCCCAGCCTGTGGAATGCTGAGTGACCCGGTTGCATGGCATTTTGGCAAGTGTATGGGAATTTGAAGTGTTGGTGACTCATGGAAACACAGATGGATCCTGAACAGCTTGCCGCGGCACATTGTATTCTGCACATTGGGCAGCTCTCCTCTTTTGAAGGCTCAGCTTTTTTGCATGCGTGAATATGGTCTTTTATGCATGCCAATTGTCACAAACTCACCTACAGCCTGAAGAAACAGCCTTGCGGCAGGTAGTACGACTACAGTTGATGGTGCAAGTATCAATGCTGATGTGCTGACGCAATTCTCAAGCCTGACACGCTGCGCTGCAGACGGTGGTGCTGATGCTGTTCAACGACGCGGATGCGCTGTCGTTCGAGGACATAAAGGCGGCCAGCGGCATTGAGGACCGAGAGCTGCGGCGCACGCTGCAGTCGCTGGCCTGCGGCAAGATACGCGCCATCACCAAAGAACCCAAGGTGACGACCCATAGTATAAGACAGTGATCTGCTGTATTATACTGTGCATAGAATCTGCTTGTGTCCAGAAATCAGGTGTCTAGAAACCAGAAGTCCACTGTCGGCATGTGCACATAGCAGATGCCTCCTGGTACTATATATGTGATGCGAACCCAAGCTTTGCACTAGTCTCTGTGAGCTCAGACAGTTCATGTGCTCGGTGCTGTGCAAGCATGCGGCAAATTTTGCACATTAGAAAGTTCACAGGAGTCTTGCTTGGAGTCAAGAAAGTGGGGTCCAATCTGCGTGCTCTCGCGTAGTCAATGTGCTGCTGCCATGCATGGAAAGGGGCCCGTCTATGTTTTCGAAATGTGTCTGCCTGCATGAGATGGAAAATCTAGAGTGATCCGCACATAGACATTTGCTAGGGCAATTCCTGGTCTCTAATTTTAAAACTGTGAGTATTTTTCGAGCTCTCCAGCCCCAGTTTTTGCAGCTTGATTTACTATGGGCAGGCCATAAAACGACTGTCCCACCTTTCTCAGGTGCTCCTTTAGATTGGGCAGACTAATGTTTACTGTGAAGAGTGTATCTGTGTGATGCCCGGGGGCAGGGCCGAGAGGTGGACGACGGGGATATGTTCCGCTTCAATGGGGATTTCAGCGCGCAGCTGTTTCGCATCAAGATCAATGCCATCCAGATGAAGGAGACTGTGGAGGAGAACAAGAAGACCAACGACCAAGTCCTCCAGGACAGGCAGTACCAGGTGCGTTCCTTTCTTTTTCTTTCCTGGGCCACTGGTGTTTCCTGGATATTCCTGGACCCCTGATTGTGCGCCCGGCGATGTGGGTAGTCATCGATGTTGATCAGACGCGCTCTGTCAACCTCAGTCAAAGAGCAGTGTCTGAACGCTTGCAATCAGCAGAAATTCTATTGCGAGAGCAGAAATTCTATTGCGAGAGTGTAAGATGGAGCAGCGTTGGTGTTTTGCTGGTGGAAGAACGGAGGAGAAGACTTGCTTTGGAGTAAGCACGAGTTGTGGTTTCCTGCTGACATGGGTGCACAATCAGACATGCTCATGTGCTGACAGCCCTGACTCGCGACTGACAGAGTGCCACCGACAAAAGACAATGTCTCGGACATGTGTGCATGGCATTGGCTGAGCTGTCTATGGTGCGCATGCGCAGATCGATGCGGCGATCGTGCGGGTGATGAAGACGCGGAAGAGCCTGAGCCACAAGCTGCTGGTGTCGGAGCTGCTGACTCAGCTCAAGTTCCCCATGAAGCAGTCCGACCTAAAGAAGCGCATCGAGTCCCTCATCGACAGAGAGTACCTCGAGCGCGACCGGGATAACCCCAACGTGAGTCCTCCCTTTTCCCTTGTATTCTCAAACATGCTGCGTATCACACTACGCTGTCAACTTCCATGGTAGAGCAGGGCTTGACAGTGCCACCACAGAGTTCCAGGGCTTCCTAGACAGCATGTTCCGATGTCTCGGGGCAATACCAGGGAATTCTGATCCAGTCAATTTTAGCTTGCAGTGTGCGAGAAAATCTGGGCGGACCAGAAACCCGTCCCAGAACCCAGAGCTATAATCCAGAGCTATGAGCCCAATTGTAGGGGACTCCCCTGGGTTGTCAATTCCTGTGTTGGAGGGTCCAAGGTCATTGCGGGGATTGCTTTGCAGGGTGACTACTGGGAACTTGCAGCATCAGGCCCTTTTGGCAGGAGATTTCCATTTTTGAGAATCGGCAATTCTGCGAGATATGGCCTTGAACTTTGTCGGTTGGTGGTGTCCGCAGGTGTACAACTATCTGGCCTGAGCCAGCCGTGTTGCAGCGCACGCGCGACAATGTATGCGTCGACACATGTGCATGCAACTTGTATGCATTATCAGCTGCAGGGCATGCACTGAAGAAGCGCAGGTTACAAGCAATGCCCCCGTCAGCACCCTTGAATAAGGGACTACAGATGCGATAATGCATGTTGTGCATGCATAATTGTCCCCTCAAGCCTAAGTGTGACATTCTGCGCCTTTCTGACATTGTAGATTACCGCATAGATGTTGTCATTCTGTTGCAAAAATAACAGAAGATGAACATAAATACAGCCCAAAAGGTATAAAGTAATGTTACTAAATTAGCTTGAATGCCATGTAAGCATTCAGTGATGGATCTACTGCTCCCCATGTCTAAGGCCAAGCGAATAAGAAGTGCATTTTGCAAACATGCACGAAGCACAAAACACTCTCTATACCTAGACTACAGTGTATTCATAAATCCTTTCAATGAACTTTCCAGCTGGAATTTGCAGGGGCCTTCCACAGTGCTAGCAAAACTGACAAAACTCGAACAATACAAACCACAGAAATGCCACAGAAATTTCACCATGCAGAGCGTCAAACATTTAGAAAGAGGCCAGACTGGATGTCCATTCACGCCGTTGCAAAAGTGATACCCTTGGGGTCTGAGGCTCCCAACGCAGCAAAGAAGTCAGTGGCATCCTCTCCCTCCACATCTCCCTCTTCCAGGTGAATCACCTGACAGAAGCACCAAACACTCGTCTTTCTGTTCCCCTCGGGCATTTGCCGACAAGCACCTTGCTTGCAGGAGACCTGCCCACACACAGGACTGAGGGAAAGCTGAGCTTGCCTTCACCTTCCCAGCAGCTTTACCAGCCAGGAGTGCGCACAAGCCTGGACCTTTCATGTCTTTCAAGCAATTGAGAGGCTCGAAGCCATGCTGACAAGAAGACTCCCAAAGTCTTCAACACAGACTGCAATCCTTAATGTGCCAATCCCCCGGCACCAAGTCTAATTGACATGGCACAAGCCGCCATAGCATCTGCTGTGCCGACCTAGTGGGCCTACCTGCGATTTGCCCTGGTGGTCCTTGTCATCGCGCAGGGCAATGGTGTGCGTGAGCGCCTTGTTCTTCTCCAGGGGTGACGCGGATGCGCCCGTCCACACAAAGATCTTGGCGCCATTGTCCAGAATGAACACGTCCCCGCTGTTCAGAGAGGCCCCTCCCAGGGGCACCTCTGTGACTCGCACCCCCTGCTGGGATAGAGACGCTGTTGACAGTCAATTGACTTTGTGTCACATGTCACAGTTTCAAATTGACGCGCCTCGTGCAACAGAGGCAGAATGGATATGCCTGCAGGCAGGCTGCACTTGGAGGCTGCTGCCATGCAATCGCCTATGGGACTTGTTGAATGCATGCGAGAAAAATAGATTGTGGGCATAGCGCCAGATCTCCGTTCATGCCTCCCGCCAGCAGGGACGAGAAATTAGCACCAGCATTTGTCATAACAGGCAGGCATTGCAGAACTTTCACATTTTGGCAGAGAGCTTGATGCTGTATAGATGTGCAAGCGTCATGTACATTGCCGCTCATGAGGAGTGTCAGTGCGTGCCTTGGCGTGGAAGAGGGCTGCCTTGTGGGGAGCGTCTTCGTGGTGGTGGAAGCCACTTGCTGCGCCTCCTGCCAAGTACTTCACGCCTCCCTTGAATATCTGAAACCACAGCGATCTTACTTCAGGATTTTTGTCACTTGCATGGCGGGAGCCTCTGCGGCAGCAACACTATAAGCCGGGGATAGAGGTGGGAGTTTCCTGCACTTATCGATGTGCCTTCAGGCGTGCAGACTACTGTGCGCAGTCTTGGATTGGTAGGCTGGTGACAAATTGGTTTTGAGGCAGTTTGAGCAATGCTGGCCATGCAGGGTCACTGAAAAGGGGTGCAGGATGGGGGCTCAGACCTGCAGGAATTCTGGGGACTCTGAGCCCTGGACTTCCCTGAACTCCTTGGGCTTACCGCCCATAGCAGCATCCAGCTGCTCCGCCAAAATGGCAGAGGCTCCAGTGTCATCCTGGCAGCCAGCGCATCTCCCCATCAGCACTTGAGGGAGATTGCTTCTGTTTGTGGCATTCGGCCTGTGACACTGTTGTGGGGAGGAGATCAGCACCTGCGAGGACTCCTTGCCCTGCCAGAAGTGGATGTCGTGGGACACCTTGCCACCACCAGCTTGCTTGGTGTTCAGGATTATGTAGGAGTCACCTGGCAACATGTGCTTCGATTGTCAGTTCAAGATTGAACAGGTCCCTTGGTGCCAAGGCCCGAGATCAGCGGTGTTGATGAGTTGGTAACTATCCCAAAACTGAATCTGGGGAGCAATATGCAATCAGAATGGGAAGAAACAGCAGGTACTGAGCAGAATCAGAGTACACACCAGTATAAAACTTTCCAAAAGCAGTGGGTCCTTGCTTGACAGGTTTGAAGTCTTCAATTCTCCAGGTCTCGACACCGACCTCCTGCGTTTGACAAGAATTGCTTCAAATATGTAGCATGAATCTAGAAGGGGCATCCCCAGCGATATCTTGCTGTCAACTTCTAGGATCCGCACTGATCACATGCCGATCAACCAGAACGAGCAGAAAGATACACCTTTCCAGAATTGAGGAATTCCTCTGCGGACGCCATTGTAGACAGGCCAGCAAGTCAAGCTCTCTCTTCTTGTGCTTTGACAGACAGATTTGACAACTGTCAATGAAATGCGTTTCAACACATGAGACCTGTCTCGATATATGTATCCCTGCCACGTGGGAAAGGTAGGGATTTGCCCTATAGGGCCTCGAATCTCACTCGAGTCATCTGCCCTTCTGCAACAGCTTCCGTCTCGCCCCGATCTTATCAAAACATATCAATCGTTCCTCTGCGTCAGCCAGAACGTCTGCAGGGTTACTAGCGGGGCGATAGAGTGTGTAGGAAACATGGGCGAGAAACGCGACAAGGAGCAGGAACCTCTGCTGAGCCCCAGGGCCGCGCAGGCGTTCACCAAGGACACTCCCGTTGCTGTGTGCAGCGAGGCGCCGAAGAAATGGGACGGTGGTATCCTGAATTGCTGCGGCAGCTGTGATCTGCCCGGCTGCGCCACGTTCGGGCTGGTCCAGACATGCCCTTGCTTTGCGTGGGGGTGAGTTTCCTTGCCTGGCACCTCGACTAGATGTCCCTTGTGGCCAGATGGCTATAGGGGAATTTCAGTAGATCGCAGTCCATCTGGTGCAGGCCACGCAGCTCTACAGGGACTTAAAGCGTTATTTTGTGCTGTTTGTCAACCAGCACCGTCAAAGGGTTTCTCTAATCTCTTGCTTTGCCAAGCTAGTCTTGTCCTTGTCATCTGCATCACTAGTTTTTATGTATTTCTGCGTTGTCGCACGAGCTCTTTGACTTTTGTTGCATAAATCATTCATCACCTCTTCACTTGGCGTTCCCAGCAGAGTTTCATCGATCCCACCTAAGGTTCGGCCTTGCTGCGATGCAGGCACAACCTGAAGCGCGCATTCAAGAGCTCCCTGCTGCTGCATGCAACCATCTACTTCGTGCTCTTCGTCTTCGCGTCCCACCTGTACCTTGGAGCGAACCAGGCAGAAATGATGCTGTGCCCCGACGGCCCTCTGGACGAGGCCTCCTTCATGGAGAAGCTTGCAGATAACGGCAACCGGCGTCTGCTGCATGACCACGGCATGCATGAGCATGGGCCGGGCGAACACCATGGAAAGCCTCCTGTGCCCACCCCATGGGCCGACCTGCCAGAAGGTATGGTTGCTTCCTTGAATGAATTAACATGTTTCTGTGCTTTTCCACGGCTCATGAAATCCTAAGCCTAAGGTGATGTGCCGCCAAGGTGTGACATGACATGCATTGACTTGTGCTGTGTCTGCATGCAGAGTGCCAAGCGGCGATTTTCATGAAGTACGAGACACTGTCGCTATGCATCATTTGCTTCCTGATCGGCGTTGCCTACTGCTCCTACAACCGCACCATGCTGCGCCAGAAGTTTGGCATCGCAGGTGCATGCCCCTCCCCATACTGTACCTTGGCCTGCCTTGTCCATGCTAGCTTGTCCTCTTGCTGACCTGGCTTATAATCACCGTAGATTTAGAGCACCTGGAACTTTCTGCATGCTGTACCTGACGCACTTGTTGCTGTTGTCACTGCAGGCAGCCGCTTTGGGGACTTCTGCACATGGTGCTGGTGTGCGCCTTGCGCTCTGTGTCAGGTGCGTGAAGGAAAGCAAGCCATATTCACACCTCTTTCCTCCCCCTGGGAACTCCGTCTACCTGGCAAACCTATTTATCTGGCAAGCTAACCTGGGAAAAAATCCAGATTTGAGATTCTGCTGGCTGCATGAGCCTCTATACATGACAGTATGGTATATTGTACACAATGCATCTGATTTGTGCTGTGCGTATCTGCAGGAGACGAGGACCATCTGGAGCAACAATGTGGTGGAGGGCGTCTGGCATGGCCCCACACAGCTGCCCACTGTCACACCCCCTGCCCAGCAGTCTGTTGTGGGCCTGCCCGTGCCCAAGCAGGTTTGAGCGCATCAGTCTGCTTGCATGCGGGTCCACATGAGCGGCCCAGGACGACCGCAAGTCAAAGCACGCATTGGAGGGAGTGGGTCCTGTTTTCTCAAAGGGACACCAAGAGATTTGTGAGGGTGCCCACTGCCAAGTGCGCTGAACGGCTGCTGTGTGCTGTTTGCATTGTTTGCTACTGCGCATGCGCAACATCTATCAATTGATCAAGACAACAGCGCTGTCTCTGCCTGTAATGCCGAGCTGCATTGCAGCGGAGGGGATGTATATAACAAATATGCGGCACATGTAGGTTATTGATCTGGAGTGATGATTGCGCCATGTATGGTTTTGAGTTCCAAGTGTTCGATGTGATGGGTGGTGCGGGAATTTTTGGCTTTCCGAATCGCGCCCGTTTTGTTCATGAATTTGATCAACTTATAATTATGCTGTTGACTGCAAGCCCAATGTGAGTGCTGCGAATACATTTCTATTACATGAGGAGAATATTATCAGAAGACCTTGCAAGGCATGGTGGCTGCCTTCTAGATTTGTGATCCCCTCAAGAGTCTGTAGGGTGTGATCCATGGCATTGTCAACCAAGTTGATATGTATGGACATGTCAACCAAGATGATATGTATGGACATGTCGAGGGGTGCGTTTGACTTCTCATACTGGCAATCACTGCCACGATCGGTGGGCGGCATCCGATATGGCCCACCCACTGGGTGGGTGGCATTGAGGCATTGATGGCAGGTGCCTCAGTGATCAATCATTCCGTGCGACATGTCTGCCAGCCTGCTGCCGCTGTCGCAGCCGTGGCAGCTTTTCACCGTGCTCCTGAGTCCTGCCATCAGTGATCAGCGTTGACATCAGAGATCACATCATGCCGGCACGCATGCGCACCGCAAACAGGTCCTGCACACCGGTCAACCGGTCCGCGGGAAGTGCAGTGAAAGTCTCCGACTTCTTCGCCGGGGTGCTGAACTTCACATCTTGAACGCATATTCCAGTTGCAAGTCGAGCCAGATGTAAAAGTTCACCTTGCCTTTCCTTGCCTGCAGAGACTGCAGGTGATTGGCCAGCCGCTTAGTCATGCATGTCATATGACTGGATGTAGCTACGTCGTGATTCATGCATACAGCTTCAGAATCCGGAGGAGGAGAAAGGCAAGCGGTAAACTTGAGATTCGCAGTAGGGAAGTTTCACTCGAGGATATATCTCAAGCCGGTGTTCTTCAAAGTTACAGCCACGAAACACAGGGAAGCATGGCGAATCTCCTCTCCGTCAGTGGGCAAGCCAAGGCCATCTGCCTTGCTAGCAGGGACCCGAAAAGGTGCGCAACATTTTATAGCTTTGAAATGCAGGTCAATCGCATCAGAAACCCAGCAATTCGTTCTCATATCCACGGCAAAGCAAAGGCGGGACACTGCACTCTTCAAGCTTGACCTAAGACAATAGAAAAGCTTGATCGTCCCATTTTGCCCACCAAGGGTTCATCAAGGACATTCTTGGCTTGAAAGACACATGGATCGCCCGGTGACGAGTTGGACGACGCAGGAATTCAAAACTGGCCGGCAGCGGCAAGCACCGCTCTCACAGGAGCCTGACTTTGTGCATGGCAGCCAAAGAGAAGGCTGAAATCAATTTCGCGCCTTTCCAGGAGGTACAGTCGAAGCACTCGAGCGCTCTTCTCACCAAGGGCTGTTCATGTTCTTGCACTGTTGCAGACCTCTGTCGTTCTTGCTCATTTCTCGGACGATCCTGGAATGGCCTCAAGGGTTAGCCATATTCAGACTTCTCAAAGTGTAATGTTCCAAGTCTCACAGGTGAAGGGAGAGCTTGCCACAGTTTCCAAAGTTGATCAGAGCAGCCAGTCCTTCGCGCGCAGCAACTATGAAGTGTCTTGCGAGGCTGCTGTCAATGACCAGGTGAGTTTTTGCAAGACCGCCACGAACTGTAGTCACAACCACGACAGTTGATTGGTGAATCATGCTTTTGCTCATTTTGGACTCTGCTGGCCTGGCTGTCTGACACTGAGGTTGCTGTCTGTGTCCTGCCCCGCAGATCAACATCGAATACAACATCTCGTGAGTCCCAACATCCTCAGGATGTGCAGATTTAAAAATCTTTCTCCTCTGTTGCTGCTGCTTGGTAATTCTGTCGGAATAGGCACTCCCCACTCCCCACTATTAATTTCATGCGCCTTGAGCTGACCTTTCTGTGCAGGTACATCTATCACTCCATGTTTGCCTTCTTTGATCGCGACAACGTGGGCCTGCCCGGCTTTGCTGAGTACTTCAGGTGCGCACCTTAACAAGCGGCTGCGTGCTGGGTGAACAAGCAGACATGCATCCGGAACATTCAATTTCGGGGCCATCTTTCCTAGAGCGGCAGATAGTGAACCTTGCCCTGTTGTGGCCCAGAACCTTGTAGCTTCTGTCGCGCCAGGCTATGCAAGTGGCTGTTGCCTGTCGTGTAGTGTATATGTCACAGTGACTCATCAAGACTCCTGTTGGTTGCAGGGAGAGCTCTGAGGAAGAGCGCGAGCACGCTGAGAAGCTGATGCGTCAGCAGGTGCGCGCACACGCCTGCTTTCACCCTCTTTGATGAGCTGACTTACTCTCAGAAACGCAGAGGGGACCCAGGCAAAGGCTGCTTTCCGGTCCTAAGTCTCGCGGCAGTGTGCCTTTGTCAATGCTGTGAAGTGCTGAGTCTCAACTCTCAACAACGTCTTGCACAGTCTGCAGCATATGAACTCTGCTTGCCTTGGCACAAACTGCACTACCTGATCCTCTCAGAACAGGAAGTAAGCATTCAACAGCATGCTGGAAGCCTCATGAGGCTTCATAGTCACCCAGTGATGGCTACCATGCCCGCTCTGTTCTTTTGGGGCAACTTATCCTACCAACACTGCTGCACCCTCCACCTTGTACTTCTATGACGGGGGATCTGCTGTGCGCGCGCAGACCCGCCGCGGGGGTCGCGTGAAGCTGCAGAGCATCCTGCTGCCGGAGACGGAGTTCAACAACAAGGACAAGGGCGATGCGCTGTACGCAATGGAGCTGTCGCTGTCGCTGGAGAAGCTCAATTTCCAGAAGCTGCTTGCGCTGCACAAGGTCGCCGCCGATGCCGAGGACGCCCAGCTTGCCGACTTCATCGGTGCGCCCACCCTCTATAGAAGTCTTTGCGCCCCTTTGTGATGGTCAGTCCTGCAGAGGGCGCGCAGCTGGCCGACTTTGTTGGTGTGGGGCCCCTTGCAGTGTTTATATCCCCGGGGTCTTCAGCTCTGCAGATGACGCCCAGCTGGCTGCCATTTGGCGTCTGCCGAGCTGCTTCAGTAGCTCTCCTTGCCATCATGCGATGAAACCCAATGTAGGGAAATTTCACTGGGGGCCAGGACTGCAGGAGTTAAAATGTATCCACCGGAGTGACACTCTCAGGGATAAGAAGTTGTGCTTGCACAATGACAAATGCAGCAGCATTCTGATAGGTGCTGAGCAGGCTGTGATTTTGTGTGTGTGCGCGCAGAGGGCAACTTCCTGCACGAGCAGGTGAAGGACATCAAGCGCGTGTCCGAGTATGTCTCCCAGCTGCGCCGCGTCGGCAAGGGCCTCGGCGTGTTCGAGTTCGACAAGTACCTCTCCGATGACATCAAGAATGGCGCCTAGGCGGCGGATTTGAAGCGCCCCGACGCCTACTCTGTTCTTTTCAGGAGTAGCCCCGGCGGTGTGTGGACCCAAGCCCAAGTTAAAAAAGGGGATTGGGAGCATTTGGCAGAAACCCATCGTCTGGCTGTCACGGCAGTGCACAGCGGCGAATGAGATCACTGTTTTGTGGCAAGGATTGAAGGAAGTATGTTCTCACTTTGGGTTGCGTTTGACCGAAAGGCGCCTTTTCCTGTGATGTGACCTGCAGCCGTGGCAAGCTGCAGAGCTCATGTCCGCGAACATTTTACACGTGTTTTGCAAACCTTTTCATGCTCAACTCCAGGATGGCAAAGAAGCCAGCTGCCCGTAGGGGATATGAAGGGCGGCCATGTTATTGGTGAGCCTGATTCCATCTGGTGCTGTTTAATGCTGTGTTATGGGTCTTGATATCTGGATGTCCAAGGGGCACTGCCTGTGCCTTTTGGATCTTACATGAGAGTCTCACAGGCAGCATTTGCTGCAGTGCTGTCCCCAGGTCTTAGGATGCATGACATATGTAGACTAATCTTTGGCGGATCAGCACTTAATATCACATGAAGGTGGCGTGCGATGAGGTTGTTCTTGCCAGTGACAAAGGCGGATGGCCTGGGGATATTTGTCTATGGTTATTGCATCGTTGTGGCAACACCAGATTGCAGCATGGAGTTGAGCACCCATGTTCCTTGAAAGTTTCCTCCTGTGAAGTGAAGCGTCATCTCTCTGTCTTGTGCAGATTATTAGAAGGTATGCACCCATCCATGAATGAGTTCGCGATTGTCCAGTGACTCATGGTCTGCTGAGCAAATGCCCACAAGTACTTGAGGTTGTAAGTCAAACGCTGACGTTCTCATCATATGATTTTACAATGAATTCAATATACTAGCAAGCTGAGGCCTGAGCAGGCCATATGATTTGTTTGTAGTGACATGCATGCATGTCCACATGTATATATATCTTGGCATGCAACGTAAGCTCTTGACCACATCTCGAGCAACCAGAAACTTAGCTCGACAATATAAAAGGGAAAGACAACGTTACCAATTACCCCCGACAGTCCAACCCCAAAAATCCAACATTACTGAGGAAGCTGCTCTTCAAAACTGCAGCTTGTTATGAAATGTCATGCAGTGCGTCTGCAGCCGCATGGGCCCAAAAACACCTTACTGGTGGCTGCTGCCAGAACAGACGGCCTATTACGAACTGCACACTTGGGCTGCAAATACCTCACGTTGGCTGTACGCTCTTCCGGACTGTCTAAGTGATCAGTGTGTCCCAGTCAGGGCCAGATATGGCTCTGTTGCTGGTGTGCTACTGGCCGCACTCTCTGCTCACTAAAGGTGCCTCTTTGTGGGAAAACCGTCGCCAAACGCAGAGCAGCCGATCGCCTCTGCCGAGGAGTCCTCCTCCGCACCGCAGGTTGCCGGGGCGCAGCCAGCCGTGTCATCTAACAAGATGATGTCCGCGGCGGATGCGTCCTCACAGGGAGCATCACCATTGCAGGAGATGGCGTCGGCGTCTGCGCAGGAGTCTCGCTTGCACTATAGCAGCTCCTCTGTGCGGCGGCCGGCGAGGCGGGGCGATTCCATGCAGAGGCTGCCCTCGGAGATCTCCCAGGGCTCGATGTCGATGCTGTGCACGCTGGCACAAGGGCTCTGATCCCTGCCGTCGCCCTCTGAGCAGCCGCGCTCTTTGATGCAGGACTCCCACGCATGTTCAGCATCCCCCAGAGCTGCCTCGATCACTGCGAGGGATTTGTCCTTGGGCTCTGTGATGGCCTCCCGAGGACACCTTTCAGCAGCTTCTGCGGCACCTTCTTCAGCAGAGGCACCACCTGCGCACCCTCCTGTTACTAAAAGGCCCCTCGGCACCCAACAGACAACTGCCATAGTGCAGGTCTGGAGCTCCTGACACTAGCTGACCTGACGGGCAGGTGACATTGAACCATTTACAACACACACGACAACAAGCAAAATACAGGTGAGGAGGGAAGGCACTGGAGAGGCAACAAAGGGCACCCGTTCAAGGGCGATGTGTCCCTTGAACTCAGCCGCTGCCACCAGGAGGCCGTTGTGCACCTCACTGCCGATGTCTTTCAAGTTGGCATGCACAAAGACCTCCAGCTCAGCCTTCATGCATGGTATGACATGTGCACTCTCTGAGTCTTCTTAGTGACACTCTGAGTGCTCGTAGAGATAGCTCTGAGTACCTTCTAAGAACATGTGAATGCAAGGGAGTAGCAGGCGAAGCTCAACAACCGCTGCAATTGTGAGAACTTATGAGTGAAGTTGTTACATAGACCAAACAGTGTATATGCAGCATCAACGCCGATGGCACCATATTCAGTAGAAACACTGACGTGAGATCAATGTCCTCACATATTTATAAGCTCTTTCCAGCAGCCACTGCTGCAAATAAGATACATTGATGTCCTAAGCGCCAAGCTAAAAGGTACCTTCATGGAGAATATTTCATTTCTGCATTATTCCAACTGGGCCGGAAAAGGGGTACGCTTGTCATTCCCTCAGTTAGCAGCCGCCTTGCTCTTCTTAAATGTTAGCTTCAACCCGGTGCCTGTCTTTGTCGCCTTCTTTTTCTCTCCTGCACATGTCCAACCCATCCGTCAGCCAATGCATCATGCAGAACTTCCCATCTCCATCAGCCCATGACAACCAGCAACACAGGGCATGCAAGAAGGCCGACTATCACAGCTCCAGGCACCATACACCTCTGCAATTATCCATACCAGCTATACTTGCAGACATCATCGCAAGATAACCCTTGGGCTGCCGTGAGATCCCTTCATTTTGAGTTTTGAGCGCCTCTTTAATTTCAATTCAAATTTAAAAACCATTTCAAATCTTCAGTGTAGCAGCGCACCTGTCTGGTCAGCAGTGCTCTCTGCGCGCTCACGCTTCTTGCCGCCGGCTTTCTGCTTGGCCTTCCCGTCTGCAGCCGCGTTGCCTCCTTCCGCATCCGTGCCGCCGGTTTTCTGCTTATTAGGCTTTGCTCCTGCTGAGGCATTCTTCGCGTCTGCTGAGGCGTTCCCTGCCTCCAGGTCCTTCAGCTTCTTCAGCACCTTCAGCTTCTTCAGCACCTTCTTCTTTTTCGGCGCCGCTGCGGTCTTCTCGGCCTTTGCCGCCTTGGCTTTGGCGGCCGCAGCGGCCGCTGCGGCTTTGTGGTTCGGGCAGTACCAGTCACCCTCTGGGATGGCTGCCAGACCCGCACAGGACGGGTGCATGACTATGCGACAGCCCTTCGCCTGCGACGGCAGGTACACAGTTTAAATTCGAACTGCTCTTAGAGCTTGCATTTATGGCAGCCCTTTCTCCTCCTCCGGAAGGTCGCAGTGCCTTCAGTGCCCGGGTCGCGTTCTCTAATCTGTTAAGTCCAGCAGCGAAGGGACGATGGGGCATGGGTTACGTCCATCCCAGCACCATGCAGCAAGGCATGTATGCCGATGAACATAATTACAGGGACGTGCGGACAAGCACTTGTGCACATCCTGATGCAGGCCTTGCTGTGTACCGACACCTTCGTGCAATTGTCGCCTTCCCATGTCAACTGGAGGCACTAGCGTATGGCAAAACGGCATGAAACGTGCGCCTTGTTACCGCTGAAGATTTGTAGTTAAAATCAGTTGTCCCATATTATTTGCCAAGAGCCTACTGATGCTGTGTGAGAAATGCAGTGCAGACAGGAGTATGCGCACCTCGCAGCAGAGCAGGTCTCCGTCGTGGCCGCACTTGGAGCACTCGGAGCCCCAGCGGTCATCATCTTCGTCCTCAAAGCGCTCGGCTGCCGGCCGGGGGCTGGGTGGCCGCTCAGCTTCCGCATTTGCATCATTCTTCTTCTTCTTTTTCTTCTCTTTGTCACCCCCAACAGCCACCTGAATAGTGTGACAGCCTTGCACTCACTCCCAGCCTCCAGATAAGACACTTTTGCAAGGCACAGAGCAGAGGCCAAAATGCTTCCAATAAGGAGGCCACGCCATTCGTTACGCATTACTTTCTGCTAAAAAGGTGACAGGACGGCTCCTGCTTGCAAGCAAGCGATTGGCAGCCTGCAGATGGCTGTTGCCACCACAAGGAAATTTGGATTTGCAAGCTCTTCCTCACATTATACACAAGACAATGGCACATTTTTATCACAATCCGGCCGGAAGCACGCACCCCGCCAACCTTCAGCTTGATTTTCAGCTTTGTCGGCTTCTCGGCAGCTGGCGGAGCGGGCGGCGGCTTTTCGGCCGGCGGCGCCCGTGGCAGCAGCGGCCGGTCATCGTCTGATTCAGCGTCGGAATCAGTCATCGCCGCGTCATTGCCCATGTCTGCCGCGGCCCTCTCGGCCATCCGCGCCGCCCGCACCAGCCGCTTCGCCATGCGGTGCAGCAGCGGCTGCATCCTGCGCGTCAGAGACAGCCACAAATACAGTCAGACAGACCTCAGGCTGAGCATGCACGCAACAAAGCTGCCTTGCAGAAGAAAAGCATATTCCAGCAACAAAGATCGATCCCACACGATTGGCATTAGCTGACATGCTGAAGAGGGGCCCGCTCAGACAATGGATGCGTTGCCATTGATTAAGAGGACCCTTGGCTCCTTCCACATGCGAGTCAACAGGAGGGCCCAAACATGAAAGGATCTTTTGTGTGCCTGTGTGAAAGGCATCGCATGGAAGGCTCTCAGGAATCACCGGTCACGAAGGACAACAGCAGCATAGGCAGCAGCTGCGATGGAGCTGGAAGCTTCGGCTCTCTGCATATCCAGCAGCCACACTGCCCGCTCCCTAGCGCTGCGCCACAGCCCTATCCTCCTGCTGTCCCTCTGCACCATGAGACAAGGGTGTAAGAAATGAGGGTACACTCCCTGATGAATGGCGCTTGCCTGACCGCTGGTTCCAGACTCTATGGCTAATGTTTCATCATCCTGAAAATGGAGAGCTGGACTGCCCTGGTGAGTCATTGAAGCTGGCGCATGCCTTGCAGGAATGGAGATGGGTGTCTCCAGTAGGCCATGCTAGCGTTGTCTGCCAGACAGATGGCATCCAGAGGGCCCTATCTCCGTTCCAGCAAGGCAAGAACCAGTAACACGTACGTCACAAACATCACAAGGATTTGCAATGTCCCCTTGGGCACAGCAAATAAGCATTAAAGCTGCTGGTAATGACACTGTGCAGGGTGCGTGATTAGATGCAAGCCGATGCAAACAATCAGCGGTGTGCCTTGGCATGCAACATAAGCCCCAAGCGCCGGAGGAATGTCACTGGTTAGCAATAACAGCACGTACAACGCAGGCAGACATTCGCAGGAGCAGTGATGGGCGGATCAGCAAATCACCTGCGCAGCCTCAGCGTCTGATTCATCCAGCTCGTCCACAGGGGTGACATACTTGGGCCGCCGCGGCCGCGCAAAGGCCCCAGGCCCCTCTTCGCCGGCCTCGAGCTCCTGCGAGGCCTCCTGTGAGGGGCCGCGGCTGCTGCCCACCGGCTGCCCGTCCGCGCTGCTGCGGGCAGCCCCCTCCACTGACTCACCCTCGCCTGCGTGACGGGTAAAAGTCTTAACGACACGCACAACCCGCAATCAAAAAGATGCAAAATTGAAAAGAGGGGTTAAATTGGTCAAAATCTTGGAAGCTATCTTGGTAAAATGCTGCTGCCGTGTGTTCTAAATTCAGGTGTAGATGTCACACATTTGTGCATGCCCTCACTAGCAGGCAAAGGGTTGAAGACAGAAGATAGCATGAATTGCACTCTGGCAGCCGGTACAGGGTGCAAGAGACGAGAATAAGTATGACGTTGCTCACTTGCTGCTCTGGCAAGGGGCTCGGCAGATCCGCCGTTGCTGCGGGGATGATCGGCGCCGTCTGGGCTGCCCTCCTGCCCGGCATGGTCCCCGTTGGGCAGCACCTCGGGCACGGCCGGCGTCGTGGCGCGCTGCCCATTCTGCAGCAGCGGCTGCAATTGCTCGTCCTTGGCACCTGTGTTACATGCGAGGCTCAAGCCGACACTCTAGTGACGCTGTCAACCAGAATTGACACGTTCTTGAGCCATGCGTTCAATCTTATGAATAAGCAAGAACACTGGGGTCAGTTGGACACCAACAAGTTTGTGGGAGGACAAGCCTTGCTGACCCACAGCTGGCCGGTCACAAAACAACACGTCTTCTCCACTTAATGCAAGAATGTGTCTGGTTCCATCATGCACCTCACAAGAAAATATCTTCTTGAATGTGTACCTTTGGGCAGGCCATCGCCGAGCACGTTGAGCTGCGTCTCCAGGTCGCGTAGCCCGGAGATGAGGTTACCGACGGAGGCAACACCCCGCAGACGCGCGCGCCACTGCGCGGGCGTGTCTGCGAGTGTTCCCTTCTGTGCCGCCACCTCATCGATGAGTAATTCAGCCTGCGACGCCGCCGATCGCAGCGCCGCGGCCGTTGCCTTGGCCTCCAATTTCTCGCGCCGTGCGCCATCGACCCTGCTAGCAGAACATGCCTCAGCCGTCGATGATAATTTCAAAAGCTTGTGGAGTCGCACACTTGGAGGCTCGTTATAGATGCCTTTCCTCTTAAGAAAGGGTACGGGGGAGTCTGCAAGCAAGTGGAACGTACAACTTGCAAGAATGCTTGTGCAGGCAGGACATGGGCATACAGCTGACTGCTTCAAGCGGGGTCCTTTCTATTCAGAGATTGACACCTTCCAAGGCACAAGAAGAACTTTAAGGATCACAGCAACAATTTTAAGCACTTTAAAAAGGTTCATTGCAGCGCATGCGGATTGAGGGTTGATTGCTGCCGGCCACAAGTATATCTGATGCTCCTCGAATCCAAAAGTTCCATGTGGTCCTGCCAGGCGCACCTGCTGATGTCGGCGAGGTCAGCGGTGAACTGCGGCGGCTGCGCGGATAGCGCGGCGGAGATCTGCGGCTGGCGGCGCTTGAGGGCATTCAGCAGGCCGCGCTCGCGAATCCCCCTTCGGTTCAGGCCCTCCATCAACGCCTCCAGCTGGGCAGGCTCGCTTAGCATGCTCATCGCGCCGCCGTCCGCCGCCTCGACCCACAGCATGCCTTGCTCTCCTGCAGACGCACCAAATCATTACTTGTGCTTCACGCGGTTTATTTATGAAGATTGGCAGACACACCAAGGGCAAACTATAGCATCAACACGGGGTGGTACACAAAGAAAATGCACAATTTTTGTGCAGCGGCGCATATGTGCAGGGTGCCTTCCATATGTAAGCAGGCCCAGGTGACTGCCACTGGTGACACAAATGAGCTGAAGATTTCCACGGGGCAAGACAGAGGTTGATGTGCACACCCAGCAATCTTGCCACCACATCAATGTTCACTGACCCCACAGTATCCCAGGGACTTTCCCAACCCTTATCAAGCTGCAGCGCAACCTGCAGCTTTGCTCGCTTTAACCCCACCCCTCTGTGATATAAATACCTTGGTTATCTAGAATGCAGGGGGAATCGCGCGCACCCTGCAGCCACCAGTAGCGCCGGAAGTGCCGGTCCTGGCCGAGCAGATCCGCGCGCACCGCCCTAGCCCGCAGCTGCTCATCGAATTCCGCCTCTCGCTGCTGACGCGCCTCTTCTCGCTCCCTCTCCTCCGCCGACGCATCTTCCCCCTCGCCAGAATTGGCGTCCTCTGCCGGCTTCTCTGCCTGCCCCTGCGCCAAAGTATCACCATGCCTCTACAAAATTTTGCAGCAGCTGGAGAGTTGACAGCCTGAACGTGCCAGATGCAGCTCCTGGACATCAAGGTCTGCTCTGCTATATAGCAGAAATGTCCAAATCCTCTACCAGAGCCGCAGGCATGTCTTAAGAGTTGAGCAAAGTGGCAGTGGGAAAGGGCATCATGGTACATGAGGCATCTCATGCTGTGGACCAGGCAGTGAAGCGTAAAGGGCCATATGCGCACCGGGGCGTCGGTCGCAGGTAGGGCGTCCGATGGCGCTGCCGAATTTGGCTGCGCCGGATTGGCTGCGGCTGCCTCTGCCTCCTTGGCTGCCTTCGCTTCCGCATCCGCAGCGTCCTGCCTCTGCTTCTCCTTCTTCTCCTGTGCAATTAGCATTTGAAATTCAAATTCTATCCGCTTGGCCAAGCTTACACTTCTGCAATATAATGCACCATCTCCGCCAAGATTTAATCTGCGATCCATTGTTGCTTGCACTGCTTGCATGGACACCACTCCGAAGCGCTGGAATACCAAATATCATGATCAGGCAAAATTGCACGTGAAGCCTTTTAACATTTGCAACGCATCAGGCGATGCAGGAACACTACCATGTACACTGCAGTCATTGCTTGACCACATCTTTTCTGGCCAGGGTGCAGCCAGTCATCGCGGCAGGCAATACTTTGGGCCGGGGGGCATCTTTGCAAGACGGCAGCCCACCTCGATGAGAAGCTGCCGGTGCTGCGTCTGCATCTGGGCCGCCTCCTCGATGCGCGCTGCAAACTCGGCCCTGAGCGCGACGCCGTTCACCACGTCGTTGCATAGTGTTGTCAGCAGCCGCAGGTGCAGGGGGGGCTCGAGCCTGTTCAGGACACACTGGAGTATGAATTTTGGCAGGTTTTAGCTCCAAAAAGTCTCTAAGAATGGTCACATATGTACCGCTAGTCTTGATTTCAAGCCGATCCTCAAGCTAACGGACAGAACCGTTGCACAGGTCATGAAAATCTAGCACACTTCTTTTCGGCAGCCCTGTGCGCTGTTTGCACCTTCACAAGCTCTCACATCATTTGTTGTTGTCTGCGCTAGCGTGATTGCACAATTATCAGACCAGGAGGCATCATCTGGACAGTTTCCCCTCACTCAAGGGAAGGAAATGTTGAGGCACCTGTGGTAGGGCCGTTCAGAGAGAAGCTCGGCGGCGCAGACTGCGATGACGTCATCGTCCAGCATGGCGGGGTCGGCGCTGAGGTCATCAGCGCCCGGCTGCGGCAGCGTCGCGCGCGTTGCCAGCAGGTAGCGCCTCAGCACCTCCGGCCATGTGGCTTCGTCCACGACGCGCGCCCATCGCCGCGCTCGGCTACGCATCAACCCGTCCTGCCCGACCTGCGCGCATGCGCCAGCCGCGCCCGTCAGTCCACTTGGACATAAGTTATTTCTTGTTGCTGTCAAGCAGAACTCAGCTGCCCAGGGCTGACAGACAAGGTCCTGATGTCGTCACGTTGTGCTACTTGTTAAGAAAATAATTTGACTGAACACAGGGCGCGTCACTTGGAGTCCAAGTGCCTAGCATGTCAAACTTAATATGTTAAAAGAGGCAGTTTGAAGACATAGATGCAAAGCCAAGGATGTCGGCCCCACTAATACCAAGACCCAATCTCATTTATGTCTGTGTCCACAGCGCCCGCTAGGATGACAAGCAGTGCCAAAGCTCATGGCAGTGTCACAGCAGAGGAATATGAAATACTGCATCTCAAGGCAGGGAGTATGCGCACCTTTTCCAGCAGCACGCAGCGCAGCAGGGACATGTAGGCCTTGGCGAGCACTGAGGAGACCAGCGGCCGCGCGACGGCCCTCTGGATGTCCGCAAGGCCCAGCACGGCCGCCTCGCACAACACGCCAAACGCCGCCAGAAACTCTGAGATCGCCAGAGCGTCCATCAGCGACGCGTGCGCCGAAGGGCTGCGCACTATCACCTGCGCCACGTCAGCGGCGCGCCAGATCAGGCAATGTATGACTGACCGTCCATGCTTGCACAACCCGGCAAACCTGCGGATCACAAAGCTGCAAGGCAGGCGATTTATACCATTACATTAGATCGTGCCATAACACAGACAAATACTTCATGACAATGCAACGCTCGGCGGCCATGCAAATTCTCAATGCTTCATTGGGAAGTCAACTGCGGCAAGGCACGGAGGTGCATGACATGATGCAATGGCTGGTCATTACTTGCAAGGCTGCACTAAAACTGCTTCAATGCAAGCATGAAGGGTCTCTCGAACAACAGGACAGCGCACTGCCGGCTGTGGCAGTCACAGACACAGAACCACGTCGTCGGGACACGTTTGCCAGCACACAAAGGGACACAGAAGGGTGCGCGGCTTCGCACCTCCAGTTCAGGTGGTCCCTCGATGGCCTTGCGCAGGCGCGCCAGCTTCTCATCGGCGTCCTTCTGCCGCTCCCTCAGCGCTGTCGCAGCCGCCACTGCGCCCTCCACCCCCAGAACGCCCTCTGCGCGCATGGAGCACCATGGGCTTGAGCATGAATATTCCTGCACGATGCTAGGAGACAATCCAGCCAACGGCCTCGAAAGGAGGATAGAATTAGAGATGACATGCACGGCGCACACGAGGACCCTCGGCTTGCTGACTTCTCTTTTCTCTGCATGTCAATGAGAGAGCTCTCAACCCGGCTCAAGGTTGTCAACAATCAGTCTACTCCTTAAACTGTCAGTGAGGGCTTGAGAGGCAACATGCGCCAACTTTAAATGCAGACAGCACGCACCTGCATTGGCCAATGACACCTCCACCTCGGCGGCGTGCGCAGCTTCCAAGGCGATGTTCTGCGCCCGCTCCTCCAGCTTCCTCAGGTTCTCCTTCTCCTCCTCCAGCACCTGCAGCCACAGCATCACATGCCCCTTAGCGCTCTGCAGCAACAACGCAATTTTCGCCCACGATGAACTGTGCATGCTCCCAAGACACCAATTGAGCGTGCCAACATAACAGTGTTCACGACAGAGCAGTCAATCACAAATAAGTAAGACACTGTATAGGAATTGGACTTAGGGCGGAGGTTCTTCCTACATAGCCTCATGCGGAGGTCATGAGAGGGCAGCTTGCAATGGCACCTTGACGTCACAGCAGCCTGATTTTCAAGGATGAGAGGGCAGGTGTGGTCCAGTGCTAGGTGCAGTGAAGAGGCATGTCTCTACCCTCTCTATCATGGCCACTTGAAGTGGCACCGTTAAGAAAGAGGTTGGATCCTCAAGATTGACGGCAGGGCTCCCCACCTGGAGGTCGTCGGCGGGCAGTTTGGAGGCGTTGCGAGGAGAGGCGGCCTTGACGATGGAGCGTGCTTCGCGCTCGGCCAGCTTCAGTAATTCCTTGTCCTCCCTCTGCTGGTGCTTGGCCAGCTGCCTCTCCGCCTTCTCCAAAGCACGCTTCAGCTTCCTCTCCTCCTTCTCTTTTTCGCTCAGCGGCCCCCTGCGCATTTCATCACACCCCTCAAACCGCCCTAAAAATGTCCCTGCCAAGTTTGCAGTTCTCTGTCTCGCTCAGCGGACCCCTGCGCATTTCATTCTGGCCTCTTCAGACCACCCTTGATACCATTTCAGCTGGGAGTCGCAGGGCAGCGATGGCGATCAAATGCCAATGGCGAGATTCCATGATGCAGCTAAGAATATGTGAGGCATCAACTGAGCAGCACAAGCTTTTTGTTTCTGCAAGTGGGCATGTGCCTGCTATGCGCCAAAGACTTGCCCGTTTCATGTCTGTCTGCATGGAGCCTGGCCCATTCGTTGGTGTACACACATCCAGGCACTGTGATGTCCGTTGCATCCAAAAATTGATCGTGCCCACAAAATGGGATGCAGCACAAACGAGGGCTCAGGGCTGATGGTGCAGGCGCATCAGAGGTCAGAGGCCAGAGTTGGTAAGCTCTTCTTGTCATTTACCAATTCCTTCAATTTATCTGTTAGTGGCCACTGGGTTGGTTTTCCCTCCTTCTCTACTGAATGACCAGAGGCGTCGGGACAAAGCTTGAGAACAATATAGCAAAGAGCATGTGCGCTCACCTCTCCCTGGCGCGCATTGGCGCGTTGGCAGTGCGCGCCTCGCGCTTGGCGGCCTTGGCTTCGCCCAAGGCGCATTTGGGGCAGGCCCAGTCGCCGACTGGCAGCTGCTCGTAGTCGATCTCCAGGCAGGCCATGTGAAATCCGCGCGGGCAGCCGTCGCACAGCAGCATCGGCGACCCCGCCAGGTGGTGCGTCTGCACATGCATTCCCTCCCAATTTTCAGCATCAGTGCATGCACCGCTTGCATGCAACATACTTCAACCCAGTCTTCGAATTGATGGTGATCGAATTTGCACTGCTGCACATGCTCTTCACATGCACCTGCAACATGTATTCCAGTCCATCACAATTGCTAATCCGACTGAGATTGGATCAAGTATGCACAGTTGCCTGTTTTCCTGGACGCCCGGGAAAGCACATGCGAATGAGCAAGACCTTGACAAGGAGGAATTGCATGCAACTCGCAATACCTTGTGAGATGCGAGATTGCAGGTCTATCCCTATCGGGATCCTACTCACTGGCATGTGCAGGCTCAGACAGCCCACTCATAGCAGTCACAGCTCCCATTGCATTCACTGCGTTGACAAAATATCACAATCCGCATGCATAAGTTCCAATTCAGCCAGCACTCACCCTGTGACACTTGGAGCATTTGAAGCTGTTCTTGTGGTAATCGTTGTTCTGGGGCGCGGACATCTCTCCCGGGGCGTTGCGCGCAGCCGCCGCAGCCGCCAGGCCGCCCTGCCGGTTCGCCGCCCTCTGCAAGATGGCTTTGACCGTTGCCTCCTGCGCCAACGGAAAATATTGCATCAGCATTTGGAATCCAGCAAAAGAAATTGTGTGCTATCCAGTTTGTCATGCGGCTGTGCATTTGTCAGCTCTCAGCCCCTCCCTCTACAATCTGCTTCTTCTAGCCGATTGACAAAATCGTATCACAATATCACAGTGCCCTCAAAAGGTATTCCTAGTGGCACATTTCCTCTTCAATGGTATCTTGCGGCGCAGCAGGTGTGCCACCCTCTGTCCTGGTCATGCACTGCCTGTCCTGGTCATTCACTGCATCTGACGCTTATGCGCTTGAAATGCATCATGAAAGCATGATCTACTCTAATGACAGTACGAATGATTTCGTCTGAAAGCACAAATAAATACACAAAGTTACAGCACCTCGAGGTCGGGCCGCAGCGTGCGCAGCGCAAACCGCCCCTTCTGCAGCCGCGCAAAGGCGGGGTCATGGGTGCAACTGGAAGCCACGCTGCTCTTGGCGATGCGCGCGTCTTCCCACGACTTCACCCCGGCCGCCGTCACCGCCTCCACCAGTGCGCCTGTGTCTAACCCCTCCCTTCCTGCCGCCTTCAGCGCCTGCACGGGCACATCCAGGTGTTTGTATCTGTCATCTGCATTCTTACTTGCATGTCTGCCTGACAGGTTTCTCTGGCATTGATGGTAGGTTTCCTGCTGATCCTGCTTTCTTGCACGGGCCAGAGGCCGGGTTTTCACTCGTTTGTACATCCCAGATAGAACCTATGAACTTCTGTACTAGCAAAGGGGGGATGTGCCTCTTTATGTATCAATCCCCTCATGCAAGACTTTGTACCAAGAAAGAGGACAGGCCCCTAGGAAGGAATACCAAGCTTCCTGCATGCATCTGCCATGCGACTGTACTTCAAGCACCTCAGGGCCCAAGCAAGGCCTTACAGTTCCATGCGCCAGCGTCCATTTCTACATGGTGAAGATGCGGATCATAGCCCGCACCTCTAATATGGCGCGCTTCACGGTGCCGCTGGCGATGCGCTGCTCGGTCTCCTCGAGGCTCTCACACTTGAGCCCGGGGATCTTCTCGAGCTCCTCCGCACTCAGCGAGGCAATGTCCACAGGCGCGTTACCGCCGCGGTCGGCCGCGCCGCGCGGCGATGCCTTCCCGGGCCGGGGCGAATCCTCCGGCGCCTGCGGCTGCTTCGGCGCCGCCTTCGGCCCTGACGACCGCCGCCTCTTCTGCGCCAACCAATGCAGCCGACCGCAGATCAGTCACTATGCAGGGAAGAATTCCACCCCAAAAAGGCAAAGGGATGGCCATGAAAGTCATGACAAGAGAGCACCTTCAGGCTTCTCGGCGACAGGCAGGTTGCCCTGGATTAAGTGAAACATAGGGAGCACCTTTGGCGCGGGCTCATCCGGCTCTGCAGGCTGTTCCCGGGCGGCCGCCTCGGCAAACACCGCCGCGGCGATGGCGGCAGCCTCCGCCTTGATCGACAGCGCGGCCTCGGGGTCCAGCTCGGCCGGCGGCGGCTTCTTGGGCTTGCGCGGCTCAGCCGGCGGCTTCGGCGGTTTCGGCGGCTTTGGCTCGCGCGGCGGCTTGCCGGCAGCCGCCGCCTTGCGCTTGGCGCCGCTGCCTGGCTGGCGCCTGCCCGGCTGCCCACCCTCTGGCAGCGACTGATTTGGCAGCGGCTCCGCATTCTGCTGCGCAGCCGCCACATCCGCGAAGGCAGCCGCGGCGATCGCCGCTGCCTCGGTCTTGATGGAGAGCGCGGCTTCCGGGTCGACTCCCTGCGCGGCCTTGCGCGGCTTCCTCGGCTCAGCCGGCTTTCTCGGTGGCGGCTTCGGCTTCTCCTCCGCTGCTTTTTGCGCAGCTTTAAGTTGCCTCACCTGTTTATTGCACAGCAAAAGGAAGCTTAAATAGTCCAATTTCCTATCACAATGATATTCGCATCATTGCACATGGCAGGATTGCATTTATCCTAAGAAAATCTATGAGTTTGATGCTAGAGCCAGAGGAGCTCACCAGATCCTTGGGCAGGTCAGTGGGTAGCCCATATTGCTCCTGGATGTCCTGGTTTGCATGCCAGATGCATGGCATCTCCTTGACACCCTGCACAAGACATTGATCGCCCTCTGCGATTAGTAGCATATCCACGATTGACATGTCAAATTGTATTAGTGGTTTACTTACACTTCTGTAATACTGTAATCAGATGTGATGTTGAGCATGCAATGCCTGCTGCAGGGGATGGAACGCGGCGGATCACAAGAGCAGGTCACCTGCACGGGCTGCGCGTGGGCGTTCTCCTGGATCCAGGCGGCGACGAGCGGCTGAGTCAGCGGCGGCCGCCGGCGGCTGACCTGGTCCCGGTGGACGCGCGCGACGCCCTCTGAGACCGGGGCGCCATCAAGCCATGCCACCTCCAAGATCTGCTCCGGCTCTGCTGCCGCCTCTCCATCAAAAGTCCCTGCGCAGGATTGATCCGATGCCATGAGCATAAGCCCCCTTTATGCAGATGCCGGCCAGATCCCGGCCAGCTGTACCGGTTAAATACACCGAAAATTTTCAGGCGCGAGCGGCAAGCTGGCAAGGCACCCACAGATCACCTGCGACCCGAGCTGATTGTGGCATGCACCTTTGACATAAGGAGAAAAGGACAAGGTGTGAACGCTTGCACGCCCGCCCAGCAGAGTCAGTCTTTTCACGTGGCAATGAATAATCTAGGCGCACCGTGGTCAACAGAGGTGATGGATAGCACGGAGCATGGCCGATCGGCCTCGCCGAGCCTGGCCGAGACTTCTTCTCCAACAATGATGCGGTCCTGAAACTCTGCCACTGCCTGTGCGGCCACGTCCTCCAGCTTGCCGGTGGCATGGTGCACAAAGCGCAGCAGGTGCTCCTCATAGCACTCTGGGACCTGTGCAGAGCGGTGCATGCGCGATTTGAGGCGATCTGGGATGTACTGGCTGCATATCTTTGGCTTGGGAAGCTCCTGGGTGTCATCAGACGGCTTGATAACGTAGGGGTGTGTCAATCAGGCTGCAAAAGTGAGAGACATCCAGAGCCCAGGTAGTCATGGGGGCATTGGCAAGCCCTGGAACTGCCATGATGCAGAAATATACCTCATGGATATCGCCTTTGGCTCTTGCCTCGCTCAAGAGAGCCTCCTCGTAGGTCAAGCCCGCTTTTCCTGTCTCCTGACAACTCCAGAGCCTCTTTCGATACTGGGAGAGCTTCTTGGTGTAGTCCCTGATAACCAGCACACATGCAGTTCAAGAATAATCGGGGGAGGCCTTCTGATCAGGATGAAGCCATTCTAGCATATGGCGGCCTTTTGGGGAACCAAAAGACCAGATTGCCAAGAGACCCAGGACATCTTTATCGCGCACTTCCGGTTCGAAGACAGCTCAGGAGCAATCAAAAAATTGTTTGGAAGGTTCCAAAAGTCAAATGGAAGCAATTCAAGGCGTATCGGATAAGTGGCACTCACTCAAACTCAGTGAATATTTCCCCAGTGAAGCGGATGAGCAAGACTCGGACGTCGCTAGACAGGTTCAGCGACGGTGGGCCAGGGGCGTATGGTTGGCCTTTCCACAGCGGCATCGCGCCGCATCGAGGTCACAATATAGTGTGCATTGCTGGGTGGCTGTGTCCCCCTCAATCAGGGCAGACGGAGCTGGCATCCGAGCACATGACGCAAATCGATGCAGGAGCAGCGGGCGGCAGGGAACTGCTGCAGACAAGGCACCTAGCCTGCCACAGCTCAGGAGTTACATTGCATTTCTAAGTATTCCTTCTCCCATCTAGGTCGATGGATACATAAAAACACGCAGAGTTGCCACAAATACTTGTAGGAAAACAAACGTACAAGAAGATCTGTATTTGACGGCGATCTACTACATTCGCTACTTGACGTTGCTCTTCTGACACTCTTAAGATGCATGGTATATAAGCTTCTACACACGTTAGATGATGGGATCCTATAGTAAACTTATGCTGAGGGTTTAAAGGGGTGTTCTCGACTTATATATACGGATCACTGCGAGGATCACTTATTGGTGAGAGGAAAAGGGGCATCATGAGGATTGAGGAAGTGAGCTCGACGACGAAAAAGCAACGAGTTGCAACACACACGCACATCAAAGGGCTTGGCTTGGCAGAGGACGGCACTGCCATCCCCTTGGCAGCAGGCGTGTATCAGATAGATAGCACTTATGATGCAATACTGTGATGCTTGTGCGTGTGCCAAAAGATGACAAGAAGAGCAATTTCGGGCATCGAGCACGCCAGATTCTGTTTCTATCCCTACTTGAAGGCATGGTGAAGCTGCTACTGACGCATGCCTTGCCTGCAGGCTTTGTGGGTCAGGAGCAGGCGAGGGAGGCATGTGGACTAGTTGTGGAGATGATCCAACTGAAGAAGATGGCGGGCAGAGCGCTGCTTCTAGCAGGTACAAGTCCAGGACTTACAAGGGATGCACGTGCTCGTTCTTTGGACAGAACTCAGATCTCAGTCTGCTTGCCAGGCCTTCGCACAGCACATCTACGCGCTTGACTGGGGGGGGCAGCAGCAGCACTAATAGCAGCCAAGTAAGGAGGGCGCGGATACGGCTGTCAGATGGAATGATGTGCCTCTGATTGTACATTTTCCCTGTGACAGGGGCGCCGGGAACAGGGAAGACAGCGCTGGCGCTAGGGATTGCGCAGGAGCTGGGCAAGAAGGTGCCCTTCTGCCCAATGGTGGGCTCCGAGGTGTACTCCTCAGAAGTGAAGAAGACAGAGGTCCTCATGGAACACTTCAGAAGAGCTATCGGTGAGCCAGCCTTCCTCACGCCTGGATATTTTAACCTCCTCTTCATCAGTCAGCCTGTCTATGCCGTTTGTAATGACCAGCATGAATTGCTGCTCAGCATTCTCTGAATTGTGGTCCCTGCCGGGGTCTCCCTGGGCCCAGGCGGGAGGTTAATTTCCCATACCTCATCCTAGAATGCCTGAATATCAAGGGAGCTGCGTGCAAACCATAAGATCGCGCTGCGGCGTGTTCACCCCAGCCCTGGTTGTAGATCAGCATGCAAATAGCCAGCAAACAGGTCTCACAGCGTCATGGGAGCTTTGCAGTCCCTGAGGTGCAATTTTTGCGGGTGCAGGGCTGAGGATAAAGGAGAACAAGGAGGTGTATGAGGGAGAAGTGACAGAGCTGACGCCAGAGGAGGCGCAGAGCCAGACCGGCGGCTATGGCAAGGTCATCTCGCACGTTGTCATCGGTCTCAAAACTGTCAAGGGCACCAAGCAGCTGAAGCTTGACCCCACCATCTATGACAGGTGACTCACCCTCTCACAGCTCTTCCGGTGACGTCCCAGGTCACAGTCCAAGGTGGAATCTTTGCTTGCTGAGTATGTGGGAGCAAAGAACACCACTTTCCTGCTCATCTTTGATTTGCCCCTGGTGACATCCTCGAAGCAAGGGGGAGCTCTCCAGCACATTGACAGCCAAGATGCTGTGGCATGTTTGGCCGATTAAAGCACCCTTTCTGTCTAGACATTGCATGGAAGGCACACTTAGAATTACAGACATGCAAGGCAAGGGACTGAGGGAGGGTGTTTGGGTATGTCGGCAGCTTGCAGAAGGAGAGGGTGAGTCCAGGGGATGTGATATACATAGAAGCCAACAGCGGCGCAGTGAAGCGGGTGGGTCGCTGTGACGCCTACTCCACAGAGTTTGACCTGGAAGCAGAGGAGTATGTGCCACTCCCCAAGGTCCGCCCACCTTTCTGCATGCTTGCTGCAGATGACGATGTTGTGCGTCTAACTCAGCAATATGATGCTATTCTTGGGCAATTCCTGAATTGCACTGTGGCACAAATGGCATGACTCTATTGCCTGACACAGCCTGCTCAAATTACGCTCACCGTCCAGGCGGCTTCGTCCCACACACTTCCAGAGTAGCATCTTGGGGACTGGAATCTCCATTAGTTTTGACGGCCTGAGACGCATGTGTGCATGCATGCATGCAGGGGGAGGTGCACAAGAAGAAGGAGATAGTGCAGGACGTGACTCTGCACGATCTGGACTCGGCCAATGCGCGGCCGCAGGGGGGCACCGACGTCATGTCCATGGTGGGCCAGATGCTGAAGCCCAAGAAGACCGAGATCACCGACAAGCTGCGCCAGGAGATCAACAAGGCAAGTCCTTTTCCCGATTGCACCCCACGCCGAGCACAGCTCATGATGCAAGCACTGTTCTTCCCGGATGAGAGTACCTTTGTCTCCATTTAAACCATGCAGTGCTTCCTACCGTTTCTTTCCAAAAGGAAAATGCTTGATGCAGTCTGACGTGTGGATCTTGGCACTTCTTGCCTTGATACAGTCCAGGGCGCACTCAATTTGATGTATTGAGGCAAGAATGGCAAGATTTACAGTCAGACTGACAAGCTGCGCAACACCACACTAAAGAGTAATGCACGGCTGAGCCAGGACTTCTTGTGACCAGTGAACTTGTCAGATACTTTTAAGAATTTTAGGTGTCTTTACCTGTAATAATATTATTAGCGATCTGAGGAGAGGAGGCCCATTGGGTGATCAGTACCCGCACTGACATTGACTTTGGAAATCTACTTCCGGAACACCTAGCAAGCTGACTCCAACAGCATTCCACTCAAAAATGTATTTCCATTGTACATACTTTATTTTTTATGTCAATAGAATATCAGGGGACATGATATGTTGGCGGTAATGTTGCTGCGCAGGTGGTGAACCGGTACATAGACCAGGGGGTGGCTGAGCTGGTGCCTGGGGTGCTGTTCATAGACGAGGTGCACATGCTAGACATCGAGTGCTTTACCTACCTCAACCGCGCCCTCGAATCCTCCCTCGCCCCCATCGTCGTCTTCGCCACCAATCGCGGAATCTGCCAGGCGCGCACCGCAGTGCTTGCCCCAAACAATATCTTTGAAAGATTCCAGAGATCTGAGTTCTCCAGCAGGAGACAGAGACTTGATGTATAGAGGTGTGGCAGACAGCGAGGTCTGCGAGGCGCGGGCGCTGTGCTTGCCTACATTACCATATCAACTCGTGAATCGACCAAGATTGGACAAGAAATGTCATGGGCGGGGCATCTGCCAGGGGCGCGCTGCATGGGTTGCATGCAGTAGTGTTTGCTGTTAAGCAAAAGGAGCAGAGACTGTTCTCTGGAAAAGTGCACGTGTGTGATCCAGTTGCATGGGTTGCATGGGAACATTTGGCAGGCTGGAGACTGTGGCCCATGATCCAAATATTGCACAGTGAGGTCTTGTGCATTGCAGGTGGCTTGCCTGTCGCCAGGGTTGGGTGGAACCTAGTCATCTGAAGTTTCCAAAGAGGTGCTGGAAATAGAAAGCGCGAGCGCCTAGGAACAAAGAGGTCTCCTGGATTATATCTGTAGGTGGTAGGTTGGCAGCTGACGTCGGAATTTCTTGTGGCTTGCAGATCCGTGGAACAGACATGTCGGCGCCTCATGGCGTCCCGGTGGATCTACTGGACCGCTTAGTCATCATCCGCACGCTGCCCTACACTCTGACGGAGATGGTCCAGATCCTGGCCATCCGTGCGCAGGTGCGCGCATCTCTTCCCACAGCCCCTGTTGCCTTTTCAACTTAAAATTCCTACAGAGACACATCCTATTTTTGGAGTGTGTCTTTTATATCTATCTCTTGACTTGTTCTTGCAACCTTCAAATTACAGTCGGATTGAGAAGTGGTGGTCTGAGGATCACCCTTATGCGTGCACAAGGCTGGTTCTCAAGCCGCTTCTGCTCCAGCCATATTGTTCTCTGAAGATTGTGGTAGCAAGTCAGCAATTTCATTCGCCTATGTGCACTCCATCTCATGCTTCTGGATGGCTTTCGGAGCAAGGAAGCAGTTTTGACGTGCACAGATTTCCTGCCGTGCCCTAAGAGCCCCACCACGTGAGTCAGCAGCCATTTGGTGCGCAACACTGCAGGTGGAGAGCATTGAAATGGAGGAGGAGGCCTTAGCAGCATTGGGGGAGATCGGGGAATCTGCATCGCTTCGGCACGCGGTGCAGCTGCTCTCACCGGCGCACGTTCTCGCAAAGTCCAGCGGGCGGGATGCCATAACGTCGGGTGACGTGGCGGAGGTGCACAGCCTGTTCCACGACGCCAAATTCACTGCGCAGCTGCTTGCCGAGCAGGCCGACAAGTACATCCAGTGACGCGCGAAAAAACCAAAAAAGGCGGAGCACGGAAGGCTTGAAGCGGCAGCGGTACAGCATGGAGCAGGTGGCATGTGACAGAGTAGCTGGCGCCAGCTCGTATGTGGACAAGCCGACAGAGGCAAGTCAAGCCCTGGTAACGGGCGAGTCATGCATATCAAAGCAGGTGAAACATGTGATTTTTGAGGAACTGGGGGCTAGCCGGCGAGATGAGTACGTATATGGTGAGGCTGGTCTAGGACAATTACAAATTACATGAGGATTGATCAGTAGCCTGCTAAGTGTCGGCATGATCATGATAGCTTGCAATTGCTTCAGCTGATTATTCTGAACAAATGCAATTGCAGGCTAAACATAGATGCATGTGCTGTCCTGAGATCATCTCAGGATGATCCTTGGTGGCACCACTCACATGGTGTTCAGCAGGCTGCAAACATCAGTTTATAAGATGAAGTTGCGAAATAGATTTAGTTTCGAGCCTTGTAAGGGAGCATCAGCTGCAGCTTGTGGGACCACCGGTGGCTGTTGGGCCACGGCGCATGTCAGGATGGATTCCTGCAAAGCCGCAGTCAGACAAATGAAATTCTTACAAGGAAAGTCTGCTGACTCAACTGACACATCATGGGCTTGGCGGTGAATTCATACCGCCGCTGCCGAAAGTTCAGGAGCGAAATGGGGGATCTGCGGAACACGGTCTGTGCCCGTGGGCCGCGTGCCGTACGCGCGTCTCGCACAAAATTGCCATGGGGCCACCATCGTTACAAATACCACGAGAATGCCCACAGAAGCATAGCAGGCGATCAGCATGGCAGCCGTTTTCCAGCCTAGAGACATGCACCTACATATGGACGGGGCTGTGGGGAGGTTGGGCTGTGAGTCTCTCCTGTTCGACGTCGAGGTGAGCATGTGTCCGGCATCGGGCTTCTCGGGGTCCATCCCGGTGTACCGTTCTTAGAATTGTAGGCACTCAGGGGTGTCACAATGCTTGCAAGGTCATTGAGGCAAAGTGAGCAAGCAAGCAAGGGGGTTCCTGCAGATGGGATATACTGGGATACGGCTGGCACGTTCTTTTGTTGACGTCGGCAACCTGGATTCCCATGTTCGCTGTCAAAGCTGCACAGGCAAATCATTCGTTTAGGCTGCACATACGTTACTTGGATTGCTCTGGGATGCCCCGCCCTTTAATCGTGAGTTTGTGTTGAAATCAGCTCGACAGCTGCCAAGCTTCCACGAGCGGAGCAACCGGGGACAGAGTGAGAGCCGCAAACGTTGCGGAGCGAGTGCGGTACCTAACACTTCCGCAGACAATCTTCGAGTGCCGGGTAGGGCCCTGCTCAAAACTGGTGCCCCAGAGTCAAGCTGCAACGGGCCGCCAGGGCAATGAATCGGAACTTGTAACTCCCCAGTCATTGTACGATGCCTGGATCTTCGTCATGGGGCCTTCTTTTTGTGCTTCTTCTAGGCAACATGGCAATTTTATGGGGTACTCCCACCAAGCAAATTCCTTAGCCGTTGCGAACGTTGGCACGACAGTATCGGGGAAAGCATATTCATCGTCTGTGGCCAGGAGAAGTATAGAACGTGATATATTTGCGGACGCTGCTTCTCCTTCGTCAGTAGACCACTTGAGTGCTTCTGGATACCTCGGGGAGCCTGTTTTTTTAGAAACCGCCGTGATCTGTGGAAAATTCGCCGTGGGCATGTCAGCATCGCCTCAAGTGCCCATGCCTAGGTCTAGCATGGGCACAAGAGTCGCAGCAGTCGATGGGCACAAACGGTTTTGTTGTCTATGCAATTGTCTATATGGGGCTTGCATTGACCTCGATGTGCATGGAGAATATCTTTGGGCCTGATGGTAGCACATTGCCAATGCAGCTGCTGCGGGATGTGCGGGCTTTCCAGGAAGCGATCCTGCGCGAGGATGGCAGACCAGACACAGTCGTCCTGGCCTCCAAGCTTGCAGCGGTCGGCTACAAGCTCACCATCAGGACAGCCCTCGGGGGCGGCTCTGGGCGCTCCTGCTTCCACAACCTGCACCACGAATTCCTGCTGGTGTCTGGGGACCCAGAGTTTGGAGTCCCCCAAGAAAAGGAGTACCTCATAGACCCCTACTTCAGGTGTGCTACTACCAAACCCCGGCCTCCATTTGATGAGCATTGCGTCATGTTTTACTTGTCTATGCTTGGGCAGGCCTGAAGCCAAATCCATAATTTAGCCATCTGAAGCCAGTCAATGATTTTGATGAAGAGTTGATGCTGTGAGGCAGCCTTCAGCATGTGTTAATGCCGCCATGCCACACCCCTGTGTTCCGTGCAATTATGCTGACGATTGCATGCCTTCAGGGCAACTTGTTTCGGTGCATGTCCGCTGACAAACACCATAAGACCATCCACAACTTGTGTCTGTCCACTCATGCTGATAAGGCATGCCATCTGGGCAGTTCCCTCTCTGCACATCTGCTGACAAAAGCAACTCGCCTTCTGCCGCAGGGATCAGTTCCACATCCCACAGCCGACGCCAGCATACGAGGAGCTGATGCGGCTGCTGCCGGCAGAGTACGTGGGCACATCAGCGCGGCTGGTGCCTCTCGTGCAGCTGCTGTGCGAGGAGATGGGCGCTGCTTTCGAGGCTCGTGCCATGACCTGCCCACCCTGGCGCCAGGCCAAGGCCATGCTCTCCAAGTGGCTCCCCACCAAGGTGGGCTTCCATCCGTTGGTATCTTTTTGTTGCTCTACCAGTGGATGTCAACACCTGCTGCGTGCACCTGCCGGGGGGGGGCACTGGTCTCGAGGAGTTGCTTGGTGGAGTATTCTTTGCTTCTGATGCGCATTGCGAGCAGCACCAACTCTTGACACATTCTTTACATTCCAGCTAGGGTCTGGTGGAGTCGACCCCACCCAGCAGTGTACTCTTGTCCCACACCGGCCAGGAGTCTTTGGAAAGTAGGTCAGAGACCCCTGAACAGTGCTGCAGACAAGAGCGTACAGAAGGAGGCTTCTGCCTGAATTGAGAAAAAGACACATTCAAAAGCAGAGGCAGGTAGGATGGTGCCCTGCAGCAATCTCAGTGCGCATGCGTGAGATGCGGCTTCAGACGTCCTTCGTGGATGGCCTCTGGCCTTGGCTCTGCCAACCATGCAGTAATTGAAACTAACATTACTAACGGTACAATGCATGCGCGGCACAGGTGAGGGACGTGGGCGTGAGTTCACCGCGCGCGAGTGACAGCTGGAACGACATGCTCAGCGCAGGAGTGTCGCCCACAACTCCTCTTGACCAGTACCATCCGCGCCTGCACAGCACCGGCTGCTCCCCATCCGGCCACAGCGCCAGCTTTGCCACCTGGTGAGACCCTCCCCTTGAGAAATTCATCCCAGAGGCAATGTGCGTGTGCAGACAAGCTGCATGTGAGGCCTGCCAGATACCTCTCACTTTTTGGACTTGCCACATCCACCCAAGGCCCGATTATTGGGCTCTGTACTAAGACCGCCCCCTGCCACCAGGGAATTCCTCCTTGTTGTGACCTATATTTCGTCATTTGCCACTGCCTTTCAGACTCGCAAGTAAGTCAAGAGCTCACCAGCATCACGGGTTGTGCGCAGGCAAACTGCGCAGACAGCTCTTTCCAATGTTGGTAACAAGATGTCCGCGCCGTTTGCATGTCCTGATCATCAAGCACATTATGCGCAGCTTTGATTCTTGTTCTGCAGTTGCATGAGGTCTGGTGAATATTGCCAGGTGGAACAAGCCGGCAGCTGCCAGCAAAGGGGAAGCGGACAACAGCGTCTCTGCGGCCAGCAGCCCAGGCAGCAGTATCAAGCTGGAACGCAGCACATCGCTCCTCTCGCGCAACCTCGCCTCCAAGGTGATGCATCATTGCTGCGGTCTAAGCCTCACACTAATCGTAGGGCTCCAATGTTTCTTGATGAGACGGCTCTGGACTTGAGAGCACCTTGGGAGCTGCCCGGCATCTGTCTTCAACAGTAGATTGCTGATAGGCACGGAGTACAATGTTTTGCATGGTGCATGCTTCAATAGTGTGTCGTTTTGGGGGATACATGGCTAGTTCTGTGGGAAGCGTCACAGATGTGACGATTATGTAGATCAGACTAGTACAAATCGGTCATTAGATGATCCCTTTGGATCAGAAATCAGTCATCTGGACCAATCTGTGACAAGAAGAGTGTCTTTCACACCTTGCACAAATCACCCTGTTTGGCTGCAAGCCTTCTATCTTTGCATCACTTCATATTGGGGCTAAGTAGGGCTGTGCTATGCTGTGCTGCAGGCGATGGCGGATCAGGCTGCAAAGGCTCAGCAGGCGGCCAAGCCAACTCTGGCGGCTCAGTTGCAGGCAGCGAACCTGGAGCGCTTCCTCAGCGATGAGCACCCGCCCATCCGCAGAGTCAAGATGGTCGGCCTCAAAGCAGGGCTCCTCGTCAGCTGAGCACTCACCGAGTCCAGTCAGCCGCCACCTGAAGCCTGCTGCGCTGCAAATGCGCAAGAGAATAGAACAGTTCGTGTCCCGGGTGAAGAACATTGTTTGTAGAGCCCAAGAGCAGAGCATCAGGTATCAAGGGGCGGCAAGCTGAGTGGGAAAGCAGCGGCAGGAATACAGGAGCGGAGTGCTGTGTGCGCGCGGTGAGGTACTTGGGATCCTGATTACTAGCCAACAAATTTCCCCCTGGGTGGGACAGCTTGTCTCTGCTCGAGAGATGTTCGGCAGTTCAAGGTGCACTCAACGGCCGGAGTTGTTGAGACTAATCGGCAACGTGCACAACGGTCAAGAATGGCTGAGTTCAAGCATTGGAGTGGCACTTAATTCAACCAGCTGGCAGCAATGGCAGTTGAATGTGAAGTTTCTTAGTCCGCGTAGGTCAGAACGAGTGAGACTGGTAGAATGCAGGCTAGTTGTAGCTTTTGCTGATGTTGGACACCAATGCATACTGTTTTTTCACAAGTTAAGCATGCTGGCCTTGCAAGAAGGATAGCTGTCACAATTACGAGCAGAAGTTTTCCTAGTAGCCATGCTTTTCGAGAGCAACAATTTTGACGCTAGTGAGTCTTTTTTTCGGTAGGCCTTACCGGCACAATTTGATTGCTGTCCTGTCTATAAGATCTGCCTGAAATCTCATATGGATCTGCTTGTATGATATGATTTTCCTGCCTGACTGATTTATGCTGCAAAGCTGGTGTAGGCTCCACATCGAGTTGTTTTGCTGCAGAGTGCTTTTAGATTGCAAGTTGCCAAGCAATAGATCCTCATCTTCTAGATGAGATAGAGTGTCAAGTAGAAGCTACATAGACAGTGATTAGACAGTGCAGTCAGATCAAAATGGATGACAGAGATACGTGGTTTATGAACCACACTGGATTCTGCTGTCCTGTCGGCGATACAAGTCATGTTGCACTAGATTCTGCAAGGGTCTTCTGCAGAACAGCTTTGTAAATTGATTTGAAACACAGCCCATGCCTGGCCCCGCATGCAGGCTTACTGCAGCTGTGCTGGCATGTACATGCATTGACCATCAACATGGATATGTGAAAGATGGCACCCGCTCATATTGAAAAGACGATGGAGATTCTGTGGTTGTACGGATTATTACAGCTTCAGCCAGCTTCCACGAGAACCGAACGAAAGGGGCGTTTCTGGATGCTGACAGAGTTCGATTTAACGACGAGGACCGTGATATCAACAAGTGGGAGTTGCCTGGTTCGCCAGAGACCAGGGAACTTAAGGGTTCGACAGGAACTCGATCCCCTTCAGGATCCAAGGCTGCATGCGGATCCAGTCAGGGGACAAGTTGAGGCCAGCCATGCTGGTCGATAACAACCCATGGCCGCAAAATCAAGGTGCAAGAATAGAGTGATCACTCCTCGCCACAGCGCGCGTGCTTTTGCCCCGACGCATGATTGGGACCTGCGCAGGATTATTAGAACTTCAATGCAAACACTGAGAGTACCGTATTGGGGCGGAAAATGCGCAAAGGTGCTACTGGAACAGCCTGCTGGTCTGCTCAAGCTCCAAAAAGTGCGCAGACAGTCATGCCAATCGAGTGGACTTGTCACTGACCTTGAGCTATGCCAGGTAGCAGTGCATGCTGTTCTACAAAGTGAAGTATCAGCCCCCCTGGAGTCACCTGCAGTAAAGGTAACCAGCTCAAAAAGTGACTGCTATCTTTCTGAATTCAAGATGCCATGCTCAGCTCCTGCGCGCGTTTGTCCAGAAATTTCAGTCACTAGAGTACAGCAGCAAGCACTCACTAGGGGAAGGAGTGGCCAATCTGCTCCTGTTGGCAGGTCTGGCACCTCGCTGGTCGAGGATCTGAAGAGCTCCTCTGCACGCTGCAGGCTGGACTGCGGTACTTCCAGAATTCTGCCGGTGCCTGCAGACTTGAAAAAGTACATGCTGCGAAGACACAGAACGAGATGGAAGGCAACATCAGATTGAGGCACGGTGCAAAGGCAGAAGAGCAATCGATCGCCCTGCATACCTTTTGAAATCTTGGACTCCCATTGCTTGGGCTGAAGATGAGCATATGACCTCCTCCGTATTTTCAGTATTGTCATGGGTCACCTTTGTCCGTTTCTGAGCCATTTCAGATCGCAAAGACGTTGGATTCTGGCTTTGACTGGTAAAACACGACACTGTCAAAGCACCGCAGAAACGTTCTGTATTTACGAACTATTTCTGTAATGGCATTGTTGGGGATACAGCAGGCCAATGAGCTTCACAAAGCAGCCAGACTCGAATGGCAAAGATATGCTGGGCACGTGCTGCATGCTGCGTGACGTTGACGATTCAAAGACAAGTGCTGCGATTTGCAGACCAAGGTAGACGACCAATAGGTGAAGACATCCTTGAATAGCAAGTAATAATAGAGCCTGTGCTCAGTTCTAGCTTGTAGATCGGCACGAGAATCGCCCAATCCAACTTGATCTGGACTGATGTTGTGTCCAATAACATGGAGTCTTAATTCATAGCATCTAATGATCACAGAATTCCAGAAAGAATGACAGAGCCTTGCTACGCATTCTGTTCGTGGGACCACGATGGCTGTACAGCAGGCTTGTCTGAAGATGGCCAATGTCAAGGGTCTTGTGGCAATTCTTCAGGGCATCAAGTCTTCCCACAAAGCACAGGTAGTTACAAATGCTTTAAAATGCCTATATAGAACACACCTATTGTTCCGATTCTGCCGTTATCGGACCAACTCAGCGCACCTTCCTTGGTACAGCTGTGTACTATGTCCATCAACAGTGATGGCATCGCCATCCGCTGGGAGGACGCCTCGAAGAGCCTGCAATCGTCTGTGTGGCTCTCCTCTGAGGCAAGTGTCTTACAATCATTGTTTGTTTCCTTCTGTTGGCCTCAGGGGAAATACTATTCTCCTGCTTGAGAAGCACACATTGACCAGAGCTTGTTGCTGCAGCTCTTCTCGCATTACGATTGCCCCTGGGCCAGAAAGCCTCTGGGTCTGCACTTTGCGCGATTTGTGGACACTCTCAATGTCTTCGCGCTGGGCTCGGGAGCAGAGCTTGTGCTCAGATTCCCTGGGCCGAATGAGGAGCTCATCTGCGAGTAGGACATCGCATCCGTTGCTCATGCCTCAGTTTTGACACCCCGGTTGACCTTTGTTTTGAATGTAGCACTTGACAGGGCTTGCGTGTCCTTTGTGCACAGAGCTCCATGGAGGCTTGAGAGCCATCAATCCTGAAATGCCAACGTTGCACCAGTTGCAATCGAGGCACTCTCTCAGCTTACCACTGATGTTCTACACAGGATGACAGAGGATGGCAGCATGGCGCAGCTCTGCACCTATGCGCGCATAGACAGCGTGGAGGTGCCCTTCACTGGAGACTTGATGGACTCCTGGGAGGATCCAGCGTCTTTCTTTCTCATGAATGGTGACTCCCGGCGCCCTTCTAATCACCATTACGTGTATATATCCCCCACCATTCTGGCAGCGAGTGATGGAGGTAAATTGACAATGGAATGGAGTTTCATGGTCTTTCATAGTGAAATAGTCACGAGCACATGCAGGCAATGCATTGCAGCACACCAGCGATGGGTCTGGCTGGTCTAGTTTCAATTGCTTGCATGATAGCAAGAGGTGATTAATTTTGGCAGGGGCGTTGCTGAAGGAGACGATTGAGGATCTGGAGTGGCCCTCGGGGGGTCTGACAGTGGAGGCCTTCTTGAGACGGGACCCCCCGCTCGTCACGCTGTCTGCCCACGGCCTGGGGGACCTTACAGTCACTCTGCCGGTGTGTGGGCCCCATCTGTTGCCATTTCTGACTCATTCTTGGTCTATCTTTTCATGAAGACAGCACACACAGCAGCTGCCAGGCTGCCACCCACGGTCTGCAACTCACAGAACTTGGCCAAAACCTTGCAGATGGTCTCAGGAAAATTTTGCATCCATGCCACAACAGTTCCTGAGGCTCTGAGAGGCGAGCTGTGTCTTCTGCCTGCGTGCGCCACCCATGAGCAGTCCACGGAAATACTTCTACAATGATTTAGCTTAGGGTTAGGGGATATCAAGTTAGGGTTTAGGGAAGGGGCCTTTATAGGAACATTTTTCCACGGGGAATGCAATGGTGGATTTAGGGTTTAGGGGCGATAAAAGGGACAAAATAATATAATTTTCAAAATCACTGTAAGAACATTCTTTGTCGCGAGCAGTGCAATGACTGAGAGACACCTTGGACTGCAGGCGTCCAGGCTGGATGGTTTCCACTGCGCGGCGGCGGAGGTGCGGCACAGCTACAAGCACAAGCACATGCGCACCGCATTTGCGCAGCTGCCCCACTTCAAGGACGCCTCCTCCTCCGTCTCCTCCAAGGCGAGTGACCCTCTTTCTTATTTTCCCTCTGCAGCCCACAGATTTCCGCTCGTTGTGCTTGCTTTGCGTCCAAGTTCTTTCCTCGAGCCGGAAATTGCCATCGAGAGTGTCACAGGTTCTTGGCTGCTGGATGGCCCTTTGGCTTTGCAAATATCAAGCTCCAGCTCTGTTATGAGGAATAGATAATGTCCTTGTTTCTTTGCTTAAGCAAGGTATAAATTGACCTGAGAAACCGGGATCTGGTGAACTGAAAAGAAATGCAATGCAATAGTGGTGGGTGGATGTGGCGAGTCCATCAAGGGGTAGGATTGTGGCAATCTTTAACTGCAGCTTGTCTGCGAGACCTACCTTGCCTTTTGGCGAAAAAACCGGGTACAGTAATTACAACTCTACAACAGTAAGAATAATAAAATTAGTGATTGTTATGTGGACGTGATTGGCACAGGTGTCCATAGACCGGGAGGGGTTGATGAAGGTGACTCACATGGTGGGCCTGACTGGAGGGGCAGAGGGTACGCTGCGTGGGACAGCGCCCATGCCAGGGGACACTCAGCGATCGGCCGCCAGCCACAACATGGCCATCGTGCAGTTCCTGATCGTGGCCGAAGAAGAGGACATGGGCTGACAGGGCCTTGTGCCAGTATAGCATTTTTTTGCAGATCACATGGCTAGATCTAATACCCTTGTGATACTTTGCAATCTTTGACGGCTCTTCAGCCTGGGTTGGGTTTTAATCGCAGCCCACATAGGTAGTTTCTCAGTGGCAAATGATGGCAACATGAACTTGTGGGACCTTCAGCCAGTGGCACAGTCCAAGCGCAGGTCACATGAGTGCAGTTCTTGCTCGATGCAGGATCCTTTCGGAAAAGAGCATGTAGTTATTCTTCAGCCTGAGTCGAAAAAGTTACTGCACCTCACATGATATTCTGACAGTTCTTGATCGTGGATCAAGAGGAGGACATGGGCTCAGGTGGTCTTGAGCCAAAGTGAACTACTTAATCCGAATACGCTTTTGAACAATCTTCACCTGATCCCTGCTGACCTGCAGGATCTTATTTAGGACCCTGTGTCAGACATTCAGAAAGAGTGCATATTGCAGAAGGGCATGGGCAAGAGGGAATGGAGATTTGAAGATTCCTGTAGCGATATGGCAGTTTTATGCGAGTGGGCAGGCTGCAGCGGCCTGGTGCTTCAGATTACAGTTGGCTGGGCAGCGAAATGGAAGCAGGCGTTACAATTGTGTCATGCTGATCATTATTGAAAAGAAACCTCTCTATTGTCCTGTCAATCTCATGGCTGCATATGATGACTACATGACCCCGCCATCACCAATAGGGGTCTCGCGGTTTCTTAGCCTTTTTGAGAAGCCATTTTGGGTCATCATCCCGATGTTAGCAAACCTCCTCAAAAACGGGGTGCTCTTGCCTGAAATTCTCAAGCACATCAGACTGATCTACGCGCCACTTCACCAGTGCAGGCACCCACTCGACGGCCAGCTTAAAAACTGTTGCTTCCCTTTGCAAAGAGCAGCCCGGCACGCTCATGCACAGCCTCTGCTGGCGCATCATAGTCTCCCTCTCCATGGCCCAGATGAATGGAGCCCTTAACAGCCGTCAGCGCACACATGCATGCATCGGAGTCCAGGGCAGGGCTGTGAGTAAACATAAGAATAGAACAATTTGGGAGACAAGAACCAGTGATCTGGAAAGCATCCGCAAAGGCAAATGCGTCTTTATGGAGGTGACTGAGACTCCCAAGACAGTCCCACATAATCTGAGCAGGCCTGTTCTGCCGCTCTATAGAGCGAGGACCATACCTATCCATTTCACACATCATCCGCAGCTGCAACCCTTCTTCTGACTCCAAGAAGGCAACACAGGCCGCCACCCTGCCGGCCCCAAAATCGCTGCAAAGCTTCTCCTAGCAAACCTTGTGAGCGCATCTGTCTGCCTCACGCCCAGGAGGGGACCTTTTTAATTGACGCTGCAGGTGAGCTTCTCCAGCTAGCCTTTGTCATAGGAGCATGACACATCCAGCCGCCACCTCATCAGCGCCGGGAGGCACTCCACTGTAAAGCTGCAGAATGGGCCGCCCAGAAACAGTAGCCCGGCGCGCGCATGCACCTCCTCTGCTGACACCTGATGTCAACAACAGCATTGAATATCAAGAGCAGCACTTGCCACATAAAAAAATCTGCTACTGTATGGTGGGGTGTCCGCAGATTATCTTTATAAAAGTTTGACAGGATTTTCTGTGCTGCAGACTAGGGACGCCCACAGTCTCGCAGTGTCTAGACAGGTCTGCAGTACTAATCAGTAAGGTTCACATGATTAGTAATTGGTAGGGCTGCAGGGCGGTTAGTAATGGTTAGTCATCATATCTCCACGTCACTATCTGCCTGGCCCAGGTCGATGCTGCCATTCAGGACATGTGGCTTCAGCTCTGTAATCAGCTGCAGCGGCTCGAACCGCTTGCTCATGACAAGTCCGAGGATCTCTGCAACGCGCGGACGGCTGCTGCACAGGTGCTCATGTGGCCACCTGTCCAAAGCATGCGCTGCACCTCAATCGCATGAGTCATGTGCATGCATGCACCTCGATCGACCGTTTCACGCTAGCCTGGAGCTGCTCCTCGGCGTTCATTTCGCCTGCCTTGGACGCCGAAGGCGAGCTGAAACCTGGAGGGTGAGCTTTAATTGTCAAAAGATGCATATTCACGCCAAAGTCACATATCAGGGCCCCTGATTCTGGGGCAAGGGAGGAAGGCCTGCTGAGTGAGAGTATCCTTCAGGGAATGACACGTTTGAAGAGCCTGTTTACCGCAATTAGGGCATCAGGTGAACCAGTACATGTCAGAAACAAAGAGCAGAAGGGGATATCTCCTTACCTCTCTGTCTCTTCACAGTTTTAAAATGAAGCGAAATAGCAATCCGTGGTGATTTTTCTCCCGTCCCGTACGATTATGCCACAGGGACGGCTCAAGACAGGAGAATACGAACGCCCTGCTTCGTTCGTAACATTTGAGTGACTCACCGAGCTTATTTTGGAAGCTTACTTCAAAAATTCTGTGCCATGTAATTCTTTTTTGAAGGATTTTGCACTTTTGATGGTGCTTTTAATATGTTGCTTTTGAATGCCATGAAATTTCCAGTGCAATTTCTCGATGCCTGACCATTCTGCATGCCAAGCAATAATTCAATGATGTCCAGCCTCATAGATATAATATACAGTATTAGCTTGCTTACATTGCAAGATAATTTGTCACGGTTGCTTTGCATTGCATGCACAGGGACAGATGCACGTTCATCAGCTTTTAACACGACCACAATGCTCTTCAGCGGGCCCCTCAACACAGATCTGGATCCAACCGCATTCCAACCTAGCCTAGGCTACTTTCAGACACTTACACATTGCCCACATCACAATCTGCCTGTGCATATCTAATTCAGCTGTGGCCCAAGTCGAACATCTATTGGACTTGCAGGGCCTTTGCATTTTGAAGATATCGCTGAGAGCGCTTCACGGCAGTCATCAGGCGCACATCAGCTCCAAAGGATCATCACACCGCTCACCAGCGGGAGACCTCGCGCCGGGGCGGCTCATCGCGCGGGGCGTCACGCGCGCCATCGCGGGGGCCGTCGCGGGGGCCATCGCGGCCGGCCGGGGGTGGCGCCCCCCGGTCGCGCAGGTGCCGCGGCACAAACGCGCCGCCGCGCGCCGGTGGCCGCTCGTCAGCCCGCGCAGCTGCGGGCGGCTCCGCCGCCCTTGCGCCGCTCGGCTTCCACTTGTCTTCGTCCGCTGCTGCCGGCTGCTCGGGTGCGGCTGGGGCTGCGGCCGCCGCCGCCGGCGCCGGCGCTTGCTCGGCTGCCGGGGCTCCTCCGCGCCTTGAAGGAGGCACGTAACCTGCACACATTGACCCAATCCAGTAACTATTATGACTGACGCATAAATGCCCAAACAGCATGCCTCAAGGTCATAGCTGCCTACAAAAATAAGCCAAAAAATCACACACACCCCGAGGCAATGCCGGCCCGGCCCACATACCGCATTAATCGACCATCACATATGTAGTCGAGACATATGTAGCCGAGGCACAGGTCACATAAAATGCTTCTGTACAATTTTCTAAAGGTGTCTAATTGCGCACCACCAGTGCGCCTGGAGGGCGGCACAAATGCGCCAGAGCTGGGCGCGGCGGCGGCGGCCGGGGGCTCGGCGGCGGCGGGCCGGGGTGCGGCCAGGAGAGCCTCGCGCTCCTTGCGCTTCTTCTCCTCGATCTCGGCCTCCTTCTCGCGCTGCTTCTTCTCGATCTCTGCCAGCTTGGCCTGCCGCTCCGCCTCCTCGCGCAGCCGCCTCTCCGCCTCCTCCCTCTCCATCTCTTCCTCCTCCTGCACCCAAAACGCTTCTTTTGGTCAGATACAAAATCCCCTGGGCTGTTCTGCCGGGTCATGAGACGCTGAGAGATACCCTTGTTTGCAGCAAGAAGATCTGCTGCTGGCCCAATCAAGAACGCAGGGGCCTTCTTGCAGGTCGCAAGTAGAGACTTGAACACCCCAGACCATGCTCTCAAAAGATGGGAAAATGGTGCCCTTGCATTTCCATGGTAAGGAAGACTTTCAAATTAACTTCCGGGTATTTTTGTCTCGGGATACTGTAAGCATGAGAATTACAAGTTCGGGCGCACCTTGCGGCGGCGCTCCTCGATAATCTGGCGGCAGCGGCGCACGTACTCCTGCCGCCTCAGCAGCTGCCGCTGCACCATCCGCTCATGCTTCTTCTCCGCCAGCCGCGCCTCCCGCTCAGCCTGCAGTGGGGACCCGTTTACTCAACTGCTCATACAAGTGCGTGACTTCTACGATCACTCACTTCGTCGATCCTGTGCTTGTCCAAAATGCACAGGCACGCACCCTGACATTTTACAAGAAAGGGTACCCCAGAAAGCACTTGGCAGAGAGTCCCTGCACGATGAAATTGGTGGAGGCACAATAGCCTTTGCTCCCCAGAACTCCCACGGTGACACTGGGCGGACATGATTCAGAATGCCATTAGGGCATGGCAGCGGGTGCTGCAAAAACCAGGAAAAATCAAGGTCGGGGCGTGCCTGCAGCTGGGCGAATTCGGAGGTGCGGCGGGCCTTGATGGCGGTCTCAAAGGCCTCCTTGTCGGGCAGGGTCTTGAGGAAGCGGCGCTTCTCCTCAATGTCCACCTCCCATGACTTGCTGTGCGCCACCTTAAATTCGTCCTGGTCCTTGTGGAAGCGCTCCTCGTCGCCCTTCAGCTACGCACACAACCAGACACCGTGCATGTCAATGCCACTGGATTTTGCCCCGACTAATATTGCAGCAAAGGAGATCCCCAGACAGGCTCCACCTGTGAGGCTGAGCTTCGCAACCACAACTTGTCCCAATTCACTTCTATTGCCAGCATGTCTGCAAGGGAAGTAGAAGCAATTGTGTGTTCGTTACAGGGGCACTGTTCACTTATAACCGGCAGTGCAATGATGGCGTCAAGCGCATGATGCAGTTGCTCAACAAGACAATAAGTTAAAACCCTCCATGCTGCAACGGCAATACAAGTAAGACTGTTAGAAGACCAATGTAAAAATGATTTTAATGCAGGGAGGACTAGTAGCGGACCTTCTCCTGGAAGGCGGCCTCGAGCAGGGGGGCCTCCTCCTCGCGGCGTGCCCTCTCCAAATGGTCCATGCGCCTGCTGAGCGCGTGCACCTTCTTCTCCGCCTCGTCACGCGCGCGCTGCTGCTCCGAAATCACCTGACAGGATCCATTCCACACTGCATCAGCTATCTTTACACTTGATTCAAGCCTCATTCTTGAAGGTGAGGGTTTGCCCTGCAGAAGCGCCAGGGTGGCTTGCCGCCAGGGGATCAAGACATTGTGAAATGCAACATCCATCACAACAGGCTTGCCTCATCGCATCTGGCACAGAGGACTAATGCCACGCTTGATCCAAGATCACAGAAAGAACATGCTCCACAGACTTCCCTGTACTCCAAACTGACTGACCCACTGTGGTGGTGGGGGCATGCCAGTTGGGCGCACCTGGTTCATGAGGGTGGCCTTGTCGAGGGTGGCGCCGTCGGCGATGTTGAGGCGCTTGGCGCCGATCTTCTTTTGGGCGGCCTCCAGCATCTTGCGCGCCTCCTCCTGCTCCCGCTCCTCTATCTCCTTCGCTATCCGCGCCTCCTCACGCTTCAACCTGTGTCGACACAACCCACATCCGTCACCTCTCAATATTGTACCCTCCCTAACTGCCCTCTGCAGTGCTGCACAAAGGGTGGGCAGGTACAGCCGCGCTTACATGCCCAACTGCAACCTTGAACCCTTGTTTCCATCCTGATCACTCTGCTGAGGTGGAGATGCCGGTAATGAGAGGGGCGCATTCTCCCGTTGACCGGAATCTCGACCTTGGCAAGTCATTAGGGCGGCAGAGTAGACCTTGAAGTGTAAGGGACGGAACTGTCAGGCAAGAAGCCTGCAAACCTCTCCTACTGTTTACATTCCTTCTCTCATGCGTCAGGCAGCTGTGTGTCATATGGGTGGGGTCACCAGCACGGGCAAAGCAGCAGGATGCTGTGACCAACCAGGAAAGGGCACTTGTGGCATGAGGGGAAAGCAGCCCCACCTCTCCTGCTTGCGGCGCTCCTCTTCGGCGGCGGCAGAGATGCGCTCCTGCATGAGGCGGTCCTGCTCCTCCTGCTGCTCCAGCGCGGCTGCGTGGCGCTCGGCGTCCTCCTTGCGCTTCTCGATCATCACCTTGCGCGCACGAGCTCGGCTGTTCTCCATCTGCGCACTCGCCAATGCGTGCGCCAGCGCCTGAGAGCATTTGCGAAGGACGGGTCAGCGATAGCACAAATGCAACGACTAGAGAGGTCCATGCTGTGGGTCCTATCGCGATCAACAAGTCATCGGGTGCAGACAGTACACTGCATGGGGCCAGGTGCTACTTAAAAATCAGCTCGCCCAGCAGTCGGGACGGGAGGGGTGAGGAGGGCCGCGGCCCACCTTGGTCTTGAACTCGGCCATGGAGGGCGTGGGCACGGGGTTGATTATGGTGAGCGCCTTGGCCAGGCGGCGTGCCAGGGTGGAGATGTTGTCGTGCAGCCGCTCGCTCTCCAGCTGCAGCGCGCCAAAGTGCACCGTGCCCACCTTGTGGTCGATGCGCACCTGCACAACCATATACAGCATTCAGCACCTTGCTGCTTTATGTGCATTATTATGGCATGCTTTGCAGCTGGAAAAGAGGCACGTTGAGCTGGCACCTGCTCATGCACGTGGTGCACCCTGCCCTCAAGTGCAATTGAAGACGCACAAACAGAGGACATGAAAATACAAACTCTACTTTTGCTCCTATTACTGCGCCCAAGGACGGGAAAATTAACCACAGAAATGAGCAGGCGCCACCATTATCAAAGTTGTACTCACTGACTCCACGGAGTCAGAAACAGAACTGTGCAATAAAGGGCCCTCAGTAGCACAAACCCCTGTGTTCGCCAGTCTGCTCTTTCCCAACACCAACACCCCAGCAAGGCAACAATCAAAAGAACTATGTACCTGGAGGTAGCCGTGCTTGACGGCCTCCACAACGAGCTGCTCCACTTCGGAAAAGCTCATGAAGGGGATGAGGGCGGCCAGGCTGGAGATGTTCATGCAGCTGTACACCTCCGACAGCTGGCGCAGCACGCGCAGCACCGCCACCTGTGCGCCACGTCAGCACATGTCAGATAGACTCTTTCAGCACCGTTTATTATATAATATGAAAGACACAGCGTGGCCAACAGACAGATCACCCCCGACAGCGAATTTCAATGCTGTTGCATGACTTTGAATTAGATCTGGACTGGCGTGCAAGCCTGCCAAGCCTGCTGCAAAGGTCCCTTGACAAACTTATAGGGTCCGCGATGGCACATTTGTATTGGATCAGGTTGTCAGCAGAAGTGCTTGGGCAGTGCCTCTCAGCAGTAGCGGTTAGTTATGATGTGCAAGATAAGGGGGGCATGCCTGCTGCAGGGCGTGCTTGTACTGGGTCAGGTTGGCCTCCTGCACCGGGCTAGCCGTAGACATTGGGGCGTCCAGGGAGCTCAGCTTCTCCAGCAGTGGCGCCACCTGTTTATATACCGTGAAACTACCCATGAGATTGACGCGATGACATTCCGCACAACAGCGCCACTCATCTTAAGATTATAACACCGACCTTGCACCGAGAAGCTGGCTAAAGAAGAGAATGTGATGATACTGTAGTGCTGTGCGCTCAAGTGACAAAGCACTACACATGGACTGACAGGGCAATTGAAATCAGCACTAGATTGCGTGGGTCAAACAAGGAATGCTACAAGAAGGGGGCAGCCACCTGGGCACAGAGCTCGAGCGGGGAGAAGTCGGACTCCAGAAGGACGTAGATCTGGCGGACCTCCTCTGGCACAATGTCAACGATCTTCTTCGCGCGCAGCTCCGACAGCAGCGCTTTGCGCGACAGTGCCGACCGCATGTCCCGCTTTGCATCCTGCAACCAAAATCATGCAAAGCCACGTCAAGGGCCAGAAGGCACATGTGTCCTCCTCACACCCCGAGATGTTTTCTGTCCCTGGTGAATGGCACGCACACAGTACCAGCGCTGTGACTACCTGACAAAGTATGGGCCCACCGCGGCGCAGAACCTAGTATGACACTAGCTGACTGTGCAGGCTCAGCAGTGCACAGACTGCATGAGGTAGGCATGCCCACCACTGTACTCCCCAATCTTGAGAGCACAAATATCATGCCCCGTGATCTGCAGCAGGATGTCCAGACACTTGTAGGCAAATTTGTGAAGGGAAGAGTGATGGAGAAGCGGCGCACCACGGAGAAGCCGAGGAGGTTGGCCATGCGCATGGAGCGCTCCTTCTCCTGCTCGGCGGCGGCCTCGGAACGGGCGAGGTCGGCCGCGCCAAAGGGCGGGATGGCCATCGCGCTCAGCAGCACGTTGGCAGCCAGCGTCTGAACGTCCCCGCCCGTCAGATTCTTGTTGTATGTCTTCGACAGGTTGTACAGCTTGTACCACGCGTACCTGCGCGCACACATCATCCCAGCAATCAGACACAACCCCCCATGGTTCAGAAAACAACTTCCCCATGCAAACATGTCGTACTTGTACACGAGCACCCGCAGCTCCGTTATGGCCAGAAAAGCGCCAGTCACGTTTCACATCCTCACAGCACCAACCAGTCATGAATTTCCTGCCTCGTTCTGTAGGGGATCAGATTGACCACTGGGTTCCAATGTCCCAGCTTACACTGACAGATGAGGCAAGGTATTAAGAAAGACGGGAACAAAATTGCTGCAGAAGGGGATAGAGGGAGGCAGGCTCTGCGCACCCGTTGTAGAGGTGGGAGTCTGAGACGGTGAAGATGCGGGTGAGCTTGGCGTAGTACATGGCCATGAGCTGGGGCTTGGGCGCCTTCTTGCCCAGCGCTGCCAGCCCCTGGATGTCCTCCACGCTCCTGAACGCCTCCTGCCACAGCGCCAGCTCACACGCCACCTGCGCGCGTCAGACACCCCAAATTCTCACCCGTTCTCAGCACCTTATGTTGCACAGATCATAAACATCATGCATCGCATCGAGCCCACGTTTGCGCGCAGAGGGCTGCCCCCACCCTTACACAGCCACAAACAACTCTCCACCTCTGGAACGTGAAATGTCCGCAAAGCCTGCCTCAAAACAACCGGTTTCCAACACCTTCCAGGTGCCCAAGGAAGGGGATAGCTTGTGGCCAGCAAAAGCAAATCACAGATGAGCAGGGGAGCTTGACTACAAGGGGAGGGCACGCACGCGCAGCTGCTCGAAGCGGGTTTCCAGGTAGAGCTGCAGGGAGTCGGGGTTGGTCAGGTCCGGCCTGTCCCTCTGGTCACGGTACCTGCAATGCACATTGATAGCCCATCAGGCTCCATCACCAGCGCTTCTCAGGGAAAAACTCTTCCTATCACCACAGTAAGCCCAGTTGTACGCTGGCATGGCAGCATGCAACTGCATGCTTGTCTCATTCTTACCAGCCAAGCAAGAGTCACTTCCGCAGGCCAGAATCAATTGTGGGCCTGGCTTCTAGACAGCGGATGCAGCAAAGCAAGGTCAACCAAAGCTCAAAACACACCCAAGACCTGCCGATGTGACAACAGCAATCAAAAACACTGCACCGTCTAAAGAAACACACAGGTCTTCACATCACAACATAGCTAGGGAGTGCGGTAGGTAGTCTAATTAACGCTCAACGGTCCGTTGAAATGGCATCATGCAGCAGTGTTCGGTCGCAGGCAACGCACTTGTTGAGGTTGGCGAGGTGGTTGCGCAGGATATCGCAGAGGCGGCGGAACTCGGTGGTGCGCTTGTAGGTGAGGCAGAATTGGAATGCGCGCGTGGCAGTCATCGCGTACAGCGCCTCCAGCCGCGAGTTGTTGCGGAGGATATCCAGCACGCAGCGGTACGTCTCCCACAGGAACTTGAACCACGGCGTCACCTGCTCCCTGTCCGTGCGGTCCTGCATGCATGCGCCATGTGATTTCACTGAAAACCATACTCCTTCACCTCGATGAAAGGCCTGCGAATGCTACCTGTGAGACACTCAAATGTGTCACAAGAGCCTGGTTGATGGTGGGGCACTGGGCAGGTGCCAAGGAGGTGTTCAGGCGGACAATGCTTTTGTCCAATTTCTGTGTAGAATACAGTGGTTGTGAAGGTGGTTGCGAGTGGTACCTTGCCCTTCTCCCCGCTCACATAGCTGAGCATCAGGTCCTCTGGTGTGGCGTCCACCTCCAGATCTTCCACATCGAGAGACAACACCGTCTGCACACCACCAGGCTTAGTAACAATATGATTCGATAAAGTTCAGTGGTTGCAATCACGGTGAATTCCTAGATAGGGTGCTCCATCTGGAAGTAGAAAGCCTATGATCACAAGCTTCAACTACTCTGCTCAACGACGTACAAGTAGATCCATTCTTTCCTAGCTCAACAGAGTGGAATCGGCAAATTTACAATGAAATTTACCTCTGCAGCTTTCGACTGCGCAGCTTCTGCTTTGTCTGTGGCTGTTTTCATGAAATACTTGATGACCTCCTCCAACGAGCTGATGTTGACTTGCTGGCAGACATTTCGATAGTGGATGAGACCGTCCTTTGCATATCTTCCCTTCTTGAGCTCCACGCACAGATCAATGTATCTGAACATGATCTGCTCCAGCACTTTGTGCCAGGTGCGATGACGCTTTGAAGTGATAACATCGTGCAGCGTCTGAAGAGCAGCTCCTCTCTGTCCAACGACTATGAGCTCCTCTGCACGCTTGAGGGCATTCTCAGGCTTCTGGAAAGTGTTCCCACGATGGAACCTTGACCCCATCTTTAACACCTTTTCCCCGCTCTACCGGGCTTTAGCACAGGCCTTCTTCGGGCGGTCGCAAGCGTGAGAAGACACTGACAGAATCAATCAATCTGCTCGAATTCCTAGTAGGAATGCATCACAGGAGAAACGATGCAGCACCAATGCAGGCGGCGAGGGCGAGAGTTCCGATACACCAATACCCCTGGAACGGATAATTGGAGGGATTTAAATTGAGGGATGGTGGAGCACCGAGCCTATCAAATCTGCTGGAGCTCCGAGTCAGATTCGAATGAGGAATGACCATCCCGAGCGCCACGTGGCTCTTGAGTCAAGCGAGTGCGATCCGGTTGCTGGTCATTTCAAGTGTTGACACCATTCCTATCCCTCCCCCCCTGATCAGGAACCTGTGCCACCTGAGGTGGTCTGGTGAAAGCTTTGATGAAAATTCTCTAGCATGTTTGGGTCACCTGCAGTGTTTGCGGACACTGGCATTGATTGACAGGGACCCGGGCACAGATTCTGGGCAGCTTCTATTGTCCAGCCTGTGCGATCTCATGAGTGTGTATGTCAAAGATGTTTCTCTGGCTGGGCTTGAATCGCCCAGACACTCTCGTCTGCATGTCGCTGTCTGTCCTAGAGAAGACATGAGGGCATGGTGGTCTGTAATTGGAAGAAAGGGCCAGCTTGGAGAAGTTACGACGATGGATGTGTGTCGATTCCTTGACATACATTACAGAAGTGCTGATCCGGCAAATAACGTAAGTTCTCATCATGGTAAAAATCCATCAAGGTGCACCCGCATCGCTCGCGACTAATAAGACTTTTAAAGCTTTGACCTTTCTAGGCTGGCACCAAAACTCCTCGCTCTCAGCATTGTGCACCCCACTCCCCACGGCTCAAAAGGTGCACTGTTCACTGCCTCAGCAAAAACGCTTGTCAACAATTACATTCAAATGCTGCCTCAATCAGGAATTTATCCTGGCTGGAGGTTCTTGCCCCGCTGTTGACCTGAGCGAGGCACTGCTACCCTGAGCCGTTGCAATCTGCAGATCCTTCTCTGCATCCAGGACGGTTGATGTGTCATCCTGACTGATGCTGTCCTGGCCTCTCTCTTTCAAGCTAGCACCTGAGGCACCGCTGCAGCTTGCGGACTGAGCGCGCCTGTGATACTCCTGCATGACCGCATCCTCAGTGCTGCTGCTGCTAGCTCCTGTGAAGCTGGCGGCGGGTGTGTCTGAACCAAGCTCTGCCCTGATCTGCCTCACCCTCGCTGCCAGCCACACTAGATGCTCCTCGTGCACTTCCATCTGTTGCACAATCACCAGTTTTCCTTCAATCAGCCATGCACACCAGCTGGCACTGTGCAACTAGTTACAAAGAGCTTCCATGTACATGACAGGTGCAATTTTCTGGCTTGTGAATGCACTGGAAGAAGAGACAGGTGGCCACTGCATCACCTGTTCCAGTGCTTGTGCAAGACCGTACAGATACTCATAGTTTGGGCCGGAGGGCCCGACAGCTGAGGCTATCTGCTGCGCAATGACCTCTGCTGGCGCCGTCCCAAGGTAATTGAGGTTCTTTGTGCGATCCTCTGAGGCGATGTACGTGAGCGCCCCTTTCACAATGGGCTCGTCACTGCTCTCCTTTCCGTACACGTTGACCCTGACCCTCAGGTCATACTGCTTCTCCCTCCACTCCAAATACTGCGCAGCAAGTTAAATCAGGACGTCTTCACTAGTCTGGAGGTTGGCAACATGAAGTAGGCAGTATTGCATTACAGAAGAGCAGAGACACATGCGACAGGTAAGCTCTGTTGATCAAGCATCTCACCTGCAGAGTGTTCTGCTGTTCCTCATAGCTGCCGGCCAGAAGGTAGGCCGCACCCCAGCAGCAATCACCAGGGCTGGCTTCTAGAGTCACCACCCGGCCTGGTGCCTCTGGAATGCCCCTGTGGTCTGTGGATCCCTGGTAAAATACTCTCCTGCAGCAGTGCATTTCCACAAAGTCATTAAACGAATTTTTCCCGTCAGGAAGATTTGATCTCGCCGTTTGGTAGGATGCCAGCTTCTTGAGGGCTTACCTGTAGTCCTTGATGTAACCTTCCACTCGTTTGCTGTACTCGAATCCTGGAACGTCAAAGAAAATCGTTGAGTTCCGCTGCTTGTCTAGAAGTAATTGGTACGTCTCAGTACACACTGATAGGCAACGAGCAGAGATCCAACATACCTGCTTTCCAGATCAGAGAGCCAAAGCCAAATATCCACACCTGCTCTTTTGAGCTATCCCCTACAATTTGCACGGTCATGATACGTGCAAGTTTGGATTTTTTTGCTGCTTTCGCACTGGAAACTCGGTTTCGAAGCAAAATTAAATTGCACATGCTGGCGCTCACCCGGCACTCGTTCACACGTGCCAAAATTACAAAGATACTCTTCCGTTTGACAGATATCGCTTAAATGAGCGTCTGTTGCAGTATGCAGGGAGAAGACGATCGTGAAACAATGGTCACCCAGGCTCCTGCATATTCAACGATCTGTATGTAGATGTTGCACGCGTGGAATGGTCTTTGCTGTTTTCAGCATGATCCACGATATTCGCAGCCCGAATTACAAACAAAAGTCTGTGAAAGGAAGCAATTATCTGATCCAGGCTCTTTTATACGAAGACGCACAGCCAAAACAGCAGGGACTGCAATTGTAATCCGTTGCAATGCCGAACACAAAACGGATACACCGTTGCTGGCAGCTGTTGCAGGCAAGGGGAATGCCAAGCAAGAGGTACCATTCCATATCCCAGGCCATAAGCGTGGCATGAGCGTGCTTCCTGAATTTCGGGAGGTCATGGCATCGCCACTGCGTCATGACCTTACCGAACTGCCAGGTGCGGATCACCTTCCAATCCTCGATGTCTCCCACCTATAAGGCTCATCTGAGTTTCTCTCAATCTCAACACCAGCGCCAGATGGGTGACGTACAGGATAACCATGTCTGCACTTCACTTGCACAGGATTGGACTACTTGTCCTCCCCAACAGGCGCTATCAAGGAAGCTCAGGAGCTGGCAGCAGCGGCATTTGGCGCTGACGCCACCTGGTTTCTGGTGAATGGCACAACTGTGGGCATCCAGGCAGCGGTCCTGGCCACCTGTGGCCCAGCAGATGCCCTCATCCTTGCGCGCAACTGCCACCTCGCAGCCTTCTCTGCTATGGCGCTCGCAGGCTGCCACCCCATCTACGTCATGCCAGGCAGGTCTTACCACATCCAGCTAAGCACGTGCCTGACAAGTCACGGTCCTTGTCGCTGTGTATAACAGCAGACCTACGTCAGTTCACTGATGCCCAGAAAGAGACCTTTGAGTGCTAGCAGCTGGATGCCACTGCAGCTGATGCCAGAAGGCCCTCTATGCAGTCGAGTTCAAGTGCATTATTCTCACGTCCAGTTCCCACTTTAAGGTAAGGAGCAGAATATTGGCCTACAAAAAGCAAAACGGCTTTCTCGTATTGCAGTGCAGGATGAAAACCTTGGCATTGCACATGGGATCACACCGGACGCACTGAGGCGAGCCTTCAGCAATGCGTCAAGCGATGGCCGGCACGTTGGGGCCGTCTTAGTGGTGTGCACCCATCGTTTTGCCCTGCAGATTTCTTTGCTATAATCACCCGAGCAGGCTTTGAAAATAGGTTCCTCTCTGTTTATTTGCCACACATGAGATATTTGCATAACTGGCTCATTGTGTGCGTGCCTGGCTGTATATGAGACATCTCAGGGGCTGATCTCATGATGTAGGTGTTGCACTTATTATCATTTGTCATGACAGGTGTGTCCGACCTATTTTGGCATAACCAGCGACATCGCACAGCTGGCGTCCATCTGTCACGAGCATGGAGCGCCCCTTCTGGTGGACGAAGCCCACGGCGGTCACTTCGCCTTCCATGCCAGCTTCCCCGCGCATGCCCTGGCTCAGGGCGCTGACGTGACCATCCAGTCGACCCACAAGGTCAGCACCTGCGCTCCCTGAGTCTGGACTTTGCTGGCCTCTTTTCCTTGTGGACTCTTCGCAATTCACTGCATTGCAGACACGGGTGCCTTTAGCAGACATAGCTTGACACAAGGCTTCACGATTCCAATCGCTTTGGTTGCAGGTGCTCTCGTCACTCGGACAGTCATCGATGCTCCATGTGAAGGGAGACCGCGTCAGCCATGAATGCATCTCCAGAGCATTGCAGACACTTCAGGTGCTGCCCCAGCTGTGAGAATCTCTTGTCATCATTTTTACGGCAACCTCTGCAGGAACACCACATCCGCATGAGCGGCAATGTGAACAGGCTGTCACAGTGAGCTGACACAACTATTGTTCTTTGCCAGTAATTTGAAGAGTGCGTGTGATGTGCGCTGGTTTAGTCATCCAGTCCCAGCTATCTGCTGCTTGCTTCGCTGGACGCAGCGAGAGCGCATGCGCAGCTGCCCGACACCTTCCAGGAGCCATTGGACGCCGCGGCGGCTGCCAGGCAGCTGCTGCGGGAGCTGCCCGGCTCTGGCCTCCTGGACGACCACATCCAGACAGGTAGAGAGCTCTGTAAAGGACCATATACACCAGCAAAAAAAACTTTTTCTCAATTCCTTGTCACTTTGCTAAGACGACTAAAACAATGCATGCACTTTGGAGATCCTATTGACGGTTGTCAGCAGTTAAATGGGATTCATGTGGTATTCTTTGAGAAAGTACTTGAACTGTAGCGGTGCCTATTCAGGCACTGATGGGATTCATGGGGTGGATCCCCTGCGCCTGACCCTTGTTGCCAACAGCCTCGGCATGAGCGGATTTGCATTGGACGATCTGCTGCAGCGTGAATTTGGCGTCTGCGCCGAAATGTCCACCGACAAGGTGCCCCCCACGTTTCATTTTTCCCTGAGCAGGAATTCCTTGAGCCTTTTCCGCATTTGGTTGAGCCCGCAACACCACCCATATCTTGCTGCTTCTCCAGATCTTTCTGCACACAGGCAGAGCCCTCCAGCCTTGCCTCGAGCTGCTAATATTACTCTGGATGCCTTCCATGCATGCACACTGGCAAGCTTGTGGCATGACACTCTTAAAGAAGCAGTACAGCTGAGTTCCAGATTTGGTGCAGACGGTGGTGTTTGCACTGGGCCCCGGGTCGAGGATGGAGCATGTGCGACAGCTGGCAGCCGCGCTGTCGTCCATCCGGGGGCGTTCCAGGAGCCCCAGTCAGCAGCGATCACAGCCGCCTTTGCAGAGTGCCGCGGCGCGCTCATCGCTGCCGGAAATGCGGCTAACTCCACGGGAGGCCTTCTTTGCGCGGACAGCGAGGTGACTGAAAAAGACGCCAGCCAATGACAGATGTAGACACTAGCTGCATATGCCCTCTACTTAAACATGGAGAAGCAGATCAATCTCAGGGAGAAGCAGGCCCCTAGTCGCGCACTGTAGCAACCTGCATGCAGTCATCGGTCTGTTGGCAAACAGTAACTTGCTAGCACGATCTGTTTTCCAAGATCCAATGCATTATAGGGGAGTGGCGCCTAGCTGAGCTGAAGTGCACCTGCAATTTTTACTTGGTTAGGTGCAACGGAGTTCAAGTGGAGCATCATATCTTGCCCAATGAAATCTGTGATGGTCTGCTCTGCAGTTTAATCTGAATACGCCAAAACTCCCGCTGCTTAGGCATCAAAGAAATGCTCGCATTGTCAAGCGATGCTTGAAGAGTGTTGGCTGCTTTGAAGAATTCCATGCTATATTGTGGCGCTATAACAGGGTGTCGGCGCATGAGGCAGTGGGCAGGATATGTGCGGAGCTGCTGTGTCCCTACCCGCCTGGAGTGCCTGCAGTGGTGCCTGGGGAGCTGCTCACGACAGATGTCATAGAAATGCTGCGACAAGTTGCTTCTGGGGGTGGAAAGGTGGCAGGCGCAGCGGACAGCAGCCTGGAAACCTTTGCGGTGATCTTGGAAGCTTCCTAGCGGGGAACAAACTCAAGGATGACTCAACTTGAAGGGCGAAAAAGGGAGGTTCTTTCATACACTGTTGCAGTCATCTCAGAGGTTCCCTAGCTCGCAACTTATGAGAAATCAAGCTCAGGATTTGAATGAATCCATCAGCAAACTGTGTTTTGGCCTGCTGCAGCTGTTCTTGAAGCATGCAAAGCATGAAATACGAGACAGCTCCAAGGATTGGAACATGGATCTTTTTCAATTGAAAGTCTCATAATTAGACACAGCGCTAATAAGAGAAGTACTAGGAAAGCATGATCGAAGTCTATCAAGGTTCTCACACAAGGCTCAGGTTACCATATTCCTTTGACTAGTGTCCTGTACAATGGGAGCTTGCTAGCTAAATTCTGCCTGGTGCTACTGGCAGCCTGTGGGGTGCCAAAAACATGCATGTGTCATTGAGCCCAGGGGCAATGCAACCAATGCATCGTTACTGCTTGGGACAAGCCATGCCACAGGCCTTCAAATCGAGGGTGGGATGAAACCATCAAGGTTGTCATGTTGCAGTCCCTGCTACGGTAGCCAGTTACATTCATGTTAAGGAGGCGGCGTTTCATGCATACAATGTGGCAGCAAATAGCTAAATGAATGTGTCGTGGATCCAGTGTGCTGCCTCATTTTCAGCTCAAATGATTGTTGAGAAAAAGGTAAGCAGAGACCATCTCAAAGTCGATATTGACAGGACCAGCACACGTTATTATGACAGTATTGTCGTATCAATTAGCCTTCATGTCAAGCTCGGTGCATAATACTCATCTCAGGAGATTGATCCCCAAAGATCAAGTGCCCGGCCTCTTAACACCCACTCCAGCTCCTACCCTAAAACAATAAACATCCCAAAAGTGCGGGAGACTCTGAATGATATCACTGGATCTTCTGCAAGCATCTGCCTGAGAAAGGGAATTGACACATATGTAAAACAACATATTGTGAACAATGTTATCGTTTTTTATTATTCAGCTATTATACAGCTGCTCAACACAAGCATTGTTTTTGGCGGACCCACTGGGCACGCCAACTGAAGGGGCAGCTTGTGGAACAGAAACCGCTGTAGCAATGAGCCTATATCACCAGCAACACATGCGCATGCGCTTTGGGATCTTTTGCTCCGGGTGCCAATATGCTGCTGCACCAAGATGGGCGTTCAGGGTACACACCTGGTTCTGGTACGGCGAGAGCAAACTGTATGACTGATGCCCATCTTTCAGAGCCGCCAAATCACCTTTGCTGATGACCTTGCTCTGCTGACTACTGGTCCGAGAATCCCTGCCAAGATGCTTGCAACTGCCGCCAAACTGATCACAACTCAACTGCTAAACATAACCTCTTACTGGTGGCCATTCCTTTCAAGAAAACTCCCACCGCTAGCGCTCTTTCCTGGCTCCTGCTATGCAGTCCTTTGCACTTGTATTAGGATTTGACCAGCATGCCCTTCCGTTCTAAGTTAGGCTCACTCTGAGTTTCAGCTTTGCCTCTGTCCTGGTGCCCTTTGCATCGCCCTCACCCTTTGCCTCACCCTTGGATATCACAGGTTTAGGGGTCGCGTCAGTCTCGTTGAGGGTTCCAAGCCAGGACCCCGTAAATTGATGGTGACCCGCCAGCCGCGCGTCTGGCTTCCCGGCAGCTGCCGCCAGATTTGTTCCCTTGTGACACGCCGTGTCATCCCACAAGCATGGCACAAACCAGTGACCCCTCGGATAGTACTTGACGCGTGTCCCATGCACCTGTGCAAGCAACCATGCAGGTGAGTTATGTCATCTGAAAAGGTGCCATGTGAGGGGACATCCATTTTTGAAAGTAATCAAGAGACACTGGCTTGCATGCCCAGACTTTTAGCCACAGGTACTAAGGCTGCCCGAGTCAGGCATGTGTTCGGGCAGGGGGTGGTTATTGAGGGTGGTTATTTAGGGTGGTTATTGAGCCAACTTCAGAAGTTTTAGTACTGCATGCCACGTGATTTCGCCCTGATGTGCAGCAGGGCGGCTCGAGGACTGTGCAGACCACCCGAACACCGCTCAATGCATGACTCAGCAGGGTGACTCACCATGTACTCGCCCCCATAAGGTGGCTGTGGACGAACGTACTCGGCCCAGCGCTTGAAGACCTCCTTGAAGACGTCCGGCCCTGTGCTTGTCAGGATCGAGCCAGAGTGCAGTGTCTTCTCGTTCGCCCTTTTCGCTTCCTGCAAGGTAGCAGGCAAGCTGCTGTGAGAAATGAATGCGTGCCATTCTGCAGGACCGTGATCATGCTTTTGGCAGTTTAATTGAGGCCTGTGATCCCCTCTTCCCCGGCCTTTTTTATGTGGTATTGGCCGTGTTGATACTATCATGCTAGACACCAGAGATGTTTTTATGCGTGCTGCTTGCAGGGCAGACTGTGCTGCCCTAGCAGAAAATCCAAATCATGATCTGGCGACACATCTCTGCTCAGCACACTCTGCATGCAAGGGAATCTGGCTGCTTTGTGTGGCCTCAAGACCACTGCTAGGCCGAGCATATGCTATCTGCTCTCCTTTTCAATCAGTCGCAATACGCCACTACAAGCCTCCAGTTGATCTGCCACATGATCTGCAGAAAACTGGCAGATCCTTTCCATGAAAGGACCTCCAGAATACCTGCATGTTCACCTGGTTCACTTGCTATTAAGTCTGCATGGGGCATGCCAAGTGCGCACCACGATCATCTTCCGTACAACAGCGTTCCAGAATGGGTGACCAGTGATGGAGGCCACCATGGCATTGGACACATCCTCCTCATTCTTCTCGCTCTGAAATACGAGATCATGGCCAGCTAAAAATGCCTCGCTGGAGCGGTAGCATTCAACGTCCAGATCCACGTACAAGCCCCCGAACGAATGCATCAGGAACGGCCTCAAGGCATCGCCTGCACAGCACACCCCATGCAATTTCAGTGCCCTAGCCGCGCGGCACGCCAGCCGTTAGCCTGCAATTGGGAAAGTTGCGCTTTCCAGGAGTTCATCCTCCTTCTTGGCAACACAAGTGTTTTTGCACCCTGTAAAATTCCCATGGGCATCTACCATGTCCAATCTGCTCAAGGTTCAGCAAGATGGGTAATGGTGTGAATCTTCTCATGGAGAGTGCGGTTGCCATGCTGCCAGCAAGGCACAGCATGTTGACCTGAGCTTATCATTGAAGGTCTACAAAGGCACACCTTGTGACACAACCTTTCTGTAGGAAAGGAAGATTTTTGTAAACCAAGGGTAGCGATTGTTCAGCAGTTTGAGGGCCGCAGCCTTGTCCCAAAACATGTAGGTCCAGTTGGCATGCTGAGCCATGCACGACTCCCTCCATTCCCTCTTCATGCCTGTGCCCAGCGCCTTGGCCTCCTCGGTCGTCCTGCAGGTAGGTGGCACATACCAACATTGGGATCTGGCCTGAGAACGAAAGCAACGACAGGAGTGGCAGAGGTGAGCATAACTAGCTGTTGTGTCAAATATGACATTTTGGTCCTAAGAGAACTGCGTGCACAGAAACAAATAGGTATTCATTGATGGACATAGATGTGATCGGGTCGAAGGACTTGCTTGAGATATTCGTCTTCGCCATCCAGGAAGATGTGGTGCAATATCCTTGGAATGCGCATGCCCCTGTCCTCTGGGACACTGCTGTAATTCCAATCTTTATGGTCGTCGATTTCGAGAAAATCGAGGGCTTTAGTGAGCATATTGTCCACTTCATCCTGCACCCAGTGAAACACATCTTGAATTCTTCTGGATCACAGTCTGAAAGTGAGCCGCGTTTCATGATCGGTCATTACACCCGTCGTTCACTTCAAGCACACACAACAAGTTCTAAATAACCTGTGCGATGCTGAAGGCTTCGTGCGGCACGGATGAATTGCGTCGGAGGTACAGGAGCAGATGTCGACCATCCCTTGCGAAGAGCACGGCAGCGGCAATGAGTATGAAGAGCGTGCATCTCTGGAGCATCCACGCGTTCTCTATTCCACAACATCCAATAATCGCCATGAAAATGTTCGTGTATATATCTGGATCCCAGTGTGACAAAACTGTTTGCTTCCCTTACATATCCTGCAAGCGCCTTCACAGGGATTGAATTCCTATTTTCCTCAGCATGAGCAATGATACGATCAATCAAGCTCTGCTGATGATAATAGTAAGGCCCTCACTGTAAGGATCCAGTTTCGCGCTTTTTGTCAAGACGAGCGGAACGGCAGAAACACGTGAGCAGACGTATCAAGATCTTTCGGAATGGTTTCAAGGGTACAACAGGGCGATCGAGAGCATTTGAAGCTGCGATAGATTCAGAATTGTTCTGAGCATGGTGCGCCCGAAGCATTGTGTCATCAGGTTGGCTAGGGCTTTGCCCATAAGTGTGGGGAGATGCCCTTGGGCAGAAGAGGTATCCTAGAGCAACAGCACAACGCTGTGACAAGCATGCAGCATGGCTCTGGGATGTGCTTGCATCCCAGCTCTCTTCATAGGAGATACAGAGTGGCTTGCTGCAGTGCACAAGTATGGCGGCCGATCATCCTGAAGCTGTCATGCAGATTGACCGTACGGTTAATCGCGTTGACGTGCATGTGGCATTGCAAGATAGCAATTGCCAATCAGAGTTTTGATTGATCGGACAAAGGTATGAGTTAATCCAATGCATATATATATCCAGCGCTGATATGCAGCCCTGGCTAGCCGCAGACTTAGCGTAGCCTGATATCATTTGTCCAGCGTTCATTACGCTCCGGTGCAAAAAAGCGTCATACTCTTATTGAGGCTATCTGGCATTATTAGTATTGGCATGTCACAAATGCTGACATCAACACCGGTCTTCCAAATACCGAACAATTTTGCTGCAATGGAACCTCAGTAAGCAAATTCAGATCAGATCTATGCTAGCAACCAAAACACCCATCATATCACTCACTGATATATCTGCACCAATGCGCAAGGAAAATACCGAGCCAGTTTTCCAAAGAGCGCAAAACCAAAGCCCAACATCACATCCTCTCTGATACCACCTCTACAGCACATTTCAGATCTGTCCCCCACAGGCATGCCGAAGCAACACCGACAACAAGTTCCCAGTGATCTTTGCCACTAGTGTACAGCTCTCAGGCAGACCTTCCTCCATGCTCTCTTATTCGCTGCCCTCTCAAATTCTCTCGCCTCCCTCCCTTGCTTATTCACTCACCCTGACGCTTAGTCAACCTCCACGAGCACCTTTGTGGGGTAGGCGCGGCGCTTGAGGGCCTTAGTAAGCGCTGTGATGTGGCTCATGGTAACGCACTTGGCCTCTGGCCAGAAACCAATGTTGCTGGTTTCATGGACCCCCCGCAGGTCCACCACTTTCAGCGCTGGCAATGACAGGAGACATGTCAGCGGTGTCGGCACCTGCGCGCACATGCCGGCAGCCGCTCCTCTCAGAATTTGAGCTTGCGGTTCTGGACTTCCGGCACCAAACCACTAGAGCAGGCCAAGCCCTTGTCTGGCAACGATGGCTACGTTCTCTTGCTCCCATGCAGATCTACCAATAGGGCTCCTATTTTATTACGATCAACAGCACTGCAGCAGTCCCAGCAATCTCGGAAGAGGTGAGCATCTCAGAGTCGGGCAGCTCCACACCAGCTGCAGACTTTGTAAAGCATGCTCTGCTCCAGCACAAGCCTGCAGACAGCCTGTCAGCATTTGAAAACTGCAGCCCGCAGCTGGCCCCCCAGAGCTGGATCATCTGAGCTCTGGATGAGTTTGATCGGCTCAAGGAGGAGAGTGCAGGCTCCAAGAGCACACCTGAAGGTCGGCGTTGAGGGAGAGGTCGAGGTAGCTGAGGCCCTTGAGCTTGCTGAGGCAGGCGGGCATCCGTGTGAAGGCGTTGTCTCCCAGGTTCAATGCTGTCAGCCGCGTCAGCCGGTCCAAGGGCGGAAGGTGGCGGAAGCCGGGCGGGTCCCCGTCGCCGCTACGGAGATCCATGCCCTGCACCGTGCACCCTTGCTTAAATCCCTGACCCTCTCTAATTATTTATGTAGCCCTGAGTTGGATCATAGCCCAGATAGCCCTATCCAAAGATACAACTCAAAGATGCTACCTTGCATTCTTGTGTGTAATCCCTGACCATGCAATTCTTGTGAGGAGGACAATCTTTGACATTCCATTCTCCTTGCTGGCTTTTGCACACATGCAGATGCACACCCAGACGGGACACTGTGTGACTGTGCGCACAAAGGAAGGTTACAATTCATCACTTTGCTGGTAGTAGTGTGGCAAGGCTGAGCGGAGGACATGTGTTGTGCGCACCTGAAGTGAGAGGACGGTGAGCGAGGTCATCTCCGACACAGCGCTGACGTTGCAGACGCGGCAGAAGCTGACGTCCAGGTTAGTTATCGGGAGTTCAGACAGCCATTGCGGCAGCATCTGCATCGCAGGAACCTCACACAATCAGTGACACAGCCATTTTTCGCCCGCAAGGTTCTTCAACAAACTGCTTTTCACGGGCTGTCAGCATGCATGTATTGGATGCAACAGGCCTGAGAAAGAGCCAAAGAATAGGGTGCTACCATGCGGGATACCAATTGCTACATTCACTGGCCAGCCTGACAATGAGGATCCTTCGCAATACTTCAGCAGGTCAATGCAAATTAGCGTTTAATTTCTATATAAAAGGGAGAGGAAGTGGCTCGTTTAGGCTAAGAGGAGCAGGCAGGGCAATCACCAGGAGCATGGTGTGCCCTCGCAGCTGCAGCGTCCGAAGCTGCTTCAGGGCCTTCCACTCGTCCGGGATGGACTCTGCTCCCACCGCCCAGGCATTCACATGCTCCTCCCCTGTCAGCGAGATCTCCTCCAGCTGCACGCAAGCCGCAGAACAGTTGATTCTGGAATCGACAATATTGGCACCTCCTTACAAATATTCAGACGCCACCACTGATATGCGGCAGCTACGCTCTGATCAGGGCGGGCACTCTGCAGCAGGAGAGGCACTTGCGGGGTGTAGATAACACTCTCACTAGTCTTGTCCAATAAAATGTGTGTTTCCTATGCACTTGAGCATCCTTCAGCAACAAGCTCCAGAAATTGAGGCCAGACTGCAAGGATTGAGAATAGATTGCTCTTATTCCTAGGCCATACTGGCAGCCAGCCATCCTGGATTGCATTGAGCAAGCCCAGGACATACACCGCCGTAATCCAACAGCGCCGGCTGGCAGGGGGCGGTATAAATACTGAGCACCGTGCCCACGGTTGATTGGGGCTTGCTTGGATCTGGCGAGTCTAACAAGGGGTAGGATTGTGGCCAGCCTTTGACTGCAGCTTGTCTGCAGGACGTACCTTGCCTTTTGGCAGAAAAGGCGTGCAGTAATAATAATAATAATAAATAATAATAATAATGCAACAGCTGGCGCGCATGCGAACGGCGGCTGACCTGGGTTAGTCGCGCCAGCTCAGCGAGGGCGGCCTTGTCGACGCGGCAATGCAAGTCCTCGATGCGCAGCACGCGCAGCCGCGGCAGGCAGCTGATGGCGCTCAGAGCGCCCTGGCCCATGCTGAAGAAGTCGTTGCAGTGCTGGATCTGCAGCTCTGAGAGGGTGCAGCGCAGCATGCCCAGCATCATCCCAAAGTGCGCCATGCTGAAGTTGTGCTTCTGCTGCAGGTTCACGAAATCGCCCTCGTCTGCGCGGCCGGCACAGATCAACGTCGTCAAGAGCCCTGGCATGCAGCATTGAAGAACAGGACAACTCCATTAATGAGTTTTGGGTGCTAAGCAGTAGCGCTCTCCCTGCATCCTTTTCTGGTGGCGCTACTCTGGCTGCCCAGTGTCTGTCGACGCAGTTGTCGTAGTGCGAAGACACTACCACGACTACGTCAACAAACTTTGGTACAGCAAGCTCAACCTGGCAAGGGTGGCTAGATGATTGTGGCCCTTGCTGTTCAGATGCCCCAGCATTGTGGAGTATGCTCTGCTTGGTGTGCGCATGGAGAGCGATGCAGACACACGCAGCGCAGAGCGCTACCCACCATGCTGAAGCAACTCCCTGCCTCGACCACATTCCACCTCGTATTTTTACGACAGCGTGTGAACCGCAGTTTAGGCGAAGCAATCAGCTGCATTGGCCCCGGCTGGCGAGGCCGCTACAAGAACTGAGCATCGTGCTCACGTGGATCTGCTGGGATGTGGCCATTCCAACATGTGGCAGGATGTTGGCAGCCTTTATTGTGCACCTTGCCTCTGGCAGGAGAAACATGCAATGGTGATATGATCAGCAACAGCTGTGCGCGTACCTGACCAGTAGCCTTCGCTGTTCATGAGGACCAGGCGACGGATGGAGGCCTGGCGTTCCTCCACGAAATGCACCATGCGCGCAGCGCTAAGCCGCGTGTGCGAGAAGGACTCCCTGAATTCCTCGTCCGAGGGCCGCCGGTCCGACCATGCAATGGGGGTGTGCACGGCCGTGATGAGCTCGTGGCCAAAGTCGATGATGACCTCGCGCCACAGCTCGTTGCTGGTCAGTGGGTTTGTCAGCACCTGCTTCCACCTCCGGCACACCTGCGCGCACATGCCAGGCTCAGGTGGTGCCAGGTGGTGCATGGTGGGGATGGGAAGACCCAGGGTGGGGTGCCAGGACGGCTATGGACAACAACCAAGCACCTTAATAATTTCGCCCCTGCCAGATATATCAGCAACAGCTAATTGACGTAAAGTTCATGCTCTGATGGTGACCTCCAACTAAAGAATTCGTGGAAGATGCTGTGCTCACCTGTGACAAGAAAGGGTACGAGCGCAGCCCTGGGTGTGGTTCTGCCGTGAAGAAAGGCATGCGGTCGTTGCTTTCGTCGAGCTCGGGCGTTGTGAGTGGCCCGATTTTCCCCAGCGCTTGGAAAATCTGCACAACAACAAGTGCTCATTTCCTGCCGGCTTTCCAAGTGCTGCACTGCAGTACGTTGGCCAGCCCCAAACAGCTTGAACTTGTCACAAGGTTCGTCAGCTACGCTTTACGTCGTATGCGTCGCCTATGCTACCTGAAGAAATGGAGGACTTGCACAAGAGAAGTCTGCAACCTTCCCTTGTCCCACGCCGTCCAGGTTTTCATATACATGCTGCCCTCAGTTACTCACGACTGAAGGCGGCCTCTCTTCGATGCATGCAATGGTATCAGCGTAGTCCAATGCCTAAGTCACCTTAGTACAGTGCTTATTGGCAGTACCCTCGGTACCCTGGCTACCGCATACCTGTCAAGGCAGCCCTAGAACCATATAGTTTCCCCTATCCTTGCCGTTGTTGTGCAGCCTCAGGCTTGCAGTGGATAAGCTGACCCGTGGCCGATAATGTACCTTGAGGACCAACTCGTCCGGCATCTGGTCGAATAAGTTTGTCTCCTGCTGCTGCAGCTGCATTCTCTTGCCCTTTTTTCGGTCCGGCACCTTCCGTCCACGCTTGGGCATTTCGCCTCTTTTACTAGACAACGACTAGTCTTGCCTAAGCGAACCCTGGATGCCTTGGCCAAGACCTTCGTACACTCAGCACTTCGAGCCTGCCTCGCCTGCTTCGTGCACTATGTTCCCAGCTCAAGAGAGTGCTGTTCTTAAACTTGTCAGCGATGGCCAATTTTATCAATTGTTCTGAACGCAGGACGTGAAGGCAAAACCCGCGAGCAGGAACGCCGCCGAGTCTAGAAAGTCCAACTGCTGACTTTGCAATGCACATCGACGTTGAGGAATTTCTTCAATGAAGAATCTTCATGCGTCCCTGATTATGAGGCTTGCTACGACACGAAATACGGTTTAGCAATGTGGTTCCTACTACTGCCACAACTATGTCAGTTGAAAGTGCTACGGGTGGTGCAAACCCGTTGTGTTAGTTGGACTGGGTAGGATGTTTCACACCTGAGGTCATTACGAGCTGATCACGACATGTATTGTACCAGAAGGACATTCACGAATTGGTCTTTTCATACTGTCGAGCGGGCAGTTTGCAAGTTGCAGGATGCCTCTCCTTCACCACTAGTTTCTCGTACAAAGGCTCTGCTTTCCGCCTCTTGTCAATTATAGCAATTCCCAAGCAAAATGCGGTGGAAAAGGCGTCATTTTCTGCACAAGAGACGTGCTTAGAACGAATACGTCTGTAGAGATGGTTGACCAGCGCAGATCACAGGCATCAGTGCAGCAACCAAAGTATGACACGTATGCCAAGCCTGTGCTGCTGTCCCAACCGGAGAAGCAGAGGACAAGCATCCACGTGAGCAGTGAAAGCCCTGACAGCGCAGCTGCAGAGGACCATGGAGCTCGCAAGGTTACTCCTGGCAAGCTGGATCTTAGCAAGCTCCGCAGCCTCTCGCAAGGGGACATCAAAGCCACCCCTGATCCTGCAGGCGCCCTGCGCGCTCCAAGGAAGACACCACCGGATCCAAGCTCAGGCTCTGGCGCAGACGTGGACAATGCAGGGAAGGAGAACCTGCTCAGCCCTGGGCGGCTAGTAAACTTGCCGAATGGCACTCCTCTGAGCCGGCATCCCTCAGATGCGCTCAGCCGCAAGGCGTCGCCCAAGGCACTTCTGGATGGCGACGGTGGCGCTTCTCAGGGCCAGATCACCATTGTGGCAGAGGCATGCCCCTTCCGAGCACTCGAAGCATCTTATGCCCTTCACTTCATCACAATAGTGCGCCTGCAAGATTTGCAATGTAACAGCAGGTACTGGAGGTCATAAGAGCCAGTTTGCTCTATAATTGAAGTGGCAAAGCAGGTGAGCATGCCAGCGCTCGACTCAGGAGAGAGCTGAAAGTGTCAGGTGTGCTTTTTTTGAGCAGGCGGTCGCGCAGTACGAGCAGAAGATCCTGCAGGGGCAGCGGCTGCGCAAGGGCCGCTTCAGCGGTGCATCAACCCCAGACGTCTCCCGCCACAACAGTGTGTGCTCCTCAGAGCACGCCACCCCTCGAGAGACCCCCCAGCAGCCCAGCGGCGTTTCTTTCACCGCCGCCGAGCCTCGCAGCAATGGGAGCGCCCCTCGGAGCAGCGTTGCGCCGGAAGCCGGCACTGCGGTGGAGGCTAGCGGGCCGGTGTCAGGCCGGCAGTCACCGGCTTTGCAACCTGAGGTGCTGCCACAGCGGACAGAAGTTGAGGACGCTCTACAGGGCAGCGCTATTGCTGCCAAGCCGGAAGGTGGAGCAATTGCAGAGACCAGCACTATCGCTGATGTGCGCAGCATTTCTGAGGAAGCACCGGCCCTAGACGAGGATGGTAGCTGTCTAGATGGTGGGGGGGCCCCGGTGTCAGCTGCCGAGCAGTCGCAGGATGCAGACCTTGACAGGGACAGCGGCTCCGCCGCTGCGCCCAGCCCCGCTGCCAGCGCAGGGGCCGCCGCGGAACCAATGCATGCAGCTGACAGCCACAGTGCACCTTGCGAGGACGTGCATGTGCTGCCGGTGAGCACCTGCGCATCCCCGGGTCCCGCAGCAGAGCCCGAGCCGAGGCGCAGACCGCATGCGGGCGCTGCCGTGGCCGGGGATCCGGCCGGCCCGGCCGCTATTCCGCCAGCCATAGCCGAGAGTGCCAGCAAGGCGGCTGCGAGCAGCCAAGGTGCAGCCGAGGCTGGACAGGCTGTGGACAGTGCAGACAGCAGTGGGAGCACGGCATTAAGGGAACAGGCAACGCCGTCAAGTGCACAAACGGGGCGGGAGGTCGATTCAAATTCGAATCTCAGCGCGGAGAGCGTGCGGGAGCCGGAGTGGGTGGCAGCGTTCCGGAGAATTGTGTCTCTCGCTGTCAACACGCCGCTCTCACAGGAGCCGGCGCCGATTGCGCGCAGCGTAGCCTCCTCTGACAGTGAGCCCAACAACCTCTTCTTGAAGTTCATCTTAAAACGTTTCATCAAGTTGCCAGACGAAGCCTTGCAAGTGGGCTGCAGCTCCGGATGGTGCACAACTGGACCACACGCAAAACGAGCATCTCCTGACACGTACACTCGTGCCTGGCAGTCAGACTCTATGGAATGTCAATTCCTTGGAAACAGAGGATGTTCAGGCACCTCGAAGCAGGCTATTCAATTTCTGAATATGCCCATGCAGCAGCGCGGCAAATCGACGCCGTTCCCGGTCCCTCAGAACCGGCGCTGAGCCCCTCTTCTGAGGTTGGCGGGTCGGCGGACGCGCGGCGAAGCGGTGGCGATGGCCTTTTCAGTCGCGGAGGCATCGGCGGCGGCAGGAATCTGGACACCGCGTTTGAGAGCGCGCTAACCGACGGCCGTCGGAAGCGGCTGCGCGCGGATGCCAGTGCACATGGTTCGGGTGAGGTCACAAGAAAGTTGCTTTTGCATGTAATTCTACAGAAACGCCTTTTATGACAATGTGATGAGAGTGCACGATATGTTGCGGTTGGAGGAGCTGTTTTTGCGGTTCAAATGCCTCTGCTCTGTCAGCCTCTTCCTTCCTTCTACTGCCGCTGTGCATGCCAACTGTGTTGAGGCACGCCCCTGCCCCTAAGCATGACATCCCATATGTGCGCCATTTCATGCAACCAGCGCACAGAAAAGCCAGCTGTGAGAAGTCAGGCTTCAGGAGGTTGCCGGGGAATCTCTGCGGGTGTCATGAACATCCCATAAAACGGGGGCGGGCTTGATGAATATCTGCACATGCAGGTTCGGTGGTGCGGGCAGCGGCAGCGGTGCAGCGGGCAGCGGAGAGGGCAACGCTGGACAGGAATGACTACTCGGGGGCGCGCATCAGCCAGGAAGCTTCCTCCGTTCTGTCTCCCGGGGCGATAGCGCTCGTCAATGGGAGGACCGCGCACTCCCCGGCAGAAGTGCAGGCTCAGCTCTCAGGTGTGCGCACATCACACTTCTTGCATCGCTGCCGCCCAGCTTGCGCTGTGCTTGCTGCGCTTATCTCATTACCAAGATTTTGCACTGACTCTGGAGAGTACAAAGAGGCTATTTGCGCCCACCACCTTTATGTCAATGTTTGACAGTCGACCTTGTGCAAGTCAGATTCTCACTTCTGGTAGTTGAGGTCATCAGGGTCAGGTGAATTGGTGCTGCAAAGCTGCAGCCTTTTGCGTGGACTATTGCTGGGTACTCAAATGGCTGCTGGGCGTTGTATGCTGCAGATCTCCTTATCTTAGTTCCAGCCCTTTTTTACTACCGTCGCTGTAGGTGGCTTTTGAAGGGATCTGAAGTATTTAAAAGCCTGTTGCGTGCAGATGTGGTGCACCAGCTGCGCTTCTGCCTGGCCAGCATGAGCGAGCAGCAGAGGCCGCTCCTGCACGCCACAGATATCCTGCAGGCTGCCAAGGTGGGGCTGCCAGATACACTCTTGCATACCCTTGCATACCCACTGTCAAAATTGTTATCAAAGATCCAGCCAGCCAATATCAACACGCAGTGGCCCCCTGTTCGATAATTGCAACTAGCATAAGCAGCATAGTATTAGATTGGGGCCTCAATGTGGGATCAAGAATCCCGGTGGGCGTGCAAGCTCAGGCTACATTGAGCCAATGCTGCAGTGATGCTCCCTGGCATCAACTGCAATTATGTGCCTGCCGCGCAAAGGAGGCGGCTGCCAGGAGCAAGCTGCCAGGAAATTGAGCACATGCCTCTGTGGCATCATTGATGGGGGATGTATCACGGGTGTGCATGTGCTACAGGTGCCGCGGAGGGACCTGGCGGAAGCCGCGGAGAAGCTGAAGGAAGCCGAGCGGCTGCGGCGATGGTCCGAAGTCGCGCAGAGCGAAAACATCGCCCGCCTCCTAGGTGCGGCTGTCAACCTCCTGGCGCAGAGCTATGGTTAGTAACAGCAGGGATGTCGAGCAAAAAGGATGATTACGGGGTTTGGTATATTCATGAAAGGAGGACTGCTCTTTCCTGCCTCTGCTGATCTCTGCCTGACCGCTCTTCACTCCTCATGCATCGTCCGCAACATTCAAGAGGTTTCCAGCGTGTATACACAAGCAAGAGAATCCACATTGTGTTTGATCTGCTGGAGGAAGATGTTGTGGACATGTGCAGGGATACTGGGGGAGATGCAGGCAGTGCAGCAAGCACGCGCAGAAGAGGTGCACTTCAGCGCTCCTGTCTGGCTGAAGCTTCTGGACAGCAGCCCCCCACAGAATGACTCCGGCCGCCTCCGGCGCTGCTGAGCGCTGCTACACTGCACCTGCAACGCAGTGCATTGCATCAGCAGCGCTTGCTGAGGAATCGGGATCCCACTGCTGTGCACATAGTGGAGGGAGCTGTGGAGGCTGAAGCCTCTCAGACTGACGCAGAACGGCTGAGATAGAAGTAAATGACTGAAGAGACGCAGCAGATGCAAGAATGGAGCCCTGATCAGTGTTAGATCATGAGGCCGCCATGCCTTGTGAAATAGTGAGTACTTCATACATGCTGATGCCAGCATGGATGACAAGGCGCTCCTTTGGGGCCATGGCCGCCCGTTGGATTCCTAACGAATGCATCCTTTGTACCATATATTGCAACGCTCATGTTTTCTCATTGTGCCATATCTGGGACATTTGTTGTGGCAAAGGAGCGCTGTGGATCAATGAAAAGGTGAAATTGTGTTTGCGCAGCTTTTTCCTGCTCGTGAACATGTTTCCTGGGTTATTTTTGACGAAATCATTGCCCGTGTCCGCACATTGCGGGCTCATGTGACACATCCACATAAGAGCAGGTGCATGCATTAATCTTAATATTTTGCCCTACATGTTTGCATGCTTTGCGAAAAGTCTGCCACTGATCAGCTTTGTACATGTAAGAGTGCCCATGTTATTGCCGAAGAGCCGAGATGCTGCTCCTTCAGCGTTTCAATCGTTCACTGGAGTTTCTTGCTCGGAGCAGGGAGCTTCAGTGTAACCGTCGCTTACTAAGGCTCACCATTCCGGAACGAAGCGACAAGACGTCTGGGTGATTCGCTCAACAGAAGTGTAGCGCCATGGGAGGATACGGTGGAACCTCTCACAGAACGATTTCTTACGCCAGAACTAAGGAATGGAAGAAGGGCCACATACCGTACAAGTGCTGCAAAGGGGCGCATATTGCGGTTACAGGAGGAGCGATCGGAATCGGGTTCGAGCTGGCCAGGGAGGCAATTGCCAGAGGTGCTGCGGCAGTGTCCCTCATTGATATTGCAGATTGCTCTAAAGCAGTATTGGCGCTGCGAGACGAGGCGGCGGACGGTGTCTCAGCCGTATTCAGGGCGAAGATTGCATCTTTCAAGGCTGACGTATCCAATTTCGACGAGGTAAGCACCCAAAGAAACAAATGATACTGTTTTCGTGCAAAGTAATTTATGATACTGAAAATGGAAGGATCACCCACTTTGTAGATCTCAAAGGCGATAGCGGACTGCGAAGCAGCCCAGGGGCCCCTGGACATCATAATCGCCAATGCGGGCATTGGACCATGCGGTGAGCATTTTTTTCCTTTGCAATTCAACGCCCACATATCCAGGTCCCCTCAGCTCACGGTGTCCCTGAGCGATCGGCCTCACACATTGCTGTGCACCAAAATGCTTTGCCTCTGCACAAATGAGGCATACTGTTCACTTCTAGCAGCCTGGCTTACACTGCCTTACCATGCAGATTTATCCCGCGTTGACTGCCAAGACTTGCCCCGGCTCTGCAGGCATGTTCTTGGAGGAGGCGGGGGTAGCACACTGGGAGAAGGTGATGCGAATCAACTTCATGGGCGTTGTGTGCACGCTCAAGGCAGCACTGCCGGGCATGGTGTCGCGCAACAAGGGCCGTGTCATTGTCACCAACTCCTCTGGCGGCTTCATGGGTGCGCGCCGCTGTGCATACAGCACCCTGCTAAGACCAGGATTTCTGGGCAGCAACCAGCTTTCCTTGGCAATTTGACCCTAAAAGTGGTGTGAAATTGTGTAAGATTGTCCGCTGTGCGTTAGGCTTAGGCTCTTGTTCAGAGGGACTGCACCAAGAGCCACGCATCATGGAGGCTGCCCCTGGCATTGCATCTACTGTGAACTTGCCTCATACCCATACCCATATGAGAAAGTTTTGGACAAGCAGCATGATCTTATCTGGAGTCCATGCTTGGTTGCTCGGGCACAGCCTAGCTATTGCAACATTGTGCAGGACACGCGCAGTGCTGCAGCATTCAATGCTGACTCACATGAGAAAGAAGCGGTTAGACGGCCTTGTTATAGTTTGCCCTGAAGAGCACATCTAACATTTTGCAGGAGCTGCTGGCATCTCCGCATACTGCGGGTCCAAATTTGCTGTGCGAGGCTTCCTGGACTCACTCAGACTCGAGGTGGACGCATTCTGCCTTGCTTCATTTCAAGCTCCTTGAAGGGCCCATTACCTGTTTGCTTGTCCTGGTCGTATTGCAAGCCCTACCAAAGAGGTCTGACATGCATTTCAAATTTTGCAGTTTGGATTTTCAAATTCAATTTCGAATTCTTGCAGCTCATCCACACCGATGTGTGCGTGCACATGGCCTGCCCGGGATTTGTCAACACCACCATGATCCGCCAGGCACAGAAGGAGGCGGTGAGTCACTTCAACCAAGCACACTTAAGAAGCAAAGTAGGACCTTTGCACAGGCGCTCGCTGCACAAGGCCTTTGACAAGAGAGCACTGGGGATGAAGGAGCACCGGGTTTGGATGTTTGATTTTTGCTCTTTGCTTTTGAAGACAGTGCACTGTGTTCTGCAGTGTTCTGCATACAAACGGGATTGTTGAAATTTCTTGATATGAACATTTCTGAAGTCAGTCATAATGACGCAGACTGAGACTGTCAAGCAACTGAAGGCCGCTTTTGTCCCAACCATGATTACTGCAGAGGAGGTAAGCTCTTCATCTTCAAACATGTTCATCTGTGAACATGCCATCAACATGGATGCAACAAGCTGCAGGCATGCATGCAAGATGATAGTTCATCTGCGAGGCAGGTGGCAAGGTACACGTGGAGGGGCGTGGAAAGGGGCCAGTATGTGATAGGTTCCCCGGACACCGGGGGAAATATGCTGATTGGCAGCAGCCTGGCAGCTTCCAGCGCGCGTTATTACCCCGCCTCGCTGGAGTTTTTCCTCGCGCCCCTCTTTGTGCTGCTGCACACGATCATCCGCAGGGCAGTCGAGGCTTCCACCAGAAAGGTCCTGACTGCTGCGGAGTTGCAGCTGCCGCTGAGCAGCGCAAAAAGCGATGCCATGGGCAGCAAGGATGAGTGACCATTCATGAGGGCACCAAATTATATATGATGAGGGGTGGAAGTAACTTGAGGAGTGAAGCTTTGTGCTGAGTCACTTGCAATTGCTTCTTCTGAGCCAGCAGCCTCAAGGGATGGTCAGGGTAACAGACTTAAAGCGCTCCTTTGGTGCTGCGTGCTGACACACGGGTATTAGAACCTCGAATCTACTCTGCATTAGAAATGTTTCTTCATTGACCTCCTTGTCTCCAGCACCAGAGCCTTTTATGGTACAAAGCGACGTCCTCTCACCAGAGATGCCGAAGCTGACAACTCACCAACCCACAAGCCCGCATGCACAACGCCAATACAATTAGTCATAAAGAACATGCTATTGCCGCATTGCTGCATCCCTTCCTGCGCTACCGGCCCTGCCATCTACAGATTCGTGTTCGGTTTGACTGCCCAAAGACAGCCAGGCATGGGCCACATGTGTTGCCAATCCACAAGAAAGCAGCTGCCAACCCTTGAAGCAAGGCAGCGCTTCCTGCTTTGCCTGGCAGTGACTGATTCCCCCGTCTTGCGCAAGTCATGCTGCTGACCGCTCCTTATCCTCTCTGTGCATTGGGAGCCTCACACCACTCGGATGGAGGGGGCCGGGTCTGGCAGCATCTCAGAAGCATCTTGGAACTCCTCTCCGTCGCTGTCATCTGTCAGTGGCCGCGAGTGCACATGCTTGAAGTGCCCCCTGGGCCGCCTGCCCTCTTCCACTTGTCCTGCAAGAGCGCGCTTGTGATCAGTCGGGTGTACTTCATCTTACGGAAGGAAAGAGAAATCACCTTCATAAACGTAAACCTATAAACGAAGGCTGCTGCAGCTGCTGAGTCAATTTGCCGATTAAATACCCCTCTGCAGCAGCTCTAGGCGCCTGTTGTTGAGAGCTTGGTGATCCAGGACATGCCCTGTCATTGATCGGTCCTTGCGAGCACCTATTCTTTGCATTGCAGATGGGAACCCAAGGTACTCACGTTCAGATGGTCCCTACAGAGATCTGTGTGTCTGGTCTTTTAATATGGGATAGGCAGTGGATTCGGTTTTCTGGCAAGAGTTTGAGAAAGGTTTCCAAATGGTGGGCATGGGAAGAGCAAGCCATCGGGCACAGAACACCCTGGGCTGTCTCTGCATAGGTTGGTACGGAAAAGACAGAGTAGAACATTCTGACGTGCATTGCAGATCCCTGGGTACGATTCCTTGAAGCTGGGGCCACAAAGAAGGGTTGTCTGCGCACTACTAATAGGCTGGCAAACGGTACACACAAAACACAGACAGAAGACATGCTTCTGTGCAGAACCCTAGGGCACGCACCCTTGAACCTGGGGGTGACAAAGCTGAAAAAGGAGATGAGGCGGTTTTTGTGCAGACCCTAAAGCGCGCACCCTTGAAGCTGGGGGCGACAAAGCTGGGTTTTCTGCACGGTACTCTCAGGCTGGTTGATGCTCTACATATAAAAAGGAGATGAGGGGGTTTTTGTGCAGACCCTAGTGCGCGCACCCTTGAAGGTAGGGGCGACAAAGCGATCGGCGAGGGAGGAGGAGTAGAGAGCGGAGGCTGCCTGGATGGATGCCAGCGAGGACCCCTCCGGGGTTGGAGGCGGCTCAAGCACCCCCGAGCCTGACTCTGATATCATACTGCCCCCTGACTCTGTCCGCCCTCTCCCCTGCACACCCCAGAGCACCCCAATGAATTGAATTTTCTGGGGCATATGACCCGTTAGAGGTGTGGTCGGAGGATCTGGGGTCCATTGCATTGTCATTGCACTAGCGGAGAAAGTGATACGATCGCGCAGAATGGAGAGATCTGATACATGTGTTGCTGGACGTACCCAGATCCCAGATGCCTAGGAAATGGAAAAAGCGTAGTGATAGTTATAATAATAATAATAATAATAATAATAATAATAATAATAATAATAATAATAATAATAATAATAATAATAATAATAATAATAATAATAATAATAATAATACGGTAATAATAATAATAATAATAATGACCCACAACATGCTGACCGCGCCTGCCAGAGTGTTTAGGAATAGGTGAAATGGCTTGCAACATTCTGCTGTAAAAATCCACAACTAGCTAGGTGCGGCACTGTGGGAGGAAACAGATATACTTGGGCCACACTGTGGCCCCACGTCCCACTGGCGCTATTGGCTCTGAGACGGCACAAAGATATCATCCAAGCTCAAATCTGCACCGCCCTTCTCTTCCCCAATCAAAATTCTCCCCGCCTTCCTACAAAGGTGCCAGATTGCCCCCTGCATCTGTCCATCACTCCAGCGGCGGTGCCTTTCCTACAGCCAAGCCACATGAAGGATCTTGTGAAGAGCAGTCTGCAGTGAAGATAACAGGGACTCACCAGCTTGGCTTCCCCGGCAGAGCCCGCGCGCGAGAGGCTTGGCGAAGGAGTCACCCGCCCGGCTGGCAAGTAGCCGGTGCTCACTGTCTTGGGGGCCCACCCTGAGCCTGATCAGGACACTGAGTACTCAGCATTGCTAGAGCGAAGAATACAGAAAGTTGGACCTAAATTGGTCTAAACAATTTTTTTTACAACCTCCTAAAAAGGAAATGAAACTTTCAAAAACAAGAGGGAAGCTTGCTGCCGTAAGCCCCAACTCCAGGGATATCAATACATCAAAGCTCTCGTGTTCTAAATTGACACCAGAAGTCCAATTTGCTGCTGCTGTGGTTGATTTGAATTTCGATTCTCAATCACACTCCGTTCGTCCAGGGCACGCATGCAGGATTCATGCGTGCTGTGCATTCAAGGGAGTGTTACCTGGGTAGGCTGATGGGAAGAGTGGTTTGGCGTCTGCAGCTGGCTGGAAAACATGCTCCTTGGGGCTGACATTCCCTCCTGTCATAACACAGTACCAACCAAGTTATGCTCCACATAAGCCAATGAAAACACAACGAAATTGGTGTTGCCCCTCAGATATGCATGTACTCAGCAGCACATTGGTCAACAACAGTAGAACCTGTCTCAATCTTTTCAATCTCTTTGATGCATGTCCTCAGCCAGCCATGTTGCCATGCATGGAGTTGCAGGAATGCGCAGAAGGGATGAAGGAGCAGGCCACGCACTTTGTGTGCCGGATGCCTGCGACGCTGGAAGGCCCCGGGGTGAGAGTGTCAGCGGGCTGGCAAGACCGCTCTGCCCTGCTTCAGCTGCAGCGCAGCACATGCATGGTCAGATCAACGCACCAGCCTTGAGAGCTTGTGAGAAAGATATCATGTGTTCCTTTTCACATCGGCCGTACGCAGCGTTCAGATGCCATGCATGTTGCTTGTTACTGTGCTCGCAGTTGGCAGATAGCACCGCGACAAGCAACACGCCAGGTACCGGAACGCTGTGATACGGTATTCCTTAGCATGAGGAGGCACAGAGCAATGCTTGGATATTTCTCAGGACGTGCCTTCTTGTAAGGACGCTGAGCTGGCGTTCCGGTGGGGAGAGGGGGAGGACCCGGGGGGTCCCCGAGACACCCATTTCGCCACCCCATCCGCCCGCGTCACTGCACCACGCACCCACACATTCCATTTTATTTCAACTTTATGTGATATGTTTGCGGTTGACAGTTGCCCCTTTCGTAACCTCTGAGTATTCTCTGCACAGTGTGTATCTACAGCAGCTCCTCAATTGCTTTGCTGTTGTGGTTATTTCTGCTAAACTGCTTGCATGGAATCCCAGTGTGTTTACTGCTTGGACTGCCGCATGGGAAATGCTACAAGCAGCAGTGTGTGCTATGGATGAGTCGCAAGGAAAGAACTATCGTGCAGGTGGCATGCAAACTTATAACTGGTACATGGCAAGTTTGATATCAAGGTACGGTAGGGCGGAGGCACACCGTCCATGGGCTCTGCCGAGGAGTCACGCACGCCGTTAAACAGGTCCGCCACCACTCCAAACGCCAGCAGCACCTGGGACTGACTCAGCACTCCTGCGCGCACATGCGGTCACATGTCAGCGCATGTGGGCACCATGCGCGGCACAATGCAACACATGCAAGCTTTATATTGACTATGCGCAAATATATGAAGTTCTAGGAAGTGGCATCTGCTGAAGGACAGTCTTCCAGCATGAATGTGCCTCTGAACAACAGGGAGGGTGATGGCATGAGCTGTTGACAGCAGCAGCGAGTGGGGACATCGCATCTCACCGCGAGCAAGCAGCAGCTCGAGAAATTTCCGCATGCACTGCCTGTGCCCTTCCACGCCCTGCTGGGATGCAAAAGCCCTGATTTCTCCCTCCAGGACGCTCCTCAGCGCCAGAGGTGGAGCCTGCAGCATGCAAACTTCGTTTCTGACCAAGGCAAACGCGCTTCACGGCCAATTTGAAAGACTGCTGTGCATGCAAACGATGCGATGAAGATTTTGTCCAGAACTGTGCCCATCCACGAGTGTGGGATTGTTGTAGGCTCTCCAGGCAGACCTGGTACTTGGGACCAAGAATGGATGAGGGGTACTAAAGCCTCCTCACAGATAATCATCCAAACATTCAAATATTATTATGTCTCAAAACGAAGCAAGAATTGAACCTACCACTGAGACATGCAACTTCGCATCCTGCCGATTGCTGCTGGCGAACGTATCGCTTGTGAGGTCCCCCACTGACGCTATATCCGTGGGCACGCATTGTATCAGGAACCTGTCTTTGCAGCTGCGCAGGTCATCCGAGTACTGCGACTGCGGAACCATATATATTCTGACGTTCCGTGACGTCCCGGCAGGAACTATGCCCACCGTAGGACGCACCATGTACCTACTGACTGCGCTGGTCTTCACCTTGAAAGCGACATTTCTACCATCACTGAGTGTGTTGCGCAGACTCAGTGTCTGCTTGAGTTCCGTGTTTGAAACAAAGACATACTCCAGCTGGGTTGGGGAGATCTGAAGTAGATCTGTTCCCTCCATGAGAGCAATAAATGGTGAGACCCCAAGCTACTGGGTTAGTAGCCAACCCAAATGTTTACAAGTACCCAATTATTGCTTCCAATGTTCTGCATTCCAGTCGAAAGGCAAAGGAAGGCAACGGCCATAGAACGCCGTTCGAGGACAAGTTATTCGGGAGGAGCAAGGGGTTTGTGATAGGGTTGTTGATAGGGTTAGAGAGAGCTTAGAAACTTCCTTTCCTCTCGCTCGAATGGATGTATATGAGGTCACAAGCATTGACGAGAACATAATTAAGGTGTTTGTGACACGCCTGATAGCTGCAATATTATTGCACCGATAAGGAGACTCCCTATATTACGTCACATCCATTCCCTCACCTCTGCGTAAGGGAAATTTCTTGTCTAGGATGTGGTAATATTGCTTGTAGCACCTGCAAAGTGATCAACCACTTCATACTTGCTGATAGAAAAGCCGTACGCGCTGTGAAGGTGCGGTGATCAAAGCTACTTCTTAGCTTGAAGGCCATCCCTGAAAGGCGATAAAAGGCGAGGATGCTCTCGGGAGAGCTGGCCAGGAGTGCTCAGAAGCTGCAGCGTGAGCAGAAGCAACGCTCTGAGGCTCTGCAACGCAAGGCAGAACGGGAAAAGGCTGTCCAAGAAAGGTTGCGCAAGCAGAGGGAGGCACATGAGGAGGAGCTCAGGCAACGCAGGCTTGTAGAACTAGCAGCTGCTGAGGCGGTGAGCTCTCGTCATACTTGCACCTTGTACCTCCTTGTGGCAGAATTGGTTGATGTGCGATTCTGCAGAAGGATATATGCTTCATTGCACCCCACAGTGTCTGCCCAGCCGTAGACTGATACAAGCAAATTTTTTGCAGGAGCGTCTGCAGCACGAAGAGGCAGTGGCTGCCAACAACGGGGTCTGGTGGCGTGCCAGGCTCAGAGTAGTCCCAATTGATGTAGACGCTGCATCTGACAAGGGCATCAGGCGTGGAGCAGACAAGGCGAGTCGCACGATTCTCGACCGCCCTCGTGAGAACCGGTGCCTTTACAGGCAACGCAGGCTGTTCACATGTCTGTTGAAAGGGCCCTATGCCACATGGCGGCACAGGCTGAGTGTAGACTGAGTGTAGAGGAATGCATCGTACAGGTGCTGCTGCCGGCTTCAGTAGGGGATGACTTGATGCGGCAGGACGCTCCCAAGAACGGCGCGCAGCTGTTTGAGATTGCATCCTCCTCTGGAAACACCACACATGCAGGCGCGTCGCTCTGCCGACTCATGCTTGAATTGCAGCCCAAGAGGCCATTATGTGTCATGCATGTGTCTGCATACATATGCCATGAATCGACAGCAGCTTGCACCTCTCACTGTGGACGACTGCTGCGGTTGGCAACAGTGCATGAGCTCTGCCCGACATTTCAGGGGCAGCAAGGCAATAGCTCCCCTTCAGAAACAAATGATCGTGGGTTCAAAGTGATCCCCGCAAAGACGTTGGACTGTGTTCTGGCAATAGAGAACAGGCAGTTCAGATGGAAAATACACAGATAGTGACTCACCTCCACCGAGCGTGCGATTCTGCTTCTGCATGTACCACTGGGCTCACAAGCCTTGTCCAGGCAACCCAGCCTATAGCTCTGCTCAATTTATATCTTGTAATCATTAGAGACACCTAGAATTGGCATTGATTAGTGTGCGCGCAGGCGTCCTGGCGTTCACGGCTGCGGAGGGAACTATTGGGATGCCACCTCAAGTGGCAAGGAACGCCTTTGGAGACGGCGCTTCAGTCTCCCCGGAGGGCGCCACCGTGGACGTCCTCTACCGACGGCTGCCCAAAGGTGTGGTCAACTCCGTTTATCATGTCTTCCTCCCTGAGACTCTCCGTGTGGAGTTGCCGGAATGAGCACACACAAGACACTGGCATGCTGCTCCGCCAAAGATGCAGATTCCGACCGCGCTCAGCTCTCGCGGCAGTCATCCTGTAAAGCATTGCGTGCATGGGTGGCGCTCCGTAAGCGCAGATGCATAGAAAAGGTCCAAATGAGCATGGCAGTGCAAAATGTGCCAGGGCCCTGTCCACATTCCTGCCTTGCATGTTACGCAATGCGGTGTCTTATCACAGGCCAGTTTGGGACCTTGCGGGTGCAGTGGGATTCAGATTGAATCACGAACGAGAATTTTGTGCTGTCGGGAGCGCAGGGGAGTATGTGCGGTTCCAGCCGTGGAGTGCAGATTTTCAGAGGGAGGTGGGTGGAGATGTGAGGGCGGTGCTGGAGGCGGCCCTGGAGCGGCACAGCACGTTGAGCGAGGGTGACTGGATCAGCGTTCCCTTTGCCGGCACCGCGTTTGACCTCACCGTGCAGAAGCTGCGCCCCGGCCGCGCCGTTTCTGTCATTGGTGCGCCTTGGGCTAACGACGTAGTCTTTTGCATGCGAACGTAGTCTAGTTTTCTGCGTGCGAGCGACCATTAAAAATGTCGGGAAGGAAAGTTCAGACCAATAGCAAGGCCCTTTTTTACCCCTCCTTTGTTCGCAACTGTATAAGTTCCCAGAGCAATGCCTCAGGAGTACACATGCACGGTGTCTGCATGCAGCGGCTGCCCTACATGTTCTTGTCCCTTTGTCACATTTGGTAGATTTCCTTCACAAGTGAGAATATTTCACATTGTCGTGCAAAGGTATCCTTTGAACCCTCATCTAAGCGAGTGTCTTTTGCAGAGCCGTCCCCGGCATCAATCCCCTTGCATTCTGGCATGAGGGTATTTGGCAATAGAAACTCTGGCTGGGCACCACTGTTGATTCGTGTGGTGCAGATATCACCATGCTGTAAATGGCGGCTTGTGCGATTTGTGCTGAATACAACGATAACACTTGGTCTTGCATGCGCAGACACTGAGATGGAGGCGGAGGTGGAGCCGAGCCTGGAGACAGAGCAGCGGCTGGCGCAGGAAGAGGCGGCCAGGGCCGAGGCCGACCGCCGGCGCGAGCAGGAGCTTGCTGCAATGGCGCAGGTGCGCACTTGGAACCATGATGACATGCAATCTGTCTGCGACTCACCCAGGGAAATCGGCCAAGCTTCTGTTCTAGGCAGTAGCCCGGCAAGCGTCTTTGCCGGACTGCAAAAATCTCTCTTGGTTCTATGCTCAGCATGGGCACGAAAGAACTGTCTTCCAGCCTGTTGCGCTCTGGAACGGCAAGAGTTTTGGCAGGTCAGTGCTGCTCTGCATGCTCTCAAAGGAGGCTGAAGAGCACCTTAAAACCCAGTACTCTTTCCCTATTCAGCAACACATGAGACTCTGTGCCAAGTTGTTTGAGCGCTGTTGATGCATGACTTTTTTGGGGCTCTGTGCGCAGGAAGCTCTGAGGCAGGCAGCCGAGGCGGAAGAGCGCGAGAAGGCGGAGCAGGCAGCTTTGTCACAGGCAGCTGTGGACCTAGAGCGCTTACGGCAGGTATGCATCGCTGCCCTTCTTCCCTGGGCTGACGGCCATTGGTGTTCAACAGATGCTGACAGGGTGAACACTGACTCCTCTCCTGGCATTATCTGAGCATGCGCACATGGAGACCCACAGACTGCACAGAGACAGTTGCAGAATGCCAGAAATACTGGCCGCGACAATTGCCGTGCTGCCAGCAGGACATGCTGCGAGCACGCACCAAAGGGAGCCTAGAGCTTATACTCCCCTTGCATGCGCCCCGTCAATTTGTGGGAAGGGGAGTGTAAAGGGGGCGTCGGGGGAAGGGGTTGGGGGAAGGACTTTATACTGTAGAGAGATGAGGCGGGCAGGTCTCAGAGTGGACGATTACATGCGTCGCCGGTGGAACGTGCTGCAGCAAAGCGCTGGTGATAGCTCGAACAAATCGCAGTCATGGGCGCCCCTGGGGATTGAGTCTTGCAATGACTGGGCTTGCCGGCTGTGCAGGAAAAGGCGGCGGCTCTGCCGCCGGAGCCGCCAGCGGACGAGGCGGTGACATCGTGCCTGATCCGCCTGCCCAACGGCGCACGCTTCTCGAGGCGTTTCCGCGCCAGCGACCCTCTCCTGCACCTCTTTGACTTCGTCGATGCGCAGGTGAGACTCCCTGATTCTCAAGTCTATGCTGCTGAGGCGACCTCTCCTGCTTGATAGGGACTCTTGCATCTGTGGCCTGCAACATGATGTGCATGGGACTGCCTGCAGAGGGGGGCCTGAGATAGGCGTGTTAAGGGGCCCTTCTGGGCACAATTGGACTTGGAATATCCAACCTGGTGCTATCATGCTGTTATACATCAATGAGTTCTGCAGGCAGTGTTCCTAGCCTCTGCTGCAGCTGCAGATCTGCCTGATGTGGGGCGAGGTTTGCTGCAATTCTCTTGCTGGTGTGAAGATCTCGTTTATAGAATGATTTTTATTGGTGGGGCTGCAGGAAGGTGCAGGGGAGGGGCCGGGAAGCTACCGGCTGGTGGCGCAATTTCCGCGGCGAGTCATCGGCCCGCACCTGCCGGCACCTGACGCCACCCTGGCCGACGTCGGCCTCGCCTCCCGCCAAGAAGTGCTCCTCCTAGAGCCGCTGCGATCTTGATGTAATATTGAAAGATACTTTATTATTAGTACATTTAAGAGACCTCTTGGAGCCCCCTGAGGCTCATTGGTCTCGTAGACAGTCTGTCTCTGCCCATCTGCATATCATAAACATCTCATGGGTCTGCATGTTGTGGCGTGATCCAATGTATGGAGGGATCCCTACAATAGCACAAGAGTGAACAATCAAGAATAACAATGTGGCGTGCGGTTGTATAGAGCAGGGGCGTGGTGTGCAAGATAGCAAGCCGGGCGGCTTTTGACTGCATTTGTGTGGTTATGAACATTGCCTTGCAGTGATGATCTGTGTGGATCATAGCTATGCGAAATTCTTTGCATTTATACCCGCGGTATTCGGCCAGTGGTGTTGAGGAACAGAAGGGACCAGGTTGTGTTCACACGTCAAATATAATGCCATTAAGATATTGATAGCATGGCGCGATTGGCAGGCTCTCAGAGGCTTCAGCTTAAGTCTGACTGACCTGTTGGTGCACATCGAATTGTCAGACTGACGGCAAACTGGCCATGGCATTGTCTAAGCCACAAATTGCCTCACATACATATGTTCTCTACTGGCATGCTTGGCGCCTCTAGATCTAGCACAACATGATGACCAGGCCTAGGCCCAATGAAGATTTCGAGAAGGGCATCACCGGCATTCCTTGCATGTAATCAATCCCACCAAGCAATACTTTGCCTAGGCTGGGGCACATGCATGAGATCAGAGCCCCCAGTTTATCATCCATCAACACTTGCTTTTCGTCTCTACTTCACGTGTGAACTGCAAAGGAAAGCCAGGAAACAGAGAAGCTTAATAAGCAGATCATGCAGCAGCCAGAACATATAAACAAAACGAAAAGCATGCGAATGAAACTCTCGAAATTTCAATTATCCCTCAGGTTCCTTCGAGGTTGCTTACAGAACATGCATTCTCATTATGCTGGCCTGACATGTTGCGCAGCAGCCGGACCGACATGGGCATCAAATGGTACAGGGTATGCATTGGACCGCTGCCTGGCCTGTCTTGCACAGCAGCAGCGCTATGTGGTCAAATCTTCAACGCGTGAGTCAGCAACTTACAGGATCCACGTGTATCAGCTTCTCCGATATCCTGGAGAACTTCGATCGTGATATTCGAGGCTAAAATTGTCCGATAAAGCTCATCAAGCCACATTGTTGTCTGAGCTTCCATACGCTGATACATCTGGACTCCTTCGAACTGCTGATACGAAGGTAAGCTATTGCAGTTTTGCACTTTGCTTATCTGCGACTACGTTGGTATGTAAAAGCGTACGTTCTTCAGAACATACCAATGATTATTCTGGTTCTGTGAATGAAGCAATGTCGACCTGCGTGCCGTCACTGGGAGACTAACTTTTCGACGCCCCGCTGCAGCTGCAGGAGACGTGTTCTGGACCAAGATGGGTGGATTTATGTCAGCGATACACAAATGCTTCTGCTTTCGTGGCAGGTAAGCAAACTTTTCACACCCTTCCACCTCCGAAAAGGCCTGAACGCAGCTCCTTGAAGCTGGCCGAAGTTGCCGCCACCGAGTGCCACCAGGTCGTACCTGAGGTATTTAGCGAAAGATCGTTGGCAGTGAAAGATGACGTGACTATTTTAACTTCAAATGACCTGACCAGAAGGCTAGGATTGCCGATCCCACAGCTTGCTGCCACCTGGTCTGACAAGCTGGTGCTTGCCGAGTGCCCATCGCCTCCTTGCAGCAGAGGAGCTGCAGAACATAAAGCAGGCATCATCATATTTCTACAGACTCTGCAGCGCAAACGAGATGGAGTTTGCTTTTAAACGTAGCTTTCCTGCTGCACTGCAGGCCTATCGAACAGCGGGGGAGCGAGGGAGACTTCAACCCTGCAGTAGGGGGCCTTGGGCAGAGCAGCTACCTGAATGCTCTAGGAAGGGTGTCAATCCAGCGACCCAGCGCGGCCCAGCTAGAAAGGGCCTCCATTGTTTTCATCAAGGACTGAGGCTCACTCACTACGCAGAGGCAAAGAAGCATGCCACTGATGTCTCTCGAGAGCTCTGTTCTTTCTGAGGGTACAACAGTGGTGGCATGAGAGTGTTGAGGAATGTGCTGCAGTGCAGCTTATTGCTGGACAGCAATCTGGCGGTAGTGCAAAAGCAAAATGGGAGATGCTCTGTCATCATGCTGATCAGACATCACTCTTACTGCGATGCGATGGCCTGGATAAGCACCCTCTTGAGGTGTTTTCATGCTGATAGCAGCGCTGCTCTGGTTGCAATACATACGTACAAGGGCACCAACCACTTCTATGTTTAGATACAAGATGTACACATACACAGCGAGCTGCAAACCGCAGCGTATGCATACAAGCTGCCCCGCAGCAACACTGAGACGGCGATGCATCTGTGCAGACTGTATGCCATGAATGAAAGTACTAAAGAATTGTTCACAGCCCCCAGAGGAGCCGCTCTCCTTGGACAAACAGACAGCAGGCTTGCTCCTCCTGAACTTTACTGTCGGTAATGCAGGCAGGTCCTGAAACTGTCCAGACCAGCTAGAATTCTGTTTGAACCACACTGACCAGAACTTCACAGGCAATCACATTGCTCGACACAGTGACACAGCCCACGCTTCCTCGTGCATTCTGCTCTCCACAGACCAAGGCTGAGCACTTCATATCTTCATAGGCGGCGCTTAGAATATTTGAGGCGCTCAGAGCTTCGAAGCAAAGGCGATGCCCTGAGCTGCCAGGTCCTCGGGTGCTGCCGGCTGCTCAATGGCCACCTTCTTCATCAGCTCCTGCTCCTCAGGGGATCCACCCTCCAGGAATGCCCCCATCACCTGCGCAGTGCATGGCATGATATCAGTCCAGGAAGGATCAGAATGAGAGTTTGCCAGGATGGGACTAGTATAACAAAAAATTTCTATATCTTATCTTGCGACTTCCCTTGCTCACAGCACAAAGGGTAAATGCTCCCCATCTTACATGAACGATGTGACTGGCATTTCTGCAGCATGCATCAACAGGGCAAGCAAAGGGGAACGCACACTGGCATTGATTGAGCTGAAACCACTTGTAGCTGAGCAATCATGGACTGCTTCCTGCAAAATTTCTATGGTCTTGCTGAGCTAAGACTTTTGTTTGCCGCTGCATGCAGGGGCGCACCTTGCCGTCCCTGACAAAGTAGGTGCCGAACTTGCCGCTGCTGGTGTCGCCGAACAGTGTGGCAGTTGTGTTCTCATTGATTCCGTACAACTGCGCCACATGCATTCACTCAGACACATGCACGATGCTCCTCTGAAACCTTTGTAAAGACCTTCTTCGCTGCACGTCATTGCTGTGGCAGGTCTGGCTGCACATAAAAGGACACAATTTGCTAGATTGTACACCCCACTACTTGCAGTTTGCCGCAACAGCAATACAGGGGCTCAACTTTGCGGGCCAACAGAGCAATGATTGGACTGAGCTGCGCGGAAGGAAGACGCGGCAAGCCTTAGTGGTTTACCTGCCAGGACAAATCAAAGATTCTGGAGTAAAAGTAGGGCAGGTAATCATAGTCGCCAGTGGAAGTGTCCATGATGGACGCCACTGCGTGCGTTGCGCTCGCTCTGCAGTTTGCAACGTGCTCCTGCGGCAATCCAAGAAACCGTCTCTGTGTTTACATTATGTACGCCTTGTATGTGGTATCAGTTCACCTGAGTTCCGAGGGAGTGCTTGACTTATGCGGTCTCAATTGCATTTCATTTGAATTCTATTGCAATATGCAGGGCGTCAAAAATATGGGCACAACTCAAGCAATCCCTTGGGGTTAAATGAAATCTTTTCTCACCTATGTCGAAAAAAAAATCCAAGATGGCTCAAAGATCCAGGATGGATCCAGAAATGAGCCGGGAAGGCTCAGCCAGATGAAGGGAATAAGAAAAGAACTCTTGAAGTAGAGGCCGTACCTGGCGGGTGGTGATGCCATACTTCTTCAGGGGAAATGCAGCTATGTCACCCACAGCATACACATCCGGGTTGCTGGTGCGCAGGTTGCCGTCCACCTGCGCAGGGGCGTTGTCTTTTCAACCGCTAAACAACACTCTTTAAAATCGAAATTACTTAGACACCAGACGCTTGACCAGAAAAATAGCTCACTTTTAGCGAGGCAAAAAAAAACAGACACCCCTGAAAATATCAGCCGGTGCCCTCTTGCAAGGTAGCATCATCAAGTGGCTCTCCTCATGGCTTGAAACCACATGTTCAAATGCTTCACAAGCATCTTTCAATTTCTCGGCAGTCGATCTCAAGATTACAAGATGCAAGTCATGCACGAACACATGTGCAATCGAGGCAGGAAGCCCACGAGGCAATTAAGATAAGAACCCTCTTGCTGCACCTTTACTCTCTGATCTAGACAAGAAGCTCAAGGAGTTCTTTGACGGCTTTACTGAGAGATTCCTAGCTGCTCGCTAGGATTGCAGTGAAAGGCAATTCGCCCTGCACACAGTGCACACATTGCAATGCACGCCCTCCAGTGCTCTGTCAATCTTCAAACCAACGCATCTCCCCTCCGGGTTGCATGGGTATGTTCTGCAGCACTCATGAGCAACCCTCACCTTGATGCCGCCTGGGCGGTCCTCTAGAAGATCCAGCTGCCCCTTGAACATCTCCACGTTGGGCCGCGCGCCCACGCCCACCAGCACTATGTCGCTCTCAATCTTGTCCCCGTTTTTCAGCACCGTCGTCGTCACCTGCACGGTACATGGCCACATCAGCATACACAGCTGCCTCCACTTGTGTGATTTGCTCTTGAAAGCTGGAGGCTTTTAATCCGGCATACTTTCCAGTGAATTTCATAGTGGTACACCATCATCATATGGCTCATATGGCAACTTCCGGCAGAGACCAATTCTCGTTTTCTTCCACCCAGACGCCAAACAAAGGTCAGTGCATTTCATAGAAAGGTATGCATGCCATATACAGCCGCCTTTCCTTGCATGATTTTTCAACGATAAGTCCTCCTGAGAGCTGCAGCTCTTGCATATGCTTTCATACTGCACTACCCGACTAAATCGGCACCTGACCACAGAGCATCATAGATGATATCCAAGACAAAGAAAGGCAAAGGGAGTTTGAGGGTGCTCACATGGCCGTCCTTGCCCTCGAAGGAGGCCGCGAGGGAGCCCGGCAAGAGCTTGATGCCCTTGTCGGTGTAAACCTTCTCGTAGAATGCTGCCATCTCAGGAGTGAACAACCGCTCCATCAGGTGCTTCTCAGGGAACACCAAAGTCACCTCCAGCCCGTTCTTGGACAAGCACGCCGCTGTCTCCATCCCGATGTAGCCGCCACCAACAATGGTTGCCTGCCCCCAACACACTTGCTCTTTTCACTGGTGTCCATGTGTTTTGGTGATGCAGCTGCTTCCTATCTATCTCCCTGTGCGGACCAGGCCCCTGTAGGGAGCAGACCCCTATAGGGAGTTGACACTGCAGAATGCAGATCTTATGCACAGCAGCCTGGTCAAGAGCACTCCCTCCTTTCCTGGAGCACTTCCACAACAATAGCTGCCACATGTTCGCAAGACAGGGAGTGGAGAACGGCATTCTGCCTGCAATCCTAAAAGGGGCATTGCAGTAATGATGTGCAAATGTGAGATGCTAGATATACTTGGGAGGATTAATGGACATCCTCACCTTGTTGCTCTTGGTCTTGGCGTCAGCGATGGCGGCCACGATCTTGTCAGCATCAACCACATTCCTCAAGTAGAAGATGTTCTTCAAATCCGCACCCTTTGTCCCAAAGTCAGTCAGATAGATTGGCTGCACACCACACACATGGCCTCATTTTCGATTTCTGGCAGTCTTGCTGCCTCCTTTCTCCTCCTTTGTGGCCAATCTGTACCTACCAGGAAGAAGGACTAATTGTGCTGACGTGGGTTAGGTTTTGTTTTGGAGGCAGAGGTGACTCACGCGAGCGCCAGTGGCAACAATGAGCTTCTCATATGAGATGGAGTCACCGGAGGCTGCTGTTAGGGTCTTGGCTGATACATCAACTGCAGTGATCGATGTGTTTGTCTTGTAGTCAATGCCTGCACCCATGCCCAACTACATCAGCAACAACTGCTTCCTGCATACTGTAAGAGTAGAATGGCAGTTGACCAAGCGAGCGATGATGGTACTGCACAAGATGCATACATGCATGCATGCATGCACGGTGGTCCTAAAAGCTTGGCAAAGATGCACAGAGTGCTTACCCTTCTCCGCATACCACTCCGGGGTCTGCTTCTCACCACCGCCCCCGACTGTTGCATGGAATCCAGGCAAGCGTGCAGCACCTGCAGAAGGAGGAATTCAGGAAACTCGCCCTTGGATGCAATCGTACGATCTTTTAGGATTTTCAGGACAGCGCTTCTCATCACAGGAATCATGCTCACCTTCCGGGAAGAGGTAAGCCTTGCTCAGCGCCGGCCTCTCGTATGCCACGTACTGCAGGCAACATTCACTTTCAGGATTGCTTGTCTCCTTCTCATCACAGAGATTGACTTATGCATAAACTGGTATAATCAGATGAGTGATGTATAAAATGGGACTTGACGTTCTCATTAAGCATGCGCAGCACACCGGCTCCTCAGTGATGATTGCAAGCTCTCCCTTGCCTATTCCGCGCTGGACAAACTCGCGAGCAGCATACCTGCCAAAGTACGATATATTGATACAACATTCATACGTAATCAAATTCCAACTGTTAAACAACGCATTCTCTAAGCCTTCTTTGAGGAAACTACAGCTTCCACGCAGTGCTCAAATGGACATCCACACCCTGCTATCCACAAATATTGGCGTAGGGCAATGCAGATGAGAGCAGGATCAATTCCGTCATCTTACCCGCTAGAGTTACCACCCCCAAGAACCACATACTTGAAAGACGACGCTGACATCACGCTTAGGGCACGTACTGATCTGAGACCTGGCAATTTTTCCGCAGAGAGCGCTGCTACACGAGGTAATCTGGAGCAGAGTAGGCTGTGTGTCCCCTGAAGAAAAGAGGATCGTTGGCAAATTTGCGCAGACATCAGGTGAAGCACTGACTGATCATGTAATGCCACCACGTCTTGGAGATTTCAAGGCAAGAGGCATTTATATATCTCGACAACCTGAAGGGTCTAGCTAGAGAGCATCAAAGGGAAATTTAGGGCAAGACAATAGGTGCATATTTTCATTCAAAGTTTCAATTTCGAACGTCCTAAGTGGGTAGTAATACTCAGATCAAACTTCAGAGATGTAATTTCCATCTCATGAGAGGGCAAGATCTGATCTGATTGATTCGATGGCGCCAGCTCCAGACCTTTTGAGCTTACCGCGGGAGACGTGTCTTCTGATTTTTACGAAGCTCGATGTTGTCAGCCTTCTTGGAATGGCTGCTACTTGCACGGCCATGAAGTTGTTGATCAAGGTCTGCCCATGTTCCTCTTGCGTGGAAATCCCAGTGTACATTTTTCCGTTTGAGGCAGAGGTTCAGACACAGGCTGCAGTAATGTGGAACAAGTTCGCTTTGAAGGAAATTCATGACACTGAAGAGAGAGCCTGCAGGACTGGGTTATGTGGCAGGACAGCTTTGACCAGATCCTGTGCCTTCCTCAAAGTCGTCACCAATATGCAGGAAGATATGTTGTGGAAGCAGCTGGCAGTTGCCAAGTGGGGCCAAAAGGCTGTTGATCTTGGTCAGAAATCTGTGGAGAATAGTCAGGGAGGGTGGATTGATCACTGCAAGCACAGACTTTGTATCAGAAGCCACCCGTACGCCCTTTCTGCTGGCCGCCACTGGCGCAGTCACCTGCTTGAAATATGACATGAAAATTTCGGCCCTGTTGATATCTGATTGCTCAGAATCTTTGCATGCCTATGCACAGCATACGATGCAAGGTTTGCATGTGCTGTGATACTGATGGCACCCTCATGTACCAGAGTCAGATAGCCCTAAACTGGCTAGAAGCAATGTAGCTGACTGACTGCATGGCGTGTCGTGTGCAGGATCTCCCCTCTGAACCTCATCCAAGAGCAATATCATGATCCTTGGCAACATCTGGTCTGCTGCCTGCTGTGCAGGTGCTTCGATTATCACTGCTGTCTAGTTTTTATATATTCCTTTATTATTTTCAAGTGTGCAGCTGATTGTTCTAATCTCGAACTAATCTCTCAGATGCAAGGCTTTCAATGAGGTTCCTGGATCCGTTTCTGCTCAACTGATGGCCAGCTGTTTGTGTGTGAGCAGTCGAACGAGTGGGAGCCAGGTAATCAAGATGACGATAAAGGCCTTCTTGGGGACTTATGGGACGCCATCAAAGGTCTTGGAGGCTCCAGATGAGGAGCTTGAAAGCTTCATAGACCCATTGGGTCTTCAGGAGACACGGATCAAGGCCGTCAAACAGATGTCTCAGGCCTTCTTCGAGAAGGTTCGATTAATATACTGTTCGTCTCGTTCCCAGAATGCCTTTCTTTAGCCAGCTGCCCAAAAAGTGCATTGAATAGTCGTTGCTGTCAGCTTGATGGAGTTCCCTGTAGAACAGGGGTGGCTTTACAAGTCAACGTGCCTTCGATCACGTGAAATATTGAATAGCCCGCTGTGGCATCTGCATTATCAAAATGGGAATATTTCAAGTCAAAATCTGTGCATGTAGGAATGGGAGGATCCAGTGGAGTTCTATGGCTGTGGTAAGTTCACATCGGACAGCTGGCGCATCTTCTGCCGGGGGGTGAAAGCGAGTAAAGGGGTGGAAGATGCAACTCTGCTGCGCTACCTCAGATGGCTGAACACTGGGAGCCTCAAAGATCCAAAGCCTGCAAGACCAAGAATGCCAAATGGTGCGCTTCTGCTCTATGTACACATCCAGCTGACATCTATTAGCTATCTTGAATGCTGCATCACGCACAGCCTATGCAGCCTAAAAAGGCTTGTCCATGAGATGGTGGATCTGGATATATTGAGATATCTTGGCAGCTGGCTCATACAATACATTGGAAGCGAACTTCTACTTGAATCAAGATTAGTGTGGTGCATTGCATGCAGACAAGAGGAGTGTGAAGGGTGCGAACGGAAGTGCAATGGACGAAAGGAGCAAGAGGAGGCTCACACGCAGCCTAAGATTAAGAGACACTGTGACAGGAAACACTCGAGCGTTGCGCAGAAGAACGAATGCATTGTGATAGGATTGAGAGTTCAGGCAACAGCCAGCCAGAAGAGTTGCAGCATTTGCTGTTTTCCAAAGAATCTTGGCAATGGCTTACAATTTGGAATCCATACAGATGTGCAATTTTCAAAGCACCAACTCATGGAATTGCACTTTAGAAGTATATACTGTACACAGCTGTTCTCTGCTCAGGAAACAATATCAGTATTGTGATACCGGTGCGAAATTGTCCTTCTTTATATTGCAAGCAATTCTCCCTTCATGCATGCATATGCTGTCAGCAAAGTATAATTCCAAAACAACATCCAAGCCTCTGTAACCCAGTGTGGGAACACCAACAATAAAGCATGCATTGGGAAGCGCAGCGAACTATACAATGTGCATTTCTATAAATCAGACCAACTCTCAGAAACTGCTCACAGCATTCAGAAGACAGGGTTGTTGCCCTTAATGAGCTCCACCAGCAGCAGACCAGAGAAGCCCAGCATGGCAACACGTCCAGTCCAGGCTTCCAGGAAGGGGGTGAAGGGCCCAAATGACCTCGAGTCGGGCTTCTCCCCTGCAGTGGCATGAAATCACCGATCAGTCAAGGACCCCAATAATAAGCAGGTGCGGGTGCTTGCAAACTACATTGTGATCAATTTCCGCACAGCGATCATCTTTCTGTGCTGCCACAACAGCACTGCATGCTCTCCTAGGATCCAGGATTCCTCGGATCCAGAGTACTGTACATATCAACTAGTGCATTTCACCAGGCACAGGGGGCACTAGATGTCAATATAGCCTATGCTAGCTTATGATGCATAAACTGCAATAAGGAGCAGTTGCAAATTGTCTGAGCCAGCGACTACAATCAGGGTGGGACTTGCAGCGTGCCTGCTTGGAACTGGGGTGCTATGCTGGCGTAGGTGAGCAGAGCCACAATGGCACCAAAGCCTAGAGATGACAGGCCCAGGGCGTGCTCTTTGAGGTCTCCCTCTACATACTTGCCAGCCAGCTGGCTCCACACGCTCTGACCAGTCTGCAACTCAGCCACAACTGCTGCCACAAAGCCCAGCATGGCGGCTCTTCCTGCAACACAAAGATGGGCTGCCTCAGATGGGGCCATCCTCTGCACGATCACGCAATACACTCTTCCCAAAGCCCCCATGCCAATTCAGTGAGCACTTAAGAGAAAAAACGGTGCAAATGAGGACAAATCCAGGAGAAAACGGTGGGCTCACCGTTGATGGCCTCCTGCGTCTGTCCGAACACCTCGAACTTCGCTGCGGCACTGCTGGCCTGTAGGTTCTCAGTCACAAGCTCTGCCTGTGAGGCAGTGTCCCGCTGCTCGACCATCTTCGCTGTCTGTTGCTGGCGCTCTGCTAGGAGCTTGTCGACCTTTTCCTTGTCGGTCAACTCCAATTTCGCCTCCTCTGTTGCCTGTTCGCATCAAGCAGCCAAGGGTCGACCCAGAGCACCCCATAAGGCATTGCATGGCTTCACAGTGCATTTAATGGAAGGATTACGTTCCTTGCACCATCAAGGACGAACAAATGACGTACAAATACCTTCGCAGTGTTCACCGCTATTTGATGGCAGCAGGGACTTGTAGTCACAACAGGAACGTCAAGACAGGATCTTTACCTGTGCACGGAGGGGAATGAGATGCCGCTGCGCCTTTGCGGAGCATTTCGATCGGCGTGTGGATTGTAGTGTGCTGGCTGTGCCGGGGAACACCGAGCGGTTAGCTGTGAGCACGCGACCGAACTCCATATTGCAAAGCTGTCTGAAGTGTTGTCGTAGAACGTTTCAGCTAAGTAGTTCTGCAGATTCTGATCGATTTCGACTGCAAGAGGATCCTTCAGAACAGTGTAATGGTCTTCACGGACCTTCAGCTTGCATCTGTTGCGAACCAAGTTCAAGATGGAGCCACCGTGGAGATGCCTCAGCCGCTCATTGGCCCCCGTCCATCGTGGCAGCTGGCCGCTTTAGGTTCCCCATAGCTAGCGAAGGAGTCCCCAAGTTGACCCAGATCAGGCGCCTGTGTCATTTCTTGACCTTGCTTTCTGATTGCGTAAGTTTACATTCTAAGGTTGTAAACGGATCGCTTGAGGTAGTGTGCTAGTCTGCATTACAACGCTCGGTCGTCAGCCAGAAGCACACAGACGGCAGTGCAAAACTAGGTTTGGTGCGTAATTTCCTTGTTTGATTAATCTGGCTGTTTAATCCTCGAGACTTTGATTTAGAGCCTTTGATCATCTTTAAAACCTCCAGTATTCTTTGGGCCAATGACCAACAAAGCAGTGCTGACGTTGGCCACAGGGCAATGCACCTCGACGGGGGCTGCCTCTGCGGCGATGTGCGCTATTCAATCGATGGCAACCCGTCCACTGAGGAGTCGCCTTGTTTGTGCCATTGCCGCATCTGCCAGCGCTCTACAGGAGCACCCCTGGTAGCTTGGGCGACATTCAATGAGGTACCACAGATAAAGAGCCAAAAGCTCAATATGCAAGTGTTCTGCCGAGGCTCAGTCAAATAATAATAGTGCCACTCTTCGTCCTGTCTGCAATTGTATGCACCTGCCAGGCATTAAGTGGTCTAGCTTACACCCCGAACCTGGGTCGATCTGCGTGCTGCACTTTGGCAAGCCAGATACAAACACTGCATGCAGAACATGTCCCATGAAAGCTCACTCTCTCTATTCCGAAGTGCTGAATAATTCAGTGACCGTGCCTAATCAGGAGGACTTCAGGGTCATTCAGGGGGAGCCAAAAATCTACCACTCGACAGCAGAGGGGGTGAGGAGGTTCTGCGGCCGGTGTGGGACGCAGCTGGTGTTTCAAACAGTGGGCAGTCCTGTTTTGGACGTGACCATCGCCAGCCTGGACACGCCAGATGTCCTGCAGCCGGAGGCCCACATCTGGATTGAGAGCAAGCGGTCCTACATTGGCACCCAAGACCTGCCCAGCTTCCACAAAAAGCGCCCTGCTGACTGATGGAAAGTGAGAGGATCCATGTTGAATTTTGAAGCTTGAATGCCTGCCCAGTGTCCAGACTGAACGCGCTGCTGAGTGATGGAGAGTGAAACGGTAGGATATAAGGACCGTTGCAATTACTAGATTGAGCGGTCTGCTGAGTGGTGGAGGAATAAAATGCAGAGGTCGCCGAGATGTATCGGCGATGCACCTGTGCAGAGCTCTAGAGCGAATTTTCAGACAGGTTGTAGAATATTGAGAGTGTACAATGACGTAGGGGATATGGAATAAGTTCTGATGCGATCAGTTTGTGGGTACCCTTCAAGTCTTTTACTGTTTCTGAAGGTTCTCCTTCAGTATATTTGCATGGTATGATGGAGCACAGCGCATGACATACCGTATTGCTTGCCTGCTATTAGAACATGGAATGTCTTGGGCACGAGAAATGCCATCTTGGGTGATGACTGCATGAGCAGCATCACCGGTGCATGGTGGTCTTGTGCATGCAAGTAGGTGAAGCGTTCTCCAGCTGATGACACACGCATGTTTACAAGCAGGCTGCAGTACTGTAGAGTGTTCAACGAATGATTTGCTGCCTCCTCAGGCACCAATGGGTGCAGGAAATAGTAATCAGCCCGACTGGACAATTCTTCATGGCTGTGTCCGTGCAGCAGCAATCTCTGCTTCCAGAGGTGCCACATGCACTCTCCGCACGCTCTCATCAAAGTCAACTGCCCTTTGGGCAGCCTCCAGGGCCTCGGGCAGCCTGCCCAGTTGCTTCAAAGTGCCCGCCTGGGCCAGCAATGCCCTCACTGCCGTCCTGCGCGCCAGAATGACTCGCTCTGCCACGTCATCACCGTCGGATGACTCAGCACCTGCCATGTCAGCAGGAGCCGGCCCGGCCGTATCAGGCGCGCTGCTGGAATTCGACATTGAATTTGGAGATGGGGATGCGCTCAGGGTGTCGGCAGCTTCCAGGGCGTCTGAAGAGGCCCTGGCAAACGCCTGCAGCGCCGCATCAAGATCACCCTGGGAATGCTGCGCCACCCCTGCACAAGAAAAAGCTGTCAGCCCCTTGGGTATCTGCTGCTGAACCTTTCGATTTTGCAAACGGCTCTTCAAGAGCATGTGCAAGACTCTGGCCTCCTGCTTCTGCACTGCTGCATGCCACATGTCTGCAGCTCACTCCCATTCCATGGGATGCGCTGCACAGGTGCATCCAAGCAAGCACAGCACCGCCATTCAATCCCACCCCTACCATCAGCCGTTCATCCAGACACGACACGCCAAGAAGAGATCAACATTCTTCCCCAGAGAGAATGGCACAGGGTGGAAGCTCACCAGCGCCAAACCAGGCACGAGCGCGTTGCGCAAGATCTGTCTCCAATGACGTCGCGGACACATAGGCGGCTTCGGATTCCGCCCACTGCTTCAGCTCTGCGTGGAGCTGCGCGGCCGCAAAATGCGCGCGTGGGTGCGTCGGGTCCACCCTCTGGATCCGCCCCACCAACGCCAGCGCAGCCGCCACGTCACCCCTCGCCCGCGCCTCCGCAGCCTGCCACGCGCAGACAACCTATATTTAGCCTTGAGCGCCTGCATGGCTGTAAGCCAACCCATGCCACATGCCTCCAATTGATACACGCTATATGATGACAGGTAGATTATTCTTAGCATGAGAGAGGAAAAATCATAGTTAGCACATTGAAGAAGAGCACCTGAAGGAAGAGCTGGCTGATGTCAGGTTGGGCTGAAGTGCTCCCAGGCGTACTTTGAGCGCCCCAACTCTTCAGAGGCTCTGAGTTCCTTCGTGGAGAGGGCAGCCCCAGCAGCTCGCGGATCTCCGGCCTCTGCAGTGCAACGCCCTGGAGAATAGACACACCGATAAATATATGGTGCCGCCCTATTCCCAGACAATGGAGAGGCAGACGCCACCCTGATAATACAACAATGATAAGTTTCCTTTTTGGGCGATTACAACATGATGAAGCCTCCTCAGACACACTGGACTGCCCATAAGGAGCACAATCGATGCATCAGCCAGCTGCAAGCAATGTCACAACTGGGTCATTTCAAGTAAAAATATTGAGCGCTCGCCCCTGGAGGGCCCTGAAATGCATCTGACAGTCTGAACAGGTGTCTTGAATGAAGTGCTGCAAGCTGGCGCACCTGGCCCAGGGAGAAAGTGGAGGAGGAGAGCCAGTAGACCAGTGCGCCATGTGGTAGGCCCAGAGCTATGGCCAGCACAGGCACAGTCACCCACTCCAGCACCGCCCTGGCCGCCCCCATCACATACGCCGCCACCGCTCCCTCGCCTGCGCCAGGAAACCATGCGGCGCGTGGAATTATGACATGCTTCCTCAATGCACAGGTCTTCTCTCCTGATCCACGATGTCAAGGCTGAAGTTCTAGAGGTGACTGCGCAGAGAGCAGCAGGACAGATTCTGCAGCAGCTGCCTCCATTTGCAGCCTCCTGACTTATACTCATATGCAAGGCAGGGATGCTGCAGATCAGGTGCCCACAGGGGCAAGGACAAGCATGCCCCAGGTGGGTGTGGCATCTGTCTGTTTGGACACAGCCCAGACTTCATCAGGGCATCCGTTAGGGCGCAACAGGTGAGAGGCGTTGCAAGGAGGAGGGTGCACCTTTGGGGTCACTGGGAGAGACAGGCGCTGACCGGCCAAAGCTCATGTTGATGTTGGCAAAGAGCGCCAGGGCCACAGCGATGGGTAGCACTGCGCCCAGCTGGCCATAGGGGAATGCCACAGCCGTCGACAGCGCATCCTGCACAGCACATTGCATGAAATATATCCATATTCCCAAAAATAAGTACATTGACGCTTGTACCCTGCCTTGAGATCATTGGTGATACTCATGCCGATGCTAGAAAGCAGCTGGTCAAAGCATTCTTCTCCACAGCTTGATGGAATTCACCTTGCAAACCTTGTTGTATGCAATCCATAAATGACGTTCTCGCAATGAGCACTGCATTTGCAAAATTTTGCCGTCTGCCAGAAGCGCAGCGCGTGCATGACACCATCATGTGATTGGCCTTCAAAACCCAAGCCCGTCTTCGCAAGCTTTTCTGCATTTGTAGAGAAGGAATCATGCTTGTTTGAGCCAAGCTAGACCCTTAACTGAAAGGGTGGTACCTGGCCCCAGTGGATAACAACAGACGCCTTGGTGAGGTCTGGGAACCACAGCGCGCCTCCGCTGGCAAAGCCTGGCCAATCTGAGGCCGCCATCGCACGCGCTGCAAACACGCTGGTACCAAACACTGTCGCCTGTGCAGGCAGTACACAACTCACTACAGCGTTCGCATGCCGCTGAGGTGCATGCAGCCTTTAATTCCCTGAGATTCCATGATACTATACATCCTTATGAATAAAAGGTCTGCTTGTCTGGGCTGCTTAACTGGCAGCTCTCTTTGAGAGGAGAGACCTTCCTTTTCGATGCAAGCAGACAAAGAGAGCATGTTCAATCTCTGTAAAATAACAACAACGACAAATTGCAGTACTGTTGAATTGCATGTTCAATAATGGTTGGCTGGTGTACAAGTCTCAACCTGTATTGCAGGCGAGCCTACAATCCAGGCAGGGTGGGGTGCGCCAGATCTGGCACGCAGCCGCCAATACTCCGCCAGTGTGTCGGCCACAGATATCTGCCGCAGCCCGGCGCTGTCGCCTCTGTTTTTGGCCTGCCCATCTGCCCCTTTATCATCCCCCTCGTCATCCTGCTGCCTGTTGGCAGCCGAACCACCCTCTGCATCCACCCACAATGCACCCCCTCTGTGAGCCCCTCCAGACTCGCCTTTAGCCTGCCTGGTTTCCTCCTGCTTCGGCCTGCCTCCTTCGACTTTTCTGCTGCCTGAAGGGCCGGCTGCATGGGCGTCCTGATCTGAGAGCAAGCGCGCCTGATTGAGAGCAGCCTGTGCTGCCATTCCATGCAGCTGTGTTCCCTCTGCCTGTGCTGCTGCAGGTCTTGTCAATCCGGGAGTTTTACTGGAAAGGGAGCTAGCGGCTGCACTAGAATAGGGGCCAGGAGCCCTGCTACCAAAGCTGCTGTGGGTCTGTTGGGATGCAGAGCGCTGCGCTGCGCTCTGCTGTGCCTGCCGCCAGGTGGACCACAGCGCGGCTGATGCGCGCATCTGCTGAACTGACACAGGCAGCAGGGCCGCTCGTACGCCTGTCACGCAGTGCAGAGCGTCCTCAGATCAGGCGGATGTGTTTGTGCAGCAAGGGAAAGTGCTCTGTCAGGTTCTCACCAACTGCAGTCAGCGACAGTGTCGCCCACCATGGCAGCCCTGTGTAGGAGTGCAGACCGTCTATCAAGCTCACGAAAGCCTTGGTGGTTGGCCAGAGAGTCTCAGGCAGCTGTGCCACTCTTTCTGGCATTCGATTCGCTGACTCTCTGCCCGATTGTAGTTTGAGAGCATTCAATAAGAATACGATAATGTAATCTTTTCAAGATTTCAAGATAACTCGTTCAGTTTTGACGGATTCAAAGGGCCGATCGAAGATGTGTAATGGAGGGATTGTAATGCACACTCTGCACAAACCATGCAGAAGATCCTTCAGTAAGACACATGATTAACTATTTTGCCGATGTCCAGCCGTTCAATCTCACCAAAGTGCAAGCAAACTTCGCTCCAATGATTGTCGAACCGTACAGGTAGCTTCCTGCATGCGAGAAGCTCGCAAAGATTACGGGACATGGACCGGCATCCATCAAAAGATGCCCCAGACATTCGCCAATTTAATTTATGAAATAAAGATGCTGCCCACATCGCCTTCGTAGCAGACTTTTGTCCATCACTGGGCATCGAAAGGAGGTGTTAGGGAGACAGCGCTGCATCGCAGGCCACTGAAGGTGAGGGTGCACACTTACCATGCGCGACCTTAATACGGTGTCCTGACCCTGTCTTGAACTCGAACCTCAGACCAGCGATATTTGCAAATATATAACAGGATAGTAATGAAAGGCCTCACCATCCTGCTAGAATCCTGCAATGCCTCTCGACTCCGTCCTGCATCGGTCCTACATGCGTTGAGCAATCCGGCATACTGATGACCTTGTAAATGCACATGAGCAACAAATGTCCTTATGCACGGTGTATGATGTCATTGCAAGCGACCCTAAGCGATTAAGGGGCCGTCATGCGTATTTACACTCTAAGATGTGCTGCCACTGAGATGCCGCCTGCAACGTGCAGGCGCAGCAGATCAGCATGCGCGCTCACGTTGTGGCGCTCTTGGTAGCGCTCAACGTTGCATTTGCGAACGCACAAGACCTGACAACAAACATCAAGGTACAGAGGCCATCCCCTTGCGCTCTTGGGGTGCCAATCCCTTACAGGTTGACCGTAGGCATCCTCTACATTTCAATTTCATCAGAAGGAGTCTCCAGCTCAACATATGTTACAATAAAAATGATAAGTCGATATTGGCCACCTTCATCTAGCCCACTGACTGCTTGTGCAGGCACCCATCACCATCCCCTTTGACAGATCCCTGCGGCCCCAGACCACCTACCTGGTGTTTGACAACCTGAACAACTATGGGCCCATTGACATCCGCGTGGCAGACAACTACACAGGCAACCAGCCCTCTCAGGTTTGTGATGTCCCCGCTCCCTTTGCTGCGGTGTTGCACAATTCCTCTTGTAATGCATGCCGTTGTGACCTGAAGATGTTGGTGTACTACTCGTGCATCCTTTGCTCTTGCCAAAGTGGCAAATTCTTACACCACCCTTTGCTCTTTCCACAGTGCCAAACTCTTACACCTTCAGTCATTACGAAGTGCAGGGAGTGACTTTTTATGCGCTTCTGATGCAGATCCATTTGTCCCTTGCCGGCCCCAACTCCTACTGGGTGATGTGGGCTACAGGCCAGAGCAAGGTAATCCTTGGCAGCGCTCCTAGCCTCAGCATCACCTCCACTCACCAAACATTACTGTGCACACTCGATTTACCATCGTTCAAATCTGTGATGCCCATTTTCAATGCATGACCAAAGGTGCAATCATGTCCAAAAGCTCTGCTCTGGGACGAGGCTTGAAGGGGCTTGTGGAAATACGGCAATGCTGAAGAGGTAGTTCTAACGGTACCCCATGTGCTTGCCAGATTGGCACGGGCTACCTGCAGCCCAACAACCCTAACAGCGTGGCATCCATCGTGCAGTACGGCTTAAGCAAAGACAAGCTGGAATTCATTGCCTCTGGCAATGCTGAGGTGGGCCCTCTCAACACCAGCCCTGCAGAAACACCAAATCCCACAAGAACTTGTCTGCCTTCATCTGCATGCTGAAGTGTTCTGCCAATGACCGTGTTTTCTCACATGAAAGAGTCGGTGCATTGCAAAGTGGACCCTAGAGGACTGCTCAGTGAGAGGTGTGGCCGTTCGTGTGTGCAGGTGTATGACCAGATCTACATCAACTTTGACCCCAACAGGGCCGGACTGGCCTCCACGCCCAATGCCACAAACTACACCTCCCCCATCCTGCACTCAACGCAGCTGCGCGACCTCGTGCCTGGGAAGAAGTACGCCCTGCAACCCACCCCCATATCCTGCGCCTAGATGCCATGACCCTTCATCTTGATGCTCTGTCAAATTAAAGGACCAGATTCTGAAACTGAATTGCTGAGAAGCTCCAGTGCTCTTGCTTTTCCACTTTCCGGCCACTCACTGTGGCATGAACAGAGGGCGCCCTATATTGCCTTTTTGGAAATGATCAGCCTTTCTCTTCAGGTCGCAAGAAGCAACCAATGCAGTGTTTTTCTGTTTGCAGTTACTACTACCGCGTCGGTGACGGTGTCACCTTCAGCCAGATCTACAACTTCACCTGCGTGCCAGCCAAGGGTGCGCCCGCTGCTCCCTCCTTCTACATTTCAACCAAAACGACATGTGCACCATTTTTATGGACATGCTCAGACCGGTGCCCAGTTCCATCCGAATAATTTGCCGTGCCCATCATCCTATATAGGACCCAAATCAGTTGGCGGTTCTAGAGGCTCGTTAGGGATTTCGGCATGTGCGCGCAGGTGCCACGTTCCCCCAGAGGCTGCTGCTGGTGGCTGACTGGGGCCTCTCCCTAAACAGGTATCGCAAAGCTGACCTCAAAATACATCACCCATAAGCCCTCAGCTGCTGCATGGCATGCACCAGCCTTGCCGGGGGCCATATGTGGATTAGTCATGCAGGATTAGTCATACACTGTAGCCGATTTGAAGCCAGGCCTGAGCGTTGCCTGTTTTGGCGCAGCACGACCACGCTGTACCACCTGCAGCGGTCACTGGAGCAGTCGCCTTCCGCCACAGCGCTGCTCAACATCGGCGACCTCTCCTACGCTGGTAACCTGTCTTTAACTCGGTCCCTCTATCTTCCTGACTTCTTCTCTACGTGCCAAAACTCGGCCACGTGTGCACATGAGTTCAGCCCTTGCCATGCCATGCTTGTATCGGGACCCATTAATCTCTTGCGCATCTAAGCACGCTTCAAGCCTCAGGCTTGCTCAAGCGGCACAGTAAATTGGCCGCTCAGACATTGCCGCATGTGCATTGCATGCCTATCACAGGAACAGAAGAGCCGTTGTCACTCATTAGATTCACACACCTGATCCTGACGGCCAGGTCATGTGGGTTTTCAGATGACAGGGATACGAATGGCAAGTACTTTCAGAGCGCAGACGGCGTTTGGATCTACAATGGCAACGAGGGGTTCACATCCAAGACCTTCCAGCCGGTCTGGGATGCATGGCTGCGCCTCATCGAGCCCCTAGTTGCCACTGTGCCCATGATGGCAACCATTGGTGATGCACCTCCCTCGTCTTGGCTATATCTTGCATACCTTTTAACCCTAAGAGCAAATGTGAAAGCTGCTTAAGCTGTCAGTAATTTCTTATATGCAGTCAGCTCAGCAAATGCGGTCTTGGGGGTGCACTATTAAGCCATGGATCTCTCGTTGAAGAAAGAGTCATTGGATCAGTGAGCAACAATGAGAATGGGCCCTTGCAAGAGCTAAGGAGCAAAGAGGGGAGGTGTGTGTATGCAGGCAACCACGAGATCGAGCAGCAGAATGGTGTGCTGACTAACTTCCTGGTCTCCTATGAGTCCCGCTTCAAGGTGAGCTCCTGAACAACCTGCAAAGTGCATGCGAATGAGGAAATAAGGTTTTTAATGTTTGAGGTACTGATCTGTGCGTGATATACATCACCAGCACCCTCAGATAATAATCTTAACTTTTGCATCTGAGCAATATGTGTTGGTGCTGCGCAGAATGCTGCTCGTTCCAGCAGCTCCCGGAGCTTCCAATACTACTCGGTGAGTTTCCACTCTGCCTGATTCAAATCCATATTTGAAAGGCAGCCTTGCTCTTCAATATCCTCCGACATCACTTATAATCTGTGCTCTCACTTATGCACATAGGAGGAAAGCAGCAGCTGCTCGCTCCCTGCTTCCTGCTATTTTGTTGACAACTCTGCTCAAGTAGCAATTTGCATCACAAATTTTGGGACAGAGTAAGGTCTTAAAGGGAAATTATATTGTTCTCCACCCCTGTGAACATGTGCCGGCTCATGCGCGCAGGTGGACGTGGGCCCAGTGCACAACATCTTCCTGTCCTCATATGCTGACTACACCGTGGGTTCTGCCCAGTACAACTGGCTCCTCAACGACCTGCGCAGCATCGACCGCACCAAGACCCCCTGGTGACTCGTGCTTGGCTCCAGCAAGAAGGGACTCACCCACAGAGGCTAGCATTTCAACGAGAAAGTTTCAAAGGCCCTGCTCTGTTCTGTGCGGTTGCTCCATAGTGGCTTGCTGCAGACACCAAGCGTGGTGCAGCAGGGCATATATTGAAGCACCTCAATTATGGCGAGTCAACTTATGGATGCATATTCATTGGACAAGGTCTGCTGCATGTGGCAAGCAACAACGGCTCAACAGAGACTTTACAAACATGGCTCTCAAAAAAAATTGGTTTTGAGATGGCAAAAACGGTACAAAGGCACTTAGGTGAGCTCATGTCATGTCTGCTGCTGCAGGGTGACTGCGAGCACACACCACCCCTGGTACACGACCGACACGTCCTTCAAGGAGTTTGAGCAGATGCGGCTTTCCATGGAGCCCCTGCTGTACCAGTTCGGAGTGGATGTCTTCTTCAACGGTGCACACTTGTGGCGCTTGTCTGCCTGACAGATGTGTTTACGCATGAAACGTTGCATGGCTTACGGCCCGGCAAAGACATTGTGCATCGCGATACTGGAAGATGAGGCTCATGCAAAAGCTGCCCAGCATTGCTGGCTGTCACATGCTGTTGCGGCTGCTGCTGCTGCTTCAGTTCCAGGCATGCAGAGGGCATTGCAGACCCCTTGCAGATTGGCAGATAACAAGATTCATGGTTGATCTTAGACCATGCTTTGGACTGACGGTGCATGTGTGAATGTGCAGGTCATGTGCACTCCTATGAGAGGTGAGCTCACCATGCGTATGTGCTCTGCAAATCTCAATCTTGCACATGACGGCAGCCCATGCATTGGCACGCATGCATGCATTGCTCTGCATGCATGCACTCAAGAGCTGCTGTTGAACAGCACATGCAGATGCCTCCAGAGCTGTTGGGATCGAGGAGAGATAACACTTTTATTTCTAGAAGAGGAGGAAGAAGGAGGAGGACAAATCACGCTGAGTATCACTACATTGACACTGTCCTAATAGCCCAATCAAGGGTGATCTGGTGCTGTTCTTGTGCAGGATAAATCCGGTGTATGACTACAAGCTGAACAAGTGTGGTCTGGTGCACATCACCATCGGCGATGGCGGCAACCAGGAGGGCCTCTCCGGCCTCAACTACCTCGCCAGCTCCAACGGCGCAGACCCCCTGGCCCACCGTGCGCTGCCCCTCTGTTCTCCCCAAGAGCAGGGAATCGATCCGAAGTCCTCTACACCATGTCTACTCCATTCGTATGAAAGCAACCATCACCAGACTCGCATGCCGGTAGATGTGCAATCTACTATGGAAAAAACATCCAACAGGATGTATAGCCTAGAAATATTGTCTAATTCAGCATGATTGCAGATGTTGAGCATGGCAGCACATGGTGAGCTGGTGGGCAGGTCTCAGCAGCCCTCAGAAGGCCATGCGCTCAGAGCTCAGTTTTGTCGCACAGCTGCCGCAAGAGTCTTGAATATGTTGGTTTGCCTGTGCGCAGCAAGCCTATGTTCAGGAGCCCGTCTGTGTTTACAGAGCTTCCTGAAGCATCACTGGCAATCAACAGAATTGTGTGGCGATGTGCAGTGTACCAGGACACGCTCAACGGCTGCCCCACCCGCTCGACTAACCCGGCGGTCAACGACGCGGCGCGCATCAACTCCACCAACCCCCGCGCATTCCGCCCCACCGGCATGACTCCCCTGGACGGCAACTCCAACCGCAATCTCCCCCTCAACTCGACTTTCGACCCCTGGTACTACTACCAGCTGTCGCCCACCTATCAGGTGAGCTGCCCCACTTGCAGTTTGCTTTGTAGATAATTATCTGCTGTGGCAACCCTTGATATAACTTCTTCCCAAATGCTGCTCCCAGTAGTCTTGGGAGGGAAGAGTATGGAGGATGCCTCATGTCTCGAAGGGCGGACCTCACGATATACGACGTCCTGGAAGTTTCCAGGACCTGCATGCTTGACACTGAATTTGCACCCCGGATTACTTGAGTCATGCCGCCACCAGACAATCCTTGTCTTGCAAGATGGCGTCAGAGCGTAGATGTGAAGGACTTTTCATCTTGCGCAACAACAAAAATTAAAATTCTACTCAATGCCAGCAAGGGGCAGGGCACTCTAAATCATACCATGAGATATACTTGCGAGCAACAGTTCCAAGAGCTCCAGAGCAACGGTGCTGGTCTGCGCGCAGGGCACTGGCAACTCGACGGGTGCGACGGCGCAGCAGCGGGCGGCGAACCCGCGCGGTTACTGCTGGGCGGAGCAGCCCCCGTGGAGCGCCTACCGCGAGTCATCCTTCGGCCACGGCACTCTGGATGTCCTCAACGCCACCCACGCCCTCTGGTGCGCAGCCTCTTCCTCCGCCAATTGCCAACCTTCAACCTGCAGGCATCTCCATAATCTCTAGTGATCTATTTTGAACAGCCCACCATACCATATTTGCTCTCAGTGCCAATGATTTCCTCTTGCATGTTCTTACTGGCAGGCTTTGTGACAGTGCCTCTAAGGTTGCATTCAGACACACTGCCGGCATGACTGTATTATTATAACTATTATTATTACACTAATTTCCTGCCAAAAGACTTGGTATGTCCTGCAGACAAGCTGCAATTAAAGGCTTCTTACCCCTTGTTGGACTCGCCAGATCCTAGCAACACCCAATGAACCGTGGGCACGGTGCTCAGTACTTATACCGCCCCCGCCAGCCGCGGCCGTATAGTATGCATTATTGTATACATGCATGAAAATAAGCCTCCGAACATAAGAGTCAAAAAGGCATGTCTCGGCTTGTCGCTGCATGGTTTGAAACCATGCATGTCATGTCAAATGGTGTGCCATGTGTGCAGGCACTGGCTGCGCAACCAGGACGGCCAGGATGGGGCTCAGGCGGTGGTGACAGACCCCATCTACATATTCCGCGACCCCTCCTGCACCAACAAGCAGGTGCGCGCACATCGCCCGCACATGCACGCAGCCTATATGCCTTCGTAGTGCAGCTTGTGATGCATGTGCCAAACCCTTTGTGGTCTGCGCCTGCTTATTATACTCAGCTCTGCTTCTTCAATGTTGATGGCCATGGGCGGGAGGCTATCATGTGCCATCAAAAAGCAGCCCCTGAGGCCTTGGTAGTCTTCAGAATTCTCATGAGGCTGTCCCTGCATGGGGTCTGGTGGTCTATGCACCTACACCGATGTACATCTTACCCAGCAACCAGTGACATTTCCCATGATGCCCTGATCTTCTGCGCAGGGCGTGCTGCAGCCGCCTGTGGTTGAGCCACCGGTCACAAAGGCGCCCGGCAAGCTGCAGAGGATCATTGGGGACCTGGTGGGCCTGAGGAAGGACTCGCTCGGCTTCCAGCAGCTTCAGGCGGCGGACCCTTTCGAGGCTGTGCTCCCCGTGCAAGCAGAGCAGGGCTCTGAGGGCGCCCCCCTGTCTGCCTTGACAGGTGAGCTGACCCCTTTACTGATGATCAGTCATTTCTGCATGCAAGCCATTGGTGTGTGGCATAGAGGGATGCTTGGAGGATGTTGTGTGCATCTGCCAGAGGAGCTCAACAGCCAGCTGCTTGAAGCATGGCTGCAAAGAGCTGTGCGCGAAGTTGGGACCCCTCATGCGAATTTTGACTGTTGCAATTGTGCAGAGCTCATCTCGTGCAGGTCCACTCGTTGCCAACTGCTGTGATGAGGCTATTTGTCTGCCGCATGTTTTTTTACTGATTTCACTGTTTTTTACTAATTTTCTTTACTAACTTTTTATTTTAGTTTAGTAGTTTAGTTAAGTAAATTTTAGATATCTGTCCGCATGTCATTTTACTGAGAGCGCAGCTGGATTACTGAGAGCGCAGTTGGTTGCAGCCCACCAACTATACAAACAGCATGTTTTCCTGTTCCTGCTGCGCAGACTCAACCCCAGCCGTCCCTAGCACCGGACCCTTCAACACCTACAACCCTGCTGACCAGGGGCAGGACATCAAAGAGAACCGCGCGCATTGATTCGCGGACTCTTCTTCTGGATACGCGCATTGTATTGAATGCGCACCAACAATGCACACAGCTGATTTCTTTGATCACCCCTTCTGTATAATGCCAGAGATAGTGGCAGGCACTGCAATCAGCCGGAATTCAAATGACAGCACTCTTCAAACAGACTCTCGTTTGACTCCAGTCGTGGCGGTTACTGGCGGGCAGCGCGGTCACTATTGTGCTCTGCATGCTGCCTGTGCTGGCGTCCTTTCAAGATCAGAAATTGGGATATGCCGGCAGAAGACTCTGTGCGCGCCGCCCAGGAGAAGCCTTGTCAAGGCAGTTCAGCGCTAATAGACGCATATGCAGCGCTAATAGACGCATGCATGTCCAGTCATGGCTCGATCAACACAAGGCTTTCGCCTTGCTTCAGACCAGCACAGTGTTGGTTCCGCCTTCTGGGCGGTAGCAGGAGGCCCTTGAGGGCTGCATGCAAGTGCGGTGGATAAAAGCACTGGAATGAAAGTATTTTTTTACTTTAGTTGGTAGACAGGATAGGAGAACTATTGAGTATTCTTTCATGCATGATGTGCGACGTACTCATGGCATTAAAGTGTATCTACCGCGTAGCAATAGTATTGGATAGATATATGAGTAGGGCAGTCATTTCGCCAGATGGAGTTCTAGATCTAGCTAGCTACAATACTCCATTAATGCATTTGAATTCATTTTTTAGACGTTTCGGATGCCGGAAAGCAGCTTCTTGTAGTGACAATCGTGCCGAGTGCCATTAAAACACTGACAAGCTTTCAAGAAGATCACAATTTGAGCCTTCATCCTTGAAACGAAATAATGTGTTACAAAATGGTGGCAGATGCATCACACATGTATCGTGAGCAACGGCACAGCTCCACAACACCACAAGTATCTGTGTGAAATTAATTATTAATTACTTCAGCAACGCGCATATTCACATGCAATCACAATTTATGCAGAAAGCTCAGGATGCTGCCAATCACTTGAATTCTGTTGCCTGCCCACCATGTTCTAGGATAATTTCGTCTTGCTACTTGTCTATTCAAAGTCATCACTCCTGCCAACAAACATGGATGTATTCTCTAGACATGTTCACGCAACACTCTGCTAAGTTCCTCACACTCTAGCTAAGCGATACTGCAAAGTTTCAAAAATGGTGGGGTAGAGAGCCTTCCATCTTCACACCCAAATAAATGCACAGTACAGGTGCAGACAGGCACATGACACTGATGTGCGTTATTCAACTAGCTCACCAAACACATGAGGCCATCTTGATCGCACTTGAGGCCATCTTGATTGCACTTAGGCAGGCCCAGCCTGACAGAATGATCCGGGAAAGATGCGCGAGCATGCGCCACAAGAAAACTACATTCCAGAGAAAGAAATAGAATACTCCGGAGGGTGGCCCTCGGCTGAGCCACTTTGCATCTAGAGGATGCAATGCACGTTCAACCTCTCAGTGCACCCCTCATTTTTTGAGGTGCAGGCCTGGCCACTAGCGCGAGTGAGGGCCAAAGATGAAAAGCCACTCAAAAAGCAGAGTCCTACTACCCAAAGCATGGAGCGGGAAAATATGCACCGAATGTTCCCCGCACGATTCCCTGTGATGGCTCACCTATCATGGCTGTGATATGAGCTTGCACACTGAAGCAAACTGTGGGAGAATGGTGGGAAGCTCTGGCGATCTGGTCAGCTGTGTTGAACCCAGGGTGCCGAAACTTCAAACATGCTGCGCAGCTGCTCCTTCCCACAATGCACACTCAACCCTTCCCTTGGCAGCTTGCCCATCTCAGATTATCTTGCGATTTATCATTATGCTCTCCGCCCACACCGGCACATCAAGGCTGGTCATATCCCCAGGGAGGGGACCCACCCCCTATCACCCCTAGACCCTGCCTTCCCCGCCCCGAACTTGAGCCTTGGGGGCGGATATAGGCAGCATATTTCCATTCACCCCTTCTGTGCGGCCGGTCACACCATCTAGAAGGGCCGTCTCTCCCTCACATCCCCGCACCCCCCCCTTCACGCAGCACCCATCTTGCCTGGAACCGTGCAAGCTCATCACCGCCCTCCCACGAAGCCACACTCTCTTGCTCGGCAGAAGAGCCTTGGGAGCAGTAGCTGGGGCAGACAAGCTCAGGCAGCAATGCCATTCAAGCGATTGTGCGCGGCCGGCGCGGCGGCTGCGGCTGCGGCGGCTGATTTCACCGGCGCAGGGGCGGCAGCTGCGGCGGCGACGGCGGCCGCCGTCTCGGCGGTCTGATGCTGGGGGGCGATGGGGAGCGGGCGGTGCGTGTATTTGATGTGGGCGTCCTTCTCGACGGTGTGCCCCGCGCCGCGTGCCACCCACTTGGAGGTGAGCAGACCTTCGACTCCCACCGGCCCGCGCGCATGTATCCGCCCCGTGCTGATGCCCACCTGCCGCCAGGCAGCTTCATTCAGTGCGCAGTAAATACAGGATCCTAGGCTCCTGTGAACCAGGCAGCTCATTTCAGCACGCAGTCCCAAACAGATGATGTTGAGGAGACTTCTGCCTCAGTGGGTGCTTATTGAGAGGGGCTGCAGCAAGGGTGCCTGCAAAAGCAAAGACTGATTGCCTTTACCAAGGACCCATGTCCGGGCTTGGACTCGATGCTGTACACCAAAAAGCTTTGCTATAATCGGCAGAAGCGGACATCTCTTTGGAGGTAGAGACTCCCGACCTCAGAAAGCTGCCGATTTCCCTCCTGGTAGCTCTGTTGAAGGCTTGATGAAGCTACCAGTGATGTGCAACCAATGCAAGCATCCCAATCGCCAGAAAGACAAGCACTGGGGGCGCATGCTTGGTATACGGTGGAGCATGCCGGCAGCTGTTGCGCTACTAGTAACGCTGCAATAAGGGTAGAGAATCCCAGTGGAAACTAGGAGCAGGGCGCCACCTCTGCGCCGAGACCGAAGCGGAAGCCGTCGGCGAAGCGCGTGGATGCATTGTGGAAGACGCATGCGCTGTCCACCTTGCGCAGAAACTCCTCCGCCGACGCCTTGTCCTCTGCGCGATGCAATTGTCCTCAGAAAGTTTTACAGTCCGTGATACACCACATTCTGAGATGTTCTGCTGTTATCGCCATTACCAAGCAACATGCATGAAGACCATCCCTGATAAGACACACTCACGACCCTGCAGGCAACAGGACTCAGCAAGTGCGCGCCCTCATTGCCAGTCGGTCCAAATCAAGTATCTTTATTAAAGATCATTGGCCAGCCCCTGTCTTGATGTAGCTAGATGGATGAACAAAACATGAATTTACAGTCAGGCAAGCTGGCTGGCTACAAAGAGGCATTCGAGAAGATATGAGTCTGAAAGGAAGCATGCGCACCGGTGATGATTGCCTCGGTGTGGCCGGAGCCGTGGGCGTGGATGTGCGAGATGGCCTCGTCCATGCTGGACACCAACTCCAGCGTGAGCGCCAGCGATCCGTACTCGTGCTTGGCCGCCGGCGCCGCGTCGAGGCCCATCTGCTTCACCGCGCGCTCGCCGCCCAGCACCGAGACTCCTGCCTCGTGCAGCGCCACCTGGCGCAAAGGCACAAAGAAAAAAGTGAACTTCTGTGCTGAGCTTGAACAAGCAACCACTGATGTAGCCGCCTTGCATAGCGCCACAAGATTGGTCAGTGCAGACTGAAACATTCCAAAGGGCCTGTGAGCGTCTGGAACCAAAAGAATGCTGCGGATGAAGCTAGACGAATATTCATGGCTTCTTCTAGAGAAATTGAGTAAATCACAGAACTAATAAAGATTCCCAGCTGCAGCATCCCTGCTGCTCTCAGGCTCACAGGCACCTCTAAGAATAATTTCACAGCGCTTTCTTCACAGGAGAAAATCAAGCCAAGCATTGAGTCAGCTCAAATAATTGGCTGCAAACAATCTAACTTTGCATCTAACTGACTGGCACATTTGGGTATTATACTTTGTATTTGCTGGATGCCGATTACTGCATGCCTTCACATATTTCTCCTCTCCTACTGTTACCTTCCTGCATGACTGTGTGTTCAGTTTCCGCAGCACTGATGACTGGCTGACTTACCACCTGACTAACCGAGTGACTGATTGGACAGACAGACTGACTGACAAGGGCGCCTGCACACCTGCAGCTGGTAGAGCTTGGGCCCGAAGAGGGACTCGTGCACGAGGACCTTCTCCACAGCGTTGCATGCAGCCGGGTAGTCAACCTTGGCGTCCACCACAACCCTGCATGCCTCGTCGATGTCGGCCGCTTCGTCGATGTAGATGTGGCAGATGCCGTCCGCGTGGCCCATGACCGGGATCTTGGTGTTCTGCTTGATGCTCGTCACCAGCGCGTTGCCTCCCCGGGGGATCACCTGAAGGTCAGTCATCGCCTCACGGTCAGCCCCCTCGCTGCAGAATGGGTGTACGCATCTAGAAGCAAAACAAGAGACGCGCTCCTGATGATGCTGGCATGCAGGCATGTTCTCAGCCCAGGCCAAGTCTGACAAGTGTTTCTCGAAGGCCATGGGCAGCGTGTTCTTCAAAGAAAGCAATGGGCTTGACTGGCAGAGTGAGAGCCATCTCCAGGGGGTTCCATGCATCATCCCCTCCTTCTGTTGAACATGATCTGTGGGGCTTGGAAGATCAAAAGGTGCAGGGGTCCGGGTGGATGACATCAGCGCGCACCAGATCGATGACATCATCGAGCTTGAGCAGGTCGCGGATCTCGTCACGCGTGTTGATGAGCGAGACCAGCCCCGGCCCCACCTCGGGCGCCACAGCCTCCACAGCCTCGCTGATGATGCGGTGCAGCAGCTCGTTGCTGTGCTTTGCCTCGCTGCCGCCCTGCGCACATACAAGCCCATCTTGACTACAAGCATTCATGACATATGTGAAGAGTGCCCACATTTCTACCCAATTTCAACCGTGTCACACGCACCTGCGTGAAGAGATCTGACCACAGAAACAGCGCATGCTAAAGCCATCATTGCCAGATGTCACAGCTGCGAGAACCACTGTAAGCTAGCGGACGCACCATTTACAGTCCAAGATTGCCAGTTGGCTGGCATGAACTGCAGAACAAACAGTGCAGCCGTTTGCCAACAGTGACAATTGCAGGAGCCACAGGGGAGATCTGAGAACAGGCTGCAAGAGGCTGTTGCAGCATGCATGTAGGCCGTCTATATATGGGCGGCGTGCCTTGAGCAGGAGGCCGTTGCCGGAGCGGATGGCGAGGGAGGCGATCTGCGGCAGAGCGTCGGGCCGCGCCTCAAAGATGATCAGCAGCACGCCGATGGGCGTAGTCATCTTCTCCAGCGTCAGCCCCTCTGCGATCTCCATCCGGCTCTGCACCTGCGCACACAAAACCAGCAAGCCACGTCAACCAAGACATGTGAAACAAGCGAGGCGGTCATTGTGCGGCATGCGCGACCTATCCCAAGATGGACGAAGCCTGCTGCAACGCTCAATTCGAGTGTGGAACAGCCTGCTAAAAGCCAGCAGGAGGTCAACATGTACTGCATGCCAGTAGGGGCCAACTAGGCTCAGGGTGAATGTTACAGTGCAGACACATGTTACAATAGCGCTTACACTGGACCGGAAAAACCCCATCCTGGCACACATGATGGCACGACTGGCTTGCTCTAAGTCCTACAACGCCACCAAGATGTACTGCACAAGTTACTAACAGGCTCAAATATGCGCCGAGAGTAGGAAGCGGGCTTGCCTTGCGCAGGGGCTCGTCCTGGTCAGCGATGGCACGGATTCCCTGCACCAGCGTGCGGATCTTGGCCGGCTTGAGGCGCAGGCGCTGCAGCAGCGTGGCGTCGACCTTCTTGCGCTCGGCCGCCGCCACGTCGCGCATGTTGCGCTCTATGATCAGCTGCTCGTTGCTCTGCAGGTCGTCTGCTATCTTGCGCAGTATCCTCACCCGCGTCTGCGCAAAGCCGGCACAACAGGGGTAAGAACACTCGCTGTGAATGTAAACACTGGACCCCGTTCTTGCTCGTTTCTGGATGTGAATTGTCCCATGCGCGCGCAGCCAGGGCGCGCGCAATGAGTCTCAGCAAAGAGTCGCAAAGAGTCTCGTACCCACATCGCTTACTTTCTAAACACAACCAGCTCGCTGCATACTTGCTGCTGGCTACTGTCCTCATGCTCAAGAGGCAGTCATCGAGGCAGTCCCAGTTGCTTCAGGCATGCAACCCAATTCACCAGCAAACTCAAACATCCAACAAAGGCGTGGGGGATGTCCTGACAGGCAGAATGGCGGCCCGGTGCTTGCGGCCCAGCCACATCGGGCTTGCAAGAACGCCTGCCCACCACAGCATGCTCCTGCTTGACATCAAAGCGCACACATCTGATTATGCACGAGGCGTACAGCCAGCAGGTGCCGGCAGGTGCAGCGCACCTCTGTGGGCAGCGATTGGAGCTTGCGGGAGGCGGTGCGGGCGGCGGTGGCGCAGTCGCGAGCGGTGTCGGCCGAGTCGCCGCCATCATCGGAGCCGGCCGTGCTGGTGGCGCGCGAGGCGGCATCCTCCGCCTCCACTGCCTCCCTGTTGAACAGCGTTCCCTCCTGCATCCCTTCCATCACCTGCCCCCACATGCCAAGCGCGCCATGAGCACATGCCAGCCCATGACAGGCGCCACGTCTGCTCAAACCCCCCCTTGTTCAGGCTTCTGCTATTCTTCTCCTTCTCTTGCAACAAGGCCATGCTCCACCTGCTGTACCTATCCGAAAACTCGGCACATTGAAGCATTGCACGCGGCAACATGAAAGTCGGTATGAAGATTAGTGTGCGGCAAGCTTCCGCAAAGTAGCAAATGTTTCATAGGCAATCAGCCTTGGCACCCTCTGGAATACCCAGACAGTCTCCAAATAGTTCAATACATACTCATAGTAGGCAGAGCACAGGACAAGGATATGAGCCCGGCAGCAGAGAAACACAACTATAGAGAACCCTTCCCCTCGGGAACAGGGTAGTGGTATTCAAAGGAATGTAAAGCCTCACCCGCAGGAGCACGTTGGGCTCCTTGCCATTGGCGATGACGGTGGTAACTCCGGCCTGCGCTGCGTCCCATGCAGATGCAACCTTGGCCTCCATGCCCCCCCGGCCAACGGTCGACGCGCCGCTGAACTGGAAGTGTTCCATGATCGCCGGGTTGAAGGTGTGGATCACCCTGCGCACATGCCTCACTGCTTAGTCATCTTCTTAACGAGCCGCTTTGCGACTCCGGCAAAAGTCACCGTTTCAAATTTTGCATGCGACAGCAGGATTGACAAATACAGGCAAGGCATGTCTTTTTAGGTAGAACACACACAGATGCTCGAGCAGGGTGGTCATTGATGGTGCAAGCCGGGCTATAAGGTAGGAGAATGCGCCACAACAGGGCCCCTCCTGGCATGCAGTGATTGGCAGTCCCAGGAGCAGGGCAAACTCAGAGACAGAACCGGGCTCCAGAAGACACATGGGGTGCGATGCAAAAAGGGGGCTCACTTGGAGCTTCGATCCTTTGGCGGGCCGTCCAGTAGGCCATCTACATTGGTGAGCAGCACGAGGAGGTCTGCATCAAGCTCCTTGGCGAGTTCCTTGGCCAGGCTGTCATTGTCTTGGAAACCACTGTTTCCATCCTGCGCAGACACGTCGTTTCTCGGTGCCCCATTTCGCCGTCTCTGAGCTACAACATGGCACATGAAAAATGGCAAGCGTTCTGCAACACAAGGTGCAGTAAGTGACAATGTGGGCCACCTGTTGGTTACTCTTTGGCCCTCAACTTCACCACTGTGGCAAGGCACTGCCTGATCGACCATGCAGCATGGAAGAAGCATCTTAAAAACGAATTAAGGTTGGAACGCTGCTTTTTAAATATTGGCCAAGCTGCCCGGGGCGTTTGTCCTCACCCAAATACCGTGCAAGATGCAGGCATACAGTGCATGCACACGGTGAGCTTAACATGTCAAGATTCCCCGGGTGTTCACACTCTCTGGTTTGGCAAGGTAAATGGATGCGGGGGATCAAGTCTCTCCCAATCTGCGTAGCCCATGTCTTGCAACACCCGCATGTTCCTGGCACTCCAAGTCTTTTGAATCCCTGTCTTGATGCATGCCACAGGCTAATCTAAGCTCTTCCAGATGCCAGGGTCCAGGGGCATCAAAACTGGGAAGAGAGGGGACAGATAAGTAGAACCCACCACGTCCTTGCTGCGGTCGGAGATGGCATCATTCTCATTAAAGACGGGGATCACGCGCGCGACCGACAGAAGCTCCTCGGTCGTCTCTCGCAGATTGATCTTGAAGTTCTCGTCCCGGAAGTCCCGCGGCGTCACCAGCAGCTGACTCGCCTGCAGCGCCAATCCAAGTATCTCTGTACACTGTCTTTTGCACTTGTATTTGTATTTATAGATATGCATTTATATTTATAGATAATTTTGATGCCAGCTGAGAAGCGCGCTCTGTTTCAGGAAACCCGCGGCGGTAGTGGAGCAATGCCAGGACCTTACTGTCCAGCAAAGCTAACTCCATCATTGAATGAAGGCCGACATTCCCATGAGACATGCATGAAACATCACTGGTGCGCTGAGCTCTGGACACACGTCTCTTGTCCTGCATGCCTACATCGAACCAAAGTGGTGTGACACGAGTTTGGCTGGCTTGCCTGCAGATCCATCATGGCAAAGAGTGTGTCGTACAGAGCCATGAGCCCGCTCTGTCCCGCCGATGCGGCCGCACGATCTGCACAGCATTAAATTATTGCTCAGAGCCTGTTGCATTGAATCCCTCCTCACTTTGCATAAGTGACACTCCTCAACCAGCTTATAATGCCTTGATGCTGGCTTCTACCCCTACAAAACTTGAGAGAGCCTTGCACCCCTGGTAATGCAAAGTTGTTCTTTCATGCAGCGTGTCAGAGAGCCGCTGACAAAAGGAAAAAGAAGCGAGGCCACCTAAGTTGAAAAGGAAGCGCCATAGATCAAATTAAATGCACTCCTGACACCCTGCGAGTGCTATTTCCGCACCTTGCTTGTCCTAGAGGCTGCCTGGAAATGCGGCAGGGCGGGCACTTGAGGACAAAAAAGGGTCGTGCGCATGTTGGGCACATGGCAGACATGGAAGAGGGGGGGAATGTACGAAGGGAGCTATCTGCAGCGAGCAGCGACTCACTGCAGATAGAGGTGGTGGGGGATCCCGAGTTGATCTGCATCTTGAGGGGACTGCTGTTGAGCACATGCTGGTGGAACAGTTTCTGCCTGCCCACTGTCACTGCTCCACTGGTCACCTGAGCAACACAGAAAAGCACCCTCTTCAGCACCTTGCTTGCATGCCATGCCGAGCCCAGGCCATGTCAATTTCACCCAACAAATCATGCAACACAGAATATTCCTACAAGGGCATTCCCTACAGGGATCGCTTGTGATTTCTGTGCCAGACAACTGTGATTTGATGCACCACTCAAGTCTGTAAGGGGTGTATACCAGGATGACTTGAAGGTCTTTGGAGACCAGTGCCTCAATCTGCTCCACCAAGGCACCCAGCCTCCCCACTGCCAGCCGCTTGTCTTGCCTGGTCACCACCGCTGTTCCCACCTACGAAGATCACACCCTTAATTTTCAGTGAGGCAAAGTGTTTCTTATTGCCCCTCCCCACAGTCCGCTCCTGGCAGTGGGGGGCTAAGGGGCTGGCCCCCTCAATCTCCACAAGGCAACAGATGCCAACACCCATTGCAACCAGACATTTTGAGAACTCTCAGCGCAGCCTCTCCTCACATGGTGCCTCTGACACAATCAGACAGGCTCATGGACAGGAACATAAGCAGCCACTGAGGAAAAGCAAATGTGCAAGGACTGGTGGGGCTTGTGGTTGACAAGCTACGACTGTGTATGATCAGAGGGTACAGCTTTGTGTGATGAGAACCTACAGCTGTCTGTACAAGGTAAGCAACAGCTGCTTCCAGTCCGCACCTTGACAACTATTCTGCGGGCAGAGCGGACGCAGAAGCGCGTGGGGTGGGGTTCCCCATACAATCTTTCTGAGTCGTCCAGGAACTTCTCTGCCACGCTCAAGTCTCCTGTTCAAGAGCCACACATTTTGTATATATTTAGCACTTTGGCGTAATATTGGCAGGCAGCCCGAATATCCTCTACTGCAGCACCCTATACTTGTACAGGGATCACTGTGCACGGGTGTATCGTAAGATTCAACGCATATCGCTCACAAGCCTCTGGGAGCACATGCACATGCACAGCAATATAACTATCGAAAGGCAGGCGTGCGTCTGCTGCTACCCTTCCTTGCAAGTAGGCAACCAACAGTGAAGTCATAAGATGTTCTCACTGTAATACACATCGATCAGGACGTTTCCGCAATATTTGTCCTCCAGAGCGGGAATGCAGTTATCTCACCTAAACTTTTCATCGATACAGCGCTCTGTACGCCGTGCAAACCTCCCGGAGCCATTACTTTTTGTTTTGACGCGCAAGCATTCACAATTAGAATACGTTATCGGGGCAGATACGGCTCGTCCTGGTTTGCGGGAGCTGGGTACAGGATGTACCGGCGGCTGCTTGCTGGGAATAGCGATCAGACTTCTGGGCGATCCTCTAGTACTTATTGCGAGCTTTATACTATGTCAAGATATCAAGAACAGCTTGTAAATCCGATGTGGTGTCGGTGTGGGCACCAAGCCATTCCAATGGTCACTCCAGGTTCACGTGTGGGGAGGACCCGGATGACCGGAAGCTGCGGGGCAGCGTGATCACCGGGGGGACCTCTTCTTCCGCAAAGTTGGTGGCAAATTGGAAGTGGGCTTGATGCATGGTTGCAGGGTACACCTTGTATGTACTGGCACGCTTGCACACTGTGTGCACCCGTGCCAGAAGCCCATGGCCCGGCCGCACTCGCAGACCCGCCGAGGCGGTGCTGCGGCGGCCACCGTGGCGTTATAACGTTCACTGTAATTACGTTCACTGCCACTTAGTGCGGCGCCGGAACTCAGGTCAACTATATGCCTTCAGACTAAGCCCACAGAGACTGACTCGTAATAGATGAAAGCGCTGTGATACGGAAGCAATATTGCTATGGCGTGAACAACAGGCAGCTTCCAAGGCCTGCTGCCAGTGTTTCATGAGGCGGCGGCCAGCTCGCACCAATGAATGCGTGCCACGCCATGCCAGCCCTTAATTAGTAGATTGAGCACATGTGCTGATGCTGGCTAGACAGCCATTGCCTACTGCATTGCCAGGTGGCACGCTGAGCGTGCACTGTGATGGCAACTGTATTTTAAGTTGTTACATGGCAAGAACAGAGACTTGCTGGAACCCATTTGGTTCAGACACAGTGATGACTCCATGCAAGTACTCCTTATACTGTGCGGGTCATTCTTCTGTAATATACACCGATTGCAACTAACCACGGCTGTCCCTGGATGCCCCCCATTAGAGGTCTACGCTGGAACTCCACGACCGAGCTCGCTCAGTAGAAGAAGCCCAACACCTGCAGCACAAAGTCAACAATGTCAATACTGAGGCTCATGCAGATCCTCTAAGCATAGATCACAACAACTTTTGCCATCTCTAAAGGGTCGAATCAAGCAGATATATTCTATGCATCTCCGACGCAGCCATCATGAGATCTTGCATCGGCACATCCATCCAGCGCCTTTGATGGCATTATAACGCTCACCTTGCCTCCGACCTTTTTCCTCCTGGCCTCCTCGTGGTCCATGATGCCTGCTGAGGTGGTCAGAACAATGACGCCGAACTGCAGCAGCAACACAGAGACTCAGTCTCCATCGCAACAGGCACCAAGGGGGGTGGCAGGGTGCACTCAGCAATGCCAGAAACTGCCAAGGGCCAAAAATAAACACAGCAAAGGTATCCAATGTCTAGTCTGAGAACTGGAGGAAATAAATGAGGGCACTCACCAGACGGGAGGGAAGCAGGCGTGCCACCCAGGCCTCCAGCTCTCCATGCTTGACATCATACCGGGGAGAGATCACGCCGCACTTGTTGAGCCTGCAGAGCAGCAGCACCAGAAGCTTGAGTTCGGGGAGGTATGCCATGCCTGGGGGGCACATAGCCCAGCTCTCTGGGAGTATTGCATTTCCACATCTCAGCCACCTGAGCCACCATATGCTGCACGCTGATAATAAGCACCATTGCGCCACTCACCTGCCGTTCAGCTCCACGACAATCTTTCCTCCCCTGTGATCGTCCACAAACTCGAACTCGCCGATGTAGCCTGCACAGGCAGCAGTCACCCATCTCATTAATGCGGCTAATTCTTGAGCGTGCGAAGGCAGCTCATTATTTCGATTTGCTAATGCACATTCATATTCTAATAAGGAGGATCGTGATAGCTGGGCTAAGAAAACCACAGTAACAAGTCTGTATGTCTGGATCGCATCAGTAGAAGCTCTGCTCAAAAGAGCAGAGTCCTTGAAGGCTGTTGCCATGCTCATATTTGAAGCTATATTGCGTCCTTGGAACCTACCCTTCTTCATCATGACCTGCAGGAACTTGATGACCACTTTGCTGCTGGGGCGTATCAAGACCTGCCTCTTTCCGCGCTTCTCTGCATTGTACATGGATTTGAGGGCATCGCCCAGCACGCTAACACGCACCATCTTGGTGGATCTGCGTGCCGAGCAATTTAAGCAGGCCTACCGCTATGTAGAGAGGATCGCAGTGAAGAGCCGCCAGGAGCAAAAGGCAGAAGCCTCTCGGTTACTACTGCTGACTACCCTCTCACTTTGAGCGGGGGGACCACTGCGAGGGGACTCCTCAGTTGTGGAATTGCTGGATGAGATCGCATCACGAGGACACCAAGACATTGGAGGAGGCCCTGATCTGCTCCATCTTCTAAGGAAAAGCATAGGCGCGTCGCCGGCCGGAAAGACTGGTCCATTTTGGACCTGGGCAGGAGATTTATTTCCTGCTCTGACACTCTTATTTGATAGAAGGCAAGCCCACGGGGCTGATTGCGCGTGAGAGAGCCGAAAGATGACGGAAACGCTGCGGCGGGGGTACCCGGGCATGAAGGTGCGGCATTTGTGGGGCTACTAAACATCATCCCCAAAGTGTTTTCTGAGGATACCAGGACCTGTTGCTGATCTCACATTGATGTGTCAAAGAATGTTTGCCGCTTTTTCTGCATAAATTCTTGCTACGAGTCTGTCTGCGTGTCAGCACTCGTCGCGCACCCCTGCTGACCTAGCAGCACATGTTGTGCGTCTCTGTGTGGGTTGTGGCATGGCCCTGTAAGAGATCAATCACGTGATCTACTCTGTGGAGACACGGAGATTGCTTGTGCTGCTGCAAGTGATAGCCTTCTCTGCTATCACTTCAGCAGACTCTCCCAGTAACCCTGGCTGTGTGCTCCACTGCAGTCCGTCAAAGACATGCCCGTACTCCAAGATGGTCCACCGCCCGGCGGCTTCCCATCGATCAGATATGCGCGAAGGATCCCCTCGACAGGCCCCACTGGCTTCACCCTCTTTGCCGTGGGTGCTGCAGTGATGGCATTCGGCTTCTACAGAGTGAGCGCTTTCGTCTTTTACTTCCTGCATGTGAGGATTGCTTGTTTCTGTATTGGTATAAGCAAAATGGTTGGCACTAAATACAAGCATATGGCGGCTTAAAGTCTTTGGCCAACGTCTGATTAGACAGTGGGGGTTGCAGGTTGGCGAGTTCAACAGGTATCGGAGGGCGTTGAAGGCGGAAAAGATGACAATGCGGACAGCTATCTACCCAGTGCTCCAAGCAGAGGAGGACAGGAGGTCGGAGCTGCTGCGTGGCTGTAGATCTGCGTGTCTGCCTGGGTCACCCAAAATTTTGTGACCATTGTGACCAAATTTAATGCCATCCGCTGGACATTGACATGATGGACACAATGTGATCTTTCTCTGCACTGTGCTGCTTCAGGTGGGTACAGGCAAAGAAGCAATCAGTTGAGAACGAGGCCAAGATCATGAAAGATGTGAGTTGATCTCTTCCACAAAACTCAGCCCTGATTTCTGCATCAGCTTAGCACCTGCCACTTGCTTGCCAGCCTGCCACGTGTTGCGCTGTTTTTTAAAACCTGCTCTTTTGTCGATGAAGTCTCTACAATCTGCTTGTGTTGGTCCAGTTCTGATGCATTCAGCGCATGCCACAGGTCCCTGGCTGGGAGGCGGGCCAGAGTGTGTACCTGACAGGCAGATGGGTTCCCCCAGCGCAGCCAGTTGGCTTCTGGGGAGAATGAGAGGAGAATACAAAAGGGCAGTTGTTATGTCTGCAAGACAACTTTATCTAATCAGTTCGGATATCATGATCCTGGGTGGCGTCCTATCATGTCAAGTGTATGAGTAGCTGCTATGTATATTTGATGGCATGCCAGACCACCGTTGTTGCCTGGTGCTCATGGCTTTCATACAAGATGGCCCCAGGGCATCAATGGCGGTAAGTTATATCGAAGAATTCCTGTAATCCAGCTGATTGATGATATGGCGTCCTGTCAGAGTTTTAAGGGAAGTCTAATTTACAGTGTTTGACATTTGTGTTTCCACAGCATGTTGAGCAGTCACTAGGCTCAGCCCAGAAGGGTACGGGATGCAGAACCTGCAGCGCCACCTCTTGTGGCCTGCTGCTTTCAGAGTGGCAAGTTGCTGGAACATCCCGATCCCATCTCAGATATATCGTATATGCTCCTCAGGAGGCTCCACGGGAGGCCTGCAACACCCATGCATGAGCACCAGAAACCTCTGATGTTGAGCACTTTAGCCTCAATCCTGTCCACACCGTCCCTGAGATACATGTGAACAGTATGATTGGCAATTCATACTGTGCATGGGATGCTTGAACACCGAAAAGGGAGAACACACCTGCAGAAGTGTAAAGACGGTGACCAGCATATGACTTCCGCTGATGGCGAACTACTTGTCTTTGGCATCAGACCGCTCACGATCAGGCTTCAGCTTGCCAATCCATCTCGAAAGAGCATCCCCCACAACATTGGCCTCCATTCCCTGCAGCAGGTCAGTTATGTGCTTTGAGGCTAGCACAGTCATGGCCCATCCGTCACTGAGCTGAATGCCAATAATGTAGCTGATGACGCTTACCCGTTCCTTCCTGTAACAGTCCCAGAAGGCTTCGTGTTGCTCCTTGCAGTTCCAGCCGAAGAGCGAGCTCTCCTTGAAGCATAGCAGCAGTGCTTCTGCAATACATCAAAGCACGTGGGATTTTTTATACTGTCATGGTGATTCGCTTGCATGCAGCATAATAATGGCATATAGTATCATACGATGGGTTCCAATATTGCACAGGGTGTCATGTCACTGCATTGACACTGGAAGGCAGTACATGGAAGGCACTTGGTTCAGCGTGACATCATGACAACTCACTGTGCTTCTCTGAGCAATTTATGAGAGACTCTTCTTTGGAAGCTAGCTCGGCACGGCCAGCATCCTCTTCACTGGAAGGTTGCATTAGGAAGAAGCAGCAGGTCCCCTGGACAGCCACCCTTCTGGCAATGCACCTTGATCACTACGTTATTCATGGCTCAACGAGCCATCGAAACAGTTGATCTAGGATAATGATTTCGTTGAGGATCGAACGCAGACATACGCGTATATCAATTCTCAGGCGTGTCTTAGGCTGTGCCGAGGCGATGCCGCTGAAATGGGAAGTTTAGGTGAAGCTGTGCGGTGTGAGTTTGTTCATTGCGCGCAGACCCAGTGCAGACCCATTGCTTTGCTTAAACATCTGAAAGGCTTAAAGGATTCAAAGTGTGCAGTCGAGATGAGGATCGCAGCTGTTTCACAGTCGTCCTGGACACCCAGCGTTGCTTCATTGGCCTTCCAATCCCGGAAGAGAGCAGGTCTTCTCCTGCTGCATCGCTCTTGCATCACTTTACTTATGCTACCACACCAATCCAGCACACAGTAACGAAGGGAGATCGATGAGACAGATGATTCCTGTGCTTTTGCATTGCATGGCTCTGTTCTTGGACTTCCTCCACAAATTTCCTGGGCCCCCAATCCTGATCCTTTTGTGTGCAATCAAACAGGTTTGAGAGGACCAGTAGCGACAAAGTGCGCCACGAACAGCGTGCGAGGCCTTGGTGGTGGCAGCCTGCCCATCCTCAGATCAACCCCTCTGCAGACCACTCGTGCACCTCCCCGCCAGGTAGTTGGCTTTCTCGCGACTGCAGGTATCCCATAAATTGCCCCGGCACCCCACCAAGACAGCCCTTGAATTCCCCAATGGCGTGCTTGCAGGTGACTGTTTGCGCTACGAGTGCTGTGGAGGGAAATGTTTCCAGTGAGGCGTACGGCATCAGGTGCGAGGCTATGAACAGCTGTTGAGGGCCTACAATCAATCTACAGGCATGCACATGGATTAACATCATGGATGTAGTACATGGTTTTGCGGCCAAGGACTTAGACATTGCCTTATTCTTGCAGGCGCATTGCATGGGCCTCTTTCTGGACACAGCTATCCCTCGCCATTGTTTCTGCGATCGTGCTGACTTTCACGCTGTCGTCCGCCAACTGGGTGCGTCCCAAAGTCTGACCAAATTGTCTCCGTCACACCTGAGATTACTTACCCACATGCGCGTGCGCAAACCGATCACTTTGAATGATCCTGTATATGTGTTTGCTTACAGGGGACTGTGCCACCGTTGCCTGCCCTCTTCACGCTGTTTGGCGTGGCTACCTCCTTCATATCCACCTTCCTCTCCTTTGGGATTGTCAGGTGAGAGCAGCCTCCACTTACTTGAATGTCGCTGCAAACCGAGCACTCCTTTAATCCCCCTTTCCCACTTCAACAACTTGACTGCACTTCTCCTTTGCTCGCTTGATGCCATGGTCTGGTCCTTTCACTGAGTGATTGTGCTCTTGTGGGAGATCATTAGGGGGAGCTACATTTCCTGGCTTGCATGCATTCAATTTAATGGGCCTGAGGAATATGTCTGTTGGGTTGCAGGTCAGCGCGCAAGGTGATTGTGGAGAAGGCAACCATAAAGAAGGAGAGCATTGCCAGCACACTGCTCGCAAACCAGACCCTCAACCTGTGGGGCATTGCCTCTGCCTTGGTGGGCCTGCAGGTGTGCTCCTGACCTTCAGCATGGGCCAGCTGACTGCATTCTTGCATGACTGCTGCCAAAGCGCAGTGCCCAAATTAGCACAACTCCGCAGCTCTTTTCCTTTACAGCCGCTGGCACACACTCGCTTGTCAGCATGCTGAAGTGGGCCTTCCGATTACCATAGCATTGAGGTGTATGCGATTGGCATGGGAGCACTGCAGAGGTGAGGCTGGGGAATTGAGATCATGTGCAGCGCAAAAGCTGGGACAGTGTGGGGAGTGAAAGATTTGGTGCATGCAGGCGACTGTGGGAACATTGGTGGCCAAGATCCTTACGAGCACCACACAGAATCCCTACGCGGCGGCAGGCCAAGCCGCTCGCACCGCATCGCCCACTGCTCTGGACGCATTCTCTGTGCAGGTCTCCACCCCGTTTCAGTATTTCTGCCTGTCTGCCATTGGTACCCTGACAAGTCCGCTCACTTGTGTGCCCTTTGCTTGCACAAAATTTAAACACAGGTGCTCCGGGTGTGCTCTTCTTGATCGTCGCCATTGCTAGAGGGACAATCTGCGAAGGAGACGTTTATTAGAGGGAGAAGGATCCCGAAGGCACTGACCTGCTGGTAAACATTGAAAATTGAGTGCTGACGCATGGCTGTGATGGGGGCAGGCTTGCACCAACACCATTTTGGCGCACTTTGCCTCTATCGTCTTCGCCAACTGGCTGCAGAGGACCCTTCTGAAGCAGCAGCGCACGCCACCCAAGCCACAGGAGCCCGATTACACCCAGAGAAGGGGCCCCTCCGGAGCTGTCTACTGAGAGTAAAGAGTCAGCAGAATTTTTTTGGTGTGCACATGCATGTCAGTCCCAAGAGTTTGGTGCAAGTGTGTGAAATTGTGCTGGGTGTGAGGATGATGGACGCAGCCCATGCTCAGTCTGTTCAGGTCACTTTCTGCCTTGTACATGTCTTGGCTTGTCATGTGCCGAGTTGAAGATTACATGGTGACTGGAGGTTGCGAATTGAGTGTCAAGATACGCTGTAGGCATATGCCTATTCTTGTACAGTGCTTCACAAGGTAATAGAGCCTTTGTCTTCATAAAATAAATTACACCTGGGTGAAGCATCTGGCATCAATGGCATCATTCCAGTGTGACTCACCAATGCCGTCTATTCATGACAAACTAGCTTCTGCCACGTGTGCACATGAATATATCTCCCATTCCCTCTTCAAATTTCTACTGCAAATCAGTTGCACGATGCAACCGGCAGAGGTTATCAATGAGTTTGCAATGTTCCCTCACTCTTTACACAGCAGCTCACTTCCAGCTCTCGCTAGAAATGCCATTATCATACAGTGCTCCCTTCCGTCCAGAGCAGCCTCAGTGGCGGCCCCTTTGAGCAGCTGGCAACTGCACCCTCCGCAATTTCCTGCACCTGGAAGCATTGGCTCTATTTTCAGTCTGATGCGCATTACTAGTCGACAGCCTGGTTCCCTAATGCATATGTCCAGCCCTAGGGGGTTTGCCATGCAAAGCACAGAGCTAGCCAAGCACAGATCACAACGAATGATAGCATATATATAAGAGGAGTTGAGCACACCAACTGGGGTGCACCTGAGATTCGACTGCCTTCACTGACTGGGCAGCATCCACTGTGTGCCATGTGTCATCCGCCAGCAGCGCAAATTGCCTAGACACCTCCTTCTGCATCTCTTCCTGCGCACATACCAGTACTTGTGGCTTCTCAGGCCTGCTTTTGAAGCCAGACATGTATGCGTGCCTTGGAAGTACGAGCTCAGAACTCAAGCACACCCTTCTGCCAGAGCCCATACATTTGCAATTATATTGACTGATGCATTGACCGAGTGTTGCACGTCGCTAAATGCACACATGACCGGTGCAAGTGACGTACCTTCTCATACCGTTCCTTGCCATAGCCACCTCTGAGAGCAGCTGCCTCTGGGCTCATGGACAGGTAGATGACTGCATCTGGTGCAGGCAGCCCTTTGTCTGGAGCCTGTCAAGCACCAGCAGCCAATATCACCAGTGATCCAAAGATGCCAGGGGGAGTGCATTCTGGATCTAAGGACAGTTTCTTGGCAAGGCTTTACAATCATCAGGCACACTGGGCATGCCGGTGAAAATGCATGCTATTTGATAGACAACAGCTATTGGGCTGCGGAGACCGTTTGGATGAGCAATGCCTGATGCGCTGTCGGCTCACCTTGCACCATTCCAGATCAAGCCCAGGGACCTTCTTGGCAGCTGTGAAAGCTGCGCCTGAGTACGCGTACCGATCCACGACCAGTGTGTGCCCGGCATGAAGTGCAGCAAGCATGGCCTCCCTGTCAGGCTAGAATCACTCAGCGCCCGAAAGGGGAGGACAAAATTTGCATGGATTGGATAGGTGGTTGAAAATACACTCTTGCATTCCATTTCGTACCTCTTCTCCCATCTGTTGGCTGAGAAGAGCAGGTGCACGGCGGCGTCATCTGCTTCAGTCTCCCCTGACAAGTAGGAATCTATCATGCGCCCAATGGCTGTGTAGCGGTCAGGAAACCTCCAGAGCTCTGCGGCAACCTATGATGCAGACACATGATACCATTGAGTCCATTAAGATTGCATGTATTCGGCTTTTCAGATGGGAACAGATCAAGATCAAAGGTGTAAAAATGTACAAGTAAGTTCAGCAGGGCATGCTCTGTTGGGCTATCAAAAATCTATGATCTTGTTTGTAAGCAGATCTGATCAGGGTGTGCCACTTGATTTGTCGTAAAAGCTCACCCCCTTGCCTTTCAAGTATTCCACCAATCTTTGGCTCTGTGTGGTTTTACCGCACCGATCAACTCCTTCGAACAGCAAAAATGCGCCTCTTCCAGATTTTTGCGAAGATACACCGCCGTTTTGTGCCATTCTGACAACGTTAGTGGCAAATCTACGGCAGTGGTGAGCCCTGCATGAGCAGCACCACTGCCTGGCAGCTGTAGAAAGCTGCACTTTGCAGAGTCACCGCCTGCAGGTATTCAGTGTTTCAAGATCTTCACAAGGCAAATGTGAGCATGATCGGCGCACCACCAGTCCATCTTGAAACGGTGTTGCCTGCTTGGAAACCCCGCGAAAGATGGTGAGGTCGCGAGAAACGTCACCCACTTCAAATCTTCCAAGGACAGCAACCTGGTACAAAATTGTCTGATTTGTCGCGTGCAATCTTTGCCACTTTCGCCATCTGAGCTCACAGCGAGCACTGCTGGCGCAAAAAAATATGCAGGGACACTGGCGCAGCAGGCTGACGTTATCAACTTAACCAGGGGCTCTTGTGAGCCCTCATTGGAGCTTTGTCTGGGCAATCAAAAGATTGCGGGCACAGACCTGTCTCTCCCGGCCTTTGTGACCATGTCAGCCTTACCTGACAGCATAGCAGCCTTCTCTGCGGACCTGCGCTCCTTTGCAGCTCACACAACAGAGGGCATCAGTAGCCTACGAAGGACTATCAACTCCAAGCCCTGCATTGGACGTATGTTGCCCCTTTGCCTTGCCATATCGATTAAGGAAAAAAAGTTTGATGCAATGCGTGCGCACAATTTGCCTCATGATTGACAGTATGTCCCCTGAAGGAGCAACAGTCACTTGCATGCAATTCTGCTTTGCACTTCTCTCGTTTGAAAGTACAAATGTGCTTCTTCCAGCGACGGCATTCAGGGAGAGCTGCAAAGAGCTGGTTCAGCAAGCTGCTACCATCTCGTCTGAGATTGAGAAGCTGCAAAGTGCCACCTTGGATGCTGTCTCCCTGGAGGTGACTTTCCTCGTGATCACTCCTGCAAGGCCTCCTGCGTTTCAGTGCACAATGCCATTCCAGACAGGCCCACCAACTGGAAAACAAGTGTGGGTCAGGATGTAAGTCGGCTCTGTTCCCACCCAGTGCTGATGCCCACCTGTGTGGCATGCACAGGAGCTCCTGAGCCACTGCCTCGCTCTTCACAAGGACAGCCAGCGCAGGATTGTGGAGTTGGAAGACAGGCTGCGGCAGTATGGCTACAAGGCTGAGTACAGCGGACCAGTCACAGAGGATCCCCTTGACCTTTTGGATCCTCATGCTGGGACTGCGGATGCCCATGCCAATGTGGCCTGCTGCTTGGCTGATGTGAGGATCTCCCCAGTCCTATCCTAGTATGCCATCTCGAAAATGATTTCTTCCCTGACGTATCAATTGGGAACACTGTTTCTCACCATATGCATGTCAACCAGAAGAGATGCCACAGCTTGTATGCAAGATGGGGGCTGAGTTGTTGGATTGACCGTTCAGGGGAAGACAGAGAAGAATGGACCGGAGCGGCAGGAGGAGAGATACGGCACCCAATCACCAGGTGTGCTCGCTGTTTGCTATGGAGCCCCTTCTTTAACAAGCAAGAACCCAAGTTCATGACCAGTCCATTGTCATGAGCTCGCTTGACATGCTTGGCGGAAATCTCGTCAGACACAGCCACAGCCTGCACATGCGCCGTGATGTCAGCTCTCAGTCATGCTGACCTGTGACCTGTGCTCCTGCTGCACAGAACCGCTGGGCGATCTTACAGGCAAGTATGCGCCAGCAAGCACATCTACTGTGAGGCAGCTCACAGTCACACCCACCCCGTCTCCTGTGGCTTCCTCCCTCATATCTGCTGTCACCATCAGCCCTTCCCTGAGGTGAGCTGACCACGATATTGAATCCCATGTTTACCTTTTGAATCTTCCAGAGCATGCTGTAAAACATTTGTCCATGCTGCTTGTGTTGCACAGCTCACATACGCATCATTGCTTCAAAGCATGGGAAACTCCAAGCCTGCGACAAAGGACTTTCTGTTTCTAACGCATGGTTGTCGTCACAGGGAGCTGCAGCGGAAGTATGCCAACTCTGGGGAGTCCAAAGTGGGACGTTCAGGCTCAGTGACACAGAGGGACATGGAAGAGAAGTATGGTGCCTGTGAAGCTGCCACTCCAGATGCCATTGGTATGCCTCGAGCACAACACAGGGAATGCAGCTCTCTGCCTGAGCTAGCCTTGAGCATGCATGTTGCTTCGACACACAATCAACTGGCACCTGCACTATCTTCTGATTACCTGCACAATAGAGTATCCCAAACTCAAAGGCTTGTGAATACTGCACACTCATGTGTAATAGTCGAGATTGCTGTAGATACCGAGTAGTAATGTTCAACTTGCATGCCTGGTTGTCGCAGGAAGGAAGCTTGCCTACCTTGCACTGGAGACCCCAGGTGGAGCGCTGAAGGGCTCCCCATCTCAGCTGGAGGAGATAGGTAGGCTACTGGCAACCTGAGACCTGCATTCACCTTCAAGACTGTATAAAACCCCGCATGCAGCGCCCGCTGAACCATGCATTTATTCTGCTAACGGGCTGTTCTCCTCAGCTTGCATTGCCATGCAGATTTTATTTGCATCATAGCAGCACCACCATGCAAACAGTCCGACATGTGAAGGCTGTACTTTGTGTGTGTCCTGATGTGCAGCCAAGAAAGTGGACCATCTGGCACTGGAGCACCCTCGCTTCTCTCCCACCAACAGGCTTGGCGCTCCAGCAGGCATGCATGCAGGTGGTGCATGTCAATACACCCCTGTTCAAAGCCTTCACAGCTGTCACATATCAGGAACACCCAATTGCTCAGCATCTACTGGCTGAAAAGATGATGGATACCTTGCAGGAGAACCTCCTGGCAAATGCCTGCGGGATGATAGTCAATGCTGGTTCATGGTTTAGGGCCAAGTCAAGATGATAGTCAAGGCTGCTCCAGAACACCTGTGGAGAAGGTTCATGATGATGTGATGATATTGTGTGATACATGTGTGTCTGCAGGCGTCTCAGTGTCGACTGTGAGTGGCCAGTCCCCTCGTGCGGCCAACGCAGCAGCCGGACTGGGGATGAGCAAGAGCGCTGCAAAGAAGGAGAGCATCACTGCTCGCCTGTCGGCTGGAGAGCCCCCCTGGGACATGCTCAGCCTCAAGGCTGCCATCCACGCTGCCCTGCCAGGTAGACATCCTCTTCCAACCACAGAGCTGTCGTGCAGATGTGCAGCTGCCAGATTCTTTGCATGGTACTGGTGTTGTTTGTCATCACGGCATGCATGCTTGCACACTGCACAGCTTGTCCAACGCATGCATGGCGCACAAGCATGTGAAGCCATCAGGCTGACAGATGAAGATGTATTCCAGGGACACTGAAGCAGAAGCATGTCTGGAAATGGCAAGTGTGGTCTGCCCCCAGTCTTAGACGTATGGCCCAGCAGACATGCATGGCGGAGGTTTGCCTGTGAATTCGAAATCTGTGATATATATCAGACTGTTTAACTTTGAAGTGTTTGTGCAGGCACCGGTGAGGTGGCGCGCATGATAAGCAGCGCAAGCTTCCAGCCGCAGGCAGCCGCGTTCACATCGCTGCTGCACATGTGCGCCAAAGCCAAGCTTTGGCAGAAGGCGCTGGAAGTCTTTCAGGCAAGGATCTCCGCACGCAGAATCGTCCTCGAACTAGAGTCCCCCAGCAGGCAGGCACTTGCTTGGAGAAGTTCCAGTCTCTAGCGTTCATCAATCTGTGGACTTGCTGCTGTTTCGAGCTCCCCAGCCCCTAATTTTGCAGCTCAATTTGGATGTGGCAGGCCATAATAATCATGGCTCCACTTTATCTGGCGCTCCTCTACTTTGGGCGGACGATCTATATTGCATTTAAACTTTGCCATGCTAGCTTTAATGGCGGTACACCATATAAATAGTGATAAATCACATGAACGCTGCTGCGACGAACCTAAGCCAACTGTGGCTTGGATAGGCGTGTAATATAAAACTAAAAAAAATCCACATGAGAAATGAATGGTAAGCCTGGCTGCAGGCGATGCGCGACTACCACCCGGCAGTGCGCCCCAACACGGTCCACTTCTCTTCGCTCATCTCCGCCTGCGCCACCGCCGGCCGATGGGAGGAAGCCATGCAGGTGCGTTCCCTCTCCTTCTCCATCGATGATCTAAATTTGCAGACAGGCCTGTTTCTGTGACCGGCCACACGCTGCAGGTCATCTGGACTCCACAGGAGGCCATACAGTCTGGGCTCGGATGCATTTCTTTTTTGCAATTCTCTGTACTCTGAGGTGGCTGCTTGACCTGCAAGACATGCAAGCACCTGGAATGAATGACTGTGATGCAAAAACAGGCCTTGATCGGTCTTGGGGGCACCCAGTATTCAACAGGATATGGGCCAAGATATCAGCATGCATTCAAGCTCTCTCCAAGCTCTCTTTGCTGTTGGCCCCTCGTAATCGCCAAAACAGGTGCACCGGCCTCTACAGTGAGTCATCTAGACACCAGGGTAACGAGTGGTTTTGCACAAGTCTTTGAGCATCATAAATTGGTATGTGCAGGTTTTCTCGCACATGAAGGCCGCGGCAAAGAGCGACACGGCGTGCGCGCCGAACGTGATCACCTACTCGGCGCTGATGACGGCCTGCTGCACGGGCGGGCGACCCGACAAGGCCTACGAGCTCTTCCGCTGCATGCCCGCCCAAGACATTCGCCCGGACCACATCTGCTACTCCACCCTCATCGCCGGTGGGCGCACCGTCCTTTCCAGTATCAGTAAAGACATGACATCAGTCAACTGCGCGGGTGTTAACATGGGGATGCAACCCAGCCCCGGCTTGCAATGTGAAGCTACCGTCAACAATCTGGTGTCTCGCAAGGAAGGGGGACCCATCAGCTGCACCAGAGCAGCACCGTGCAACCCCTCCATCGCCCTTGTTTGCCATTTGTGTTGAGGGTCTATAACTCTAAAGCTGTATCTGAAGCTGAGTCTTACTGTTCTGGGCTCCTTCATTTCATGCTCTTCTGGTCCATCCCTTTCCTGTAAAGCGGCTCGTGAGGATCCGTCAGTCCCGCTGTGGTTGAGCGGTGGGCTCAGTCCCTCACGCAGGCTCCGCGCTCGCCTGAACTCACCCGCTACCACCAAGCCAGGCAGACTGCTCCTCTGTGATGCTGCAGCTCGAGAAAAAAGCAGAACATGAAGACTGCGTAATTTTGTGCAGGTTTTGAGCGCTACGGGGATAGTGAGATGGCGGCGCAGCTGAGCAATGAGATGCAGGCGGCCGGCCTGCAGCCCAGTCAGCCTCCCCCAGGGCCCCCCGCTGCCAAGGCGACCCCCTACATTGACCAGTTTGGGCGCAAGATCAAGCAGGTTGAGAATCCCCCCCCCCCCCCCCCCCCCTCTCTCTGACAACAATAGCAACAGAAACCACAAACTTTATTTATCCAGCCGCACAACAGAAATCTCACAGTCTCTAAAACCATATTAACTTGCTCGCACTTCCTTGCAGTGTCCGGCAGATATTGCCCCTGATGTGGGCAGGCATAAGGCAGCATCTCTAGTTTGGGTGCTCCTTCAGCTAAAGAAATGGTGATTTGAACATTTCTGATCGGGCGTGCATGCATGCAGGGGGGGAACCTGGGATCCCCGCGTCACAGTGGAGGCTTGCAGATGTCCCCCACCCGCGCGGGTGCAGCGGCTCGGACCCCCCACCCTTCTGTGGGGCACCCCATATGGAGCAACCCCTTCCCTGGCAGCCCCAAGACAGGTGCTGCTCCACTGTCATCCTCAGTATTCATGTCTCTCAAAGGCCCAGGGTTGCCCATAGCAGTCTGTCATCCTGAAGTTGGGCATGCAATGGACAGGAAAGCTCAACTGATGCGGCTGATCCTGTCCTCAGTGTATGTTCTCCCAGATGCCTTGCCGCAGCCACCAATCTCAAGAGCTTCAAATCAGGACCCTTTCCATGAAATGCCTGACATCAGCACAGGGGGTGCTAAGACCACTCAGTACCCCCTGATCAGCATGTGATGAGAATAAATGACAAATTGATCTTCGTTGCCAGGCGGGCATGGGCACATGGGATTGCAGACACCGGGGGGACTGGGCTTGTACGACGGGGGGTCCCTCCAGCAGCAGGCGGAGAACCGTAGCGGCTTCATCCCCGCCAGCTACGGGACGATGTATTCAAATTTGAACGCGAACGCGCGCGGCGGCTACGGCGTCCCGGTGGAAGAGAATACGCTCGAGCTGCGCAAGGCCGTGCTGCACACCAGGTACCTGTCTGGTCCCTTGCCCACATGATTTCGTCGTCTCCGCTTGTCATTCCTACTTTACTTCTCGTACCCTGGTCATAACTACATTATTCAATAGAACTGGACATATCATTAGAGCCGATTTGCTTCTTGTGAAGGCTTCAGTGTAATCATCTGTGTACAGGTCCCCCTCGACAGCATTCCAGTACTGCGGTGCAGAAGACCTGTCCTGCCTGGACGCTCAGACGCCATTTCTGCCGCCGGCCGCCACTCCGGCTCAGGGCATGGCGAGTGCGACGCCCCACCATGTGATCAACCCCAACCGCATGCCCTCCACCGCCGAGCTTCTGCTGGCTGCCCACTCCGGCTCAACTGCCCAGCTGGGCAGGCAGCTCTATGCCCTGCAGCAGCAGCAGGCCAACCATGCCGCCGCCCAGGAGCCCCGCCGCAGCGTGAGCTTTGCTCCAGGTAACTCAAGCCACGCTGACTGTTGTAGAAATTCTATGATGTCATGGGATCGAATTTTGCTGGGTCCCGTCCGCGCGCGTGATTGCTCCATCTCAGATAAAAACGTGTGCAAGAACAGTGATTGCATGCCTTCAGGAAAGCTCCAAAAGTTGTTCTTCAATAACACTCCCAGACTTTCCTGCGTTCACAGCAGCGTCAATTGCAATGCACTTCTGCAGGATCATATCCGCGCAAGATGCCTTGGTCCATCTGGCATGTCTGCACTTCATAGAAAATTGAGGTTCTTTTGCTGACCACAGCCTCCCAATCTCCACTCAGGGTCATGCATGTGAGTATGTTTAGAGGAGTCTGAGGATGTTCAAGTATGGCATTCAGATCACCTTCGACAAATGCAGCGGCATTTTGACATTTCTGTTGCGGCTCAGGAGTTGGGAGTCAGCCGGCCGGGGGCAGCCCAACGAAGGCATCAGAGGGGTTCAGCCTGTTCCAGAGCTCGCACCTGCCCCCCAGCAGCCGCTCCCAAGGCCCCACTTCCGTCGTACCCTCGCCCTTTGCACAACAGCAGCACCAGGTGAACTGCGCAGCACTTCAGATTACAAGCATTTGTGTTGGTAGTATCGACCCATGCGGTCATTCCCTTTATCTGTAAGTAGTTTATTGTCGGACCAGGCCTTATGGATGAATGCTTCGGCATCCCATCTTGGCATTATCTCTTTCCCCTGCAATGCTGAATGTGGTTTGTTTTCCTGCAACCTCTCTGCCAAAGTTCACACTCCTCCACCAGGGCGGAAATATTTAAGCATGAGGCCCATGCATGTGTGTTGATCATGTCACTGCAGAATGCATGTGGCTCCTTTGAGTCCACACATGCATTCATCATGTCACTGGTGAATCTCAAGTGTCGCTGCTTTCAAATGCGCAGCCTGCACGATCCTTGATTGTGGGGCAAATTCAAAATCTAAACCGTGGCTGCTTTTGACATGATCAGCAGGCTAGCGCTGCGTACAAAACGGGCCCGGACGCGTTTGCGGCGGCTGGAGAGCGGCTGCAGCGCTATGAGGCGCCCCCGGGTTCCCCGCTGGCATCTGCGCGCCGGGGGGCCGCCCCCCACTCGCGCACCAACAGCCGCTCCTTCGATGCCGCCCCCGGGTCCCCCCTCGCCTCCCGCTGCCCTCCTGCTGAGGCAGAGTCAGACAACCTGCAGCAGGTGTGGGCAACCTCGCTTCCATGCCATGCACATGCAAATAGGAAGAAACTGGCATCTGTTGCGAAGGCAAGAGCTCATGCTTGTCTCTGGTGGTCTTCGGCGACAGAGCGATTCCAACGGTTCTATTAGTCGATCAAGCAAGTGGTCAACCATGACGACACTGCAAGCATTTGGACAGCTTGCCGGTTGCAAAATGGACTGAGAGAAGACCCCTCAAATCTCAAAGAGGGGTTCACACTCCTCTCCGCTTCCCAGCGTACAAAGGCAACCAGGCCGGGGGTTTCTCACAAGCTTGAAATGCTCTTTGTGCGCAGGCTGCATGGAATGGAGCAGCCGCTGCTCACCTCTACACCAGCCTGAGCCACCAGGGGAGCGCGTCGCTGCAGGCGCACCTGTCCGGCAGCTTCAACGGAGGTTCCCTGCAGAGCCAGCCCTCAGGTGCCTTCGGGCCGGCTTCCGAGTCTGCCTATGGCCTGCCGCCCTGCGGCCTGAACAGGCAGACCAGCTCCGGCTTCCAGGGGCAGCACTCGGGCAACCTGTCGGCCTATCTTAGCGCCAGCTCGCTGCTGAGTCAGCACTCCGGCCTCCCGGCAGGCTCCGATCTCAGCCGCCAGCAGAGCGCTATCAGCGTCGGGCCATTTAGCCAGGTACACCCAGTGAAGGGTTGATTTTTTACTGTTTATGGGATCATGGATTCATTTTTTGAGACTTCTGTACTAAAATGATGCGTCGATGCTCTTCTGCTTGCAACCTGCATATGAGCATGCTTTTCTGATATGCTGATAGGTGTAGCAACTAAATCAGCACCAGACAGCTAAGTGGTTGTTATTTTTCCAGACGTCCGGCGACTTCGGGACAGCTGCCGCGCAGCACAGCACGGGCGGCTATGACTACGGCGGAGGGCACGCCGCAAACGGTGCGACAGCAGCTTCGGCGAATGCTTGGGCGGACAACGTGTTCTCCCGGGCGGCTGCCGCACAGCCATCCGGTCAGCCGGCACATGCCGGCAGCATGCACGCTGCGCCAGCTGTCAGCTCATCAGCCGATGCACCCAACATTGTCTCCCCGGAGGTATGCCTATGTCCTTCATCTGTGTGTCCGTGATGCAATCCTGTGCCTTTATTCAGAGTGCTGCCCCATACCCACATCTCAACACCTAAAGGTTCAGAGGCACACGCTCAAATTCTTCCAATGGTTGAAGGTATAAATTTTGTGCAGCAGAGGAGATGAGGAATCTGTGCGTTTGCAGGAATATGCTGGGCTGCCTCTGCGGCTGTCCCGGCAGCTGCAGCTGGGGGCGATCAACGAGGGGCTGGCGTTCATCAGTCGGGGAGTGCAGGCGCAGCTGGCGCGCGGCTTCCCGCTGGACGCAGCAGGTGCCGCGCAGCTTCCCCCCCAGACTTTCACCCTCAGAGCCAGTACAGCTTGACATCTGGCGACATTTTGATGTCATGCCTTACCCTGCACCCAGCCCTCCTTTCCCTCCAACGGGATTTTATTTTACGTCCTCTTAGCAGGGACACTGGGGCTATGATCGACACGTATTCAGAATAGACAAACAAACATGCATAGGCACTCTTGTGAGGCCGTTTACCATGTTGTGGACCCAATGATCAACTTTTCACGCCGCTTGTGTTGTACAGTCATGATTTTGACTTTGAATTTGGGTGTCTGTCCTAGGCATGAGGGTGGAGGAGCTGGAGGCTCTGGGACTGGGCCACAGCCAGAAGACTGCGCTGCTGCAGAGCCTGCTGCAGCTGAAACGCTTGCGCCTCATCATGCGCGACACCCACCGCACCTACACCCTCGCCTGATACTTCAACCCCCTTCCAAAACCTCAATCCCCCGGACAACGGGGCCTGAAGAGGGTTCTCAAGCAGGAAGTTGGACTCCATGCAGGAGGTGTGACAGAGGGTGTAGCATGCTGCCAAGAAGAGGCCTGCAAGGGCGAGGGGAGCGCTTCAAAATAAGGGAACTTGAATTGGCTGCTGCTGGGCAGGAAATGGACTGAGCATGCTGACATCGCAAAAGGCCCAGAGGCTCTGTTGATGCTGCTTGGGGGAAAGCCTGCAGGGCATCAAGAGGGCAGAATCAAGATGAGCATCAAGTATTTCTCGTTGGAGACTGGTAGAGCAACCAAGAATTTCCACGGGGAAAAGGAGAGTTCATGCAAAGGAGCTGTAGCATACTGCCAAGAAGAGACCGGAGCGCCCTGGCAAGTGGGAATGTTTCATCATACCAAGAGGGAGCGGCATTGTTTGGTGTGCCAACACGCCAGTGTTTAGAGGTCCAAGGGAGAGATTTAGCGCCATATCAAGACCAGAATTACAGCAGCTACATTGGAAGACATTTGACAGCACTGCCAAGATGAGCATCTTGGCACATCCACATCAAGCCAGGAATTTGATGCATCAAGACTGCCAGGACATGAAAATGGGAAACTCTGAGAAGCATCTTGCTGACGCCATGTGAATTGTGCACAAAACCTGCCGTGCCAGCCAGGTTTTTCTTTCAAAAAGAAAGGACTGAGGGAGTGGGCCCAAGCTTGCCAAGTAGGAAGCCCAGTGTGACAGCTGAGCCCTTCAAAATGAGAAGCTTAGCTTGGCGTCTCATAGATGAATTTGGAAAAGCAGAACGATCATGAACAAAAGAACCCAGACATTTGGTCTTGCTTGCTGAAATGGTCTTTGTCTGTGGACGCCTGAGTATTTCCTGGGAAGGGCCCTGCCTTTGCTTTGGGTGTCTGGTTTGCTTTCCCAAGATTGAAGGTTTCAAACTGCAGCGGACATGCATGTCATGTGTTGATTTACGCATGTGCTCTTTGTGTCCCAAACAACATGTGATTTTTTGCAGCCATCACATGCTTTTTTAGACTGATACTTGCCGTTTGCTGGGTTTCAAACTTGGTAATGTGCACCTTGAACATGCTTATTGCCGGCTTGGTCGATTGACTTGTTTGGTGAAAACATATGTGTACATTACTTGTGCTTTCTTTAACAGACAAGGCTGACGACCCACTGACAGTGCAACCACAATGTCCGAACTTTACACATTTATCTTTCAGAGGAGAAATTAGCAGTCAAGTGATGCAGGCGAAACAGCTCATCTAATAATACAATATTTAGGGTTTATTTTTTAGGATTTAGGGTTTAACAACTTCAGGTGAATCCACAAGGTAGAACTTTCCCAGCATGCGATGCACAGGCATCTGCTACATTGTCAAGCTGCATTCTCAGGAATTCCACAAGAAGCAGAAATGAACAGATCAGGCCCTCATCATCTGGGGGGTCGTTTTTTCCAGTCAGGATCTTGCTCTCCCCTCGCCCAGCTCATGAGTCCCCCCACCAGCTTCCCTGGGAGGCTTGGCAGCGACTCTATCGTGTCAAACACCTCCCTCAGGTCTGCGTTGGGGTCTGTCAGGCCCCCGCCCTTTGTGGGGATGCCCCGGATCGGCGCCAACCGCCTGCACAGAAACAGCATGACTTTATTGTTTTGCTAACGGTTATTTTTGGTCCAGTCCTGAAGTCCACACTTCCAGTGCAGTCCAGGGCCAGAACACCACTTCATGGTTGCGATTGGCGTTTTGATGCCCTGGCCAATCTCACTCCTCACACGTGCATTTGGGAACACCTGACTTCTGAGTATCCCATGCTGATCCCGCCAGGAAGCAAGGTGCGTCTGCAGACAAGCTGCAGACGCCTGAATATTGTCTGAGCACAGTGCGCCCAGTATGAGCGGACCTCAAGCCGGGAGATGGCATGTCAAGACATGTGACCTTCATCAGGACCCCAAGATCTGAGGGGGTAATTCTCAGTGCTTAACAACCACGACAACTTGCAGACAGGGGTGCTACGCTACTTTGACCAAATGTACTCTTCAAAGCAACGAGAAAACCGTGCATAGACGCACCTGCGCACGGCGTCGAGGGTGCCCTGCAGGATTGCCTTCTCGGCCTTTCGCAGCCGCGCGGCCAGCCGCTCCTGCGCCGTCAGCCCCGGCCGCTGCAGCAGCTTCACGTCCTCCTCCGCCGAGCCTGCACGTGAGCACCAAAAGGATTATAACAAGGATCCAGTGCATTGGGGCACGTCACATTATCTTATGGTGGTGGCTTTTCTATCTTCAGTGGCGAAGGCCCCATAAAACCAGTGATCCGATGCACGGTCAATAAACAAGCCTGACTCTGAACACCAAATGCTGCCCCCAATGCCCTGCAAGGTTCAATTGAACGGCCATGCATTCCCGCCCTGAGAGGCAAGGTGCATCTGCAGACGATCTGCAGGTAAAGGCTGCCACAAGATTGCACCCCTTGTAGGACTCGCTATGTTCAAAATTAGACGCGCAGGCTCACTTAGTATGGCCTGTAAGAAACTTCAGGCAAATGTTGAGGAGGACCCATGTGCATGCCTGCGTAGGAGGTGAGCCGGTCTCTGCACTCGCCCAGCAGCAGCTGCAGCACCTCATACTCATTGACCGGGTTCAAAATGATGTCTTCCTCAAAGCTCACCTGCACAGAGGACAATACACGTGCACATTGATCACTTCCTCAGCAAGCTGTAGTCCTAAGCAAGATGTCCCTTGCTCGAGTTGAGCAATTCTAAGTGTATTTTCGGTTTTTCCCCATGTCAGCAGTGCTTCACAGGTGTCTGGCAGGCATTTCCAGGTAGGCTGATGAATGCACTGAATCGTTCGGAGCTTACAGAGCACACTTCTGGTAAACTGAAAACACGTGGTAAGATGCTGTGTTCTGCATGCTGTGATATTGGACATTGGACAAAGGATATCACAAATATGGTGGCGTGCTGGTGCACCTTGGCGAGCAGGGCGGGGTCTGTGAGTCGAGCGAGGCGGAGGTACGCCAGCAGCTGGGTGGGCATGCGGTCCCTGAAAATCGGAAACTCCTGCTCGCAAAGGCAAACACCAAATTCACGCTTGTGTGTTCCCATCACCACCACATGGGCAACCTCAGCCAACACCTATTGCAATGCTTGACAATCTGTCCCACAGTGCACAAACGGGCTGCCCACCAAAACTGTGAAAACTCGTGAGATAAAGGGTGCACAGGTATGCGACCAGTAGAGTAGCATTGTCTGGTGTCCAGTCACCCAGCAGGGGCATCCAAGCATTACAACAAGTCCTATATCAAATGTTCATGACCCAGGAACCCAGCAGGTGCATGCTCATGCAGGCACCTGCACACACCGCGTCGTCCGCCACGCTGCTCCTGCACATGGATGACTAACGCACCGTGTGTTGGTTCTGCAGCATTACCACAGCAGGGGCGGGCAGGTGCGCACACCTGCACGATGTCGAAGCCGAGGGATTCCAGGATCTGCTTCTTGACGGAGAACAGGCGGTCCGCCTGAACCAGGCCCACTCGAACTGTCAGGCAGTCAGAGGCGTTGTCATCCTCCACCCGCCCAGTCGCCATTGCCAGCTCCCCGTTGGGCCTGCCGTCATAAATGGCCACTGCCTCGCCTTGCCTGCGCTCAGACACACCGCATGCCTCACGCGAACTTTAAATAAACTAGCCTGTCTGCTCCAGAACCAACATGGAGGAATTGCTCATTGTGCTGCTTGTTCTCTCCCCTCCAGCGGCGCTAAACAGGAAGTCATGATCTTCTGCACCCCCGCTACATGCGCTGTTTATGGAGTATGCAATACCTGACAATGTTGGACCTAATCTCCTGTCTTTCACAGCATGTTTGTGTTGTTTCCCACGCAAGTCTGCGCATCAACGACGCCACATGCAGGCCATGGAACGCGTTGGGCAACCAGCTGCGCAATGCGCCTGCCCGGCCTTTGCAGGAACGACAACCCCAGTCCTGCAGTGGCACGCGTGGACCAATGAGGGAGCGTCACCTGTACGGGCGGGTGGCGCAGATCGTGACGCGTTCCTTTTGCAGGTCGTAGTCGAGTGACGCCCCCGCCTCGGCGCCGGTGCGCGGCGCGTGCGACGCCAGCGGTAGCAGCGCGAAGCAGGCGGCCGACGGGAGGTACGCCGCGTGAGCCAGCACCACCGACATCGCGCGCTCAAACGCCCCCAGATTGTACACCTCTGCACCCCAGGAAAAAAAATCAGTGGGGTACAATATCCTTTCTGATGCATCCCCTTTACTCCCCTCCTTTCTGCAACAAAGCGTAAATGCACAACCAGGGTTTTACACCATCTCTATTTACACCACTGCACCACCCTCCTCTCTGAATCAAACCCAGGTTGTGCACCATTGTCAGCGCACACTTAATAATTTGTCACTTGTACCTCCCCACCCAGGGGACCCTAATGTAATCCAGAGTTTCAGCTCGTCACCTCCGCTGAAGCGGCGGGCATCGCCGGTCGCAATTCTCTGCGCGATCACATCCCACTCCTGCTGCAGGGCCGCTCTTCGCGCGCGGCACTCCTTCAGCGTGGGAGAGTTCTTCAGCAGCTCGTCCTGCACCTCCTCTGGCCACAGCACTGGGCTCAGCGTCGCCTCTGGCAGACATTCCAGAAAAGGCGCCCACCGCGACTCCTCGCCCTGCGGACCACAAAACAATCTCACACGAAAATTGGTTGGGCTTGGAAGTAGAATTGGAAAGGGAATTACTGGCCCAGAAAGAGCTCTCAAGGAGGTTGCCATGGAGCACAGAAGAGTGCCTTTTGCTTCATGTTAGGCAGGGGCCATGCGGCAGTGCACCTGTGGACAAGCTGCAGCACAGGGAAAACATTGCACGAGCACTTTGATGTCTGCAAGCTGCAAGCTGCCTGACAAGCATGAGGTTATATTGTTAGTATGTCAGCACTGTCAATGCCAATCAGTGTTCCTGTGATATGCCACAGCTTTCATCTGAGCCGGCTGAAGAGCACAAGCAACCTTCAGGCGCTGCCAATCCCCACTGATTGTTCCTCACTGATTGTTCTTGACAAGTGCTCATCCTTCATTGCTTGATATTTTGGTCTTGTGAGGTGACGGGCACCTTTTGCCGCTCCGCCATGAGCCACAGGGCAAGCCCAGTGAGTTCCCCGCGCCCCTCTGCAAGCCCAGCCACCTCCTCATGCGCTGCCACATCCACCGCTGTAACGCTCAAATTCCCGGGCAGCTCCACCAGCGCCTGACTTGGCAACAAGCTCCCCTCAGCAATGCTCCATGACCAGGGAAGATAAGAGAAGAAGTTCTTTCTCCCTCTGCCATGACTCTTTGCCCCTGTACGCTTGCAAGACCGCCATGCATGCCAGAATATCGCCCTGGAGGACAGCAGCTCTGAACTCGAGGAACAGAGACTGCAAGCGCCTTGAACTGTCTGTGCTTCAAGTGAGAGCTTTGCAGCTGACCTCGCCCTCTTTGGCACCGGTGTTGGTGAAGAGGCTCCAAGTGCCATCTGCACTCAATCCAGTGCAATCTGTGCGCTGCGGGGGCAGCTCCTTCTGCTCTATGAGCCAGAGCAGGAGCCTGTCGACCTCTGTACTCCCAACGCTTGCCTGTGAGAGCCCACATGTGCACGTCAATATCCTGGAGACGTCTGCCTTCGTATTAGGCTAGGAATGCCTGCCTTGGCAAACTCTGATGGATGACATTGTATGTAGATATGAGCGCAAAGAGTCGTAACAGTACCTTTCGAGATTCTGTGTATGATGAGGCTCTGCAATGGAGGAATGTTCTCCTTGCACCAGCACACTGCTTAAAATACTTGGGCTGCCTCGATGCTCTAGCCAAGATCGGCTGTCTCTGATCAATTCCCTTCGACTGCCGATGCAAAAAATGGGTACTTTGTAGGTCACAAACGTGAAGCACGAGCCACTTCATTATGCAAGAATGCCTGAATACGCTACCGTTGACAGTCTTGGAACATCTGCCAAAGACCGCTTAAGGAAGATTGTCAAAGTACAGATACAGTGAATAAAAGCAAACTAAGTCAATTCACATAACTCTCTGGTGCGTATTATTTTGAAATTATGGAAAAATGTCTTAGCTTGATAAGTTTGATCTGACTCTCAAATCCCTCGTGATCTTCATACACCCCTGACTGTCATGACAGCAGACCCTATCTAGCTTCCACACTAACTTCGCACTAACGCAAAGCTGGTGCCAGCATTAGATATCTTGGAAATTCCCAGAATTTATTGACTCGTGGCATCAACCCAATTCAATCAGGTGGGTGATTGATCGCCTTTAAGGTTGCAAGACGAGTGTTTCCTTAGCACTCCAGGGGAAAGCCTAGGGTGGTCTCGACAAGGAGTAGATGGCTGGCTTGCAAGAGCAGCGGACCTCCCAGGATTCAACCACCACTAAGGTCGACCCGCCTGAGCCAGCTCCCAGGGGGATCAGGCGCAGTAGTAGCCAGGTAGAGACGTCTCTACTATCTCCTAGTCGAGTCACCGACCAGCATCGAGGTCCTCCAGTCTGTGAGGTTATAGTAAGGTTATTTTCAGGAGCAAGACATTCCTTGATTAGTCGTATTTGATACGCTTCGTTGTCTATCATGTATGTACCCATTCAATCGTGTTGTCTGAAGGACAAGACGGCTCAACAAACGAAGCTCGGCGGTTGACTGATCCCCTCCTGTGCCCTGGGTTGCAGCTTGCAGCTGCCAGATCGGTGCTGCAAGAAGCCCTTCTACAAGCAGCTGCGTCTGTCCGCGAACGAAGGATGAATGGTCAGAGGCTTCAACGGCAAGGTAGGTCTGCCAGCAGGACATGTCCACGGTCGGTGCAGGATAAGGGTCGTCAGAAATGTCTGGATGTGGCTGATTAAGTATTTCTTGATCTGTTATTCTTCGTATTGAAGATACCAAAGTGCCTTGTGCCGACGTGAGTCGAGCAGTGCCGTCGTTCCCCTCTTGCATTCCTGCATGTGAGAGCTGTGTCGACCCTTCCCAGATTTTCCATGATCGTGTACCAGCTTCATCAATTCACGTTTACTGTGGTCCTGCAGGAGAGCATGCTAGGGATAATCGAATCGGAGAGGCACCCACTCAGCTAGCTCACACTTGTCACAGCCCTCGGGGTTGAGAAATACCCCTGCAAAGATTTCGGCCCAAATGAGGTCCGGTAAGGATGCATAGATGACTGGGATTCAGCTATTCCCCTATGAGACCAGCAAGCGAGGACATCACACTTCAGTCAGCTGAGCTGACCGAAGGCAAACAGGCCTAGCCCGCAAATATGCATCAGCTAATTATGCGTGCATACACTGGAAGTTTGAGTGCCGAGAGTGACAGTGTGAGAGTGTGATACTGTGAAAAAGCTAAAAGCAGGTGGGCAAGGGATGAGCGCAGCACTGTTGCCAGATAGATAGCATCGTTTTGTTCCTTCAGATTCTTCATTTGTTTGATGAGCTTTCTGTCACGACTGACAGTTTATGCCCTGCAGTTCAATGACAGGGCCCCTTTCTTGAGAGGAGGGCTTTTCGCAGAGTGTGTTTTGGCAGTCATTGGTGTGCGTACAGAGTCTTAGAACAGTAGGCTGCTTTTTCAGACGCTCTAACAGAGTTGCTTTTGAGCGTACAGATGATGCCAACGCTCCCACAAGAGAGATGCTTGTTTTCATAGTGCGTGCTGAAGATGCCAAGCACTGTAGCTGGGATCCGCAGAGGCCAGAGCCATGTCATATTCTTGGCCGGCCAAGCTTAATGTCTCTTTTCTGCAGTGTCAGCAATCTCGCCCGGATTCAAGTCTGGACTATGTGTGACTCTGTTTGGAGTCTATAGCAACGCTTGGGGCCTTGTGAAAGCAGAGTGCTCTGAAGTGGTCTAGGTCAAGTGTGATTTTGCAAGGGATGAAATATAGCTGTAGCTCACAAATGAATGAAATCGACGTCTGGAGGTATCATATATAGATTGGCCCCGTGTATGGTACATAGAGTGGAAGGTCCAACGACTGCTCTGCAAAGGTACAGCCTTGAAGCCTCGAAGTGGCAGAGATGCATTACAGTTCTAACGATGATAAACGTGCGGGTCCAACTGTAAATATGCGTCTTCATGCACGCGTGCAAAGAAGCTGTGTGCAGTCAATAAAGGACCTCCATTGTCCAGGGCGCCCCCAAGGTCAGGCACTCGCAATCAGGATATCTGCATGCATCCGGATATCTGCCTTCCTCTTTCTCAAATTAAGCTACATTCTGCAGAGATTGACATGTCAGATAGGCGCACAGCTCCCCGACTATCTCTTTCCTCAACCTTGTGTCACTTTTACACGGCACAAACATTCACAGCTAGCTGCAGTTGCGCTCTACAGCCTGCAGCCCTTCATATTCAAGCAGAAAACAAATCTCAAATAATCCAACGAGGGATCCAGGAGCCCTGGTCATCGCAGGGCTGAGAGCCATCTGCCCAGATCGCGCGCTTGTGCGGCAGCATTGCCTGTGTAGGTGGCGGGGGTTAGTCGTGCCAGCTCAGCCTTGGCGGAGTCCGGCAGGCCGTCAATGCCGGCCACAAACTCGCGCATGCTCTCCTGCGTCACTGCCTGGCCCCTGGTGAACGCCTTGAGCTTCTCATAAGGTTCCTCCACGCCATACCTGCCCACACACAATCATTCAGTCACATTGCTTCCAGCCATTTGGGCTATATCTATGCTTACTCTGATCCTTCACAGTTCTGGGGCGATGTCCAAACACATCCTTGAGAATCCTGCCTGCAGGTGCCTCTTGCTTGCAAACTCTGCCGTCCGCCCCCTTGAAGAGGTCTGAAAAGCCTGGACATTGTCTAAACTGCGTCGTGAGCAGGATCCAAATCAGCAAGGCATTGACTAAATGCTGGACTTGACTTCACTTTGACAGACACCGATGCTCCCATTGACTTAATATGATCCACGCATGCGGCATTGCCTAACCCTGTCACTCACTGACTGACTGTCACAGACTGCCTGCCTCGTCATTAATTTGGTGCACCGGCCCAAGGGGTTTTGAATGCAAGATTTGAGCGCTCAGAGGGATAATTGGAGGGATCACCTGCGCATGACAGTCTGGATGGGCTCCGCCAGGACTTCCCAGGAGGTGTCCAGGTCAGCCGCCAGCTTGGCGTCATTCAGCTGCAGCTTGCTGATGCCTGCATGCATGCACCCACACTGAATGTCCCACACTCTTCCTGAACTCCCACTGCCATGCATGTTGCATCCTGATCTTATGTAGCTTCTCACTCTCACTACCCTCCAAGTCGATACACTTCACTGACTTCATGGCATCCTGGGAGACATTATGGCCCATCCTATGGAGGAGGCATTTGGCACATGTTCAAACACACATGAGCCCAACAGTTGCCGCTGGTACCAAGCAACAAGATGAATGACTTCTCCCTGATTAAAGCCCCACACCCCCCAGAATACAGGTAGACGTAGGTTTTCAAGCAAGAAGCATCGAGGAGTGGGTGATTCCTAATAATTTGATGCCTGGCCATGCAGTTTTTTGCATCATTAACTAATGAATTGGAGTTGTCTGATTGTTTCTTTGTCTGCAGCACTCGTCATGCATTCAATATACCATTGGAGCCCACCTCGGAGGGTGGAAGAGTAGGCAAGCAGGGAGTGGCCCAGGCCGACCCCCAGATTTCGCAGCACTGTGGAGTCTGTGAGATCGCGCTGCCACCTGCTGACAGGCAGCTTGGCAGCCAGGTGCAGCATCATCGCATTCGCCACCCCCACATTCCCCTCGCTGTTCTCAAAATCGATGGGGTTCACCTGCAACCAGCCCAACACCGCTCCTTACTCACCTCCTGCAGACTTGTAAAATTTTGGCATGCATGCATGCATGTGTCTTGGCAAACGCGCTAGATGGTCTATGAGTGACTCATCCAAGCCCATCTTTGAGCTAGTTTGGAAGGCAGATATCCACACCACCAGCTTGTCGACCTCAGAATAGCAGCTCATTTCCGTATCTTTCATTCAGCAAATTGCCGCTTGCGCATTCAAAATACAGCACAGCAAGAGTCCAGATGGCGGCAAATCCGCGCAATTGGCGCCCTAGTTGACAGGGCATCTCAGGGAGTGCAGTGGAAGGCAGCGCACCTTGTGGGGCATGGTGGAGGAGCCCACTTCGCCGGCGATGGTGCGCTGTTTGAAGTAGCCGAGGGAGATGTAGGCCCAGGCGTCGCGGTCAAAGTCCAGCAGGATGTTGTTGAAGCGCACCACTGCATCGTACAGCTCCGCTATGTAGTCGTGCGGCTCTATCTGCACCCAGCACAGCTGAATGTCTTACGCTGGATTTGACAATGTATGAAGGCAACACTGCAGCGCGATCGTGGAACCTGGCTGTGGCACCAGACACAGGGCTGAATATCGGAACAGAATGAAGCCTCGTAGCCGAGACAGGCTTGCATGAAGCACTGACATGCAGGCGACTGGACCTTGTGCACTGCAAAGATCATGCAAAAGTGGTATGCATCAGTACTTTTTGGGCAGATCAGGATACTGGATTTTGAGGTGCATCAGATTGGGTCACCTGGGTGACGTAAGGATTCCAGTCGAGGTCAAGAGACGCCACAAACTGCTGGGCAACCGCTTGCCAGTCCACGGTGGGGTGGGCAGACAGGTGAGCGTTGTAGTTGCCAACAGCGCCTGCCATCTTGCCAAGGAACTCCACTTGAGTTGCCTGCATACAGAAGTTCCCACTATCAACATCTCTGAATTCTTTGTTAGATGGGCTGCAGGTTGACGCCTTTAGAAATCCCCTCTGAGCCTCCTCTTGTGGTAAGCTTTGACGCAGTCTACAAGAGGACGCCATGCATCTTGTAGACCGGATCAAGAACCTCCACAAAAATATCAGCTCTTCTTTAGGGGTTTGGCAGGACTGTGGTGTACCTGCTGCTGTTGGCGTGCCAGTCTGTAGGCAAAGACGGCCATCTCCTTGCCGAGAGTTGTTGGGGAGGCTGTCTGCCCATGTGTGCGTGCCAGCATCGGAACCTCCGCAAACTCCTCAGCAAGCCGTGCAATCTCGTCCACCACCTGACAAAATGTCTTTCATATCAGTCACAGAAGTCTACCAAGTCTGATAATCTGAGTTTGCGGTTAACAGATGTTCACTTGAAACACCAACCCTGCTGTTCCCCTACAATCCTGGAGATTTGCTACCGCTGTTTGGCTGCAAAGCCTCGTATTGATCTTCTCTCCCTGAACACAATGGCTGTGGCCATTCTGCCACCCAAGATCCATCTTTTCGCTCTCCGGCGATGTTTGGCAAGCTGTCTTCAAATGGGGGTTGTCCTGGCTGCTTTCTGGTCCAGAAAAAGAGAAAAGAGAAGCATGAATGAGATGAGATTGTACCTTGGTCATGGAAGGGAGGACATGGTCTGACATTGCATCCTTCAGCATAAGGGCATGCGCCAAATTGTTGATGTCCTCGCTGGTGCAGGCAAAGTGGGTAAACTCAAGGACCTGCATGCAAGCAACTTCCATGTCTTCTTGTATTATTATTGTTGTTGTAATTACATGCTTTTCCTGCCAAGAGGCAAGGTGCGTCCTGCAGACAAGCTGTAGTTACAGGCTGCCGTAAACCTAACCCTTGATGGACTCGCCAAATTCAAGCAAGACCAAATCAACCGCGGGCACAGTGTTCCGTATTTGTACCGCCCCCCGCCAGCCAGGACGTCCTCTTGTATGGACTATAATTAATGTGCTCTGAAGAGATTGCCTGCTTGAAAATTTTGCCGATCCAGGATCTTGCATGTCAGGAGAGGTGCAGCTGTCCAATGGTCCTGCGCACCTTTTCAAGCTCGGCATTTGCTTGGAAGCGCTTCTTCAGCACGTACTCGATGGCCTTCACGTCGTGGTTTGTAATGCTCTCCACCTGTTGTACATGGCAGCATAACTCATTCTCGTGCTGGAATGACCTTGTGATTGCCAGTCTCTTTATACAAGTAGGACACTCTCAAGAAAAAGGTTACAGAAGCCCAGAAAGCAAGTGCATGCGTTGCTGTCATCACAGAGAGATGAAAAGCAAGTCAGCGCATGATGGTGATGAGTGATACAGTTGGCTGTGCACACCTGTTTGACTTCAAGTGCGTCCTCTACGCTGAAGCTCTCTGCAAGGGTGTTGAGGAGCTGGTTGGCCTCCTCACTGAAGGGCGGCACTTCGGTGACCTCTGGGATGGCAGCAAGCTGCTGCAGCCACCTGATCTCCACCAGCACCCGCCGCTTGATCAGCCCAAACTCGCTGAAGATGTCCCTCAGCCCTGCCACCTTGCTTGCGTACCGCCTGCACATAGTGGTGACCCAGATTTTAAGACTTAATTTTGGAATGCCTAAATGTTCATGTGCTGATATTGCTTTTGGCAGGCTTGTCTTCTTAGTGGTATGTTAGATTTCTTGCTTACGTGCCAAATGCACAAGGAAATGCACAGCTTACAGAAAAAGTAATGCATGAAAAGCAAAGGGTTGGGGTAAGAGAAATTTTCTTGGTAAGGTGGAATCCTACCCATCCAGCGGTCCAACTGCTGTAAGTTCTGAGAGGGCTAGCCGTCCTGGTGTGGCTCCATTGCTGACGCTCTGCCAGCAGCAGGTGCATCTCTCAGAGTCAATAAAGAATTTGGTGGCATTGGTTGATGCGATACCTAGACTTATCTCATCGTAACTAAAAACAATAGGGGGGCCAATTTCTTGCGAACAATCCTCTCTACATACTTCCAGTGCCTTACCTCCATGCCAGTCGACGGCCCCGGCTGCTGCGCGGTAACGGCTGCAGTAACCAATATTTTGGGGTTCGATGGTTGCCGATGGGGGATTGTCGAGGATCGCCGCAGTGTCCAAGAGGGTCCTATGGAAATGTGACTGCGGAGGCTCGTGTGCAGGCAAGGAGCTTGCATCTTAAAGATGCAGTCAACTGAAGTAAAAGACAATGTCAAACTCACTTCTAAGCAACAAAGATCGTATTCCGCTCTTTTGTGGAGCCTGGTTAGCTAGATGAACGAGTATCAAACAGCACGAAAACCACTATCAGCGCACATAATTAGAGCATCGAGCAGGCCTCTTCTTTACATTAATTTTGGAACACTTTTGTCGGCATATTTCAACCAACGGTCGTGCCTTCTCTTCTCCCTCCGATAGAGTTGAGGTGACGTCACTTTTGCATGCATGCGTGAGTGAGGGATCTTCTTCCCGATGCAATTCAAGCGTGTGGGTTGACGATGTGGAGATTATTAACATAAAGAACACACTGTAATATTGGATTCTGCACAGTGTTAGCTGCGATGCGTGAATGCCAATCTTTTCGTAACAAGCTATTTCAGAACAACAAATGAAGCATTGGTGATGTCCAAGTTATACCCTTCAGAGGTTTCAACCACTTGCAGGGCGTGAACACGGCCTTCAATATCTGCGTGCTGTTTGACTACAATCGTTTTCTAGCCACATCGAAGGATTTGCCTTGATGGGAGACCGGGGTCTGCTGACATCAGGGCATTAGTATTTGTCTCCATTGAGGATCTGTCTGATAGAGAGCCAACAATGTCAGATAGCGGAATAAGCAGCGTGGATGGTGCGACCGACCTTGACTCACTGAGAGAGGCGTTGAGTGCTGCAAAGGCAGAGACAGAGGCAGTCAGAGCAAAGCTTCACAACGCTGTGCGCAAGGGCAAGACGATAGATGCAGAGAAAAAGAAGGCTGTGGGTGACCTGAGCGATCTCGCAAAGGAGCTGGCCAATGCACAAGAACAGCTCACAGAAGTGCAGAGCTCCACAGCTGCACTCCATGAGCAGGATGGGGACTTGAGCAGTGAGCTGCAGGCCGCTTGCGCCAGGGCAGCCGCTCTGGACGAGAAGCTAAAGCAAGTGCAAGCAGAAAGCGCAGAAAATGTGCGCGCAACCGAATTGAAACATCAGGCAGCGGAAGAGGCGCTGCGGCAGCAGATAGACATGCTGCAGGCTGCTGCCTCGCAGCAGGCCTTACCAACACAGGATACCAGCGAAGCCCTGCAAAAGGCCACAGTCCGCGCACAGGAAGCTGAGAGCCTTGTCGCCGAGCTCAGACAGGAAGCCGAGGTCATGAATGAGGCCCTGCAGGTGCATAAAAGCCTGCCATGCCTTCCCCTTGCACACCCTGTCCTGGGTGAGAGCACTGGCCAATGAAGCGTGCACAATCCTGAAAGGCATCTATTATTGCGGCGCCAAGAAGGCTTGATCCACTTCTGTGTGACTCTCACAGTGTTACTCTGGTCTCACAACAATCACACCTTGTGCACAGGCTGCAGCCGAGCGCATCAAAGCGACGGCAGCGGCAGAGGCGGCCGCGCATGCTGATGCCGAGGCGCGCAGCAACGAGGCTGCCTCCCTCAGGCGACAGGTGGCAGAGCTCGAAGGCCGCCTCTCCGCGGCGGACAATGCGCAGGTGCACTGATGCCCAGAGCATGCAAATCGAATGTAAAGCTTCTGCATGGGGTCCTGCAACTGTTGTCAGACGTGTATTCTTAAGCAAAAATATGCGAATCTTGCATTGGCTTGAAGGCCTGCTCAATCTGGCCTTCAAAGTTCAAGCCAAGACCAGGTCTCGTCAGCCGAGCTGTGCATTGGCAAGTTCTTTTTGAGCTGTGATCTTTCATTGAAGAAGTACAAGCTTTTGTGTAGGCACGTGCTACAGCGTCTGAGGAGCAGCTGCAGACGCTGCAGGAGCAACACGATGCGCTGTGCCAGAAGCTGCGGGAAGCTGCAGCTGAAGCTGATGGGAAGCTGCGCCAGGTGCGGCAACAAATTCTGCTGGCGCCTCGAAGCACTGTGCCCTTGAGCCCCTGCATGAGTTCCTAGCTGACCATTTTGTCCTTGTTGCATAGAACCTTCAGGCTCCAGTCCTTGCAAAATCGAAGGTACACCTAATTCTGGCAGAGATAATGAGCAAATGATGTAATAGGTGAAGGATTTGGAGAGGCAATTGGTGGAGGCCCAGGCAGCAAGGGAAGCTTCATCAGAAGGGGATGCCAGGGAGGCACTGGCAGCTGCTGAGAAGGCGGCTGCGGAGCTTCGAGCAGCTGCAGAAGCTGAGCTCGCCTCAGCCAGGTACCATATTGTCATCACAATGCCTGGCTTTCAAACATGTGCGTATACCAGTATATGATTTTGAGAGGAGGCAGCATCTGCTAGGGATCCGCAGGGCAAGCAATGCCGCCTTGGAATTCCTCAGGGCATGCCCGCAATTCCCAAGAGATTCATTAGAAATTCATCCCACAAGGATGGGTCTACAAAAGGATTGATAGACAGCCCATATCTTCTTCTTTTCTCAAGCTCACACCTGAAATGTTTTTTCTGCATGTGGGCATAGGATGGAGAAGCAACAGGTGGAGGAGGCCATACGAGCTGTGCAGGCCAGGGAGGCTGAAGTGGAAGCGCAGGTTGCGGCAGCCGCCGCGCGCGCAGATGCAGCCGAGGAAGAAATGAAGCGGCTGAGGTGCGCACACCGACTCGCACTAGCGCTGTACTCTGAGCACAGCTTCTTGGACCAATTGATGCTTTGGGATATATTAGTGCTTGTAGCTTGCAGGAAGGGGTGTGCAGATGAAGTTGCCCCATGCGCGAGTGGTGAGTGGTGATTGTGTGCTAAATTGTGATGTGCAGAGAGGAGAGCGAGGCGAGGAATCAGCGGTTCGGCATGGTTCATGTGAGCTTCTCCAAGAAGGAGGCCACCCTGCGCGAGCGCACCGATCAGGCTGAGATGACAGCAGAACACTTGCGGCAGGTGTGGTGCAGATGTTCTTTGAAAGGTCTTGTATTGGTTTCGCTCAATCCTGGAACAATCTGCGTACTAAACATTCTCGCACATCCGGCTTTTCTGTGGGCTTTTCTGTGTTCCCATCTAAGTGGTCTTCAGCAATCCCTTTTGTGCAGTCAATGCCAAGTGAAAAAAAAATTTAATTGTGCAGGTCAGTGAAGAACTAGCAAGCTTGTTATGCTCAGAGTAAGTTCCACAGCTTTGATTGAGTCGAAATATGTGAGACAGGCGCTGAGGGCAGCAGAGCAGGCTCAAGAGGCGGCACAGAGGGAGGTGGCGGCGGCAAGGGAAGCTGCCGCCCAGGCGCAGGCAGCTGCAGAGGAGCAGGCAGCTGCCACTGAGCAGGAGGCTGCTCGTGCCCACACTGCCGAGGAACATGCCCGCAGTGCAGAGCAGCAATGCCAGGCGGCCCACAAGGTCTATTCTGAGTGCAGATGTATATTGTCATCGATTTTTCTGCAGAAACCTTTGGGATGGAAATGGCACACTGAACCTTGTCTGTATTTAAGCGCTCACTTCTGCTCCTGCAGGCGCTTAAGGAGTTGGAATACCGGCTGCAGAGCAGCAGAGAGTGCAGCGACGCTTCGACGCAGGAGAGGCTTGCCAAAGCCGAGGAGCGCGTGGCCGCGGCTGAGTCAGCGCTGAGTAGTGCGCACGCTCTGCGCGCTGCCGCGCAGGAAGCTGCCGAGAAGGCGGAGGCGCGCGCTGCGGCTGCGGAGGAAGCTGCGCAGCAGTTGAGGCAGCGAGTTGGCGCGCAAGCCCAAGAGAACGGCATCGCTAGCTCAGCGCATGACGGGGCGAAGGACAATGGCGGAAAGTATCACAGCGGCGGCGTGGATGCTGGTGCTGTCATCATTGACATTGGTGAGTATTACTCATGCCTTGGCTAATGCACCCGGGTACCTCACTGCAAAGGCTGCAGAGATCCAGGTCTTAGCAAAGGGTTCTGGTTGTGGAAGAGGATCTGAAGGAATTGTAGCAAGGACAGCCTTGACCAATTTGATAAGTAATAAGCTGAATTCATTGTTGGGGAACAGGGGATGACGAGGACTTCACAGCTCGCAGCAGAAAGCAGGCATCTTCTGCTAAGTCACCAGGCAGTTGCAGCGCTGCCGAAGTGAACTTGCTCCTCAGAGAAAATGGTGAGCTCCGAGCCAAGGCTGAAGGTGCAGACAAACGGGTTGCGGCAGCGACAAGCATACAGGTGTGCATCCCGGAGAAACATCAAATGTTTCCTGATGCCATGCATGCACTTCCTGTCCCACACTTAGGTCCCAATATCTGGATCTGCAGTCCTGCGCAGCGAGCGCCTCAGGCAGAGCGAGCATATAAAATCCCTGTACGGTAGGCCTTCAGTTGAATCTTAAATTTAAATTACTGAATGCAGCAAGCACGGGTGGCTGCGTTGGAGAAGACCAATCGCGATCTGAGCTGGCAGGTTGCAATGCTGACTCGCTCCAGCACATCACCCAGCAGAGCGCTGAGAGGGAACACCGCTGCAGCCGCCCAGCCAGAAGATGCCCTGCAAGATCCTACAGGCACGATCTCCGCCTTGCCCCTTTTTAGAATTACCACCAATCCACAGGCGACTTCACATACTCCAGAACTTCATTTAGACTGGTTCCAGCCCTATGGCTGCATTTCTTTGCATGTTCTTAGTCAGTGAAAGGTGCTGATTTGCAGTTGTCAAGTGTTCATGCTTGGAAAGAGATGGTCATTACTGAAAGCCTTGCATGACCAAGGCAAGCTTGTCTTGGCATCCTGCCTTTCTTACCAGGTGCTTTCATGTTCAGCAGGTCAAGCCGGCAGCTTTGGGTACAGTGGATTTTTTAACAAGTTGATGGTTGCAGGGGTCATGAGTTCGCTGCCAGGGATGCTGGGCTGGTGCCTGCGCTACCGCAAGTGGCTGGTCATCGGATATGCTGTGTTGCTGCACCTGCTGGTCTACTCCCTGGCGCTGTCATATGCCTCCTGCACCAGGGAGGCCTCTGCCTCGAAGACTTCCCAAAACTGATTAAATGAGACTTAATAATCTGCCTCAGACTGGCGCCAGGCCTCAGGCCGGCCGCGACGTGCAGTGTATAATGAACAGATTGATGCCGTCCTCTGTGTACAAGCATATGCGCGTGAATCCTTGTATACCATCTTTATAATTGGGCACACTTGCTGTTATACCGTCTGCGATGGGAGCATCATTGTCTGCTCAGCGCGGACTGAAATGTTAACCACTATTGTACTGGCAGCCGCTCGAGCTCGCACCTTTGAATGAGACATTTTTGCCTAACCGACAACGTAGTGTGTTTTGGCCTGAAAAGAGGGAGCCACTTCAGCTGAAAGTACGAGGGACAAAATGCGCTGCAACTCACCAAAGAACAGACAAGAGGAGGCGGTCACGATATCGATCGATCGATCACAATGAACGATCGGCACTTGCTGGACGAAGCAAAGCCATGAGCCAAATCTAGAAGCGATGTGCCGGCCCCATCTGATGGCCATCACCCCTTGGCAAAAGGAATGTTCTCATAGGATGCGAGTAATCAAGTCCCTTTCAGGAATCAATTGGTATCTGTTGCGCTAATTTGCAGGCGCTTGTCTAGGTGGCAGGAACAAATAGAAAATAAGTTTGATGGGCTTGCTTTATTCCCAATAAGCAATTCAGAGAGATTGACATTCAAGAAATCTAATTCAACACAATAACTAACTTTCAAGCCAGCCGTCCTGATGAATGATGAGACTGTTGTTTGAGTGGCGCCCTCTCAAATTCACAAAGACTAGATGGAGTCTACCAGTCTGAACGTCCTGTCGCCAGCGTGCGGCCACTTTGACAGGAGAGCTTTGTGTAGAGCAAATCTTTCGACGTCTCGCACACATTGTAATTACAGCAACAGTCTTGCAGCCTGGCACAGTAAATCCAGGAGCAGTCATCCGTTGATGGCCTGTTGCGCATCACTCGGTGGAACCAGGTGTCTTTTCGGTCCTTCATGAAATGCTACAGCTTATCATGAAGTTGCGCATCCATCCCTGAGGAGGCGAGAACACAGGCCAGGGCTGAAGTGCCTGTGCATTTTGCCAGGATAGAAAGCGTGGAAGGCTTGGATCCAAGCACAGATGCAGCCATCCAGGAGGCAATGCATGCCTGCATACAGGAGACTGACTTGGATAGCCGGCTTGACAATGTGACTGACCGCACCGTGGTATGACACAGCCCCACCATTCAATGCAGGGGGTCATTAATGCATCGCGTTCAGAAAGTTGTGTGAGACAGCATGAGACCTTGCATGCTGTGGATATGCAGGGCAAAGTGCGGGATACCTACGGAGTGGCTGACAGTGACAAGCTTGTCATTGTTACCACCGACCGCCAGTCTGCATTTGATCGCCTGCTGGCCTCCATCCCCTTCAAGGTGCTCCATCTGATAAAACCCCCTGCCCTTTACCACACACCTGCATGCGCACATGCATGCATGCATCATCACATGACACACATTGTTGCCCTGACCAAAATGAGGATGACCAAATTTAAGAAGTCTGCAATTGGCTCGTGTTTGTTGCAACATGCCTACCTTGGTGCCCTGCCAAGATCTGCCGGTATCAGAAGCTCCTTCATGCGCTGCATGATAGTTCTGCGCTTAGCATGTGGTATCACGTGCCTGGGCGGTGCCTCTCTCCCTATCTCAGCAAACACCTCGCTCGTTCTTTCATCAACTGATGTGTTGCTGCCACACTTGAGGCAGCCATGATCACTGCTTCATCATCTTTTTGACCTCAGTTGTTGGGGCTCTACCCTTTCCGAGGCTCAGCTGCATGTCTCTCTGGGGACTAGTGTCAGCATCATGTGCCCCTGGGAACCTCACACCCTGACACTCTTAAACTCTTTGTTCCCAACATATCCTGCACAAACAGGATTCATGGCTGTTCAGTCACCGGTTGGGAGTTGTGGATATCAGATACCCAGGGGCAAAGGATGCTGAGGCTGATTCCCGGAGCGATATGCCGCTGAACTTGTATAACAATGCAAGTAGTCACTAAGCAATGCTGTATCGTCAACCTCGAACAAGCAGAAGTGTCTCTGTGGTGCGCAGGGGCAGGTGCTCAACCTGACGAGTGCTTGGTGGATGCAGCAGACACAGCATCTGGCAGCCAACGCTCTGCTGGACGTGCCTGACCCCAATGTCTCCATCATGCAGCGCTGCACTGTCTTCACAGTCGAATTCGTCGTCCGAGGCTTCCTCACTGGTCAGTCGCTGATCCCCTTGGGACCGCTCTTGTACTGCCGTAATGCAAATGTTGGAAGAGGCTGTCTTCGTTGATGCCGGAGGACCTCACCTAGGCTGACTAAGATCAAATTTGGAGCATCTTTTCACGCATGGGGTGTTTTGCCCTACTGTCGCACAGGCACAAATGGGATGCGCCTGCGCATGCACTGTACTTCAAGTTTGCTTGTATCGATTGAAATTTCAAGCCTCTGGCTTCTTGGTGAAGCTGCATCCGTCCTTTGCTGGTCTCCTGTTTTGTATTCTGCTGGCTTGGCAGTGATGGTTTGTGAGTGGTTGATGCAGGCAGCACTGACACATCCTTGTGGACGCACTACAAGGCAGGAGAACGCGAATACTGCGGCAACACCTTTCCTGATGGCCTGAAGAAGAACGACAGGTGCGCACATGCTGCACATTCCCTCTGCAAAAGATGCCTTCACTTGAAATGCCTCTGTCAAGGCTAGGACCTCTCTGCCTCTGCCATGAACCTGCACCTTCTCAAATCTCTATCATGGCGGCCATCAGATCACAATTTCAGCATAGCTCAGTCAGCCATATGGCAGACGGCAGAACAGGCAGACAGATCAAACCTGACTTTTTGATTAGCTGCTTGGAAGATACTTGTATGCAAGCATTTTATTTATGTGCTCAGGCTGGCGGTGAATGTGGTGACGCCCACGACTAAGGCGGCAGACCACGACGTGCCCATCAGCCCGGCAGAGATCGTGGTGCAGGGGCTCATGTCTCAGGAAGACTGGGACACGGTGCGGAACCAAGACAACACCTTTCTCAGCATCTAAATAAATGATTACTGCACAAAGTGAGCAAGCATGGGGTCTCTGCGGAAGCTGTGTGAGGTCCTTTGAGGTCAGAAAGCTGTGCATGATGCATCACAATGACCAGTGGGACAGTCTGGCACCCCAAGAAATGTCTTGACCTGCACTAAAGAGCATGTTTTGATACATGAAAAATGCAGACGCTTGAAAATGGTCAAACTGGAATCTTTTTGAAATTGAGTTCAAAATATAAACTTTTATAGAAACTTGAATTCGAACACAAGCTGGCGCGCGTTGCAGGTGAGCAACACTGCGCTGGCGCTCTTTGAGTTTGGGCAGGAGGAGGCGGCCAAGAGGGGGCTGCTGCTGGTGGACACCAAGTATGAGTTTGGCAAGGATGCCTCTGGCACCATCCGCCTTGTGGACGAAATCCACACCCCAGACTCCAGCAGGTGGGCATCATAACCCTTGATGAAATGAAAATATGTTGGGTGAAAATAAGGTCCGACTTTGTGCTTCACCCAACTGAGCTTTCAGTAGCCTTGCTGGCTGCATGTTTGTACAGAGAGGGCTGTGACAGGCGATTCACTTGATAGGGGAATGATCGGCGCAAACAGATCGCAAACAAAAGGTGGAGTTTGGAAGATGTGGCGATTAGTGTTGAGATGTTTGAAGGATGGTGATTGATGCAAACGGAAATGACAATTTCACTGATGAATGTGGTGTTGCTGTGTGCAGGTACTGGTTGGCTGACACCTATGAGGCGAGGCATGCAGCGGGCGAGGAGCCACAGAACATTGACAAGGAATTCCTGCGGCTGTGGTTCCGGGAAAACTGCGATCCTTACAACGACAAGGTGATTGCACTGCTCTTAGAGTCAGACATTGTGTTCAATTGCCGTGCTGGTCTATTAAGGGCATTGCATACTCAATCTGCAAATAAGAGGCAGAGGCGAAAGTGACTCGATGCGATCTGGGATCCACCATGAACTTATTTCCATGTGTCATATCTGTCTGCATGTCACCATGCATCGAGATGGCAGCCATCAGTTGGCCCCAAATTGTGTACTATACAGTATGTGTTGCTTTGCCTTGAAGGCTCAACACGGATGCATGAACATGCATGGCAATTTCGGTGCCTCGCCACATACTGATATTCTGATATCCTGCAGCTTGAATCACTTGCTGTGTTGCAGGTCTTGCCAGAAGCACCGGCTGAGCTGGTGAAGGAGTTGTCACGGCGCTACATTCTGCTGTACGAAAAAATCACAGGCCAGTGCTTTGAGATCCCCCCTCTGGGCACAGACCCAAAGCACCGCATGGCGGAAAATGTCAGGAAGTCCCTCAAGCGCTTGTGAGGAGACTTGCATGGGATTAACCCATTTGCCGCATACTGTATGACAAGTCTGCAGCAGCGAGAGCATGTGCTGATTTTCCTGGTGGTTGTCTGTCCAACTTTGCATGTGACATTGTATGCGACGTGATGCAGCACCAGCAAGACCAGCCTTCTATTATTTGATGTGGCGCTTATGCAATGGACTAAATGCCATAATAAAGCCAAGCTTGGCCATTCTCGCTGAGGTCACATTACAGTCTTTATGGTAACACTGACATATTTCAATCAGTAACAAGACTTGCATTGCATTGCACACAAAAACCATAGCAGCAAGTCACGCATGACGCCAGAAAGGGCCGCGGCAGCTTTGTCCTAAACCCAAACAGATGCCGAAAGTAAAGGAATATTTCTCAGAAGTTCCCACCAAGCATTGCAATGCCCACTTAGTATAGCCCTGCTCCCACTTCTAATGCATGAAACTAACTTATCACTGCAATCAGGGTTTCTTCAATCCCACCTACTTCGTCCACGCCAATCATCAAAGATAACTGACTCATTTGATTATCTTGATCACGAGTCATCAGAAACTGGAAAACTCAACGTGTGATCATGAGGACATTTCTCCAAGACATGTGCACTCTGGCAGGCACGTATAGGTATGCATGTCAGCACTGACTCGGCAAATTTGCCTGTCTGAGCAGGAATCCAAAAGACAAAATTGGGCATAAGTATATACGTAAATGACAAGACTTGAGCGAAAACGAGTCAGCCGACAACAGAGGTGGCTGCACAGACAGCCTTTCAAACACCATCTGCACTGCAACATCAGCTGAAAGTCTCTAGGGTCCAGCAAAGCTTTTGCATCTTTTCCCCTGGAAACTCTATTCCTGTCTCCATCTTGCGGGAGATTTTTCTTTTACTGATAAAAGATTGCCAGAAGTATGTCATGGTACCTGACTCACTCCAAATCTTGCATTTATACTCCAAATGGCAATGTAGTTAGAGGACCCTCACCCAAAATTAAATAAAGATTTTCAAGATGGCCAAAAACAAGCCCCCCACTAGCAACCTTATGCTGGGAACTATGCAGCGCATACCAGCGCACAAGAAAGAACAGCAATATCCCCTGTGGTGTCTCGGCTTCCTCAAAAGAGAGGAGGACAAAAGGAAAGAACTTCATTGAGAAAGATTTCCCCGATAGGGTGAGGCGGTCTTGGGATGTCGGCTGCATACATTACATGATGGAATGCTCTGGCGCCACGGTGCTGCCGTCATATTCACTGCAGTAGGAAGCTTGCAGCGTTCCCTCTTGAACTTACTAGGATCCACTGTTTTGAAGTTGCGTCCCTTGAATATAACTCCTGCAGCACGGTCCATCCCCAGAAGGAGCACACAGCGCCGCGATGCTATAATAAACGGTGGCTGTGGCTCAAATTTGCAATTTTTATCTGCGGCCCACGCCGGATGGCAGGATGTTGATGATTGGGATGCTGATGGACTTTGTGGCGACCTGGCCACTCGGTGGTGCGGCCGCTGCAGCTGCAAAAACCACATGTGGAACTGTCAGAACCTGCTGTCCTGCCGTAGTGGGAGAGTGACGTCGGTCACTCCAACTAGCTTGGGCATAATTATGCAATGCCTGCAAGAGATGCCACAGGGATTGATCAGGTCAGATGGAATTGATATGGCTGGGGATTTTGGTGAGAGCCCACCTGCTTCCTCGGGGCTCTTGACAGTCAGCTTGTTCAGGACAGAGCCGAATATCCTCGTCCGCTGCTGCGGCACGGCCGGCACCGGCGCGCCGTCAGAGCTGCCCGTTGTCTCTGCCCGCGTGCCCACCTGCTGCCCGTCAGCTCCTGGCGCAGCCGGAGTGTCCGGGAAGTTGTTGTACTGCACCACATTGAACACAGTATTACCCATCTGATGATCCACTGCTAAGATATATGCTCTGTTTGTGCGTGCAAAAGAGCAGAGCAAGAAAAATGCAGCAGACACAATATCAGCCCTTGTCACAAGACATGCTCTGCTTGCAGTCATAGCACGCACCGGGCCAGGAACAAACAAGCAGTGGCTTGCCACAGCTTCTGCTTACAGGCTGCTTCCGACGCCTCACTCTGGTGCTACAAGAGCTCAAACCATAGAAAACAAATCCTTATTTACACCATCTAAATACAGCCCACAGCAACACCCAGCCGCAAAAATAAGGCGTCCTGCAGGTAGAGGCTGCACCTGGTCTGTGAGTTGCGGCCCCTGTATCGAGGTGGTGTTCTGCTTGGTGGCAGAAATGGTGTAACCCCCCGGGGCCGACGAGGGTCCAAGGGACACGCTCACGGGCGTGGCGCCGTCATTTGACGGCGTTCCCGCCGCCGCCGCGGCCACCAGCCGGCTGCTAAAATTCGCCGCCGCGCTTGGCGCCAGAGCGTTGAGGCCCTGCAGCGGCGCCCTGAAACTGGAGCCCCTGATGGCCTGCGCAGACAGAGCAGAAATCCTTATTTGAGATCCCAGAAATGATGTGAAATGTACCTCCGCCTTGTTGATGGATCACGAATGAGATCACAGAAATGTACCTCCAGAATGATGCTAATTCTGTTGGTTGGAAACCAATGCGTCTTGTTGGTGACCGCTTGAGATATGTGTCAAGAGCCAGTTAAGGAATTCATCAGGAGCAAAGCATGAGCACATGCTGAAGCATATGGCATCAGAAGGCCTGTCCCAAAGCGCGGCCCTATGGCAAAACATTGGCATGGCTGGCATAGACAGCATGCATGAGTTCAACCACACCTACCCTATAAAGGCAAGCGGAGCTGCAACCCTTCAATCCCTGTGCAGACCAGATCGCGCACAATGCAAGCTGCACGGTTGCAGAAACAATCCCAGAAGACTTCTCAGATTTAAATTTGAAATCCAAATGCCTTACACATTCGAATTCGAGCCCTTGACAGTGCCTCACCTGCGCCAGCGTGTTGGCAGGGCCGACATATGCTTCCCGGATGCCCCAGGCCGGCAGCACAGCGTTGAAGTCGTTGTCATCGCTGGCCACGACGTGGTATGTACTGTAGGCGAAGACCTGCGCGTCCACGATGTGGATGCAGCTCGGGTCCAGCGCCAGAGGGTCGTGAGACAGCGTCCTGCAGTGGAACACATTTGACACATGTGATAAACTTTCTCATTTAGAAGTCATCTGAGGTCCTAGGGCGCAAGAAATTGCAGATATTGGTTCAGAAGGTTCTAGGGAACAGAACGAAAAGTGAATACACAGAGTGTGGCACCCAGCTGAACCCTTGAAATGTCAAATGGCTTGCCCGCTCATCAGCCTCAGCATGCTGTGCTTCCATACTGACTGAACAGCATGCCGCTTCACACAGTCCTTAGGAATGGACCAACTGCCCAGCAGCGGTGTCACCAAGGAGTGCTACGAAGGCCCTGCTTTAACTCGGTCAGACCACACTCATAGGTCTCAGAGATAAGTTTGTCTACAGCTGGCCTTGGCTGGCTGAAAATGCATGCAAGAATGCTGAAGCTACTAATTATTCTAATAAGTATGATTTTGCAGGCGAGCGCACCAGACAAAGGTGCCATTGAGGTAGACGGAGACGGTGGCGCCGATTCGCTGGCGCTGCCCAATCGCATTTTGCCCAAAACTGAGAGCGCAGATGTAGAAGTCCACCGAGCCGTCCTCCTCCGCCCGCCACTGGAACAACGCCTTGCCCGACGGCGACGTTATCTGCGCACAGCCATGCGTGAGATCGGAATTCTGATACAATTTCAAAAAAGGCGCTCACCAGAGGGACATGCATGCTAGAGCAGGCAGCGCTCAACGGCACGTGCAAACTGAGCCCATTAGGTGCCTAAAGCCCTAAACAGTAGGTGTCGTGTGAAGAGCTTTCGTGGGGTGTTCAATATGCAAGCACAAACCCAACCACGACAATACTTTGCATGTCCACAAGGGATTTAGTGCAGCCTACGAGCCCATGCATGTCACACTGTCTTGCAATATATCTGTGCAATACATCTGTGGAACGGAATCCACAGCGTGCAGAGAAACTCATCCTTCAGATTTGGAGAAGTAAATATAGGGATACAGGGGCTGCCTCACCGGAGCGCCGACCTCCGCCTTGATGTAAAAAGGCAGCTTGTTGACCATGATGGGCGCGTACTCAGACCACTTGACTCTCTTCTCCTCCACGATGCCCTTCATGACGCTCAGCTGCACAAAGTCTGCGTTCGCGCTGCTCACCATCGTCGCCTCCAGATCGTACCGCAGCAGCCGGCCCCCCGCTGTGCCGTTCAGCCCTGCATGCGCCAGAACTGGCCGTCATTTTTCGTGCCAAAAAAGGCTTCGGCCAAGTGCGCCAAAACGGGCTTTGCATATTGCGCCAAAACAAGCCGGCAACCGCCGCGCCAATTGTGGGCACCAATTCCCGCGCCAAAATGAGCTTTGCGCTTTGCCCCAAAATAGGAACCGGCCCTCCGTGGAAACACAGGCACCAGTGTTGCATGAATGCTCACGTTCTCAATAATGGGTCTCCACGATAATCTTTAGCATCCGGCTGATCGGTTGTGGGGGCATTGGGTCAGTCGCAATCCCCCACAAGCCTCCAACCTATGCACTTTTTCTTACGAGGCATGGGGACTATATGCAGCCGCAATGCATGGCCAGTAGGCACTTGAAATTGCATGAGATGGTCATGAGGGTCGGCAAGGAGAGCAGCGCACTGGTTGTGTCAACATTGATGGTGCCTTCGGATGAGTAATTCTGCGATGTGAAGGTGATGCGGTTGGGCTGTATGTGAATGTAATCTGTCACGTTGACCGGGTTGCCGGGCAGCGAGTTGATCGCAAAGTCCACCGTCATCACTCCACCATCGGTAGGCGGGGCCGTCAAGCTGCATGGCAGGAAAGAGAGGGTTCAGTAGATAGCACAGGCACAAGCAAGTCGCAAGGTTTAAGAACTGGTCAGGCCCAAGACAGCTTGCAGCGGGATGCTCCGGTTACCGAGCAGGGCATGCAGTGCTAGACATCCTGCTACTTCTTTTATCATGGCCTCTCCAGAACATCTTCCTGTCAGTTCCCGATTTTGCAACGGCGCAAACCAGCTCCTGCTTGCAGAGAGCAATCAGGTTTGGGAAACAGCTGGGATACCGAAGCAGCATGCTGACATCCATGCATGACAAGCAGAAAGGGATCCTCACAGCTTTGCACTGACAAATGAGAGGAGGCAAATCCTTGTAGGAGGATGAGAAGATGAGAACAGCGTCCCCTCGCACCCTCTTTCCGATTGAACACAGCAACATTGTGCATGCAGAATAAGCACTGGAGAGTGTGATGTAACAGCACTGTGAGCAGTACTAATCTGTGGCACGGTGTGTAAGACTCTCAAGGTGTGTAAGACTCTCAAGGTGTGTAAGACTCTCAAGGTGTGTAAGACTCTTAAGGTATAATCAAAGAGGGAGGGAACACGCACTAGACGGTGACGTTGGCGTTGCAGGTGTCGTTGTAGAAGGTCTGAACGATCGGGAAGAAATTCACGATTGGCGCGCCGCGCGGCTTGCGATCGCCATCGAGAAAGTTGTACACGATGGTCTGGTTCTGGGCGCGGTATGAGTTGTCCAGGATCTGCAGGTCTGCCTTGTTCTGCGCATTCTCCTCCGGTTGGTTGGACAGGAAGCGCTTGAGGCCGTTGTCCCACGCCTGCGCAGCCATTATAGGCGATCATCTTTTGTGCTAGGAAATATCTCTCTTCCTTTGTGCCGTACCAGCAGCTCCTTGCAGAGTTCCATGAGGAAGACCTTCTGTGCTGCAAAACTGATGGATAGCGGTACAAATTGTCGGTTTCCAATCTCAACTTGTGAAAAGTAGCGCTGCACCACACTTTCCAACATGCTTTACCCTGTGTGCCTGCAAAGGGCCGTACTTGCAGAACAGTACACAGGCAGGAGCAAAAATACTGGCGCCACTGATTTTCGGACTGACCTCACCCTGTACTTCTCATGCATGCATGCACACGCTGTGAAAGAACAACACAACTTGAGCGGCTGCAGAGCCACAAGTGGGTAAACATGCGTCCAAAGGTATGCATGCCAATGGGTGAGTCAAGGTGGATTGAGGAGGTGATCACACCTTGGCAAGGCGGCCAAAATAGTCTGGTGAGCTGCGGGTGTCGCAGGTGCTGAGGCCGCCAGTCAGCACGCCCACGATGCGCCGCGTTTTGGCGTCAATCAGAGGGCTACCGGACGATCCACCCTGGGTTGACCCCTGAGTCCAGATCACCTGCACACCCATGCAAAGCTGCTCAGAGCTGGCCCTTCGGGAGATCTGACACTGGAAAACTTCCATGCGCAACCCGGCACAGCAGGCGTTGTCCGGCAGTAACGGGTCATGGGGCAGAATCCAGAGGTTAGGTGCAGAAGGTGCGCGGATCATTCAAGCAATTGTGTGCATTTGTCCAAAGAATGCAGAACACATACACGTCAGTGCACTTGCGTTGCATCATGCGCGGTAGTTTTCGCGCACAGGGAAAGGTCACTAAGAGCAGTGCACGCAGTGCTCAAAAGGCTGGCTGCACAGGGTGGAATAGTAAGAGGGCATTGGGCGCACCTCAAAGTGGGTCCTGGTGGTCGGCTGCACCTCTCCGGGAGGGAACCGCGTCGGCGTGAACTGCGTGGAGATCCTGCAGGTGCGCGCACATGCCGTCACATGCCGCCACATGTCATATCCAGCACACCATGCAAGGCCTCCTTGTGCCAGTTCGTCAAGCTCCGTCGTCCACCCAAAGGACCCACAACCCACATCAAGCCGCCATCCAACCCAAAGGACGAGAGGCCTTTCTCACAAGACACAGCAGTAACCATACACCTTCTGCGGGAGCTGCCAGGCAAGGGAAATGTTGTGCATGGCCACTGCAATCTGTTGTCAATGTCCTACGCCTTGGTGTTGGTCATTTGTAGCTGGTAAAGAAAGGCGCACGAGTTGTTGACATAGGAGATGCGCTTGATGTTGCCGTGGGGATGGTGGATTCCCACGGCAGTGGTGGGGACTGCATCATCCTGAGCATCAAAGCCTGCACACATGCACAAAGGAATCACATTCCTTACAGGAAATCCCAGAAGTAAGAGGACAAAGGGACTCACAAACAAATTTAGAGATCCTTGTGCCCCTGTCAAATCCCCAAGCAAGAAAGCATAGTGTGCGCTTGCAGCAGAATTTGTGATGTCATTGCCCTGCAGCAACAACATACCCCCAGACAAGATGTGACCTGATCTTGCATACGCTGCCATCCAAGGGTGTTGCCGAGCAAGGCAGCTGCTCATAAAGAAAAACAAAAAGTGCCAGAAAGAGACAGGAAGCAGCAAATGCATTTCAGAGCGGCATATGCTGAATAGAGAGGTCATGCTCACCCATGTAGAATGGCTTGAACCTGTCGGGGATGGTGCTTGGCATGTCCAGCAAGAGCACGTCGGCAGCACTGTTGTAAAAGAGCAGCTTCACACCCTGCACAAATCCAGATGGGCCAATTAGAAATTAGCCGGAACATTCAAACTTCTTGGCTTCTGACACCATACTCCGCGAAGCCGCCTGATGTGATGACATCGCTAAAAAACCAGAAGCAATGTAGTGATCTACCTCGAGCCAACAAGCATGCATGCAGGTTTGAGATGCTGAGCTGACTGAGAGGTGCTGGGCTGTCATGCACGCAGATTCTGAAGCATCCAGGAATGCCATGAGCTTTTATCATACAGGCCGAGCGGGCTAGCAAGCGTGCCTGCACGACTTGGGTAAAGGGGGGCGCGGTGTCATTGTTGCAGGGGCTCTGATAGTTGAAGATGAGGAGCCAGTATTCAAAATCGCTGATCTCATTCTTGTCCGTGAAGCAGTGGTCCGCTGTCAGCAGATAGATCCTGCCCAGCGCTGCATTCACGATGGACCCTGCACGTTGCAATAATTCCCTTGCTCAAACACTTTATAATGCAATTGTAACGAATGTTGTTCTGGCATTCGCTCCCTTGAGCCCAAAAACACCCAGGATCATCACGTCAAGGATGCATGCAGATTTTCTGAAGGTTTGGATGCCAGCTTGTGTGGCTGCCGGCTCAACATCCTGCCGTCAAACAAACTATCGAAAGGTTGCTGGTCTGTGCACGACGAGCCCTCCACATGCTAATATGATCGCATGCATGCGCGACTTTGCAGCGCGCTGATGCAGATGTACATGACGTATACGGACACGACGACTTCACATATTTTCAGCATTTTCACACTTTAAATTCAGGTTTCAAAGAAAATACACGTGTGCAGAGGCTGAGCGCCTTGATGCGAGTGTTAATGGCATAGACCGCCACAAGAAACTCAAGCCCTTTCGGGCTCCATTCAAATTTCAAATCCACTTAAAATACATGTGCAGAGGCCGAGCGCTTCAATGCGCATGTTCTTGAGGAGACCGACACTAGTTTCGACTTACCTGTGCAGAGGCCGAGAGCCTTGATGCGTGTGTTGATGGCATAGACAGACACGACTCCCTGAGCCACGTCCTCCCAGGCCGGGTCGCACTCGATGCTCTGCGTGCATGGGGCGGTCGCATCGCTTGTTTGCTGCATGATAGTTGTGTCAAACTGCGACCCGGGCGTCCGCCTGCCCGTATCTTGCAGCAGCCGCCGCCGCCTTTTCTGCGCCTGCATCTCCCCGTCTGTCCCCTGCGGTGGCAGATTGTTGTTATGCGCTGTTGCTACCAGAGGTAAGGTGGGTCCGGGGACGCGAGCTGCAGCTGCAGGCTGCCAGATTTTCTACCCCTTGCTGAGCTCGCCCGAGAGAAGCAAGACCCAGTCAACCGTGGGCACTCGCAGCACTTTTACCGGCCCCTGCCAGCCGGGGCCAACACAAGGCCGCCTCAAGCGCTGAGCATCATAAGCAAGTGCGCTTCAGCAACCCCGCCGTTTGTTTGTTGGATGGGTGTCCTGACTCGGGCTGCTCTGTGTAAACAGCAGTGAATGATGCGCAATAATGGACAAGGCAAAAGTGATAATACATAGGCCAGCAACATGACAATAATGTCAGCAGGGCTGCAAAAACGCCAGAAGAAGTCCCAAATGCCAGTAGCTGCCATTCTAGTGCTTTTGCTCTGACTATATGCTTTGAAGTAGGAAAAGGAGCCAGGAAAGACTTGCCTGCAGGACATTGATGATGCGCAGCGTTGGTCGTCCACCAATCTCCGGCGCATGTGGCTGAAAGTACTCCAAATCCACTACACTGCCTGCATCGCACAAGCGCATTGTCCGTCAACCCCTGGAGCTCAGCTGAGATATATATTTTTCTGCACTTGCATCAGTGAACCTGTCTTTTACACATCCCTGCTGTGCATGCTGTGACAGGCTGCCCCGTCTAGAGGGCACCTGATTACCTGATGACCACAGGAATACAATTGTTTTTGTTCATGTGGGTGGGTCTCAGTGTCTTGTATGCATTGCGCTACCCTAACCTGGAAGAGATTGCGGAATTGTGATCCCTGTGACACTCCAAGGACAAGTCAAGGTGATTCCCATATGTCTCACCTTGAAGCAGCGGCGTGGTCAGCTTGTGGCTGTGGGGCACATCGAAGGCGCCGTAGTGCATGCAATCCCTCTCACACACTGTCCCATCGCTTGTAGACCCCGGGGAATATATGTGCAGCTCCCCGGCACTTGGCAGCCTTATATCACTGCACCCATCGCAGAAGACCAGTCAAAACATATTACCCCATAGGATCAACTGACTGTCAAATCCAAGAAGCAGGCTGTCCAAGGCCCCTTGTAAAAAGTCAGCAGCCATCCTAGAGGCATTACTGCTTTGCCAGGCATGTGGGGGCTCAGTGGAAATGTGGGGGCTTACCAAGAATGGAGGCTGAATGAGAATGTCTGTGCAGGGATCACTTATTCGTCAGGGACACTACTGAAAGGGGGAGGAGAAGAAAACAAACAAATATACCTGAAGACAAGCACGTGGTGCGAGGCACCAGGCGAGGATATTCTCAGCCGAAGGACATGTCCGCCTGTCGACAGCTCGCTCCACTCCCCATGGTCTTCCACATCAAATTCCTCCAGTCCCTGTCATGCAATAGAAACCTTTATTGGCTCTCTTTGCATTGCATGAAAGCGCAATGTCTGTACGCATCTTAGTGTCTGTGGCAACGTCCATTCTTAAGAAATCCTGGTTCAAAACCCGCTTCAAGGAGTCCTACAGGGATGTCTCTGAAGGGATGTCTTTCAAGGTGCATACACCAGGAGAGACAGACAGCAGTGCAAGCAAACGGGTCACACTTCTGGTGCTACGGCTTTGATGTTGCGCGCATGGAACCCCAGGCGATCATTGTGTTTGTCCTCGAAGCGCTCCAAGTCTGCCAAGGGCAGCTCCAATACTGGCGAGCTCCCCAGAGCCTCTTGGAGCCCCCAGCTCCTCGGAGTCTCCCCTGTACCACGACCAGGAGTGCCTCAGAGAGGTGGGCGGCCGTTTCTTTATCTCCACTAAAAGTACTAAGCTGTAATGGCATATAGCTGTCAAAATGGGAAATTTGCGTCAGAGTGTCAGCAATGCACACACCAGGTTCATCCGCACAACACAAGATATCAAAAAGATATTAAATGTTCGGATGTCCGCTAAGAATTGTACAACATCTCTCAGTGGGCATAAAACATCCACCGGTGGACCTAGGCTAACAAGTCGTTCAAGACTAGGGCATACCCGCTGCTCGCGCCGTCAGAAAGCACACTATCGCTAGGCTTGTGAGGAATGCTGGCTTCCTTAGCCACATGCCTTCAGCGATAATGTCACGCCTTCTCCGCAGACCCAAGAGCCGTTTAAAGCTGTCACGAGCGTCGCTGCAGAAAGCCTGCGACTTGCCGCTGTAATGCTTGCGGATCTTTCAAAATATATGTCAATTTCCTTCGCAATCTGCTGAAGGGATGATCTGCTGGGATTATGGGCGTTAGCTGCGCAGTGCGCACTAAGCAAGGATGTACAAAGCAGAACAGCAGCTGGCGACGAGTTGACCCTGGGAGCACTCAGCTTGTGCGACGCAAGCACCCGTCAAATGCCCCTCCTGGATCTTGTTGTTGGCTGCGTCCGTCAAAGATTGCGCTTTAGATGTACCTTCATTGTGATTCTCGTAAGACAATGCGTCATCGCGATGTGATGGCCCGAGTTCAGCGGCGTTGCTAGCCTTCCGTCGAGTTTCAAAACGAGGACAGCGAAGCATTGAGCTCCTGGAAGGTTCCTCTTTGCAGATCCTCATCATTTGTCTCAGTATCCTGCCAGTAGAGGATCACCAGCAATCACAAGCGGCTTGTGAACAGTGCCGATACCACTGGCTCTCTAGACCATCAATATGCAAGGCTTGATGACTGCCTCACTCTCGTCAAGGTGCGCCGTGCCTTGCGCTGCGACAGAGAGGAACGCGCCACATTCCGGCAGGATCGCTTCTCAGGCGCCCCGTCGTGTATTAAGCAGGGGTATCCGCAGCAAGCCCGTCCTAGATGCCGGGCAACCGTTTCTGACAGGTGAGCTGTCCCGCATTACTAGGCTATCTCCGTACGCAACATGTTTTATAAATCAAATTGGGACTACTGTACACGGCTGGCTGGTACTACGTCGCTTTGCTTCTGCCGCCAGTGTATTTCGAGTCGCTCATCCGTTCACCAAAGCTGCTGATGTCTAGAACGGACAATTTACCTGCGTTTTTGCCGTATTCAGAACACGAATCGTGTTCATCATGACAATTATGATGCTGTTGGGGATTTTGGTCGAAACTGCAATATGCCAAGTTGCATTGCTGTCCTGTCAGGAACTCCCCTAGTGGCAAAGATGGCTGGTAGGGGAGCAGGTCACAGCCGCAGGGGAAGCGTCTGCGTGCAGGCCAGCCTTGCTGGACGCCTTGGACGAGTCGTACGGTCCTACTTCTTCTTCTATGGCGACTCTGCAAGTACGCCACCCCACCTGTAGTACTGCTGTGCAGTGCCAACCTCCACCTTGCTGAACCCAGCTGGTATCTTGTAGATCGCTACACAGGTATATTGCAAGGGAAGTTTATATCAGAGAGTTTTCAGTGTACAGCATGACATGGTCACTTGGGGTATTGACAGGCTGCAGACTTTTGTAGGCCCCGCAGACGTGGCTGCAGATGCCCTGCGCGTATGCCCTATGGCCTTTGGCTTTTGGTTTGCCAACCTGCACTATCAATAATATAATAATAATTCACAGGATTGGGTTATGGCGCCTGTTTAGATGAGACAGACTGTCCCTGCAAAAACGGCGTGGTCTGATGATGTCATGTTTACTGATGGGGTTACTGGTGCGCTGCAGTGGCAGAGCTGGAGGACCCAAGGAAGCTGCTGGACCAGGCAGTGACCGACATGCAGGCAGACATGGCCAAGATGCGCTCGGCCTCTGCTCAGGTGTTTGCTATGCACCAGCCTGGCACACTCCTCACTTGGCCATGAGCTGCACTTGCCAAGCGGGTGCACAGCTGTGTCTCAAGATTCCGGTCCGTGTGACTGCCTCTGCCGCATGCTTCAGCTGCATGTGCTTTCTTGCCTTCCCATCACTTGCGCTCTTGCTGGTTGTCACATCCAAAAAGTTCTTGAGGACACCCCCAAAAGCACCTAAGCTTGCAGCCCTCCTCTAAAATCACATGCTCCAAGTTGGAGCTTGAGGTAGGAGGCTTTGTCACTGGCGATCAGGGAACGTTGTGCACCACAGCGAGCCTCCCACAGCATTTGCCTCATCGGAGTTTTTTTCTGAGTGTTTAGATGTCATGCTGGGTCCTCACTCTGACATTTAGAGTCAGGCATTGGATCAGCCCTGAGATGGCTGCAAACGATGTGATTACTGATTGCTGGATACTGGAGCAGAGTGCTCAGTTGACGACGTTGCATTCCCTGCGCGTAGGTGCAAGTTGCGCAGAGGCAGATGGAGGATCGGTACCGAGCGGCGCAGACGGCGGCCGACGACTGGAAACGTCGCGCGGAATGGGCCCTGCGCAAAGGGGACGAGGATCTGGCACGGGAGGCCCTCAAACGCCGCAAAACGTTCGAGGTAAGCAATTTTTTTTGTTCTTATTAGAATTATGGCACCAAATGCTTTCCCAGCCCAGAGGCAAGGTGCATCCTGCAGACAAGGATGACAGTTGTGGTGTGTGGTGCTCCTGCGAAGGACAGACCAGACGATGGCGCAGCAGCTTTGGTTGATTGCTTGCATCGCTGGTAGTATTGTGTGTCCGTATTCAGACCTGCTTGCGCAGGGGCTTGATTGAAGTACTTCTGCATGCGTTCTGTGGCTGACAGCTTGCCGTGTGTACATTCTCCGTAGACAACTGCCAACACGATGAAGCAGCAGCTGGAGGCGCACGTGAAGGCTTCGCAGACGCTGAGGGCCAACATAGGCATGCTGGAGAGCAAAGTTGCCGAAGCCATCTCCAAGAAGGAGACCCTCAAGGCCCGCGCCCTGTCCGCTCAGGCACGCCTCCTCCCTCGTGCCTCGCATGCATGCAAATGGGAAAAAATTGTGGTTGCATCAGGATGCAAGGAAGCTCAGTGAGCTATGGATTAGCTGCACCCACTCCCAGACATTTGGAAATCCAAGTGCTGATGTGAACGATGTGCGCAGCTGTCAACTGGCTGCATTCACACACAGGCAACATGACTTCTTATGGTGATAAGTGTCTGGTGTGAGCAGGCGACAAAGATGTTGAACGAAGAGATCTCTGGTCTGGTGGGGGGACTACGCTCCTCTTCTAATTCCTCGGTGGCGGCCTTCGCACGCATGGAGCAGAAAGTTGAACAGCTGGAGGCCGAGGCCGAGTCTGCAGGCCAGCTTGGGGTGCGCAAACATCCACTCCTTATAATATCACTGTGATTTGAAATTTGAATGCCAGACTGGGCTTCTCCGGATATCCTTTTCTGGTCACTGGCAACCAGGTGACACTTAGAGGGAGGGGCACATATTTATAATGTGCAGAGCCAGAATGAGTAATAGTTTTGCCGACACGGGAAAAGCCACTTTCTCCTAGCATCTAAATTTCTTTTGAGAGCAGCAACTATCATAGTTTGGCTGGATCCGGCCTAATGCATCAGATGCATGTCTAAGATTATCTCAAGACCAAAAGTAGTCGCTGAAGCCTTCATGACAGCTGCCTGTGCTGCAAGCCAGCTGCTAAAAACGTTTTACCTTTATTTCAATGAATTTTGAAATCAAATTGCGATGCTGCAGTTCTTCAACGATGCCCTGGAGAGCCGCTTTGCGCTCATGGAGGGAGGCAGTTCAGTGGATGATGATCTGCTCAAGCTGAAGACAGACATGCTCGCGGATGTGGGCTCTGCTCTGCCCAGCGGCCGCTCAGAAGCCCCCAAGTCCTTTGAGTTCCAGGCCAGATCCAACAACAATGTGGACATTGTGTGGCCCTGAGCTGTGGCTCATGACTTGATCGTGCTGAATTTGTATCAGCTTCAGAGTTGATTGTATTAGTGGGATCTTCACCTGTATGATACATGTGCTCAGAATTCTCCTCTGTAGGGCATTAGAGTTCATGCATGATCTGTATACCAAGGTGCAATATATTGCAACATTGCTTCATGTACCAATATCAGGGGTCTATTGAAAGCTGTCGGGTATGACTGTCTTTGCCGTGAAATCATGGCTGCCCTGTGAATGAGTCACATATTGCAATTGGGCGCCACCCATATCAAGTATGCATTGAAATGCGTTGCCTTACTTGCTGGTAAACACATCCTGGGGCCCATGGCGTCACCAGATGGCAGGCATTCATAAAATGCAAGTTGCAAGTCACGCCGCATGCCACCAAAGGCGACCATGCCAATGCCATCCCTTCTGACAAGATGCCGTCTTCCCATCAAACCATGTTGCGAGGCACGTGCACAAGAGCCCCCTAGGGCAGACAAAGGCTGACTTTCCTCATGCCAAAGTACCCTACTATATTGGGCGTTCAAAGTTCACGTTTGCAGGATGCTCAAGCCGTAATCACAAGAGTAGCTGTGTGGCGGTCACCAACAACTTCTCAGCACTTTGCTCCAAATTAAAGCTATCAAGAGCTTGCCGCAGTCAGCCGGAGTATATGAGTGACCAGCCAGTTGCTGCGGCATTCATACCAACATATTTTTGATGTGGAAATGTCTGGTGGAAGCAGGCCAGAGCAGGCCGGGGTGGGAGGGCTGCGCTCCTCTTCAAGTTGCCTCCTTGCGCGCAGCAGAAGATCGAAGGCTGAGGTTTAGCGCGCGAGACAGCTGGACATATCTGGATTATGAGTTTTTAGCAAAGAGCTCTGCAGATCAGTGCTGCCGATAGATGTTCACGCAGTAGTGTTGTTCTGCTCTGTTGGCATTTTTGCAATTGATGCGGCACCAGTGGTGCCCAGCCAAACTTCTCTGGCACGATTGTCCTGTCCCAGGATTTATCCAAATTCAGTGCATGATATGCTCAGTACCAGCAATGCCTGCAAGCGAAACTCTTCCGCAATAGCCAGTGATACAGTACACCAAGGCCTGTGAGCTGACATTGCTGCACAGCTAAGGTCTGAGGGCCGAGCTAAGTAGACGGGGGAAGCTCTGTATAGGCGACCTGCCGAAAGGAAAAATAGAATGCTTGCACTTGGACGCTTTGTCTCACTGCCCCGTGGCATCTCAGAACAGCATATGATCTTGCTAAGCTCCCCAGAGCATGCAGATGTACCAACTGTGTCAGGCACTCGTCTGCACGATAGCAGATGAAGCATATACCAGGAAAGTAACCAGTGATGTACGGCCAAGAGCAGATTGTGAAGAGCTTCCATGTGGAGAGTCTGCAAATTGGGTGCCTCACACATTCTGATTCTGTAACCCGATGTGCAACGTGTAAGCGTCAACTTACAGCATAGCGACATGGGCGGTCAATGCCCTAGCAACTGGACAGATAGATTGTCAAGAACTGACATCAGCGGGATGACAGAAACCAGTTGATCAGAATCTGCGCCACCTGTGAAACTTTTCCTCCGACAGTTTCGTAATTTAAACACCCTTGCGAGTGCAAGGTCCGAACAAGAGTTCGTGGATTGCTCTCACAACAGGTCCCGTCTAAGTATTACAAGAGAAGTCATGGCGTGCAAAGAGATTCAGAGCTTGCGAGCGAACGCGCGGCGGTAGAAAACTCGGGGCAGCCACACTTGGGCCCTGCAATAGCTTCCGTTACCCAACCTAGCTGAGCTCGGGACGGATCAAAATCGTGGATACTGGAGCGAAGACACTTTGCAGATGAAGTCTCTGGCGGTAGCATGGATCGCTTGCATATGCACAGCGTATGTAGCAGGTCTAGCCGGGGATAAAGGCATACTTCCCGACTACAGCGGCTTCATCCGAGTCCAAGGGGGCAAGTTTGTGGACGCAGACTGCAACCAATTCCCTGTGACAGGGCTCAATGCGTGAGTTACAAGTCCCTCTCAGCTGCTTACGACGGTGATCAGGGCAGCCAGATGCCGTTTGTTCGTTCCGACATATTTGAGGGCTTGGCGCTGATCTCAAGAACCTTCCGAAGGGAGGGCGTCATAGGGGGCGACGTTTGTTGAGATGCCGTGCTCATCGGCAATATGATGGTATGCAGAATCATTACAAGAGTGTGTGGCCTTCCCACACTCCGGGCGTGCGATTATAGGCTTGTTCGTTACTTCCCACCACCCATCATCGCTGCTTTCGAAAACATGAACCGGGGTGATCAAACCTCTTTTGGGCGTCGTTTGATGACGTTTTATGTCCACAGCGTTGCGCAGTGCTGTGTGACAGTGAAGGGATGAGACACACAAACACTTCAGCTCGTCATGGCATTTGCCTGCCCTAACAGCACTGCTTGGGCTCCTGGCATTCCTCTGTCAGTCGCGGCAGCGCACTGACCTGCTTCCAGACTTGCCAGGACACAAGGATGCAGCTGCAGGGAGCATATGCACCATGTGATTACAGACAGTTGGCAGGCCGTCTCTGAGGCCCCTTGTCAGCCTGCACTTCTGGTGTCATGTTTTCATACCTGACAATTAGAGCATCTATAGTTGTTGAGCAAGGCTGCGGCCCTGCGCAAGGTCCAGACCAGTGAGCTGCAGCGCTTGCAAGACCAGCAAGGGGCGAGGGGCTCTAGGGGTCAATTTCCTGCAGCCGGGGAAGCTAGGCAGAAGGGGCGATCAGGCAGCCGACACCTGCACGCAGCACAGCCACCCACCAACTTGAAAGAACACAGAAGGTCACGATTAACAAGAAGGAATGTGAGCTACAGGTGGCAAAGAAAGCACGCAGCACAGCCAAAAGAACAGATATGCGAGGAATAAACAAGAGGGGATGTGCGGTGCAGGTGGGACATGATGGAATGTGGAGCAGGCTTCACATATGATGCAGACACAAACCTGACCGGCCCCGAGGCGATCCGGTTCACCTTCCAGGCAGCTGCCTCTAACGGGCTCACAGTTGTGCGCACCTTTGGACACGGCCACGATGCCTTCAAATCCATCGTGCTGCAGCCCAGAGCAGGCGAGCATCCCCTGCCGTTTTGAACATGCCTGCTCCCTGCATGCACCCTTCCTCTAAGGGCTATATTTATAAGCAATAAACAAGGGCAGGCGCGCAGCCCTGCCCTAATTACTGCCCCTGCTCCCTGCAAATGCACAGGGCTTACTTGATTACCACAAACTGCATTTATGTCTGCATGCACCTCTCTCTGAGAAGTGATTGGTCACCAGGACTGTACTGCTGCCTTCATGCTGCTTCCTCTGAGGGCTGATGATTAAAGATGAAATGCAGCCGTACCTGCATGCCTTTTGTGTGAGGCCTACTCGATGAATAGGAGAAAATTTCTTTACATCAATCTGCTGCACAAATGAAAAGGCTCTGCATGTAGGGAACACTCAAGGCTTTGGCTCAGCCTCGGTGCAATGCAGCTGTCATAGCCTTTGCGGGGGCCTGTGTCAGGTGGACACAAGGGGTCTTGATGTGACAGGGTGATGTTTTGCTGCAGGCGTCTACAATGAGACAGCCTTCCGGGGGCTGGACTTTGTGTTGGACCAGGCATCGCACTATGGCGTCAAGGTCATGTTCACGCTCACCAACAACTGGAAGACCTTTGACAGCAAGTACAATGTGCGCAGCCCTCCTGCCTCCCTTTTGTGTTGTGCATGTTTGGTAAGTATTTATTTCTCATTGCATCAGTATGCATCTGGAAAGCACTGATCCCATAACAATCTTCAAGCCATTGACTCCCAAGCGACAAGGCTTGGGGAAAGGTAGAGCTGGAAAAAGGAGTGTTAGGCAAATCTTTCTTTCTTGGCATTTTGGGGCAGGGGAAATACACAACAAATTGGCAGGACAAGGGGACTAAAGGAGCTGTGAGGTCTGAGCTTGTGCTGGGTGTATGGTTCAGTATGTGAAGTGGGCGAATCAGACAGACCTGGACGCCTTTTGGACGGACGCCAAAGTGAAGCGGCTGTTCAAGAATCACATCTATGCCATGACCTCCAGAATCAATGTCTATAATGGTGCGCCCCTTTCTCTTTTCTACTCTTTCTTCAGCACCCACCATTTCTGACACTATTGCATGTACTGCTCTTGCAAATGAGTTGGTTAATAGCATACCAACCCACATTATGCATGCAATGTTCTACCTTTTGTGGAAAATGGAAGCAGTGGTCACACGAGTGAGTTCTCTGCTTTCAAATGAAAATAGTGATCACACGATTGATTCCTCTGCTTTGTGAGATGGGAGCTTGGCTCGCGTGATCAAATCCTCTGCATGTAAGAGATAAGTTGTGCCTAATATCTGTGTCATGCTGGCAGGGAGGAGGTATAGGGACGATCCGGCGATCTTTGGCTGGGATCTCATAAACGAGCCGCGCTGCAACTGCTTCCCCAGCAAGCTGCCTCCCTCCTCTGAGTGGGACACTCTGGAGGGCTCCTGCAGCCCCACCTGCGCCAACAAGATCACTGTGAGATCCCTTCATCTCCCTTCATTTCCCTTCATCTCTTCCCATCCCTTCATACCCCCGCCTGCCTCATCCACCTGTTCTCCTGTGCGCACCAAAATTTCAGCCTGCAAGATTGTGTTCACTGTTACCGCACGACCTGGAACCTGCAGCATATACGAGGAGTGTCATTTTCGCCGCTGCCGATGCTGTCCTTGGAGCTGCACTCCTGCGTCAGGCTTAGATTGCTCAAGGGCGCCATGGAAGAGAGTTAGAGATACTCTTACCATGCGTGGAAATATTAATCGAAGCGAGGACTTAACCTTGATCGCCGCTATGAAGGCATAAATTGCAGCTGTTCTGCGCGCAAGTGTACTATCACCGAGCGCACTTGTAATATCAAATCCAAAATCGTTAGCTGCTGGGCTGCAGGCGTGGGTGCACGAGATGGCTGCATACCTGAAAGAGAAGGACCCAAATCACCTGGTGACCGTGGGATTGGAGGGCTTCTGGGGCGCGCATGCACCGGAGGCTCTGGAATTCAATCCCCTGCCAGGGGACAACGGGGAGCTGAGCTGGACGTCGCTGACTGGACAAAACTTCACTGCGCAGCACGACTCACCCCACATCGACTTCTGCGCCGCGCACTACTGGCCAGACCTCTGGGTGAGCGCCCTTTTTCTGGCTCTGCTTACATGCACCTTCCTATATATTGTGTCACCTATATCACTCACTGTGCCTCCCCCGGCCCCTTACCTGCGCTTATGTCCAAGTGTTGACCGGCCCTGTGTTTCACGCCCGCCTGTATGTCAGACAGAAGGGCTCCCAAGTATGCATGGCAATCGACCGGTGCCTTGCAGACTTGAGGCATTGATAGATTTCAGTGAGCGGGTTCATTTTGCACATTGAAGGAGAGCACTTCCTAGGAGGTTGCACGCAAGGGTCTGTCACTTTTGTAAATGCAAGTACTGATGCAGCGCATGCATGCGCAGGTTGGCAACGAGAATCAGGCGTTCCTGTCAAAGTGGATAGACAGCCACGCGGGCGCGTGCAAGGCCATCGGGAAGCCCTTTGTGCTGGAGGAGTTTGGCAAGAATGTGACTGCCAAGGCCAAGACTCCCGAGGAGTGGAAGGCCCGGCGGACTCCCATGTTCTCGCACGCCTACTCCGAGTACATCTCCAGCCTTGAGAGCGGTGGCAACTACCAAGGTGCGGCTCTGTCTCTTCATTATTAGCTCATTCCCATAGAAGAATTCATGTTTCCTCTAGCATCGAGCAGATGACACTCAGCGGCCTTCTCAGCACCGCTTAGGAGCAGTGTCAAGAGGACCTGGAGACATTGGGTTGGTGATGCCTTTCTTGCCTGGCAGGCCGTTGTCATTCGTAAATGGAAGTCCAGAGAGTCACGTGAGCTGCACAAACCTGCAATTCTTTCATTTCAGTTGTGCAAGAGGCCTTCAACGCTCCTTGTGCACGTGCCGTCAATGCACTCACATCTTCTTGACAAAGATGCAAATGCTTGGCACAGAATATAAGAAACAGACAAGTCCTGATCGCATGCTGCTCTTTTATGCGCCTCCCTGACAGTCCTGCCCAGGAGCGGTAATGATGACTGATGATGACTGATGATCACTACGCGCGCACAGGCACCATGTTCTGGAAGTGGGCGCTGTCGCCGAAGAATCCACGCGACGATTTCCTGACGGTGGCGGCTCCGGACCCAACCTTCACGGACATCGTGGTGCCCGGCGCCAAGTCAGCGCTGGAATTCGCCAAGCGCTCGTCGCCCCTGCAGAACTGCGTCAAGGTGGTGCCCACCCCCTGCATCCTGAGGAAAGTTGCATCCATGCTTGAGCCTGTGTGGTATCTCGGTGGCGTCAAGCAGACCTGCACTGCAAGATGCCGTGAATTGGCATCTCCCAGTTTTTCTCATAAGCACTATAGTGTACCAAACCTTATCGCTTACTGAGCTGCAGAGGTGACGCTACGCATGTGCCCGCAGGTGACGAAGCAGGACAGCTCAGCGCTGCGAACGGACGCGTGGGATCGCACGTTGTCGGACTGGCTGCGGCGAGCGGATGAGGCAAACCACGAGGTGGCCGTGGAAGCCAAGCGAAACCACACCCACCACGTGCACTCAGTGCTCGGCGGGAAATCAATCCTGACTGACACAGAGATCACCATGCCCGAGGATGATCTGGCCAGCCAGGTGTGGCCCTTGATCTCTGCTGCCTGCATCGCCTGCCGCAGAGGATTTCTCCTCTGGTGCCGGCTGATACTGTTCCCATGCAACATGCCATTGGTATGCTGGAGCACCCATTGATTTCGGTGTTTGTGTTAATGACTATGTGTTAATGACAAAGGACCGAGGTACAAAAAAAGCCTGAAGATGGTGCCAATGCCTTAGCATCCGCATAATCCTAAGGCTCCAAGGGACGGCAGCAGCAAGCTATGCAGGAGTTTGTCGGCCTGTAATTTGCATTTGAGAAGATCTGCGCATAAGCGCAGGTCAATGACACGGAGCTGATGCCGGCGCTCAGCACGGCTTTTTCGGACGAGGCCGCCTCGGCGTCTTCAGAGGGCCTCGAGACGATCTTTGACGCGCAGCGCGCGCAGCGCGCGGCCGACGCCGAGATCGCCGCGGCCGAATCGGCCGCCACCGAGGCCGCCAAGGCTGACGCCGCCGACGCCGCCGACGACGGCGCGCCGGCTGGTGACGCGCAAGAAGAAACGGACGCAGCGGACCAGAAAGAAAAGGAAAAAGAAAAAGAGGGGCAGCGGGAGGGCTCGAACCGCGGGGGACTTGAGGAAGAGGCGGCGCCATCGGAGAACACCGGGCAGGAGCGGGCGGCGCGGCTGGCGGCGCGGGCGTCGGTGCGCGCGCGAAAAACGGAGCAGGAGGCAGAGGGGGATTCGGGGCAGCAGCCTGGGTCCCAGGTGTGGCACGTGATCTGGTCCCTCTGGCGGGGATGAGGGGGGCAGATGGGAGCAGTTTTGTGGTGCTCGGCGGGGGTGAGGGGCCTACTTTTTATAGGGTTTGCGTGCGCCACTCAATTCCCCTGCGGTCGGGCATGAATCCCTGTGATTGCCCTGTGACCCCCAGGCGTGGACCCTTTGCAAGCCCATCAGTGCGGCCCCCATTATCCCCTTTATCCCCCAATCTCCAGGCGATGACCCTTTCTATACCGTCCCCTTGTACCTGTGTTTGCACTCTTGAAAAAATCCCGTTGCTGGCCAAGCCATGAAGAGGCTGATCCTGTGGTTGTTTTGCTTGGGAAGGCGAGGTCGCCTTTCCTTGCTGCAGCTTGATCTTGCTATGGTATCTTTCAATAGAAGTGCTAAGTGCAGCATAAGGGGGCATATTATGAGGTTGCTGATGTCAAAGCATGCGCCGGGCCTGCAGGATCCAGTGCCTTCGCACCACAGACACGCCAAGTCCGTCCAGACAGATGACAGCAACGCCATGGCAGCCAACCCTCAGACAGCGGCCAATCTGCAAGCGGGGTGCACAGAAGGCGCTGCAAGGAATGGCGGGCGAAGATGACAGGCTCTGAAGTCCCTGGCATTGCCAGGAGCCGTCAGATTTGAAAGCCGTTCCCCACTTGTGTGTTTTGCTGCCGTGCTGTTTTTCATTGCCAGCATTGGAAACCCCCGAGGGAAATACTGCCAGCCAGCCTTTCAATGTTAGGCACCCCTGTTTAGCAGCAGTATCCGATCAGTGACTCTTCAGGCAAGAGCGGGAGCCTATTTGCTTCCGCAGAGCTTCAGATGAAGCATGGTGACATTTCCCCCTGCCCAACAGATGGCAGGGTCGCAACGATTGAGTTGTGCGGCCATCTCTCATGGCTGTGTCTGCCTAGCAAATACATGAAACATGCAAGAACGGAAACAGAATCAAAGTTCTGCCATTGGGCGGGATAGGACACATAATGATGGGTTCTCCAGAACGCTGTTTGATTCGGGTAACAAATGCTTCGGGGAACCTTGTTCATGGGCTCACAGGAGCAATTAGGGCTGATTTCATTCAGCTGTCTGATGCTGGGCTGTCTCAAATACAGCACCTCAATATGGACCGGCATGCAACAGCAGAGAGGTATTCAATTCAAGTCTTTAGGTGCAAATCTCAAATTTTCGTGCCGGTGAACACGTGCAATCTATGAACGAGGAACTTTTGGAACAGACAAGAAATTTGTGATATTCTGTTTACAGATCGTACAGTGCTACAGAGTTGGATGAAGTGGTGGTTTCTGCTTTGCTCTTTTAGGATTGCATGCATGCAGGAGAGACGCCCTATTATTGAGTTCCCGTGAGATTTGAGCACCAAAAGTTCTGTGTTTGCAAGCATATGCATCTGTACGACTGAGCAACAAAACACCCTAAACGACGCTGATGCGAGACAGGGTGAAGAAAAATGAGGATATGCTTGAGAGGGGCTAGTCCGTCATGAGATCATGAGGTGACACTGGTCCATTAAGTTCAAAGTGTTTCTGGCAGGCAGAGAGATGGTGATGTACTCGAGAAACTCATTCTGCTGCACTGAACTTACGTGTACCTGCCTCTTTGCACGCATTCAGACTCGCGTAGATAATTCGCACGAATCTGATGAATTGCACGTCCCGCAAGAGATTCGAGATCTTGGGATCAAACATCAACATATTCTCACAATGCTTTACAAGCCAACAACTGGCTCCCTGCTCTGCATGTATTCTCAAAAGTCTTCTCAATTGGGGCAACAATCCCTACATCCCCTTGGCAACCCCTGAAAAGCAGCGCTTAACAACAGAAGCTGGCCAAGTGGCTAGCCTATTGCTGCACCCTTCCACTCCACTGATATGGCAAATATCAGAGCCACAATTCAGGCAAACCATCAGAAATCCATTTCCTCGTGCGCCCCGCGGCGAACAATGCCGGAAAATTTGGGCGGCCAGTGCAGAATGGCAGCACACCTACCTTGGCACACTGAGTGTGGATAATGGACTCTGTGTGGGACCTACAAACTGCGCGCCTGCTGCAAATGCTGCAAATGTTTCTTCTCCTCTCCGGGTGCTGCTCAGACCTCCTGGACCTCCTCTAGGGAGTAGTTGTTGGTGCTCACTCCGGCGTAGTTCACAGTGGGGAAACGCACAACTACCGGGTAGCGGATGCCGCTCTGCGCGCGAAAGAAAGAACAAATCTTCAGTTCACCATGCATGTGGATATTGGGTTCCTTACCACACACAGCAGACAGACACCAGCACACCCACACCAAGACACAGGTGTACACCAGAAAAGGGTCGGATCGCAATTTGTTGCAGCAGGCAAGATACTGCATCCCAAAGTTCTATATTTACAAAGCTCTTCACCCTGAAAACTTGCTGAAAGGTTGCAGTGATCAAGCTCTGCCACCCTGAAAAGCTGCAGCGCTCCAAAGCAAGGATGCTGGAGGTCTGTGTGCAGATATGTTGAATAAATTGTTCCTGGACAGAAGGGGGCGGCTTACCTGGTCTACTGACACCACCTTGCCGACCTCGTTGAACCAGTAGGACTCAGGCCTGAGCACCTTCACCTGCACACACCACAGTCTCCTTTCAGAAAGTAACAAGGTGTCACATCGCATTGGGAGCTACATCGCCTAGATTTCTTGATCTGCAGCACTATCAGTCGCCCTTCGTCACTTCTTGAAGGGATGGCATGCACAACGCTGCAAAAAACCCCTTTGCCAGCCTGTCACGCAGCCATAAGCACAACATCTAAAGCACCAGATGTGCGTGCTTGCATGCTGTCACTGATTCTGAGCTCTGCATGGCGCCGAGCTCCCGGCTATCACAGCTGAGATCAGGCCGTGACCGAGCCAAGCTTCACATCCCTGTCACATCCCTCCTAACAGGCGCTGTCATATTTGACAGGTGAAACTGGCAGCTTAGGGTCCACTTTGTACTATAAAGAAGAGCAGTGAAGACTGCCCACAAGGCCAATGAGCCTCAGGTGGCTCCCAATAGGTATCTAGAATGTAATAATAAAGTGAATCACAGATTTTTGGGGCATGTTCTGGAGGGAGCTGCTCACCGCAGAGCCGCGCTTGGGGCCGATGGCGGGCTTGTCTCCCTTGCCCTCTGTGGCCTTGGCGCCCATAGGCTGTGACTTCTGGCCTGCCACGGCCCTGTCACCCTCTGGTGCAAGCCTGCGCAGCATCACAGCCAGTCAGCACACCCGACCCGCCAGAGCCGTTTCTCACCCTGCCGCACATTCTCAGGATATGCATGCACCTTGCTGGCCAAGGCACCAGATACCGTGCATATCACAAACCAACATTGAAGCAACAAGTCAAGCGGCAGAGCGTTATATCTCCAGGAAGTCGTTGGGGGGATCTGGGAAAGGGGGATCCTCTGAACGCACCCTGCCTCGGGGGTCTGTGCCTGCTTGCCGTCTTCAGCGCGCACCCTCAAGGCTCCACGAGCTGCTGGCCTCACAGAGCCTGCAAGCATCAGCGAATGAGTGTGCAGCAGGTACATGTGTTGAGTGTGCAAGCAAGGGGGCACCTCTATCACTTCCCTTTGACAATCTGAAGGTAGATATGTGCAACACATCCAAAATGCTAGAGCCAGATCCGCTTGCAGAAGCCCTCGGGAGCATGAGATTCAACAGAATGCTTGGATTGCTGATCAGGACAGGGATGCACTTCCCAAGTGATGTCCGCTTTGCAACGTGCCATGAATGCCCATGACATGCGGATTCAATCGCTCAGTAGACCTTTTGTTCGTTCTGCATTTCTTAAAGTCGATCCCTGGAACTTCACGAATATTTCCTCTTTGACAAATTGGGCTCCTCCCTGAGCCATCTGCACCTCTGCGGGAGGCTTGCTGCACCCCATCGCCTAACCACTGGCGACTTGGACACAACCCTGTCACTGAGACGAGCCGATGCTGCTTCAGTGTGCCTGGCCGCGCCTACCTGCGACGCGAGCCCTGGGCACCCGAGTGCCGGTGAGGGACCTGGCCGCGAGGGAGGAGCCAGTGGAGCAGACAAGAGACGCCATGGATGCTAAGCTTCAACGGTCCCCTGCGAGCGTCCTGGACGTCTGTTGCCCTGAAATGGCTGCAGCTTCGCGAGTAATCGTCGTTCAGCAAGGCTTGGGATTCAGAAGAATCCTGATGAGGATAAGAGGGAGGCATCGCCAGATCTGCCCGGTATTCCCCTTTTCACATCGCCGTGTTTTAACGTGGCAAATTCCTCGAGTCAAAACCTATTTAAATCCCTCGGCTTAGAGGGGGCCAAGGCACTCAATCTTAGAGGGTTTGCTTTCGGTGCATATACGTTTCAGCAGATATTATTACTTGATATTTTTTTACAAGTTTTAGAAGTTATAAAATATCGAAAGACAGAGTCGGCTTTCGGCTCCAGGAACAGCAGTAAAGCAACTGAATCCATTGTCCTGGTTCCATCTTGGAAGCGTTCAGCGAGCTGTAGGCTCGTAAATTGCACTTTTTTAATCCAATGATCGATCTAAGAAGTGATACGTCGACACGGCCCACAGTGGCCATGCGGCAAGCCATGGCTGAGGTGTGGCAACGCTCCAGAGCGCGCAGATCGCTAATGCTTCGTGCCTGGCCATTCCTGTCGATCTGATATGAAGAAACGGAAAGTCTTGGTACTGATTCCAGTAACATCTTGGGCAATCTCATCCCACAGGCCGAGGTCGGGGACGACGTCTATGGAGAGGATCCCACTGTCTTGAGGCTCCAGGAGCTGGCTGCAAAGACTGTGGGCAAGGAAGCAGCAATCTGGGTGCCAACAGGCACCATGGGGAACCTGAGCGCCGTCCTGGCTCACTGTTATGAGCGTGGCTCTGAGGTACATCCTGTGCATATCTTAGTGGCATGCATGTATACCTGGCAACCTTGGAGCACATCTCGGCCTTGGATTGATGCCTTGAAAATGGTGTCACCTTTCGTGGCCAGGTCATTGTGGGGGACCAGTCGCATGTGTACCAGTATGAAGCAGGAGGCATGAGCGGCCTGGGAGGCGTTGCCTTCAATGTTGTCCCAACACAGCGGAATGGGGAGCTTGCTTTGGAGGACCTCATGGAAGCTGTCAGGTGAATACGCGCTTGGTAACTTGCTCAGATCTATTTCCACTGCATGCACGGCAGAGTTGGCATGCACAGTAGTACATTCTGTACTGCGACTCTCACGGCTCCCGATGAGAGCAACCGTGTGCTGAGTAAAGCAGCTGTCAGCCTATTGACCAGTCTGCTGGCAAAAGAGTAGCACTAGGCAACACAATCAAAGTCAATCCCTTATTAGTCGTTCTTGCATGCTTCTGTAGGCCCGATGACCAGCACTGTGCCCGCACAGCGCTCATCTGCCTCGAGAACACCCACAACCGGTGTGGTGGAACTGCACTGTCTCTGGAGTACATGAGGAAAGTCAAGACATTTGCGGACGCCAAGGTCAGCTGCCCTCATCGTCGTCACAAAGCTTACGGCCTGAAGATCATGAATGTCTTTATCGCTCTAGAACTCCACGGTATGGCTGTTTGTTTCCTTGCGAGCAATGGAGTATCCCATTTGCGCACAAAATAGCAGTAGTGCTGCAGTTTGATGCCTTGGGTGATGCCGCTGCAGGGCTTGCCAGTGCACCTGGATGGAGCACGGGTATTCAATGCAGCAGTGAGCCTGGGAGTCCATGTCAGCGCTGTTACAGATCTTGTCACCAGCGTCCAGTTTTGTCTGTCCAAGGTGCACCCTCAATGCCCACCACCTGTGTAGTACTACACTTTTCCAAATGTACAGGGCAGGAAATATCTGCATGCTCAGCAGCCCGACGCACTTCAATCCTTCTGATGGTCTCTCCACTCGACTGACATATGATTAGGGGTGACAGCCTGCCAGGCGAGCCATCCTTAGTCATCCTTACTTTTGTGTAGCAATATGTAGCGTTGTACTGCTATACTGCAAAGTACACATGCAGCACCAGACTATGATCAGCAGGACACGTAGCATTAGGAAGCTGCCAGTGGACATGATTGCAAGGATTTAAATGGCCAGTACACTAACATGGCTTGGCAAATGCTGCAGGGTCTTGGAGCACCAGCTGGCTCCATAGTGGCCGGACCAAAGCCAATCATTGACCGTGTGCACCGGCTACGCAAGATGTTGGGCGGAGGAATGCGTCAAGTGGGCGTTCTAGCAGCGCCTGGTTTGTCATATTCTTTTCTCTTGCCTGCCAAACCTGCACAAGTTATTCCGGTATCTTGCAATCCCTGAAAGGTATTTAAGGAGGCTTCAGGGGCACAACTTGGAGGCTGTAGAGAGTGTGATGTGCTCATGCATGTTTGCATGCAGGGCTACTTGCGCTCACGGAAATGTCAAAGCGATTGGAAGAAGACCACAGAAATGCGCAGCACCTTGCAAAGGGACTGGCCAGCCTACCAGATGTGGACATTGATTTGGACCTGGTAAGAAGAGTTTTGCATGTAATGCACTGTGTATTGCATTGCCTCAAAGCTGTTCAAGAAGCCGCCTGCAGCCCATATGCATCAAGAATTTTTCTCTGCACGAGATGTGGTCTTGATCACGGGGTTTGTTGGCAGGTTCACTCGAACATTGTTACCTTCAGACTGCGCCACAGTTCTGCCTCTGCTGTTTATGGCTTGGTGAAAGGCTTGCAGGGGCGCAATGTCCTGGCCCTGCCTTTCAGGTAATTGATCCTGTCTCCTCTTATGCATGGGATCTTGAATGCTATCACTGCATTGCAGGACTGAATTGGTAGAAGGCCATCAATGATTGTAGACAGCTGCATTGGCCTTGAGGGATCACTTACCAGAATTGCTATGCTGCACCGCAGAGCTGGCGTGAGACTTGTGACGCACAATGACGTGAGTTTCAAGGACTGCCAAGTCGCGCTTGATGCAATCAAGGATGTCCTGGAATCTATGAGGGACAACACTACATATACAAATGGGTCGGGCACAGATGAAACCTTCGCACCCACAGGGTACCAGTAGGTCATGTAGTAAATGACTGACAGAACATCATCTGACCCAGATTCGGAAAAGATATCCTTGTGATTACTACTGTATGTATGTCCATTAAATTCTTCCAAGCCGCTTGCCATGTGGCAATTGTACAGTACTTTTTCTTGTGCGACTTGCTGAGGGACGATCAGTACATGTGCTGCCTCGATGTATGTTTACAAGCATTTTAACATTCATTATATAGCGCTGCATCAGCAATGTGGGTGGAAAGCTATTTGGTGGTACTAGCTCATGCACTTGCTTGTCTAGATGCACTGGGATTTCCCCAAAATGGAAAATTGACGAGCAGGATTGCAAACACCGAGTTGAATGGATTCTAAATTTAGAATAGAATTTTTGGATAGAATCTATATATTTTTAATATATAATACACTACGTTTCTGCTCAAATTTTGCTCTGTTCCACTCACGTTCTTGCTTGCATGCCTAGGGCCCCCCAAGCAGTGTTCAGGGGATCTTTCCTTTTCCTCATATATGCTCGACCATTTTTGCCTGGACTATGGGGCACTGCTCGGTGCACGATAAATATGAAGTGCTCCACAACTGACTTAAATTCTAAAAGCTGATCACAGCTCCTGCAGGGCGGTGAGATAGGTGTCAGGCAAGTGGTGGGGCATGGTGGAACACAGTAGCTGCATCTTATCGTTTATAAGGCATGGCTGTGCATCTCCTCAGATTCGCGGGGCAGGATCAGGTGACCGAGCGCATAGCGCTGCGCACAGAAAGCCAGGTGATGTCCCGTGAGGTTTCTCTGCTGGGATTGGGCTGGAGCAGTCGTCAGAAACGCAGCATACTTCAGGCGCTCCCAGGACATGTCTGCTCCGTGCCGCAGCAATGCCTGCATGCGTACTGTGCACTTTGCATCGATTTTTGTGAGTGGAGGAAACATTGCACGGTCACTATGTACTACTATTGAGAGTTGTCCCCACCTCTTTTATATCATGGATGGCACCACGCGTGGTTCGCTTGTTTGGCAGGACTCCTTAGGCCACCTGGGGAAACAAGTGAACCACGCGTGGTGCCATCCATGATATAAAAGAGGTGGGGACAACTCTCAATTGCAGCACATACTGACCGTGCAATGTTTCCTCTACTCAGAAAAATCGATGCAAAGTTCACAGTACGCATGCAGGCATTGCAAACGAAAGCCAACGAACCTTGTTGACTGCCAAAAGAGATGTCAAAGGAGGCTCCACCAAACACACCCATTAGTGATTTCTAGACGGTTGGCTAGGGGGCATCATGTCACCTGCGTCAGACGATACCGCCCAAGCAACAGACTGGAAAACACTGGAAGCCGGCAGCATACTTTTTCCCCCCCTCTTAAGCCGACAATTGTGCAGGTCTGTGATCCACTAGACCCTCATACACTAGCTTGCCCTGTAGGCGGGGCGATCTATCAAGTTGAAGAGATGGGATATGATGTGGAGATAAGAGGTCAGCTGACCTTCAGGCCCTCCAGTGTGGAAGTGACCTGGCGGCCGAATTTGGCAGCGGCAGTACGCACGGGCGATGCAGCGGCCAGCTCCAGAAAGGCGCCCTCCACGCTCGCAGCACTTAGCCGAGGCACCACGTCCGCCCTGCGCAATGTGCCACATTGTTTGTGCTTGGTCACACACCACCAGCAAAAGCTTTATTGAAGCGCTGTGTTTTGCGGGGAACAAATTGCTGGGTGAGAAAGGCATATTTTACAGGTGAAGAGCACTGGTAAGAGGATGACTAGCTCAGTGCAGGGACGCTCCTCAGCATGATGAAGGTGACTCTTGGCCCGTCGTGCTCTCCTAATAAGTGCGATTACACAAAATGCAAAAGCAGCAACGTTACCACCTGCTGCTCCTGATTGCAGCATATTGTGGTGTTTAACGGAAGGCAAACGCACCCGTACACAAAAGACGTGGTGAAGGGCGTGACCATCTCGGCTAGTTCCAGGCTGAAGACCGCAGCGCAGCTGCCACGCCACCTGTTTTGCAATGCAAATGACTTCTGGTTCATGCACGTAGAATGACCTCCTGACTGATTTGAAAACTCTGGCAGTTGCTAGAACATTGCTGATTGGCGAGCTTGACCACACCCCATTATAGCTCTTCATGTGCATGTAGAAAAAGAACACCCAGAGGGAAGAGGCCACGACTCGCAATCAGAGTTGTCCAGGGCATGAACGGACAATTCATGGCGTGTAAAGAGGAAAGCACGAATGCGAGAAAGCAGCAGCTTTGCCAGTGGCCCTCACCGCCATAGGAGTGGCCGGTGACCAGCACATGCCAGCCAGGAAACCTCTGCGCAGCTGCCTCCATAGCTTCCACAGTATTGCAATGCACGAATGTAGCGGCAGACATCATTCCCTCATGCACCTGCAGCATACATTTTTGGCCTCTCAGCCTTGACCTGGTGAATTTGTAGCCCTATATGAACCCTCAATCGCTGCTAACAGTCGTGTTGATGGGTTGTCTGCTGCTCACCCACCTTGCCTTGCACCCCCATCAGGGTCATCTCCATGGGTACCGCAGTCACATCTGAAAGCATGTCGCCCACTTCCAGGGAGCCCCTGTGCATGCATGCGAAATTTGCCAATCCAACATATACAAGTGTCGAAGGTGGCGACCCTGTCTCTGCCTTATATGCAACTGCTCTGCTTGCGTAACATCTGCGCAAATGCTAACATCCCACGGCTTAGCAAGCCACAACAACTAGTACTGTATGTACGACATGCTTCATTTCACAAAAAGGCAGAATGGCATACCGGGACAGAATGCCGTTCCTGTGCATTCCGTGAAGTGAGACATGTGAGACATGTGCTCCAGCTTACACTTTGCAGGGCTGAGCGCACCTGATTGCCACAACAATGCAGTGGTTGGCGAGGTCTGCAGCCACATAGTGGCAGGGGCGGCCGATGCTGTTGTTCCACTCTGCCATCAGCAAATGGCCAGGCATCACACCCGCCAGGTTTGACACCGCCTCATTGTTTGCCTCGCCTGACGCGCCGCCCGCTGCACAGAAGTCAAACTGATGCACCTGCGCATGTTAATTCACCCTTAAGACCCAACTGACCTACGCCAACTCATGCAAGCAAGGACCAACTTTGACAGTCAATGGGCAGTTCGTGGGCATCTTCTACTCCAGACATGAAAGGTACTGGATGCGCACCGTTTGTAGCAGCGCAAAATTGAGGAGGGATGACACGTGGCCGGCAGCCATGGCGTAGCCGTAGGCAGCCCGAGAGTGCATGGCACCACACAGCAGCGCCTGGAGCAGAGTCTGAGGGACATCCTGCTCTCCAAGCTCCTGTGCAGGGCCAGAGACAAACACTCAGTCTCACTCGATGAGTCACTCAACACATGCCTGCAGCATGCCTCCTCAGGGAAGTGTCACTGTAATAGCTGATTCCCCATGCAGCCACTTCTCTGCCCTGCTAATATCAACGTGAAGATCTCCTGGGAGGCAATATGAACACGTCTCAAATTTGACATTTTGCTAGCTCCCGCAGGAGGATGGACCCTGCTACTTTTATTGTGGAGATCTCCTGTTAGGCAATACAAACATGTCCCCAAATCTGACGCTTCCTGGCTCCTGGAGGAGGCTGGAGCTTGCCTGCGCGCAAGGCGGCTGCATGGTGCTGGGATCCACGCGGTTCAGCACAGCCTTCTGGGCCATGGAAGTGCGGAGGACCTCTCTGTGGGCAGCCAGCAGCAGCGGCCACGCCACTGGGTCCATGGGGAGGACCTCGTAGAAGTGGCGCCGCCTGAACATGGACGTCAGCATGCCCACCAGCTTCATCACTGCCGCCTTGCGCTACTCCAGCTCCGTCTGCTTGCGCACCCTAAAGCCATTTGAATTTTAATCAGCGCCGACAGATGTCTTGATGTGATGAATTGAAGAAAGCTGAGAGCTGAGGAAAGCCATGCTGGATTGGGTGATCTGGGGCCGGTATCCACACATGCATGGCAAGACAGCCTGCACCTTGCCAACACCAGGAAAACAAATGGCGTGACAGACTTTCAACTTGCATGTGCCAGGTCTTTTCCCATTTCACAATAACAGGTGCTGGCATGCATGTGGAGCGTTGAGCATTCCATGGGTGGGCGAGCTGCTGTTGCACTGGTTCTCAATAACTGCACATGCGGCATGTGTATGGTTGCATGCTTACCTGACACCCTGCATGGAGAGGACTGGGCTGCCAAGGCTACTGAGCGCTGAGCCCACGGCTGTGGTGCCGCCTGCCTTCCCATTCTGCAAGGTCTCCTTTTCAGGCGTCGCACCTGTGCGCAATGAGTCCTTGCTAGCAGGACATCTTGAGACTCCATGCCATTATTCCAGGGTCAGCATTGTTGTCTGCTTTCTCTGGAGATAACATCCATGCATGCATGCTGAACGTTCCTGGACTATTTTTCTCTCAGCTCAAAATGCACTAGTGATACCTGATGCTGATGAGCCCGCTCGTCGCCTCCATAGTCTCCTCTTCACTTAGTCTCCTGCACGCTGGGATGAGCAGCCCCTGGCCGAGAGTAGTCCAGGTGCCTGTTTCATACGATTAGACACTTGACCCTTTTCTCTTTGTGCCGCTTAATTTCAAGCTGCTGTATATAGTGCATAGTATATATAGTGCAATGGGTACACATACGTTGGACGAGAATGGCATGCAGAACAAAAAACATCACAGGAGCATCCTACCTGAACACAGAGCCGTAAAGCCATCCCTCTGCGTCGGTGCTATGATCCAACACGAAATCCCAAGAGTCGGTGCTGGGATCGTTTGGAAAAGGCTCTGCTTTGACTGGCTTTCCCTCAGCATCGGTCCAATCCGACCGGTCCAGCAAGCCAGGTGCTTGCCTGCATGTCAACACAACAGTGAGATGATCCAGCAGAGCTTGCAATAACACTATTCTCATGTGCTGGCACCAGTCGGCCAAGTCACCTGTGTGCAATCTTGTTGTGCAGGGCATTGTGTACATAGCAGCATGCCTTCTTACATCTATGCAAAGATGAAACTCACCATCCGACAGGCCCGAAGTATCTCTGATTCTCGAAGACTTCATCTACATTCTCGACCATGTCTATTGATCAGGACAGCTCTTGCAGCACAAGCAAGACACCTCATTCATTTGCAAGCATAGACACTCCGATCGGATGCAATGAATGAACAAAGAGGAAGATTTCCGTTTGAGATCGTTACGCCCAGTGCAATGGTCCAACGCAGCTTCCAATCGAGTGCCATCGGCATGCTACGTTGGGAGAGCACCTGTCCAGGAACCCGAACCATGCATGAGCCATTTTATAGTCCAACAGGTGGACCCACTGGATGTTCGCTGGATGTTCACGTTGTTCACGTTGATGATCAATAATTGAATGCGGTCCAATACAAGTTATGCTTGCAAAGGAGCGCTTATTTCTCTACCATTGCGAAAGACTTGCTGTCCACTCAGTTTCCACAACAAACACCCGGCGCAAGGTGCTGACAAACCTCAGAGCATCGAGCAGGGGTGTCCATCACCATGTGAATCGCACACACTCTTCTCACACAAGGACTTGCCATGGCAGCTGCAGAATCTGGCGCTCGCACAATCACTGTCACGCATGCACCCTCTTGTGGTCTACAGACAGGGCATCAGGCGTCCGGCAGCTTGCCGGCCTTTCTGAGCGCCTCGCAGTCGCGGCAGTACCACTTCCCCTTGGGCTGCTCTGTCATGCTCACACACTCAAAGTGGAACCACTCCACCGCGCAGTCCGGGTTGTCGCAGGCCACCATCTCCCCAAAGCTCACCCGGCGGCAGTAGCAGTACACCGGCTCTGTCGGGTCCAGCACTGACCCCCCGCTCGCCTCCGCTGCCTCCAGCGGCGGCAACCCTGGACCTGTGACAACCAGAGTTTCTTTCAATGCCGACGGGACCAGATTTTGTGAGGCAACTGAGGTGAAGGTCCAGATCACAGGCTAGTATTGATGGTCCAATCCCTGAGACCTGGCCACAGTCCCAAGAGAAGCCTGCAACTGTTCATTTCAATCATGGAACTCAGCCGAGCTCTTCAACAGAGAGACTGTCACGTGAGACACCATCGCTGTCCTGGCAATACAGAGGTCAAAATGGGTGCCTCCAGTATGCAAGCGTCCACAGGCCACTGTTCAACATTCAGACAGCAGCAGCAATGCAAGCGCCGGCAGGGGACGAATTAACGTGCTTGTAAGAAAGTAAGCTTACCGCGTCCCATCAGGTGGGCAGACTGCAGGCCACCCCGCTTTGAGTGGCCCCTGCCGCCACCACGCCCACCCCTTTTACTCGTCCGCATCCCCCTGCCTGTGCCTGATGGCTCATCTGCTTGCGGCAGCATCCCAGTCGCTGTCTCACCATCCTGCACAGAGCCGGCCAGTCATATTAAAAAGCAACATACACCCCTACATGGATGGAAGGACAAGCAGAGATCAGCTGCAGAGTTGTGCTGCCCTTCATGGGAGAGATATTGTTGCAATTCAATGTCCATCCAATGATGGACAGATAGGCACAGAATAGCAGCAAAGATGTGGGGCACTCACTGGGATGCCAAGCCGAGCCCGCTCCTTGCTGATGTCTGACTCGAAGGCCTTCAGGTCCTTGTCCAAGCGCCGGATCCTCTGATCCACATAGTCGTATATCTGCTGGGATAGGCCTATCTTCTCCTCTGAGTAGTGCAACAACTGCACAAAAGATAGGAGTCGGGTCAGCGAACAGCCAACTGCGGCCTTGACAGGCAGTATCAGCACGCACGCATGCCTATGGACACAACAGGGAGTCTCTCACCTTCCTCATGTCATCCTCGATCTTCTCATCTAAAGCTGCAGCGGCCGCTGCAGTGCTCTGGGCAGCAGCTTGTGCAGTGCGCAGCCGCTTGGAAGGAGGTGAAGCCTCTACTGCTTCCGCCTGCGCAATGAAATAAGACTATAAAATTGAGGAGAGAAGATTGCACAGCTACAAAGCTACGGGCACGGAAATTTACTTTAAGTGTGTTGGACATCCTATGTCACTTCTCAAAGGAAATGACTCGATGTTGCGACTGAAGTGGCCCGATGAAACCCTTGCGCGTCAGCGCATGGCAGGCAAAATTGATTGGTACGAGATCAAAGTATGCACCTTCTGTCCCGCTTCTTCCAGATGTCTGCGTGAAGCTGCCTCTGCCTCCGCCTGCAGGGCGTGTGCTTTCTCATCAAGGTCCCTCATCAGCTTGAATCTCCGAGCAAGCTCTGCCGGCATTTCGGCGACATTCTCGACAAAATTCCGGAGATAGTGGGTCGTCATCGCGGCCTTGATGCTCTCAATCCCTCGTGTAAGAGGCAAGGACTGCTTTCTGAGTCATCACGCTATCGAACTATCGTGACAGAATCCGTCCCTATCACCATGCACGACTGGGATATCTCGTATGATCAAACTCTTGAAGAATTGTGCCTTATAAACTACAAAAGATATCTGCTGTATAGTCGGAGCAAAGGTCCTAAGTTTTACAATCTCGTTGTTTTGGAGTGTCTGTGAGAGGTCAACCGGTTCTTTACAACGTGATCTAAATGCCTTGCTTCTCGTGCCACTTGCAATGTTCTTGAGCTCGAGAAGAGTTCGTTCCGAACGATTCGTTCGAGATCAATGTTGCATGCGCGGTGTTGTGCAAGCGGGCTTCCAGCTGGCGGCGTTCCCAACAAGCCACATCATAGATGAGTCAGCATTTGCATGCTGGACAATCCTGCAGCATTGTGGAAGTTATGCAAGGATAAATTGACGTGGACTGCAATGATTTGGTCATTATCTTCCTCTGCTCCTGGGCAGGGCCTACGTCTGCAAGAGGGGCCGGCTGCAGATCAGCTGATCTGGCAGGCGCCTAGGCCTGGGCGCTGTTGTGCTTTGAGTTTAAGACATGCATGTATGATGCAATACAAGGCAAGGTAGGGAATCCACATGAAGACAGGATGTCCCCTTTGCAACTGCTGATGGCATGCACAGCCTGCCAGGTGGTGCCAAGTGGTGTGGCCGGGGCCCAGACGGTACTCACAATTGTTGTCACAATTGCAATGCAGCTTTGCAGCACGTAACATGGCAAGCATTTACATGAGCTCAATTCAAAGTACACAGCAAGCCGCATTGCATAGATCTCCAATTATCATTAGTTTGAAGGCAACGAAGAAGTAGTGAGCAACAGATTCACACAGGATGAAGCGCTTCAAAGGGTCAAAGCAAAGCAATTGAAGCTTCCAAGAGCAACACAGGCTTGGTCAAAAGGATCATGATTTTGCACACTGAAGCACTCTAAGGGCTCTCATCCCTGGCATGGCCTGCAACCTGCAGCCTTGAAAGTGCTGGCAACATCTCTAGCATAAGGTCCAGAAAAAGTGATGCAGGAAAAGTTCCTATGATGTACATCCCAGCACTTGCTGACTATGCCACTTCTGAATAATCACAACCCATTCTGAAGCAAACCAGCAAAGAGCTTCTTGGTGCTGCATTTGCTGCAACAATGGAAGAATGCTAGATTGAAACGCTACCTCTTGCATGCGTTCGACCCCATTGTGGTCAGGCCCTGTGCTGTGGCAGCCAGGTCTTGCTGTTCAGCGCTGGATATCTCAGGGGAATAACCTGGAAGTTCTTCCCCCTGATTCCTCTCCCTGGAGCTAAGAAGCGCTAGCCTTAAAAGACCCGGGCACCAGATATTGGCCTAAACAATGCCTGTCTTATGTCCTGCTCTGGGGTAATCCAGGAGGAGATCGGCCTAACTAGAGCAGGATGCCTCTAGCCGCCCTGTGCACTTCGCGAGGACTCAGCAAGTACTTCTAGGGTTTGGCATCCAGCAATTTATTGTCTTGCCTTCCTCCTGGGAAGCCTAACTGCGCTAGTGCAGGAGCAGAAAAGAGGCATGAGAAATGCAGCGCGCTCTTCAAATAGGCCTGAGAATTGTAACGCGCTCTTCCAAAGAAGGCTGCAAAGCCGTGAATGGGTAAAAGTCAGCTGTGCCTACAGCGTTCTTGAATGAATGGGAAGCCTTCCTCTCTGCCAACAAACACTTCCTAGTGTACAAGCGAGAGACGCTGCCTTGCTTAACGCATGAAGTGGTGTACAAAAACAAACAAGCACATGCGGCAAACAGTTGCTTCCTCGACTAATCTGAATATTTGATAGGTGCTCTGAGCATCCATTCCACAATGATCTCTCCCAATTTCCTATCTTGTTCCTTCTTCTGATCTTCTCGTGCGTTGTTGGTACAAGCTGCTTCTCAAAGCACCCTATGGCAATCAAGCAAGCACAATCATGCATTGCCTAGAGTTATACTGCAAGGCAAAGTGATCTTGTCTAGACTTCTGAGGGTGTTCCATTTCTTGAAGGCCATCGCTGTCCCAAATTGAGCTCCTTCGCTCATGTCAACATCTGCAATACCAACTCGCAGCCACCAAATTAGGCTGATCAAATCTGCTCGCCGCACTCTTTCTCAAATTCTGGGCTGCAATTCTCAGCCCCATGACCCGTTGCTCTCTCTCACATCTGCACCGTTCTGATCAGTAGCATCCAAAGGGCACCAGGATAGCCCAAATTCTGAGCAGCGAGGTCCACATTCGACACAGTATGGTCCCCCTCATGGCAGGTAGGTGTCTGCGAGGGGACCGTGGTATGGTCCCCCTCATGGCAGGTAGGGGTCCGTGGGGGGACCGTAGTAGTTGTCAGAGTAGGCGCCGTGCAGCCCATGTGGCAGGTGATGACTAAGGTGGATGCGCGCCAGAGGCCCCTTGGTGAAATCAGACGCATCCATCACCTGCGGATTACAATCTCCTGTCAGTAACCAACCATCAATCCAATGCCATGCTACGTCTACTAGTGCAAGCAGAGCACATGCAGCACAGCTCCTGTTCTCATAAAATTCCGTTGCTCACACCGAGGCTCAGCATGCACGGCAGACGTACTGCAAGTTGCTCCTCTGACCACATTGCATTCCCAGTGTCTCCAGCCTGATGCAATTCTTGCCTTCTTGTCTAGGACAATGTTCTGGGGGCAAAAGAGGTCAATTTCACATGCCGGATGAGCTCGTGGCTGCCAGGACATGATCACTACCAATGGGCGGTGATTTGATCAGCCCTTGGCGTGGCTGCAAAGGGTTTTATCACTCAGACACTCACATGCACAGTCACTCACAGGGTTTCCAAGAGCATTCGAATTGTTGCGCACCACAAGGGAGGATCGCTGGGTCTCCCCGTCGAACACCATGCCCAGCAGCACGCCATCATCCTCCTTGGCAGCGCCGGCCGGGCCGGGTACAAAGATGAGCTCCTCGCAGAAGCACCGCGGCCCAGGGCTCCAGCTCTGAGACTTGCCCGTCTGCGTGTCAAAGCGCACAAACACCTGCGCGCACGTTACACTCATGCTCAGCTCAAGCTCAAACGCCACCTGCAAATGCAGTGCACTAGCATGCATCCCATGCTGAGGCTGCCCTTCAGGCCTGACACCGTCTGCTGGTGTCAGGCAGAGACATGCAGTTCATGCTGAGGCTAAGAGGCACGTCAAACACCATCTTCAGGTGTGTTGCGTTGGCAAGCCCCAATTAGCGCAACACGCCCAATGAGGTGTCCGAAGAGCAGCTCAGGCACAGAAAATGTCAAGTTGTGCTCATCTCTGCTCGTGCATATCTTTGCCAGGCCTCAACACGCTCTCGATAAAACTTATCACGAAGGCCTCATCTCGGGCCGTCACAGGAATGCTTCATGGTCTGGCCGACAGGATTGCTGGCTGCCATCACCAAGTAGAACAATAATTCAGAACCTACCAAAAGCATGAGCAGCATGGTTGAACACATGACAACATGGTTACTGCATGACATGGTCTCTGTGCTGCGCATGCTCTAGGCAGGCTCTTTCTTAGTTTAACACGACAAATGAAGCCGAGGGAAATAAGTATCAAACCTGCGGGGGCCCGGCCTCGCCGGGGATGTCGGCGACCTGTGACGCGTTGAAGTAGACGTAGCGGGTCGAGCGCGAATAGAACAGGGGGTTGACGCGCGGGTGATCCATATTCTGGCTCTCAACCATTGCTGTTCGCTTCACCTCCCCTGTCACCATATTGATCCTGCAGCCAGGGACATTTCATTATTGATTTAGGAAAAATGCCTTGAAGTCAGAGAGAAGATGTAACGGATATTGGCAAGGGTAGCAAGTCAAGCAGGCCGCACTCCTTCTTCTGTGATGCTTAACAGCAATCTCAAGCTGAATACAGGCGGCACACGGGGAGTCACAGTGTAGTGCAGGCATCTGTGCGAGAAGCTCAAAATACGCCGCGATAGCTTAAGAACTGAGTGCTCCGTAGACCGGCCAGAACTGTCTTCAAGCATAACTGCCATTGCATGCCATGCAATACATTGCCCTGCTTCGAGGCCATAGGGTACTGCGAAATGCAATACCAACAGAGAGATAATCCACCCTGACCTGTGGCGCCAGAGGGTGGTGAAGGGGATGCCGGTGAAGTCTCCTGCCAGGACAACCTTCCAGCTGCCAAGCATGCCGCTCGCATGGTCCAGCTTGGCCAGCGCCTCAGGGCCCCAACCGCTCGACCACACCTGCGCCAGGCAGTATCAAAATTATCATTTCATTTTGACGACAGGGAGTTATCAAAATGATACCAATGTATCCTGCGCATTGGTAATCCTTCATCTTTTCCAGATGAAGCCTTTCAATTCACCCAAAGCCTTGCAGGGTTCCTCAGAAAATACACATCACAGATCAGGCCAAAGTGCATCACGATTATATGACACCATCTGCTTGGCCTGCCACGTGGATTTCTCAGTATGACTGAAGGCTGTTTCAGCTGGCAAGGCTCACCTCGATCTCATCGCCATCCTCGAATGCGTTTGCGTGGTGGATCAGGAATGTCGACTCCGTCTCGAACACCTGCCATCATATATTAATTATTAATCAAAGGTGAATCATGAATTCTGATCAACAATTGCCCCAGATGCCAAAGAGCACAAAATTTAGAATATTGAAGCGACTTCAGATAAATCGAACAGGCAGGCAGCAGATAGCACCGATTAATTACAAATGTGATGTAACCGTACAAAAAATGCTAAATACTTTAGCCCATTCATTGTCAAAATTTTCGTAGAGCGGCTTGCTGAAAAGTAGATACCTTACATATTACACCACTGCAAATAAAGTTTGAGAGGCAGGGTTGGTAAAACTACATACCTTGTGGTCGCGGCCGGAGCGCGGCAGTACATGGACCTTCATAGGCTTGGATGCAAACTTGATGCACTGCGCAGGGCCCTTCACACCGCCCAAGTATGGCAGCATGTCAAAGTCCAGCTCATTCTGCAGCATCAGACACATAAAGAAATAAGACAGGTATTCATGAAATTGAGAAATGCTATGATATTTTGTGATTCTCTGAAGCATGCACAGGGCTGGGACAAGGGGCATGGCTGCGCACTGCCATGCATGTGTGTCATTTAATGTTATGCAAAAATACATACATCTGTGCAAACGCTGCGGATGCAGGGAGCTTCAGGGCAAGACCAAAATGTTGCGAGGTAAGTACTCTGTGCCACTAGGATAATGCATGACAATAGCAACTGCATTGAATGCGTGCAGGAAGCACAGAAGAAACCTGGAAGAAGACATGGTGTCCACTGGTGACAGCAAAGTCATGGGGGTTGAAGAAGCAATGCTTGATGACAAAGCTGTTGCCTCCCAATTTCTGCCAGTCGGGCCCAAACTCTGTGATGCCAATGGACATGTCTGCATCCCCAAACGGCTTGAGCAGGCTGCACAGCAAAAGAGACATCGTCAGAATAAACTGTGTCCCCTGCAAATAATACATGCAGACTTGCCTTCATGCATCTCTCATCTGCATCACCCCACACCATGCATGCATTGAAGCACGGATACAGCGGCAGATTCTTTGCAACTCATGTTGATACAAGTTTGCCCGCAGCACTCTTCCATGCAGTTGGTTGCAAAGGCCTGTCGCTGCATGTGGCAAATCCAGGAGCCCGTATCTTCCAGCGACAGGAATGAATGGCGCCAACCGGATGCATGCACAGCTCATGTGCCATTACTCATTGTTGAGGTCGGATGGCGTACCTCCTCCAGCACCAGGTGATCATGCGCTTGTCTTTGGGGTCAGACCCTGTGACGATGTGGGGATGCGCTGTCATGGCAGAGCCTAGATTGATGGCCTGCACCACAGTCAGACAATTGTTTTAGCTGATCTGACAGTGAACTCTGGTTGTTCACCACTCTCATGATTTATCATGCAGGCATGTGCAATGCAGATGCATCTTTTCAGGCTCAGTGCGGCCATCATGCATGGTGAATGACGATGTTCTAGAGCAGCTAACCACATGCATGAGTAATGGAACCAGACGAAGCAATTGCACAAAGATCTTCAGGGCAGCAGCGGAAGTCACCTGATCCAGGAAGTCGCTGCCAGTGGTGGAAGGGGCGATGCCATCGATGAGCAACCCGTCCAGCAGGTCAGGGCTGCCTCGCAGAGTGTCCAGACTCCATGGGTCCAGTGCATATGGCGGCCCAGCCTGCATGCCAGCATTTCTTGAATCTGACCACTATGGACTTTTGCATGCAACCATACACCGTGCCTGTTATAGCCAACAGCAGGCTGGGGTGAAGTGATGCTTGAGAGATTGATGACCTCTGCCTACAGTACTGGCCATTGCATGAAGAGTCTTCAAGGTACCCATGTCTTCTATATATATATGCAGCATGCCTATGGAGAAATGAACATTCGAACACTTCGCATGCCACAAGGAGAGGCACCAGTCTCTTAGAGAGCAGTGGCCCTGCCTGAATCAAAGTAGCATATCTGCATGTACTTGGGCAGTATTTCCTAATAGTTATGCAGAGCCGCACCTCCCAGAGGGCGAGCAGGCGGTTGCCCCACTCGACCACATTGGTGTTGGCGGGGTTCTTGAGGCGCAGATTGAATGCGTTCGTGGCTGCGCCCCCCAGCGGCTGCGTGCCAAAGGTGTTGCGGAACAGGACCCTGTCCGCCTTCTGCTCCTTCACAAACTCCCTGCAGCGCCCCAGCACTTCTCATACTCATTATTATTTGCCCAATCTGAGTGAGCAAACATCAGCCAGAAGGCATGTCTGTTGTCAACAGTGGCTGTGAGGCTCAGAGGAATGCCTCTCCCCAGGAACCTCCGGCCTGCTTAGATGCTTGGGGGTAAGACTTATTTAGACGCATGCATTGCTGCCATACTTGCTGCACAGGCTGTGATGTCTCAAAATATGTGACGAAGCCCGAGTCTGCTTACATCATTTGTCACAGAACCGCAGTTCTCACCTGGTGCGCACGTAGCGCGATCTGAAATGCACTTGGTTGTCGCCAGCAAAGGAAAAGGCGCTGATGTAACCATCACCATCCAGCATGTGGTGGTACTGCTGTCCTCCACGCTCTGCGCAGAGTCCCAACACATTCAACCATATGTTATCAAGCATGTAGCGGCACCTTGACCGACACAGCATGACAGCGCGCATGTCACTGGCAAGTGCTTTTGAAGTGCAGATGCGCAGAGCCCACAGGCAATTGCTTGCTTGCGCGCACAACAGAGACACTGCATCGTCAATGAAATCACGGACATGATCATGCCGAAAACAAGGTGGCCTTGACATGCCAGAGAGGAGGCCGACTCCATTACAGAGCAGAGCGCACCAAAGTTCCCCGGCCCGTTGCGGAAAAGGGTACCATTAAGATAATCCGGGATGGTCCCCTCCACAGTGTCGACCCAGTAGTCAAACTCGTCACGCTGGGAGGTGAAGGCCGATGCCCAATCTGCTGTCAGGAATTTTGCCTGAGCATTCTGCGGGGTGTGGAGCGCTGTGTCCCCCTGCACATAGCATGCATTGCCATGTCAATGCAGCTGCTCACTTTGCTAACAGACATCTCTGCTGACTGGGACCAGCTGCTGAGTGGGTCTCTGCTGACACAAGAGCATGACCTAGTATGCCTTGTCCTTGAAACCTTAATCAGCCTTGACAGTCAAATTTAATGAGATGAAAATAGCGTGTGTATCGTGTATGCAACCCTGCTTTCCTTGCTCCGCCTCTTACGGGCAAGTTGGACAACAGCAGTAAGTTGCCGAATGTGAGCCAAGGCCCCTGAGGCTCGCCGAAAATACCAGTGTTGCAAGAGCGGGGCCACGTCTGAGCTTTGCAAATGTCTCAAAGCCAATGATGCAGTGCTTCGCCAGTGCTCTCAGAAGGGCAAAGACAAAGCTTCTACCCAGCGGGCCTGCCACCACACAGATACCAAGAGGGACCGATGTCTTGCTTTGAGGACATACCGCACAGCAAAAGTCACATTGTTGCAACTGAATAAAGTATAAGTGTCTCACGACGACGTGCGGGCAGGCAAATTACACTATATATGCGTTTCTGATCCCAATCACGACTGACGAGCCGCGTGCAGCAGCAGCTCACCCCGAGCGGAGAAACGATCTCAGGCACCGCACGAGAGGTCTCCGGCGCAAACGCCACAACCTTGAAGCGAGGGCAGCCCCTCCGACTGACTCGTGACGCAGACCTCAATCCCGGAATCCGAGTCGGTGCGTACTGTCTTTTTCCCGGCACAATGGGCCGGCCAAGGCCTGGAGAACAATTTCTCAACATCTCAGTCGCCAGTGACGTGTGCAGAACTGCGTGAAGCCTTCGCAGATGACTCTTTCTGGGCCAGAAGTCCCGCCGACGAAGGCAAAGTCTCGAAACAGGACAGTAACGTAACCGATCTGGTCACCGGCACAGGTCGCCACCACGTGCACTCTCTTGTGCTCCCAATCCTTGCTCCCAACAATGCTGCTGCTGGAGCCAACCAATCCGATTATCAATTCTGGAATGCAAGGATTCGATCTTCACTTTCCTGAGCTTTAGGTTATCTGCTGGCGACTGTCTCCTCAACTGAGGATCGGGCTGTACACAGGGTGGCTCGTTGCAAGAGCAGAGAAGATGGCCCTCGATCAACATTATCCACTGCTTTCTGGATATTACCGCGCGCCGTGAAGCCAGCAGACGCCGGAATTTGCTCTCTTTTTCTTCATTTGTGCTGGCAACCAGCTAGCACGTGCAGCTGTGCTGCCTGCCCAAAAATCCCATAGATGGCAACCATCACCCTTGAAAGACGAGATGAACCTGCTTTAGCTCCACGTACGCCATCGATCTCGGGTGTGCCCTGGCCACCTTCCTGAAGCAGCACCCCTGGCGCCTCCAAGGCTCTGATAGCAACCCCTTTCTGCAAGCAAAGTAATGTGAGTGGAGGGCCTCATTGAGATCCACATTGTGCAGGCATTGAGGCACAGCGCCCAGTTCCACTGGTCCAAGCAACCCAGTCAGCTGCTGCTGGACAGCTATGGGTGAGGCGGCTGCAAGCAGTCAAGGCGTTCGTGATCACAAACTATCTGCCCCTTGCCTTCCTGGTGGCCCTGGTGTGGGCTCTATCATGGCCTCAGCCGGGCAAAACGGTGGGATCTTGGCAGATCAAGGATGTCAGAGTCGTCCAGGTGTGGCATTTCCCTGATGCATGCATCTGGCTCTTGGTTGCAATGTAATGTTCTAATGTTCTAATACCATATCGAGGGAAGTCTGCAGCAGTCATAGTCTTTGCAAGGTTTCTTCTGGCTGGCATGCATGCATAGCTGGGCATGACGGAAGTGATTGTTTGCAGGCTTTGAACAACTTCTTTGTATTTTTGGTATCCGGCCTCACGCTGCGTACCAAGGAAATTAAGACAGCCTTCAAGTAAGCTTACTCCTCTCTACCAGCCCATTCACTTGCATTCTGACCTCCGCTTATGAAGCTTATTGACTCAACATCCAGCGTGCATTGGAAGACAGGAAATGCAGCATGCATGCCTGACGGGCTTGTGCTCTGTGCGATCAGGCAATGGCCCGGGTTGATATATGGGCTCGTGGCAATACTCGCATTCACCCCATGCCTTGGATTTGCGGCCAAGCGCCTCAACCTCACCCCGCCAGAATTTAACATTGGTCTGGCCATCTTCTGCGTGGTGCCCACCACCCTCGGTGCGCCTTACCTGCGCCCTTCAACTGCCAGTTGTGTCTCAATGGGCCCACAGCCTGAAAAAAGGTTCACGCTTCTAATTCACGCCTAAACGCCATGTCAACCTCTCTGCAATGATGTGCTTGCTGAGATCCCCTGGCGATTTGCAAAGCTACCAAAAGAGAGGGATACGATACCTATTTTGCCGAGCATTCTGCTGAGGGCCCGCATAACATGGTCGATGATGTGGATGTGCCCGAAGCATTTGCCTTGTCTGACATGCATCTGATGTGGTGTTGATGTGGACAGCGTCTGCCTCATTTGGCCTGCATCTGACATGGCGCTGACATGGATGCTGATGCTTGAACAGGTGTAGGAGTGGCGCTCACAGCCGCGGCGAAGGGCAACCAGGCGCTCGCGCTGCTGCTCACAGTAGCAACTAACCTCCTCGGCATAGTCACGGTGCTGTCACACTATCGGCTTACTGCAGTAATGTTTCACAGGTGGACTTGGCTTGAATTCATGCTTGCACATGCAGTGCAGGCTGGAAGAGAGCCTGTCACTTCATTTCCTTAATCTGGGCACCTAGGAATCAGACTGGTTCGGTTCATGGACCAGGGATCCAATTTGCATCGGGGAGCATATATAACCTTTAAATGAATCCAGGGTGGTAAATCTTTTAATCCCTAAAGGGCTGCATGTGTTAAACAGGTGCCCTACGAGCTCAAGCTGATTCTCCTGGGCAGCAACGTGGTGAGCGTGGATCCCGGCAGCCTCGTGGTGAAGCTCATCTTCACCGTGCTAGTCCCCACGGTGATCGGCAAAGCCGCCTGCAGCCTCAGCAGCTCTCTGGATGCTGCTGTGAGGCGGCACAAGGTGGCTCTGAGCCTATTCAGCCACACAAATCTGGCGCTGATCATCTGGCAGACACTGTCGGGCGCCAGGGATGTGCTTGTGGCGCAGCCTTTCCACCGAGTGGTGCTTGTAATTCTGGCGAGCGTGGTCATGCACCTCATCTACCTCGCCTTCAATGCTGTGGTGGTCGGAGTATTCAGGTGGGCACTTAGCATTGGTCTTTATGGATTTCTCTTCAAATGGCTGCTCGTCAGCTGGGGTTTGCCGGAGAAGAACGCATTGCAGACGCACAAGTTGCCCTGCTTCATGCCCGGTTGCTGTGTGAGCATTCCAGCGCTGAAAATGGTCTCACAGCAAGGATCGGATACCAGAGTAGTGATTCCACAGGAGAGTGATCCTTGGCGACCCGGTGAAGATCTGCATTGCACCAGTTACTGAGGACTCAAAAGGATGTCATGCGGTGCAGGTTCCCTGTGAAGGAGGGCATAGCGGTGCTGATCATGGCGAGTCAGAAGAGCGCGCCCGTAGCAGTCACAGTCATCTCCTACATCACACCGGACATTACGCAGCAGGGGCTATTCTCAGTCCCCGCCATTGTGGGGCAGCTGGCTCAGATTTTCATGGGCTCGCTGCTGATCCGCTACCTGTCCCGCCTTGTGAAGGACGACCATGAGTGAACTTGAGAGTTCGCATTTGAATTTCAGTTTGAATTTGAAGTGCGTATCAATGTCAGCCGCAGCTTCCTTGCTGTGACAGTGCAAGTTTGTTTTGGCGCTCCATGGCGGTGTTATGTTTGTTGGTCCCCAGCGCATCATTTGAGAGGTACTGTGTTGACAGTCCTGCATCACATTGGCTGAGTGGTTCTTCCCTAAATCTGCAGAAGTATCCATGAAAGAGAGAAGATGGCTGTTTCGTGCATGCAACAATATCCTCAAGAGTAGTTTCGAGAAAGCTTCAGAGAATTCTTATGAGGGATGCAGACAGGTCTGTTGCCTACTTTTTTTGGCAGCGTCTGATAGCAAGCAGGATGCTCCATGGCACTGTTCCTTGCTCTGGCACAGCAGTGAGTCACACAGTGTCATGTGGACACTGGGTCGCGCTGCCAGTGATTCAATGAGGAGCTCGCAGGGTTTGACAACCCCTCAGGGCCCCCCAAGAGATTGGCCAACCTGCTCCAGGGCTAGGGGCAAGGTTTCGGGGCAACCCCGGGATGAATTCAGATTTGGCCAGATGGCATCAAGGCATCGCCCCGAGACCACGTGGCTGTGACTCAGGGGCTCCCCTGACTTTCAGGCAATGTGAACGACTTGGAGGCCAGATCCAAGAAAGAACCAGCTTCTCCCTAATGAAAAATCTGGGAAATCCCAGGGATGACAGGGCAGTGCCCCGAAGTTTCAGCTACTATTACGGCAGCAGGGGAAGCCCCCGCCCGCCCTTGCCCTTTTCAGGGGCTGGCCTGACATTTTCTAGGACCCATGTCAAGCCGTGGGAGCTCGTGCTTGAATGATTCATGTGAGACTGTTGCAGGAGGGTTGAAAACCTGTGAGGACTTTGTAAGCCATTCCTGCGGACTAGCTGCATCCAGAATGCTCGAGGTGTACTTGATAGAGTTTGTGCACAAAGTAGCTGCCAAACATTAATCTGCAGCTTCCATGGCTGCACGCTGAAGATGCCACGCCGCTTCTAGATCCATTATTTCCAATTGTCCAAAAGCAGACTTTGGTCGTCCTCGACAGAACCTGCACTTTTGATAAACTTTATAGACATCGCTACAGAACCAATCGGAAGAAAATATCGAGTAAATCATTTGCAAACGATCAACATCTAAAGCTTCTTAAATCGCATAAAGAATGGCTCTTTCAATCATGCAGAACCCTGCAATGTCGGCAGTGTCCTTCAAGAACTCAGTAAGCAGCGTCAGGCCGTTCCTGCCTGCACGCACAGTCTCTGTGCCCCGCACACTTAAGACGACGCTCGTCCCGATGGCCCGCGGCCCGTCGCTGAAGCCAAAAAACCAGAAGGGAAAGCTCGGCAACATCGCCAAGGTGAGTTTCTTTGGTTTTCTCTAGTCTACAATGGCACTATAGAAAGCAGGATGTAATGTTAACTTCTTTAAGACCGCTTACCGGCAATGAGAGGGAAAGTCCAATGTTGGTGGGTGATCAGGAACTCCATGGTCGTCCGACATGTGCAATTGCCACAGTCGTGTGCTTTCTTACCCATGTCGTTTTAAGTGATTGCCCCAATCTTGAAAGAGTGTTATATCCTGATCGACAATGGTTAGTGTCATTGTCGCTCGTATCAAACTTATATTTCGGGTGTCTGAATATGCAAGTCTGTCCAACTTCGATCCTTTTCTCGTTTGTTTTTGTGAAGGATCCATTGGATACCACTATGAACCACCATATCTAAACATGTGATATGCTGTTGCAGGTCCAGTATGATGACGCCAAGGAGACAAACCCCCTCCAGAGTGCCTTCACCCGCAGAAGAGAGATCTGGGTTGGACGCACAGCAAGTACGCCCTGAACTTGCATTTCGTCATCATTGTCATCCTGTGATCACCCTGCAACATCAACCCATCACTTCCGATCATGTCAACGCTTTAGGTCATGATACAGTAGACTTAAAGTAATGTGTGTCTGCAGTGACTGGCTTCCTCTCCGCTGTCATTGGTGAGCTGCTGACTGGCAGGGGAGCTCTGGGGCAGCTGCAGCTGGAGACCAGGCTCCCACAGAACGTCATCAACTGGGCAGTCTTCGGAATTGTGGTATGTCTCTTATATACCTTGAAGTGTCTGCTAAACACCCATATCCCATCATGCTTACCTTCAGAGGTTGGAACATATGGCACACCTGTTTACAGCTGAGCAGGCCTCACTCCTTGACTCGTTAGAGAACACCATGAGATCCGAACAGATTGGGTGTGCTGATGTGCCTCTGAGTAATGAGGCTGCTGACTGTCCTGCAGGCATTCAACTTTGTCACAGCCCTGAACCCCTTCGGCCCCACCTTTGACGAGGACAACCAGGCTGATGTCAGGAAGCGCCCTGCTGGCCCCACACAGAAGGCCATGGACCCCTCCAAGCCTGCGGTATGCATCTACATTGCTTGTCACAAGTGTTATTTAAGGACTAGAAAATTTGGTTACCCACAGTTATTGTGAGGCCTGAAACCATAGCATTGATGCCGATCTGTGGCACTGATCTGTTTGTTGCGGCCGATTGCTGCAATCGGAAATATGTACTTTAGCAGCTCTCACTTCAGGGCATTTCAGCTTTTTCTCCAAGCTTGACGGAGCATTGCTTGCAATGAGGAGTGCAATAAGGAGGTTGACAATTAGCCGACAGATGGTAACTTTTGATGCAGGAGTACTTTGGCACATCCAAGGGCTTTGGGTTCACCAAGAAGAACGAGCTGTTCGTCGGCCGTGTTGCCATGCTGGTATGCAGCCTGCTTGCTCTCACTTATGCCTGCTGTTCCTCAAATGTGCAAGCAAAGCTGTATTTTTGGAAGGCATGGACAAACTTCTGTCTTGAGGAACTTTCATTTCTGACATTGAATGCCAAAACTTGCTGAGTCAGTGACGAAGGAACAGAGCAGTCCACTAAAGTTACTTCTGCTGTCCAGGGCTTTGCATCAGAGCTGATTGGAGAGGTGCTCACCAAGGGCAAGGGCCCTCTGGGTCAGATCGGCATCCCCCTCAACACAGAAGTCAACCCCCAGTATGCAACCTTCGCCCTGGCTGTCTGGGTGGGCTTCTTCCTCTTCGCAGCCATCGGCTTCGGCAACTGGGGCCAGCAGGAGGGTGACAACGAGATCTACTGAGCAGCTTAGTCATAATATGTTGCTGTATCAGTGCATGTGAGCTTGGTTTTCAGAATGTATCTTTACTTGTACATGCTCAGTTGTAGTACCAGCAGTATGTCCTGTTGAACTACAATGTTGTCGAAATATAATGGAACAACAGCGTGAAGAGAAGAGGAGAGATGAGAAGAGAAGAGGAGAGAAGCATCTTAAAACTTGTACATGATGATTCATTTGCTGTTTAGTCTGGAGATTTTGCTGTGGGCATGTACAGACAAGGTGTTGAGATGCAGATGAGAACATTCAATGCGTGTTTTTGGTAAGTGAGGCAGAGAAGTAAATTAAACACTGCAATTGCAGTATTAATTGTAACCAATACCTTCAATTCTGACTACTTGTGCTTGTCAAGGCAAAGGACACTCCCTCTCATGCTGGTCATGCAGTAGCAATTTCATAATCAACTCATTCTTTGCCAGGTGTTGGCAAAAAGCTGACATACTCCCCAGCAAGATTTCCAAAGAACAACCGTCCTCTCGACTCGGTTATAGCTGAAACAGCGCTCACATGTGAACCATCTGAGTCATACAATGCTCGCAACGCCTCGCCCTCTGGAGATATCTGCATGCCAAGACACATACTTGTCCAGTCAGTTGAATCTCCATAATCATTTTGGTCGAGATCTTTGAAAGCTCACAGTGTGAAGGAGTCAAGCACACAGAAGTGGAGATCTGTTGCTTGAAAGCTCACAGTGTGAAGGAGAAAAGCACACAGAAGTGGATATCTGTTGCTTGAAAGCTCACAGTGTGAAGGAGTCGAGCACATAGAAGGGGCGTACCTCCACGATGGCACCCCACTGAGGGATGGGAGGCTTGATGTGCTCGGGCAACCAGGCAGCTAGCCACCGCACATACCTAGGGCAAGCACAAGCCGAGCATAAGAAATGACAACCTCTTTCCGGGCCTGCTTCAGTGACATACACCGTACCAATCTGCCTTCCCTTCAATCACTGCTGGCACATCTTGTGGAGTGCCAATCAAACATTATCACTGAAAAAGAGCTTGCAAGCAGAAGCTTAGGTGCCACTCCATAAGACATGCCGGAGCAAGATGAGGGAATGGCAGATATCCAAGATGGTAGACTGGCTCCAACAAGGCATCAGGGGTGCTGAAGATGGAGGGGCAGCACCCGCTTTCTGTATCAGGATTCACACTCATCTCCCGAGCCAGACGTGTGTTTTTAGTTGACATTTCTATTTTCTTTCTCAGACCCACAGTCCCCTTTCGACTGCTAAGCTTCACGACAGATCTTTGGGTACAAAACATCGAAAGGTGGGATTTCACTGATTGCTTGCAGATGCTTGACCACGCAGTTTTTTATATTACTAACGGGGATTGTGTGATTTTCTTTAATGTCTGCAGCCACTCACCTGCTCTCTAGCCAAGCCACGATGGGCATTTTGGGGACCACCAGGCCGACCCAGAAGCTGCCTGAAGAGCTGGTGGTGATGCCATCAGGGAAGCCCGGCAGCTTGTCCACCAATACCTCCCTCTGGCCCGCCTGCACACACAAACCCAGGACACACTTTCATTCCGGAGTATCTGTGTGACCAGGTCAGCAACTTGCGCATTCGCTTTTTGCATGCCCGACCGATAGCCAGCAAGACCAGCCAGGCCATGGCAGTAGATCTATTGATCAAGAAAGGTGCCATTGTCAAACGAGCAAGGCACACATGCTCCCAACACTCTGTCAGGTATTCCTCCTGTGCTCCTCAGGGCACCTCTGGTGAAAGTTTTCAGTTCTGAACTTGAACCTGCACCTCTGCATCACAAGTTGTCACCAATGGTCTTTCAGCAACCTTTGAGCCATTCCTTGGCACATGCATCGGGGCTGTCATGAAGATGCAGGACAGGAAGGCACCTTAGGGCCGGACAGCCACACGCTGTGGACTCGCTGCACGTTTGTCTCCACAACGGCCACAAATGACTCATCCTTACTCAGCGTCACGCCGTTGGCAAACCAGAGGCCCTCGCTGACCACATGTGTCTTGCGCGTCGCCGGGTTGTACGACAGCAGCCGCCCTGATGCCCTCCCCTGCACCGCAGACCTGATGCTTTCACTCCTCCAAACACAAAACACACGCCTTGCACTGCTGGCGCTTGCTGCCACAGCTTGCCTTGTCCTGTAGGTCTCACAGCATGATGCCAAGCCATGGGACAACTTTCCCAGGTTCCAACAGGCCTAGCTTGCACTAGTTTAGATCTGCTGAATTCTCCCCAGCAGTGACACCAATGGTAATGTAGTCATGGACCTAAAGTAAAAATCTTCTGCAGCCTCCTTCCTCGTTGAAACGAAGGTAAGGCCCCTTTCATGTTACCCACAGGCATCTGTATTCCTTTGGTCAGTAGTACTCAGATGTCCAAGGAAGGGGGCACTCACATTGAACAGTGACAGCGTGTAGGCGGCCATGGTGTCCCAGAAGCCCCCGGGGTTCTTGGCAGGGGTGATACCGCGAACAGAGTCGGTGAAATACACAATGCCGTTGGACGCCACTGCCACGTCATTGATGTAGTCAATGGAGCTGCCGGGCGCCACCGGGTCGTCCGCGCTCACGCGAGCTGTCAGAAGCACCACTTTGCCGCTCTCCTTCTCCAACATCACAAGCCCCTGAACTCAATACACTGCACCTGCTCAGTTGTATGAAATCAGAAGCCATGCATTCAGTGCAATGCATTTGCTTCGAGTCAGTGAGTGTGCGCCTGAGATGCTGGGCGGCTATCGCAGAGTCCCTGATGCTTCGCTGAAGGCCCTGCCTCGCAGTGGACTTTCTACCAGCTTAGGGAAGAGCAAATTCTGCGCATGATTGATGCGGCCTACGTAATAATAAATCTCAGTTCATAGCAGGCTTCACGCTGCTGTGAGGCTCCTGGAAGTGTGCTTGGGGAGTAGTCTGCTCGTAAAAGGGTTGCTTCTCACCGAGCCAGCGTTGCACACAATGAGGTTGCCATTGGCATCAAAGTGGAATCCGAGGGGCCGGCCAGAGCCCAGATGCGCAAGCGGCTCCTTCTCCAAGTCATACCCTCCTGCTGCGTTGGCAGGCGCCCTCCACACATAGCCGAACTTGTCCAGCATGTACAGCGAGCCATCCTTGGCCACTGCCACGGATTCTGCGCAGCGCAGCTCGCTGTCAGCATACAGCCATATTCCCAGAGCACTTATAAATGTTGCAGCTCATGCCGGGTGTCGTGCACCGGTAAGGCAGGAGTGCTCAGCACTCACCTGATCCCTGAATCTTCCCCTCGAAGAGTTTGGTCGCCCCACGCAGCTTCTCATTTGAGGCATAGACACCCTGGTGCATGCATCACAAAGGTCAAGATACCACGAGGCAGGCGTTACTATTCTGCCTTTTATAGCACGGATATGCTTGGTAAGTTGGCTGGACGTGCCTTCAGTTCGCCAAAGTTTGGAAGGTTGTCGGGATCCATGAGCTCAACAGGAACGATGGCTGGGTATGGAAGGGGCATGTATAAGCCCTTCTGAAATTTTCCTGCAATAATATAATCATCATCAGTGCTTGCAGATACGAAAAAGGGATATGAATTCAATTTCGTGTCTTTCCATGTGAGCATGTTGAACAGAACGTCGCAAGAGCCATCACCGATAAAGATGCCAGCTGTACAGGCCAGAAGGCCCAAGACTCCAGGCCAGTTAACAGCCATTTTTTCAGAGCGCAATTAGTATTCTGAACAGGCCTGGTAGCCGTTAACCTGCTCAAGTAGGTACGTTGGATAGTGGATCAATTATGAGATCGAATTGTGGCCATCGATGCAGTAACGTTGATTGACTATCAGAACATGCTCAGAACCATTCAATAAACGTCTGAACCATCAAGCCGTGTCCACTGGACGCATCCAACAAGATTCCAAGGGAACTACCGACAGGCGCTTGGCGAGCCAAAGTAGGCTGCACTGCCTGTTGAGTTCCTTCACGTTTGACGGTAGATGAGGCAAAGAACATCATATCCCAATTGCAGGATTGCGTTGCATAGAATTGGCCGCGAGGTGGCAGTGCACGGAGTGGCGAAGGGGGATGGCCCTACGAAATCTGTGTTTGAGGATAGGTCAACAGAGCAGGCAGCCCCTTCAGAGCTTCATCGAGTGCAGGAGATGGCAAAGCAGTCCCACAGTATTTGATAAATTGTGCGTTGCGTTCCTCTGCTTTGCCATGATTGCTATGTATAATATGGCAGCATGCATCCTTAGTATCTGCCCTGTATAGCAATACCAGATGTTACATTTGTGGATAAAAACTAAAGGTCAATCAAAATGTGGTGGAGATGTAGTCTGAGACGGTCTCAGGGTTGGGGTCTATGTGTGACTTGAATTTTTCTTGTCGATGTGGCAGGGTGGACGTCTTGGTGTTCGATACACAAGGGAGGAGGCATAATCTGCGGGGCAGGGAGGGACAACTTCTAGTGGACTTGCTGGCAGAGCATGAGGAGGTCTTAGGATCAGGTGTGGCTAGCCTTGCACGTCTCCTTTGGAGGCTGTTTGCATCTCCTAGCTGAATTTCTGTTGTGAATAAACTCCACACAAATCTGAAGCCTTTCGTGACATAAATATTGCATGGCAGCGGAAAGCTGAGCAGAGCAGTGCCACTGCAGGCGTTGTTGGGCTTTCACCAGAGGGACGAGGGGTGATGGAAGCAGTGGTGTCTATCCCCAACCAGTACCTTGCTCAGATACCTCCACCCAGCCCTGAGGACCTGCGAGCCCTTGTAGAGCTGTCACCCTCAGGCACAACTGTGTCGAAAAAGTGCGCAGCCAACCTCTCGCCACTTAAATGCCTTCAGCAAATGCACTCCGCTATCAGTATATGCAGTGATGTGTGTCTTTGGCAATCTTTTTCAGCAGCATGTGTCACTGGTACAGCTGGTCACCATGAGGATGAACGTAGTCTTTGGCAGCCCTGCATAGCATGCAGTGCATGTACTTGCGCATTTGTCAAGTATTGACAGCATGTGTCTTGTGCAGTGCGCGGCTGGCGAGCAAGATCCTCCTGACATCGGCGCTGGATGATGTGCACATTGCGCTGACCCCTCTACAGCCATGGAGGACCTTGTGATGACCGAGCAGAGGGTGGTTGAACATGCAACAGAGGTCTTTTTAAAGCCTCCCATCAGGCTGCGCTTGTGGGTCAATGGGTAGAAGGTAGAAGGGAATCAATTAGTAATTATGGTCCAGACAGATTTTTGTAATAATAATAATAGAAATGCCATCTAGAACTCTTGTTGCAGAAAGAATCCAGTGGGACAGGACAGATGAGCTTCTCGCCATCTTGATCATGATTTGCAGAGTTGCCATGGCAGTATGTAATAGTCATCTCTCGTAACCATATCTTTCAACGTTACAATCCAATTTATTGGCATCAGTCTGCAAATATGCTGCAGAACCATCCATGGCTCTGCTAGCATCATCACTGAACATACTAATCACCTAAGTGCAAAGTAATCTCTGCAGATCTCTTCTCACACAAGACGCATTCCACGAACGTCCTCTGCGTGGCACTAGTGTACTCTAACAATGGGAAGCTGGGAAGCTCAACAAGGCATGAAGCCAAGCGAGAAAAAATCAAATTGGGGATTATAGAAAAATGCAATGCTTTGCATCCTAGCTGATGTGGCATTGATCCTATGCAGCAGCGACGACAGCAGGCAGGAATGTTCCACAAAGGAGTGTTTTACCTGGATACTGGGGCTCCCAATAACAAGATGCAACTGGGAGACTGGCACAAAATCACAAAATCACCACCACCAACACTGCTGATATCTGGTCGACCAGACTCTTCAGAAAACATATATGTCACTGAACATGCATGCAACAGACACAATTATTCTACTTTCCTCACAATGTGCTGAAAATTGCTTGCTCTGGATCAAGGTGTGTTCAGCACAATATGCTTGCGAAAAGGCACTCTGAAGACCGCCGGCAGCTCTAGCACGTTCTGTTTATTCCTTCTGCTGACGTATCGATGGTATTCACCCTTCCTGACGCAGCGTCCCCCCTGGCTGTCCAGCCTCATCCATAAAGTCATCGGCTGCAGGCAACACAAAATAATTTGAGGCCTGGGCCCCTGCTATATTCATGGCCTCAGAATTTTTGCTGCATCCCAGAGGTCTGCAGCAAAGAGTATTGAAGGACAGGCCTGGCCTGACTTAATGTGCTATCTCAGACGATCAGGTATTGTACGACTGCACGACTCAGTGAAACAAGCCAACAGCCCAGCACAACAGCCCCAGTAAACTACGGAGCGTTGGAATCTATCAAATCTCATCCAACCGAGACGCTCATATAAGCTCATGAAGATGCATATTGATCAGTAAATTTACTTCAAGGTGCCGGTGCTCACCAGTGATGGCATGAAGGGCATCCAGCATGTCAGCATCCGTGACCTCGAACTGCATCGAGCCCGAGTCGGGCTTCTCCAGGGGTTGCATGTCGCGGTCAGGGGGTACGAGGGGTTCTGGCACCGGGAGCTCAGGAGCCAGATCAGGCAGCACGCCATCCTGGAACATGGGCGGCTGCGGGGCAGCTGCCTGGAAGCTGGCACTCCTCTGCGCCAGCAGCTGCGCTGCGCTCTGCACCCGCTGTAGCGCCGGCACACTTGAGATCCTCACCATGGCAGGCCCCTGCATTGGAGGTACAAAACTTAAATAATGAAAGACCAGTCATTCATCACTTTTTGAATCTCCAGGCCCACATTGCGCAAGAGGAAGAAGCTGGTTGGAAGCGTCGAGCTGAGAAATACTTGAATCCATGAATGGCTGCCTGGGAACAACGACCGAATCTTTCTGCTAGGCATTATGTCCTTTAACAGAAAAAAGAGCATTCACCTTGACTGGCCCCGATATGTGACAGTCAGGAAAAAGTATTCTGAGCTAACTGGTTCTGCACCACCTTGTTTGCATGCATTTTTGGGCCAGAGCAGTGCTAGGATTGCTGAGTTTATGACGGATGCAGACACATAAGAATTTGTGATATGTTGATGGGCAGTGACAGACTGCCTACAAGATCAATGAGCCTCACGTGGCTCCCACAAGGTCTCCAAAATGTAATAATAATAATAATAATAGTAATAATATAATAATAATAAATATAATTCTAGCTGGTGAGCTGGCGCGCCTGCTGCAGGCTTGGCGGCATGGGCTGAACCATGGGCTGGCCCTGAGCGTGCATGACCCCTGGCAGCTGCTGCTGGTGCATCGCAGTGGGCATGTGCTGTTCCACCAAGCTGCACCAAACACACAGAAGAAACCTCGCTTAACTCGCAACTCTGGGAAGGTGCTTGAAACTGCCTGCATTAACAAAATGACCTCCCACCTCACAGATATATAACCAGCACCCGAACACACTATACACCATGAGCAAACCACTCTTGACACAACTTGCAAAATATGCAGAAAGCTTCACATGCAAGACAGAAGAACAAGAGCAAGTACGCAAGACTCGTGTGCATGGATGAGGGTTCAGGCACCTGGAGCTGTTGAAGGGGTGGAGCCCAATTGGCCGCTGCTCGAGCACAGAGTCGCTGTGGTAGTGATGCAGGGAGGCAACACCCCCTGACGGCTGCTGCTGCAAGCTAACTCTCCTTTCCAGCCCGGGTGAGGGGCCCGGCAGCTGCCCGCTGGGCTGCCCTTGCAAGCTGCCCAAGCTGCCCGCCCGATCAGTATTGCTGTACCGATGCTGCAGAGAGCCAACGCCCCCCGGCGGCTGCTGCTGCAGGCTGGAGATGCGCTCAAGCCCTGGTGAGGGACAGGGCAGTTGCCCGCTGGGCTCTCCATGCAAGCTGCCCGCCCGGGCAGCGCCAATATATTGGTGCTGCAGAGAGGCAACACCTCCTGATGGCTGCTGCTGCAGGCTGGAGATCCGGTCAAGCCCCGGCGATGGGCCTGGCATCTGTCCGCTGAGCTGCCCCGGAAGGCTTCCCAAGCTGCCCGCCCGGGCAGCGTCAATGTATTGGTGCTGCAGAGAGGCAACGACCCCTGACGGTTGCTGCTGCAGGCTGGAAATGCGCTCAAGCATCGGTGTAGGGTCTGGCAATTGCCCGCTGGGCTGCCCTTGCAAGCTGCCTGCCCGGGCAGCGTCACTATACTGGTGCTGCAGGGTAGCAACACTGCCTGACGGCTGCTGCTGCAGGCTGGAGATGTGGTCAAGCCCCGGCGATGGGCCCGGCAGCTGCCCGCTGGGCTGCCCATGCAGGCTGCCCAAGCTGCCCGCTGCAGTCAGCCCCTGCCCTGGTAGGGTGTTGATCGCGGGCGACTGAGCTGAGCTGTTGCAGTGCTGCATCTGCATCAGACCCACTGCGGCCCCCATCTGCTGCTGCAGGCTGTTTGCATTGGCCATGGCAGTCGGAAAGTGCTGCCCGCTCCCTGCATGGATGGCAACCCATCAGCGATCACACCTGTGCATGGAAGATAAGATAGACAGCAATCAATGCATTGCAAATTTCTTCAAGTGGGTAAAGCACCTTGCATTGGTGCGCCTGCGCTCTGCAGCGTCTGGATCACCGGGGATGCTGAGATTGGTCTGGCGCCCTGTGGGGGCAGCATGCTGTTCTGAGGGGTGAGGAACACGCCGCTGTTGCGCTGGCTGAGAGTCCCACTGCCATGCTCCTGCAATGCACCACATGAAGTTGACACCTTTCCTATGTGTAGATGAAGCTTAGCATGCAACACTGCCTATCAGAGCATGATGAGATCAAGAGGCAGTGCATCGTTCTGCAAGGCACTGCATGGCATGTCAGGCACAAAGGCCCACTAGCTAATGCATGCATGTCACAGGAAGCAGCAAGTTGCAGCACAACACCTGCATCCTGCCGGCCAGTGTCGACCGCGAGGGCACAACCGGGAAGGCAGCGCTGGCAGCGAAAGCCGAGAGCGGTGGGGCGGCAGAAACCTGCACCCCACTTCCGTTGCCTCTCCCCGCAGCTTCCCGGAAGCTTCTAGCAGGCGGCAGCTGCGCACCCATCACCGGCTGCTGCAGCAACTGCTGCTGCCCAATCTGCTGCGGCTGGAATGCCACAGGATGGCCCTGCAACGGCGGTTGCGCAAGGCCAGACATTACATCCGCCGGCAACGGCGCGGGGCCGGCCGCAGCTGCGGCCGCCGGCGCGGCCGGGAGAAGGTGCGCGGAAGCTGGCGGCAGCGTGAGCGCCTGGATAGGCTGCGGCGGGCGGATCTGCGAGGGGTCCGGGAACGCAGCAGGACCGCCGCCGGGGGGTCTCAGGGGGGCCTGCTGCGGCATCTGCATCTGCATCTGCATCTGCAGGGACCCCCTGTTGGTTGCCGGCGGCTGCTGCATGGCGCTGCAGTGCATCATCGGCAGCGGGGCGAGGCCAGAGCTGGGCAAGCAGGGCAGGCTGACTGGTGGCAGGCCCATGGCTGGGTTGGGCAGGCTAAGGGGCAGCACTGGTGCCACCACCGCTGGCCGCACCACCATCTGCACACAGCAACACACTTCATTAAACTACTTGTTGAAGCCAAGCAGGGAGACCCTTTGAATTGTCTTAAAGTCGCGATTGCATCTTTGACAAGGTTGCCTTAGTAAGATATGGGAGTCAGGTGGGCAGCACCTCAAGCAAGCAAACTATGCTATGATGCTTATGTACAGTAACTGAAGAAATGGTGGTGACCCTCAACAGACATGGCCCGGCAGCAATGGCCCTCAACACATTAGCTGGTGATGGATGATGCATCAGGGAGCAGAGTTGAGCAGCGCACCGGGGAAGGCGCCAGATCACCGCAGTTGGCCGGTGGCAGCTGCATCGGTGGCAGCGGCAGCGAGGGATCCGCCATGCTGAGGCCGAGGGGTCCCCCCACCATCGGGGGCGGCACCACCGGGAGCCCCGGCGGTGGCAGCGAGAGCGGGGGGAACGCGGCCGGCAGACGTAGCGGGGAGCTGATGGATGGGTTGGGCGTTGGTCCAAGGGGAGCTCCTGGCAAGAGGGACGACGAGGGAAGCATCGCCGTGGCAGAGCTTCCGAGGGGGTTTCCCGGCAGCGTTCTGCCGCTAGCCATGGGGCTGGCTGTGGGTGTGTTAGTCAGCGATGAGGTGGCGCTCTTCAGCCCCGACGCGCCTGAAACAAAGTTCCTCCTCAGCTTCTGCAGGCCTACACTGTATCGATAGATAAGCCCTTCTCAGGGGAAGTAGGCTGCTTTGCAAAAGACTGCCCCGTGCTTCTGCAGAACGACTGATGTTCCACAACGAACACAAGAGGAATGTGCGCAGGAGCAAGATCATCTTATTAATTGTACCCAGAACGCAAGCAAACGGCATCACCATGGTCAAGAAATTACAAGGCGGTATCACCGAGCCAAGAAGACGGCGAGCCCACCTTTGGTTTTGATGGCGGGCAGGCCGGTGGCTTTGGCAGAAGCGATGGCGGCGTGCATCTTGGCGTCACTGGGGGGCGGTGGCGGCTTGTAGGCGGGTGGAGCTGTGCCTTCACCGTGCCTCGCACACACCACCACCTGCATTCAAGCCAACACATTAAGTGCTGCCAAACGCAATCTTTCTTAAGGACACTACAAGCACGAGGGCAGCCTTCAAACCACAGAGTGGGGTAGGTAGCTCAAAGACTCAGACGTACAAGCATGCTGCCCAGATCTTCGAGGTGCTGAGGGTCAGATGGACCAACACAAACAAACGCATTGGAGGTCTTCAAACTGCGTAGGCCACACATGCTCACAAGAATAGGACATAGAATTCACTTGAATTCAAGAGCAAGCGTGCCTTGAGGGAGGGTGCGAGGCGGCGCAGGTGTTTGGGCAAGCAGCAGGAGTGATAGGCTGTGGGGCAGCGGATGCACTTGACCATGTCGACGCCGTCGCCGCTCTTGGCGCAGACACTGCAGTAGTGCTGCGGGCACCGGAAGTGCGCGCCCCTCTTCGCCATCTGCGTGTTCACCAGCCGGTCCACGCATCTGCGCCGCAGGTCGAATTCAATCAATCAGGATTTGGATTCGACTTCAAAAACGCGGCTCGCCTGTTCCAGGCACCGACACCCAGCTGACTGCAGGACAGTTGGAGGCAGCCCAACTTGGCCCAAATCAGGTTTGTGAGTGGCACCACAGTGAATGAAATATCTAATAAGTAAATAAGCATGGAGAGTCACATGTCTGTGCGTGCAGGCGGGCAGGCGGCAGAGACACACCCTTGGAATGTTTCCCCTGACAGGGCAGGAGTAATGCAGCTCTCAGCTGCAACTATGAAGGAAATTCAGGGGTTGTGAAGCCCACAGCTGCTAAATCATTAAAATCATAATAAGATAGGTTAAAATTGATTTAAATTTTGGTGTGAGCTGCACCTGACGTGGTAGAAGCGGCCGCAGACGCCCAGGGAGCACTTGCGGATGGTGGGGTCCTCAAAGCCGGCCCCAAACTCGCCGCAGGAGAAGCAGCGCATGCGGCCGGAGTCACACTCTGGGCAGAACCAGACGCTGCCCGGGGCGGGCAGGACGGGCAGGCCCAGGCAGCCCGAATGGTACGCTCGCAGACAGGGCCCGCCGCACACCACCAGACCTGCATGCAACACTCCCTCTTTCAGCAATTTACACAGAAAAGAGCCCCAGATGACCCTCACCTTTTCTGTTGCATTTTGGAAGGTCAGATGCCACGAATCCACAATCTCAACCCCGCACAATCCAAATGGGTGTCCAATAAAGCAGCAGAAACAAAAGTCGACTACGGCATGCTGCATGCGAGGGCTGCGTGAAAGATAGAGTCACGAGAAAAGGCAAGACACACAGTGCGAGCGCCATGTAGGGAAAAGGGCTGTCTGGCAGTACCTATGCAGTGCATGCGACATGCAAGACAGCTCCGGCCCAGGACCAGAGAAGTTTGCAGCAGACAGTTGGAACGGAATTTGTTGAGCTTGACACTTGCAAACAAGTCTCAAGAGGAACAGAAGGCCTGCATTGCAAGTCTGGATTGTGGGGGCTTGCCTTGGGGGCTGCCAGTGCCCTCACAGGCGGAGCAGACAGAGGAGAGCCAGGAGGTCAGGCACTTGCGAGGCTTCTTTGCAATCCAACGCTCTCGGAACCCCTCACTCGATTTCTTCTCATCCCCTGCCTCCGATGGAGAACTCTCCTGCGCCCTCGGGGTGCCCGGATCCTGTACATAAAATGTCTGTGTTCAACTGCCAGTCTCAACTCAAAATTGTGAAGATCACATATGAAGCAGCGCTGATCATGCACACCATGAGGTTCAAGAGTTTCGCAAGAGTTGACAACCCATCAGTGAGCATACCTCATTCTCAGGACAGAAACAGCAGAATAGTAACAGGCCATACTGAATTGTCAGCCGGAACAATCAAACGATATTCATGCAAAGGGCAATTCTCCTACACGTTCGAGTCAACAAGTGGCACACTGGCCAGCGAGGACTCTGGAGAGCCTTGCAGTGCACAAGCACAAAAGATAGACTAAAGAAGATGAGGCACCTGCTGACTGGGCGTGTCCGCAGGGCCTGTCAGGATGAGCGGCTTCAGCTGCCCGGCGCCCTTCCCGTTGAGGACCGGCGTGGTTGCGTATGTAGATCGCGGAAGCCCGTTTGGGCTGCTGTCATTGCTGGGGGCTGGGGGCGTCACTGCTGCCGCCAGACTCACTGCTGTTCCTGGCCTCTCCTGCGCAACAAGGCCTCAGGCAACGCTACTGATGCCTTCTAATGACACAATCATTCCACAGCAACTTCTACAGCAACGGGGAGAGAAAATTTAGCACCTCTTTCATACGAAGGGCCAACGGGCACACATTGCTGGCTTGTTCTCCATGATACACGAGCGTTAAGAGCATCTCGCAACTGTTCCTTCAAATGACGATTGGACAAAATTCACGAACTTGTGACAGCTGAAACTTCAGGCAGACCGCACCAGGGGGGTCCCATTGGCGGTGGCAGCCTGGTCACCGGGCGGCTGGGCCTGGTGTGGCGGCAGGGCAGAGGGGTTTTGCCCGGGGGGACCGGCCGGGGAGTTGCTGGGGGCGGCTGGCGGCGGCTGCTGCTGCTGCGGCGGGGGGCCCGGCTGCAGCTGCGGTTGGGGGCCCGCCGCCGCCGCCGGTGGCACCTGCTGCTGCGGTGGCACCGAGGGGGGGACCCCAAGGGGCCCCGAGGGCTTCCCCCCTGGGAAAAATGCCCCAGGAGAGCTGCCGGGTGGCATCTGCTGCACAGGCCGGTAGTGCTGAGCCCCCGGCATTCCCATCGATGCCACTGGCATTGCCATTGGCCTCATCCCCTGCTGCTGCTGCTGCTGCTGAAGCTGCTGCTGCTGCTGAAGCTGCTGCTGTTGCATGTGCTGCTGCTGCTGCTGCTGCAACTGCATCTGCATGTGCTGCATTTGCTGCTGTTGCAGAAGATTCAGCTGTGGGTGCTGCTGCTGCTGCATGTGCTGCTGCACCGGCGGCGGCTGCAGTATGAGATGCGGCTGCGTGCCCGGCCGGCCGTTCGCCAGAGCCAGGGACGCCTGTCAAGCCACCAATTTGCTCATCAAGCACTGGCAACTGGCAATGATGCAGAGAAGGAAATTTGCCAGTTCCTCTCATTGCAGCATGCATGTCACGGTAGCCTGACACGAGCAACTGCAACTGGGGCACAGGCACAACAGTCCGCTGTTGAAGATTTCTTTCTCTCCTTGCAGAAAGAAACAAAGAAAGAGAGAACAGTCAAAGATCGTGAGAAAAGGAAGATTGCATACCGGCTGCATGTGGCCCATGCGCGTGTCTGCGTCCTTCCGGGCAATTGCAGCGCTGGCCGCCTGGCGAGCGGCTGTGTCTGCCTGCATCCTCGCTGCATGCGCTTGCCTGCGCGCGCAACCCACAGCCACACCCTCAGCTAACTTGCCATGTCGCGTCCCTTCCCTGTTATGAGGATGAACGGGACACTTGGCCACATATGACATCCGAAAACAACCAGTCTTTCTATAGCTGAGCGCGCTAAGGCTTATCTCAACAGCTGAAAAAAGACTGCAAGGTATTCAGGGGACAAGAGTGGGTGCTCTTACGCGGCGGCATGGCGGGCGGCTGCATCCCTCTTCAGCTGCTCGTTGCGCGCTTTCTCAGCCGCTCTTATTTGAGCCCTCTCCGCTCGCATCACTCCCCCCTTGTCCTCTGCCAACTGCGCGCCACAGAGCCACCCAACAAAACTCATTTTCCTGGCCATTCCATTTATAAAATTACCTCAAAGTTTTATTGCAATGTAAAAGTCTATGGCTACGAATAGGGAGAGCCCATGTAGGGCCTTTAGAAAACTGTGCAAATGATTGGATTCAAGCAAAGGGGTTGTTGTCCTGCTGCATGAAATCTTCCAAATTTGAAATGTTGAAAAAGCAGGCTGCAAGTAGAGGGGTGACAAGGCAGCGTACCTCCCAGGGGGAGATGCGGTTGGGCCAGTTGGGGGGCGTGTCATCGTCCCAGTGGATGACTAAGGCCTTCCAGGGGTCCATGCGCAGCCCCTGCATGTTGACGCCCCCCATGCCAGCATACATTCCTAGAGGGTTAACCCCTGCGGCTGCTGGCCTCTGCTGCAGCAACCCCTGCAGCGCTGCGCTCATCTGCGGCTGGCCCGGCCTGAAGTGCCCCTGCAGCATCATCCCTTGCAGCGGCATGCTCCCGGGAGCCTGGCCAGCACACAGTCACCCTTTTCACAGTTCGCCTCAATGCCCCTTTTTCACCTCCTCGAGTCTGCTATGATCAGCCAACCCCTGACATCTTCAGCGTTGCCAAATGAGGGCATATCAGCGATGTGAACAGCACGGCAAGGCAAGCTACTGCCCGCTTGACCCCGCAACTTGGTTTGGTGGATATTGGCTAAATGTAAGCGTGTGGTTCTCAGGATGACGCAAGTGGACTTTGCAGTGCAGTGTGGCAAGGGAACGGTACCGGCTGGAAGGGAGTTGACGCATGGGGGTTGCCGGGCAGCGCTTGGGCAGCTCCAGGCAGCTGGCCGGGCAGGCGGCCGGGCTGGCCGATCAGCGATGCGAGGCCCGGGCGCATGCCGCCGGCCTGAGGCATTCCCTGATTAGGCACGCCCCCCAGCCACTGCTGCGCCACAGACGCCACCGCCGATGGCAGCAGCTGCGGCGGCCGGTGCAGCGAGCCCGGCCGCTGCGCCGGCGCCGGGGCGGAAGCTTCCCCGGAAGCTGCCGGCGGCTGCTGTGCGCTGGCCTGCGCCGGCTGCGCTAGGCTGAGCTGCGCTGACTGCTGCGGAGCCTGCTGTGGCACAGACACCGCAGGCGACGCTGCCAATGGGGCTGCTTCTGCAGCAGTTGCTGCTGCTGCATCCTGCAGTTTCTCCTCGCTCTGCAGCTGCGCTGCAAATGCTCCGCTGGCCGCCGCGGGTGTTGCAGCGGGTGCCGCTGCGCTCGACGGGGGCTGTGAAGAAGCGAGTGGCAGCGCCGGGGTGCTGCATGCGGTGGGGAGGGGCGATGATGCGTTTGAAAGGGTCGTCGATGCGCTTGGCAGGGGCGCGACAACTGCTGGCGAGCTCAGCACTGTTGGGGCTGAGCTGGCAGCGGAGGGTGTGCACACTGTCACTGTGGGCCCAGCAGATGCTGCCGGCTGCACAGGCAGCGTTTGAGTCGCTGGGGGTGAGATGACAGGTGACATTAGTGGTGTGCTTGCAGATGACGGCCCTGCATGAGCACCAGACAGCAGTCAGACGATCTCTTCCTGGATCAGAGAAGCACACCCTGAGCACATATATCATTCATTCGTCGAGAAAACATCATGCACATGCCAGTCAGAGTATACACATAGGTTGAAGCCCCATTTTGCTCTCTGATTGATCCTGCAGGTTGGTGAGTGGTGTTTACTACAACGACAGACAAATGTGGCACACCCAAGGCGCATAACCCGCATATTTAACTCATTGTTATTATCACACACTGCTCCTGCCAGACTCAAGGTGCGTCTGCAGACAAGCTGCAACTAAAGGCTGCCACATATCCTACCCCTTGATGGACTCGCCAGATCCATGCAAGACCCAATCAACCGTGCACGCTACTCAGCATTCATACTGCACCCCGCAGCCAAGGCAAATAGCACGTAACTAAAATGGCAGAGATGAGCGCACCAGTAGAGGCTGATGTCAGGGGTAGTGAAGACGGGGTCCAGGAGGAGGGGAACATCCAGGGGAGATACGGTGCAAGGACCACCCCCGTAAACCAGCGGTAGCGCTTTGGCTGCAACATCGCTTCCGAGATGCTGCCATACATCGGCATCTTCACCGGCACGCCTGCCCACACAGGGCCAGCACTTTCAACAAACCCGCCAGAGCAATGAATATTTCATCTCCATATTCACGCAGCCATCCCCTAAATGTCGGATTGCATGCCTGAAGCCAATGTTCGAATTTGGGCACAGATTTTGACTACGCACGCACGAGAACTTTTGGCAGCCAAACAATAGAGCAGGTGAAATCACTGCACGTGCGCCAGAGAGGAGAGAAAAATACGCCAAGTATGCAGAGTTCCGAATCCTGTAAAACCCTCAAGGGTGACTACAAGGGGAATAAGACACGCACCGGCGGGCCATGCGCGGCCGGCGGTTGCCTCGAAGAGCGGCACTTGCAGCAGCGGGTGCGGCGGGCGATCATTGGCGGGCGGCCGGATGTACACGGCGCAGGCGGCCTGCAGCCATGATTGTTTCAGCCAAGGGGCCGACTATTAGGGAAGCTCGGGAAGCTGACTTGGCATGGATACAGCATCGCCGACAAGGCAATGCGCCATATCCTGGTGAATTGACACCTAGCCAGTGGTAGGTCCATGCAAACACACACACACATATATATATATATATCGTGCACGGAATTGCGAGAAATCTCAAAAATAAACAGAACATGCACTGCATGTCAGGCACAAGCTTGTCGAGCAAGACCCAAAACAACGTGGGACCGTTTGCTCGTGGATTTTGCCACAGAAGATAAGAACAATAAATATCATGTCTGTCAAGCATGATGCTGTCAGGCAGGACTCACCAGGTCGCGGGGCCGCGTCCAGAACCGGATGGATTCGCCATCGTCCCCGGCCGCTCCGGCGCGCGCCTCCTCCTCCGCATCGGCAGCCGCCGCCCGGTCACGCGCCGTCGTCGCAGCCGCCGCCTCTTCAATCTCCTGGACAGGAAACGCAATAGGTTAAATCTCAAATTCGCAACAATCAGGTGACAACCGCCGTCTTCTTCATCTCCTATTCATACAAAATAGTGCTCCAAAATGAAATTTGGCATTTGCTGTAAGCCGCCCCCTTCTCACCGGGCATCACGAGCTCTGCCCGAACACACTGCAATTGAGGTGCAGGGCCACTAGCTAGCTGCCTCTTCACCTGAACATCTCCAAGAGACCATACGGCATACGCATAACACACATGCCAGGTCATGCGTGACTAATGAGTCATCAGAGGAGGTTGCGGCGGCCCAACAGATCCTACAACAGCTCAACATGTTTGTTTGAAGGCTCCTGTCAACACATTGCCCTCACAGCCACCAGTATATTGCCTCCTCACGAAAAGGAGGCGTGTGGCGCACCCTGCGCGTCATGAGGGTGGTGGTGCCCTCGTTGAGAGCGTAGAAGTCAGTCTTTGTGCGCGTGCGCCGGCTGCGAGTATTCCTCGGCTCCTCTCCTTCGGCGACTGCATTGTTCACCAGAACTTAATTACCGAGGGTATGGAATGCGGGTGCTCCAAAGCGCTAGCCCTTCCTTCCTTGGCTTGAATGTGGATGAAAATTCCAGACTCTCAGCAAGTTTGGCATCAAGGGCAGACACGAGGTGCAGATGCTGATGCCTGCATGAGATAAATGCTCCTTCCTCCCATCACCATGCAAGAAGAATCAGAGGGCGTTTTCTGATGCGAGGGTGCTGCAGCTGACCACCTGGCTCTGCAGTGGAGGAAGGACTCAACAGCGCTTGATCTGTGGACGCGGCTGGGGCGCTCTCGCCATTCTGCTGGATTCCCTGCACATGCCGAACATCAAGCCTCTGTCAAGAAACATTCATCAATACGGAATCACAGCGACCCCGCGTGCCTAGAGAACAAAAGAGAAAAATAATGCTGTGCCCTTCCACTCACTTCGTGGCTTGAATGACCCAGTGCCAGAAGGTCCAATTTCAATGAATACCTACGCCTTCCCAAATTCTAATGGTACACTTCACTACTGCGGAACTTATCAACATGTCACTATGCATGAACATAAGCACAAGTAGCTTCACGGAACATGGAATGATGTTGTGCATTGTCTTTGTGAAACACGCTTGGTCAAGCAGAAGAAACTGACTGCAACCCACCTGTTCGGCCTTCACAGGTGACTGCGCAGAGCCATCCACCTCCATTTTCACAGGGTCTCCTTCCTGCTTCACAGCGGCTGCTGTGTCTGTATGCGCAGGCGTTCCCGCCTCAGCTTCGCCTGGCTTCTGCTCTGTGATTACGGCTGGTGCCAGCTCAAACAGCTTGGGCTTGGGCTGCCGGAATCCGTGCTGGAATGTGAAGTCGCTCCAGTCGATTTCCTCTGCACAGCGCATGACAATCCCAACCTTGAGTTTTCATTGTTTTCCAGTCGTTTTGAACCATTCGATGCTTTTTCATATATCAAACTCCAATAGACTGCATCCGGAACATTGACAACGAAATGAGCTGACAAGCGCAACTCGTGCCCCTGTGCATGGCACGTCAATGCTTCCATGTAAGTATCCAAAGAAAGAGGCAGGCCAAAGTTTTAAGTGATGTGTATCAAACGACTTTCCTCTCTCAGCTTGCGCAGTAACAGGCACCCAAAGAAGTGCCACCATCCTTGCAAGACCTGGTCTGATAGCTACCCATTGAAGGTAGGCAAAGAGCCCCATTTCTCATTTAAGGCACGGCTGGAAAGATAAGACTAGGGCATAGCAAGGCCGCACCTTCAGTGTTGCTGCTCAGGTTTGTGGCTTGCCCGGGCGGCTGAGGCTTTTCTAGCAGGAACCAGGTGACTAAGAGGCTGTCATCGTCGGAGCCTGCCTGCGCCATGTTGGCAAAGCGCCCCTGCCACACAGGCGCCTTCCAGTGACCCCTTGCAAACACCACCTGCGCAGAAATACATTTTCAAAGACGGAGCCAGGTCATTTTTCAGACTATGTGCATGATTGCTTGCATGGCTGCCTGACAGCTATTACACTGGCAGTGACAGTAGTCTTCCGCATAACCCATTCCTGCCCGTGTCATCACTCATTCTATGCACACATGGATGTCTTCAGCCAGAGTCACTGGCGCAGCCCTGCTTAAGCAAAGCTTTCTTGCAGATGGGTGATTGCAAAATGGCTGCGAGGCTGTGTAAATGGGAGCTCAACCGCATGCCAAACAGCCGCTCTGCCACATCACGGCTCCACCCTGGCATTGTGCATGCTATCAGCCAGGCCGGTCTCGGGGGTGTACCTCCTCGACGCGAGTCTTCTCGGCCGCTTCCCAGAACTTGGGCACGTCGGCCGGCTTGGCCTCGGGCGGCGGCCTCTGCCGGTGCACGTGCGCCGCGTAGCCGGTCTTCAGCCACACGCACTCCTGGCGCGGAGACGGCAGGTACGGCAGCTGCAGAAGGGTTACAATGTTCTTTAGTTCCAGGTCGAGAGACCGCATGCACGGTGAGTCACGAAGAGAGCTTATCTGTCTGAATAATTCTGGTATGGCATCTGTGACGCAATAGCAGTCATAGTCATACGTCCGAAAGAGAGACCCCATGCACAAAGGGCAGCTGCTCACAAAAGCGGCGTTTGCTCACTACCATCGTCAGATCATCAGGCAGGGCATTGAGGCTTCTATTACTGGTACTATGGACTAAGCAGGCTACCAACGATGAGGGCAGCACCAGAAGATTTCAGGGGACTACAAGTTTAGCACTGCCTGCCTCAGCTGACATTGAGCAAGCAAATTGAGGTGCTCGAGCAGACTGCAGGCACCAACAGCCCAAAGCCCCTTGAGACTGGCGTCTGCAGTTGAAGCTGCCGTGCATCTGCCCACAATCTTGAGCAATAAGAATGGGGTCAAGGTTGGCTTTGGCTCCCAGTGACAGAGGTTGTGCGTGAAGCATCTGTCAGGGGACACTTATCAAGGACTGGTACCTGCATGCGCTGGGTGGCGACGGCTGTCTGGAAAGCTTGGAAGCTGAGGATGCCCATGTCCTCTGTGCGCCTGCAGTGCACCGCCAGCTGGCACGCCACCACCGCCACCTGTACCAGTACAAATGATGTCCAGTCAACCTAGGCTATCACTTGCAAACCGGACCTTCAGGGGCCGGAGATCGTACTGTTGCCAGAACGCTGCACAAACCAGCCGCCATCGCCAATCGCATTGATTTACACGCTTGCTTTTGCAAGGGAGCTCTGCTGGCCGGAAAATTAAGGGAAACACGCATGCCCACAGTAAAGCACCATGCACATTTCTTTGTGCCAATCCATGCTTTGCCTGACCCGCATGAAACATGATGTCCTTCCTATTTCCCAGAAGAAAAATTGGGCAGAATCCAGGTTCTTGACGACTAAGTCAACGCAAGAGTTGGGCAAATTACTTGGTCATTGCTGTTTGGCTTATAAAGTTCAACTGGGAGATGGTTCGGCAGCCCTCTGACACTTGGCATCAAGAATATGGGGCTGAACTTTGATTTTGAAAGGGCCACACCTGTAAGATGGTGCGGCCCTTGACATCAAAACAGTTTCGAGCTTAGATTTTCAAATTTGAATTTGAAGCGCACCTGGGAGATGGTGCGGCAGGCCTCGAGCTGCTCGCGGTACCAGCCGCGGCGGCGTCCCCAGCCGGTGCCCTTGAGCATATCGTCGTAGATCAGATCCTCCACCAGCCACATCAGCCGAGCCAACTCCCATGCAGAAGTAGCATGCGCCAGCCGACCCTGCACCGCCGCCCGCGCCTGCACATAGGCGCTCCCATGCATGAGCCAATGTGATAGTTTTGCACACCCGCAAGCACCGCTTGTCAATGGATGGGGCCACTTGCTCTACGTATGATTCACTGCTGTGCATGCGCAGCAACTGCACAGAGGAATGCATGACAGCCATAATACGCGTACACCTTTGCGCTTGGCACTGTATGTGGACAAGATTACGTCACTCTTCTCCAGTGTGCAATTAGTAATGCAAAGTGTAATACTTTCATTGCCAAAGGGTGCGACTGCATGCGCAGACTGCACTTCAGCGGAAGCAGCAGCGTCTGTGCAAGTAAATGGAGCCTCCTAGATGAAATGCAGGTATTGTTAGAAGGTGAACAGTTCATCGTTGTTTCTAGAAGGCTCCTTCAAGGAGACCACTGGAGGAAAACATGCTGGCACCCTGGGCTCCTGAAAGGAGACATGGAGCAAACACATCTCTCTTCAATGGTCTGCTTGGACAGGAGGGAGCAGAGACCTGAAGCCAGTCGAAGTCCTTCTCCCAGAAGCGTGCGCCTTTCAGCAGTTGCAGCAGCTGCTCGCGCAGCTGCACGGCGGCTGCCCCCAGGCGCTTGGCCACGCGGTACCCGTCCTCCGGCCGCCCCAGAGCCGCCACCGACGTCGCCACCGGCGCCTGCGCCTCGGCAGCATCCCCCGCCGCCTGCACATGAGATCCCCATTTTATCAGGCCCAGCGAGTGCCGGTGGTGCGAGTGGCGCCGAGCCTGAAGTAATCCAATTGATGGTGTCGTTCCCGCGACACCTCTTGTCCTTTGAGGCGAGTAGCAAACCAACAGTCCATCAGGCAGGGACCTGCAACTAGAACAACGGTGCAGGATGTGTCTCCTTACAATGCCCGTGACGCCTGTGTTGCACACCAATGAGACGGGCGCAACTGTGGTCTGCGCGCAGTCCATTTCAGCCCTGGGTATGTAGCAGCCCCTCAAATCACTCTACGAATCTGAAGCCCTAGAGAATATGAGGGGCACCTGTCTTGATGCTGTAGTAGAGCCTACAATTTTGCACATCGTCCTCACACTGGTGCATGTTCATAGCTGGCACTGTCCCGTCTGTCTCAACATTTCTATACAGTCTAAACGACCGGATTCTCCATTTAGTTTAGGTTCTGCAGCACAGTTGAGGGGCATCTGCGCGGCCGGCGCGGTCATCTTTCACCCCTATATCATAGTCAGACCCCCAAATCACTCTGCAAACCTGAAGCCCTAGAGTGCATGAGGGGCACCTGAGTATTGTGTGCAGCGAGCTCAAAGGCCTCGTGGATGATGTCGGCCAGGTCCTGCTCCGCATCGCTCCCAGACTCCAGCCACTCCACAAGCACCGGTAGTCTCTTGATATCATAGTAGCCCCACTCCCCACCGCCCGGACTCTCCACAAACAGCTGCGCACGCCCTGTGCGCCAGCAAAAACTTGGTTGAAATTTGTCTGTGCAACTGCCCCCTCGACGCAGTTGCAATGCACCCTCTCTTCACACCACAGCACCCGGAAATTGCAATCTGACGGGTAGTGGCAAAGAGCATGGCAAGTTGACACATCGTTGCTTGCCCGGAACCAGCTGCGCGCGCATTGTGCGAATTGCATGACAGCGTCGGGCACAGGCAAAGCCTATGCTCTGAGGCATGCATGCATGTGGAACTGCTGCAAGATGCTGAACGATGTGTTCGCCTGTCTGACCCTACAGATCTATCCAAAAACTTTTTAAGGTTCTAGATTCTACCCAAAAAAACAACGCCATATCCCGGGTCGTCAAATGCTGGCCGCCGGCCGTTTGAAGAACTTCAAACTTAGGGGCACCAAGCGCGTGCAAGCAAAAAAGGTATACACTGGGGACAGAAATCTATGCGAGAGGCACCACACCTGCGTCTGCGCCAAGGCGGAAGTAGAGGGCTCCGGTCGAGTCAGCACCAATGGGCGACCCGCGCGGCAGCGGAGCATCCTCCTCATCGGGAGACATCTCCGCTATGTAGCTGCGCACGCACAATCACACACCCCCTGTCAGTCTCGATGTTCCGTGAGTCTACATGTGGTCCCTGTTGGTTATCCCACCCGCTCGGGCTCAGTGTGCCTTCTCATGTGAGAGGAGAAGGCAGAAATTTCCCTCAGGCTCAGTGTTAACTCAGATGGTGTGGCAAGTTGCACACACTTCCCTGGGCTGTGCTACAAAGCCATCTCCCCGGCACCAACACCATCGCTCAACAAAAAAAAAGGAGGCATGCCTGGTGAGGGGCTCACGTGCGAATGACTCTTGTGCCGTCGGCCGCATGCAGCATGGTTCAGCCTACAAGATGCACGGATTGACAACCGATTGGCCATTCAGATCCTTTCATGGCTGCCAGCACCGCATGTGAGGGTCGCAAGACATGGAACAGCCTGGGATTATCTCACTTGCGCATGACCTCGGTGTCGGCGGCCGCATGGATGAGAGCTTCCAGCAGGGCGAGGCGGTGCGCAGCCGACAGGTCCCAGTAGTCGTCCTGCCGCAGCGCCGCCAGCGCATCACCGGCATCGGCGCCCAGCATCGGCGAGGGGTGGTCCTCCAGAAAGTGGCGGACCAACTCTGTCCACGTCACCCCCAGAAGCGGCCTGCATGAGGCGTTCACCAAGGCTGCATGTCATGATCCAAAATCCTATGCAATCTTCTTAATGCATTCCCTGTGCCCTTCAGTCAGACACTGTGGTATGCAGCCACCGGCAGGGCATCTGTCAAGACCACATCTTGTACGGCTTCCCATACTCAAAATTCTGCATTGCAGACGTCTACTCTAAATTCAGGAGAATGCAGCCTGCCCTTGCCTTCGCTCTCCGAACAAGCAAATCCTTTGGATCGCTGCTTAGATGAGTAAATAATGCCTCGGCCAAGGCCAGCACTTCCTGCAAACGTTCCTGAGTCCCAGAGAAAGAGATCCCTTCAGCTGCACAACGCCATGAGAAATGGAATTAAGGATATTTTTCCTAAGGGTAGATGCCTCACAAAATCTGCAAATCTGTGAGCCCACCACCACTTTCAAGGGATATCGCTCTACAGTGAGTGGGTATTCGGGCCTACAACACACCTGTAGGCTTCCTGCGGGCCGAGGTCCGCGGCTGACCCGTAGCCGGCCAGCGTGGGCGCCTCCTGGATCTCCTCGTCCAGTCCCTCCATCAGTCTCAGCAGCGCGCAGTGTATGTCCTTCAGGAGCGGCCCCTGCCCATGCGCGCCCCAGCCGGGACCATCCGTCTCACCTGCACCCCAATTTGATTACATCAGTTTAAAATGGGTGGATGTGATCAAGCTTGTAATCTACTATAGAAAGCACGGCAGAGGCATATTGACTGGCATCAATGTGTTCATGAGGTCTAGCAGGACGATAGCTTCCGCCACATAGCCCTGTACAAGCCAATTGCAAAATATGCCGCATGGGAGCCATAGCTGGCTTGTGCAGGGCTGTGGGGTGGAAGCGAGCCTGCTGCCAGAGCTCTACAGCTGCATGCTAAAGTCAAGACAGGCTATGCAAAGTTTACTCAAGGAAGCAAAGCGACAACACAAAGAAAGCAGTATCCAAGTCTCATGTTGCCAGGTGCTGAAGATGGCATGAGGTCAGGGCTGCCCACCTCCAGCTGACACACTCAGCATGCCGGCGCCGGCCGACGGCGGCCGCGACGGCGGCTCCGCATCTGTAGCAGCCCCGTTCATATTCACCGCCAGATCTGGCAACTCCGGGGAGGCCTGATTTGGCACAGGTGCTTGGTTTGGCGCGGCCTCGGCGCCGCTGCTAGGACCCAGCGGGAAGGTGACGTCGGAGGGTGCCGCGTCGCGGAATGCCATTTCCAGGCGCGCTAGGGGGAAGGGCGGCAGCCGTAGCAGCGCGCGGTAGGTGCTGCAGAAGTCCCAGGCCATGAGTATGCCCGGCAGCAGCGGCTGCGCTGCCAGAAAATCCGTGGACGGCTGCGGCCGCCGCTTTGGGTCCGCCGGCCGCGCGTGCGTCAGCCGCTTGCGCAGGCGCCGACCTGGGAAACCGGGCACAGATCACTTTAGTAGCAACTCTGCAGTATCTTGCCACCGGTGAGGCTGCTAGCTTCCATGCAGTTCCTGACAAGTTTCTTCATGGGCAGGAAGATTCAGGCTAGAGTTTCAGTGGCAAAGGATGTTTGCTTGAACACAAGCAATGCAGCACATTTGACAGAACGGGGCGCATTACTGGTGTCATCCACATCCCTTCCCGGCCCTAGATTAAACACCTCTTCACTGATATAGGCCGCAGAAAAGGACATGCTCAACCACGTGCTGGCAACAGGCATGCGCCCTCGGCAGCATGCACAGCCTCCAGTCGCGCTCTGAGTTCCGACGGTGGCTGCAGCAAGTAGGTTGATTTCCCCGGTAGCTTACACTGGAGCTTGCTCAGGGCATGTCAAATACTCACGCAGAGGCTCATCAGGTGCAGCATGCAAGGGCCAAATCAGGCACCGACACCGCCTGCAAATCAGGCCTCGCCGGCGTTGCCAGATCTGGTGGTAAATTATAACGGGGCCGCAACTGCTGCGCGCGCACCTGGGCGGGTGACGGACTCGATGGGGATCCCTGCCGCATCTGCCAGGGTGCGCAGGAGCCCGCATTTGGGCGCGTGGTGCCCCAGTAAGGGGGCGAGCTGCGCGACTAGGAACGCTGAGTCAGCGCGCAGTTCGGCCTCTCGCATGGAACCCTCGTCGACGACCCCCCAGTAGGGGTCGAAGCCGTCCTCCTCCTCGCTGTCCCACTCGCGGTTGCCGTAGTCCGGCGACAACACCTGCGCCCATGTGCCGCCACCTCAGCGCATGCATGTGGCCAGAGTCGGCTTGGGTTTGCCAATAACAATTATTATATGCTCGCCTGCACTCCTGTCTTCTGCGCCCCCATTCAAACGTTGATGCACTCGTCATAAAATGTGCATGCAAGAAGCACCATTTCAGTAGGTTCCTAAACTTCCTCCGTTTTTTCTTGTAAGCAGGTGGGTAAAATCCAAAAGATGCCCACCCAAAGCACCCAAGCTCAAATAAGCCTGTAGGGAATCCTCCGCTCCTCACCCGCAATGCCAGCACTCCCAGGAGAGGAGTCAAGACTACCTTACAGGTTCAGGTGGCTTTCCAGGGGTATGTAGAGAGGTCAGGGGCGCACATGGGGCAATGCAGCCTCGTAGGAGATGGAGGGGTGGTCGAACATGACGGCCGCGCACCGCCATGCCAGCTGCGCCCGGCGCAGCGTCGGTGCAAATGTTGAAACGTACTCCTCTGCAGGCGCCATCAACCTGCGCAGCAGGTGAAAGAGCTTACCCTGTTTGCTCTGGATCAGAAACAGGATGATCCAGGCCACTGCAGAGCTGCTACGTGTAATTCTGGATGTGGGCTTTGTCTGGGGCCTCCAGAAATGCCCCGGCATGGCTGCCAAACCGCCTCCAGGCCATTGGGATAAGAGCACTGGTGCACAAAAGCCCATTCTGCAGCAATCAGCCTCGACTTTGTGTGGCATGTCTGAGATTCCATGCCCGTGCAAAGAGTGCTGCATCAATGAGGATCTGCATCAATGAGGACATCTCTGGCGGGCATGCAGAGGTACTTCTGCATGCATGACTAGGTCGTCTCATTTCACAGTAGCACTGGGTTTTCCTGCGTGCTCACCGGTACCAGGCGCCGTCGGAGATGATCCAGATGGCGCCCGGGGCGGAGTGGTCAATGACATAATCGCGCACAGCCGGCACGCGCACGCGCAGCCGCGCAATTGCGCGCGCCTCCTCCACCGCCACAGCCGCCGCCCGGTGCTCCAGCAGGACCCCCCTCGCGCGCAGCGTCAACCCCTCCACGCTGCCTGCAACGCACGGTGACTCACGATGACTCGCGCTTTGTCGTGTTTCACCCTCCATGACATGCATGCTCCAGCTGACCGAGAGTGGCCAACAAAGCCCTTCAGCTCTGAAAACCTCACAGAGACTTCTTATAACTCGGCGATGACTCCTATGAGTGCTGTGTGTACCCTCCCTATGACAGAGCCTCCAAAGAGACTGTCCGTAACTCGAAATAACGTACGCCTTACGGTCTGCATGCGGCATGACGCATGCTGACTCGGTGCTGACTCATGATCTCTCGTGTGCTGCCTCCGTGTGACATGCATGCCCTGGCCCCTTGGTGGCCGGCATTGCAGAACAAATGCCTAATTCCAGGAAGCCTAAGTGCCTCAAGAGAGTTTTCTGATTTGCAGTGACTCACTCTCTGCCGCTCCCTTCATTGTGACAGAGTTTCTGAAGAGACTTCTGGTGAGTCTCGTATATTGCCGCATGCTCCAAAGGGAATTTTCGCTTCTGAACATGGCCCACCAGCATGGGCATGGGCCGATGTGCTGTGACATGCAGACCCCTGCTCTTGATAATACTTGCGAACAAGCTTGGGCTCTTGGAGGCTGTACAGCGATCCGGAAAGGGCCGCCTGGTTGGGCAGGGGAGCAAGGTGTGCTGCCGCTGAGGCGCTGTGCATGCATCATTGCTGCACCGGGGGTTCTGGCAAATTCAGGCCGCATGCATGCCATGCATGAAAGAGGAGGAGGATGCCTGGCGCAGTGGCCACACCGTTTTCCAGCTGTTCAAGGCCGGCAAGGAGCTCGGAGCCGTCGCTCTGCAGCACGTACAGCGAGAAGCCATCCAGCAGTCGCAATGGCAGGGCTGCCTCCCCAGCAGCTCCGCCAGGGACTGTCAGATTCACAGCGCCTGCCACGGAACGCTCCTCGATATATCCATCCTGTGTCACAGACTCAGGACGTCAACGTTGGGCTTCACCTCTGCCAGTGATCCTGTAGTGCACACCGTTCTCAGATCAGGGATGGCCCGGCACAACAGCAACCTGGAGGCAGTCTTTTGCGAGCAACAACCATCCCTGAAGAGCTACGTGAATGATTGCGTGTGCCAAATAGACAGAACTCTGACTGTGCCCCAAGTTGATCTCCCAGCTGTTCTGCACCTCAAGATTGCCCTCCTCCGGCCGATACAGAGGCTCAGGAGTCCCAGCATTCTAGGGGGCGTCATAATGATCGAAACCATAGAGGCACGAATGGTCAAAGTGATCCCGGAGTCGTCCCGGCCTGCTCAATGCGCCTTGGGCATATGTAGATGGGCCACGAGGACGCCCAACTCGGCACGAGGGCACGGCTTGTAGGACACCAGTGCTTGATTTGCATCACATTAATGGTGTTTGGTCGTGTGAAAAGCTGGAAAGCACGTTGAAGTCGCCAGTGACCGTCGTGGATGTCGTCCTGGCAGGTCGATGGATTGCCTGAGGCTAAGATATATTGGGGGCCGTGTGTTCTAGACAACGGTAGACCAACTGCTTACCGATGGGGGTGCTTTGGAGTCCTTGAGAGTCCTCTTTCTGGAGCCTCCAAAGCCCTTCTTCATACTTGAGACACTCCCCGATGGACGCAACGCCCTGACAAAAACCGCTACTTTGTTGTTTGATGACAGAGGTTGTTGCGGCGCTGCGCTTCGGTTGGGGTGGTACGGGTGGGGTCATCCATCTTCGTAAAGACAGCTGAGCATTTTTTTAAACGTCGATGAGCCGTCCAATGCCCAATAAATCCGTCTCCTTTGAGCAGGTGACTCCACAGAACCCTGCAGCTTATGGCAGACCCCTGAGGGTTCACCCTGTAATTACCGATCATTGCTCACGAGGGGGCACGTATTGCCTCGTGCCGCAGAGCCACAGTCCGGACTGATCCCAGCACTAATCGTCAGCAGGCGTCGTACATCGTCCGACACAGAGATCTCTGCAGGTCAGAGAAGATCAGCAGACAGGTGAGGACCTGATTAAAGTCATGCTTGGCTTCGGTCCTCCACAAAAGGTGTCACGTGTCGGCGTGCTACAACCGTTTCTGCGCAGAGCGTCCATTAACCAAGTCCTGGAGCTCGGAGAGATGTCTTTCAAACCTTCCTGCTACCTAGATGGTTGCATCTTGTTGTGGGCTATGCCCGCCGATACGTCTGCATCGCAAGGGAAATGTGCACGGGTACTAGCCTTTCGCTGGTAGTCTGTAGGCTTCAAAGCGCTTTACGAGGTCTTTCAGGGCCCCAGCCTTGAATAAGAAAGAGAATGCATGTTTCTTACGGCAATCATGCAGCTTGATCAATCCGATCACAGCCTTCACCGAAGCCGCTGAAGCCATGGGGCATGGACTCCAGCCGGGTCGGATCTATGAGAAACCAGAGTGGGACACTGATCAAGGGGTCCCGTGGACGCAAAACAGCCAATGTGACTTGCACCGTCTGGTCTGCAGGATGGGCGCTTCACAAGTAGTGGCTGCGATCTGCATGATGCTCATGGCGTCAGCTTTGCCCGCCCGTGCTGCGAATAACGCCGTGATCCAGTGGCAGGACGCTGTGGAGCAGGTGGTGCGGAACTACAACATCAGCAACCAGATCAGCGCCAAGTTTTATGCTCTCACGAACATTGCTCAGTACCAGGTAAGCACCCCTTAAAAGCTTGAGGACGACTGCCTTTCCAGAACACCAAAGTTACCTGTCCTCGTACATATTGTGAAAGTGGGGACCCTACATGCTGGCAATCTCAAGGCTGATAGCTTACTGCTTGCAAAAACGCAGGCGTTGCTTGCAAACAAGGCACAGGACAACAAGATCAATGACACAGCCGTCACTGGTGCGACACTGACACCTAAGCGTGCATCTTTCTGTGTGCCTCTCTATTGCTGTTTGTGAATCCTGCACAGGATGTGCAATGCTGTTCTGCTGGGTTTGCAAGGAGCTGACTCTTGACTGTGTGAATTGCGGTGTTGCAGCGTTTGCAGCCCACTACATTCTCAGCTACTACTGGCCGTACAAGTAAGCCCTTCTTAACTGCACTGTGACCTGTATTGCACTGGCTGACCCCTTCAAATCACTGTACCCAGGAGAACTGCATCAGGTTATTGCAGTTCTCATCAGGCATGTTTGGGAGACCAGGCAGCTCTTGCTACTTACTTTGTGTGCGCATTAAGGAAGTAGAACATGCCCTGAAGCCTGCATGCAAACGATGCCGGTTCCTGAAGCATACTTTGCAAGCGTAGGCAGAATGTGTTTGACGGCATCATTGCCAAGCAGCTGGCTGGTCTGCCGGCCTCTGAGAAGCTGGCTGCGCGCACTCTCGCCCAGCCATACGCCATCAAACTCATCGTCAGCAGGTTTTCCTCTCCGCCATGACCGCACAGAATGGAGAGATTCGACACATGTTTTACTGGACATACCAAGATCCTACATCTTTAGGGAGCGGAAAGTTGTTGATATTTAAGAATGTCTGTTCGCCTGCACCAAGGGGCCGCAATGTGCACAGTCTCTGCAAAATTTGCAATGCAAACAAAAGTCAGATTTGGAGCACCCTAGTGCAGATCCTGCATTAGGCAGAGTGCAGTCCCGTGCATGGCACGTGACATCAGCGCACACTGACAGTTATGGCAGCGAGTGCAATTTTGAGGTGGCTTGGTCAGCGCTGCACCAAAGCCCCAGCGTCAGACTTCAGGCCAGTGCTAGAGCATGCTCTGGCAATGTGGAGCAAGACGAGTCTAGCATGCGCAGAGTAGTGAGCAGGAGAATGCATGTGTCTGATTTACTCTGCGAATCCTGCTGCTTGCAGGGTGAATGACAGCACGCAGCAGTGGGCAGACTTCAAGCCGGCATCGGCAGAGAACGGCCCGACAGGCGCATATGCGTTCACGCCAAACCAGACCTTTGTGTTGTACCCCCAGCTCGCCAATGCAACCACCCTTGCAACCCCCAACGCCAACTCGCCCCCTTCCCAGCAGGCCGGGGCTGCTGTGAGTGCTGGATCCCTTTTTTTACTTTAAATCTGTAAGTCAAAGTCTAAGATTATGGAAAGGCCATATGCCTTGTAGACTTTGTCTCTAGATGCATAGTGTGTCATGTGCACCCTCTGAGTCTTCTTGGTGACACTCTGAGTGCTCTTAGAGATAGCTCTGAGTACCTTCTAAGATTGCACTGAGAGCAAGATAGGGAGCACTGACTGCGGACATACTGTCAGATTGTCTTATTATGCATGCCGGCATGTATTGAATGTGTCACACACAAGAGAGGAATGTTTTTTTTGCGTGAGACCAAGTGCTGAGTGGTCTGTTGTGTCTGTGGTGCAGTTTGCACAGTACTCCAATGCGGACACTCTGACAGTCGGACCCGCTCAGGTATGATCAATATGCCATCTCGCACTGCACTATTGATCACAATACCTATACCTTTGGGCGTGCGAAGTAGTGCCAAATGCCCTGAAAGAATGCCCAATGCGCAGACAAATGTGTGCAAGACGGTATCTTCTTCTGAACAAGACACCCAAGTGCTGATGGGGCTAATTTGCATGGCTGCAGACCTTCTTCTCCTCAAAGCTGACCCAGTACAAGCCGCTCGATCTGAGCTCTGCCGAATATGCGAACGATTTCAACACCACTGCGACACTTGGCAGCAAGAACAGCACAGCCCGCAAAGAGTATGACACCGAGACTGCCTGGTTCTGGGCTGACCTGGATGGTAAGATCCTTATATTACCCCTGACTTCATTGCATCGGCTTTGTTATCCTGGAAATGCATTATTTTAGCATGCATGCATACCTACAGTGCCAGAAGGAAGCATTTGGAGTGAAGATATCAGAATCCTGTGGCCCACTACCTCCATGCACATATCCAGTGATGGGCCTAATACACATTCGTGCCTTCCTGTTACGTGCAATAATGATGGTAAATACGGAGTTGCCAAGAGTCTAAACCCCTACAGCCAAGAGCACAGGGTGTACCATTGTCTTCCCCAACATGCAGGGAGATTTGGTGTATTTGTGTCGTGCAGGGACCTCGACAGTCAACGGCCATTACTACACCATTGCTAAGAGCCTGCTGCCCAACGATACATCCTTGCTGGACACCGCAGAGCTGTTTGCGCGCTTGGGGTCTGCCCAGTTTGATTCAAACATTGTCGGGTGGTACATCAAGTTCTACTACCTCTTCTGGCGCCCAGTCACCGCCATCCGGTGCGCTGGATCTCCTGTCACCTGCAAGATGACCCACCAGCCTTCAACCTACTCATTTCCTATTATGTTGTGCGAATTTGCTTCTTGATTCAACTCTCAAGGTTGGGCGGAAAGGGGATACAGTAATAGCTGAGCTCAAGTGACAGTGAGGCAGCCCTTGAACCTTCCTTGGCGCATGCACTTCACAGTATGTCTTCCATCCCATCAATTGACTTATCCAACGCAATGCATTTGCCACAGGCGGGGGGACGCAAAGCACCCTGCCGACCCAACATGGACGCCACTGCTAAACACCCCAGCACACCCCGAGTACCCTTCCACCCACACTGTCACCGCTGCTGCATCTGGCCAAGTGCTCGCCAGGTCAGCTTTTCTGCAGGCCATCCCCATGCAATATTTTCTTATTAGGGACTCTAGAGGACCTAGATGATGTAGAGCATCTTCTGTATTTGCACTGCATACAAGGAGAGCACATTACGTCCGGCCCAAATCAGCTCACTGTAGCTGGCGGGGCAGCTTGACGCTGGAATAATCCACAGCGTATGTCACCGCCACGTGCACTTATTGCAGTAGCATTTTCCCAGCACACAGTTTGCATCTGCATGGTTGTAAAGCTTGCAAGGGTGGTAAACTGAACTGTGAACTGTGTGAACTGAGTGAAGTGTTATGCGCGCAAATGCAGGTGGTTCAAGAGCGATAACGTGACCTTCACGGTAGGCAGCGAGTACGCTCCCAAGAAGCTGGCGCCTCGCACCTACAGCTCCTTCTCTGAGGCCGCACAAGAGGTTGGCTGGTCCAGGTATGCTCTCGTTGACTCTTGCTACCTTGGCACTTTCGTCTGAATTAGTCTGGTGCATGCGAGTCTGCATGTGGGTTCTTGGCTTCTCTGTCGAGGGCGCATGGGTTCTCACGTAGAGGCTTGAATGATGGCCGTGCTGATAGGCTTGAAATGAGGGCGTAGAGCCAGCTCTTTGATGGTGTTTTGTGTCAGCTCATTTCGGAAGGGTGGAAGTAATTCTGCCCATGTCCTCTCTTTCAGTACTCAAATGACTGCGGTGCCCCTTTGCCGGTGCCAAGCTTGCCTTTCACACATGTCTGCTATACAGGTTGAAGTAGGTAACCCCACCTGGAGGTCATCTGCTTACTTACGGCCAGAATATAAATCTTGTGTGCTGCTTGTCAGGATCTATGGAGGCATCCACTTCCCCAAGTCTGGCCCAGATGGTGCAGGTGTCGGCACCAAGGTGAGCTCCTGCCCTTGAAATTGCGCTAGCAGATGCTGCAATCATGCAATCTTGCAACATAAATTCGCAGCGCCTGTTCCCAGGCAGCAGGTTTGAGGTGAGAAATCTGATGCTAAAACGGAAATCGTGGTGCATTGCCTCACTGCTGTGTGTTCTTGGACAGGTGGGCGACACGGTCTCTGACAACTTCCCTGCAGCGATCGACTCCATCTTTGGCACCACCTATGCTGCCACCCGTGCAGCAAACAGCGGCAGTACCAGCCCCAGTCCAAAGGCTGCCACCGGCCGCCGTCTGTTTGCCTGATTCAAAGGCCGCCAACTTGTGGTCGCCCCACAGGAATCTTTTAAATAAACTCCCATTGTATTGCATCTCGTAATAAACTATGTACCCCATTTACAAGTCGCATAGCTAGAGCAATCATGAGTGATTCTGACGGCCCAAGAGGCCACAAATTGTGTCCTGTTCTGACGACTTCATTCCTGCTGATACTGCTTGACGCCATGACCTTCACATTGGTTTGTGCAAACTTTGACAATTATTGAATATTTTCTTTGGGGAAGCACTACTGTTGCGGCCCGTCACGGTATACCGTAATCAGCCTAGACCTTATGAACGATCCTAAATGCTAGAGTGTGCTTGATTGTATTTTCTCCTGTGATCTGTTATCAAATCTTGTAGCAGCACTGCAGAGTTCCTGTTGCCATGTTGCTATCATAGCAGATAACCTTTTTCCTGGCCTGGGCCTGGCCTTTTCGGTGAAGTCTGTTCTGCCCTTGAAAACCATTTTTAATCATTGTAACAAGGTCAAAGTAACCTGTGAGCGACCTAGAATACCATCTCAGCTTAAATTTACCTGTTGCTTTCAACGCCAGCCCTAGGGCTCTCATCTGTTGCACACCATTTTGGAATTCCATACCTCACCATTTCACCACCAAAAAAAGGATCTCACGCTGCATGTTTGCTACCGACAGTGTCGGACCGACACAACAAAAAGATTTGTAGCGATGCTGAACGCTTGCTAGTCCCAGAAGGACGCTGGCAAGCTACTGGTCCTCCTGGTGAACGGAAGGATATTTTGGTCTGCTCACAGAAGTTGATGGCTCATACCTCTCAAGCGGACCCACCAGAGCGTGATCCGTTGCTAGACGTAGAAAGCGGCCAACTTCCGCAGGAAATATCACCATCTCAGTATCAGGACAAAGAGGCAGAATCGCCGTGGTCCTTGGCCTGCATCTGGGCTGAAATCAGCTGATATTCACAGTGCGTTATTCCTTACTCCTTGCAATAGTATTGCTAGTGCAATCACATAAACGCATTGAAACAATCATGCAAGTGGAATGTCGCTCCTTCCCTGGTAGTGTGCTGCGGTACTTATTGCGCTCTGGCTAGCAATGCTGAGTAGGACGGCAAAAGTTGCTTACTTTTCTATTGACGGGTGCAGGTATATCCTACCCGTGGTTGGCGCCAATATACTTCTGATTATCGGTCTTGCAGCGCTCTTTCTATATCTCAGGGCGCACAAGTGACAGCAAACACCTCAGCTTCACATCAGCTGCTTCCCTACTCTCAAGGGCGAACTGCAGCACCTACCATCAGCATCAGACCCTGTTTATGACGCTTGAGGCCTCTACTGTCGATCTTGACAGCGGCAAAAGCTGACACTGCAGGCTGTGTTGAGGTCGGGTATACAAGTCAAAGACCTTAGAAGGTCTCACCTAGACAAAGGCAGAGAGGAATATGTCAGATCCCAGAGCAGATCCAGTGGCTCGGCGTACCAGGAGCACAGCTAGAGCATCAGGCAGCACACCAATCGCAGCTAGCAACAAAATGGATGCAGCAGTGCAGACTTCTCTGCCAGGAGACAGACAGCCACCAAGTCCAAAACCCCCTCTCTCGCCAGCTCCAGGTGAGCGTTTCATACATTTAGGGAATGATTCATAGCACAACTTATGAAATCCAAGCAACGTTGTGTAGATGTCTCCAGGCGCGAAGTCAGACTGCACTGCTGTGTTGACGCAGGTAGACAGTATGCACCAGGGCGGATCCCCATCAGAGCAGATGAGAGCAACTACACGCCACTCGCCCAGACTGTGCCAGCATCTGAGCGGCAGGAGGCAGTCAGGCAGGCAGCGTCCTCCGCTGTCTCATCTGTGGACAGTTTGATGCAGGCACTGCCAAGAAGGTGCTGACATGAGTTGATACTGTTAACTTCGTTGTTTCCAGATTTCTTCTCAAGCTGCCAAGGGTTTAATGCAGTTTCTTGAGCTCAAGTCTTGGGGCGTGGCATGCCTCAGTGCAGCATGTATGCTTAACAGTCATTGTTACGCAGGTATGGACCGGCAGTGTCGCACACAAACACGCAACTTTGGCAGATGGCTGCGAAAACGCTGGCCGCAATTGCAGCCATATGGATGATCGCCATCTTGGTCGGAAGCTTGTTGCACTCAGGCAAGATCCTCACTACCTTCTTGCTGGGTCAAGGATCCAACAGTACACAACCCAACACCGTTGGCTGCTCCTCTGTGCCATGTCACGATAGGGAACATGTGCATTGTGGCACATCGGCGGTGGTGACCAAAGAATCGCAAGTGAGCTACATACTATGATCTGGAGTGGAGATCCTACGTTCTGCAAACGGCAGACCAGACCAGACTGCAGTGTTACACAAGCAATGCTTATTAGTATGCCCAATACTACAGAGTGCAACGCTGCGGGGGTCCAGTCGGTTGTAGGCTGCCCAAGTCCAAATTCAAATACACAAACTGGTTGGCGCAGAGGTGTTCCACAGCATGGAGACCAAGGCGTTGAAGGTGCGGCTGCCGCTGCTGTGGTTCGATCGGCTGCTTCGCCGCCATGGGCCGCTGCTGCCGCTGCCCGTATTTGCTATACGGATCGCCACGGACGTCGCGGCTCTGGTCAACTCTGGGCAGAGACTGGACAGCCCCCAGGGCAGCCGCCTGCGCCACCACTTGGCAGAGGCCGGGGTTGTCTATGTCGGCATCACCCTTGTGCGCATATTTGTGTACGGCCTCCACTGCGCAGGTGCGCCCAGTTGCCGGCACGTCACAGAGGAATCCGTAAGAGCGAAGTACTTTTTAAGTTTATTATGACAAAGCTAAAGTGAGCCAGAGTTGCGCTGGCCAAGCTGGTTTGCGATTGGTAAGGTTGAAATCATGAGCCAGGTCTGAAGCGAGCGTGGATCTGGCTTAGTTCCAGTAGAGATTTTTGCACCATGTGAGTTCCAACCATGAAACTAAATCCATTTCAGATGTTTCAAGGTATCACTCTGAAGCGCATGGCAGCCACCCTTTGAAAGACACTTTTGAGCTATCCTTCAAAGTTGACGAGAAGCTGATTGGCCATGCCTCTTCTTCATACAGCAGAGAGCTCGAGTGCACGGTCGACAATGTTCGATGCTGGACGCAGGCGTGTACCGGCTGCTGTCCAGGGCTGGCGCGGTGTCTGCGGTGCCCATCCAGCTGATGTCTGATCACATTTTCCTGGGAGCGTCAGTGGTAGCCATTCTGTCTGCGGAGCTGGTGCTGCTGCGGTGCAGTCTGCGCCAGGCACACTGCCCCATCCATGTCAAGACCATGGCCCGCGCAGGTCAGACCTCTTTCTCTCTCTCTCTGCAGATGCTTCCGTGAATGATGAGAGTGCCATGCAACCTGTAGTCTGCGTTTGGCAGCTGGTGACGTGGCTGTTGCCAGATCTCTCGGTTGATCTCTGAATCTTTCTGTTGATTCAGACGGTACATGCGGTCGTGATTTGCACTCATGTCAATCTCCCATGCCGAAATTGGACAGACCGGAGTTGCTTATCACTGGGACTTACTACTTAGAAATATGAAGCTGACGGACTGCGAGTGTGTGTGCGAGCAGGGCTCACAGCTGCAGTGGCACTGCTTGCCCTCACATGTGGCGACATGCACTTCACTGCGAGGTTCTTCCACGAACGGACGGAGACTTTCCTGGGAGCCGTGCTGGGGCTGCTGGCCTTCCAGATTCCCATCACCTGGTGGCTGCTCTATGGGTTCACAGTGGCTTGAGTGACTGGGAGGTCCAGGGGTTGATACAGGCATGGCATTGAACAGCGCATGCGCATGCATGACTGCACCAATTGCAATGAGCTGCATCTTTTTGTGATTTTGCCATGTAATCACAATGTTTAGGAAAGATTATGACACTTGAATGGGAACCTGCCACAGCAAGTACATGCAAATATCATGGTTTAATCTCTTCCATGACATATGCACAATGCGCACGGCCACTGGCAGGTATACAAACTTCTTCACCGTCTGAAGATACCATCCCTTGCTTTGGGTGCAGAGAAAAAAATCCATAATGCCACACATACAACATCTCATGCTCACGCAATAGATAGCCATGCATGCAGAGCCGCTGCCGGCCATCCCATCTTGATGCCATCTAGATCTACCTATCGTACAACACAACGATCTCACACATAAAGAGGGAGCACATTGCCCATCACAGCTTCTGAGTCTCCTCAAGAAGACTGCGCCTCAAGGAAACTGCGCAGGCGGTCCCCAAGAGGCCTGCAGGCGTTCCTCTCCGGCGCTGCAACACACTGGCCCCCAAGAAGAGGGCGGTTCTAGTATACATCAGGCGGTCGCTGGCCATTGTCAAAGCCGCGGCCGGTCTCTGTCGCCTGACGGAGGTGCATGGAGAGGGAGTAGTTGGAAAGCTCCAGCGTGCGAATTTTCTGCTCATACTGCGCCAGTGCAGAGCGCAGACTCGCCAGCTCAGCGTCCTTTGCGCCACACGCCTCCTGCGTCAGTAATGCCTACCGTTCAGCGCACATGATCAGGCCACGCAAGTCTTCATACTCTTGCAGTCATCCTACCGCAAGCAATGACACAATAATAATGTATAGGCTTGTTGATCAGAAGCCAGAGTGGGGGTTATTGCAATGCAGGAGGTATTGGAAACAGATGCCGGTCAGTCGTCACAGCCTGAGAAGCTGCGCTACCTGCATGCGCGAGTTCTGGATGGCCACTGCTCGCTTCAGGATGTGGTTGTCCCGGGACAGCTCGTTCAGGTGGTTGCGCAGGGCAGCCACATCTGGAGCATCCTGCTCGACGGAAAGGCCGTCTCAGTATGCCACACCACCACACAAATTCGCTACACAATGTCTAATATAATAAACAGGCATTACAGTCCATGCCCCCGGTCATCTGCACCCCAGGCGGCTTCCTTGATGTTATCCCCTGAGGTGCCAGCCTGACGTGCTATGCATCAGGTAAGGTTGCAGAAACAGGCCTAGCCTGGGCATTCATGGCACCAATTATACAGCTGTCATGGAGGAGGGGTGAGCTGTGTGGAAGTGGCACCTGTGATCTAGCAGCCTGCTGAAGCACGGCCTGCTCGAATGCTTGGAGGACCTGTGACGCCCGTTCTCGCGCATCAGCCACATCCTTAGCGCCGGCCATCTGCTGCACCAGCGCTTCCACCCAGTCCGCTGGCGTGCGAGGGCCCTCCGCCTGTTCTGGCGCCGGGCTGACTGATGCATGGCTATCTCCATCAGCCGCACCTGCACGTGTGCACTTTCCTGTCAAGCATGATTTCAAGCGGTCATAATTTGATCTGCAGGCGCTATAGCTGGTAATACTAGATGTGTAGGAGGTGGCAGAAATGCAATATGATGCACCGTAGGGTGAGGTCGCATGACCGTTGCAACAATTACGATGAGTGCAGTTGCATTGGTCACAGGCCGAAAAATATGAAATGATCCCCTGGACCCTGAGGCACCAGCTTCACCTCTTAACTGGGGCAAGCTAGTGCATGCTGATGGAATAAAAGCAAGGGTGCGTGGGTGCCAGGCCTGAACTTAATTAAAACAGGGATTGGGAGAGCTCGCAAGATCCAGGAAGGCTAAAATGAGTCATGTCTTGCATCAAGGACGGCATTGCTTCAGTACAGGAGTGTGTATGTGTTCACCTGCTGTGTCGGTTCCAGGGGTTGAGTCCTGGCTTGGTTCTTGGGCTGCAGGCGTAGCTGTGCGGATGCCTTTCTGGACATCTGCCACGCATCGGGCTGTCAGCTGCAACTGGCCCAGCCTTTTTATAGCCGCATCTATGTTCTCTCCGCAGTTGTCCAAGATGTCTGCCAGGACCTGTACCAGCGTTGCGATGCTCAGAATCTCTTCATTCCTGAGTGATTGGATCACCGCACCCAGTAGGATCAGAAAAGAAAGCTGAGCCACAAAATATTGTAGCATATTGTGTGCAAATTCACATGCACGCAGCCCTTGAAGCCGGTGCTGCAGCATTTCCCACCTTCTCTTCCATATCAGGAAAGAGACCACGCAGTGCAGCAAGCGTGGAGGCTCTGTCAGTGGCTCCTCCTTTCTGAGGTGAAGCACCTAAATCAGAGGAGCTGCTGCTCCTCCTCCTGAAACGCTTGCTGCGATTGTCAGTTGTCAACAGATGCTCTGTTGCGTCAGTCCGCTCAAAAAGGCGCTTATTCCCGAAGTGGTTCGGCGAGTGGCTTCGCTCGGCCGCGAGCGACATCAGTGGCGCTCCAGCGGCGCGAGCCCTGAAGGCCTGGGCCTCGTATTGAGAGATAAACACTAGGAAAAACCTGACTAGTCCCCGAGCTAGAGTCTCGCTCTCTTATAGTAAGTCACCGAAATTATCAATGACACTATCGCAGGGTTCAATAGCAAGCACGCCTCTCAGCTTGCAGAGCGGATTGAGTCTCAACGCTGCCCCTTTAGGCTCAGCGAGTGTCTGAGCTCGTCCACCCGAAAGGCTGGCGAGGCTCCACTGGAAGTAACGAAGGCCTTATCTTCTACAAATTCTGGTAAAAGAAAGAATAATCAATGAGGGCCTCATTATGAGGCACACAATTTTGTCGAAAGTGTGCCTTTATCGATCAGTCACAAACCATGCAGGATTGCATAAGGGTGACTAACGCCCAATACTGTTCATTCTTGAGAGCAACCTGCACAAATTGAGGTGCGCAGTTATGTGCTGGGAGTAGATCTGGCAGGAATTGCTTGTGTGGGCATCATGTTGCGCCACACAGGGAGGATAGGGCGCCTCGCTGCCAGTGCAGTGATTCACAGACTACAGACGAACTGCTGTCGAGCTGCTGGATTGGCATTGCAAGAAGAGGTAATGTATCATTGTTTAATTTTGTTAGTACATCTCCGAATGATCGACGTCAGTGGTAGATGTGTGATTTGAGGAGTACCCTGTACATGACCTACCACAGTTCTGTAGGACTTTCTTCACTCCTGTGTTTGTCTGTGGCTTCCTGCACTGCAATGCATGAACTACCTCTCATCATGGCGCAGGCATCCTCTTCATCGCCTAGCTTTGGTTGCACAAGCAGAAGCTTTGCGACGAACAGCCACGACATCTTGAATACGGTACCTTCTGCTTGCACCTCACCCTTTCTACGTCTATAAATATAGAGTGTGCCTTGAAAAATTGAGGTGCTGTGTTTCGTTTGTCATGTAAGAAGTCTGGATCTAAGCTTGCTTCTCCGTTGTGCAGCACCGACACTCCCCAAAGAACAACTGGGAGACCCCCTTTGACTTCACACCGGAAAATTACGAGCGGGTGCGATGCAAGCACTCCTCGTGATGATGCATGGCATGCTGGTGCACTGCAGGCGCTAATTACTCTTGTGAACAGCAGATCAAGCAGGGATTTTATTCAGTGTGCTGCTCAAACAGGTAGCTGAGGTGTTGGCAAAGTTCCCAACCAACTACAAGCAGAGCGCATGCATACCACTGCTGGACTTGGCGCAGCAGCAGAACGATGGCTGGCTCAGCTTGAATGCCATGAACCGCGTGGCAGAGATCATCGAAGTGCCGCCCATTAGAGTATACGAGGTGCTCAGCTCACCCAAACATCCCAATCAGCAACTTACAGCTTTTATATGGGTTGTGCCATGCGCAACACAGTCTCCCATCCTTCAGCAAGGGACACCTTGTTCAAAATTTTCTTCCTTCTGCTGGTAGCATGGCATAGGAGATGGTTGTCTACGTTGCTGACAATTCTTCTGGTCACCTTCACTTGGTGAAAGGGAGATGAAGGTTCTGGGTGGCGTCAACCGAGACTGGGATGAAGCATTTTTTGTAAGCACTGAGACAGCCCAGATCTCAGCAATGCAGCACTGCATCTGTGATCCTGGCAGTCCATGCTGCCAAGACTGGTGCTCAGGAGTGCTCGTTGCTGAATCTGACAGACTGAAGGTGCTCGTTTCTGGCGCAGGTGGCGACCTTCTACACGATGTTCAACAGGTCGCCGATAGGCAAGTACCACATCATGGTGTGCGGCACTACTCCCTGCATGCTCTGCGGGTCGCGCAGCATCTCTTCAGCCATTAAGGACCACCTTAAAATTGACTACGGCCAGACCACCTCGGTGAGAAACACCTCTCTCCGGGGGCGCTCTGAGTTTTCCCCTTCTCTGCTCACTTGCAGACCATTGTCAGCTTGTCTCATCGCCTGCTGTCACCCCTCTTGGCTAAGTGGCCAATATATGGTCCTGGGCCTTTGTTGTCCGGTCGCTTTGTGTCCTTGCATGGCCGAAGATGGATTCTGCTAATTTGGGATATACAGCATGGCCCTTGTGTGGTATTAGTAGTGAGTGGCACTTATGCGTTGATGCAGGATGGGCTGTTCACTCTGGGGGAGATGGAGTGCATGGGAAGCTGCGTGAATGCGCCCATGATCGCAGTGGCGGATTACACGGGCGGCGCCCAGTCCTTCTCCTACAACTACTATGAGGACCTCACGCCTGCAGACGCCGTCAAGATCCTGGAGGACCTCAAGGGAGGGAAGAAGCCCAAGGTGCGTGGACCACTGGGACAGAGGGACTTATTTCAAAAGACTACGCTGACAATGACTGACGTGACGGACTGAGAGATGGGGGACAAAGCCATGACAGCAGGCTATTCCTAATTCCTTGCTCAGCTGATTTGCACTTCCTGAGGATCAGAATATAAATGCGTTAGGGGCACAGAGCAAGTGTGGTGTCGTTTGGCTAACTGGATTGCAAGCATGGTGGCATGCTGATCTGCACCTGCCCAGGGGGCGTATAAGATTGACTGACGTATTTATAAATTCTCAAGCTGGTGCTGCACGGCCCCCTAATATCAAATCGGTGGCATGCTGCAGGTGGGCTCCCAGTACAGGGACTTCGCAATGCCTGCAGGGCAGGTGCAGGGCGGAAAGTGGACAGCGGCATCCAACAAGGCCGGCCTTACGCTAGCGTTTGAGGCGTCCGGGGGCAAAGTCCCTGGCCCCTACTGCCGAAACCTGGACGAGCCTGCAGAGGGCGGTGAGAGCAAGAGCGCCCCGCCGCCACCCCCACCGCCGCCGCCTCCTTCCAAGGAGGGTGCCAAGGCTAAGGCTTGATGTTGAATGATTTGGGTTCAGCGTATAATTGAGCCTTGGTGTGTGTGGCATTTGGGCATGTGCGGTGATCAGCTGATGGGCTCATTGGTCTTGAGCGGCATCTGTGTATACCAGAATTGCTTGATGCTGTGCCCTTCTTATCGCTTTCCCCTGCGAGCGCAAAAATAATAATATATCGGTACAATACGTACTTGCACATGGCGTAGAGTCTGGTCATGCACCAGCACGTTGTTGCTCACGTGAAAGAAATTGGATTGTAAGCATTGATGGGCGCATTGCAAGCCGGCTTTTTGTTTGGGAAGGTTATCTTTCACGGAATCGGCTTCGAAGAGGATGGGGTGTTGGATCGCGTCCTGGGGAAGGCGAATTATGAGTCAACGTCTGTCTTCCTTGGACCGGACGATGCATTGAATTTGACTTTTTGGAATCGACCGCCCGAGGATAGAGCTTCAGGGTGGCTCTTGATTTTCTTCGTCATTCTCGCAATTTCTCATATCTGTCGGAAACTACAACATACTAGAATTTAGCGACACGCAGGATCTTCAGGAATACGATTCGAGATGGAAGCAGCTAACCCCTTCCGAATCACTTTCAAGAACCTGACGTACACAATCAGAGGACGTGGAGATACGTTGCAGCACACTCTGCTGGACAACGTATCGGGATCATGCAGATCATCCAGGCTTACGGCAATTTTGGGGCCGTCTGGAGCTGGAAAGACCACACTCGTGAGACATTTGTGCCCTCCGGTCCTAAAAGTAGATCGATGGCATATGCATCTTTTCATCCTAGCACAGAGCAAACGTTTTGATGGAAGTGTGCAAGTGACTGCAGCTGAAGATCATGCTGCCTCTCGGGCGGCAAGCAGCATGGCACTGTTTTGGTGGATGGGCAGCCGGTACAGCCCCTACAATTCAGGCCTTGGGTGGCTGTTGTCTGGCAGAGTGACATCCTGCTGCCCACAGCAACGGTGCGCTGCCTGCCTCTTGCCTTCTTTTGTGTTTCTGCTTCTCAATCTGCTCAGAGCTCCTTGTGGAACACTGAAGGTTCCTTGAGGCTGAATGCGAGTGGGCGCAGGTCAGGGAAGCATTGATGACCAGTGCTCTGCTGCGGTTGCCGCACAAAATGCCACATGCCCTCAAAGCGCAGCGCGTCGAGCAGATACTAACAGAATTGGTGAGTCACCTGTGGTGACTGCACCGTCTGTTGTGCTTCTCAGCAAGTATTCAGGCGTTTTGTACAGACGGCTAGCATCTAGTCTGTGTGCATGACCACGTTCAGTTTCTTGAGTACGTTACTTAAGAAGTGTTTTTGCACATGCTATGCAACACCCATGTGCAACAGCGACTGCCGCACAGCTCTGGCGCTGCTTTTGGTCTCTGCTTGTGTGTCTCCACGCTTCTGCTCATTGACAGTGGTTGGCTCTGCTCCCTGAACAAGAGGATTGCTTGTACCACCAGGATCTGCTTCCGGTAGGGGACGCCCTCATAGGCCAGGACATCGACGGGGCGATGGCCGGCATTTCCGGCGGCGAGCGGCGGCGCGTGTCGGTTGGCATCAGCCTCGTGACGGATGCGCGCGTGATTTTCTTGGACGAGCCGACCACCGGGCTAGACTCTGAGAGCGCTGAGTCACTCGTGGGCGTGCTCGCCAGGCTGGCTTCTGCCAGGGGCAAGATGGTGCGCCACATGCCTTTGCTGCCCATGCAAGGACAGGGGCCAATATCCTTCACATAGGTGTTGAAAAGCAACGTCAGGAATTATCATAAAAAGCAGGGCTGTTGCTGACAAACCCCACATGTCCCATTGATCCGGCCGATCACCCCCGGAATGGCAATGATCTGACAGCCACAGGTCTCTTTGGGGAGAACGCTGTTCTTGTCAGTGCTTCAGTCAGGCAGCTCCCTTGACTGTCTTTCTGAAGGAGGCCACAGCTGCTGTGCTGCGCGCTGCTGTAAACTGTGTGGCTTCGCACCTTCCTAAAGGCAAGTGCGGAGAGCAACACCTCATCTCTCGAGCCCTGACTAAGAAGGATGAATTGAAGAAGTATATGGTGCAGGTGGTGTGCACAATCCACCAGCCCAGCAGCGATGTGTGCGCAATGTTTGACGACATGCTGCTGCTGGCCAAGGGCCGCCTTCTCTACTGCGGGCCCTGGACCTCTGCTGACAACCACTTCTGGGCTGCCGGATACAAGTGCGCGCACCAGCTTGTATCCTGCAAATAACTCGCTTGGCAACATGAGAGCGCCAGGATAATCAAACGAAGGACGAACTTACTCTTCTCCTACCTGTGAGAATGCCAATGCACTGAGAACGAATAACTCAAAAGGAGAGAGCATCCAAGTGTTGCCTGCTTCATTTGAGGGCCTCAACGTGAGACAATGATGTTTTCACAGAACTTTTAGACAATATTACAACGAGATAATGCATAATTTCTGACTCTGTGCAGGAGATCATCGTTGAAGAGCGTAGCAGAGCACCTGCTGTGCCTGTGCAAGAGCACGGACAGTACTCTTCAAATGCTTGCCGAGCTACAAGAACAGTGTTGGGAGGTCAGATGTGCATCGCAGCAGGTGATTTACCCGGTGCTTCCCAAAAATAGTGGCTCCAAAATGGGTTTTATGATGCATGTCTGGCCAATCTGCCCTGTTTCACATGCAGAATATTTTCATAACTGAGCATGTGCATGTTGCAGATCGGTTCAGAGGACCAGGATGCTGAACCGGATATAGAAACTGGGGCCATGAGAGGAGGAAAGGTCGATATTGAAGCGCACTCGCCCTCTAGTGTACTCCCAGAAGCAGAGTCAACAGAAGTGTGGAGTCTGGAGAGCCAGCAGAGCGAAAACATGTCATGTGGCAGTGCAACAGGTGAATTCTAATTCATTGATGCAAATTGACCACTTGCCTGCGCTGTTCCTTTTGCCTTCTGCTTGCGAAGATTTACCAAACAAGTGTGCAAATATATGCAGAGGCAATTTTATGGTCACAGGAATGCTGGACAAGATTGCGATGTCTATTTCTGCCTTGAGCACGAATGCAGAGCCGGAGAGGCCGGGAGCATCTATTGTCCGTCAGGTGAGGGGTGCTGAATAATCCTTTGGGGAAGAACTCTTTGGGCAAGCCTCCTGGCAGACCCTGCTGTTATCACAGATCATGCAGGAGCCTTGACGGATGACATGGTGCACATGTGGCAGCCCTGTCAGCAAGAGGCAAACTAAGAGGCCAACAACGATTGTGCGGCAAGCTTCCTATGAACTACTAGATTATTTGAACACTTATGTGAGAGCAGTGATGGTGACGAAGGGAACATGTGGTAGCCCTGTCAGCAAGATGCAAATGATAATTGTGCGGCAGGCCTCCTGTAAGCTTGTTTGTGTGAACTCTAATGCATGAACTCTGATGGTGACATGGCGTGCACATGCGCGCCAGGTGGCGATCCTGTCAGCAAGATTTGCGCGATCATGGCTTCGGAGCCCGGCCAGCCTGGGCATGCCGGCTGCCCAGTATCTTTTGGCTGCCTTACTAATAGGTGCGTCCTGCTTAGCATCTGCAGACTCCATTAGATCATGATGCAGCGCTCATGCCTTTTGCTCTGGGATCTTTGCCTGCATGCAAAGTACCCTGTAGTAAGTGCATAGGTCTGCTCCAATGCAATGCTCCATGCCTTGTGCTGAGTGCGTGAATTGGTGGATATGTCTAAAAAGTTGATGGAAAATGTTCTCTGGGGAATGGGTGGGAGCTTCCTTGCAGGTGCCATGTATGCGAAGCTGTCACATGAGATCAATGCTGGGACCTACGACAGGGTGGCTTCCCTCTGGTTTGTGGCCATGGTAGTCATCTTTGAGGCAGGCAAGAAGATCCTGCCACTTCCACTTGATGTGTTGGTTAATCAATCTCTGCTCTACTACAGAGCTTTTGCACAGAGTCAAGCATGAACTGGGTAATGCTACAGCAACTGCAGCCTGATCTGCAGCACAATTGCCTTGCTATTTAAAAGCAGTCATGATGCTGATCTTCAGCAGCTAATGTGCTTGTCAAAGGGGATTGAGGGGTGACAAAGAATGTGTGTGGCAGGCAACAATGCGCTGAACATTGCGTACGCACAGAAGCCGCTGCTGAGGCGAGAGGTGCACGCGGGCCACTACAGCTACTTGGCCTTCTACACAGCAAATTGCCTGACCTCCCTGCCTCTGCAGCTGGCCTACACTGCCATCTACACGATCACCGTCTACTTCCTGGTCAGCTGCTGATCCCCACAGAAGTTTTGCTGATCAGTAGGCAGCGATGCATCGCTTAACAAACTATGAATTTGCCAGAAGCAACGTGCTCAGCATCAGTATGGCAGAACTGATAGGGGTTTATTTCTATGTTCCAGATTAATTGCATGCACACTGCGCTAATTTGTGTGCATTCTTTCAGATGTGCCATTCGGGCACGACTAATCGTTAATCATTGTACTTGGGTAGGAAGCATTGTGCATGAGTTCTCTGTACTTGCAGCCTGGCCGCATGCTGCTTTTGCCCCTTGGTTGACCTTCCAGAGCATTGAATTATGGCAAGGGCATTTCAAAGCTAAGAGTGCTAGTTGTGTCCTTCAGAAAGCTGATGCCATTTTCAAAGTTTAAAGCCGACAAACATGCACATGAAAGTGCACTTCGAATTCACAAATCCCTGGTGTGCCCACAGGTGGGCTATCAGCGGACCTGCGCCAAGTTTAGCGTGTTTTCAGCCATAGCTCTTCTGCTAGGGCTCATCAGCGAGACTCTGGGCATCCTATGCTCGGGGCTCTTTCGCTCCCAGCTGCTCGGCGCCATTGTGCTTCAGGGCCTCTATGTGCCGCTGCTCATGTTTGTCGGCTTCTTTCAGGTGCGCCCCTTCGAGCGGTAGTTTTACCTTAATGACTTCGTCGCCGATTCTCCCAAAGCTGGGCATGCATGTCTGCTCTTCTTGCTTAAGCTTGCAGGATCCATGGACTGTGCCTTCTCTCCAAAAGTCCTGGCTCAACCCTCCTCTGAAGTGGTCTGAAGTCCTCTGACAAGCTTGCAAAAACTCCTGCATGCATAGCCCTTGCGCATTCTCAGGCATCTGCCCTGTGAAGCTGACAATGGGTTTGTGTGCGCTGTCTGCAGACGCACACACCGGCGTACCTGGAGTGGCTACGGGAGCTGTCCTTTGCATCCTATGGCTACAGCGCCCTGGTGAAGAACGAATTCATGGGGCTGCAGCTGCGCAGCGGGGATGCTGTGGTGGTCACCAACGCGGAGACGTCTATTCCATCCAACATAGAGTCCGAGCACAGCATTGCAAGCAGCATCGGCGTGCTGCTGTGCATCCTTGTCGGCTTGCGGATAGTTGTGTATGTTCAGATGTGCATCTCCATCAGGCGCAAATTTCTGTGATGCCCAAGTAGCAGTGGGTGGATCTGCGTTCAAAGGGCGGCCTGGACTGGACAGGCATGCCGAACTTTTTCACAAAATTTTGTCGTCTAAAGCATTCCAAGAGCAGTCTGTAGGAGCGCCTTATCTATTTAGCAAATCTGATCCTGACTGCCCAAAAGCTGGAGGACCTAAATGCCTGAGAATGTCAGACTGAGATGGCATGCGGATGGTTGTAGATGTTGTCAATAGTTGTGCAGAGTGATATGATGCGCGTTTGCTTGTACAAGTGATGTACCGCACGGAGGCCGTAAGTGACTCCTTCTATGTTCTCGGCAGCTCCATGATGACGGCGAGCTCTATTGTTACAGGCAACAGTTGTGTCTGTAACCAAATTCCATTTGAAGCTGAATCTGACACTGGCATGATCTGCAGCCCTTAAACAAAGCTAGCACTACATCGCCTCGAGTGACTCGCCTAGAGATGGGAAATCTAATGGAAGGTAACATGTCAAAGTACTGACCTAGAGGCCACAGAGTACCTCACAAGTTGCATCCAACCAACAACAGTACTAATTATGCATTTGCTTTTGTACCATGACTTCATGCCCTCCAAGTTGGACACCCCAATGAAACACTATATAGTTGGTAAAGAATAAAGCATCAGGCACTGCAGTCGGCAACACGCAGCATCCAACACAAGTCAGTCATCACGCACCTATGTCTACCGTGCTTATCAATTATGTTCAGGGAAATCACACTTATTAGTTGACGGGGAAGAGTTCTTTGCGCAAGCTCTTCATTTCTTCAAGAACTCTTCAACTCATCATTCCCTTCAGCACAGGAGGGAGCATCATCCAAACCTATCTAAGCAGTTCTGTACGTCTTCGAATGCAATATACTTTCTGTGTCTATGTGCAGCATTTGCATGTGCAAATTGAAGAAAATCAATGGTCAGTCCAGGTCATCCTCATCGAAAGTGAGGACGTGGCTTGCTATGGGAGCCGAGGACATCTGTCCTGCCTTTGCTGGCGCGCCAGTGCTTGCAGTGATGTCAAAGCTCCTCTGGGAGGAGAGTTTCAGAGATTTCATCCCCGTCAGCACTGCGGCAGGTGACGCATCCACTGGACTCTGCGGGTAGTCACCCCGCCGTATCCGCAATGCCTCTTCCTGCACCGCAGCAATCAGACTCAGTCACATGGATTTCCTGGCGCTTTGAGAGCAGCTTTCGGCTGTATGTCTTAGTTAAGCATTTTGAGGGCTGCACAGATAGGAGCCTCCATTAGTACCATTCAGATGAAGCAATCACACAAGTGAGGCTCTTCTCGACAGGCCTGGGCTGAACGCCTGTACAGTGGTGCATGGGGGACAGCGTGGTGCACAGTAAAGTACAGAGAGGGCATAGGTGGATCACATGGTGCAGAGTGGAGTGGCTCACCCTCATCTGGTGCAGCATCTGAGCAGCCTTGCCCAGCATGGCCTTGCGCATGAAGCGCCTGAAGGGGGGAGGGGGGACAAACGCTGGCTGCATTTCCTGGTCCAACTGCACTCGCGCGCAACCGCTGTCACCGGGCACAGAAGTGACAGTCCACTGGCCGTTGCAAAGCTTCAGCATTCCTGACTTCGCCAGGCTGAACTGCATTGTGCCTGCTCTCCTGTCCTGCACGGATGTGCAAAAGATGTCAGAACCGATGTGGTGTTGTGAGTTTGCTGGTGCTCTTAGGCATGGCGGTATTGGGCTTTTGTGCATTGCATTGAGTTTTTTGGTGGAAATTGAGTGGCTCGCACCTGAATGACGTTCATGCGGGTCCGGATGGTCTTGAAAAACACCTGGGATGTCTGCTCAACCTCTACAGCCTGCCTGTTTCCGTCATCTTCCCACACCTTGCGGAAGGTGCACTCCTGCGAAATGGATGCACACCCTGAGTCACTTTGGATGTAAGTTATAATCTCCTGAAATTGGATATTACAGGCACAGGACAGAAAGATCCAGGGACACATATAAAAATTTTCGCTAGAGGGTTCTTCTTGAATCTTTTGTTGACACAGCATTTCTCCTGGAACCATGGCACACTGTGACACACAAGCTGCATGGAATGTATCGTGCATTGAAGGGGTTCCAATTGCCCAAGGTTGACTGTATATAAGACGATCTTGCCAAAAGCTCCGTTCTTTATGGTACCGCTCGGGGTGCAGGGATGATTTACCTTCACTTGCCGCCACTCTTTGACTTCAGGATCAATGAGCAGGTCAAAAACTTCATCGGGCGACAGTGGCAGGACCGCGTCTATCACAGCGTTGCACCTAAATCCTTTCCGAGACTGCCGAATACTGACAGTCCAACCGTCGCCCTTCAGGGTTTTGAAAACACCGAAGCAAATTGCGCCAGTTGTCGAACACGTGGGGGACTCAGGCTGCTCCTCTTCGACAGGTGCTGGGAGAGAGGCAGCCCTGCATGCTTCCACTTCAAATTCACCACTCATCAGAATTTGTCGCACAGATTCTACCTGTAAGTATGCAAATTTCTTTTTTTTTTAACTCACTTCGTTCTGCATTACACATGTGCCACAGGACGGCACCACCGAACACTTTTCTTGGAATTAAAAAAGTGCGCCTCGGGAAAAACACGAGGTGCGTATCCGGCCAGGGGACGCAGGAGGCGAAATTCAGCTCTGCCCCTCAGTCCTATCGAGGGCAGTGCATCCCAGCCTGGATTCCTTAGCGTTCCAATATACAGCTGCATCATCGGTATCGAGCGAAGTGCAGCGTGATCCTGTAGCATCGAGAGTTCTCGGCAGAGACGATTTCTGTACACCCGTCCAAGTGCATGTGTTGATAGGCCACTGGGAGAGAAACAGGGGCCGCAGCCCGGTCTTTAAATGCGGCAGGTTACTCCCATGTCACCTCCCAGGACGCCCCGCGAGCCAAATACACCCAGCCTGGCCGTGAACCGCTACCCCTGCGAGATTCGGTTTCAGAATCTGGGCTTCCATGTTCCCAACAGCGGTGACGGCGGTTTGGCAATTCTCAATGATGTCACGGGTGTGTGTGCGGCCAAGCGCATGGTTGCAGTCATGGGACCCTCGGGCGCCGGCAAATCCACACTTGTGAGTCCACCAGTTCCCGGCTGTCACTTGGCTTACCAAACCTTGAACACCGACAACCCAGCTCAGTGGCTGCGAAGCACCTGTTCCCATTGATCAGAAAGCCTCACATTGTCTGGTCAATGTTCTGATCACTGTGAGAGCAAGAGAGGCTCTTGAATTCTTAGCATCTTGGTCTATTGTGCAAGTGCAATTTCAAGATTGTAGACGGTGAAAGGTTCAGTGCAGGCTGCAAATGATCGGTTTGCCCTGAGGAAGAAATATTATTATTGCACAGCTTGTCTACGGTGGATTGCTGCACTTTGAAAATGAAGTGCACAGCAATGGATAAGTGTGTCAGGGTTGGCAGATTTCTGCAAGGTGATTTGGGATTCGTCCGGGTGATTGCATGCTGGTAATAGGACGCATATAAGAATTGTTGAGTGCTTGATCATCAGACTCTTTATGTGCTGCAGCTCAAAATCCTGGCATGCAATGTTTCTGGAGGGGAGCAGCAAGGGCACATACTGGTCAACGGCTCACCTGTTCACCCAAAGGTGTTCAAGAACCAGTCTGCGGTCGTGTGGCAGAGCGATGTGTTGCTCGCCAGTGCCACGGTGAGCAAATTTGCTCCGATCACGATGATCAGCAACGAAGCATCTTGTTATGTACATCCACTCCACATCCCTCTGGTGTCAGGCTTGTACTGCACCATCACCTGACCTCACAGGGGCTGTCAATAAATACATTCTCTAAATTAAATAATTGAATGCACTTTCAGGTGAAGGAGGCCCTGATGACAAGTGCGCTCTTGAAGCTGCCTCAGAGCCTGTCCAGGGCCAAAAAGGAGGAGCGGGTGGAGCAGATTTTGGAGGAGCTGGTGAGCACCTGTCACCAATATGATACCCACAGACACCCACACAGAGCCGAGAATACAATTGCTCACTGCGCAGCATAGTCTTCTTCAATCTCAGGGATCCATGAACGCTCAGCAGCAACCTTTGAGTCACTATCTCTCCCCAGGCCCCTCAGCACCCGCTCACTTATCCCTAGAGTCTTGATCCACCCTTACTCTTGCTGAAGACAGCCGATCAAGCAATGAAGAGTTCACTGAGTTATTCAATGATTCTGCCCTGCCAGGAGCTGCAAGGGGTGAAGGACCACATGATAGGGGAGGATGTGGATGGAGCGGTGAGTGGCATTTCCGGCGGCGAGCGGCGGCGCGTGTCGGTCGGCATCGGCCTCGTGACGGATGCGCGCGCCATTTTCTTGGACGAGCCGACCACCGGGTTGGACTCCGACTCCGCCGAGCAGCTCATCTCTCTGCTGTCTCACCTCGCCACCCACAAGCACCGCACGGTGCGCGCTACCTGTTCTTGTGCTTCTTCTACGTCCTGCCTTGCCAATTCTTGCTCCATCTCTTTTGGTTTGTTGCGCGGAGTCAGGGATGCATGCATGGCTCAGCAAATGCTGCAGCTGCTCCGTGTCTTCAGTTAATGTGCAGCTGTAATTTCCACCAAGGCTGTTGCTGTTGTGCAGCTCTCGAGAACAGTAATGTGGACATTGGGAATACTTACCTGCCTTACACTGGCATGGGACATAAGTGGCTGTGCTGGTGCAGATTGTGCTGACGATCCACCAGCCGAGCAGTGACATCTGCGAGCGATTTGATGACCTCATCCTGCTCTCCTCTGGCCGCATGCTCTACTGTGGCCCCTGGCCCGAGGCCGACCAGTACTTTGCCAACGCCGGCTTCGAGTGCGCCCCCCGCTCCAAAAATTTCTCAGATTGAGAGTCGAATTGGAAAATTATTGGGAGTGTGTGCCGGTTCCAACGCTGGTTCAGTGAGAGCCGCACGAACTGGGTCCATCCAATATAGTGTCTGCACAGGTCCAGGGATTAGAAAAATATTTGTCTGCAGGGCTGACCTGCATGTGTGCTGATGCATTATGACAATAAAAAAATCCAACGGGGTCCCCAGACGTGGGCACTTATCAGCACTTGCATTGCTGGGCATCCGTCAGACCTTGACATTAGTCATGAATAAACATATTGATGGCATTCCTTGGACGAGGATATATGTCATGACTAATCAAATCGATGACACATGCAGGCGGCCGGGGTACCGCAGCACGGCGGAGCACATTCTGACGCTGTGCAAGGACAAGGAGTACGCGGTGCCCTTCCTGGCGGGGCAGTACGCCAAGAGCCTCATCGAACAACACCTCACCCGCCTTGACAGCCAGGCCTCCATGGTGCGCTGGGCACCATGCATGCTCCCTCAGCCTCGCCCAAGAAGGCTTGAACCTCCATTCCTGCAGACTGTCAGATGCCCTCTTTTCAAAAAAAAGAGCGATACTTGAACAGCGCTGCCGGCAGGATAGATTTTGCAGTCATCAGTGATATCTTGTCCCGTCTTTTAGGGTTTGATGGTAGGGGAAGGGTCATTATCTAGGGCTTTGGAGGGATATAGTGAAACAATTATAATTCGTCGTGCAGGGCGCGCTGGGCCTGGGCCTGAAGCGCGGCGGCAGCGTGGGGCGCCTCTCGCGGCATAACAGCATCACCGGCGGAGAAAGGAGCATCACCGGCGGAGAGAAGCCGCTCGCGCGCGGGGGAAGCCTCGTGATCGATCTGGAGGCGCAGGCTGTCTCGGTCGTGTCGCCGCGGTCGGGATCGGCGCCGACGAACATGACGGCCGTCATTGCGCGCCACATGGTCGCTGGCGCGCTGCAGTCCGTGCCCTCCAACGGTGCGCGCCCCCTGCCCGCCTGCCCGGCCCGGGCTGCCAAAACTGGACACCCCTCTAGGAGCCTCCTTCCTATGATTATCCTTTGCCTTGTCTGACACTCTTCCAGGGGCAGCCCTCATCCTGTTTGGTGCTTCGCTGTGAGGCCTGAAGAACAATTCACTGTCGTGCAATGATGAGGGGGGAGTTCTTGGGCTGAGACCCCCGAAGATCAATACGGTACTGTGGGCCGTGCAGGCTTTCACACTGTGTCTTGGGCTTTCTTGACGAAGGCGTGCGTCTCTCCTGTGACAAAATGCAAGAAGACTCAGGGGAGTATCAGGAGAGCTGCATCATGAACGCGGCACTGAACACAGCAGTTTTTCTTGCAGGTCTGTTGCCGGATGACCTCCCGTCCACCAGCCATGAGCATGTGGCCCTAGAGGAGGTGGCCACTTCGCAGTGGTACCAGGCAAGCACCCCTTCCCAGACCTGCCTCCTCCCTTATCAATTTAGTGACTAACCTCTTCACTGAATCTCTTCTGCGCACATCTGCAGCAGTGAGGTATTCACTGCTCCTGGTGCAAACAGCATTCACTCGTGAAGACGCGGTTTGCTCAAATCATGCTATGCCGCCCTTGCAGACCCATGGACAGCAGTCGGTGCTGGACCCTTCATGTGAGTTTTCAATTCCAGAACCAATAATTAAAACAAATATAATTTGCTGCTGCAGGTGCATGTGCTGAGCGTGCGCTTCCTGAGGTCCTGGTACAGGTGTCCAACCAACCTGGCCATTCAGGCCGGCCAGTACATCTTCTTCGCATTGCTCATAGGTATGCCTTCCCTTGCCGCGCTTAAAGCGGCGCGCATAGAAACACCTTTGGGCTCTGTGTCGCCTTGGTCATGAGTCATGAGGCACCTTCCCATGCAATTCGAGGCGGCACCCATTGAGCCACTCGGGCTCCGGGCTTCCGTGGAATGCATGCATGAGTCATGAGGCGCCGAAGACCTCGCACTTGAGATGCTCTGCTACCTTTAATTACTAGAGTAGTGGATAAAAGGTTGTGTTGTACAGGTGCCACCTACTGGCGACTAAGCAAGGACCTGCCCGCGGCGTCCTTTGACCGGCTGGCATCCCTCTGGTTTGTGGCGTCTTGCATGGTGCTGCAGCCTGGCAACAACGCCTGCACCATCATGTGAGTCCCCCATCCACCCTACCCCTGCCCATATTCTTAGATATTTAACTTTACATATTCTTAGATATTTATTACATATTCTTACATATTCTTAGATATTATTCTTAGATTTTTAAATTAAGATTTTACAAACATATTGGGAGCCTCTTTGGTCTTGTGGGCAGTGTTTGCCTGTCCATTTTCCTATCCTGTAATGGTTGACAAGCATGCGACCAGGCCTTGCTTACCACTCATACCTATCTCTCACTTCGTGGCACGTTGCCTCTCTGCTGAAAATTAAAAAATTTAAAAATTGTGCATGTTCTTTGCAGGTACTCCCAGAAGCCGCTGCTGCGGCGAGAGATCAGCAACGGCCTCTACCATTACTCATCCTTCTTCATTGCCAAGAGCCTGACCTCCCTTCCCTTCCAGCTCGCCTTCGCCTGCATCTTCACCGGCTCTGTCTACTTTCTGGTACATCCACAATTTCCCAGCTGCTGCTGCGAGCTGATTATAGCACCTGTGCAACCCGACAATCGCATCTATTATCCAAGTGCATGCAGACTTCACTGCACTCTGAGCACACAGGTTCCTGTCAAACGGCATCTGTGGTGCTCACTTGACAGCAAAATGTTCACCCTAGATTAGCCCATCGCCGTGCCAGATCTTGGACTTGGAAGGCACACAATGCTGACTGTTGGCGGGTGTGTGCGCGCAGGTCGGGTACCAGATAAGCCTGGTGAAGTTCTTCCTCTTCTTTGCGCTCAACTTTGAGCTGCTGCTGATCAGCGAGACGCTGGGCATTCTGTGCGCTGGCCTGGCGCGCAACGAGCTTGTGGGCATGATCATTCTGGCCACCTTCTACGTGCCCCTCCTCATGTTCACCGGCTTCATCCAGGTCCGCCCTTGATCAGACCACCCCCGAGGCCTTCATCATTTATAAACATAGAAGTAGTGTTACTCGGCAATAGTCACTGTGCACAGAGATGAGGTTTTCATCGATACCTCTGGAAGCTGGCATCCAATTGAATCCTTTATCTCATTGCATGCCAACCAGACAGGGATCCAATAGACACCCAGAAGAAACTCCCCTTCCATGCCCATCTGCCCATGTTCTGAAGCAAGGGACACAGCTGCTTCCTCTGCCGGCAACAAATGACTCCACACTCAGTCTGTGCTTTCTGCTGGTTCTTACTGAGCATACAAGATATGTTCTGCCCTGGCATAACACCTGCATGCTGGTCATGCATGCCTAGTTCACCACGTGGGCGTTTGGCTGACGTGTTTGTTTGCTGTGCTGCGCAGACCAAGACACCGGCGTACCTGGCATGGATCAAGAAGCTGTCTTACGTGGCGTACGGCTACAGCGGCCTGGTCAAGAACGAGTTCGAGGGGCTCTCCATTCACACCGCCCAGGGAATGGCTGTCCCCGACGCCTCCGGCCTCATCCCCGCAAACATCGAGAACGGTCTCAGCATCGGCACAGACGCGCTCATCATGCTGGGAATCCTGATCGGCATGCGCTTTGTCGCCTACATCCAGATGACGCTCGCCATCAAATTCCACAAGCTCTGAGGCGGCTTCGCCGGCGGCTGCTGGCCGGCCGGGCCCTGAAGCTGCCGCTGTAGGTTCCCTGCAGCTTCAGGTCCCGAGCATGCGGCGCGCGGCCACGCCGGGGATGAGGGATTATCTAATGCTGGGAGCCAAAATGGGCAGTGCACTTCTTAAAGAATGTAGAGGGTGTTTCTTGACCATGATTTAGTGTTTGTTGACCAAAAGGTTGGTGCGCAACAGTTGCCAAATGCCAGCCACTGCAGCCTGTAGGCAGCACTGCAAGAGTGGCAAACGTCAAAGATATTGCCAATATCGCTGTGCAGATGCAGCGGCATTGAATGTCGGGCAAACGCACACCCTTTGCGTGGTGGCAGCCACTCACGCCAGGCATTCTGAGGTTGGGCCTCAAGATGATTGGCGCAGAACTGAAGAGACTGGCTTTAAGAGTGTGGCCGACCACTCAATGTCTCACTTGTGCGGCGAGATTCTTTCGGTGGCATGACACAAGCCGGTTGCTGGTGCAGATTGTGAAGCTCTTTATGGGACAGCAGATCTTACGCTACTTCCTAATGTGGAGCTGCTTGCATGCCCAGGTAGAGCTGTTGAATACGACTAGTTGAGAAAACAAAAGAACAATGATCGAGAACAGTCCCACAAATGAGGTGTTTACACCAGCACAAGTGAACTCTCTACTGCTGCAGATTTGCGCTGAAGAGGAGCCACAAAATGTCCGACTGATAGTTGCAGAGCAAGTGTCCGCTTTTCATGACGCGCTTAATCAATTGTACTGGGTTGTTATTGTGCCAATAGTGACGGGACTACTGTGTCGAAGGCGCTTTCCAATATGCCTCCAGAACATTGCTGTGCAGAAGCAGGACTGAGAATTTGAAAGACGGCAGATAGGTCAGATTGAAGGGGGCAATAACACGTGATTGAGGCGTTTGCAGCAGAAGACACTCTAGGATCCAACTCGTGTTGACGAGGCGTCTGATTTCTCATTGAAGATATTCCTCTCCTTTCTCGTGCTTTGACAGGCAGAAGGCCATGCATGCTAGGAGCTTTCGCCCTGTACTTTTACCCCCTTTGCTTTTGTCCCCACCCCGTCTGCTAGATCAGGCATTTAGTCGTGGATGCAGTACTGCCTTACTACTGAGTTGTAGAACAGCATTGCGATGCGTGAGAGGTACATACATTGCAATATTGGCATCAATAGCAACGCCTCATTAGCCAGACTCAGTCAAGTACAAATCACTGTAACAGCCTTGTAGCTTTGAAGGTGTGATATGAGTCTACTGCACTCTGTCAGCAGTCAGCATATCACCGGCGCGCTTTCAATTATTATCAGACCTCCAGGCAGCACTTCCAATTTGAAAGTCCCAACAATCAATGGATGTTCTGCATGCATTCTATATATTATGTACACAAAAGCGTTGGCTCTCATTCCTCTTCTTACGGGCAAAAACCCGAGCGCACATCTATTATGAGGACTTTTCCAGCGACAGGCATCAATGCCTACCCTTTGCAATAAATGTGCAGACCAATAACACAGCTGAATACACCTTAGGACACACCTTGCTGAAAAAATAATGGGTTTTGCCATACCGGGTACCCGCTAAGCATGCTGTAACTGGTCAGCTAAGCAACAGGTCATCTGATTGCCAAAGGTTGGAGAATTACATGATGGTGCCCCCAAAGCAACTTATTTCTGCACCTCCTCTCTGTGAAGCTACCACAGATCTCTTAGTGGGGTCGACCTGCCAAGGTAGTGTTTTCGTCTGGCACCATCGTCTCAATGCGCGAATCAATCTCAGGCTGCATGCTCTCTGTGTCGCGGTGCAGCTGGTCAGGGTGAGTCATCCGGTCCGCCTGCAGGCAAGCACAAGCATTTCCCTGTGAAGAGGCCAGGCAAGAGAAATTGCTTTCTGCCGGACTTCACCAGACGCACATCTGTACGGTATCCCAGAATCCACATCTGAGAAAGGCCTCTACATGAGAAGGCCTGCCAGAGAGCTCTTATGCCAAGGGGAATGAAGAGGATGACGAAGGCTTTCAGCGGTCTTGACAGGCAAAGCGAAGGTGGGCCAGGCTGGTACACACCTGTGGCTTCACTGGGGTGCCCCCTATGACATTGACCCCCGTCTGCAGATCTGTCACCACTCCAGCATCCACCTGATCCATCACAAAGCCCCATCAGATGACATCCTCTCGCCCCTTAGCATTGACCATTAAACCCTTCCTTGACTGTCTACAGGGGGTCTACAGGGGGCACTAAAGACAACCTGTAATCTTCAGTACCCCCTGCTGTATAATATCCAAAACTTGATGCTGCACGGTTGGATTGAGAAGAGGAAAGAGAAGCCAGGGTACCACGTCATGCACTGTAGGACCATTTGTCTGCTGTCATCTTGTATGGAAGCTTTCAAAGGCTGGCAGACTTGATGCAACAAAGGTAACGGAGAGGTGCCATACCGGCTCTGGGCGGTCGGGTAGATGCTTGACCTCTGCATAGGAGTCCTTCTTGGGGCCTGCTCCAGGAGTCTTGTGCTCTGCTGCATCTGACGCTGCTGAGAACCATGCAGGCGCTGTGAAAAAGCCCCGAGCCTGTCACCCCAACCACAACGACAATCATTTATTCCTACTCTCCCCAATCATAATTTGCATATTTGAAAGACAAGTGCCCTTCCCTTGAAGAACCTCGTGAGGGAAAGGATTGTGGCAGCCTTCAACTGCAGCTTGTCTGCAGGACGCACCTACCTCTTGCAGGAAAAACGTGTAATAATAAGATGATAATAATAATGATACTGATAATGATACTGATAATGATAATGATGACAATGATAACAATAACACCTCCTGAGACATCAGATGCTGCCACAGCCAGGGTGTCATAGTGCAACATGATTGGTTGCATGCCAGGCAGGACCCAACAAGGAGGAATGAAGGAGGAACTCACCATTGGAGGGGTTGATGCGTCCGCGGCAACTCCTGGAGGGAGGGATGAGTCAGCGCTGACACTATAGTTGGCATCCTTATGTGGTGCTGCCTTGACATTGCTGCTGCTGCCAGGCTCATCTGTCACATTGACACATGAGCCATCAGCCTACTGTTGTGACATGTTGATGATCGGAGGGGTACTCACTTGGACGTTCTATCACGTTCATGCATATGCCCGACTCCATTTCTCCTTGATCTTTGAGTTTGCTGTTGCTCGGAATGTGTTATTGGGCGCAGTAAAAAACATGTAAAGAAAGAGCGCCTCACCTTTACCAGTGGAATCTACGCCGCCTCCAGTGAAGGTCTCTTCTGATGGGGGATTCAGGCAGCCTCCAGTGCCCATGCCATCTGCCTGATCAGCAAATGGTGACAAAAAATGCTCAGTACAACTTTCTCTCAATTATAATTTTTACGAGTTGTGCACGCTGTGAAGGCAAGCACATGCCACGTGCAGAGGTCAAAATTTGCAATCGAAATGATACCTGCGCATATCCTGCCTCAGTCTGTGACGATCCTCCAAAGGCTCCATCAGCATCTGGCCCCCAACAGACAGAGCTTTCAGTCAGGCAATTCCCAGGGCATCTTCCAGATCCATCAAGATATGATCTCAGGCAGTATCTTCTCCATGCTCAGAACTTTTCAAAGGCCCCCTCCCAAAGCCAAGCAGTGTGCCCAACCGACAGAGTTTTTAGCCATGCAGAATCCTTAGTCTGAGTTGACCATGCCAGCAACGAGCAGGACTCTTGACTACCATGAATGGCCCAACACTCAAGTCTCAAAGCATTGCAATCTGACTTGAAGGCGTCTGACCTCTTGTTTAAAGACACTTTTGTGTAGCCATTTTCTCAGGTTCCCATCCCAGAACCGAGCTGGGTGACTCACCCACAGAGGTGACCTTGACGCCCTTGATGGTCCCAGGGTCACCCTCCACAGGGATGTCAGGAGTATTGTGATCCCCATCAAAGACCTCTCCAGGGGGCGGGTTGAGAAATCCCCCAGTGCCCATGCTGTCTGCCTGGGACTGCCCGGCCTTAACCTGCACCCCCTTTGAAAAGCTGCCCTCTGCGCTGCCCAGCTGCCCGGTCTCACTGGGCCGCTCGTCAAACCTGCAGTGGCGATGCGCTTTTGATTGGGTGCTGCACACCTTTGAACCAGATTATGTGCAGCTGTTGATGTAAGCCTAAATCAAATTCTTCTAGCAGCAAGCATACTGCACAATTGACCTCAGGGCTCCCTCAAATTTTGCCGGGCGGAGGCCAGGGCATGATAAAGCTCTGGGAATCAATCTTGCAGGAGACAAGCTGGTACTGTTGAAAAGAAGGACTTGTGCATTGTGCCAAGACATGAGTAATCTCACGACCTAAAATAGGCATTTGTGAACAGCAAGATTCCCCCTGTGCCGCCTTCAAAGGGTGTCGATTGGAACAGGCAACCTACCTGGAAACTTTGAGTGGAGTCTGCCTTCCCTGAGGTCCTGACTTCTGCCCAGCACTCTCCACCTCAAACATTCCAAATGTCTTGGACCCCTGCGAAGCAGCAGGGTGCAAGACTGATCCCCGACTCACATGCAGCCCTTCCAAGCAGATTCGCTTGAAGGATCCACTCAAATGCCCAGTGGTAAAGCACAGGCGGATAGCCACCTCGCCATCACTAAACTCAGCCACTGCTGCATCCACCACAAGCTGCGAGTCATCCTGGAGATCCAAGGCTGCCACGTGTGCGCCACCCGGGTTCACCTGACCGAGCAAGGTTCCAAATGTCTCCCAGCATGCCGAGACTAATACCGTATTTGTCACTAACATTACTGTTCTGATGACCACCATCCGAATGAGTGCTACTTAGGACCAACGTAGCAGCACAGCTGCTCAGAGAGTTGCAAAAAGATTGCAACATTTCAGAAGAGCACCTCAATCCTCTCGCTGAAGCTGCGCACAGGTTGCTTGAGAAAAGCAACGGATGCTACCGCCGCATGTCCTCTGCTGATGTCTCCTCGCAGGAATGAGACACTTAAATAGCGGCGCTTGCTGATTCGCTCGAAGGCAGTGGGCACCTTGCCTGCTGGCCCTGTCGTGGCACCTGCATGCATGCGTGGCAGGCATGCTTAAACATCGCCGAAGAAGAAGTTGGTGAATGGGAGGCATGTTATCCCCTTGAGACAATATCATGATATGCGATTGGACATGCCAACCTTGCAGTACTAAAGCCAGTCTGGGATCAAATGGAATGGCATGCAGGGTGCTCTCGCCTAAGAACTAGGACAGGACAGGACACTCACCAGCAGGGCCCACATAGGCATCGGAATCCATTGGCGCATATTCAGTGCTGCCAATTGCTCGTGGCGTATGTGCCCCTGGGGGTGCAGCAGGCAGGTTGTATTCCAGCGTTGCTTCATCCAGCTGCTTCACTGGATCTCCAGGCCTGACAGCAGAAGCGTACTCGGAGGTCAACTCAAAACATGCCCAAGCCATTGAGATTTGCTTTGCATTCAAAAGGTCAACAACTTGTTCTTAGCTATAAGGCTTGTCTGCGTACCCCACTGTCTTGGGAACGTGCAGCTCGACCTTTGCTCCACCAGGCTCGACTGTTGACACACCTTCCGGTGTTTGGTTCTTCTCAGCCGTCTTGTCTGTCCAGGTCTTCTCCGTCGACTGGAGGTTTCAGAGAAGGACGTCAGAATTTTCGAAATACGACTGGCACTCAGCATTGCAGGATCGCAAACGTAATAGTTCCAGTCATACCTGATCAGCTGGTTGTCCCGCTGGGAACAAATAGCGCTTCGAAACCAGGACGACCGATCCCTGCAAGCGACTTGTACATATTGCTGACCTACATCGCATACATTTCCATTAGTACTCATACACACGCATACACACGCATACACACACATTAACAAGATTTAACCAATAGCGGCCTCTATTCAGTATATTTACGCCGCTGGTTCCACGACATGCCACACAACGCACGATACACGCTGGCGCCTTCAACGTCGAGTTCTTTGAAGTGCAACTCCCTTTAAATCAATAAAAAGAGCCTAAAGATACGTATTAATAAGGTAATGCAGTTCATAGCTATTTAGCTGAAGCCAGATCGGCAGGTGATGAGACATACAAAATATCCTGACATGACATGACTGCCCATATAAAAGTGCAACCAAGAGCTTTGGAACTCGATATTCTTGCTGTAGGTTCCGACTGCATTGTTTTGTAATCGGAGTGTCACCTCACAACTTTCTTGCACAGCATTGTCAGCAGCTTCCCACTGTCTCGTAGAGATCCTGCTCTTAGCCTCTTGAGGAGCTCGTATTGTTGAGATGATTTACTCAAGCAGCTAGAAATAGCATAATTCTCAAGATAATTCCAAATTCCACTCCATCAAGGCAAGCAAGCGCAGACAGCTCAAAATAGCGCATAATACAGAGACCCTTGTGTCAAGGCATCCCAAGGGAGGTGGCTTGTAGGGTTTTCACTGAAGGCATGGCTGCCCCAAGCTGTCTTTGTGTTGGATGTTCAGTTTATTGGTGAATACTAGCCTAATTTACATACTCTGGAATTTACGGTGCTGCACAGTCAGCAGTTCAGAATATATATATCCGAACCATCTTCGATTCCATGATTACTAATTATAGTATGACTGATGGATTGGATCCGGGGCCACTTGCACCGGGCCGGTATACCCAAATTAGCTGAAGGAATATGCAGATCCACATGAAACAGTTTTGAAACATTCATTAGATATCTGACTAGCAGACCGGCAATCTTGAGGCAAGAAGTCGACAGCGACAAATCAAATCAAGCATTACTATTCTGCACACGCAGCACTGAGACTGTTCACAAGATCCAGCTCCTGTCAAGTATTCTCTGCAGCCAGCTGCAATGCTACAAATTCTCTGCTCCAATGTACAGGTTGATTTCTTTACATTTCCAGGTTGTGGAGGCACATCGGGTCCAGCAACTCTTTGACATCCTGCAGACACAACATCAACTCTGATGGGTGGGTAGCAACCTGGCTTACCTTCCTACTCCACAATGCAAAACCAGAACTGCACATAATGGTGCCATAACGCAGCGGTGCACTTACCTCTTTGTCGAAAGGCAAGTTCAAAGGTTTCAGGTCCGCACGGCCTTCTGGGAATGGGCAGTTGCTTTGCTGCCATATTGCTGGAGCAATCAATTTCATAATCTTTGTCACCTGCATTGAGAGGACACTCCTCTCTTCTTCCATATCCATGCATGCACTGGTCAGCTCAGCAGGAGGGATCATCGCTAAGGCAGATCAGGATTTTACTACACAGGAGATGGAGCTCACCAGCTCACATGGCAGATCAGACAATGTGCAGTGTGCATGCCGGCTTGCATCTCTCCTGCGCATATGAGTTCACTCAGTCCCCAAAGCACTTGGATGCATCACTTCAGAATGCACCTCTGCAGGGCAATTGATCAGACAGGCAATATTTTGTTTTGAAGATGACTACTTGAGCCACCTGTGGGCAGCTGCATGGTGCATCCTGTGGTTGTGACTCATCAGGAGAGCAGCAGTGCTTTGCTTGAAGCTGGCAGGGAAAGCCTTGTGGGATTCCTCTGACCATTCCACCAGTGGAGGTGATGTGATGGTCACGACATGCTCCTCCAGGTGTGCAAATCCCCCTATTTGCACGGCTGGCGCCTCTTCGCAATAAATTAACTGCATGCAAAGGATCACTGATTGCACTGTCAATGCATGAGAAGCAAACAACACCCATGGAGGGCTGCTCTTGCCCTCGTTCACGAGTCAACGCAAGTTGTTGCCCCTTGTCAATCTTTGAGCATAATGACCAGAGGTAAGTCAATTGCAGGTTTACCTGCTGATCTTGCAAGTTCAGGCGCTGCTTGCTGTGGACATCGCGGACAATCCAGGGATGGGTTTTGAAAGTGGAGACCCTGCCGTGCACAAAGACGTATCACTCCCATCCAGGACTCAAATTATATGCTCTATAGAGTACAAAACAATCTGGTCTTACCTCATGGTGGATCCTGGGTGGATGCGGTTATAGGCCACCTGAAGGGGCAATATAAGTTCATTAGAGCATCACACGAATGCTCATTTGCGCATGGTTCTGTCCTAGGGTTGTTTTTGCACCCAGTTTGTGGCTCTGCATCTCTTGAGCAAGGCCTTACCTCATTTCCTTCGTAGTTCAACCAGATCAGCTGCGCTTCACAATCGCTGCTGTTTAGGAAGACAGCATTGACCCTGTCTCTGGATCTCAAGCTCCTCAACCTTGCCTGCAGTTACGCACAAGTGGCATGGCGAAGCAGGTAAGAGCAGGCTGATCTAAAGGTGTCATTTTTAGGGCAAAGATATGTTTTGCATTGGCTTGTCATCTCTTTTTCCTGAAAGAAGTACCTCTGTCTGTACTCCAGATGTTACTACGGGCTCAAGCTCGGTTTCAGCTCTGCAGCGGTAGAAGGGGTAGTCGCGTGCAGAAGTGATATTCAGGGCGCGTGGATCAGGAAGGTCTGGAAACAACACCATTCCTTCGTTCCAGTAAGAAAATTTCATTGCACCTTCGTCTCTGACTGGAAAACTGCCCCAGCAGCTTGCGAGGGATTGGAATCTCGTCAGGATAGCCCGCAGACTCTCCGTCACCAGCACTGTCAATTTGTCGATGCTTCCAGGAAAGAACATCATCTATCAGATCTTCAGAAATGAATATCATGACGGACATGTCTTCGGCATCCAGTTTGTCTCGGAGTTGAAGGAAGGTGACATCACCTGGTCCAGTCATCACATGCAAGCAATTGAAGATGTATTTCTGCACGCTTGACGGCAACGTATCGACACTTATTCAATTCTTGTAAGTTATCATTCCGTTACATTGCTTCAAGACGCATTGCCACAACATAGTGCTGCTTCCCGTGTGGCATCAGGATCAAGAGCAGCTTCAGACTTGTATGGATCATTTACCGAAGAAATAGATCTGTCGATAAATAATTCTTCAAATGTCCGGTGATGGTACAGAAGAGCCTGCGGGACCACGACCGCACCGCTGCAACGACAGGATCGAAGACTTCTTGCAGGCATGGGGGCTGCCAAGCTCATGATTTTCGTCAATAGGACTGGCAGATTCTTGCCCATGCATTCACGTGTGCTGAATCTAGCGGAAGGTTATAAGGGGGCATCTGGTGTGCTGCAGGCATTGTTCACTATGGAAGTAAACGCGAGGATAGTCCCTGCTTGGAGGCAAATGTGGTCCTGCATCAGATCGAAAGCTGGGTGAGTATTGGTGACGTGCGACTAAGATATCCAGAGCGATCTGCAAATGCTAACACAAGGCAGATCCAGGATGCCCAAGACACGGCAATGTGCTCCACCTTGAGAAGAGGAGTCCACGAGCTTCTGCAATCTGGCCTTGGTGGTGCTCCGCAGGTCAGAACCCACGGAGCCCTACCTTGTGATCAAGGACGGCAAGAAATTCTTGGAGCGGCAGGAGCGGCCGAATCCCTGGGACAAGCCTCGATGACACCTTTAGCGCTCAGGCCTGACCTGAGTTAGGAGTCTCCAGAATTGTAATATGATATATTTGGCATGAGCCGTGCTTGCAATCAAACGGTTTTTGCTAATTGAAGGTATATTACAATCTGAGATTGTTGCCCAAACATTTGAGATTATTGCCCGAACTTTGCTCACAGTCAGCACAAGTTTAACGTCACCTCTTCTATACCAAACAAAGCGCATCATGTTTGTGTCTTCTCATTCAAATACTGGAAAAGGCTTCACGTGCGCAGTCAGATCAAGATCTAGATACATGCAACATTGTTAATAGGAACGCACTGCAGGAACAGTAACCTCTTAATCCGATTTCCTAATACCATCACAAGTCACATGCCTCTGCTGAGAGAGCAGGTGCTGCATGATGGAGTAGGTGCCTTTTTAATTGTCCATGTTTTGGTGCACTTCTCAAGCAACGATTATGAGGGTTTCTTGGCTGCCTAACTTCAAGTAAGATCTCAGTGAGGTCACATGGCCATTGCATCTGCCATGGCTCCAGAGGCTGCAGCAGCAATGGCCTGCTCTGAGGCGTTGGGCAGGTAGTAGTACTTGCCAGCGCCTGCAGTGGCAATCTCCTTGGCAAATCCGGTCGACACAAACTGCGCACAGAAGCAAAACACCCATCAGACTCACGCGTGTCTGACGCAAACTCCCAAAACACACAACAACGTCTCAGCAAACTCTTCACTCTGGATAACCAGTGTGCCCAGTGGGTGAATGTGCTCAGCACTCCTACTGCCTACAGGAGTCCGCCAACAATGTCCCCTCAGGAAGCGAACATTCCAATAGGTCACAGGCATGCCCCCACAAACTCCGCTCCAAGTGTTCTTACACTTCCTTATTCATGAGGGAAGCATTTTTGCAGGCGACATGCGTGCCGACCGCAATAGTCAGTAGCTTGAATTGCTCGAAGGCAGGACACTAGCATAAATGACCAGCGCACCTGGTTCTCGGTGTCGATGACGAGCAGATTGAAGCCGGAGGCGGCCACGCGCTTGGCCATATCCAGGACCTCTGTCTTGAGCTGCTCCTGGCTGGGCTTGGGGGCGCCTTCTGCGATGGCCTCGGGGTCCTCATTGGATTTCCCCAGGCTCACGTTGGCGCGCCCGTCCGTCAGCAGCACGATCATTATGCGCCCGCAGTCGCCGCTCGTCTGCGCGTTTATCGCCGTGCGCACCGCCTGCCATGCCGGGAAAATGTCAGCTATACACAGAAAAGCAGATCACTAATGAATATGGATATTAGTGCACCAATATATCACAATCACGGTGTGTGTTTGTAACGCACTGCCAGTGGCACCGACACATGCATGTGCAAGCTACAGGAGCCTGGGAGCCTGATATGACCACAAGTACAGAGAACCCCAGGCGCCAAGAGTGTGGTTGCACAAGGCTGCATGAAAGGTATTTTTTGCGTGCATGCAGGGACAAACTCATGTCTAGTCATTAAAATTTATCAGGACATGTCCAGGCCTGATGCAAATCATCCCAACAAATCGCCACATTTGAAGTTTGGGCACAAGGCCAGTGACTGCAACCCCTCCTTATGCCACATCATCACAAAAAGGGAGAGCCCCGAAACCCCTGAACCCTGAGGGCACCAGGGAGATGCCTGTAGGGAGATGCCGCAGGTGTTCAACTCGATTACAAAAGGGACAGCCTCTTAGAACCCTGAACCCTGGAAGGGGCGCACCAGGGAGATGCCGTGGGCGAGCGGGGAGCCGCCGCCGCAGGGCAGGGAGTCGAGGCGCCGGCGCGCCATGGCGATGGACTTGGAGGGCGGCAGGAGAACCTCCGCCTTGTCGCCGCAGAAGGGGATCACGCTCACCTGGTCGCGTGATGTGTAGCTCTGCTGCAGCAGCGTCAGCGCAGCGCCCTGTACACCAGATCATAAGTTCTTTATGGATGCTCTCTGCAAATTTTGTAATTGGACGTCATTGACCCCTGAAAAAATGAATGCACCCATCAGTGAGTGGACGGAGCTCTCAAGTTCGCGGGCCTTACATGCATGGGATGTGGTGACTTGTTCTGGTCCAGACAAGAGATTTCCGTTGCCCTTCTTTGGATGGAGCAGCTTACAGGACTTCTGAGACCACTGCTGAGAGCAGACATATTTATCATGCTCCAAAAGATGAAGTGCAATTTTGACTGGGGGGTGGGAGCAAACCTTGGCGGAGGACATGCGGTTGAGGGCCATGCTGCCGGAGGCGTCCACCACAAAAATGACCAGGGCACCCGCCTTGCGCGCCAGCCGCTTGCTGCGCATGTCACCCCTCTCCACATACACCTGGAAGCAGCAGCAGTATCTTAGCTTTAGATCTGCTGCTCCTCCAAACATGCGGCATGCCAGCTGGTTCAAGTCCTTAACGTCCGTTTCAGGCACGCCTGTAGTCTGTAATGCAATGCTCTTAATGGTGAATTTGTTGGTGGGTTTTTAATGCTTCCTGCTACCAGACGTGGAGGTCTCTCGAGAAGTGCATGCATGAGAAGGAATTGGGGGAGGCAGAGCGGTTACCTTGCGCTCTCTCTTGTTCTCTGCTATGGCGCGGTTGCGGCGCGCCTTCTGGTAGGGGGCAGCCGCTCTGAGAGTGGCATCCACTGCAAGCCGCTTCACCTTGTCACCTGCTTCCACGTAACCCCACTTGTCAGCCTGAGTTGTGTCATCAAAATCAAACGCCTCATTGAGAGCCTCAGGCCAGGGCGTTGCTCCTCACTGCTCTTGGATCGGATTTCAAGCCAAGGTCAAGCTGCCTTGTCATCATCACCATGCGGCACTGACGCGGGAAAGTTCTTCAAGGAAAATGTTCTCTTCCAGGATGTCCACGCAACCAGCGCCACCCATCAAGGTAGAATTCAAGGCAGGTGTATTTCAGCAGGCATGCACTTCTACACTGCACTTGCAAAGGATGCACACGACCAACAATTTTGGGGTCAGGGAGGAATCAAGTAATACCTCTGGGCAGCATGGGCTTGATGTAGCGGCCGCGGTCCTCTGAGAAGATGAGCGACTTGGAGCGGCCGCTCTTGCCGAGCGCACGCTGCTGGTTCGTCGCAAACGCCATCACTGTCGGGTCCAGCACCGTCCCGTCCGACTCTATCACAAACTCCTCCGGGATCTGGTCCGCCTGTACCACGTACCCACATACCATTGTCAGTCACAGAAGCCCAGTCTTGCAGCAACAGAGCATCATGGTCGAATGAAGTCCTGCTCGGAAGGTGCTGCACACTGCTAGCATGACGTGGAATTTACACACACTACTTTCCATGTGCACCATTATCATTCTCATCATGCATCCCGATGGCAACTTCAGCTCTGTCCTGCCTAATTCTTTCTTATTGGCTTGCATCTGGCTTGCAGAGAAATAATCTGCAGCCTGCTTTAGACCAACCCAAAACCTAGCACCCCTAAGCTGCGGGCATGCGCATGCAGATGATTCACAACCACGAATGTTCTCCTGAGCTGCCGTCATGCGCATGCAGGTGAGTCACAACCATGCATGCTCCATTGATAAAAGAATCGAGAGCAGCCAGCAAGGCACCTCTGGCTCATCTGGAGTCTCCTGGTCGTCCTCATCCTGCTGCTCCTCCTCTTCCTGGTCCTGCTCGTCCTCGGCGCTCGGCGGCGGCGGGGGTGGCGGCGGCGGCGGTGGCTGGTTTGGGGGTTGCTCATCGTTGTTGTTCAGTGTCGTTGCACGCGGCAGAATGACCAGCTGCACCGCCTTAGCAATGTCGTCCGCGTTCACCATGTCCCTCCCCTGTTAAAGGCAGGCAAGCCCAGATTAGCACTTAACTTGCATATAACTTGCATAGGATGGGCTGCCTGAGCTACGTTGACTGTTTGTTTCCCACTGCTGAAGCAGCTGTCCACAATTGATAATGCCTTGTCCCCTTCAAGAAGCTCATCTCAAGCTTCACACCAGACTCAAGCTCAACACATGAAGTCTTCTGTGGTCCGTGGCTCCATCGATATCATAACCCATGACATGCTTTTCAAGTCCATGTGGACTAGGTGCAACCCTCAAAACAGCTCCTGTGAATCAGCTTGTTCAGGGTGTACATCAGCCACTTGTATTACAGCCTGATCACCCTTTTCACAAGCTCGTTTGAGCCAAAAGAGAAGGCCACTCACGTCAAGGGCGGCCGAGGCTTTGGCAACGCGGGCAGCAAAGAGCTCAGCGCGGTGCCCCTGGCAGCCGCCGCGCGAGGCCTCCTGCACCAGTCGCTCCACCTGCTTCTCCCCGATCCCCACGTCCTTCAGGTACTCGCGCGCAAACAGCACTTGCGTGCGCAGCCCGTCCGTCAGCTCCTCGCTCTCACCCACCATTGCCATCGGCTGGTCCTGCAGACGAGTCGGAGAAGCTTATGAGCTTATTCCTCACCAAGGCATAAGGGGACACCATCATGTGGAAAATCAAGTCGAGACACTTAGCAGCGCGGCCATCAAAGCCTCTGTTGAAGTTTACTGTGCTCCTGAAAGCATGAATATTGTCTGCTGGCTGGCATGCATGCATACTCAGGCAATACTGAAAGACACATATAAGGGTGTCTGTTAAGCTAAGCATGCATGTCCTCATGCAATCCCACAAAGCAGAAAATGCATAACGATGGACATCCGTCAACTTGGGCATTCCACCCCTAGACAGTGTGCATTCCAGCAAGGGGCAGACCTGGAAGCGGAGGGCTGCTTCAACGGCGGTCACGCGGTCCTTGAAGTCGAAGGGAACATCTGCAGACAGCGTGATGGCAATGCGGTCCAGCAAGTGTTCCCTCAAGGGCCCCTCCTCCGGGTTGAACGTGGCTATGAGCAGTGGTCGGCACCTGCGCACCCAGAAGTAACATATGCATAAGATCAAGTGGGATGCTCAACATTCCACGCCAAGTCACTTTAAGAGAGGCAGATCCTGCTTGGAAGGTTGCATCAACTTAACAAACTACGCAGACATGCGGCCATAAGAAAGCCAGCAAGCCGGCACAAGAATTTTATGTGGAAAACGTTTTTGGTAGCAATGTACCTGCTGCGCAACAGGAGCCCTCGCAGAGGGCACCACACACCAGCTAGAATGACAAGCAAGAGGTACTACAAAATTCAGTGCCCCTGTGTCAGGAAATAACAGAGTATCGGGACAGCCAGCGAGCGTACGGGTGAGAGACAGAGAGGCCTTCTCGCTCCACCACATTGACGCCGTCAGACAGGATGGTCAGCAGCAGGTTGGCAATGCCATCGTCCAGCAGATTGATCTCGTCCACGTACAGGATGCCCCTGTGCGCCTCCGCCAGTAGGCCCGGCTGGAAAACTGTCTTCCCATCCTGAACCACCATGTTTCAACCATTACTTCATGCTCAATTCCATTGAACAGGGAAGCATCTCATCCTTCTGACCCTCGGCAAACCATGACAGGTTCTCCTCCAATAGCAAGCACTTGTGGTGACATGTGTGCTAAGAATACGAATACTTGTGATATCTGCAGGCAGATCGAGGGGGGACGCGAGATGTTGCTCTTATCAGCGAGGAAGTGTCTGGAGAGCGGACCTTCATGGAGGCCTCAATGTCCACAGTGCCCACGAGCCTGTCCTCTGTCACGCCCAAGGGGATCTGCACAAAGGGTGCATCCTTGATCTCCCTTGGGACCTCTCCCTGTCCCAGCTTTGCCCTCAGCCCGTCCTGCACAGCCAGAGATGACTTGGAACTTGCCCCATGAAGTCTCTTGTGAAGGCAGCAATAGACCCTGTTGCCCCCTTGGGGTCCCATATCTGTCAACGCCATCCGGGACACATTGACGGATTCCACTGCAACTGCCGTTTAGTTTTCTGCAAGCCCACTTAGCTGCACATGCTCGTGGCAGGCTAGCACTCGCTTGTAAGAGACTCTTTGGCATTTCCCACTTCTGATGAACAGAGTGTTCTGAGCAGTCAGGGGTGCCTCACCTCCCACTCCCTTGGGTTCTCAGGGTTGGCGTTGCAGTAGCTGCCCTTGACCACCTCAATGGGAGGCAGCAGTGCATGCAGCCCTCTCGCAAGCACAGACTGTACGCATGCACAAAGAAGCTCAGCCAAGCAGGCAGCACACTCACTGCAGCATGCGCCAGATCGGGAAGAAAGCATTTGGTTCAGGGATGTGTGCACCAGGTTGTAGCGCACCTTGCATGTTCCTCGTTTTCCAGCAATGCACACCCCACCCAGGCCTGCGCAAGAGGCACAGGTCATTGGAAAAAGGAACTGATGGTCAAATAAGCCAATATTGATTGTCAGTAGAGGGGTGGAGGCTGCATAGAGCTGTAAAAGGGGCCACTGTGCGCACCAGTGTCGCATGCTCCCAGAAGCAGAGCCTGCTTTATATGATCCTGGCCGATGACAGCTGTCAGTGGGAAGGAGCGCTGTAACCGTACAGATCGTTTGCTGACGAAGCCCTCCTCCTGAGCCGGTGGTGCCTGCTGAGTCGAGCTGCTAGTCTGAGGCTCCGCCGCAGCAATGCACTCTGCAAGACAAATGTTGGAAGTCACGGCATCTGGAGTCAAGCTCTGTGTACTGGCATCTCCAAATATACTACAGTTCCGAACGATTGGAGGATGGCACTTACTGCTGTTACATCAGCAAACAATTATCGCATTGTTTCAAAAAAGACTTGCCTATTCTGTGTGTTTGCCTGCTGCAACATCTGGACTCCACTCCTGTCTGGCGCAGCAGCGCAGACCCCTGGAAGGTCGACCGTGTCGATGCGATTGATTTCAAAGCTCCCACATTCTGAGAAGAAGCCACTGAGGATTGGTGGGTCCTGCAATTCTGCTGTCCACTTAAAGCGAACATGTTTACTATTTCTCAAAATGAGCAATTATTGATCATGAAACATGAGAGTAAATCCCATATCACATACTCAGCTATAGTTTTGTAGTTGCTTCGCGTATTAAGAAGTTAATCTCGTTAATTCGCAGTAAAGTGCGACGTTGGAAGATTGCCTTCTGATGATGGGCGTGCGGATAGAGTTGGAGTACAACGGCGTACAGGTCTTGCATGGGATGTACTCCTATTGAGGCAACCCTGAGAATTACTTCCACCAAGGCTGGGTGTTGGGTTTGCACAAAGTTTGGCAAGAGTTTTCTGAAGGCATAGCTATAGCGTGATCAGTCGGTGTATCAAGTTCCAAGGACCTGACCGGTTGATCAATTGAATCGCGTTGCTTGCCCACTATGGATGACTTTTTCAGTGACTTGGTCCCTATCAAGACATCAAATGGCAGCAAGGCCGATGAAGCAGGCGGAAGCAGTCCCTTTGCTGGTGATGCTGTTCTGTCTGCATTGCCAGAGCCTCTCGCTCAAGCGAAGCCTGCTGCTGACTCTTCCCCTGTTCCGATCAGTAGCCCCCTGCAGCCTATGGGTGAGTCACGTCAAAAGAAGGACGCAAGAGAATTGGAGAAGACAATACAGACTCTTCTTGAAGGCACCTTCAAGCGATTTGCGGGGGGCTTGCAAAACGTGTTGGAGGACATTCAGAGGTGAGTTTAGTAAGGAAGGAAGTCTTGGAGAGCAGTCGATGGATTCACAGATGGCCTATACTTTCCTTGTGGTTTTTTCCTGTTTCTCGTGTGATACTACTGCTCTGACTATTAGATGTGCTGAGGTCTTGAACCTTCCGCCAGCTTCCTCATAACTGATTCGTGTTCATGTGAGCAATCCATTCGCCGAATTTGTGACTCCACAAGACTTTATACTGAAGAGTATTTGGTGTGTCTCAGGCGCCTGGAGTCATTGGAGCACCAATCTGAGCAGGTGATGAAGGCCCTGTCAGATGTACGTGATGTTGGGGGCCTGCGCGATGATGCCACAAAGGAACGCTTCACAACCATCGACAAGACACTCAGAGACATTCAAAGAGGCGTCCAGCTCGTCCGGGACAAGCAGGTGTGCCTCTCTTCATATGTGTACCCTTCATCATCAAACTGCAAGGACCACGAGCGCCCATGCTCTGCTGTGACGTTCTCCTCTTCTGAACAACGTCCATTCTTTTTGTAGGAGCTGCTGGAAGCGCATGCAGAGCTGGCCAAACTGACGCCCTCGGTGCGATCTGACTGACAATTTGCACCCCGGATTACGCAGAAAATCATGTTTAGCATACCATTTTCAGGCTGTCGCTTCAGACATCTGCTTTTCCTAACACAAACTTACTCTGGCTCCCTTGTGTCACAGGCGCCAAAGGCAGCAGAGGCAGCACAAGCAGAAGAGGTGCCCATGGCAAAGCCAGTGGAGACGCCTGCTCCTCCCAAGGCTGTCTGCCCACCAGCGCAGGCCCCTGCACTGCCGATGCCTGCCCCAGTGCAGACAGCTGCTCAGGAACCACTTCAGGCACCTCCAGCTGCCCCTCCTCTGCCATCAGCCCCACAGCAGCAGGTGAAGCATCATTTGGCGCTGATTGTCACCTGTAGGAGATATCACATTTATTCTGAGAGACTTTTGGTGCTAGGAGCGTAGTTTCTGGTCTTTGTTAGCGTCTTGGCCAGAAGGCAGTCACTGGAAATGCGTAGGAGCAAATCACTGCCACGCGACGCAATACACCACAAGAAGGACCATGAAAGGAAGTTTTTCTGAGCCAATATTCATGCATGCATGCAGGCAACTCCCTTCGGTGCGCAGACCGCGCAGCAAGCGCCACAGATGTCAAGCGCGCCCTCTGTGCCCCAACAGGTTGGCCTTCTCTTTCCCCAGCCGATTTCGCTCAACATGCTGATCATCTTTGCGTGCAGTCATTTTCCAGGCAGTACAGACACCCTGGGATTCTACAGAGGTATGAGGAAGTAATCAAGCCTTAGGCAGGTTGGAGTGCTCATGCATGATGCAGGTAGCGCCCCAGTATCCTGGCCCACAGGCACCGCCGCCGCAACAGCCGCAGCCGCAATACTCCGCTCCTCCGCCGCCTGTGCCCCAGTACCCCGCCCGACCTCAGCCACAGCAGCAATACCAACAGGTGAGATACTCTTCATCAACACAACGCTATTACTTATGCCCCGCACTGCCTGAACACGCGCCATGCCTCCTATCTTCCGGCGCTCGCCCTGCCTTAATGTCTGCATCTTTCTTTCTTTCTTTCTCTTAGCATGCTTTCATGCAATGTATGTTTCATCTCGGATGTGTGTCCTTGTGCAGGCACCTCCACCCATGCCGCAATACTCAGCGCCTCCTGATGCGCAGCACATGCAGTACTCACAAGCGCCCCCTCCACAGAACCTGCTGCCTCCCCATCCTGCTCCTCAGGTACACAGCCACAACGTGTCCCCCTACCACTATGATCCCCGACTATGTCAAATATCTGTGGACGCCACAGTTGTTGCTTTCTGGCAATCATTGGAAGTGAGCATCCTCAGGAGTCTTTGCAGGTATCTGACATATGGCCGGACATTGTCTCCTCTGTGGCACGATGCAGCAGTGCCCAAGAACAAACTGAAAGCCTGTATAGCATGAGCTGAATGGGCTCTGGGCTGCTGTGCAGTATGACGGCTATTCCCATGCGCCCAACGCGCCGCCACAGGCTCCGCAGTACCAGCCCCCATCGCCGCAGCTCCCTCGCATGGACTCCTACGGGCCGCCTCCCCCGCCTCCTCCTCCACAGGCTCCCTTCGGCGCACCCCCACAGATGGTGCCCCCTGCTTTTGTCTTACATCCCTCTTGAATCCCTTGTTTGGGTGTGCACAGGGCTGTGGTGCGAACCAATGACCCCGGTGTATGAGGCATCTGCGTGTTTTAGCACACAATACTCGATGCTACACAGCAAAATGTGGGCAGAAGATGTGACTTCATGTATTGGCAGCAACTTGTGTCAGCACCCCATCTTTGCGTTGTGTAGTCGCCATTGAGTGCAGCGCAGGCACAACAGCATCGTACGCTTGATTGAAGATTCTTTGCGAGATGAGCCTTATCGACAGATACTGGTGTCGTTCCAAACACTATTTACCTGACTGGTCTTTGACTGCCTGCTGACAGGGGTACCCCTCTCTGCCGCGGCCGTCTCCGCCGAATGCGCCACCCCCGCCACCACCGCCGCCGGGCGCCATGTATGGGGGAAGCTACGCGCAGCCGCCGCCCTCTCGCCCCTCACAGCCCCCGCCGCAGGCCGCACCCAGCACACCCACCACGCGCACTGTGCCTCTTGAGAAGGTATCGATACCTATCCTGCTGACAGCATGCATCCTCTTCGTTTTACTGCCCTGGTCCCAAATCAAACTTGCATACCCGTAGCATTAAATGCTACTTTACTTTGGAGCTGCACTTGAGGATACGGTTTTGCGTCTCTTTTCGCATCTGAGGGACCTAGCAGGGCGAGTTTCCGTGGCAGAATTTGCAGCACTTGTGTTTGGCATGCGTTTTGTCTGTGCTGATCTGGCTCAATGCAGCTTCCTTTCCAGTGCAACTTTTGAAGTTTCAGAGTAGTACTTTAGTCTTAATGTGTGCTGCAGGTGATTGATGATGTGGCAAACATGGGATTCTCCCGGCACGAGGTGCACGCAGTCATCGCTGATCTCATGGACAATGGGCAGTCTGTGGACCTCAATGTGGTCCTGGATCGCCTCATGAACGGCCCTCGCCGCTGACTGGAGCGATTGAGAAGTACGAGAAGCCTCCAGATCTTTTAAAGTGTACATCGTCAGATTGCAGTTTGTGGCGTAACAGAGACATACTGTGACATCACCCAGATGCCCACATTACCATTTGATGTGCGTTTCGCTGTGTCTTGCTTATTTGCAAACTTGTAGGATGAAACATGGTCTTGTCGGATAACTCTTGTGCAATATTGATGAATATCAATCTCAGTCTTCAATACGGTCGGTGGTGCTTGTAAGTCTGCAAGCAAGTACAGTCACGAGGAATTAATACATTCCTACAGGGAGATATCAACATCGCTTCACACTTCTGAGCAACGCACTGGCTTACATGTTGATACCCTTCTGATGCACTATCAGGCAACTGTACTGCGTTACTTATCAACTCCCTGCCCAAGCCCTTCTGTGCTGCTCCATACGCAATGAAAAACCTTGGACACTCGTACATGCAGCTTGTATCTGAGCATACGTTTAAAGAAAATCCACTGCACATGCTACAGTACACACACCTGGCAGGGTGAGGCTGAAGGTGGCAGCCACAGTGAACCTGACGAACGAGAGGATGTGGCTGGTTCGCCAGCTTGCAGACCTCATTTCTGCAGCCACAGAAATTTCCAGTCAACAGCAGGCCTGTGGCAGTGGTACATATGTGCACTTTTGAGTGCATTTTCCTGGAGCCCACTGTGAATTTGTGAAACATTTATAACATTTATAAGTTTTTTGCTTCCATGTGGCCTGGGCAGTGGGCCATGTACAAAGCCATAGAGATCTTCAAGTTTGATGTATCTGAGGACTACACCTACATGACCATCGTTCTGTTTACTGACTTGCTGGGTGCGCTGATCGCCACCCTGAACCAGTGGGTGCTTGTGCATCAAGTGCAGTGCCTGATCATAGGTTCTCCCATCACCGGTTTGCTTGGCCAGCAGCTCGCTGCAGAAACCCTGACCCCCCTTGGGTTTGAGGAGACCGAGCCTGGCGTCTTCCGCCTTTGGCTCAACAATCCTTCTGCTAGCATTGACATGCAGCAGCTGGCCACAGACACAAAGAGTGCCCTTGCAGAGCTTTCTGCGATGTACCCATCAGCGGGCAACTCTGGCAGCCCAGACTCTGCAATGAGCTGACGCCTGTTCTGGCCTGCGTGTCTCCCATGTCCTGTTCTGGCTAGTGTGTATCCTGCAGAGTGAGTCTGCAGGCCCCAAGTGTATCTGCAGTGTGACTGGTGACTGTACGGCAGACTGTTCCGGGGAAATGATTGTAATATTACTGGTTGGGACCGGTTTGGACTGGTTGGGACTGGGTTGGGACCATTTACCAATCTATTCCAGCCACCTCAGGCTGATCAGATGTCTGACTCTAATGTGAGCAGCGCCATGAGATGCTGGAACGGAGTCATTAATTTAACACCCAAGAGAAGGCAACGAAAATTGTGGGTGAATTACTCGGACTCTGTGTGTCACCTTCCCGGCAAGGGGCAGCTGACCTAAATATAGCACCCAAAACTCAAAGCCGTTTTTTGGATACCTCAAGGTCGAGTGGAGGAAACAACTTGCAAATCATGGCACAAGCCTTTTCCTGCAGCAGCATTGTCTCGGATGGCACATCGGCGCGGTGCCAGAGACTTCCCGTTTGCAACAATTTCCGTTCTCTCCCATGTCGGAGACACGTATTTCAGAAGCAGGGTACCCAGCGGACGCACAGTGCGTCAAGGAATGTTGTTACAAGAGCTGCAGCACTTCCAGATCTTGAAGAGCGGCTGTCCCGCTACGAGTGGGACCAGATGCGTTTGCCCGATCTGACAGGTGCCTGCCCGCATATTAGTTGTACTGGGTCAGAGTGTTTGTCAAAGGCTGTCACCCATCATTCTGACATCATCATAATATTCACTCAGAGTGTTCACTTACTCCTCTCCCTTTTCTCAGGGAAAACGGTGATTGTAACTGGAGGCAATTCAGGCATTGGTTTCGCAAGCTGCTTGGCGTTGGCAAAGCAGAACGCTAACGTGATTCTTGCGTCAAGAGATCGACAAAGAGGTGAAACGTAAGTGCTCTGTCGCCCTCGAGAGTCCAATACTCGTACTTTTGGTGTCCAGCTTCGTGGCTTACTGGGTGTGCGCTGAACATTACCCTTGAGGCAAAATATATCAGCTGCTGCAGGAGAAATATAAGACAAGTTTGGACCCGTCACATACGCTGGAAGATCCTGGAGGTACTGTCAATGTTGATGCTATCTGCGTAATTGAAGGAGTAGCATTTTGCATGCAGTGCTGCGCAAGAAATCAATGACTCCCTCGGAAAGAGCAACGTCACAACCATGCAGCTGGACGTAGCTCAGTTTGCCAGCATCCGCAAGTTTGTTGATGAGTTTTTGGCACGCAACGAGCCGCTGCACATACTCATCAACAACGCAGGTCACACCCCGGCAACCCCTGACACACCCTTGACAGTCTTCAGGAGAGAGGAGAGCACTTCTTTTGGATATTGAATTGCATTTCAAAGGCAAAGCAGCAGTTTTGCTTTTCCAAAGGAGTTTGGGCCTCCACAATGGAGTGTGATAGTACCTGCCAGTCTCGGTGATGGAAGGGTGAGATATATGTGCTCAAGCAGGCATCCATCTGCCTGGAGGCTGGAGTGAGTCACCAGAGCAGGACGGCCAACGCACGCCAGAAGGCTTCGAGGTGTGCCTTGACTCTATCATATGCACACCTTTGTAATGCTGCACGCCATGCGCATCAGGGGTTTAAGCATAGCACTGTATAGGAATGTTCCCAGCTGAGAACGCTGGAGCATAGGGTGACTAGAGAAACAGAGAATATTTACATCATGCCAGCCAACAGGGGCTGATTAGTTGTCTTGTGCTGACTGACATCGACCTTAAAGCAGCCACAATAGTGGCGTTACCCCGTTACAGCTGGCAATTTTCCTTTTGAGGCACTCGGTGCTCTGCCTGATGTTCTTCACCTGCAGTGTAGCTTTCACAGCTTGGAAATTCCGGGATCTTCAATATGTCAACATTCTACCGGTATGTAGCTACGTGGAAGGGTGTTTATTGAGAAGTTGCTGCATGCACCTAGCCCTCTCAGGCTGGAACAGCGTGTAATAATGATAGTGTACTTCAGGACATCTGGTAACTTTTAGAATCTGCTGCATATTGAGGAGTGATGCTGCAATTGCCGTGAACAGGTGACGCTGGGCACAAATTACTTTGGGCCTCTGATGCTGACTCAGCTGCTGCTGCCAAAGCTCAAGGAGAGTGCTCCTGCGCGCATTGTCAACCTTGGCAGCCCTGGAGAGCAGTTCAGCGGTGGAGTCTACTGGGACGACCTTAAGTGAGTTTGATTTCAAAGCATGCAAATTTCAAAGCATGCAAGTCAGTCTGGCAAAACTGCAAGTTCTGTGATAATCGCTTCCAATCGGCCTGCAGCTTGACTGCATTTCATTCAAACTTCATAGCAGATTGTGAATTCTGTGCATCTCCTCAAGAGCGCCGCATCGCCTGCTTGCTTTTGTTTCCTGGATGCAGATTGTTCCTTTCTGGATATGCTCATGGCGCAGGGTGTGACTTGTAGAAAGTCACAGTCAATAAATCCCCTTCCAGGTTACTTGGAGCATTTGAAGGTGAGACTGGGTGCATGTACGCATGCAGGGGTGAGAAAAAGACAAAGAGTGACATGAACGTGTACGGTACCAGCAAGATCTATCTGATCATGGCCTCCAAAGCCCTCAACGAGCGGCTCAAGGGAACTGGCGTGGAGGTGTTTGCTGCACACCCAGGTGACAGTTACTCAACACTTGTGTTTCTCAGGGCTCTAACAGGGCAATAACTTATCATTGGCATTTCAGTCACTTCCTTCAAGAACGGGTATATATTTTTTTGTGTGCAGCTCTTGCTCTTCATACGAAGTGTTCCATCTGTGCAAACTTTCCAGCTAGACTCGGGAAAACTGTCTGCGTGATGCTGTGCCACATTAGCTTGAGGACAGCAGCATGAATGAGGCTCGAGTACAGATCCTGGATGAAAGTGTCTCCCGTTCTGTTGACAGTTTGCAGTCACGAGGAAGCTCAGTAACAAAGCAGTGTCACTGCAGTCTTGGAAAACACATTCAAATCACACCTTCCAAGACTTCTGGTCAATGAGCGGCTCATGCTATGTCCAGGGATCACAAATGCGCCGCTGTATGCCAAAACGGACAAGTCGAAGCCGATGGGAGCCTCTGTGGCACTCTCAAATGCAATTGGTGGCCAGCCGACGGAGCGAGGAACCAGCCCCATACTGTATGCAGCTGCAGCAAAAGAGCTCGACGGTGCGCGAAATTTCATTCGAGAGATGCGAATGCTATCGCTGAATCGCAGGAGCACTGGTTTGACGCTGAAGTGGTTCACAATGGGCAGTTGCATGTGCAAATGCCAGCCTGACTAGCGATTCTTCTCTAGAGGCTGGTGCATGTGTGCTGCACAGATCTGAATTTATTACTGGTGGCTGCATGCATCTTGGTGTCAAGCTGGCAACTTGTGCACATTCATTGAAAGCGTCCTGAATGTCACTCATTTACAAGAGATGTGCTTTCTCTCAGAGGGTCAGCGCAGACGCATCAGCCCTTTGCTGTCTCCCTTGGCTGACCCTGCAGTCTCCGAGATCACTCTGAGCGCACAAGCTTAGATGCCAGATGTTGTGCCTCATCTGTGTCGCGCCTACCTTTCGAGGTAGTCAAAAAGCCTCATAGCCTTCATAGATGGGGTGAGGCATACCTCTCCAACGCATCCAGCCAGGCTGGAAACGCGTCATTCACTCTCTGATTTCTCATATCCTGCACTAGCTGCTTCAATGGCCAGGGTGTTAAATGCATGCAGGCAAGGGTGGTGCATTTATTGGCGGGCCTACCGGACCGCTACTGCCCTTCAGCAACTTGGACCAGTTCAAAGACCGCCCGACCTTCACAGGTGTGATTTGCACTGACAGTGCCATTTTCTGACGACTTCTGTGGTGTGGCATAGAAGCCACTTGCGTTGTTTTCAGTCTTGAAATTAACATGGGGGTGAGTCAGCATGGATGATTCAGGTAAGAGTGGGGTCAGGTCTTTTGTACTGTCTGTGATGTCAACGCACCTCTACACTCGAAACCTTGGGATTTCAAATTGAGATTTGAACACTTGACAATCGGAGATTCTTCTCATGTGCTGTGCAGAGGAGGGCAAGCATCTGGAGGACTGCCTCCGTCTCTACGACGAAACCCTGAAGATTATCAACGCCTAAACTTTTGGTCTGGGGAGTATGGATTAGGCTTTGGGGTTTGAACGGAAATGATTTTTTCGCACCCGTGCATAGTGTGATGTTGCGTGATGACATGGAGTGGCAGAAAAAAGCTCGCCTGAATTTTCTGCTTCTGAGTATAGCAGTAGGCAGACTCCGTTTGCGCGGTGCAGCGTGCAGATCATTTCTGGAATATGTTTTGATGGTGTCAGTTTACTCTGGTTAGGGCACATAAGATCAAGGAATCAACACAATTCGCATGAGAGCAGATTAATGCTAGGGGCATTCATATCGCTGTGATGAGATGCAAAGGTAAATGCAAAAAAGATGATATCTATGATCTGCGAACAATAAGACTCTCAATCAGGTACATGCCATGCAGACTGTCTGGATTATCCCATGTGCCCGTCCAGTGCATTCTGCTTTGCATGTGTAAAACAGCAATGCCACTTGATGTCTGCATTCCCATGGTTCCTTTTGAAGCAAATTTACCTCTTCGAAGTACTCAGGCATGACATGGACTTTGCTAGTCTATCTCTTTGTATTCCACAAGACACAATCCTGAAATCTTGCGTGACATATCACACTATAATGGCTGTTGGTGTGCTGTTAAGCTGCCACTTAATATAACACCCTGCCCAACAGAGACTGGAAGTGTAGCTGTGAACTGCAGCACTGATTTGCCCACCAGAGATTGGGAAGAATAGCTGCAAGTTACAGTAATTGTCCCTCACAACAGAGTTTGGCATCCACGGAGGATGCTCCAGGGAGTATGCTTCAGAAAAGGTCCAGGGATGACTTCCCAGGAATGGCCCAGGAACTTTTCGATTAAGCACCAGAAGGACGAGCCAAAGTAAGAAAAAATTGGGCAAGCCTCAAGTCTTAGTAGATTTCTTCTAGGGCTGCCCCAGACAGGAGGGTCTGAATACAAATATTTAGAGCCCCCTGACCCAGACCTTTAAGATCCAATTTAAAAAACAGGCTCACAGGTCACGCAGACCGGGCTCAATGAGCTTGAGGGACTCCTCATACAGGCGCATGCAGTCCTCCAGATGCTTTGCCTCGCTCGAGAAGGTCTCTCGGTCCTTGAACTGATCCAGGTTTGCAATCACCGCCAGCGCCCCAACTGGGCCCCCAATGAACGCTCCACCCTTGCCTATTAGGCCCAGCATCAATGCCTCAGTGACTTATTCTAAAACTGGGTACCCGGTTAAAAAAGTCTTTGTTTTCATGTACACCCTGTTCCTGCCATGCGGCAAGGTACGTCTGCACACAGGCTGCATGTCAAGGCTGCCAAAATCGTATACTTGAATGACAATAAACGATATTTATTGTTGTTACATGCTGCTCATGCCAAAGGAGGCAAGGTGCGTCTGCAGACAAGCTGCATGTAAAGGCTGCCAAAATCCTACCCTCATTGGACTCGTCAGATTCAAGCAAGGCCCAGTGGGCAGGGCGCTCAGTATACATGCCGCCCCCCTGTAAGTTGGGGCATGACTTGAATATCCAACTGATTGTGAAAGTGCAACGGGTACCCGGCTCACCAGTCAAGTCCGGCGATGCAGCAGCATACAGCAGGGGAGATGCGCCGCGCTCAGGGTGCTGACCCACAAGGGGGTTAATCGTGCTCACAAACGCTCCCATGGGCTTCTTCTTGTCGGTTTTGTCAAAGACCTCGGTGCTGGAAATGCCTGCCATGCCAAATCCATCCCTTCATGCAGTGATTTTCCAAATGTGGTCCTCATTCCTCCTCTCTCTCATGCATGCATAATCAAGCCATCAGCTGCCAAACCTGTAGAGCGCTATCCTCAAGGAGTGTGCGGATGTAGATTACCCAGAGTAATGATAATATTGGACTCATGAAAGTCCCTGCAAGTGGATCAAACCTGGATGGGCTGAGAAGGCTTCGACACCAGTGCCCTTGAGCTTCTCATTCCACGCCTTGGCAACCATGATGTTGTAAAGCTTGCTTGCTCCATACACCTGCACAGTAAGTCCAGATAAGCATCTTGAGTATCATAAGTATCTTGTCGTTATATTATTCAATGTTACTAGGTAACTTGGTCCATTCTGCGAGTCGCGCTGGGCACGTGTGGCCCTTATCCACCACGCCAAAATGCAGGTTCCCATTCCCCATAGGTCTTGAAAGCAATATTTAGGGTTTTAGTGGTGAAGAATCCTGAACCCTTAGCATTGGGTTTGATTCCCCTGCAGTGGCCGTTTGAAGGGGTGACAGAGCACCTGCATGTCGCTCGAGTGTTTGTTCTCGCCCCTGCACACCACAGCCTTTGCTGTCAGAGCACCAGAAGCATCCCCTCTTATCAAAGTGAGGTAAACATTAGAAGCGCAAGGGGCGGCGAATGTCAAAATTGCATGCCATGTGAAAAACCTGTCCTCTGTCACGGATCCCGCCACACAAGCATGATCAAGAGCAGACATGCAGATCTTCAGGCTTCACAATGGCATACACAGCCAGACATGGCAGCAATGCAGCAAAGAAATTGCCACTGTGGCATTCTCCTTTCTACATTATCTGCTGTCACAAAAACAGAGGCAATCACAGGATCCCCAAACAGGCACCCTCAGGGCTTGGGGACTAATCATTCCCTTTTGACACAACACCTGCTGTATGCTCTTCCAACAGCCGGAGAGTGCAGAAATGGTGACTCACTTGAGGTCATCCCAGTAAACTCCCCCGCTGAGCTGTTCAATTGGGCTGCCTTGATTGACTATGCGAGAAGGGGCGCTCTCTTTTAGCTTGTCCATCAGCAGCTCTGTCAGCAGCAGATGGCCAAAGTAGTTGGTTCCCAGTGTGACCTGGTCAGTTGCAGGCATGAGCTCGTCAGCTTCTAAGGTCTCGACAGTAATGAGGCAGGCGATGAGGACAGAAACCCCATAACCTGGGGTAAATCAGCACACCAGGTAATCAATCTGGCTGCACAGGTGAGAGGGGATTTATGTCGCTCTATCACATGTGCTACTATCCTTCAAGACCTGTATCTGACAACATGGTTACATTTTCCCAGTCAGTAATGCAATACTGTTCTCCATTTCTGCTGTATTTAAGACAACTGTTGAAATTGTTGGAGAAGAGGATAAGCAGCAGATCAAGTGTGAGCAAATATTCTGATGTTGTAGTTTCCGACTCAGTGACTGTATCCTACCTCGAATCCCTCCGGAGTGCGCTGTCCTGATTTCTCAGGTGCATTGCCCCCCGGAACGTGGATTCCTGCAAACAAGGGCAGGCTCGAATCTGTCAATCAATTTCACGAGAAGTCAGTGGGCACACACCTCTAAAAGGATGCCGTGCAGAGGGTCTTTGTCACAGATTGGTGTCAATGGCCAATGACCCCAAAGGATCATCAATTGCCGAAGTGTTCTTGTTTGGTCTAGCAGGAGTAACAGGTTTTGGTATGATACAAGTGCCGGGTTTCAGTGCAGCGCATGCCATGCAGAGACTGCTCATCATTGACTGGTAACCCATTTGCCATAGGCGCCTGCACTTTCACATACAATAGACCGGGCAAGGGAAGATGTTTCACCTGCATTGTTGACAAGGATGTGCAGGGGACAGTTCTTGGCCCTAAATTCCTTCACAAAGCTGCGAATCTTCTCAAAACTGCCCACATCCAGTGGCATGAACTCCACATTCTTGGTATTCAGTGATGCATTGATGCTGTCCGTGGCCCTGTGCCGACAATGTACGCTTCACATGACGCCACTTATATAGAAAACGTCACGATAACAAAGTGCCCAAGTCACGCTGCATTACTTGTTCCTGGAGGAATGTCAGACGATTTGGCACAAGCTGTAAGTTGTCATATGCATACGTGGAAGAAAGCAGATGCGTGTGGGGCTCACTCTTGACCCTTCTGTGGATTTCGAGCGGTAAGGATGACATGTGCATTTTGCTTTGCAAGAGCGAGACAGATTGCAAAACCCAGGCCCGCATTGCCCCCTGTAACCAATGCTGTCTTCCCTGCAACTAGGCAGTGTTTTCACGATCGAGGTTCAAGAGCACGACGATTTGGCAAGAATTCGGGAGAATGCTGCTTTCAGGAGACAGAAAACTCTACGTCAAACGACACTTGAGAGTCACTTGTGCAGCATGGCCAAACCAATGAATCACCTGTAAGATCAGGCAAGTTCATCCTGTCCCATTCATAGCGACTCAGCCGCTCATCAATGTCTGGCAGAGCAGTTGCCGATGCTGCCTGGATGATAGAGGACATTCTGCGGGATGATGGTGCCCTTTGTCTAGTGTCGGAAGTCCTTGAACCTGTCCGCTGTGTCCTGAGAGCAATCACCGATGCCGGCCGTTGGCACAGCTGCCGCAGCTGCGCGAAGGAATTCGTAAGTAAGGCTGTCTGGGAGGCCATTCCAATCTTCTGGGAGGCTAATACGGTCTTCTGTAGGGGTGAAGTGTTCGGAACCAATATTTCCCGAAGCATTAAGTGTCCTGTTGTCCATAAATCCTTTGCGCTATTTTGGGCAGCTATAGGGTTTATCTCGGATGGCTAGGGTTCTCCCAATATTGAGTCCGATAATGAGATGCTGCACACAGTTTTGTTCTTCTTGGAGGAATCTAGCTATATCAAGTCTGCAACCTCGTTTTAAGACGAGCAGAAAGTTTGCGATCCCCGGAGCTGACAACATGCAGCTGTCCAGTGCTCGACGTGGACGGTCGGCGATTGCCGCACCGGGCAAATCATTCACTAGGACGCCCCAAAGATTAAGCTTGAGATATCGGGTTGTGTTAATGTCGGTACGTAATTGATCCAGCCTTCATTGCAGCGGTGAAGGTTCATGCCTTGTAGTCCGAGGTACGATCGCGGATCATCTCACCACTTTTTTCGCACACCGCTGATTGCTGCTTCACACCTGCACAATTTTGACCCATTTACTCTGAACAATTGACTGCAGGCGTCAGCAACCCGGCAGCTGCCTACCAACAAGGACAACACGCCCTATCTGACTACCAATCAGGGCACTCGCGTGTACAATAATGACCACTCCCTCACAGTGGGACCCAGTGGTGCAGACCTCTGCCACAGAAAACAGAACAGCAGAACGTATGCAAGTATGCCAAGCTGAACTGAAGCTCTTGAATACTGCTATACTTACATGCATGAGCGTGGACAAGATAGCAGTGGTGTCAATCCACTGCTATTATGGCACATGGGGATTTGCTCAATTGCCAGAGTGCAGCACAGCACAGCAGACACGTCTGCATATATGAGCAAATCGAGCTCCAGTGCATATGATGCCCAGTGCTATTGGTCCAAATAAAAAAAAAGGCGGATGCGGGATACGATATATCAGGGCGGAATAATAAAGCTTTGACATGTTGTCATCGTTCTGCTTGTGCCCCAACTGCCTTGCTGAAATTCAGCTTGCGCTGTTGTAGGGCCAATCCTCATGGAGGACTTCCACTTGTTTGAGGAGCTTCAGCAGGTGCATATACCTTCATTTAGCTTCTTAATGGGCAATGGGCTTTGACCTGATCCCTTACAAGAGGGGCTCATATGCTTACATTGTCTTGTCCTTCAGAGAATTTCTCTCTTGCAGAAACGCATGCCTTGCAAGTTTGGGTGTCGCCTCAGCCACTTGATAATTGTTTGTAGCCCTTGACACAGTAGCGGTGCTCAAAAATTGCTCTTACCTGGGATTGTGAAATCATCAAGAGAGTGGGCCTCGTTGATAAGCACATAAACTGCAATAGTACTCAGCATTGATACTCTGGCAATAGAAACACAGGAAGGGATAGATCTCGAGATGTAAACTCTGCGACATCTAGAAGGTTGTTGATGTCAACATTGAGTGGTCTGGGTCACTTATGAAATGCCACAAACACACATTTGTGGGTGTGACAAATGTGTACACATGTGTCACACCCTCATGCGAGCAAGTCACTGCTCTGCCAGCAATGCTGCATCACATAAAGAGCAAACAGAGCTGCCACGTGCCCTGGACGCGTCGTCCTTAGTCACGCCTCGGCGTCAGGAAAAGCGTCAATTAAAAAGAGTCCCTGCCTGCACTGCTGCAGTACGTGAAAGCCCACAGAGCTGCCGTGCATGGTCCTGAGCCATGCCTTCATGCCAGCAACCAAAATCTCTGCCAGTATCGTTGCAGCACACAATGAGAGCAAACTGATCTGCCACGTGCACTGCACCCATGGTCCTTGGTCACTACAGCAAAGAATCTCATGGCCAGCATTGCTGCACCCCATGCACAGCACACACAGCTGCCACTGCCTTCATGGTCCCTGACCACGCCTTGACCCCAGCAAAGAATAACTCTGCCAGCACCGTTGCAGCCCACAAAAAACAAACAGAGCTGCCTGCCTGCATGGCCCTCAGCCATGCGCCAGCAGACACACACTCCCCAGCATTGCACGAAGAGCAAAGAGACACACATTCTGCAGCATCGCATGAAGAGCACACGGAGCTGCCACTGCATGCATCCCTTAGTCACGCCAGCAAACAAACACTCTGCCAGCGCGCTGCAGCACAGAAGCAGCCCAAAGAGCTGCCACTGCATGCATTGTCCGATATGCCAAATTAGGCCAGGTTATCACCGTTCTGGCCAGTCAGCGTGAAGTTGCCGGCCGTCTGGCGGATGCACCAGCCGTCCCAGCTGTCGGGGTAGGGGCCCGTCTTGCGCAGATCCTGGTCAAGGTACAGGTAGCGCCTCTGATCGCTGCTCTGCGCACGCCCCTGCAGACCAGGTAAGCCTCAACCACACATCTTCCAGGTCCTGGATTTTCAGGAGGCGCGCCCCGGGATTAAAATCTCCTAAGTCAAAGATGTATCTCAAGGCGTATAGGTTCTGAGACATTTCGATGCAGCAATGTGATCAATGATAGCCCCGGCTGGCGGGGGGCGGTATAAATACTGAGCACCGTGCCCACGGTTGATTGGGTCTTGCTTGGATCTGGCGAGTCCATCAAGGCGTAGGATTTTGGCAGCCTTCACTGCAGCTTGTCTGCAGACGCACCTTGCTTCTGGCAGGAAAAGCGTGTAATAAAAATTTATAATGTGATGGATGCCAGCGTCCAACTGCCAGAACGAGGCTTTTGGGTTGAGGGATTGGCAACATCTAGACAAAGCCAAAGCCGGACGACCTTTCTTTGTATATGTCGCCATGTCCAAAAAAAGCCGTTTTGCAGAGACCTTGTCAAATGGCCTCCAAAGAATCTGATGACCTTGGGAGCAAAGTAAACGCATGCAGCACCTGGCCGTCGATGTCTGCAGGGATGGACTGGTGGAACCAGCGCTTGAGAGTGGCATGGTAGTGCCACTGCTGCGTCTCCAGCGCTGCAGCCGCAAACAGCTGCTGAATGGTCCCCTGTTGCACACCCATCTTCATCAGTCACTGCCTATTATTACTATCATTACACGCTCCTCCTGCCAGAGCAAGGTGCGCCAGAAGACAAGCTGCAGGTAAAGGCTAAAACAAATTCTACCCCTCTTCGGACACGCCAAATTCATGCAAGACCAAATCAACCGTGGGCACTCTGCTCAAAATTTATACCTGCCCCTGCCAGCCCGGGCCCTCTCTGCCTATTTGGGTTGCAATGCATTTGTGTCTGCCTGTGTGCGGCGTAACAGAGACGGTAATCATTAAATTTGTGCAAAGCTGGATGACAGCACGCTCTGCATAAGACATCCTGGAACACACATGGCCATCTGTCTAGGGAGCTTTCTGTCTACATCTGCTTGAAGTGGAAGAGATGAGGAACAGCAGCTGGCATGCATGAGCTGAGACACTCACTGGCTGGAAGTAGAAGACAAAGAAGAGGAGGTCTGGGCTGACTCCCTGGACGGCTGCGCGCATGGCCATTTGGTAGAAGAATCCCGGCTCATCAAAGCACGCGGGGGCCTGCACACATCACCCATCCATCATATTCGAACGGTACACGCGCATAGTGGCCCCGGCTAGCAGGGGGCGGTACATTACATAGCACCATGCCGATGGTTGAATGGGTCTTGCTTGGGTCTGGCAAGTCCAACCCGAGGTACGATTGTTGCAGCCTTTATTTGCAGCTTGTCTGCAGGCGCACGGTGACTCTGGCAGCTACAGTGTAATGCTGCTGGCTATGCTGACTCTGGTGACATGAGATGCATGCAGATGGTCTCTGCATGCCACGAGGTTTAAAAGACTGGAAAGCCAGAGCTGCTCATAGCTCAATTACTATCAGCAAGAATTCTCGCATTTAGGCACCCACGACGTTGGTATGAGCATACAGACTCTCTAGCGCTGCATGAAAGTGGCTGGAAGAGCTCAGGACAGTTGAGTCCTATTCGAGCACCCCATGAGCTATCGCTAAAGTGGTTTTAGCGATAGCTCATGGGGTCCTCGAAATGGACCTCTACATCCACAAGGGAAACCACTTCTACATCCGAAGCCCATGGGCTTTCTAGGACATGCGCATGTCAGGTGCAGGTGAAGGCCATGCAAGAGTACCTGCTGTGGCTTCCCTGGCATGGAGGGCTTGATATAGGCAGCAGGCATTGGGTTCGTGGCCTCAGGCATCTGCCGGATGCTGTAAGCCAGCCCCTCGCTGACCAGGCGCTCCACTGCATTCGAGGGAACATACTCCTGGTAGTTGGGCGGCGGCCTGCAAACAAGCGAAAACAACTCTAAGCAACATCTACTTTCGTCCTAAAAAAGTCTTCAACTGGGACATCCCGCACATGCAGGCCCCATGTTTAGGTAAACTATCTCACTTGCAAGATCTGTAATGCATGCAGGCCATGTCCATGTAACATGGCCAAGAAGAAAATACAGTATGTGTCCCCCTGTCATGGCGCTATAATTGTAGCCATAAATTTGCAGATCAAAGATGATTTTGTGAATGGAGCAGGCAGAAAAAGCAGCTTACAGGAACTTGAGGCTGCCATCAAGCAGATCCAGCGCCTTCCTGGACTTGATGTTTGGTGCATGCCTCCAGTAAGTCTCACCACACTCCTTCGTGTCCTGCAAGCACACACACTTTCTCATGCTGGAGTGCCCTACTCGCCATTCAAGCAAATGGAAGGAGATTAGATCACGAGCTTGGATGGTATCGAACAGGAGATGGGTTGGGGCTCACAGATTCATCATAGCTGCCTTTGAATGATGCTCGCCCGTTGGATGTGACCTTGTCCGCTGGCAGGACTGCACATCAAGCAGCATATTAGACTCTGCTGCCGCATGCAATCCGAGGCACATTTCACTGCTGACAAACATAATCCAGATGCAGAATTGAACAGGAATGTGGTCTCACACAGGAGCACATGCGGGACCACAGCATTCTTAGGTGCTTGAAAATAGATCATGCATGATGCATTGCGTGGGATGGATGCAGCCACCACCTTGCACAGCAGTGCTGCAGGCCACGGCTTGCGAGTCCAAGCCGAGCACTGTTGGAGAGCTGCTGCCAAACGGCTCCCAGTCAGCCTTGATCTGCCAGGCCTCCTTGCTGATGAGGTCCTGCCTTGGACCTGGCGGTGTCTGACCCTCCTGACCAATAGGCTTTGCAGCAGGCACCTGCGCACAAAACCCATGATACTGGCGCTCATCCAACCAGCCGTGTGCAAAGCATGCGTGCAGTGCAACCTTATGTTCAGTCATTTGTCACAAATCCGCTGCTATGGTTGGCAAGTCAAAGCAAAATTCTAAGGTATACAGGAACAAGCGGGTGCACCTTGATGGGGCACGTGACTGGTCCGAGGTGCTTGTTGCTCCTCTGCAATTCGATGACTGGGTCCTTGCTGAAGTTTAGCACCTGATTGTCCATGCTTTCCATGTGGACAGTTCCAATTGCTGTTCCCATGTGCACCTGCGCCTCCTGCGTCGCATTTGTGATGGCTGCAAGAGGACTCTCCATGCCCCTGCTTGCCTCTACGGTGCTGTAACTGCTGCCGATGAGCGCCTGCATCTCCTCTGAGCTCAGCAGCTCCTGGGTCTTCTTGGGCGCGGGTGAGCTGCTGAGCAGAGGCCCGATCAGGCGACTGTACGTCCCAGGGGCAGGGCTGCGCGGCGCCTGCTGCAGGTCTGCGATGATGGCCTGTCGCCAGGCGCTGCTTGTACTCGTCTCCTGCTGCTGCCAGAGGTTCGTCTGGGAGGAGAGCTCTGAGCTGGGTGTGCAGATGTCATCCCCTGCAGGGCTCAGGGGGCTGCCTTCCCCCTCCCCAGCTGCAATCGCTGTCTCGAGCTTTGCCGCAGCCATGACCCGGGTCACTTCCGCGAAGCTGCGGTTGTCGCAGACTGCGGACGGCTGCACCGGCTTGGCTTGCGGGTCTGCATGCTCGGCCGGCCGGGTCTTCTCGTGCGCGTCTGGGTCGTGCTTCTCCTCAAGGTTCTTCTCCGGCGAGGTGACAAAGGCCAGCCCCTGCTTCTTTGCCTTGGCCTTGAGCGCGGGGATGATCATGTCCGACAACTTCAGCGAAGCGCTGGGCCGGTTCTGCCGCTGCGATCCGGGGCTGCCGCTTCCCCCTTCGCTGCCCTGGTGCAGCTTGGAGCGGCTGCGACCGCCGCGCTTCCTGCATCAGTAACATCAGCGTCACCATGTGACCTGCATGCATGCGGCCTGGCAGGAGGGTGTTCCTTCTGTCTTGCAATTCTTATCCGCCGGGGAAACACGACAAACACCCGCCGGGAAACACGACAGGCATCCAGAGTCCAGTGTTGTTTAGTACTCTTGCCTATGGAAACCAAAGAGAATGCTTCACCTGCGGCCCTCCGGCCTTCCGGACGTCCCTCCGTTCACTCTCCCTGCTGCCCTGCCCTGTGGGGTGGCCGGCTTGGCCCTGCGCGCCCTGCCGGCCTCCCTGAACGGGCTGCCGTCGTCAGCAGGCTCCTCTTCGTCCACCGTCTGCAGCGACAAGAAGCTCAGCGCACGCTGAAGGCTGTCCCCATGGTGGATGGGGGTCTCCACTGCCGAGTAGCAGTCGGAGGCTGACTCGTCCGCGTCGTGGCTGTCGCTGAAGCCGAGCTGCGAGTGCTCGCTACTGTCTTCCGCCGTGGTGTCGGCTAGCGGCTGCGGCTGGGTCAGCCTGGACTGGGCGGTGTGCTGCAGGTGGTCAGGCGTCCAGGCTGGCAGGGAGTAGGAGCGCTGCCCACCGTCGGGTGACTGCGAGTCCGACAGCGCGGACCTGAACTCCTGGATGCTCTGCGAGGACTGCGGCGATTCCACCGCGGTCCTGAAGGTCTCCGGTGTGAGCCCACCCGGTGATGCACCCTGCCTCTGATCCACCCGGTGCCGCGCGGCCTCTGGGGTGATGAGGGCAGTGCCCGGCGCCCCTGCCCGGTGCAGGACGCTCTGGCCGGCAGACTCCACAGCGCCGACGTGGTTCTCGCTGCCCACCAGCCTCATGCCCCGGGAAAAGAGAGAGTGGCTGTCGAAGGGTGTCTGTAGGCTGTGCGTGGTCGGCAGCTGGTGCTGAGTGGCCTCGCCCTGCCAGACTTCCCTCTCGGCTCTCTCTGGAGCAGCTTTGGGCTCAAACAGCGCTGCTGCGCCGAAACCGTCGATCTCCGGCGCAGAGTTGCTCCTGCCAAGCCCCAGCCCTGGTGGCATGACTGGGAATGTGAAGGTGCCGTCTGCCTCCAGTGTCACGCTGTGAGCCGTTGCAGACTGCGGTATGTGCCATTCCTGCACACCGTATGGTGCACCAATGCTGTGGAGGCTGCCAGTGGGCTGTCCCTCGGCAAGCGGAGGCCGCAGTGAGCTGGACTCTCCAGAGGCGGGGAAGCTGCTGCCAAAGGCCGCCGCTGACCAATCTGCAGCCCCGCTGTGCTGCATGTCGCTGCGTTCTGCTGAGTGACCGTACTGCCCAGAGTCTGCTGACTGGAGGCCAGGGTACGTCAAAGGGGAGAAGAGGCCTGGGGGGTAGCCAAGGCTGCCCTGGGACTGCTGGCGCGCCATCCAGCTGCTGTCAGTGCCAGACTCAGCGGCAGAATCCACAGAGGAGAGAGATTCCTGCCAAAAGAAAGTGTCTATCGTGCTGTGTGGCTCTGGGGCTCCATTGGCCCCATCCGATGCTGAGTCTACTGGCAGTGCAAATGGCCTCTGGCGATCTGCATTCACATGGACGTGTTGGTGGTCTCGCATGTCTTGATTGTCCATACAAGACACTAAAAATAACAGTGCAAATCCGGACGGAGACACAGAAAAGATACCAAGTTGCCACCTCGGATATGCAACCAAAGGATGTGTCATGCCGTATCATGCATGACACAATATGCATGAAAACCTTCCCCAAAGCCTTCCATCAAAAAAGACTAATTTAATCTCTGCAGCTGTGCAAGGGATGTCCACCTTTCTGTGAGACAGGATCTGCCGGAATTGCTGCTGCGGCCGCCAGCATCCTCTTCGTGGCTCCCTGGACTACCGAGGCCTTGGGTGCCTTGTGAGAGGTGGATGCTGATGCTGCTGGAGCAAGGGTTGCTGGGTGGCGTGCACCCCTCTTCTTCTGTGCATTCTTCTGTGCCGTTGCCTCTGCAAAAAAGGTGTCACAGTCACCTCCATGAAATGACAGGATTCAATGACAGGACCATGCGCATGATGGTTTCACAATTTGAACTTCACATTCAGGCATTCAGGCGATCTATTCTCTTGAGCTAAGTTTTCCATCTGCCATCTCAGCAGAACATACCTGCTTTTGCCTTCTTGGACACTGGGCCCTTCACAGCCGGCTTGGGAGGCTTCCCTTGCTTGGAATCAACACCATCATCCTCCTGCAAAGTGCATTTGATTTGGTGCCAGCATGCATGCATGCATGATGTGTTGCAAGAAAGATGCAATAAGGTGCCAAGGACCAAGGAGAAGCAATTGAAATACCTGCGGCAGGTCGCTGCCATCCTTGGCAGAATCATCCTGGAAAGTCTTTGCGCGCTCATGGCGTGCGATCCTTCCAATGTTGCTGTCAGTCTCTGGCAGCGGGATTGCATCGTAGATGGTCTTTGTCTCCTCAATCAATGTAGGCTGCATCTTCATGACATCTCATCAGTAATGTTCTCTAATGCCTGCAGTGTTCCTCAGCAGAGCCATAAACGGCAAAGGGTGTGACCACTTGATGCACATTGCGGTCAAGTGATGGATGTCTGATGGCATGGGAAGCAGGGACTGGCAACATGCCTCTGCAAAGTCTGGGTCTGCTGCGCTGTCCATGTAGTGCTCCAGGTTGTCCCGCAGAGCCGGATCGATGTCCTCGGGGGTGACCTGCATGGCATGCATGACATGAGCAAGATCCTGCTAAGAGTTTAAGGCATGCATGAGATATTTGGATAGTCCCATGCAGGAGGTTGGGCATTGGAGACAGCACCTGGTCATTTTCCAGCAGGCGCATGATCTGTTCCAGACGCGAGATGTGCCAGTTGTTGCTGTCAATGAGGTCGACCAGGTGCTGTGCTTTCTCTGTGGGCTTGGGTTTGCCCTTGCGGGCACTCCTTTCCACACTGTCCCTTGCCTCAAGGTCAGCCTGCAGACATGCACTAGTTTGAAGATGATGCATGTCAAATGTCTATGACACATGGACCGGAGACATTCTGCTGCTGCAATTCAAGAGACAACGTACCTCAAGTTGTTCCACCTGCTCGGCGAGGGCAGAGACTGTGTTTCTCAGCCATCGCTGGGCCTCTGACTTGGCCTCCAGTGTGGGGTCCAGCTTCTCAGTGTAGCCTGCTGCCAGGGCCGCCTTTGCAAAGGGCTTCATCTTGGCTTCTTTCTCGCACTCCTTAAAATGCTCCTGCGATGCCAAATTGCCGGTGTTCAATGAGGGGAAGAGCACAATTTTGTGCATGCAGCAAAGCATATCTAGGCCAGAAGAAGGCAGGACACTTTTGATTTCAAGCTCACCATCTCATGCTCGATTGCATGGCGTGCTTCAGTCAGCAGCGCGGTGTCTCTGATAGTGGGATCGGCTGCCCATTGCCTTATTTGGTCCCGAAGCCTCTGCAGACATCGCATCCATGAGGACTGAGCCTTTACGAGGGCTGTGGTAGACACAACATGATGATGCATGTGCACATAGTGCACCAGCAGCAGCTTCGTCACCTGCAAGCGCTTGAGTTCTCTCTTCATCTCCTGCATCCATTTGTCTCTGTCCTTCGCTTCCTGCAGATTGAGGATAGGGCGTCAGCACCTCAACTTTCGTTGCATGCAAGGGAGGAGTCTTTGCATGCAGGTCTGACATTCTATCTAAATGGTGCTTTCCGAGCCTAGCCTGCACGTGTCTCCTGCTCAGGTGTGCTGCCCGCCCCTTGAGCTTCAGAACAGATACAGAAACTTCTGGGGGCACCAGTGTGTAGGGATGGAGCAATCGATGCCAAGCTCACCTCTGCAGCCTCCATCTTTATGCCGAGATCCTTGAAGTTCTGGATCCCATCGGCCACCTTCTTCAGAGCCTGCTCTATTTCCTTCATCAATTTCCTGGACGTGGCCGACGTCCTGCTCCTATCCAAAACTGCTGCGAAGTCGGTCAGTGGCTTCTCCTGGACTTCAGCCATTCTTGCGTCCTTCTCAGGGACGCAGACGCCACCGTCAGACCAAGCCCCAAGATACGATCTCTTCTATGCTGGAAAGGCCTGCTTCATGGACCTGCACAAGATGAAAGATGAAGGCGATCTTTACAAATCCTAAAGAACCCTGCCAACAGCGCATCAGACGAGCATGACGCCATTGGTGAATCAGACAATATCTGGATGAAAACTCTCAGCCGTCGATCCCAGGTTTGCGCAGGGCACTCACATGCAAGCGACAAAGACTGTACCGATGTGTGACGCCCTGAATCGTGCACGAAGTCAGAAAGGGCCGTCTTCTGAGCAGCGTCCCGCAAGACGTCAAATGATCACGGCACAGCAGCACGCTCTTGCATGCAATCGTTTGCTGCTTCTCATAAATCTCTCGCCACTCAGATCTACCACAAGTATAAAGATGCAAAGGAAAGGTCCAAAGCGTGCTGTTTTTGAAGGGCACTCGGCTGCTTATTTCCTGCCTACCTCACACCAGATTTGGCATGGCAGAAATGACTGATTGTGCCAGCACAAGCATGCCAAGTTGGCGACTGGTAAAGGAGGCACTGTGAAGCAAGTGTTGCAAAAAGCAATGGTCAGGGGCAGGTCAACCTCAACACTCTCACACTCCATGGTAATGGGATTGCATGCATGCATACGCAAACTCTGCAGAACTCCCGCTGCATGCACTGCAGCAGAGGCACTGGTATCTCAACACTTTTCTCTGGGATTTCCTTTGCAGTCAGCTTTCCTGTATTGAATGAATACGCTGCTGGCAGCTGTGCCCAATACCAATGATCAGACAACTGCAATTATTGGCCAATCGACCTACAGACGATTTGCCTTTGCGATCACTTGGCTCGGTGGAATATGTATATGCATCACCCCTGAGAGAGGGGGTGATGAATGAAACTAGGGGTGATCAGCAACAAACCCATCAGGGTTGATTGGCCTCGCGGCCGCTGCGGGCGTCTATTGTTACAGTTTGGGGCCCCCGGGGGGGCATATTGATGCTTTCATGCAAGTTTTGAAGTGCAGACGCAGGACGGCTTTCACATCTGAGATCTGAGCGATGACTCCAAATGTGGCCTGAAGTTGCAAACTCGCTGCTGCCAGCACCTGGATCATGCATGGATGCACTGCTTGAGAAACACTGAGGGTTTCCTGACCCCTTTCAAAGGGACATGTGTATCGGAACGAGCATGTGGCACACAGCCCAGCTTCCTCGGGAGCGGGCATTTTCCTGGACTTTGCAAGATATTCAGATCCATCTTGAAGGACATTCTGTTAAGATAGATTGCGTACAATAGATATGTTTACACGGTAGGCACATTAAGGAGGAGATCAACGAGAAAATATGGAGAAAGCAGTGAGCCGGAACGTCAGATTGTCCACATGTTGGCGGCAGAATGGGAGAAGCGTTTCAGTGCAGCCCTTTCGATGTGGCATCGCCGGATCGCCATCCCTTTCGCGACGGTTGAAAGAACGTAGAGCGAGCAGTGCTCGCAGTGCCGACGTGCAGACTCTGACAAGCCCGCAACACGAAGAGACGCAGGTGTCTGGGTCTTTATGGGATGATGGAAAGACCCTTGTTATCGCCATACCCATGCCAGAGCCTCAGATTGCTGAGGAAACGCTACAACAGCCCTTCGTTGAGCCTTTTGAACCGACAAAAGTCGATGAGCCCCAGCAGGAAGTTAGCCGAAGACCGGGTATGCCTTCTTACTGACATAAACCTGTGTCAAACTAGCAGATTAATTTCTTCTTAAAGGGTTTCCTTCCATTATTCGATGCTGTCAGAAGCTGGCTGATGTGTACTTCAGATATCTGACCAGTAGTACCGTGGAAGATGCTCTGCATCTTGCATAGAGCAGCTAGCTAGGCGCATCTTCCACTAATGTCTCAACGTCAGAATGACTTTGTGCGCTCTCAAGCTCGACTGCATGACGTTCTGTGTTATGTATCAGGTCTCTTGCGGAAAGTCTGGAGAGCTTACATTAGAGCTCTGGACGAGAGGCCCATCATGGTCAAAAGCGCAACATCTTTCTTTGGATTCCTGACAGGGGACTTGCTAGCGCAGGTAATGAGCACTGTTTGTGAGTGAAGCGTGTCACGGCTACTTGGCATCCTGCTGACTTGCGCCTCATGCACCTTTGTGTCAAAATGCAGGGACTTGCCGGCCGCGGATTTGATGTCTTCCGCTGCTTGAGACTGCTCGCGTTTGGTGTGACCATGGATGGCCCTGTGGGTCATGTGTGGTACAACTTTTTGGACAAGAACATTATGCCAAAGGAGCCCACCTCAAACAAGGCGGTGGTCCTGAAGATGCTGGCAGACCAGTTGCTCTGGGCGCCATTCTTTTCTTGCATCTTCTTTGCCTTCACAAACACACTAGCGGTGAGTCCACAAGTCATTTTTTGCTGCTCAGTGCAATCATAAGACACGTGCTAAGATGATCAGAGGAGCTGCCCATGAAGAGGAGGGCATCATGTGCATGCTGGAGGGTGGTCTTGTGGGCATCGGTTGGTGCCAGGAAGGTCCTTTGTTTGGCTTTCTTTGCAAGCTTTGCAGACAAGGTCCCTATGTTGCCTGTCATCATCTGGTTGCCAGAGGCCCTAAGTGGAGGCTGCATGGATGCTTGTCCACGTTGGTGTTGCAATTGACTGGCCTTTCATCATTAGCATGCCTGCACTGCAGGGGCATCCGGAGGCGACTATCCCTGCCATTCAGAACAAGCTGATCCCGATGATGCTGGCAAACTTTGCTGTCTGGCCCATCGCGCACCTGATCAACTTCAAGTTCATCCCCTCGCAGCAGCGCATCCTGTATATTAACTGCATCCAGGTATGTCCTCTGTCAAATGTATATAACATAGGATGGTGATCTCTCAAAGTCCTTTTGCATGCCTTCCAGTGAGAAGACACAGTACAGCTCTTGCTGGCCAGGTGGACTCACGTTATTCGCCTCCCAAGCATTTATTTTCATTAGGGAAGACCTAGATGCCATTGGTCATGCCTGTATCTGGTTCAAGAATGCAAGAACTGAGAAGCAGTAAAACAGGTGTTGCTTGCCGTACCTGGTCCTTAGGACTGAAAAGGTCTGACATTAACACTAATCTTCCATCACTGCCTGATGGGATCTGTGTGATGCGATACACAGGTAGCATGGAGCGCATATCTTTCCAACCTTTCAGCGGCGCGAGTCCGCACCAGCACTTGAGGTATTTATTAATTCTTTCAACAAGCGATGGAGGGCTGTAGAGCCACCATGGTGCTGAAACATGTGGCAGCACATGCTGCATCCACCCTGCCACTCCTCGCGCGTTGGCATTGTATTTGAGGGACACAAAGTCCAAGTTAGGAGGTTGTGACATTTCCGTACCATAGGCCAGAACCAGTAGGATGTATCTTTGTAAAACATGCTCCAAGTCGACCAGCCTACTGTCATAAGCCAGCAATCATGTTCCTCTTAGGGCAATGTACATGTTGAAAATAAATCAGACTGTAGGCAGCCTTGCAGCATGTCGCTATTACAAATACGGTAGTGACGGGTATGCAGAAGGATTTCTGTGAAAGTCATTATACGTAATGTAATCCTCGTGATTTTTAAACTGGGAATTTCCAGTGTTTTGGGTAATGTGAGTGGGTGTTTGGCTCGAAACACCTGGTAAGGACATGACGAATTTTTTGCAAGCACAAAATGGTTCTTGCGTAAAACAGGAGGGCAGTCTTCCTCTCCTACAATAATCAGAACATTTGAAATGCCAATAGCACGAGTCAAGTCTAATACTCAAATGCCCTCATCACACAAGACCCAATGAAACTGTGACCACTAGCTATTCATATTCTCAGGAACGTTCAGTGTCGTCTTTAGAGCAAGACACTGCGGTGATCACGACAGACTCTAGTTCAAAACAATCAACATCTGCATGAGAACAGAGTCCTCTCTGAAGTGATCAAAATGGCGTCGGTCACCCCTACAGCTGCAATCATCTGCACCTTCTTCAAAATTCAATTCCAACTCAAACATGTACAGAACATTTCCCCAAAAGATTGCAATCATTTCTGCCTCATTTCTTCTGCTGCTGTCTTCATTCTCTAGCTTGCGCTCCATCTGCATCATTGTCTTTCCAGATAACCTGCAATGTTAAGTCCATCTCCCCCGCCTGTTGCACTTTTCAAAGCAGAGGCTTTCTGCTGCCACTGTCTTCTTTGCAGCTGAGTTGTTCCACAGATTATCCGGCTGCCGGCGCCCCTGACATCTGGGGGTTCTGGTGGATGTTGACCTGGGTAGGGTAGGCGAACTCTGCCCCATGCTTCTCCACAATCTCCACCAGCTTCCACATGACATCCGAGGAGAAGCCGCTGAAGTTGCTGGACTGCGAAGGGGTTGTGTGCGCCTGCAGATTCACACATTCCCCTCCTCAGCGCCCACATATAATATATGATCCACTGGCCCCTACAGCGCTCGCGCTGCATTGTATGTCTTGCAGTGATTATTGCTTAACATGGGCAGGGCATGAAGCTGCAACAGCTTGCAGCAGTGATTTCAACTCAGCTGGTCTACACTGAGTTTCCTTCCTTGAGCATCGCATGATGCTGATCAGACAAGGTTCTGCATGTGATTACTTCGCGCCAGGCAGGCATAATAAATTGACCCAGAAAGGCTGACCAGATGGCATTCGGGAATAGAAAAGGACTGAGTCAAACAAGAGGTACAATGTGCGGCAGCCTTCACGTGCAGCTAGTCTGTAGATGCACCCTGCCTCTTGGCAGGAACGTTTTGTACAGAAACAACAGATAAGAAGTTGGGTGCAAATGGTGCTCACCATGAGGCCGATCTGCACAGACCAGTCCTGGAGTGAGCCAAGGCCGGAGCCATAAGGCAGCTTCTTGTCGACGCCCGGGTGCTGGTCAAGGAAGGCCTTGATGTCCGCTGTGATGGCCTTCACCTTGGGCAGGTCCTCATAGCGCACCCCGATGGAAGTGGTGAACTGGCGCGGATCCTGCGAGCACACACATGCAATGCTGCCCCTCAGGATCCCTTCTGCATGCTCACCTTCCAATGCATGTGGACAGGCCGGCTGTCTTTCCTCAATTCTGATGCCGCAGGGAAGCAAGGGCGCACCTTGAAATTGGCAGCGACGTTGGAGCGGCCAAGGCGGGACTCGTTGGAGACGATCATCTCGGTGATGGAGCGGTTGGGGACAGCGACAGGAACGCCCTTGTCCGTGCGCACGATGGTGCGCATGACATCTATTCGCTCCACAAACCCGGTCAGCACCGTGCCGCCCCCGGTCGTCTTCAGCTCCACCCGGTCGCCCACTACGAAGGGCCGCGTCAGAAACTGCGCGCATGCACACAGCACAGCGCTGTTGTACAATTTCTCAAGTCATCAAATTGTCATCTGCACCCATGCTAGCGTGCCTGCTGGGGGTAGCAAATTGCCACCCTGATGCCTGGCTTTCAAAAAGGGGACGCTGGGATGTGGGCAGATCCTTGCTTTGCTACACATGCTGTATGCAGGCACCGCCACTTTATACACTATCCTAAGTTTAAAGACTCATATGAAGAGATTTCCGTTGCAAATCATGAATCAGGTGAGGCAGCACCACCGCTGCAGTAGGCAACTGCATCTCTTGCCTGACCATTGCTGTAAGCTTCACAAAGCAATGAGTGGCTCAGAGGAGCAGCAGCCTACTGGTGCGGTTTCTGCCCATATTGATTTTGTTTGCATTCAGGAAAGGCAATAGTGCAAGGAGCATGCTTATCCCTGGAGGAGCATTGTGAGCTGTGCTGACTGGCTGTGCACCAACCAGATCGATGCCATGTATTGCTGTGGGAGTGACAATCTGCAGGAGTTATGGTGTGAGCTGTGCTGACTGGACTGTCCGCTCACCAGGTTGATGGCTGAGCTGGATTTTGCCGCCGGAGGAAAGACAAGAGTGCAAAGATTACTGCATTTCCAAAGAAGTAATGCAAGTCATGTTGACTGGCTGTACGCTCACCAGATTGATGCCAGGTATTGCGTTGGAAGCGACAGTCTGCGAGAGGGATTCTGTGAGCTATGCTGGCTGGGCTGTCCACTCACCAGGTTGATGCCGGAGATGGCATTGGATGTGACGCTCTGCGCGCCAAAGCCAATGGCCACACCCCCGACTCCCCCGATGGTCAGTAGCGGCTGGATGTTCAGCCCAAACACATGCAGAACCATCAGCGCTCCAATGGTGACCAGGCCCCATCCCAGCAGGCTGCTCATGGGCAGCAGCACGCGCTCCAATCCTCCAGTCGACATGCCAAGGTCCTGCCAAAACAGCGGAGAGTCCTTTAACTTCACTGTACAAATGCAAGAGCGCCAGGCTGTTGCAACGGGGAGATGGGCTGTCATGGTTTGGAGCTGACATCCTTCCAAGGCAATTTAGATTGCCACCTCCAATATTAGCTCAGGTGCGCCTCTAGTGATTGAGGCTTCTTTGGAAAAACTGAACGCAAGGGCACTTTGCAGGCATGGAGGTGCATGAAGTGCTCACCCTCTTCTTTTTCTCCAGGCGCACAAAGAGGTCCACCAGGTTCTCTTTCCACGCTATCAGAAACCAGACCCTGCACATCACAGGCAACACTCAAGCAGAATGTAAGGACTCATGCCATTGGCTGAGAACAGATTTGTAGAGGTGAGTCACTGCTAGGGATTGTTGCGCACGTGAACACGACGACCGCAATCTGAGCCATGTCAAGCAGGCTGGCATCAAGGCGCTGCAGCAGTCCCATAAATCTGCTCATCATGCTCACTGCAGTCACAGAACACACTTATAATCACGTGTGAATGAGTCTTTGATGGCATTTTCCGAGATTGTCCATCAATGACTTTCCGCAAGCAGCTTGTCTCGCCCAGAACAGATCAAGAACAATGATGCAGCATGATCCGGAAGACCTACTCGAGATGTGGTGTGAGGCCGCTTGGAGATGCCCGTCGTTGAAGAAGATCTGCATGGACAGGGATATGATGCGCAGGGAATGCACAAAGGCAGTCAGCGGCACCAGCAGCTTGGCCGGCTGCGCAAAGGCAGAGATGCCAGTCTCGATGATCATGCGAGACAGCCTTGGACTGCTGATGTCTGTGGACACATCTGCTTTTGCCAGATTCTCCTCTGCCACCTGCAATGCATGATATAAGATGAGAAGGACAGTAAGCTAAGCATTCGGATGCAATATTTTTCTATGCAGCCTATGTATGGCCTCCATCTGGCTGCATGCTTGACATAAGCTTGAAAGTCCCATTGGTAATCAACAAGGAATCACCTGCTCAGCTTTCTTGCTTAGGTACGACAAGATGGCATTGATTGCCCAACACAGTGCCCATGCTCCACCAATCTCAGCCAAGCAGCGGAGACAGAGCTCCCCAGTCCCCAGGCCTGCAGCTGCTTGCCTGGCTGCTTTCAATACCGCTGAATTAGTGTGCGCATCCCCAGATATGTCTGGTATCAGAAATGTGTTCACCGGCTGTACAGCAACGGTCAACTGCCTGCAGATCAGAGAAACCCTATCAGTTTCTTGAGGTGAAGGTTCAGACTTTCGACGAAAAGCACATCACTTCAAGTGCAATGTAAGGGGGGTGGATAGGTAGCCACGGAGACATATGGTGACATTCCGAAATTATCTTGGCGCTTCCAGCATCAACCCATGAACCCCAGTGAGCTGGACATACCTGGTATTTTGCCGTACGTTTCGCTGTCTCTGTAACCTTCTGCTTTTTACAACCTGCAAGAAAGGTCGATGTGTGTTTGAAAGAGATGGTCGAGGAAAGATTCCGATTTCTGAAGCTGAGCAATTCGTTGTGTACATCGCTGCACACTGCACATACAAACCCAAATAAGATATTGTGCTATCTCATTAGAGCGTCTTTTTGATTGCGATTGCTCCAGAATTACTTTCCCAAACTGTCAAGCAAAGTGCATTGAAGACTATTCGGACACTGCTGCTGACATGGACACAGCGAGCCCAAGGGGCGCCCCATCCATGCTTTCTAAAAATAGACCCAGCGATGTAGCATTCACTCTATCCAGGCGTCGACAAGTAAAATCCGTTCCTGAATGACATAAGATCAATTACATGTCGACATCAGTGTGCAAGTATCTTGAACCGAAAATAAGCTGTCCATGCGGCCTGATCTGATGATCCCCTTCACGCTGTGACCTTCCCAATCAAAGGAAGCTGCAAAACAGCTCTTACATGGGTAGAAATCGCACCTTCCAGCCTCCTGCAGTGACCGACGTCAATTCTCGTGTTATTGTGCCAGAGAGGAGTCCAGAGCAGATAGCCCTCATTGCTTTGCAGAGCCTGCTGGAGGCCCGTGAAGCTCACATAGACAAATTAGAGGTAAAAACCTCCACATTCTTTGGTTTTGACTGATTAAATATATGTCTTGCCTAGTCAACGTTCTGGGTAGTGTCCAAGCGCCAAGCAAGAGCTGCTTTGTGAGCAGGCTGATGCCCGGGCTGCAAAGGTTGCAAACGAGCGCAAAGTTGCTGGACTCGAGGAGAGCTGTCATGCCAAAATCAAGGCAGTGCGCCAGGCACACAGCGAGCAGATGACTTCAATAGAGGTAGGCCTTGCTGCAATGGCTTGGATGCAGAGACTTTCTAAATGCCTCCATCACTCTCCTCAATGGGCAATCAGCAACTTTTAAGCTACCCCAAAGGTCAAAATGGTCAAAATGCTGCAGCGCTGAAGCTTCTGAGATGCCTGCCAGGCAGAAGCAAGCAGTAAGGCACGGGAAGCTTGCGAGGAGATAGCGGTGATAACAGAGGACTTGCAGAAGGCTCGTCTGCGAGCAGATGATGCTCTGCACGAGCTCCAGAACACCCAGAACGCTGCAGCAGACCTGCGCAGCCAGCTGGGCATTCTGAACATCCAGCATGAAGACCTTTCGCGAGAGCACGAGGCTCTGGCCGTGACCAGAGACAGCACAGAAGAGGGCAGGAAACTACTGGAGGAAGAGCTGCATGTCCATGTGGAAGACAGTGCAAGGGCGGTAAAAGAATTAGAGAGACACATGCAGCAGCTGAGTGGGACTGTTAGGGTGCAGCAGCAGGAGATAGATGCGCTGCAAAAGACTGTGCAAATGCAGTGCAGAGAGCGTGTGCTGCTGCAAGGGCGCCTGGCTCTGCAGCAGCAGGATAGTGCCAGGACACAGGAGGTGTCAGATGTGCCCTCCAACGAGTCTGTCATGCAGAAGCTGAGTGATGCTTCACGCGCGCGGTATGAGGAGATCCAGAGGACAAGAATGCTGTTAGCTGCAAAGAAGCGCAGTGTCACAGGCCTAGGAGCTTGCTCCTAGCACTGCTGACCACGGCCGGCTGTTATGGCTTGAATGCACATTTGCCGTCGAATGAGTGCAAGCTGCCCGCGACTTTTATCTCTTGTCACGATGTCTTGAAAACCGTCTGTGACTCAGAGTGACTCCGAGTCCGTCCGACTGTCAGTTCAGCTCAATTAGAGGCTCTCAGTTCATGAAGTTCATCAACTAAGTTCAACTAAGTAAGAGGCTCCCCGGGAGCCTCTTACGCCCGGCCGGCCGGCCGGGCCTCCGGAGGGGATCCCCAGGGGACCTCGGGCTGTAGTTGGAACGGTTTTGAATGAACACTTAGCCATAGCAGATGTAGAGAGTATATATTCAGCGACGAGAGGCAACTTACAGTGAAATCCAGACCTGTATTGGTGAGTCTATTTCCATCATCAAGATGCTGCATGCAAGGCTGATGATAAACCGACCCCTGTCAAACCCTATTAGTCCCCCAGGGACAGTGCATGCAGAAGGGCCGCCGCTGCTCCGAACAATGAATCAGAGAGAAAGGATGATCTTCCTCGATCTTTAGATTTAACACGTTTACATTGGTGTTGTTCTGTAGAAGTACCCAGTCAGAGAGGGGACGGAATCATCAACAGCGTAATAGAGTATAAAGACATTACTGCTTGAAGAGTGAAGTGACACTGATTTAGTACCACTCGTTTGCCCAGTATGGCATTTGGGGCACCCAGATACGTTGATTATAGCGATGGAGTACCAGACATGGTCAAACAATTCGTCGTGTACTTCTACCGACACATCAGGTGACCAATCCTGACACTGATCAACTAGCTTTCTGGCAATAAGTTGCATTCTGTAGCGCAATGATCTGTGAAATGACACCTTTATATATCTGATGATAATGACAGTGTCAGTAGAGCATCTGGGCAGAGGAGCTAGCACGTTGTTTCGATCATCCTGCTTCAGTTGTGCGCGTTGCTTTGAAGGAGCTAATGTTACAAGCTCAGAAACACTTCTCAAAACACACGCTGCATTTGTCTCTGGCAGGGAGCGGAACATCCCAGAGATCTTCTCCATGTACGAGGTGTCCTTCGCCAAGCTGAGCGAGAGGTTCTTCAAGGGCACAACATGGCCTCCAGTGGAGTACATTGCAGAGCTGGTGGACAAGGACTCAGTCTTCTGTCTGCTCTACAAGGTGCACACAACAATCCTCTCGCCACTGCAGCTTCTTAGCCATGCATACCTCATCCAGGCTACGCCAAATTTGCACCCTCCAGACCTCTGATGGTATGTTTTCCAATGCGCAGGAGATGTACTTCCGGCATCTGTACGCCACGGTGCAGCCAACCCTCGAACAGCGGTGTGAGTCCTGGGACAACTACTGCGCCATCTTCAACATCATGCTGAGCTCCAGCATCAACATGCAGGCATGTGACATCCCTATTCTCGGCATGTTGCCTGAGGTTTTAAGCCCCAGCTGCCAGGCCCTCCTGATGTAAGCTCCCTTTGTGCTTGTGTCCGGAGCTGAAAGATCTCTGCATCCAAAGCTGCTTGAGGCGAGCAAATGGTGCCTGTGGTGTCTGCAATTTGCAATAGAGTTGTCATAACATGGTGATCGAAAATGGAAAATGGGGAAATTCCAGGTCTATCTGGCAGCGCAAGGGGCACCGTTTGCAAAATTACACGCCATTCTCAAGCAGAGAGAGTCCATCAGCATGCTAGCAAGCGCCAGTGAAGCCTAACATGCCTGTTCGGGAGGTCCGTGAGGCTAAGGAGGAGCGTCCGCAAGTATTGGGTGTCAGGAAGCTGACTTCCCGCTGGTGGGTGGTGCAGCTGCCGAACGGGTGGCTGTGGGACATGGTGGACGAGTTTGTGTACCAGTTCCAGAGCTGGCAGCAGTACCGGGGCAAGCTCAACACGAAGAGCGCTGAGGAGCTGGAGACTCTGCGCAACTGCGACCGCGTCTGGTCCATCCTCTCCGTCCTCAACTACCTCCAAGCCCTTGTCGACAAGTCTGGCATCGTTGCCGAGCTCTCCGCGCCAGGTATGCGTGCATGATCCCTGAAGTCAATTGCATCCTATTTTTGGTCAACTGGGCCAGAACAGTTGACCTGCCCTTGTGATTCATTGGGACCCCCTGAGAGCAGGCAATTTGTTGGGCTCATTGTGCAGTTGACACCTCGTGCTGTTGGAAAATGGCGGGTGAGCAGTAGATCCGTGGAAACGGAGCAGTTGTGCGCTCCATGTGTTGTGCGCATGTATTTATAAGACTTCCAACAACACTTGGAGACAGGCTCACCTCCTCTTAGAGAGCCAAGGTGGGAACCGAGGGCAGGCCCGCATGTAAGATCATGTGCATCATACGGAAGAAGCTGAAGGGCTTCCGTCGCTCAGTCATCATGAGTAGCAGAAGTGAAATTAGCTTGGGGGCGGGGCAGGTGGTCAAGAGCGGTTTTACAAGACGGAAGGGTACGAGGCCGGCAGCAACGTGCTGCGCATGGTGGGCTACTTCAGCCTGGTGGGCCTGCTGCGCGTGCACACCCTGGTCGGCGACTACCACGGCGCCCTCAAGGCTCTCGCAGTCGTCCACCCCTTCCAGCGCACCAACCTATACACCCCCAAAATTGCAGGTGCGCCCTGCCACACATAAAGGGTTTTGCGAGGCAGCCAAGCAACACTTGAAAACATGCACGGCTTTGACAGAGCTTTGGCTTGCGCCACTGTCAGCATTGATTGACCTTGCGATATCAACCTCTGTTTTGTATGTGGTTGTCTCTTTTTTTGTTCCACGAGGGCTAGCATGGGGGCTGTTGGTTGCCTGGCGCTGTGCCCGCCAGCATGCATTTGCAAGTTGGCTCAATATCGTGTGTATGCAGAGACCACACGACCTCCAAGCAACGTGCGATTGCATATTTGGTGCAGAACGGCTGCATCTGATCAACAGATGCTCAGGCGGTGGCATGCCTGCCGGAGGCACAAAGCATGCAAGTTGTAGCTGCGCGCAAGATGTCTAAGGCCATGTTTGCCGCTCGCAGGCTGCAACATAGCGCTGTACTACTACAGCGGCTTCTGCTACCTGCTCCTGCGCCGCTACCTGGATGCTGCGCGCGCCTTCAACAACGTCCTCAATTACATCGCCAGGTCAGCGCCCATTCCTGCTCTTCCTCCCCTTTCTTGACACGGGGATCCTCTTTCCCTTCCCCACCTTCCTGACACGGCCGTGGCAGCTGCTAGATGCATGCAGGCTCTTGGAAACCTCCACACAGCAGTGTGCCACCCTGGTGTGCCGTACATGGTAGAATAGTGGTGCCGCCGGGGAAGGAATGAGTACAATGTGTAATCATCATTCTTTTTGGCTCGCCATATCAGGAAGAGCCCTGTGGTATGAGGAATCGATGGTTGACTTATATCAAAGTCCCCTGGCCTTTCGATTCAGCTGGCAGGGATACAACTGGCACATATATGCAGATTGAGAGCTTGGTGTTCCGCATGCAGGGTGAAGCAGTACCACTCGCGCAGCGCGCAGTACGAGCAGATTCTAAAGAAGAACGAGCAGATGTACGCTCTGACCGCCATTGTGCTCGCTCTGTGCCCCGCCGCGCAGCGCGAACTCGATGAGAACGTCATGAACACTCTCCGGGAAAAGTGCGCATCTATTCCTCCATCTTGTTGCCTCCTCTATGTATGTATGCTGTTCTTGATGAACGAGAACCCAAGCTACCGCTTGCAGGCAACAGAAATGGAGTGTGGTCTGTAATGATCAATCTATTGTGAAGTGACGGGGAGCAGAGAGATAGTGGGAAGTCAGAGAAGAGGCTTGCTCATGCTGATACATGAGTTTGTCTGATGAGGTAATAAGGAGCTTGACGGTTGATGAGGACTTTGGAGGTATAAGGGATGGGAAGAGTTGTAGCTGAGTGCCTAAATTGTCGGCTCAGGTACAATGAGAAGATGATGAAGATGGTGCGGGGAGTGGATTCCACCTACGAGGAGCTGTTTGCGTACGCCTGCCCCAAGTTCATCACCGCCGCGCCGCCCAACCTGGACGCACCCAGCGCGAACACCAACCAGGCATGAGTTCACCCAGGCCACGGCTTTGCAAATTTGGTTCCTCTGAGGATGCATTGTCATCCTCTTTCACCCGTCCTGGATGGCCTGGACGTTTCGTCCCTGAAGGAGGGAAATCCATCACAGCATCGTGTGATATCACGAAGCGGCAGCCAACTGCCTTGGATGGCCCAGATTACCTCGGCCCCTGTGGCCATGTAGGGAATGCCATGATTGCACTGGCATCATCGATTCTATGGGTACGCTGGATGTGCTGCATGCATGCAGCTGTGTTGCGTTCCTCAGGATCCTGTTGGACTGAAGTGCGAGCTGCATTCAGGCTCTTGGCTGTAAAAGCAGGCTTCCTTGGTAAAAGGGCTTGTGCCTAGATGGCAACCGCCATCTACCGTGATGCACATGCTCTTTTACAAGCATTCTTGCTTGTGCAGCTGCACGTGGGGGATTTGTGCTACATGCACAGCACTGCATGATGCCCTACTGTGTCAAAGTGTGTTTGTACGGCATGCATTGCCTTCTCAACCAGAGGCGTGGCTGGCAGTTTTGTTGTACTGCATGCATGGCAGTGCATGCAAGATAGGCGTGCCGGCAGTGTAGTCTGCTGCGCAAAAACAGGAGGCATGGCCTGCGTTGTCTGACATTGTCGGTTTGATGCGCGCGCAGGAGGCGTACCGGCTGCAGCTGCGGTGTTTCCTTGGCCTGGTGCAGGAGCAGCGCCACCTGCCCAGCCTGAAGCAGCTGCTCAAGCTGTACACGGCCATCTCGCTGCCCAAGCTCGCCTCCCTCATGGACCTCGACGAGCCCACCCTCCGCTCCCAACTCATCCTCCTCAAGGTGCCCCCCTTTCACTACAACCCTTCACTGCAAACTCACACCCATTCAAGTGTACTCTGGCCATTTGCGCCCAGTTACAGGCTCGCGACCCTTGCACCTGAGTTGTGTGTGATCCAAGGGACTGCTAAGGCACCAGATTGATCTCTCGGTGGGGAAATCTATTACATGCCATTCAGTGCATGGGTTTCAGATACCTGGTGACATGCTGTACACAAGGGCACAGGACATGAATGACAGGAATGCCCAGAAAGGCCTCGCCCAGTTTGCAGTTCTGTGGTGGGCCACCCAGACAGGTGGACTGAGAGTGGTGCCAAGGAGTGCAGGCACACTGCTAGACATATGTACGTGGGATGATTGCAGACAGGTGTTGAAGTCAACATGTACGTCAGGGCCCCTAATGGCCTGCAGTCACGTGAAACAAGCTGAAAAGTGTGTGATCCCTGCAGATGACTGGGTACTGCATAACCTGGAACGGAGAGGGGGACGCCACAGCAGGCACTCGCCAGGCGGCCACGGACATCGAGTTCCACACCGACATCGACGAGGAGGGAGTTGAGCTGGTGAGCATATCTCCCAACTCTCGCTGTATGTGCTTCGCTGCATGTAATACCTACTTGGACAGGTATTGCCTGCGTTGGCAGTGCAGCATTGAAGGTACAAAGCTGCACTGCGCTGAAGGCTTGCCATGCATGCGGGTGCTCGCGTGAGTATGCCAGAACATGCCTAACAAGGGCATGTGCTCAAGACGAAGGATTTCCAAAATTCCCAGAATTTCGAATTCTATAAGAATGTTTAAGTTTTTGAAATTGACATTTGACGTGGGGCTGTGCAGGTGACGGTGGCAGAGGTGAAGCCGGTGAGGAGGCAGGGCGAGTTTCTGGCGCGGCACATTGCCAAGTTTGAGGAGATCGTGCGCGACCTCAACATGCCCATCCCCCCACCTGCTGTGGACGGGGCGCCCGCCCTCCCCAGGCCGGCTGTGGCTGGCTACTGAAGAGTGTGAGATCCTGCAGTTGACAGTTTTCTGTTTCTCGTGGATGTCGGCATGAAGGAAGAGGTGCTTCATTTCCGATGTGAACTTCATTCGTTTGTCATCATTTTATCGTAAACTCGTGAAAGCAATGTAAAGCTATTACTCTTCATCAGTACCGCTGCTTTACGTGCAGAAAAAATGGCATCTCTCAGCCACCTCGGTGTTATTCAGTGTACGTACAAGGATGCAAATGCATGAGCTCGCTGACTAAAAACTGCAGGCCCCTGGTCTCACACCCAATGGTCCCACAGCAGTTGCATGAGGTCCCCCATGGCTGCTACAGACATGCCAAGAATTATGGCCAGACACATTATGGAAAAAATACTCTGCGCATTCATTGTTTGCATCCCACTCAGATGGAAGTAAATCAAAAACTTGCATAATTTGCCCTCATGATGAGTCCACATGTCACAGTCAGCCTGCATTGATTTTTCTGGTTCCCCATATGATCGTTATGCAAGCAAGCAAGGCCTGGACGATCATTGTGCAGGTCTCCTAAAATAGCACATAAGTGCTGGTGTCTCTTGTCAGTGAATCCCTATATCGGTCCAGTATCTCAAGGCCACAGAAATGTGTGGAGTAGCGGCATCAGTAGTCAAAATTGAACAAGTGCGCACAATGTGCTTCATTGCTATATTGATCACCCCGAGAACAGGCAGTACCCAAGACCCCAACACGTGCAAGGAGCGGTATTTCTTACTGCTGTTTATCCCTGACTCAAAGTGCTTCAATTCTTGCATGCTGGCCCTTTCTCAGACCGCGGTCAATTTGTCTGAAGTCACCCCAAGATTGTGCAGGAATCCCTATAATCTCACTGGGAGCGGCATGTGCGGAAGATTGCAGAGATTTCAGGTCGATGCTGCGTCGGTGCCGTTGGTGTCATCTCGGAAGAAGTTGACGATGCGCGTGCCGAGCGGCTGCACCGGCCTGTTGTTGCTGCGAGTGCCCGTCACCACGCAGACTGCGTCGTTGCTCTGCGCAGACACAACGCGAGACCTTCAGCACAACATTCAGAGCATTCAGGGTATTACCTTGCAGGCGCAAGCGGCTGCCCCCCCCCCCCCCCCCACCCCATCACTCCAGCCTTAGAAACTGCTCCTTTGCAACATGGGCATTGCTCCTTTGCTTATCTGTAAGGTCATAGGTGTCACGACCCTAGTGGTCGCACCAGCATTGCATGGAGAATTTGTTATAACAGGCTGGCATGGTTATTATTATTCCACGCGTTTCCTGCCAAAAGGCAAGGTACGTCCCGCAGAGACAAGCTGCATGTTAAAGCTGGATGGTATATTAAGGATTAGTTCTGAGGACCCACCGAAGTGTCGATGTTGTCGTTATTGTTATTGTTGTTGCTTTTACTTGACTGCAGCAGGTGCCGCTTGCCGCTATCGGCCTTCTTCTTAGATGCCTTGCTGATTCGGCCCTCGCCGCACGGCCGCTGAATTTGCGCCATCGCGTTCTGGAAGGCAATCACCTGCTGCTGTCCCACCTGGGGGCACATGCATGACATGCATGTCAGGAGGATGTCAGTTGCTTTTCCAGGACCTCGCATAAATGCTTCACTTGATGCATGTGCTCACATGGCACATCAGAGTGTGAGTCAGCAGAATGTGCTGCTCAGGGAGATATCATGAAGGGGTTTTTCCAGTTTGATGGTGGTGGTCTGCCCAGGTGAAGTCTGCATCCTGAATAACCAATCACACTCCAGGATGCTAAGACTCTTGATGCCAACGGCCTTTTATGTACGGCAAAGTTTCTGCGTACCTTCATGGGAGTGGCCAGCACGTACCAAGTCAGCCCCTCTGTACACGGTGGCGCCGTGAAGCTTCCCCTGCAGGGCAGCAGCTTCTCCTCTTTTGAGCTGCAAAAAATGCCTTGGGGTGGGTTCAAAGCATCCCTGTCCCAATCAGAGTCCATGGGGCATGCAGGACAGGTCATGGTAAAGTGGCCCACCTGTAAGTGAAGTATGAGGTGTTGCTCGGCAGCAGGTCCGCGCCATCGAGTGTGACTGTTGTTGGAAGGCCAATGCAGCCCTGCACATGCATGCATGACTAGGCTTCATTTAGCCATCATTCAGCCAGCGCCCAATAAAGGCAAGAATGGGCAGCTGAACACAGAATGTGTGTAACTGACAGATCCTCTTGCAACCTTTCAAAATATCTACATTTCCTACAGGGAGTGAGCGCACCGCGCCACTGTAGGGAATGTAGGGGATGATGGAATCCAAAAATGGGTTGATCTTTTCTGCATCGTCAAAGAGGGTAAACAAGACGCCCAGCCCTATCTGGCACCCCTTGGAAGGGCATGTTGACAGGTCATCCTGAGAGATGGTCATGATGACCTGAGCCTCCAGCGGATACTGCACACCTGCATTCAGCAGCCGCCAGATCTAATTGAGAGCTTCAACGCTGCTATGAGGACCTCCTGTAATGGTACTCAAAGACTAGTTGACCTGAAAATGTAAGACAACGTCGATCGATGAAAGTCTGACATCAGAGAAGAGGACTCACCATAAATGAAGTGGTCAGAAGGGATGTGAAAGTGGATCTTCTGGATTGTGGCGTTGTAGAACTCTGCTGGCACACTCTGATTCTTGTTGAAGCAGCCCACATTGCCACCTGCCACCATTAAACTCTTTCCCTTCACACACTGCCACAGTGTGCAAGCTACGGTAGTGTTGGAAAGCGCAACAAGGCATCTTGTAATTTCGGCTACCATTGGGCAATAAAATTTGCTATTTGCCGCAGTGAAGATTGCTAGCAAAACATTGTGGGCTGGCATTGAAGCCGAAGGGTGGGAGGAATGGCCTCACCGCAGACAGGGATGCTCACGTTGGTCCCAGACCAATCTGCCTCCACTTGGACGCGATAGGCTGACGTGGTTCTGACCAGGCTGATATTAGCTGTGCCCAAGGTGAAGGTGGCTGCTTTCTGCGGGACCACTTGCCCATAAGAGATGTTTGCTGCATGCCACACAAGACAATTTCATTTTCCTCTCAAGAGTCATTTTCGTACCATGCACATTTCTTTTTGCCGGTCATGACAACAGGATCAAGGGTCGTCTCACACACTTGAGGGGACATCTAGAAAAGAAAGAGGGAAGCAGACATCAAGGCAGAGCGAGTGCCAGAAGTTAGGAGGAATGGCTGCTTTGCAAGTGTACGTCATGCAACAACAACACAATGATACATCTATGTACAACGGTAGCATGGCATTCTGGTGCGCAGTGATCTTTATGTGGCCTCACATTCAAGGCTGGGGAAGTTGATGGGGGACTGCAGCACGCCGCTGGTGCAGGACCAAGTGGAGTTGTCCCAGTCGAGGCCCCCTTCTAGATACGTGAACCCCCTCTCCAGCTCTGACCTGTCCACTGAGAGCTTGGGGCAGACCGTCTGCGCAGCAGATATTTTGTGCTTAAATTCGATAAGGCCATCCCCATGTCAATCTTTGGCTTCTACTTCATTGGAGCATGCGCATCTCCTGTGGCTGTATGGACCATCGTAGTAATCAATGGAATCCGTGGAGGTTGCATGCGGCTGGTGATGATGGCAAAATGACAATCCATGCAAGGGTACAACAGGATCAATGGCAATATGAGAAAGTCACCTTGCCCTTGGGTTCAGATTGGGCATCTGCAAGTGTTGATGAGCGCCTGCCAGTGGGAGCTGGAGGGGCATCGCCCCCACTGTCTTGTAGGTAAGGTGCGCCTGTACTGGAGCTGGCAGTGCTCTGCGCGATTACTAGGCCTGCCACAGCAACCAGCGATGTCAAGAAAGCCCCCCTCTGGTGTCAAGCAGCCATACATATCGTCGCGCAGTTTCTGGGAATTTTGGGAATGGGCTCAGATCACTTGTGGGCCACATGCACACCTCGGTTGAGGACCAGCAGCAGCAGTGCGATGCTCCAAATATGAGGACTAAACATTCTCATTACGGTTTGAAAAGTATCTTATATGCTGTCTAGTATGTATACGCCTGCATAGTACAGGAAGCATGCCTCAGATCACTCAAAGCCAAATTGCAGCGACGACAACTTCTACGTCCAAGGACCTCTTGTCTGATTTACATCTGACTTATTTATCTGCAAAAATTCATGTGCTGCTAGTGACAGGTATAAATACGAGTTCCTGGGTCATCTGAATGGTGACCTGACTGCCGACGCAACGCTCACAACCTGATGGAGCTCGGCCTTTCGGTACGCGATCCGAGTTCAACAGATCTTCGATGCATCCCCGGATGTTTCACTTCGCAATTTACTCCCTTAGTTAAATCCTGCAATGGCTTCAGTTGGTGTGTCGAGGTGAGACCTGCAGATCTCGCAGCTCGACGAATAGTCAAGGGCAAGGAAGCGTTTTGCACCTCCACAATGCAATATTATTGTGAATTTGCGCAGCTTGGAACAGATACTTGGAGAACAGCAATGTACTGAACAAAATTTTTCGACGCCCAACCAGGGAAATAAGGGGAGGTTTCACCCTGGAGTAAAGAAAACCCCGCAAAACATGCTTGCAACACACAATGCAGGTAATGGTGCAGGCCTCTGCCTAGCACCTCCCACAGGCAGGACAATAACTCCAAAAAGAAAGCACATGGGCATAAGATATTCATGGATGTCTGCCATGAGCTGCCTTCCTGGCCACGTAAGCAGAAGAACAAAAAATGCAGTATCTAACCAGCCCAAGTCTGGCGTTGCAATTTGCTTTTTTGACACACATGTAGGTAGTACAGTGGCTCTAGAGAGCAAAAGCATCAGTACAGGCTTGATCTGCTGTCTCTTCTTTCTGCACTGCGCTCCAGGTCCCTTTTTTGCTCCCCATCCCGGCTGGAAATGGCCTTGTCCAGGCGGAACAGCAGGAAATTGAGGTCCATGGGAGTCTGAGTGGGCAGCAGGTCCACGAAGGTGCGCAGGTGGGTCTCATAGTCTCGCGTCACGCTGTTCAAGCCCTTGCCCACCTGGCGTGAATAACTCATGAGTCAGCTTCTAATCATGCGTGCGCAGTGCTGAACAGCTCCAACAACATATCTGCTTTTGCCTAGGCTTAAGCTCAGGCGTGGATTCCTCACTACTGTTGGCTCGACACCTGATTTACCTCCAGCCATTTCATGGATGCAGAGAGGGAAAAGTTCATTTCAGCATCCATTGATTTAGGCATTCCAAGGAAATGCCTAATTTTCCCTGTGGAAAGGGGTCTCAAAGTGGCAATTTGGCAGGGTTTGCTGTGCAGGACACACCTCGGACACCTCATCTTCGTCAATGCCTCTCAGCGGCGCATCAGACTCCGTGGTGGCCCACTCCCCGGCTCTGGAACGGTCGCCCATGTCGCTGACGCGAGTGTGAATCTCCGTATGGGCTCCCTCCACCTGACACCCAAAGCCTCAACCCTCAGACTTCAGTACAGTGCACTTAACACTCAAGACTAAGGCTGCCAGTCAGCCCAATCCCAGTCCTAGACCGACTTTTGACCCGCTGGTTCAAGGAGTCCTGGAATCCTGGATTTCTTTCATTGCAGGGAGCACAGAATTTACTCCAATGACCCTGTCGATGGAATCTTTCACTTGCCAGATCTTGTTGTACTGATGGCTTCTAAAATAAGAAAATCCCGCCCGGAGACAGGCAGCGGCTGAGAGCGCCAGGGTGTCACTGCCAGGCGCACCAGCAGATGTAGACGGCAAATCCAACTTAGACTCCAAGCTTTCTTCCCAGAGTGTCACTGCTTTAAATTTTACCGCGACGCCCACACCTCCGTCAAAGATCAATGGCGAAAGGGACCAGACGTTTCAGGCGTACCAGCATGTGGAGGCGGCGTAGCTGGGGCAGCAGGGTGAGCAGGGAGGCCAGCAGCTGAGTCAGCTCTCTCTGCACCTCCTCATGCTCCTCGCACAGCAGCGCCCCCGCCATCAGCGCATCCACATACTCCCCGTGGGCGCCTGCATTTCGAATTCTATATTCAAAATTTAAATTTGAAATCAGATCTGAACGTGGCACCGATTTTCATAGCGGAATATGGAAGTTCATGCAAGCATGCTGTTCCAGCTCTCCTCTAGTGAGACACAACAACCGCCCGCTATGTAATCACTCTCCACGGATATTCAGCAAACTTGACATGCCCCAAAGGCAAACCCGTACATTCTTTTCCATATCATGCAAATAAAACATTTTAGTGGTATTGCTCCAGTCTCTGTGTCCTGCTGCATCAAATCAGTGAGTACGCAGCCTGTGGTGCAGCAGGGGTGTTCGCATCCAACTAGGGGGCGAACAACTAGGCAGGTAGATACATTAATTTATAATCCCTCAGGGGGATGACAGGGGGCGGCGCACCGATGAGAGAGTCGAGGTCGGGCGCTGCGGGGATCTCAGCGGTGAACTGGGTCCAGGCGCGCTCCAGCACCTCAAACATGAGGTAGGCCTGCAGGTTGGTGCACAAGTGCGCCATCTCGTTGCGCAGCCCCTGAAGGTTCTTCAGCACGCCCAGCACCGCCCCCGTGCCTGCGCACAGCCAGGGAATGACTTCTCCAAACCATCGGTACGTATTTATTTTGCAGTTGTTGACAGTGTTCATCATCACACCTTCTTCCAAGCATGCAGCTGGGATTGCAAATGATCCAAGCATGTTCAGATCTAACCCTTTTCGTCTGTGACAACGTTGGGCAGCTTGTGTCACACGCTCTTCGCTCAATGGCGAGCTGTGCAGCGCGAAAGGCACCACTTGCAACAGCAAGCTGTGGCAATGACGTCTCACTGAGAAGTAGTGTGGCTTCCAAACTCAAAATTGAAGCCATGGGTACAAGACCACCGCACAGAAGCCAGTGCTTCCTAGCTTCCTTCAACAGAAGCTAGGTCTTGGGATGACATTAAGCTTGTCCCTCTCTTCGTGTCGTGGCATAAAAAAAACTATGGACGTGCTATTTGGACCAACACGGCGTGCAGAGAGGGGGCACCTGTGCAGGGCAGGTGGGCGCGCTTGGCCTTGGTGGTGAGCCGGGTGAGCGTGCGCTGCGTGGTGTTCAGCAGCAGCCAGGCGGCGGAAAGGGAGTGCTCCGCGCGCTTTAGCGCCCACAGCAGCCGAGCCACCGCCTGGATCTGCGCCGCCGCCGCATCCGTCATCACCGTCGCCAGCGGCTCCTCCACGCTATAGCGCAGGGAGAACACGTCCCAGCCTGCGCGCAGACAAAAGCCCACACATAAGTGAGACAACATCAGTCATTGATGACCAGGTTCAGTCACTCAGCACCCTGGCACCCATGATGCACAATAATATCTCCCAGTCTTTGTGCAAAGAAAGAATCCAATCCATTCAACGACATCTCTGCAAGCCATGGCATATATGTGTGAGGTTGATGTGCAGACGGCAGTACAAAGCTGCCCGGCCTATGTCAAGAAACACTGCCAGCTTGCTTGCCTCAAGGGGAGATTGATAAGAGGATGCTGACAGTAAAAGGGGATGCACCGGTCTCAGAGCCGGCGCCGTGGTCAAGGCGGATGCGCAGGCGGTTGTGCACATCGGGGTTGTCATACTGCGCGGAGGACGCGCGGATGGCGGCGTCCAGGTACCCGGCCAGCCCGTACTCGCTTATCTCCCTTGAGGGCCTCGTCAGCTCCCCTCCCAATCCCTCCATCAGCGCCGCCACGAAATCCCCCTGAATAATAAGGACCAGTACACATTATCCTCTGGCGTGTACTAACCAGCGGAAGCGCTTGGTTCAGCTGCAGTCCAAGAACTTTGATGTGGCACCCCACCACCATGGCAAACAGGGCACATTCTAATCGGATACAGAACTAAGAGTCAAAAGCTACCTCAGGTAGCTGCGAATTGACTTATTGAAAATAATTCAATAAAGCAATGCCCCATAAGGAAAACGGCTGACCAATAACAGGAAAGTTGGATTTCGACAGGAGGCTGGTTTTTGGGCAGCACCTGGCTGAGCAGCAGGTAGCGCTTGATAGCGCTGCAGTGCGACACGATGCTGTACTTGTCCAGCAGCGTGCTGACTACGTGCCGGTCAATTCTGGCCGCTGTCTTCTCCACAAGCCGCTCCAACTGCTCAGTCTGCACCAACACAGTACCGGCCTTCTTTCCCCTATTTCATATTCCACTAAACGGTACTCAAGCTATTTTCCAGATGGGGCACGGTATTACATGACCACCAGGGATCCTTGAAGACAGTCCTCCCTCAGATTATGTGGCACTCTCTTCACCAAGCCAATATTACATGCAGGAAGCGGCCAGATGCTGTACAGGCACTGGTGCATATTGGCAGCATTGTGCCCAATACCAAATAGCAAATACATGGTTGACACTGGTCGAAGGATTGGCAATGCTGTTATCATGAGTGATTACCTGGCCATGGCTGAGCTGGGAGGCAGCTGCTGCCATGGGTGTCCTGGCCAAGCTCTGCTCAAACTCCGCATCCCCACAGCACTCCCTGCACGCAATCCCACACCAACTTTCACACCAGTTACTTTCACCTCAGCAGAAGCACACTCAGCAAGCACAGCTCAGCCCACACAAGATGCCTGGAAGGCAAGCTGAGTAAGCGGACATGACAGAATACAAATCGATGCAGAAATGATGCCTACAAGACAAGCTGAGCGGACATGATAGAACACAATTTGATGCAGAAATGATGCCTGGAAGGCGAGCTGAAGATGTCAACATGCATGAAAGGCGCGCACCTGAGGAAGATGAGTGTCTTGCCGCCTCGCAGCAGCTTGTGTGACATGGCAGCGCTAACAAATGGCGGCCGCATGTCCTCCTCCAGCAAATATCCCTTACGCCATAGGGAGCCGGGGCTTGCTGCGTGCATGCAAAGAGGTGTAGCATCAGCTCTGATGCGCGCGCAGAATGAGTCCGCACGTAAAGGCAAGGATTGCAAGAGTACCACGATGGTCACTCAATTCCTGGACCCTGGGACCCAGATGGGCCCCTGTATCGAGGGCAGCCCATCACAAAAGGGATGCAAACAGCTGACAATCCAAGCTTGGTACTGGGGATAACAGCAAAGACTCACTGGGTCACTGTCACTGGTCACTGTCAGCTACTTGGTCGGCTGCATGGTGTTGTATAAAGTGTGCACAAGAGTATGCATGTAGAAGTGAACGAACACTGCTCTCTGATGAGTATGAGGGCATGTGTCTGTGCGCACCTTTTGAGTGCGGACTGGCGGTTATGAAGAAGTCGCCGGGGCTGCTGGTGAGGCGCCCCTCAAACAGCCAGCACCGGATCATGTCCAGCAGAGGCATGCACGCCTGCCTGAGGCACCTCTCAGCCTGGAAAGAGCACAAGTACAAGGATCAGATCTCAAATCGTGTGGCATCATATAAATGTCCCAGCCGGCGTGTGCCACCTATTTCTGCAACTCGAGCACCAAGGGAGGCTCCAATAATGCATGAAAGCTATAAAGAAGGACCATTGATCATGCTTCCTCATGCATCAGTTCAGTCCTGGCCTCCTTTGCAGCTGCCCCCCAGCTTCTCCGGACGGATGGCATCGTTTGGCACTCTTCCTGGAGAAATCGTCATAATGCAGGTGGACTCCTCACTAGCTGGTACCCTTCATAGAGTATAATACTGGCATTTGCAATGTACTACACTCTGATCATGATCATGAGTTCTGTGATCATGACCATGAGTGCAATCTGTCAATATGAGCGAACAGAGTGGTGTGCATGCATGCAAAGTGGCGAGAGCGGGGCTCACGGTTCCACAGGCGGTTGGCTCGCCGTGCTTGGTGGCGGCCTCGAGCGCGGAGATGAGCTGGCCGCCTTGCAGGTCTAAGACGGCGTCCGCCAGCTTGGCCAGTGCGCGTAGGCGCTGCATGGGCTCGCCAAGCCACACCGCCAGCCGCCGAAGCGTCAGGTACGGCGCACCTGTGTCCTCCCCTACGCTCCAACATTCTGAGATTCAGGGGTCATTCCATCGGTGTCGATTTATCTCGTGTTGGTCTCAGGCCTAAATCGTCAAACCTCAATGTAGGCCAGGCACTGCAGAGGCAGCGACTGATCCCATGCACATGAAATGCAAATGATCCTGTGCTGCATCACATATGGCTTTGATTTGATTGCACACCAGCCTGTCTACCAATATCCGCAAGCATTGTCGATTGCACCCTTGGATTAACAGTCTACAGCCATCCCTGTGTGCTGTCATCTGGTGGCATGGAACTATAATTTTGAAAATGTCGCTGGATTCAAGTTGGTGCATGAGTGGAGGCATGACATAATACTGCACCTGCAGGCAGCGGGTGGCCTGCCAGGGCATCCAGCTGCGCCATGAGCTGGTAGAGGCTGTTCAGCTCATGCTGCAGAGCCGCCTGGAAGGCTTGCCGAATCGCGCTGCCGCCGTCCTGTTCCTTAGCATGGCTTTGCAGCTTCCTGCATGCAGATACTCTATTATTTTTCTGCTCCCAGCCCCTGATCCCCACCAATGACCGGAGCCTGCATGGTGTTCCCTGGAAGCATACATCACCCATAGGTGTGAACAGTCAAAGCGGGCATGCATTATCTGGTTCAGGCATCAATACAAGTTGTACTCGGTGCTTCATATGTTGCAGAAACTTCCCAGCAAGACAGAGTAGGAGTGTTCTCACCTGAACAGCCAGCCCACCTCACACAGCTTCAGCACAAGGCTGCGCTGCACAGGAGGGATTCCTGCCTCTGCTGCAATCTCATAGCTGCCCAAACCATTCATTGCTGTGGGACTGTAGCGCACGTGCTGCCCGTCAAAGCCCTGGCAGGCGCACAGCACCTCCCGCACCAACGCAATCTCTCCCAAGTTGCTCGCTGAGCGCGCCTCTGCGGCTGTCTTGCTGTCCTTGCGCAGTGTTGCCTCTCGGAGGCCTGCTGGCTGCTCCTTTGGGTCCTTCCTCAAGACTGCTGCACCAATACATGTACTCTCACCAATGATGACTAGATTTCAACGCAAACTCAACAGAAATGTGTGGTTGAGCCACTTGGAGGATCATGGTGGAGGGCATGCAGCTTCTCTGCGGGTAGTATATGTTGCTGAGATTGTGCACATGCTGTGCAGAAAGGAAGGTCCATAGCTGGTGTTTTTGCGCACCTGCTGATGCCTGCTTGGGTCCAGGCTGTCTGCTGGGGGCAAAGTGCAAAGAGGAGCTCTGCATTGGAGCTAGCTGAGGCAGGCTGGTTGCCTCAGCATCCCTTTGGCTTGGGAGGGATGTGAGGAGGGCGAAAAGAGCGCTCCTTGTCTCCGGGGGTGTCCCCGCCATGACGAGCCGAAGCTGAAGGTCGTCCAATCTGTGTCAGCAAGCCACGTGTGCTCAGTCTCACAGCATGCATGCACTGGGGTCAAAGATAAAACTGTCTGCAGGTCTGTATGCTCCCCAGTCCTGAGTGATGGAGGATGGGGCGTAGTGGAACCGGCTTTAGCAAGAGTGTAGGGGTATGCTCTGGCAAAGATGTGAGCAGGTGATTCTCCAGTTACCTTGAGAGTTGGTGATTGTGCCCCTGCTGCATCACCTTTCTCCGCAAGGATTGGAGGGCCAGGCTCTCAACACGCGGCTGGGGGAGTGCAAATCGGCTCCCCAACAACCTCAGCGAGTAGCTGCAGTTGCATGAGAGCTTCAAAAACTGACCTTTAAAGGAGATCAAATGTTACCGGCTCTTCCTTCAACGGCCTCTGCTCTCTTTGATGGTGGTACAGTGTGTTTTCCTTGCACTGATTTGGTCATCAGAGTTCCACAGAAGACACGTGGCAAAACTGAAGTTACCTTGTCCCTTGTAACATTGTAGCACTCCAAATCACAATACCATATATTTTGCACGCATGCAGCCCTTGCTGATGGCATCAAAGCTGAGACATCCAAAACAACAGTTCGTGATGGAGTTGATTGAGCTGCACCTTAGCACCCTTCTCGCAGCTGCATCAGTGTGTACGCCTTCTCGTCGCAGAGGATCTAAGCCTGCGTCTATCAACTTCTCAATCAAGAATGCGATTTCCCTGGTTGTGGCCTCCATGTCAACCTTCCCACTCTGCCTTGAGCTGTCAGAATTTGTTGGACGTGTGTGTCGAGGCCATCAATGCGATGAACTTTGCTGAGCCTCTAGATGTGTCCATCTCCTGTACGCTCATAGATGTCGGGAAGTAGTGAACTAGGAGAGAATGCAAATGCAAGCTTGCGTTCACAAATCACGGACCGCGGTCCAGGCCCGTTGCTCAAATAAAAAAGATGCATGCATGGAGGATATTTGATCTCGTCTACTTGTAAAGCTCAAAAGAATTCCAATTTACAATTATTGAACACCATCGGCGTGTTTTTGTATCCCAGCGTCCATAGTGTGGGTTTCAACGGTCAAGCGCAAACCTGTTGATCCATGGCTCCAATGTTTTGCTTGATAAGTTGCTAAGATGGTAGATCGGACAACATTGGACGGGTTCAAAATCTCCAGAATCCTCAACAGTGATGACAAAGCCAAGAGTATCGATGTTTTGGGAAGGTATGTGGAAGGATCGTTGCCAGTGAAACGGGCAGTGACATCGCCCACATCTACTATTTTTATCTACTGACACAGGCTTTAGGCTATTAATATCTTTGTGGCTTCCTACTCCAGATTTGAAGGCAATGAGAGCGATGCCGTCATTTCCCTCAGGCGCCGAGCATTTGACGAGGGCAGATTGCCGTTCTTACTAACTTCCGCCACTCATTTGGACATTCAATTCCACAATGATGTGTACGCCAAGGTACGCTGGATACTGATATTGTCCGTCCAAGATTACCCTGATGACTTGAAAACTGCCTAGCCTCATTCTGGGTGTGCAAACAGTACACAGGCACACTGGACCCCTCTGATGGCCAGATCAACATAGATGTCATTCATCCAGCCACAGACAGACACATCAGCAAGTTCACAGCGCAGCAGTACTGTTCGGTATGCATTCTTGTTTTGAGCTCGTCCTGGTGGAGCTCAGTCTGTGTGCAAATATGCTGAACTGCCAGCAGATGGATATAGGTGACAGAGACCCCCAGCTCATATACTATGGTCACACTCCCTTACATTGAGTCCATACCGCCGTCGCGCATACAGTGGGTCTACAATATTCTGGAGAAGAAGGTGAGCTCTCCTCAGGTGGCTCACAATTGGATGATGACATGCCAGTCCTCAACCAAGAGAGCAATTGCTGATCCATGTGTCTACATGGGGTGCCCAAAAGGATATCTGTGCAGGCTGAGGTGGAAAGGCTGATCTTTGAGGACAGGCATCCGGAGACTGGCTTTGTTGTCCACCCCGACATGAAATGGGTGAGTACTCCTGTCTCTAGCGCTCACTAGACAGCCTTTGCCTTTCCTGCATAAACTGCCGTGCCTTGAATGGTCCTCTCGCCTGCTCTTTCAGGACCAGACACAATTGCATGCTCTCTACTGCGTATCAATCGTGCACAGGTGCGCTATCTAATAAAAGTGGCTGAGGGCGGCAGTCAGTGCATGTTACTTGCTTAGTGACCCATAGAGCTGCAGAGGGAGAAGTGATTTCGATGTAGGCGGGACATCCGGTCATTGAGGGATCTGCGGTCAGAGCACCTGCCTCTCTTGCGGAACATCCTGAGAAAGGGCACTCAGGCGAGCATCCCAAACTCCTGCTGCAGACAAAATTGCCTGGCAGCTGTGCAGACTGTAACCGTCTGGAAGATAGAGTGACATGAGAGCTGAGCAGACTGTTCATGTCTGAAAAATAGCATAGCATGACATAAGAGCTCTGCAGAAATATGACTTTGCTGCTTTCTGTGCAGGCTCTGGTGGACAAGTACGGCGTGAGGGAGGATGAGTTGCGAGTGTACATCCATTATCAGCCCAGCTACTATCATCTGCATGTCCATTTCTTGCACGTCAAATTTGATGCTGGCGCTGGCATGGCAGCCGGCAAGGCCCATCTACTGAATGACATCATCGGTGCGGACAGCACATGGCTTCTTTTGCAGTCGCGCCCTTAATGACATAAGCATCTTCTTTGTACCAATTTCTCTGGCAGCTTATGACTTGCTGGAATGTCAACCATTAGCAGCTGAGAAGTTTATGTGTGTGTATGGCGCAGACAACATCGTGCTCATGTCAGACTACTATGCAAAGAGGACGCTGACCTTCATCCTTGGGGAGAGGGATCCTCTGCTGCAAGCCTTCCGCAAGCGCAAAGCTTCTGACAGCCTTGAGGATGCAGCCTGAACCTCAGCAGCCCTGTTTGTGAGGGCTGCAGGGCCCCTGGGGGGCACCATAAACTTGTATTTAGTGCCCCCTGGAGGGACCTCACAGGGGACTCTGAATCAATTGATCATCTCAAATCATTTCAGTTGGAGTCCCCTGGACCTCACTGAGGGTGGATGCAGTAGGTAGGGCGGAGGGTGGCTGCAGCAGAAAAGGCGGACGGGAATCAAGGGCTGTAGATGTCTCCATTGATCCTTTGCAGCAAGGAGCCATGGCAGACAGCCCTGGCCCCTGCCAGCCATTGTCGCGTGGCCCTCCAATGATGTCATGGCATGGCATCAACAGGCATATGATTGAAAGAGTATCCTTCCGGAGTGATACTTCTTTGTGATCCCTGCTGGGTGGATGATTAGTAGGACTGCCTGTTTAGCATTGTGCCGAGTCTGCACGAACCCTGATGCGTCTATCTTTCAGATCGTGTGCGCATGCATGGAAGTCTAAGGACTTCTGGTGTGCATGTGAGGACCACTATGAGTGGATATCATCATCTCCCCTGATTGAGATGACGAACTCATCTATTATTTGGCACTGTGCAGTTCTTGGAGGAGGCAAAAACACAGCCAGCATTGCATTACGCAGCTGAAGCTTCTCGTGGCAGAGCGTAATAGAACCTGAGTCTTGTACAATTAGAGGGAGCTGTCAATTTCTTGAGATTGCGAGTTGAGTGATTGCTTTTGCATCCTGTGTCTGTAATCAACTTGACGCTGGAAACGGAAGATGACACAGCAGGACCGTACGGTTTCAGGAGGGGAAAGGTTCCTTACTGGCTAGTAAGAGTTCATGCATTCATGAGATCTTCATAATTTTCATGAAGAGTAATACTATGGACAGAATAGCAATGGAACTGCGTTGATAGCAAGAGAAAAGAGCTCAGTAGCAATAAAGAGCGGCTTCATGCACTGCAGGATGTTACATCAATGATACCACTCTATGTGGGCACGCAGAGGAACAATTCCTCTCAATATATTGTCTTCTCATGTAATAGCATTTTTTCGGATTCTGCAACAGCCAGGCCTGTCCAGTCATGTTCTACAGAGCGCCGCCAAGTAACTCCCAGCTCTTGCATTGCTTTGCTTCCTCCCCAGATACAGCTTGCAAGACAGCACCGCGCCCAAGCCACAGCTCTTGTGAATGCACAGAGCTGCTGCTCGAGCGCAGAGACCGTCTAGTGCACGAATGGCAGAGACACGCCGTTTGTGGCAAAGGTGACGGCTGTGGGGTTGGCCAAGTGATCGGCCAGGTTGTCAATGGGGCCCTACGGTAAGAGAGCCACAGATCAGCAAGTGATCAACTTGTTCTGTTTGTCATCGCATTGCTGCTTGCATGTCTGCCTGATAGGCTTCTCTCGAATTGATGGTATGTTTCCTGCTGATCCCACCTTGCAGCAATTGCACTAGGCAGGCTACCACAGTCACATACAAGTACTGTACAAAACAAAGAGGCTGTCCTGCCTCCCTAGTTGTGACTTGTCCTGCCTGGTATATTTTGGTGAGAAGATCACAGAGGTCAATGCGGTGGGTCTGACAACCAATGGCGCTGCAAGCATCATAGAGTGATCATGGGGCGTGTGAAGTCTGCAGAGAGTAAAGTTAGATGGGAGAGGGTGCCCACCTTGCCGGTAGCGGCGTGCTGGGCGATGAAGCCAAGGAAGGCAACCATGGCAAGGCGGCCGTTCTTGATCTCGTTCTCCTGCGCGCAGCCACAAAGCAGATCAAGAAAAGCCTTGTGTGATTGTCAATTGATGACCTCTGTTGAGCGGCCCAAGTCATGCTCGATCCGGCCTCTCAAACAACATGTTCTCGGTGCAAACAACATCGCGCAACCCCGGAAACGGATGCTTTGTATAAACGAGTGAACTGTAACCTAGCAAACCCACCACAGTAATGAACCTATAATCACTTGTGCTTTGTGCACAAGTGATTGCACAGACTGATGATGATGCCTAATTTTGCTGAAAACAATTAAATTTTCCTGATGATTTTCCTGCCTAATCATACTCTGCTTTCCAACGTGCCTACTGACACCGTGAGTTTGCATGCAAGAACAGCAGACCAAGCCACACAGAATAGAAGCACATTGAGCTTAATAGCAACTGTGTAAAACAAAAAGGAGGCGCACCTGGTACTTCTGGAGCTGGCCCTCAGAGCCGCGGGAGAGGCCGAAGGGGTCGAAGAGCTTGCCACCCGGGTAGCCATTGGCCACGCCCTTGAAGTCATCGGTCACGCCCAGGAAGGAGCCGTCGGCCTGGCTGCCTGGGTTCTTGAAGTCCAGCCATCTCTTGGTCTCCACCCAGCCGGTCAGGATGATCTGGATGAACAGCAGCGCGGCTGCGCGCACACAAAGACATGCATCAGACCGAATGTTCACTGTAGCATTGATGCAAGAAGAAAACACAGAATGCAATTAGTGACATACTGAGCTACCCGAACTCTGATCTGCAAGCTGGGACCCATATTGATTGCCTATCAGGGCCCGATCTTGTTGGAAGAATTTGACAACAATGCTGCAAAACAGGTAATGACGATAACACGATCCAGTCAGGAACGTATGATGCTTCGTGTGCTGGACTCTGCTCGACACAGAGGCTTGTAAAGGGCTGAAGGGATGTTGTGGGGCTGTGGCGCACCAAAGGGGAAGTTGGGGTTGTTCTGGACCCACACAGAGCCGGCGTCGTACCACTGGGGAATGTTCACCACACCCGCCTTGGTGGCCACCTGCGCAAGCCACCAACACACACTCAGATCACTCCCATCTACCCCATGCACCACTTCACTCCTCTGAGCTGGATACTCCATACTTGAATCGCTGGTGTCTACGGCGGTAAAGTGAATGCTGCCAAGTCAGCATGCTGTGTTCAAGGTAAGACGTGTGTAAACAGCGTGCTCTCTACTGGCGTCTGCGAAAAACGTTGAAAGAGAAGAGAAGCCAACACACAAAAAGTCTGCATGTCTCACCGCAGGGAAGAGGATTCCTGCTACAGCTGTCATGGCAGTCCTGCCGTGCACAAGCTCTGCCTGCTGGAACCTGCAGAGCACCACGCACATGTCTTCAGTTTTCTGGCTGTGTTCTCGTTCGACTAAGATCATCTGATGTCCTGTTTTCACAACAGATCTGAGAGGCTTCATTGAGAATTTACTCCGGCTCTAAGCCTCTCAATTGCACAAAGGGGTGCACGCATGTGCGCCCAGGGAAGGAGCATGTGCCGATGGCTCACCACTTCAGCAGCTGTGGGTCCGATCCAAGTGACAGAGGGTCGAACCTGCAGGCATTAAGGAAAGGTATTCAAGGTCCCTAGCTTGCAAAGGCACTGATGATTTGCAGGTGTCCAAAAGGTGTGCCTGTTTGAAATAAGTGGCCAGAGCTGGGACGAGTAAGCTCACCCAAAGTCTCCTGGGAGCGAGCCATCCAGGTGGGGTGCAGGGGCATTGCCTGGGAACCAGACCTGCCTGTCTGCTGCACTGACAGCAACGAACCTGGCCTGCAAGCATCAAACATGCCTGGTCATCATACTGCACTGCATTACCATATTCTTTTAAGAGTGATATCCATTGTTTCTCAACATGTATATCATTATACACAGGTCACTGTCCTGCTGAGGAAACATGCCACAATCCATCGGCCTAGTGCGCCCAATGTTGATCGAGCAATCTGGAGCAAGTCGCGCTAGCAGTCCCTGGCAATATTGAATTGCCCCAACAGCTACAGCAACACATGTCCCCTGCGTTTTCACCTGCACGCGAGCTGTGCGAGCCTTGCCACTGAACGCTGCGGGGCGGGCTGCCACCGCGCTCTTGGAGCCCAGCAGGGAACTCATGGCAACTGCGTTCGCCATTGTCTGCAACTTTGCACCGACGGGGGACTCCTTTCGAGATTTCCTGGGCGAGGCAGAGGCGATCCGGATTGAGCTCGAAAGGGTGGATATTTAATAACCTCATCGGCAAGCGTGATTCTCTAGAGCTCGGATAGGACCAAATCGAGAGGCTCGACTGTGGCACTGTCAAATTTTCGATCGCGGCACAAGATTTATAAGTCGTAAATCAAGATGGCTGCCGCTATGCTGACCTCCTCCTTCGTGGCCCGGGGTGCCGCCCGGCCGGCCACCAAGCTGCCCAAGAGCAACGGCTCGCGCGTTGTTATGAAGGCAGGCAACTGGTGGGTGCTACGATCGGCCAGCGTAACATATCTTCGCTTTTATCCTCCTATTCTGAGCACAGGCCTATGTGGGCGACGTTGTTCGATCTTGCAGCACCTGCACCGACTAACGTGCTCCTTGGACTGTTCACAGGTTGCCAGGCAGCGACACCCCAGCCTACCTTGACGGTCTCCCAGGGTGAGCATTGGAACAATGATTTGCAAATGCGCACGTTCGAGTAGCGTTCTAATAAGACCACCCTTGAAGCAGCAGATAGCAATGCAATGCCAAGCACTGACTGGAGGTCACAGGCTAAAGGAATGTGCATTTAATGGATAATTGCATGCGCATGAGCATTATTAAATTCCTGAGAATTCCAAGTTGTCCTTTGGATCGATGGAGATTGGGTTGTTGAGGTCGGGACCCCACATGACTGGCAAGGATCAAAAAGCTTGGAAGGGGGACCCCTTACACTGGCTGTGCTGCCTGGCAGGTCATTCGGCTTCGACCCCTTCGGTCTGGGCTCCACCCCCGCCAACCTGCAGCGCTTCCAGGAGGCCGAGCTGGTGCACTCCAGGTGGGCCATGGCCGGTGTTGCCGGTGCCCTCGGCGCAGAGCTCCTGGGCCAGGGAGACTGGTACCAGGCACCCCTCTGGGTGAGCCCTTTGATATTCACATCAGTCACCAGCCTTCTTGATTCTGCCGGCCTCGATGACTCCTTCTCATGCCACCACTTGTATAGTCCTGTCTGGACACAGGGCATGCCAAAGTGCTGGTGGCAAGAAGGGGCAATACGCCAGAGCCATCAGCATATTTGCAAGCCCTTCCAGATGGTGTGCAGACCCATATTTGAGACTCACTTTGAATTGCAGGCTGTCAACGGCGGCGCTCCCACCTACCTGGGCATCCCCGTCCCCTTCAACCTGTCCACCCTCCTCGCCATTGTGCGCGCCCCTTTCCCCTTTCCTGCCCAACCCCTGTCAGCTCTGCATACAGCAAATCTATGTCACAGAGTTCTCTTCCCTGCTGACTTCAGGAAATAAAAATGTCACGAAGTCAAAGCGCTCACTTGCCCAGCTATTACTCGACCAATACAGTATTTGCTTGAATTTATTATTTCCAGTGCATGTGAGATGACCTCATCCTGAGAGCATACAGGAAGACTTGAGTTGCTGGCATGATGGGAGATCTCAACCCCATGAAACATACCTTGGAAGGCCTGGCACGGTGGGATGTGTTGCTCATGTTGGTTTGTTTGGCGCACCACAGGAGTTCGTGGCCATTGCTGGAGCAGAGGCGCAGCGCAACGCAGAGCCGGACGCAGAGAAGCGCAAGTACCCCGGCGGCGCATTCGACCCCCTCGGCTTCTCCAAGGACTCCAAGGTACTTGCTACTTGCTGCACCGCCCTTGGAGATATTTATGATTATCATAATTACATGCTATATCTGCCAAGAGGTCCGTCTGCAGACAAGCTGCAGTGAAGGCTGTCAAATCCCGACCCCTTGTTGGACTCGCCAGATCAAAGCAAGAGCCAGTCAATTGTGGGCCTCCGCAAAATCATTCAAACAGTCAAAGATTCGCACCTCAGTGGGACATATTTTAAATGGGGTGATTTCATCTGCTGTGCATGCTTCAATTGTGTCCATGCTCAGCAGAGATTGCATGCTCAGCACGTGCACTGTGCAAATGCAGTGTGTTGTGATCCTGCAGACAACCACCTGCAAGAGATTGGCCTGCTAGAAGCCTTAGGTAGTGCGCAGGCTCCTGTGGTATAATTATTGCGCTACCTGCTATTGGCACTGACTGCTGTGGGTGGCCTGGCAGGTCCTCGAGGAGAACAAGCTGAAGGAGCTGAAGAACGGCCGCCTCGCCATGCTCGCTTTTGTTGGCTTCATCGCCCAGCACGCAGCCACTGGCAAGGTGAGCCCACATTTCCATACTGTTGGCTGCAGCACATGAACGCTACTAATGTATCTGCTGCTTTCCTCAAAGATAAGCAGGCAGATGACGCGTCCATATCGCCATAAGTTGGGTTGCTGGATCATCGTAGTGGTGTTGCATGATGTGCACTTGGGAGACCACCTTCTTGCGCTCGTTTGCACTGGTGTCTGCATTTCTCTTTCTCTGACACAGCAAATCACTGCGACAGATAGGCTGGGCTGATAAGTCACTTGTGGATCTAGTGCTTCTTTAGAGTGTCCTGTGATGTCTGTGCAGGGACCCCTTGAGGCCCTCAAGCTCCACCTGGCCGACCCGTGGGGCGCCAACTTTGCCACCAACGGCGTCTCCATCCCGTACCTCACCTAAGCGGCTGAAGTCTCCGGCACATTATCGGGCGCATCTGCTAGTGTTTGCTAATTTTTGGGCATAGCGCTGGAGAATTTTGCGCCTGCAGAGGAGTTGCTGCCTGCGGCGATGGTGCTGAATGTGTGAAAGGCCGTGGCTACTAGCCATCTGGCTTTCTTTGCGAATTGGTTACCACTTCTGACGTTGTGTAGGGACAATTTTGAGGGTGCCTTTGGTTCTGTCGACCGAGGCATGAGATGAGTCAGGAGGCATGTTGTTTGTTTTCTGCAGATCAAACCATGAGCATTGTTGTAAATCCTGAAGGTACTGAGAAGAACATCTACTTTAGTAGAGCTTGTAAAAGTATTGGCAAAATGACGCCTGTGTTGATGTCCCTTGTTGTCCGAGCTGCACAACATACAGTAGTACAGCAGATTTGCTTGTGCTTGAGCATGCTGCAAACAGGTCTTCAGCATTATCTTTCAAGACAGGATCATTGCTCAATGCCCACTTGCTGTATGCTCACAGTAGAGCGCTGCAAGTGAAGAGGATGAGTGCTATTAATTTTTCGCAGCAAGAATCATACGTATGGTTCAGGCTGCTTCCCGAGGGAATTGTCTTCTCTTTACAATATTTACTTATGCCTCTCTGTTTTCCACATCCATTGAAGCATTTGTCCAAACGGCAGGCAGATGATATCTCTTTCTAAACAACCCTTCAAACAGGCAATAGCCTCAATTCGCTCAATTGCTTTACAATAGTCTTCTCGAGGGACAGACAGGATACACAGTAGGCTGGTGGTAAATGCACTCCAATGCCAAGCCTTCTCTTGGGCACAACGCCACCAGGTCTCAGGGCTTGAGCACAGACAGCAGAGGGTGAGCCTGTGCTGGGAGGGAGGTGCCATTGGTGGTGAAGTTGTTTGCCAGGGGGTTTGACAAGTGGTCCAACAGGTTCTCAATGGGTCCCTGCAAACACCACACACAACCCAGTTAGCGAGGAATCATCTGGTCTCCAGTGATCAGCATTGTATGAACAGGTGCACAAGTAGCCTGGAGGAGGAGTGCTCAACCTCTCCAAGCGCAAACAATTGAGGGATATATCTTTGGAATCGGATCAAACCAGAGCAAGTGCAAACATACAAGGCAGTTTGAGCACCAAGAAGGGAGGAAGGGGTGCCTAGGTGTATAAATGGTCGCTTGTCAACATTACAAACATCTCCCGACCCGGGAGCACTAAAGATTAAATGGATCGTGCAATTCAGGCTGCTGGGGTGAGAGAAGGACTGTCACCTTGCCAGTGGCCAGGTACTGTGATGCGAAGCCGATGAAGGCGAGCATGGCGAGGCGGCCGTTCTTGATTTCCCTGAGCTTCATTGCCTCGTAGCCGGGGCCCCTGCAATCAGTACACCGGCATGATTAGACATCTCTGCACGCGCCTCCATGATGACTAACACCTACTGCTATGTTGCTATTACTCTTGTCCCCAGAACGCAATGACCTCAACAGGTCTCCGTGTACACTCGTGGGTCGTATATCAGGCAGTAGGAAACAACATCACTGTTGCAGGTACTTAATTCAGCAGCAGCGTTTGGATAGCGGCATGATGTAGGAAGTGACTTCTGGGCAAGAGATAAAAAGGGTAGAGGTGAAATCGCACTTGGAGAGGCCGAGGGGGTCGAAGACGCCGCCTGGGTATCCGTTCTCGCCGGTGCCCTTGAAGAAGCCCTCGAGGCCCACAAAGCTGCCCTCCTCTCCCTGGCTGCCGGGCTTCTTGAAGTCCTGCCATCTCTTGATCTCCACGAAGTTGAACGCGAAGATCTCCAGGGCGATCAGTGTGTCTGCGCAAAGCACAGGGTGATAGTTGTTAAACACGCAGCCAGATACAACAATGCGAGTTGGTTGTGCATGAGACATTGCAACACCATCAGTTCCTGCTGCTGCAACAAGAAGAGTGTTGCAGAATTGCTGGCATGCATCGTTCTAATCCTGGCATTCTGCTTGGGACTCACTGAATGGAATGGGCGAGCTCTCCTGCGCGTACTTGCCAGCCTCATACCACACCGGCAGGTTGACAGCGCCAAATGCCTTCAGGACCTGCACAGTGACATTGCCGATCTGATCGCTTGCACAAGACTTCTGTCAGCATATCATACATCGCACTCTTCCATTCTTCGCTCTTTCACCAGAGGATCCATGTCATGAGTGCCTGAGGACGCACCTCGGGGATCAAGATGCCGGCCACTGCGGCCATAGCAAAGCGGGAGTGCACCAGCTCAGACTGCACATACCTGCAGCAGCAAATTGTAAATATTAGAAATGATTCTGAAACTAATCTGGTGATGTATTCAATTGGACCCCCTTTGCATGATAAGCAGGACATCACAGCAGGACCAGTGGAACATCAAAACCTGTTGCTGGCCAGCAACGCACCACTTCAGGGAGGCGGGGTCCTCTCCGAGCTTCAGAGGGTCGAATCCATACGACCTGCAGTCAAGTGAAAGGATCAGTGATGGCAATAGCTGATATTTGTTGCTTCAATTTCACGTTGCCCTTCGCCCCAGATCGATACTGTCCCTTTCTACAAGCCCACATCACAACGTCTGATCCAGTCATCGATCAGGGCTGTACCCTGGAAGGTCCTCGAGGTACGCAGGAGTCTTGCTGCCGGGCAACCAGTTGCCCGCTTTCATGCAGACCCGCGAGCCGTTGCTCGGGAGGGGACGGGCCTGCGCAGGGCGAGCTGCCGCCCTGCTGACGAAGGAGGAGGTCAACATGGAGGTGTTCATGCTGGCGACCGTCCCACGGTGCTCAATCAAAACTTCTTCGATGCTTTGTCGCCTTGCGCAAAGCCAAATCCAGAATCAAGCCTCATCCTTTGTGGATCGGCTGCGCCTCGGCGAGCCACTTCGACATGCAGCGTCGCTCTTCCGACATGCCTCATCTTCTCCTTCCTCACAAATTCTCCCAAGCATGTGACGACTTGATTGTGCTAATTCGATCCATTAGGCTGAATTATCATTATTTGACTATTGTCAGCAATTTACGTGCGAGCAAGTGAAATGGCAGCCGCAATTCAGATGCACTCCCTAGGTTGCAGAACCCTGCACATCCAGCAGCGTGAAGCATTGCACATCAGACCCACTATTACTCGGGTAGGAAACAGTTTCGCGGAGCAGATCTGTGGTCGTCAATGTCATGTGTCCCTGTTGCAATTGCAGAGTGTTTCCAAATAGTTGAAGATCTTGGCTTCATGCTGTCCAGAATCTCGAAATATTGTCTGCGTGAAGTGCGAAAGCTATACGCAAGGTATTGTGCATGATGAATTTCTATTCTCTCGCAGAGATGTCGCACGCCATGCAGGCCTGTGAGTGTCCTGGCCCCATCCCGACCCCAGCAACTATCAGGTGCGACCTTGGCTGCCATTTCAAGATTTATCGATGATAACTGATATGTTGTGAACGTCTGGGGAGCTTTCCAATCGTGGACTCACTTTGACCCCACTGATGTTGTCCCAACAGTTGCACACCCCTTGGAGGAGTCGGTCAATAGCAGTGCAGAGGCCCTCATCACTAGGGAGGCCGTCCAAAGGCTCGAGGTGAGCTATCAGTGAATTTTGTTGCACCAATGCGGGAAAGCGTGTTTTAGCAATGCGCCCTTTTCCCCAGTCATAACAACTGTGCTGAATGACTGATCCTGAACACGCCAGGCGGAGCTGGACAATGGGGAGTCCATCCAGGCCCTGCGGCGTTTCAACAACCTGCTGCAGAGCCTGCCGGCAGACAGCTGGGGTGCGCACTCTTCCTCCTTAACATGTGACTCAAACATCCCGCACAACCTTTGCACCCCCGCATGCTGCATGCCTATGACGGGTGGAGAAGTGCAAGAGCCCAGAAGAGTGGAAAGAATATTACAAGCCTTACTTGATGTACCTCGTCCTGAGGACTGGAACGTTGTAATAACAATTATGCTGCAGCGCCTCTGCATGATGGCAGCTCAAACACTGTGCTCTGCGCAGAGGGCAAGATGAGGCGGGTGATGGGTGAGCTGGCGTACAATCTGGAGTCGTTCAACCCGGCGTTCACGGCGGTGCTGCTGAAGGTCCAGTCAACCATCGGCCACTCGGACTATGTGGCGCGTGACATGGCGCTCAAGAACCTCATCCAGCCGCTCGCCGGCGAGTACGGCATGCACAACGGCCAGGCGCAGGGTGTGTTCCTCACTTTTCACATCTCTTAGGCGGATGACCTGAAGGCTGGACAGACATGCATGCATGCATGCAGAGCACTATCAGTGATTTAGCAATCCATTTTCGTTCCCAGAGCGTTGTGTATCTCTTGTGAAGGACTCAGGTGCAGATCTGGTGGTGCACAACGGCCAGACCCAGGGTGTGTCCCTGGACCTGAGCTATGTGCTTATGTTGCCAATCTGCTGGATTGCAAAGACTCTGCATGCGCACCAGTGTTGCTTCCAGATCGTCAATTGATCTCTCATGCGTCCCCTGTTGTCTTTGCATGTTTCTCTTGCAGGAGGCAGAGTAATGGAAGTAATGGAAGTCTTTGATACCGCCCTGCTGAGAGGTCATTACCATGTTGTATTTTTAGTGCCTCTTGGCAAGGAGAAGCTTATGCTCCCAAAGACAGCACAGAATGCCCAAGATCTGGGGTCCTTGGGGTAATTATGACCAGCTGTGGGAGTGCAGAGGCTGAGCCAGTACACAGCCTGCAGTGCATTGAGCATGCATCTCCATGAGAGCTATCTGTGCGGCGCAGGCAAGCCGCATTGGGGACTGTTCTCTGCACTTATCCCAGACAAACCATCTTAAGCGCAATCCAGTTCTATTGCGCTTAAGATATCGAATTGAGAGTTTTCCGTTGCGCAGGCAAGACGCACCGGGAGCTGTTCTCGGAGTTCTACGCAGACCTGCTGCGGCAGCCGCTGGAAGCCGCGCTGGCCGCCGATCCGCGCCCGGCCGCGTCGCTGCACCTGTTCCAGCGCATGATGGCCGACATCATGTCCGGCCCCGGCACCGCCGACCCCATCCAGCAGGTACTGCTCTCCATTCTCTTATTTGCTTCAAATTGATGCACTATAAGTTTGCCATCAACAACCTCATGGTGGCCTGCACTGTTGTTGTATCCGGATCCTTCAGGATGGAGTGGGTCGTGTCAGCAGCATACTCTCGCTTCTGTAGCAGTAGGAATTTTCTGAACTTGGGGTGAATTGTATGATGGAAAGAGCTGTAGCAATAGAATTGTTCTGATCCTTGGTCAAATTGGTGATGGAAAGGGCTGTAGCAACAGGAATGTTCTGTGCTTGGGTAAAAATTGTGATGGAAACAGCTGCGAACATATGGTACTTCTTAGGTCACGCCCTCTCTTTCAGCTGTCAGACTGAAGCGTCAGAATTCTGGGTTTGATCAACTTATTCATTGCATCCATGCAATTCGTAGTACATCAATTGTGTTTTCAAAGCTTTCGAAATGGTGCTGGGATGTCAAGTTTCATGTCTAGTGCAGGCCTGTTATGCCATGGGCTACAACCTGGCCATCGAGTACCTGGCGGACTATGAGAAGACCTGGATGCTGGACAGCTTCAGGGCACTGAATGAGCGCGTCCTGGTGCCCCAGCAGAGGGGCCTCTCCCAGTGGATCTTCCTCGAGGTGCCACTCTGCCATTTTCAGGCTTCCGGTTGCCTTTCTGGCTATAAGACGAAGGCACTTCGCTCCCCGTACTACCGTACGATGAATCCCAAGACCTGCGTTCAGCACATGTGATGAAGGCAGTTTTCCCCCTAGCACCGTATGATGAACCCCAGGAAGTCTAGTATATATGAACCTATGTGATACACTTGGCTGGCCTGATGAGATGTGTGCGGGTCCTGACAACTACTACTGTGTGGATGCAGGTGCATGCCGAGGGAGAAGCAGAGCATGCAGCGATTGGGCACGCAGCGGTGGTGGGCTTTGTGCCAGCCGAGTGCGAGAGCATCCTGCGGAAAGCCATGCTGGACCATGACAGGGATTTTGCTGTGTTCTACAACAGGCTGGCCGACATGTTGGAGCAGTGATCACTCAACAGAGTCCATGAGAGTGCTGCGCTGCTTGTAGCACTGTAGCGGGTTCCTTTGCTGTGAACAGGCTGATAGACACTCTGGAGCGGTGGTCACTCAACAGAGCCCATGAAGTGCTGCGCTGCCTGTGGCACTGAAGCGGAGTGACTGCTCTGAATAGGCTGATAGACAGTGTCATGTTCACTTTACATGGTGGGGCCTGTGATACTTCAATTGACTGCTCTGAAGAGGCAGATAGACACTACTGCGTTCACATTAGATTGTGGGGCCTGAGAGAATTCGAATGTGTGGTCGACTGTGCCCAGGTCAAACGCTCAGTGTCTGATGCTCAAATGGATGCAAAGGATTGTATCAAGCAAGTGGGTGCTGGCATTGTTTTGTCTGGTAGCTGCACAGCACGGTGTGCACAATTGTGCTACCCTCATCAGGATTGATGAGGCTGTCAATATGTAACACTTCCCAGACTCCGCAGGAGAACATGTAACACTAAGTGATTCACAAGCCTTTGCTTCCTGTTATTCAAGACTTACTCTTCTGAGGTCACAGCAATTCCAGCAGACTGTACTCAACTACAAACACCATGCGCATGAAGGTTTGCAACCACTGCTGGGGTAGGCACTAATAGCACGGCACAAAGCACAAGAACTTTGCATCTCACTCACGGATTATACACATGACACCGAGTCACGAACATGACACGCACAGGGTCCTGTTTTAGCATGAGTCAGGGACAAGCCAGCATGTTGCAATGTCAACAGTGCTGTATGACTTGAGACATTCAACAGGAAAATTTTAAAATATACATTCTGAGTCAACCCTCTTGCAAGACACAGGAGCTAGCCCTGTCGTTTGAAACCTGATGCTATGTTTTGGTAGGTTCTCTTGATTGAACATTCAAATTGATTTTGTTCAATGTTCCGCCATGTCCATCAAACTTTCAGCTTCTGTTCAGCTTCTGCCAGCTGCCGCTCAGTCTCCACCCACAGCTTAGCCGCCATGTCCATGTCCTGGGCTGCTTTGGAGGGCGCCTTGATCTGGCAATTCACAAGGTACGCGCCTGCAGAATATAGAGACAACTGTTGCCATTTTCTCTCTGTACTCTACTGTGTACCTCCCCTTCGCAGCTAGGCACCAGCTCTGTGACTCTGTTCAAGGCCAGACTGGCAGTTTCTTGTCAACGCAGCCATCATCTCGAGTTACATGCAATGCATGATGTGGGCTTGCAAGGCAGCCCCTTCCCCTATCACTGGCGCTCGTACTGCCGACATGTCTGCATTCCATCCTCTCTAAAAAGTGCTTGAAATAGCAAACTCTTCACTTCTTGTTCAGAGTTAGAGAACGTACCTGGGTGAGCTTCCAGATCTGGGCTGAGCGCTGCTGTGAGGGTGGTGGAGGCTCCCTGGGAGGGAGTTTTCCAGCCCATGGTCAGCGCCCCAAGAATGTGTCCGATACCATTTTTTACCCAAGTCAAGGGGCCCCCAGTTCCCATATGCCTTTGCAGCGGGGTCTTGATGGCACCTGCAGGAATCAAAATCCGAATCTGAGCTTTGCCTTAGCTCTGCTCATGAGCTGTCATGTAACGATGCGCTGCCATCTTAGATGAGCTTTCCGTGAACATTCTTCTAGTGAAAGTCTGCATGCATGGTGTGGTGCTGATGCAAAAAGCTGATGCCTGCGAAGGGTGAACTGTTGCTGTGGTGAAGCCTCGCACCAGGACACAGGGAGTAGGCCTTGATATTGGCACCCTCGTTCCTGTTGCACCAACCAATCCATGTGAGAGCTGTGAGTCAGCACTGTCCAATGAGCTGGCGTGTGCAACGGCTATAGCTACGCACAGTCCTGAGATGTACTTGTGACATGTGATGCATGGTCAGGACAGCACGAATTGCTCCTCACTTCCGTGACAGCTCCTTTGCAAATAGGATGAGCGCCACCTTGGAGCGCCCTGCAAGGGAGGAAACATGACATCATTGGCATGATTGAAAATATGAAATCTCATGCTTGGAGAGAGCTGAAGAGATGCTTCAAGCATTTCTGCCCTGCTGTCTTGTAACAGATTGCCCCAGTAAGATGTCATCTGAGGCCTCCTAGCGCAGAAAATTACATACGAGCACCTATAGTGCCCTGACTGTAAGCACTTGCCATGCGCATGCATGCAGTTTAAATTGAATCACAGCGCTGTGGCATGGAGAAGCCAAGGTTCACTCTATCATGGATGGGCAGCAGTGTGGGCTCACCATAAGCGCCCCACCAAGCATACTTTGACTTCTTGTAGTGCAGGTCATCCAGAGTCATGGGGGATGGATGTACGGCATGTGCAGATGAGGACACCACAACGACGCGCGCCGGCCTTCCCTGCAAGCTCAAAACAACCGGGTCAGGTCCCTGAGAACAAAATCCTGCAAGCTATTCACAATGGTGGCCCTTCTCAGTCTGAAGGACCTCCTGCTGTTGCATCGCACCCTCAGGCAATCATTCCTGTTCCCACAAGTCGCCCGGTGAAGGTTTTGAGTCCTGCTGGTGACATACCAAGGCCTTCATGGAAGGTAGCAGATCGGCTGTGAGCGCAAAGTGGCCAAAGTAGTTGGTTCCTGAAACACACAGCACACACGTCAGTCCTTGAAAGGGTCACATGTTCAGACTCCGATGCAAACAGAAAATTCCCAAAGCTGTCAGGAACCCACCAATCTGCATCTCGAATCCGTCCTTGGTGTAGGCTTCTGGGCAGGCCATGACGCCTGCATTCAGGATGAGCAGATCCGGGCCCTTCTCATGCGCCAGGTAGTCCTTTGTAAAGCTGTGGATGCTCTGCAGATCTGCTAGATCCAGCTGCTTCACAATGATATCACTCTGCAGAACAGCCCAACCGTTGCTGCAGAAAGTGCTGGCACCACTTGCTATACCAAGTTAGTGGTGCATGAGCATCTATGTGGAGCAATTCTCTGCCCTCTAGAGGTATCTTGGAGCCTCCACTTGGATACTGCAGTGGGATGGGTGAGGAGAGCAGAAGACAGGACAGACGGACCTTGAGGCCACCATCTGCTGTGAGCTGCTGAGCCACCTTCTGGCCAGCTTCCACAGAGCGGCTTGTCAGGATGACCCGGGCACCCGCAGTTGCCAAAGCCCGCACAGTCTCCACCCCAATACCGCTGTTGCCACCCGTCACAATGGCAGTCTTGCCTGCATGCCACAAACAGCGCATCTCATCAGAACATGTTTGCTGTCAAGGCTGATGAGCCCCCTTGCTCAGTCATGACACCTCCTGATAAGGTAGTGATGTTCCTTTCCAAAAATACATTGGAACAATGCACATCCCGAAGGTGCGTGCAAACATTCAAATCGTCGAAAGTTGGTTTGTCATAGAAACCACCTTCCAGGAGGGATGAACGTGAACGGTGAGCACTGATTATCTTATGCGGCACCTGTAGAGGAGAGGTTGCACCTCACCTGACAAATCAACGCCCTCGACAACTTGCAAGGCGGTGGTGTGAAAATTGAAGGCTTTGGGGCCAGCCATGACGTAGACCTCGATGTCGGAAAAACCCCCGACCTGCTTAATGGAGCCTGGCTGGAAATCTCTGGTAGTTGCAATACCAAATAAAACAGGTATCGCGCACAAATTGTCGCAGCAGGATCTCGCTGCTGAGATCGAGCAGCTTCTCATGTTCTCGTAAACCTCGTTAGAGGAAGCGTTACACCAACGTTACTTCGATTGCATGCAAAATCACATGGATGTCCGTGGCAAGTGCAAGCTTGGGAGTTTGAGACCTGAGAAGTGAATGCGCCGCTCTACAACTCCCGCATGGGGTGAAGGCAATCCCATCACAATTGTCTGCAATCCTGTATCCATAGATGGCCAAAGGAACCTCCCACATGTGGAAGCTCCTGCATGCTGAGATCACTTATAACAGCGGTGGCACATGCATTTGTAGCATCCCGAGCAAGAAAGATAAACACAATCACCCTTCACAGTGGGATACAAGCAATGTTCCTGGCTGATTATCCTCCACAGTACTGCATGCTGCAACCTCATGCGCCTGGGCATGCGAAGATGCGCAGAAATGGCAATGTCAAATAAAATTATTGTTTCTGTCAGGGAATAAAGAGTCTCGGTGTGTATTCAGGCCCTGCGCGCGGTCAAATTAGGGACAGCGGCCTTCTTGCCATTGCCCGACTGGTAAAAGAACGGTGCATCATATGGTTGATCTGCATGTTGTGAAATCCAGCTCACGGTTTGAGCTTCTTTTCCGCCTCTGCCAGTTGCTTCTCTGTCTCTGTCCACAGCTCGCCGGCCATCTCCATGTCCTGAGCAGCCTTTGACGGTTCCTTGATCTGAGAGTCATGCAGGTATACGCCTGAAGGCACAGCAACACAGTCAGCATTATCCATGCCCTGAAACAGCGTCAGAATGCTCTCCAGAAGCCACCAGCACAGCATACAAATCCGTCTTGAGACCTTCTGCACGACTCCAGAAAATTAAGCCAGTAACACGAGAAAGATGCAGCTTTGTGCGAGCGTGCACCGCCTAATCCTGCCATGTTGTGACATGCATGGCGAGCAAAGTTGACGGCAAATGCAACCATGAGCAGCTACTAAAAACATAATTTTGCAGCGCTCACCGGAGTGCGATTCCAGATCGGGGCTGACGGCTGCGGTGACAGAGGTGGCGGCCCCCTGAGCAGGAGACTTGAACCACGGCCAGGCCAAGATGCCCACTGCTAGCTTCACAGCACTGCCCAGGTAGCTCTCGCCATACACATGCCTGCCAAGAGGAGTGTTGATCACGCCTGTTAGGCACACAGAGTTGGTGGGACACTTTGGCGCATCTGGATCACCTTGGTTGCTGCGGCCGGAGATCATTGATAGAAAGTCTTGACACCACAGGATACCCATCAGCAGTAACCATAATCCTCCTCTGTGCCTGCACAGTACAGAGTGCGGGGCGAAGAAACAATTCTCCTGCTCCAGGGCAGGCTGGGACATAACTAATTTGGCCAAGCTGTACAAAAAAAGTGAAAGATGTGCTCACCAGGATGGAGAGAGTACGCCTTCACATTGCTACCCTCCAACCTGCAGACACATAGTAAATGGGATAAATCCAGGCCGCACACCAACAACGGAATGTAGGAAGGACATTTGACAGCCAGTCCAGCAGGTGGAATCAGGCCACACCTTTTTGCAAGCTCCTTGACAAACAGCACATTTGCCAGCTTTGACTGCCCTGCATTTGCAAAGCATGCCCGACATCAGGTCATCATGCAGGCGCACAAATGAGCACTACAGTGGCAGCATCAGGCAATTCGTTGAATGCTGAAACGAAAAGGATTGCGTGCTTTAAGCCAAGTAGCATGTTGTCAAGAACCCTGGAGCGCACCATATGAGCTCCAGGCAGAGTAAGACCGATTTCTGTAGTGCAAGTCCTCCAAAAAGATTGAACCCATTTCATGAGCTCTGCTGGACACTGCCACCACTCGTGCTGGGGTTTTCTGCACCAGCAGGGCACTCAATATTCAAACAGATGTATTGTAGGATGCACACCCCATATTCGGCAAAACAGGCAGGATTGCAAGTCTTGATAAGAGTGACTAGCTCACCAGTGCCTTCATGGAAGGTAGAAGGTCCCTTGTCAGGGCAAAGTGCCCAAAGTGATTGGTGCCTGCATGTGAAGCCCCCAGTCTTACAATGAGCTGTGCGAAGTCCCTTTTGTGAACCCCATGTTCAATGCACTTTCTGAAGGTAGAGACAATGGAAGATGGAGCACCAATCTGCATCTCAAAGCCGTCCTTGGTGTACGACAGCGGGCAGGCCATGACGCCTGCATTCAGTATCAGCAGATCCGGTCCCCTCTCTTCCGCCTTGAAGGCCTTACTGAATCGGCGGATGCTTTGTAGATCTGCCAAGTCCAGCTGCTTCACTATGATGTCACCCTGCAGAGCACGCATAGCTATCCTAGGCCACCAGCGTGCATGCTTAGAGGTACTAGGCCAAGTTCTGACATCTCGATAATTTCGGCAAATTCACAATGCAACTCGCATTTGAAGCCCTCACCTTCACGCCTTCTGCCTTAAGCTGTTGCGCAACCTTCTCTCCAGCCTCGACTGAACGGCTGGTGAGGATGACTCGCGAGCCAGCGTTGGCCAGAGCCCTGACTGTCTCCACGCCAATGCCGCTATTGCCGCCGGTGACAACTGACGTTTTGCCTGATTAGATGCCCAAAAATGACTCATTAGCTTTCCCCTCAGAAAATCTTCCTTCTCAGGGTTCTCGCATTTGGAGCAGCTTGCATATTCAAGGTATGAGCCTGCGCAGGATTTGATTGATCTCCTTAACGTTTGGAAGACTCTAGACAAAGGCACTGACCTGTGAGATCAACTCCTTCAACGGCCTCCATGGCCGTGGTGTACCAGCTCAGCTTCTTTGATGGAGCCATAGGTGCCTTTTTATAGTTCTTGTACGCTTGGATCTGAATGTCTTGCCCGTCCAAGGCCGCAGATGTCTTTCAAGATCAGCCTTACAAGGATTGGGGACCAAATAAATTCGCGAATTCGGCAGGAATACCAAATACGTCTCACAAAATGTACAAATTGTGCACAGTACAATGTACTTGGATTTGCGAAGCTAGCGATGCGAATCTGGTCTTCTGTCGTGGAACTTTAAAGCTTCGTGCTTCCGTGAGGGTTACCTGATGCATCAGTCATCCCTCAAGGTGAGCCTAATCTGACTCGGGGTGCCTCACGAGCAGATGAATTTTGGTGGATGCAGGCACTTTGGCCCCTAGTGTCGCCGTTTTGGTGTTTCATTGTGAGTTTTGAAAGGTGTTTATTTGTTAGGCGCGACGCCACAGTTTGTGCAGGAGGCAGAGATACAAAAGCAGGGCGTCAGAAGCAGTCATTATAGATGGTGCGTGTGTTCTAACGGATATGTCCCTGTACTCCCTGGCATGCTTTCTATATCTACAGTACGACATCTTAAAGAGCATGTGATATGCCATTCGGCCTCCTACCGGCAGGCTTCAAAAACCCTTGGGACTGAAACTGAAGTTCCCCTGGTTTGCTTTTCTGTCCCAGGCGGGCGCTCGGCTAAGCCCAGCTGTCATCAATCGACTAGCCAAGGAACTTCGAGAGCTTCAGCTTAAGCCGGAAGAGGGCATCAAGGTGAATAGAGCCCCGTCCATCTTACTTTTCCGGCATGCTCTACGTTCAAGCTGGCAACACAATTTGAATATTGCTACTGCTCACACGCTGATGCCTTGCAGGTCACCTTCAACGAGGAAAAATTGAGCGATGTTTTTGCAGAGTATGAAGGACCAGGTGTGCCCAGCTTCTAGCACTGAAATCTGGGCAGTGGAGGAATAATCTGTGGTGTACCTTAATATCACGATTTTTTTGAATGATTCAGACGTGTGCTAAATCTTCTTTGCCTGATGATGTGCAGTGGGCACGCCATACGAGGGTGGCGTCTTCAGGATGAAGCTAGTACTGGGAGCAGATTTCCCTAGCGCTCCTCCCAAAGGTGCACTGCTGCGCTCAGATGCAAGATTTGAACTACTCTGATGAAAGCAGAGAAACCCTCAATCCATGAAGCTCTGTTTCAGTGCTTTATGCAACGCATTTGCCGGAACCCCTGTGAAAGAGCGGATCTGCTTTGTTGCAGGCTGGTTCCTGACCAAGCTGTTCCATCCGAACGTCTCCAAGGAGGGCGACATCTGCGTGAACGTGCTCAAGCGAGACTGGAAGGAGGACATGGGCCTGCGGCATGTTTTGGTGATTGTGCGCTGCCTGCTCATAGAGCCCTTCCCCGAGTCCGCCCTGAATGAGGAGGCCGGCAAGTTGCTGCTGGAGAACTATGAGGACTTCGCCAAGCATGCGCGCCTCATGACCTCCATTCATGCACAGCCTGCCAAGCGGTGCGCATCACCTCTGCTGACTGCAGTGGCTTCAACTCACACTACTTCTGTGCTTCGTCATGACAGCGTTTGTGCATCATCAAACTGCTAATTTGTCCTCTGATGGATGCCTGTAAAGAAGTTACAAGCAAGAGAAAGGGTGTGTCTGTCATGGGGTCTGACATCATGGGGCAAGCTGCATGGTGGCGATGAATTGGAGCATGTCATGATTGCGGACGTGGTGTTTGTTGCAGGCCAATGCCGCTCACAGCGACAGGGGGCGCAAATGCGGTGAACAGTCAGGATGAGAGCGCGGCCGAGAAGGGCAGTCCTGGGAACGACAGCTCCCTACCAATCGTCAAGAAGCCCAAGGGAGTCGAGAAGAGCAAGGCGCAGATGGCCAAGAAGAAATCCCTGCGGCGTTTATAGCCCTGGAGGCCCCCGGTGTGCCTGGGAGTGGAGCGGTCACTGCAGTGCTCCTGGGGAGTTTCCTCTTCTGTGGGCTTTGTCGCACTTCTGTGCGGCAGTCCCACTTCAAGTCTTAGTATGAGGGCCTGGCAACGGCAGCTTGGTCAGTGTCCTAATGACAGCAGACTTGAGGCCCATCTGGCTGCCACCAGTGCATGTGCAGCACTGCATGAGCACAGGGTCCTGAACATACTCCTCTGAACATTGAACACGTCGGAACTCAACAGTCATCACGTCAGTGGTAGGAAGTAGGACAGCTGATGGAAGACACCGGAAATTGATGGAATTGTGTGCGTTGTTTGCTTTAATTCGCTCGAGGCTGTGGGAGGGCAGTCCTTGTAGAGCCTTTTGAAGTTGCCGTCCTGAGAGCTCGGTTGCCACTGTTGATATGTTTGAGTAAGGGGTCATGTGCTGTCCCAGAAGGGCTGAAGCTTGCATCCGATATTCACAGCTGCCCTTGCGACTGGGATGTCCCCGCTGGCTGCTACTGAGGCACTGCAGAAGTGATAAGGACTTGTTGGATGGTGTGTGATCAAGGTCAGTAGTTTCTGGATTATGCAGTGCCGCACATAACATTAGCTGACCACTGTACATCTGTAAATAGCCGAATTGATCAGCAGATGCTCAGGCACTTTGGATTACAAGCTCATGACTGGATCAATGTCTTGCCAGCTGCTTTTATGCAAAGCACTCAATCGCAAACATTGTTGATGCGCCAGCCATGCATAGTCTCGTCGCAGCATTCATTTCCACCTGTTCTCTTGACACTCAGTCTGTGATGCCTATGCCAGCATCCCATGCAAGTTTATGAAAGTGTGCAAACTGATCAGCGCGCAAACTGCCGCTTACATGTGACGGGCCCAGCATGCATGCATCATGAATGCTGTGATGGCCTCCTGCTCACAATACAGAGTTTGTCTTGAGCCTCTCACCTGACTACATTTAGCAAATTTGAATGGGGAGGTGGAGGAGAAGCTTGGAGGCAATGACGTAACCTGCAGGCTCTAAGCTCTCGCAGGCCATCTGGAACGTCCAAGAGCCCAATCACCAAATTCTCGCTCGAAGCAACTGCCCAAAGGCTTGCATCTCTTACTCAATTGAATTGGAATTTGCCACACTGGACTCTTCTTGGCTTTGTCGCCTCTGGAGTTCCGGACCGTCAGGCCGATTGTCGACAACATCATGGGACGCGCGATATTGATATTTTGCACAATGTTGACGATAGTGGCTGCGACCATGCTGCTTTGTCGAGTGGCCGTCCTGGAGGCCAGACCTGTGCCTCGACAACCCCTGCAGGAGCTCACAGGTGCTGCAGGATGCAATTGTGCTTCCTGATGTTGTCGGCCTGCATCCAAGCCGGTCGTTCATGCATCGTCCCCGATCTTGCAGAATCCACCATGATGACAATGACCTGCGGTATTAGCTGGTGTATTGAGCAAGCAGGTGACAGCATCGGCATGCAGCTCGAAACAAACGAGCCTTGGACCCCGGTGCTGGTTTGTTCATGCATGACGATGACCGTTTCAGGCAGACTGGAGACAATACCGAGGCATTTTCTGTCTCTTTGGAGCTGACTACAGTCGATCCTTCTTTGCTGTCGGCTTCCTCCTAGGATCCAAGCAACGTTGAGAAAGTCGTCTCGAGGGCAGGAAGCAGATGCAAAGATCGCGCAGGCCTGGGAGTTCCTGCAGCTGGTCAAAGAGCCGTTCTGGTCATGCATGAGCTCACATGCACAGATGCTGGTGCTTGCAGGCTCCACTGCGCGCGGGCTGCAGCAGGCGAATGTTGGTGTCAATGTTCCGGGCGTGACAGTCAACACAGCTGTGCAGCCGGCACCCCTGCCGCCGCCGGGTGCAGCAGCACCCACCCCCAACAACATCCGTGTGCTCGTCCCCGGGGTGAGACAGGATCTCTGACTCAGGAAGCATGTCCTCTAGAGAAAGTGATATACAGACATCATGATTAGGGCAGAGCGCTTTCGCGCGAGCGCAAGGGTGAGACGAAAAGACTGCCTTGCCGTGCAGATGCAATGCGTGCAACTTACAAGACATATTCATGTTCTTCTTGATGCCATGTGTGCTTGAGTGGGTGCAAGGTGCACCGCAAGCCACCTGCATCTCTGGCATCTCTGTTTGAGGAGCTGTGACTTTTGTCACCTGAAAGTCTGCGCGAGTGCTGAAGATTTGAAGAGTGGGACACGACATGTGCAAAGAAGTGGTGACCTGCCCAGAGTATGGTACAAAAGCAGGAGCAGCAGGCACCTGGGGTCAGTGCCAGAGGAACTTGCAAGACAGATATGCAAACACTGCTGGCAGCAACGCAGATGACAAAGGATACACCTGGCTACAGCAGTTGCAATCACAATTGGTGGCCAGTACTTGAAGGTGTGGGCTGCTGTTGTGCAGATTGTGGATGTGAACTTGGATCTGCCGCCGCTGCCGCAAGTCTCTGTGAACGCGCAGGGCAACAAAGGAATGCGCAGGACCCTAATGCCACTGCCGGCCGCTGATGGCAGCAAGGATTTGAACCCCTGATGAGGCGTTGCATGCAGTTCCAGATGAGTCCCACAGAGTCTTTTTGGGGGTGCGACAACATGCACAGGAAGGAACGAGCACACAGCATTGTCTGTTCTGGGCTCATAATGCGCCGTCTGCTGTTTGCATAAGCTTTCTTGGCCACAACACTGGCTCCTGATACAATCTGCCTTGCGCTCAGGTTGACATCAATTTGAAATAGAATTCATTAGAATGCACTTGTCCTGTGGCCCCAGGCGCAACCGCCTGAGTCGTACACTGCAGCAGTGAAGGCTCGCTTTTATGGCAGTCCATTGGAATGTCTGAGTGCTTGTGCTGCTCCGGACTGCGAGGGTGAGCATTGAACTTGATGGGCATTTCATGGAGGGATTGCTGTGCCTTGCAACGCTGCGCTGGACGCTGGGGATGTCACACAGTGTCTTTGCTACTTGCCTGAATGCTACTGTTTATTTCTGGGGTGTGGTTGTCCGAGTTGAGAGGTGTACAGCAGGCTGAAGAAGGTCAGTACTCAGATCAGTCCCTTGAGGAGATGTGCCACTTGAGGAGAAAGGGACATTGGCCTGCCAGTTGGATGTTTAATTTAGGTCCAGGTGTACAAATATCGAGGTGCTTGATGCATTTTCATGAGTACTTTATAGGCTGCATTAGGATCTTCGTGGACATTTAGACTCAGAACGTGTGTAAGCCTCAGTGTCGGAACCCATGGATCCAGACGAGATCAAGACGGGAAGGAACCCTTTGATGGCAACGTCCTCCCGAGAACAGGCTCTCTGCACTTGAAATTGTTTCACCAGCCAAATAACTTAGATAGGCATTCCGGAGGGATGATCGTGCACTCGTCGGTTAGTCCGAAACCGAACAGGGTTCCACACTCATCAAACCCTGCTCAAGCCCTCGGGTGACACATCTGAGGGAGGGCAAGGACGCTGATCTTCCAATTTGTCCCAACAAAGGAGGACAGTGGAGCGGAGCGATTGCCATGGCAGTCGCAATGGATGCTATTGTCAGTCTCAACGTTGGCGGCAAGAAGTTCACCAGCAGCAGGGACACAATCTGCAAGGTGAGCCCAACCGTCCCGCGCTTTCACGTTGAAAGTCTAGTGCTGTAGAACTCCAGCCTGTGCATCTGCGGCAGGATGATTGCTCCTATTGTAGATGGTTTGATGATGTGCCAACACATGAGCATCGGCGCTGGCCGGCAGTCTCAACTGCCGGAAGTCTATCTTGCGCGGCTGACGAAGCCTACCGTTTCTTGTGAAGATGGGCGATCTTCAAATCTGGGCGGAGCCCACCCTTTTTTTGGCAGTTATGATGGCCTCTGATGCTGTTTAATACTTGATGCGCTGGTAGTATCCCATCGGCTCGGCCGTAAGACCTTGAAGCTGCAATAATATCTTTGTCATTGCAACTGCTGGTGATAGCAGAGTACGAGGGCTCATTATAGAACTATAATGAATTTTTAGAGACATTGGGATAATGCCAGTCTGTACTGACTGGCCCACAGCATTCGTTTCATCTCATATCTGTGCTGACAGCAGGGGCATGCCCTCAGCAGCGAACGTTGGTATCTCCTGTGATAACCCATGAGCACATGTGTGTATATTAAGAGTACTTTAGTAAGACAAGTGCGCTATTTATGATGATGGCTTCTGCAAGCCTGGAAATCTCGGGTGAGGGAGTGCATCTTGAGCTAAGAACTATTGCAGCTGACACTGCATCATCATCATCATAGGGGAGGATTTGCAGAATAAAAGCACAGCATGTTACTGTTGCGACAACACTCCAAGATCACTATAAGCATCTTGTATGTAAGAGGGCAATGCAGATAGTAAAGCCTTACACTCCTGCTCGCAGGATCCTATGTCAATGCTGGCTCGGATGTTCGATGCCAATTGGGCCGGCAAAAACAGGACGGATGACAAGGTGAGAGCTATTCATGTCAGAGCATCCTGCCTCTTGAAATGATGGTCACTCTTGCTGATGGCCATGCCCTTGGCATGATATCGATAAGTATCAGTGCATTTTACTGTCAGTGCTACCTACCCAGCAGATCGCCTCAGCATGCTTGCAGGAACCAACTAGTTGGCACGTTTACAAGGGGCCTTGGCCGCTAACTCACTTCATGCTGTTCTCTGCAGGGGCGTGTATTCATCGACCGGGATCCTGAGCACTTTGGCCTCATCCTAAATTTTCTGCGCGATGGCGTCTGCGTCCTGCCAGTGAACCCTGAGGCACGGAGGCAGGTGCTTCAGGAAGCAGACTTCTACCAGGTGCCCATTGCAGACAACCTTCCTGTAACATGCCACTCTCCCGTCTTTGGAGTTTGCTGAATGACAGGACTTATCATGCATTCCACCCTGAGGTGTCAGCTTGACCTGCTAAACATACAAGCACCTGGTTGGAGAGGCAGGGATGCAAAAACGTGTTTCATTCATGGCGCACTGAGTCCTTAAAGTTGGATCAGAGATGACATGGGCAAAAATATTGTCACTTGCACACAAGCATCACATGCACATAGAATCTGAGCAGGACTGACAAGGGGATGTTGCTGTGGTCTGCAGCTGGAGAGCTTGAGATCCTTCATCATGCACGAAGACAGGAAGCAGCTGCAGACGGCACACCAGCTCAGAAATTGCATTGCACAGCGGTTGGAGGTACTTAATGCTCTGGCCCCTTTTGCCAGGCTTTCAATTTACTCAAAACTGTTATTTTGTGCTCATGAGGACCTTACTCTGCACTCTTGCAAACATTTGCTGATGCACAGCTGTTCTATGGAAAGAAACCTCCAGCTGGGGTGCAAGAACTGCAAGTGCGAGTGGTGTAAAATAAGTGCTGTGGTAAAGTCCAGCAAGTGGTGCACATGCAAGCATCATGCAGAATTCTGAGCGCTGCTGTGCATGCTCATGAGGATCTTAATCTACAGCTTGCAAGAATTTGCCAGAGCCTGTCGATGGCACGTAATATATCATGCAGGAACCTCTCTTTTTATTGAAGGGCCCATAAGTATGATGATAAGTTCTGAGCGCTGCTGTGCATGCTTGCAGACGGACGAGGATGTGAAGGCGATTGTGCGAATGTTGATACAGTGCGCGTTTGGGCAGCCCCAGGAAGCTTCTGCCAAGATCCCCTCTCACAGGGCAACAGTGGAAGTGACAGTCTGTGAGAACGCATTCAACCCTCTCTCTTCCCCCTCCAAATGCGCGCAGAGGGACGAGACAATCTATGTAGCCTTCCAGCAGCAGATCAGCTTTCAGGTGAGCATATTAGCTTCCTGCATCCTGAACGGACCCTCCCTCCCTCTATCCTGTGTTCCAGGTGATGCATGCTTCTTCCTTCCTGCGTTTGGGGAGATGCATGCATGCATGCTCCCTCCTTCCTGAATTTAGGAGAGGATGCTGCACTCTTGCATGCACTGTTTGGTGCTTCATATGTTGCCAACACACCTAGCCCTGAGGGCTGGAATGAGCGTGTAATAATAATAATAATAATAATATAATAATAATGTTGCCAAGGAAAACGAGTGGAACTGTACGCCGATAAAAATGCAGCATGCAGCTCACGGGGGCTTCCAAGTTTTTACTCTTCATGCAAGATGGACTTGTGCTAATATGTGCGGATGCTGATTGCATGTCTGATGCTGCAGGGGAGCGAGCATGCAGAGCAGTATGACGCCAAGCACGAGTCAAGCCTCGTGTATGAGGGCGGCACGCTGTCATATGATCCAGGCGTGTATGGCGGCAACTTCCAGGACAGATACCACATCAAGACCCTCAAGGCAAGCTACCTCAATACCCCTGCGAGCCCTTTGAGATCTCCGTTATCCACCCTGTCCCCTTGTGCTTCAGGGGTGGCTGAGTATTGCATAATTTGGGTGGGTGGTTTCAGTGATTGCTGATTCTTTATAGATGCCTGGACATGCAGTCCTTTGTATTACTCAGTGGGATTGCGTGGTGATGCATTTGTCTGCAGCACTCATGAACAATCTAAAAGTGATGCGATCCCCGGGTTGAGAAGAATGGGAGGGTGCAAGATGCCTGTGACTGCTGGGAACTACCCAATAACGGCCTCGCAAGATAGCTGAGACTTGAATGATGGTGCAGGTGTACGAGCACCACTGCATTGACAGCCTTCCTGGCAGAGTGCGGAGGTTGAGGGATGCTGCAGTGTACATGGTCAACAACACTGATGCTGTGCAATGGGCGCTGGAATTCTACGGCTTCAGGAATGTCGACTTCAAGGTGCACCCTCTGTTCCTGCTGCATGCTTGACAAGCGAATTAAGGACTCCCAGGCTTCAGCCATGTGTTTTCCTAAGCCCACAGATGACCTCTAGGTGAGGCAACCTATTGCATGACATTCAAGACACGGATGCTTGAAGACAGTCCTGGCTCGGTCTATATACCTCAAATATGGAGCACTCTTTTGAACAGCATCTGCAAAACAGGCAGACTGAGGGTACAAAGATCCTACTCCTGGATGAGCAAATGTCTCCATGCACATTATAAATTGGTCACTGACATTGTGTTGGCTTGTGCGAGCAGGTGCATGCATCGCAGCAGACAAGGCAGGCATTGGAAGTTGGCCCTGGAGATGAGGAATTGGCAGAGCTATTCAAGACCCCTTCGCCCACCCTGTGCAACATCCGCTTCAGCATCAGCCTGAGCATCTGAGCCCCATTGCTGGCTGCCAAGCTGGCGATGAGATCACCTCAATCAGACCATCATCTGCAAATCATCACCAAGATCTGTTCTGTGTTTGCCCTGTTGGCGCGTCAATCAATCGCCAGCAAAGATTGCACTCTTTGCATCGGCCAGGGGTATTCTCTCTTTTCCTTTATTAGGATGACCCAAAGGAGGAGGCATTTTTGATGCGGCAAGGGAGTGTAAGGCTCCTTAGCCCTGTGCCTGAAACTGTTAAGAGCTGGATATGTGAAGAGGCACAATCCAGAGGGGGGTTATTCAAGCTAAAATTCTGCACTATGCGCAAAGTCTTTTGCCCAAAGTCGGGGTGTGTACTTGTGCTGTCCAATCTTTTCTTTAGGTGGTGTCTATCATTGTGGAGTTCTGCTGCATCTCCTAAGAAGCTTCCTCTCAAGAACACATCTTCCCAGACGATGTCTCGAATCTCAACATTAGTACTGAGGTGGTCTGGTGTGCAAGGCACATCGTGTACTATCAAGACTTGCTCAACCAAGACTCTTGACTTGGTTTCACAGTCAAGACAATACTGGCAGTATGTTTGATCTGCTGCTTGTGACATCTGCATTTCACCCCATGGCCGGCAGCATGCCTTTGTTTACTGGGACTGGGATATAGACACATCTGACATTCCACTCAAGGATCTCTTTTGGGACCTTGCAGAAATTTTTGTTTCAACTGGCTGGATTTGGGTGTTTCTTGCCGACTTGCAAGATTCAGATGTTTGAAATAGTCTGTTAGCGCTGTCACTGGGGCGGCTATCTTGACCTGTGCAGCTGTGGCAGGTGGCACTTTTTTTTGCGTGCTTGGAATGGCAGATAAAGGTGACTGTGCAGACAAAACTTAGAATGCTCAAGTGAATGGACGCGGTTTGCCTTGCCAGCACTGTGATTCAACAAGAGTCTCTCCAGCTTGAAGGCACCTCCTCGTGGATGTATATGTTGTCAACCCAATGGCCTGGCGCCACCAGTGGTCACCATGGTGGATTATTGTGGAGCGTGTTGTAACAGAATTTCAGGAAAATTGAAAGTATACATGCGATGTTCACTGGTATGGAGCCCTCTGGCGGCCACACCGCACTGCCCTTTTGAGCTCAGAGGGCTCTAGCTTCACTGAAGCTGGCAGCCTTGCAAGCCTGGTAATTGCCTATACCACTGGCAGCACCAGCAAACGGACTCCAAATTTGCTTTAAAGGCATGATCATGAAGACTCATCAGCATCACGAAGACTCGTTGGAAAAGAGATCATATGATATGCAGACATCAAAGCAAAACCTGTTTGGCTATGCGGCATCCACATGGCATGATGACTCGGAGCGATGCGCATGCCAGGCCTGCCAGTGGCCCCAGGGCATTCAATTAATCAGGTGATCATTATCAGTAACACATGCCCGTTGCTCTTTTGAAATTTGCTGAGTCAATGCAGTAGAAAAGAGGCACACATGTGCAGTCTGACACTTTTGAGGCATTGCCACGGTAAGGCCTTATCGTGGTAACGCCTCAGAGTGACTTTAAGTTGCCTCGTCAGGTGCCTAACTAGGCCGACTGACCTATAATTATAATCAGGGAACCACCACCGAGCGAGTGAGGCAGCCTGACGAATAATTGCGCGTATAATTGTTCGCTTTGCACCTTTTACAGGTTAATTGTAATTTTTGCAACATGACGGTCCGCACGCAGTTGCTCAATCCATTCATGCGGATGCCGTGCATGGTACAGAGTCGCAATGTTTGCATAGCACTGAGACAGCGTGACACGCAGACAGTACGTTGTTGCAAATCTTCCAGCGGAGAAAAGAAGAAGAAGATCGTTGCGGTTCTGCCCAAGGGCGGACCTGCCGCAGACAACCCGAAGTACTTGAACTGTGTGGAGAATGGCTTGGGCTTGAGAGAGTGGCTGGAGGAGTCGGGGCATACATTCATTGCAACTGCGGACAAAGAGGGTTCCGATTCAGGTCCGATATGCAAATGTAGCAGTACTACTAGATTCTTTTCGTCCATGAACAAAGCAATTGTAAGCCACGATCTGGAGTATATTTGTCCCTCTGAAGAATGAATCTTGTGTTGCGCGCTGCAGAGCTTCAGAAAAATCTGTCCGACGCCAATGCCATTATAACGACTCCATTCCATCCCGCCTACATGACCAAAGAGCTCATCTCGAATGCCTCAAACCTGGAGCTCATCCTCACAGCAGGCGTGGGCTCTGACCACATCGACCTGAAAGCCGCTGCCGACAAGGGCATCACCGTGGCAGAGGTCTGAGGCTTCTTAGGATGCAGCCAGTGTTGTGGAGTATGCCAGATGTGTCCACTGAGAGGCTAACCAGCAGAGCTGGGCAGAATGCATGAAGTGTATCCGGGCTTACAGGTGACTGGCAGCAATGTGGAGAGCGTAGCGGAGGATGAGGTCATGCGCATGCTCATCCTGATGAGAAATTTCGTGCCAGGCTATCTGCAGGCAAGTCCAGCTTACAGCACTGGAGCTCACCTTTCACTCCATCTATTGCATGGTACATGCGCTGCCTTTGTTGAGACAGCCTTTGGTGTTCATAGCCGGCCCCTTGTGACGTGCCTGCTCTATAATGATGTCTCCCCCTTCATGTCGGCCCCAGCTGGCAGGGGCCTGAATAAATACTGAGCACCGAGCCCACGGTATTTTGGGCCTTGCTTGGATCTGACGAGTCTATCAAGAGGTGGCTTCTCTGGCAGCCTTTACCTGCAGCTCGTTTGCAGACGCATCTTGCCTCCGGCAGGAAAAGTGCGTGAAAGATCATTGTCTGCTGCTTTGCACAGGCCATCAATGATGAATGGGATGTGCCAGCAATTGGCGTGAAAGCTTGGGACATCAAGGGGAAGACCGTGGGCACAGTGGGCGGCGGCCGCATTGCTTACGAGGTCATGAAACGCCTGGAGGTGTGTACAGCCTGTGTGCCAGCCACAAAAAAGCTTTACCACCCACAAAAGTGTGCCACAAACCCTGGTGATAGGTTGGCAAGATTGTGCTATGTCCATACGTAGCCTTTACAGCCCCGATGCTGCTATGCAGCAGTGATATCATTAACAAAGTGTTGGTGGGCTCACTTGGAGCCCAGAACAGAGAGGGCTCAGCGCTCAATGCGCCGCTGCAGAATCTCACATTTGCTAATCTGAGCATGTGTGCTGCAGCCATGGGGTGTGACTCGGCTGTACTTTGACCGCGAGCAGAAGCCGGACAAATTCGACGACATGGGTGTCACCTGGGAAAAAGACCTCGACTCGCTGCTGTCCAAGTGTGACATTGTCACCGTCAATGTGCCCCTCACCGACTCCACAAAGTAAGTCTGAATCCAGGGGACACCTGCTAATGTTTCGACCTTGCATCATCATTTACCACCCCCCGCCAGCTGGGGCCCAGGGGATTCAATATATAACACTTAGATATAGAACCCCCTGTGGGGCCTGGCGGGGGCCAGTATAAATACTGAGCACCGTGCCCGCGGTGGGTTGAGCCTTGCTTATATCTGGCGAGTTTGTGAAGGGGTAGGATGTGTGGCAGCCTTTACCTGTACTATGTCTGCAGACGCACCCTGCGCCACTATCTTTTATGCCTGTGAGAAGCCTGACTGCCTGTCCTGTCCAATCCAAACTCGGTCAAACAGCTTCAAACGCAGCAGGAAGTATACCAGACATTTCTGTTCACCCTGAAGAGTATCAGTGTGTGCTCACCTGAGATGGATTCTCTGTAGGGGCATGTTCAACAAGGAGGTGATCGGCAAGATGAAGGAGGGTGCGTTCCTGATCAACAATGCACGCGGTGCAGTTGTGGACCCAGAGGCAGTTGAAGAGGCCCTCAAGAGCGGCCAGTTGGGAGGTGCACACACATTCCCTCGCCTTCTGAATGATCTGAAATGGGGCGCCATGACTTCTTCTTAACTGCGTACTCTGAGGGACATTGTCTCTTGTTTCTGGTGCTTAATTCAACTTCAATAAATTAATTTTCTGATACATCTGGACCAAGGGGTAGTAAATACATTAGTGATCGTTTGCACCCCCTCTTTGGTTGCCCTCAGGGATGTCTAATCTGATTGTAGCGCGCGCCGTAGTCTATCTGCATTCTTGATGAGGGCGTGGCAGCTGCTAACAAATTGCTCTGCAGGCTATGCTGGGGATGTGTGGCCGGAGCAGCCGGCGCCGAAAGACCATCCATGGCGCCACATGCCCAACCATGCAATGACTCCCCACATCTCTGGCACCACTCTTGATGCCCAGGTGCTGCTCTCCCAGTGGTCATTTTTTTTGCATGTGCAAACAGCCTGGGCTACCTCAAAGTATACAGGCAATTCGTAATGATATGTAGACAGCTGCAGGGCATAGGCAGAAGAGCTATCATTTTCATATGAGGAGAGGCAGGAATTGCAGCACAGCCGTTGTGCAGCAGCAATACTGTGTCAGCTCTGAAAATTATGGCCTGCTGCTGTGTGAAGCTGAAGCTATTTTCTGGATTGCTGAATGGCGAGCAATATCTGACATTCCAAGACAATCCCTCCTGTCATTGGCCTCAGCATTCTGCTCCTGGAATGGACTTCTGGTCCGCCCAGAACACTTTCTTGCCTAATGCCCAAACCTCCAAGTCTCTGGGTGGCAAGTCTCTGGGATATCCCACGGGCGCCAGAAAAATACCATCAGGCCCACCCTGAAAGTTTCCTGAGACCCTGTCAAAACCCCTGAATTGTGCAGGAGCGGTATGCGGGAGGGGTGCGCGATATGTTGGAAGCCTGGATTGAGGAGAAGCCGTTTGAGGAGGATTACTACATCGTGCGCGAGGGGGAATTGGCGTCTCAGTACCAGTGACTGGAGCAGGGAGAAATTTGCCTAACTAGGCGCTCACGATAGGGTGAAGCCCGCCTAAAGGCCAGTGAGATGCATATGCTCAATGGAGCAGGGAGAATTTTGGCTGGATAAATGGCGCATGACGGGGCGAAGCAAACTTGCCTTGTACATATGCTGATTGGGACATGCTTGGATCTGGCGAGTCTCAGGGGCAGAAGGGGCTAAACCTGTGCCAGCACTCACTTGCACCTTGCCTGCAGACGCACCTTGTCTAATTGCAGGAGCAGCGTGCAGTAGCAACGCCAATAAATGTCGCGCAGCGCATCGGATTGTCAATTCAAGCAAGCTGATTTTTGGCAAGAATATTCTAAAGAATACTTTCTGTACTGGCTTGGTTTGAGTGGTTGTTTGTGCATACATCTGCCGGCTGTGCTGCAGGGATGCAGTAGTTGATAGGACACTGAGAACCTCATGTACACACTGCATGCAAAGTTCAGAAAAGTACATTGAAGGCACTTTGTCGGCAAGATTGAGTAGATTACTAGCACCTAGGCTTTTGAATGGATTCTTTGAAATGTCTCCTACTTGGAGTCAGCCGCTATGGTGTTGTCCGGAAGTCATGACTGAGATGAAATGTTATTGACTAGAAACTGATACCTTGTCGAATGCTGTATGGCTGTTATCGCTTAGATTGCGCAAATTCGTTTGGTTCACCATATATTGCCATTGGACGGCTAGTGCTGGCAGGATACATTTTTGAAAAGCAGCAAGGATGATTTGCTACACTGCAACAGTGTGAAAAGAAATTGCATGCGATTAACTTTTTGCTGGGCCCCGTGATTACATCAGCGTCAGAAACTCAAGATCAAGCCTCAGGCTCCCATTGGTGGCTGGTGTGCAAGTCCATGTTGTCTCCAGGATAGACCAAGTTAAACCGCAATTGTCCATGTCTGGATCCTGCCTGCCTTCGTGCCTGCCTGCCTCTGCACAGAGCGGGGATTGTTCTAAAAAAGTCATGCACAATCATGACGTCAATGCAAGCATTGTGCCAATGCTGAGATCTGGTGTCCTCCGCTCTTGTGTCAACAGTCTATTACTTGTGCAAATCTGCCGCTGACAGCTTGAAGCATGTTTGCTGCGCTACATTAGTGTCTCGGGATACAGAGAGGTTTACATGGTGTTACGATGTACAGCGCCCCGGATACTGGCTTCCATGCTCAAAAGTAACACCGTGTGCGCCTGGCCACCACCCTTCTATTGCAGACTGGGTGTCCGGCTACCATGTACATGAGCTCTCTCGATGCGCGCATGCTTTGTTGGCATGCCAGCACCAGAGCCCTAATTATAATGCCTCATGGTCCCTCTTGCGTCAGGCTTCAGGACCCCTGGAAGGCCTCTAGAGACACAGATCTGTTCCTCCACGGCGTTGGCACTTTGTCTGGATCTTGTGAGGATGATGTCAAATCACCCCAGATCCTTGGCATGTGCCTATCTAGGCCGCCCTATATTTAGACATCCTTAGATCATCCGATTAAGAGAATTTTGAGAGCTAAATTGCGTTCCGACATAGACATCCTCAATTTCTGTAAATCCTATTCCGTAGTAGCTGATCGACCGCGTCATGGGGGTGAGCACGAAGTTGCTGCTGGTTGACGATTCCGGATTGCCATGCATACTAACCCCTTTCGAGATAATAATCACTGAAGCTAGAAGATGATCAGCAGGTCAATTTACGTCTTTTACTGCAGGGAGAGAAGAAGAAGATCGTTGCCGTGCTGCCCAAGGGCGGTCCAGCTGCCAAAAATCCGAAGTACCTCAACTGCGTCGAGAACGGCTTGGGCCTCAGGGAGTGGCTGGAGAGCTTGGGGCACACTTACATCACGACTGCGGACAAGGAGCCTCCGGATTCGGGTGCCCCTCTTATGTGGGCCGATTTATCACCTCCTCTGTGTGTTCAGCATGCATCACGGTGTCCAGACAAGAAGGGCACTCATGTGGCTGTGTTCGCGCAGAGCTTGACAAGAACCTGCCCGACACAAACATCGTCATAACGACTCCATTCCACCCCGCCTATATGACTCGCGAGCGCATCATGAAGGCTCCAAAGCTGGAGCTTATTCTGACAGCAGGCGTGGGCTCTGACCACATTGACCTGCACGCTGCTGCCGACAAGGGCATCACTGTGGCAGAGGTATGCTCTTCTCTGAGGATGCAGCCGATCTCTTCACAGGGCATGTCATTTGTGTTTGCTCACAGATCAAGCAGTTCTCTGAGGATGCAGGCATGTTCTTGGGGAAGGGCTGGCCAGCTGCATCGCGTGCACTCACATGTCATGAATCAGATATCTTATGGTCAGTGCATGCATGTGAATGGAGAATTGGTTTTCCAGGTAACCGGCAGCAATGTGGAGAGCGTGGCAGAGGACGAAGTCATGCGAATGCTCATCCTTGTCAGGAACTTCCTGCCAGGCTACCTCCAGGCATGTCCCCTTGGCTGTTCAATACGCACAGCCTGCCACGCAGCAGGTGATGACAGCAGTGCGCCCAGGACCTGATTGGTGGATTCTGCGCCAACAACCAAGTCATGCCGAGTGCTGCTGTCGCCTCCTGAAGAGCATCAAATGCGCCTGTAGCACACCCAGCGAATGTAATCCTGTGCGAGAGTATCCCTAGATTCATGATCTGTAAGGCTGCGTCTGAACATCTGTATACAATGCTGCTGGGCTAGGTCATCAACAACCAGTGGGACGTGCCGGCAGTGGCAGGGAAGGCCTATGACATCAAGGGGAAGACTGTGGGCACAGTGGGCGGCGGCCGCATCTCCCACCATGTCATGAAACGCCTGGAGGTGTGCGCCTCTCCCATGCACACGCATGCATCTCCTTACTTTTATTTCCACAGTATTGAAGCCTGTCAAATCACATTCTCATCTGAACCGCCTTGGAGGTCACCTTTGAGACAGACCAGCTGGGAATGTACCTTGACAAGCTTCGAAGACTGCAAGCAGCAACTCACACCACCGTACTTCATGCAAACATGCATACCAATGAGTCAAGATTTGAATCTGGACTAGACCCTCTAGTTCTAAATATAGACCCATCTTTGGTACGATATATGAGATGAGAATCCCCAAGCTGCCAATCTGTCGAGAAGTTGGCGTTGATGAGTTTTTGTGCCGTGCAGCCGTGGGATGTGAAGCGGCTCTATTATGACCGCCACCAGAAGGCGGATCGCTTTGATAAGATGGGCGTGGAGTGGGAGAAAGACCTCAACTCATTCCTGTCAAAGTGTGACATTGTCACCATCAACGTGCCCCTCACCGACAGCACCAGGCAAGCTCCCAAGCTCCTTGTGTTCAACTCCAATCTTTACACAGCATACCCCACATGTGAGCGCGACGTACATGGGGTCTTGCAAAGATCTTCTCGAAGTTCACAAGGGATGGAGTTGTTGCAACTTTCCAGCGGGCTGCAGACTCTGCAGCCCATCTGCAAATGCAGCTTGGCACTTTTGGCACAGATAATGCTTCAGATGATCCTATCACAGAGACCACCACATGGGTTGTTTCAATGTCCAAGAATCCTGCATAGCTATTATGAGCCTATACCGTATGCATCAGTGCATCAGGACTGTGCTAAAGGAGGAGGTACTGCCTCGCAGGGGCATGTTCAACAAGGAGACCATCGGCAAGATGAAGCGGGGCGCATACCTCATCAACAATGCGCGCGGTGCAATCGTTGATCAAGACGCTGTTGTGGAAGCACTCAAGAGCGGCCAGCTGGGAGGTCTGTGCACATTATCTCCTCACTGTTTACATAGGTGACATGACTTTAAGAGTGACTAGGACAAGCAAGAGTAGCAGCCGCGCTTGAAACATCCACGCCATCATGGCGGTGAAGAGCTCGAGCGCAGTAATGGAGTAGGACTTACAGCACAAATTATATTCTCAGAAATGCTGCGGGCATGGCTAAGCTTTGCCTGTCATCTGACTGTGCTCCTGCTCCAAAAATAACAGCAACAGCAGCTTATCAGGTGTTCCGTGATCATGTGTGCAGGCTATGCTGGGGACGTGTGGCCACAGCAGCCGGCGCCCCCCAACCACCCGTGGCGCCACATGCCCAACCATGCAATGACCCCCCACGTCTCTGGCACCACTCTGGATGCCCAGGTGCCCCTCTCACTCTTATGATCAAAGCTCGAAACACAGTCCCATACCGGTGTTCCTTTTCTGTCTCCAGCGTAGCTGCTTTCCAGCACCTTGGTGCTCTTATTGTACCATGGCTACACCAGATGATTCTCAGGTGATCAGTTGCTGGGAGAGGATAGGTGATCAGTTGCCTGAAAAGATCCGGAAGTACACAGGGCTGAAGATGCTGTGTTGCCCCTGCATGCATGCAGGAGCGGTATTCCAAAGGGGTGCGCGAGATGCTGGAAGCCTGGTTTGAGCACAAGCCCTTCAAGGAGGATTACTACATTGTGCGCGAAGGGGAATTGGCACCGCAGTACCGCTGAGTTCTCTGGAAGACATGATCAGATGGGAGCGCCGCATGCTGCAGCAGCGAATCCATCAGGAAGCTGGCCTGGCGCCAAGCTTTGGCAAGATGTATTGAACATCTGGTGCTGGGAAAAGGACCTTTTGGGGATTGCAAGAATCCACAATAAGTCAACCCTTTGCTGGCTCCAGGCTGCGAGAGTGCAAGAGATTGCAGGAGGGCTAGGCTTGTCATGCATGATGCCCGATCAGGGCATGTCCAAGGTGGAATGAATGAGGGATACGTTCAATCATTCTTTTAAATACCATGAGTGAAGGTGTATGAACATTGTGCACATTTTGCCTTGCCAGTGGGCCAGAATCCTTCAAATTGGTGCAATGCTTGCCCACTTTGGAAATCTGCTGCAGCAGAGCAGGCCTGTGGTCTGTCGGGTATGAAGGAAAGGTCGGCTGTTCTTGCATTGGAATTTTCCATAGCTTTCTGTTTTGTCTGCAACTGTGTCATCCCAAGCCTGCATGCCTGAAGATGTCCATTTATCTGCAACCCTTCTATAATCCGAGGGTAGAGCGCTTTGGATGGCTCAGCGATGATCACCAGACCTGTGATTGATTCTTCCATTACGTTCTTGCAATATATAGAAGATATCTAATTTTTTTTGAAAGTGAAAGGATGAATATCGGCTTGCAATCGAGACAGTGTGTATGTACGAGTCCAATGTCTTTCTTACAACAGACACAATGGCGTGTAAGAGCATTACCCATGTGCAGGAGCTTTCTGTTCCGTGCTCAGACAAATTTCTCGCAGATCAGATCACACTGTACAGGTAATTTCTTTTCTGATGATTTACACCCTACATACAGCAACTTCGCCGTTGAGATGGCAAAGTGTACGTTTAAACAAAGGAACATTCGCAGTTTAAAAAGCTATCTGCATAGCTGGTGCTGCAGCATGACATTAAAGCTCCTTTCTGCCTCGAATATGCCATCTTTGGCTCATTTTCTTTGCTGGGATCTTGTTCGTTAGGCGAGCCTAGGAGAAGGTTCCACGCCTTCACCAGGAGCTTCGCGACGTGTGGCAGTGCGGCTGTGTCAGGTATGCCAATTGAAACACACGACAATCAGTTCTAAGGGTCGCACAGCCTGCACTCTCCAAAAGCCCTCTGGCAGCTAAACGCGCCACACTTTTATTCGGATCAACTTGCTCTATTCATCGTTGAGCTTATGGATGCATGCTGTGGTGCAGATGCGAGCAGCGCAGCGGCACCCAGCACAGCAGATGCCCAGAAGACCCTCCCTCCCAGGCTCAGTGGAGCAGAGATTCGGGAGAAATTCCTAAGCTTCTATGAGAGCAGGGGGCACACGCGCATGCAGGGGGCATCCCTCATACCAGCAGACCCCACTGTACTGCTTACCATCGCCGGCATGCTGCAATTCAAGCCCGTCTTCCTTGGACAGGCCCCTCGCAGCGTCCCAAGAGCCACTACCACGCAGAAGTGCGTGCGGGTCTCGGACATTGAGAACATTGGGGTGACTGCTCGCCACCACACCTTCTTTGAGGTGAGACAGTAATCTCTCTTGGGCAGTGCATTGCTTGCACTGTGAAGACCTGATGCCAAACTTCCTGAGTGGAAATATGAATAGCCCAAAGCCGCACGGCTCTTTGCATGTGATCATGAGCCATTCTTGATAAGGCAAAGCATTGCAGTGCAAACAGTATACCAATCCATGAAAGTATCATGGCGACGGAGAGCAACGGCAATGTGAGCCATGGAAATGGAGGACTGTTCCGTTCAGAGTTATAAGTGGTGTGCAATTTGCGCTCAGATGCTGGGCAACTTCAGCTTTGGGGACTACTTCAAGGCGGAGGCCATCCAGATGGCGTGGGAGCTGTCGACCAAGGTGCTGGGCATTCCGGCCCAGCGAATCTGGGTCAGCGTGTACAAGGATGACGAGGAGGCCGCTGCGCTGTGGCGCGACGGCGTGGGGTTCCCTGCCGAGCGCCTCGTGCGCCTGGGGGACGAAGACAACTTCTGGGCCAGCGGGTGCGGACTATTCACCGCGTTGGCCCTGTCCCCAGGAGTTTCACTGAATGAAGTACTCTGTATTCCTGGGAATGCTTGTAAAGGCCGCTGCCAATTTGTGCTGTCTCATCCAAAAATGCTTGTGATACCTTCCTCGCTGCGCTTTGTGCAATTCACAACCTCTTGGGTGCCTCAATTGATCTGGCACCAAAGATAGCTTGAATTTGCATCAGATGCAATGCGGAATGCGCTCACTTGCGTTCTGGATGTGGCAGTATATCTTGCAGCAGACCCACTTATGTCATAGAGCATGCCATAATTTGGTGATCCCCGGATCTGCAATTTTGCAGACTCATGCAAGTCAATTTGACTAGCAATGCTTGCTTTGCTTTGCAGGCCCACTGGCCCATGTGGTCCCTGTTCAGAGCTGTACTATGACTTCCACCCCGAGAGGGGCACTGTGGGCGCCAGCCTGGAGGACGACTCGCGCTTTATCGAGTTCTACAACCTCGTCTTCATGGAGTCCAACAGGGGCCCGGACGGCAAGCTGACACCCCTCGCCAACAAGAACATTGACACTGGCATGGGGTTGGAGCGTGTTGCACAGGTATGCTACCACTCAGCATGAAGTTGCAGTTAATATAGCTCCTACAGAATTGTCTGTTAGGCATACAGAGGTTGAGCAATGCATGGTTGTGCTGTCTTCAGCCAGGCCACCACTGTACCTAATGCGAGCATGGGCCCCTTCACATTTTGGTGTTGAAAACACCCTCTCTAACAACACCTTTATTGACATGCAGATCCTGCAATGCGTGCCAAACAATTACGAGACGGATCTGATCTTTCCCATTGTGGCGGCGGCTGGCAAGCTTGCTGGCCTTGACTACCACAGTGCCAGCCCTGGAGAGCAGACAGCCCTCAAGGTAGCAGCCATGCACGTTTGCCTTGCTTGACCACAAGTCTTGGAAGACAACATACATATTTACCTGTGTCCTGGCACTCATTTTAACATCATGGGATACACTCCAAGTAATCAATTAGTAATCATGGCTGCAGGTGATGGGAGATCATGCGAGGGCGGTGGTGTACATGGTCTCAGACGGCGTCTCTCCTTCAAACATCGGCCGCGGCTACGTCTTGCGACGGCTGATCAGGAGGACCATCATGAAGGTGATCCAAATTTCCTGACTGTCTATCCCCAACACAAATATCAGCAAAGTTCAGCTTTGCAGACAAATGGCCGCGGTCGATTCTGAGATGATTGCGCCAATTGTCACAGGGGCGCCTGTTGGGCGTGAAGGAGGTCATGTTGCCCGCACTGGCCGAGACAGTCATTGGGCTGTCGGACGGGTGCGACCCTGCAGTGGCCCAGAACTCGCAGCGCATCATTGCTGAGCTGGCCAGGGAGGAGGAGAAGTTTGCGTCCACCCTGGAAGCAGGTGGTTTCCCATGCCCATCATATGCCGATTTCCTTTGCATGTCGGGATCTCTCGATCAATTCCTTCTCTGGCATACTGCTCTATCGAGGCCTATACACAGCCCAGATTTGCAGAGAGACAGGGCTGCTAATGTTCTTCCCAACAGATAAATTAGATAGGGTTGTTGATGTCTGCTGGCTGCTGAGCAGGTGAAAAGAGGTTGAACCAAGTGCTGGAGGCAGCAGCCTCTCAAAGGGGGGATGGGTCCACTGCAACCGTCAGCGGTGCAGCTGCCTTTGAGCTCTACGACACCTACGGCTTTCCCCTGGAGATCACCCAGGAGATGGCCGCCGAGAGGGACATCCAGGTACTCAGCAGCTGTCAACAATATCAGCAGCACTCTTTGGAGAAACCTTGTCATGCATGCTGATGAGAAATTTGCATGAAAGAGGTCCTTATTTTTGGTCCGAGTCACCTGACCCAAGAGACAATGTGAAGCAGATATTCAAATGGAGCAGATCAAAATACGTAAGATGTAGCGCTGTGCATGGGTAAGAGTGAGAATCTCTGGGTCAGGCATACACTAACTGCAGGGCTGTTACCACATCCGGTTTTTAGTGGTGAATCAAACACTGAATGTAATTATAACGTGACTGAATGTGAATTTACACCCTGCGCAGGTGGACGCGGCCGGCTTTGAGGCGGAGATGGCGGCCCAGAAGAGCCGCTCGCGCGAGGCGGTCAGGAGCATCGACATGACGGCAGGCCACGCCTTGGGAGACCTGGCGCAGCAGCTCGGCCGCACCTCCTTCATCGGCTATGAGCACGGGCCTCTCCGCGTACCGGGGTCCGTCCTCGCCATCCTGCGCGGCGGCAGCAGCGTGGAATCCGCCTCTGCCGGTATGTAGATCGGCTGAAACAAGCGTCACACTTTGGGATGTCCTGTCCTGAATGAACCTATCATGCTCGAACTCATCATGTCCACTCTCTGTGACTCTTCAGGAGCTCATGGGTCTCATGAAATAGGAGATGAATATCAGCACATACCGTTTGTCTGGTCTCATTGAGACCTTTCCCAGGACCAATTCTGTCTCACAAGACCACACACACGGCTGTTGATGCCTGTTTTTCTGCTCCCTCAAAACCTGCTGTTGCATGTCTCAAGAGTCCCCGTGAAATGCGGCAGCTGTCAGTCTCGAGATTCGTACGCGCAGGCGACGAGGTGGAGGTGATCCTAGACAGGACGCCCTTCTACGCTGAGTCAGGCGGCCAGGTGGGCGACCGGGGCTGTCTCACGGGCGTTGCCTCCTCCAGCGGCAACAACGGCGCGGCCTCGAGCTCCGGCAGTGGACTAGAGTTGCGCGTGCGCGACACACAGAAGGCCGGCGGCGGCGCTCTTGTGGTTCACCACGGCAGCATCGAGCGGGGGGACCTCCATGTTGGGCAGATGGTGAGCCCTCCATGCATGCCGACGCTGCCCTCGGCCATCTGTTTGTCTTCTGGAAGCATTCACAGTACCAGTAGTCACCAGTACAATCGGCACACGTAGTAATAATCTTGGAGGCATAGTGTGCACTGGCTGATGGCCTTAGGGAGTGGCGACTTGTGCGCCACATGCATTCTACAAGCAATCATTTGCTTATGTAGGAATGCGTCTGTTGTCGGGCATCAATGCTTCTATCCTGAACATGCTCAGACCATTGCAATGTAGTCAGCTGGAGGAATTGCGAGTTACAAAGAAAATGTGGCGCTGCAGGTGATGGCAGAGGTTGACACGAGCAGCAGACAGGGCGCAAGAAAACACCACACAGCCACCCACCTCCTGCAGTCCGCCCTCAAGCAGGTCCTCAAAGAGGAAGGGGAGATCAGCCAACAGGTGCTCCTCAAGCCCCATCTAATAGACTTTGTGTGGAATCTCTTTTTGGCTGGGTAAGGATATCCCTGAACAGGGCTGAGAAACAGAAACCATCATCTGTAGCAGAGCTCCTGCCACAGTGCCCACCAAAAGCCTGCCATGGTATCACCATCTGGCATTGATGAACATGCAGGGGATTGAATACCGGCTGTCATCATCATTTTGAACATGAAATACTCCTGAATGCAGGGGTCTATGGTAACGGCGGACCGCCTGCGATTTGACTTCAACCTGCACAGAGGCCTGAAGGAGGCAGAGGTTGCCAGAGTGGAGGAGCTGGTGAATGGCTGGGTCACCGAGGACACTGCGCTCACCACTCGGGAAATGCCTTTGGCAGAAGCCAAGGCTGCAGGCAAGGCTTTTCTGCTTCCCTGAGCCTTGCGTGAGAAAAAATTGCAGCGCCAAGGCTGCAGATTAATCACAGATGACCACAACCCATACATGATGACTCGCATTGAGGAGCAAATTACAGGACGCAGATGCAGCGGCACATAGGCAAGCAATTGCCCAGGTCTGTGACCCTCTGGTGTGCAAAAAAACTTCTGAGCTGCATCTCATGAAAAAGGCGGAGGGTGTCTGAAGCAGTGTATTTTGCTCATCTGTGCAGGCGCGGTGGCAATGTTTGGAGAGAAGTACAATGATGCGGCAGTGCGCGTGGTTGAGGTGCCAGGCGCATCGATGGAGCTCTGTGGTGGCACGCATGTCGAGCGAACAGCCCAGGTCAGCTTCTTGCTCTGCCTGGCACATCTCCTGCTATATGTGCATGGCAATCTGTTGGCGTGCCCTGGCGCATGTCAAGCGTCTGGAAGGTTTGATCGCACCACCCTTGTGAGGATGGCCAGCCGGCCGGAGGACAGTGTCTGCATAAAAGTCTAACAATCTGCAGGAGGCTCGGGTTGTGACATTGGATTTGGATGCAGATTGGGGCGTTCAAGATTGTATCGGAGGCCGGCATTGCGTCGGGCGTGCGCCGGATTGAGGCGGTGGTCGGGCCGGCCGCGGTGCAATACCTGAACCAGGTGGACGGCATCGTGCGCACGCTTGCGTCGCAGCTCAAAATCAAATCGGAAGAGATCCCCGGCCGCGTGGCAGGTGAGACACCTGACTCAAAGATTTGAAAACTGCTGCTTTTTGCTGGTGCCCAGAGGGCCTCCTTAGGCAGGATGGCTGCAAAAGCTCTTCACATGCAAGTGCCACAAGCTCTGGCAGATGCACTACTATGGCTGATTCACCTCAATTGTTCATTGAAATTTCTTGGTCAAAATATTACTGCTCGGTGTACCGTGCATTGTTGTGTAGCCGACGTTCTTTCCCTGTTGTTCCTATTGACGTAGTTTCTTATAAACAGGACACTGCACAATTGTGCTTCTGTAAGAGTCCCTGATGAAAGCAAGAGCGGCACCACTTTTTTGCATGTCCTCACCAAAACAGCCAGTCCTGGTATGTCTTGACATGCGTGAGTCAGTGGAGTGGCCAGGCCTTGACATAGATTCCATGTGGTGCAGCGTTGGCGGAGGAGGCATACAGTGCGCAGAAGGAGGTGGCGAAGCTGCGCGCTGAGCTGGCGCTGGCCAAGTCAGCCGCGCTGGCCGACAGTGCTGCAACTACCGCCAGCGGCGCACGAGTCGTCGTCTCGCGCCTGGACGGCATCGACAACAAGGCCCTGCAGGTGCTCTCCTTGCTGCCGGATACACTCTGTCAGCACATAACTGTAAAGATGTCTATTTTCCTCCTCCTGCGTCTTTTTTTTCTGTCTTTACAGCCACGCAAAATTATATGTGAAACATTGGTGGTGTACGATTTGGTGGCATGGCGTCAGAGTTCATTGTAGGCCGATATTTCTGCCAGAAATGGCAAGGCCAAGGAAGGGAATGATTTTGCCTTAAAGCACGGTGGTGCTGTGCCCAACATGACACCATCGCTTCTTGACAGGATGTTTTATGAGTGAATGGTCAAGATGACATTATTACTATGATAGGTGTGATAGGATTTCGCATGGGTGAATGGTTCTGCCCGAGCAGGAGGCTGCCAAGGGCTTGCAAGAGCGCCTCGGCGATGACTCAGCGGTGGCCCTGATGGGGGTGTCTGAGGAGGGCAAGGTTGCCATTGTGGTGGCCCTCGGAGGAGGCGCGGTGAAAAAGGGCCTCAAGGCGGGAGCAATTGCCGGGAACCTGGCGAAGCTGTGCGGCGGTGGCGGCGGCGGCCGACCGAACCTGGCCACTGCCGGTGGCAAGGACCCCGCCGGGTTGCCCGCTGCGCTCGAAGCCGCTGAGACACAGCTCATGGAGCAGCTTTGATAGTCGTGCACTGGTCTAAAGTGGTATGGCGGGAGGGTGTATACATTATATAAAAAGTTTAAATACGTTTGGTGGAGTCTCATTTTGACTGTCTAAGCACTGATAGCACTGTTTTTGTTTATCGATTTAAGCTTGAAACACATTGCAAAAATTTAAAGCACTGCATGCATGATCCCAGTCTAAAGAGTCGTGTATCTTTTCAGGCAACATGTAATAGCACACATCCATCTAAGTGTTCTTATTCCAGGCAACAGCACAAGGACAGGGGCTGCAGAAAGCTGGGTCACAGGACATGCATGACATGACAGTTCCACCAAGCTGATTGGTCTGCCTACTGCCAGTTCCGCTCCACTGGCTCATCGCGGCCGATGATGTCAGCAAGCGCCGCACCCGACATTGGGGTCGGCAGCGGCGCGCGGCGCATCCCGGGCCGGGAAAAGTCCTTGTACCATTCGCCCTTCACCCCCTTGACCAACTCCTTGGGACTGCGCCGGAACATGCCCACCGCCAGCTCGCGGATCCTGCGGTTGCCGAGCGCCTTCTGCGTCTGACTCAGCGTCTGCTGGCTCTCGAACGCCTCGATTAGCGCCTTGACAGCGTTGCGCGCGCACCTCGACCCATGGATCTGCCCCACAACACACCCCGCCCTCAGAGCTGTCCGAATGATCTCGTCATACTCATTTGAACACAAAATTTGCAAGTTCGAATTCAGAGCCATACAAGACAGAACAAGCGCGAAGAAGGGAAAATAGGTTGCCTTGGTTAGGCAACATTCCCGCTCAGCCCAGGAAATGGGCATGTTCAGAGGCACCACAGAAGCCACAGTCTGCTTACCACCTGTCACACATGCTTTATGCACGGCCTGAAGAAATGTGCCGCAAGCCTAAGGCCCTTACAATTGCAGACTGAATCGAGGCCTACCTGCAGTGACTTTGGCTCAAACACCAAAACATCCATGAAAAGCAAATTGGAGGAGATACCTTGATGCCAATGTTCTGCAGGCCGGCAAGGCGGCAGATACTCTCCATGAGCTTGCTGGCACGGATGCCGCTGCCGCTAGTCATGGGGTAGGCATGCAGCGTCACGCGCCCGTACTTGGCCGTTACGGGGTGGATGATCGTGTGCCCCCGAAACCGCGGCACATAGAACAGGTTCTTCGACGCCTGCACACAGCAGCGCCCGGCGCAGTGAGTCATCATAACCTTGACAGTTATGTCTCACCGCGTGAGACCTTGCATAGAGATCCTGCAAGTAAGAACAGAAGCAGCCACCCCCCAACAGCAGTCATGTCTGGCAGGGAACCTTGCATGAACATCCTGCGAATAAAGAGACAAGATAAGCAAGAGTGTCGTGCCTGAGCATAGGCCTTCTTGACAGAGTCCGCCAGCTCTGCCGACCTGCCGACGCCCATTCCCAACACACCCTGCAGAGCCATCACAGAGTCTCACTGTACAACTTGACAGCCCCAGCAGCACGTTGCAGTACTGTAGACAGCACTCGATACAGTCATGGTGCGCTGCAATGGCCATGGAGTGGGAGAGGAGCGCACCGCAAAATTGCCGACCACAACCATGGTGGAGAACCTGCCGATGCCACCAGAGCGCGTGCCCTTATTTGAGCGGTTCACATCCACCACCTGCCCAACGGATAAAATGTTGAAAAGCTGATAATCTCGTTGCCAAGAAACATCCGGTTCCTTGAAGAAGGGCTGTTTCCAGATATCTGCATGTGGCATGCAGCCTGCAATTTTGGGTTATGTAGGCCCATGTTGGGTGCATGCATGGTCTGCCAGTCACATTGGGAAAGGGCATGAAGACTGGGCCATGCCTGCATTTTGAAGTCCGACATGAAGTCTGCCATCTCTACTTCCATGCGCTCCTCGTTCTCTGAGCCTCGTTGCATTGGCGGCGTACCGCCCCTGCCCTTCAGGATCTGCGTCAGATGGAACCTGCACGCGCAATGGAAGTTTGATACTTTCAGCTCATGCCATTCACTCCCCAATTTTTTGGGTCTGTCCTTATCTGTAACAAGATTGCCTGATTGTGGTCGGAATAGGCTCTCCCCAGTAACATTTACTCCCATGCTGGATCTTGCGCATCTAAAGCTGACAACAGCGCTTGGAACTAGGTGGAGTGACCTTGTGGCATGTCAGGCTTGCGTCAGGCTATCTGCTGAGGGACGTGAAACTCACCGCGCCTGCGTTTTGCTCATGCTAAAGAGCGGGTCGTCCTCATCCAGCTCTTCATCCTCGTCAGCGCTGAGCTCTCCTCTTCGCCGAGAAGAACTGAGCACGGTGGCATCCTCGTGAATCTCATCATCCTGAGCCACCTGCATATCCATGCAAACTTCAGGATTCAATCAAATTTCACACTCAGGTTCAAATGGAGACCAGAGTGTGAGCATACATTTGGTAGTTCGATGCGATGTGCACCTGCTGGGCATACTGCCTCATGTCTGCCTCAAACGCTGCGACTCCAAAGTCATCCACTGGCTCCTCAGCATCCTGTCCATCTCCACTGCTGCCAGATGTTTGTGTCTGCGCGCAGTTTGAAAATCAGAGAGATGCACGAATCTACTGCAAGATTTGAGCACAGGAGATGCTCAACTGTAAGCAGCACCCACCGCAAACCCGGCTGCATGGCGAAGCTGTGAATTTAGCCTCTGATTACTCCACTTTGATTGATGGTTACTCCTGTCAGCTCGTTCAGCATCATATGGTCTGCTAGAAACAGATGGTGCACTCCAACTGTTGAGAGATCTCTGCTGCGCTAGAGGAGTTGTTGCAGCTTGCGAGCAGGAAGATGAAGCATTGACACTCTTTGCAAGCGCAAGATCTTCCCTGATGCCTGATCTGAATGCCCTCAAGACAGTCTGGGAGAGGCGCCTAAAGCTCATGCCGACCCACCTAGCAACAGCTTAGCATGCAAGCAATGTCATGTCCTGTTGAATCCTAATCAGCAGAGCTAGAAACTTTGTTTTGCATCGATTTTACTCTTTGTCCCAGACCTTTGTACTCACACAAATCGGGCAAGTGAGATCGTCCGAGGGGCTCTAAACTCTTGACAGCACAAATGAAGCAACCCTGACCTGTCAGACATGTATATTTATTGCTGCGATTCGTTCTCTTCCTGTTGCTCTGGGGATTGCCAGAAGGACCTGCCTGACCTATGCAGCCAAACTTGGCTAAAGGCTGCCAATGCCCAAGCTCAGCCCAAGCTCAGCCATTCGTCTTGGAGTCCAAGTTGAGCTAATTGTGCGTCAAGGAAAGGTTTTTGCTCGCTTGAGTATTGTCAAAGACCACAGGACAGCTTCGATGCCCCAAAGATTTCGGATGCTACTCTAGTGCTAGCTGCATGGCCTGAATTGTTTCGTGAAAGTAGCTGAGTTTGCTTTTATCATCAGGTGATTGCCTTGAAATGTCACAGAAACTGACTCCCAAGCTCATACGCAAGCTTTTTCCGGAGCAGAATAGCAAAGAAATTGAGCGGCTCAATGTCTCGGCAAAGGACATCGTGGAGGTGCGTTTCCAGCTCATGCTCTGTACTAAGAACATCATGAGTCTTCATCACATTTGGTCTGGATGACAACAACATTGTGGGCGCACGCATCTTTTCCTAGTGCGGGTTCTTCGGCTGCTCTGCTGGGGATCTGGGAAGGATTCATCTCAATCAGTCTTATACCTGTGCGTCAAAGAAGCAAAGCTGTGCATGTGGGCAGGTTGGTGACTTGACGACATGCCCTAGCTTGATCAGACTCGACCTGAGCCTGAACAACATCCAGGACACGAATTTTGCAACCACCTGCCAGCAGATCAAGTGGCTATCACTTGCAAACAACCCGATCGCCGACGTGGGACCACTGCAGTGTCTCACAAACCTGCAGGCAAACATTTTTTGCCTCCGCTGTTGCCGATTCCTCTGTGCATGCAGGACCGTCAAGTTGCCATTTCAGCAAGGCTTTATTGGGGTGGGCCGCATTTGACACTTGGTGTCATCATGATGCAGGTTCTGAATGTGGGCCATGCAAAGTTGGCTGGCAAGATCAGGATACAGGGTCTTGACCAGCTGGGTGCCCTCATTCTTAATGACAACCAGATCACATCTATCTCAGGCAAGCGCTCTGCTTGCCCGCAACAGCTTAAGACAGCGATGCATTGCTGCATGCGGAGTGTTTTCAAAATATAATTGATTTGTGTTACCGTAAAGGCATGCTTTTTTGCGAAATGGCTGGTGCATGCAGGGTTGAAGCGGCTGCCAAACCTCAACACACTTGTGCTGAAGCAAAATGCCTTCAAGGAACTGGGCACCAGCCTGCACAAGTGCGGGGGCCTGCAGAAGCTCTCGATGGCGCACAACCAGCTCAGCAGCATCGGGGACGCGCTCTCGCACTGCACAGCGCTCAAAGAGCTGCGGCTGAACCACAACGCCATCGATTTGTTGCCGGCTGAGCTGGCGGCAAATTCCCAGCTGCGCATCTTGGACCTGGGAGACAACCCCATCGCAGACACAGACGCACTCAAGGTGCAAAGACTAGCTCATCGCGTGTGTGCCTGTGAGACTACGATCTTGTGGGGTAATGTATGTTTGCAATCACACTGTGCCTAACAAAGAAACCTCAGCATAATTTTTGCTCTGGGCTGTTATTGAAAGCCATCTATGGGGTGGTTTTCCTTCAGAGTATCAAAGTCCAACAGACGATCATCTACCAAGAGGCCATGGCTGTGTGTTGAGGGGGCGCGGGCTTTTCTGTGTGCAGGTCCTGGCAGCGCTGCCCTGGCTGAGGAATTTGAATTTGAAAAGCTGCGGAGTGTCCCAAACAGATGACTACCCGCAGAGCATCCTGCGCATGCTGCCGAACCTGGATGTCCTGGACAACAAGCGGGTGGCAGCTGAGCGCTCAAAGCAGCCCAAGGCAGCACTGCAGATTCCCAGCACAGCAGAAGTTGCTGCAGCACAGCACACAGCAGAAGCAGCCCGGCAGCATGCAACACAGCCCGCTGCGGGCATGCCAGATAGAAAGGACAGGACAAAGTCAGCGTCAACTTCGGCAGGTGGCGCTGGCTTGTCAGCAAATGTAGGGAAGGACAGAGCCGCAGGGAAGAGCAGAGATAAAAAGATGCCAGTCTCTGAGGCGGAGGCGAGGGATGGCACGCAAGCAAAACAGAAGAAGAAGCGTGGTGTGCCAGAGCAAGAGATGCAGGATGTGGGCGAGCAGACATGCATGCGTGATGGCGCAGCAGAGAAGGACAGCGTAGGTGCGAGAAAGAAGCAGCGGTTGCAAGACGAGGAGAGGGGACCAAGAAAAGAGACGGCAGCCGTCACCAAGGCTTCAGGTGACAAGACTCCTGGCAAAAGTTCTGTGACAGAGCAAGGCGGCTTGCCTGACACTAGGGCCCCACACAGACCGGCAATGGTGGGAGTTTTTGAGGCACATCCAGACGCAGGCGACAGAAAGCAGCAGAAGGTGACCGCACTGGCACGAGGCGCACAGGTGTGTGCTTCATGCGAAAGTGCTATCACGAATGACTTTGACAAGACTGTGCTTTCTACGCTGTGTACCTGACAGTGTCTATGCTGTCCAGATCTAGTACACTGCATGAGATGGTTTGTGTCTCTGCTTTGAACAGGCTGCTGCTCTTCTGGCAGCCGAACCAGAAGCGCTCGGCACAGCAACTGGATGGTCTTGGGAGGCTCCGGCACCGGGTGCTGCAACAGATCCGGGGATGTCAACTGACAAGCATAATGGCAAGGCAGGGCAGAAGACGTCAGCGAAGCCGGAGCAAGCTATTATACGACCAGAAGCAGTTGTGCGGCTGCCAAAGAGCAAGAAAGCCAAAAGCAAGAAAGCAAAACAAGGCGCAGCATGAGCAAGTCTCTTGTTTGGGATTTCAAACTTGTACTCTGTGGCACATCATGGGCAATGATTGCTGGGCAACACAGTCGTGTAAGATCTTCAGATTCTCATCACTGGAGACAAAATCCATGCACTTCAGTTCTCTTGTTCAACTGTATTCCCGATGTTCAAAAAATGAACACGTGAATCCGGCAGGACTCAGAATCTGGGGAGCTCGCTATGCTTCTCCCACAAGTAAGTTTCCTCTCCCAGGAGGTGTGCTGCAGGGTGCTGTCTGGAAGTGTGCCCTCCTGACTGCTGCTGCCCCACAGAGTGCCCCTCAAATGCATCTGCTTCACTGCTCCACCGCTGAAATGTGAACTCCCTGCAATCACAGGCACATTACATCACACATCTCCGGTACATAATCACCATCACTGTGCATGAATTGCACGATCGGACATTTGCAACTGTGTGGCCAGGAGGTGTTTGTATGTTTGATGCACTTTTCACCGTCATTCCTACTTTGGCGCTCACACTGCCTTTCATGTATGTATTCTCTCCTGGTGCAATTGGGTGCCATACACGCTGACAAAAAACCACGGCATTCAAGTTCTTTTGGAAGGCCCTCAGATGTGTCAGCAACTTGCCTGGTGCCAAAAATCTTGCGCAGCGTGGGGCCCAGAGTGACAGTGTGCATGTCAGAGCGTGAGCGCTTCATAAACCTGCCACAGCTGTATGGTAAGCGGGGCAGCAGGCCTTGACTTGTACCTGCGCAAGCAAGGAGCAAATGACCTCATGACAACCTTCACAGGATCTTGCAGAAGGATCTGCAAGATATTCAATGTTCTTAGTGCTGTGGCTGCAACGGGCAGTCAAGTAGCCTGTAAGTCAGAGACACATGGTTGAAGGGACTTGTTATGAGGCAACGATGAAGAAGTGCACGACAAATGTGATCGATGGTCCAGAGGCTCTTTAGAAATGTTAGGAGCGGTGGCGGACACTGCAATGTACCTGGTTCCCTGAAGAGGAGGTGCATGATAGAACCAACCAACAGGAGGCTGGATAGCACGAGCATAGGTGGAACAAAGCTGCCTCCATTCGCATCTGCAAGCGTGCCGATCAGCACAGGCCCGCAAAAGCTGCCCACACTGCCCAGCATCTTCATCAGCGCAAATCCTGCAGCGCATCAGAACAATCATCAGCATGATGATGATAATATCAATATGATGTCAGCAAATGCCCGGCTGCAGACGATGTTGCACCGAGAAACAAGACACGCAAATCCAGAACACACCGACTGCCTTGTGAACAGTGCATGTACAGTAACCCTTGCCATTCTCAAAGGGCATGAGATTCAGGGGGAGGACTTTGCACCTGCCGCAGCATTGGTGCCCTGCAGAATGGCAGCAGGCCAAGATAGGAGCGGCCCATGAACCGCCCAGATGCCTCCGGCCGCGAGGCTCAGGCAGATGAAGGCCGCCCATGTAACTCGTCCCATGAAAGCAGGCATGAGCGCCAGGAAGAGTGCACCCAGAAACAAGGACACTGCGCCATGCCACTGCCTCTCCGCCGCCCTCTTTGACAGCTTCGCATTCACCTGCACGCACCTTGCATGTGCTTGCGTCTGCCGTCATGCGAAGATCTTTCAAATGTTGCAATCGTGGATCCTTAATCTTGCTGTCTGCAAGGATCTGGTTGTGCAGCTTATTTTTTGGTGTGACTAACAATGGGGAGAGCCTAATCTGACCACGATCAGGCAAACCTGGTACAGATCAGGTCACTTGCACATACAAAGTGAATCTCTGGTGTGATTCTGCTCTACTAATTTGGCAGCTGTATGGCTGCTTGTAACATGCAATTTGCAGCACCGCATGACATGATGATCAAAGATATCTGACATACGCGGCAAGGTGAATTTTTTTAGAGAGGGAATTCAATCACGCACCAGCATGCATACGGAAGCAATTCCAAAGGGGATGCCTGACAGCAACGCTGCTTGTACCGTGTCCCATGTGCTTGCACCTGCCTCCTGAACATCTTCTGCTTGGTCGGCTGCCCCTGCTGTCCCTGCATGTACCGAGAAGACTCCGTGTCAGCCTTTGTGTTACTTCTATGAAAGCTGCAGCTGTGCTGGGTGCTGGGTGGTAATCGGTAGGTCTACCTGGGGCTGAGTCAGTGTCGAGGATGGTGTGGATTATGATTGGACCCCAAAACACAATGCCATCCAGCCCAGTTGTTACCAGCGTCCACACAATTCCCAGGTACCTGGCACGCAACACCAGACCAGTTGGCGTCTTGGCCATGGAATTTATTTAATTTTCCCATGGTGACCAATGCTGTAGTCACGGGGGAAAGGTAGTCAAGCAGAGCATAAACACCATTTGGGCCACTCAAAGCCACAGATACACTTGGCAGCCACCCACCAGATACACCAGTTCTTGTAGAAGGGCTGACTGGACTGCGGCTCCTCAGTTTGTGAGATCCTCAGCTTCGTGACCATCTGCTCCTCCCCTTCCACTGGCGCCGGTTTAGCCCCTGACTGCTTAAACTTCCTGCATGTCCCACCTCGTAACGATGGGATCTCACAAATGTGAGCGTCCAACCTTCAATGATAGGATCTCATCGTCAGGAACTCTTCCATGTCACCAATGATGATGGGTCCTCTTGGTTTTTTGCGCAGAGAGCGACATCAAGAGCCTCAGGAGCGTGTGAGGAACATCCAATCCTATAAGCCTCTCGGCAACGCCTCCAAGGCATCTCAGTGCAAGCAAAACATTGCAACATTGCAGAAAAATGCACGCAGAGTTGGGGCATTGAAGTGCTTCAGGATTTGCGCCAGTTTTTGCGCTGGCAATCCATGCTGGTGGAGGAAGTGCAAGAATCGAGAACGCTGGAGAGCAAAAATTCAGGTATTGCTTGAAGTACCTAGTCCTTAAGGACTGTAGTAATATTAACATCCACTTTTGCTCTATCCTTTAAGGCATTCACCTGTCGATCAGCCACTGGCGCTCGTCGGGGGCGAGAAAGGAGGCTTGTTCAGGGCTGTGGGCCAGCAAACACCAGATGGCAATGCCCAGGGCCACCGCTGGGAAGCCCTCCAGCAGGAACAGCCACTGCCAGCCGCGCAACCGAGCCAAGCCGTTCAGGGAGAGCAGGGCGGCTGCTATGGGTCCCCCCAGGACCCCCGCAACTGCAGTGGCGGTTGACACCGTTGTGTATGCCACCCCCAACTCCTTGTCGTCATAGAACAGCGCCAGCGAGTACCACATCCCTGCGCATGAAAGCGCTTTTGCAAGCATTCTCAAAGTTTTAATAAAATATTGTGCACGAACATGAATATGATATACATCATGATTGTCGTTACAGAGTTAAAGATGCAGTACATGCAAGCTGCATCTTGACCGCTCAAGGGCCAGAAACACCCCACAAAGATCTCATCCCACTCCTTGTTCTGGGTCCAAGCCCTCTTTTTGCTCATGCATCTGTCCCCCATATTATGTTCAATTGCGGTGGCACTCAGTAGGTAAGAAATTAGGATATTTGATAGAGGGACAGTGGGTCTGTACCAGGATAGGCTCCACTCTCTGCCAAGCCCAGGATGAGTCGGAGGGTGTAGAACTGGGCACTGGTCTGCATCCATGCAAACAGCGTAGCAACGAGCCCCCACACAACAACGATTGTGCCCAGAAACTTGGGCGCTCCAACCCTGCAGTGGCCAGCACAAGACATGAGCAGTCACAGAAATGGTCTCTTTGATGGTGGGAGCAAGTCATAAAATAGGGGGAATCGGCCCTCACCTTGCACAGACATATGTGGAAGGCACCTGGAATACCATGTATCCTAGAAAGAACAGCCCTGCACCTCCAACAGGTATATCAGGGACGGATGAGCCCCCCAGCATTTCAGTTTGGCGCATAAACAGAAAGATCATGCAGCACATCGATTACAGTGCCTTGCCTTACCTGATCCGAGGCCATACACAGTATGGGAGAACTTTAGGTCGTGATTGAGCTGCAAAGCTGCATATGACAGATTTGCTGCACCACACCATCGGCGAGTTAGTCTCCTGGCCACAACTCATTATCTTTGCTCGAGACGTGAACTGGCCGGTCAGTGACTCACCACGGTCAATACTGCACAAAAGAGCCACGCTGAAAAAGAAAGGCAAGAGGTGGTGGTCCACTTTTCGGAGCACAGCCTTCCCATAAGTGCCCTGTTGCACAGAGAACCTGTGCTGTTCTTGGACTCCATTTGGCAGTGCCTCAGAGGGACGCATGCATGCTGCCTGAGAGGCATCATGAGCATAGCTTTCTCTGCCATGCAAGGCCTGCGCGTGTGCAACATGCCATTGGATTGAATAAAATGGGCTGTGCGTGCTAAGTTGTCTGGGTAGGATATCAGGGAATTGACTCCTCGTACCTGCTCTGGGTCATCACCGGATGGGGTGCTGCTCAATGTATACACAGGGCTCTCAGCCGATCCAGGAGCTGCTGATGAAAATTTCGGTAGCAAATTGGAAGTCTCATCTGCAACAGCGTCCTTGGCTGCATGCACGTGTCCCCTGATGCCTAACATGCCATCTCCTCTTGTGACGTTGATTTATGAGCTGTACGATGGCAAGCGCAATTCATTTGAGAAACAATTTGCACTCACCTGCTGTGTGTGTCATTTAATGCTTCAGGATAGCTTCATGACCAGGAGGACTCGAGCGACCAGCAACGCCAACACCCCATTCCAGAACCTCTAGGAACGGGGATCGGGTAGCGGCGTTGTCAAGATCGAAATCTTGATGCTTGCGTAGTCCTCGGATCAATACAAGAGGTGGGCTCGTGTGCGAAATAGTCCTCAGATCAGGTACGATGTTACCATTTTGTTTTGGTGCCCGGGGAATCAGTACTACAGACAGACAGACATTCAATGTAACAGTGAGATGACAACTTTGAGTCATTAACGATACAGGTATGTTGTGCAATTGAACTTGTTAGCGTGAATATCGAAGTCTCAAAGGACGCCTATTTTGGGGGGTTTCTGTGGCAGCTTCCTGAGCACCCTCTCTCACCTTGGACTCCCTCAGAACTTGTGGGAGGGCAGGAATCCCCCTCGAGGCTCTCGAAGCAGTCGATCATCAATGAGCTCTGGCTGTGACACATGTGCATGCTGGTTAAGCCTCCCAATGCAGCAATTGAATGGCGCTTGGAGGCCTCAGGCAGGCTACTAGGAGTTTTTGACTCTGCCGGAGGACCCTGCCATGCCAGTGGCAATTGCAAGTATGCCAGCGATTTCTGCAAAATTATTACAGTCACCGTTGTACAGCTCATCTGCAGCGCATATAAGCAATACTTCCATGCAAGGGGGCGAGACACCACTCCCAGCACTGACCTGAATTCAGGCCCGAAGATTCAGGAACCCTCCGGCATGGGCCATATGAGACAGGCCCTGCATGCAATTGCAGGCAGGCACCCAAACAATTGCAAAACTCCAATTAAGATATGTTCACAACTCGCCAGCTGTCCTGGATCTCTGGAACGGCATTGAAATTTGACAACACTCTGTGTCTGCCCTTCATTATCTGCAACGTCAGTAGAGAGGCTCGCAGCTTCACATTCTCTCTCCCTAATAATATTGCATACGGTCCTTTAAAACTTGCAATAATTCGGAAATGATGCACTGCAGCATTCTGCTCTCGGTCCTCACAGATGACAGAGCACAATTCTTTCATACTTCACCGAGAAACACACACCAGCCCAATCTGTCCGTATGTGTGTGCAGTAGCATTGCAAAGAGCTATGAACGAGCTCCAAAACCCCAACAAGAGGCCCCCATGACGGTAGCAAGACCAATTAAGGATCTCACGACAGTCACAAACTGCCAGGAATAAAGGGCGACATGATATGGATGCCGAAACACCACTTGGGGCCGTCTATGATGACCCACATGGCCATCACACACTCAGAGTCCCTCCAGACACTTTCAATATTTGGCGCAGGGAAAAGAGCTTCACCAGGAGTCGACTTCATCCCTCAGCCTCCCCTCTGCAGTGGGAGCCGGCCCCTTCAATTGCCTGGCCGGCACCCTTCCCCTGCCCCTGTCTTTCCCAGCTGCACTCCCTTCGCCATCCTCTCCACCCTCATCTACAGACCTCAAGCTCGCACCGCTCTCACTCCTACTAACAGCTCGCGAGGCTCCATTCCTCTTTCGGCGAGCTTTAATGACCTGCGTCCCAGAGCCGCTGTCCTCGTCCGAGGCGCTGTCACTGCTTCCATTGATCCTGCTGAGGATGGACCGGGTCCTGATCAGTTGCGTCCCATTACGGCCCCTGCCGTTGGAACTCAAATTCGAACTTGCAGTCGAGAAATCATCGTCGGACCCGCTGTCGCCTTCGTCCATGGAGGACTGGCTTCTGCGCATGCGGTAGCTACGCGCAGCTACCTCAAATAGCCCGTTGGCGCCGGACAGCCCCGTCTCGGCCGCCGTGTCCGCCACATGCTGGCTCCACTCATTTTCCCCCCGCCGGTTTAGCACCTGCCGTTTGCACACATGGTCAACTGCATGCTTGCCCAACCTCATTAGGCTTCATGCGCTTCCCAAATACCCGCTTGACAGGAGACACAAGGTGGGGCATTGGATCATCTCCTGATGGGAGGCAGTTGTCTATTGCCGATAAAGAATAAATGGACAACATCTTGATCTGAGATGGACCTAAGTCAGCTACGCCTTGTGCTTAGCAAGAGCACAGTCTCTTTGCAGACATGGGGAGACACAGATCGGCAGGTGCATGCCTGGTATTCGAGCAGCTCTGCCAGTTCGGAGAGGCCGCCCCAGCGCTCAACAACATGCGCCAGGTCGTAGCGGTTGGCGCGCACAAAGTCCATCTTGAGGGGCATGATGCGCGGGGGCAGGCCCTCCTGCTCGCAGAACTCCGCGATCTCCCTCTCCACATTCTTCAGCTTGTCCCAGTAGCCGCGCGGCGCCTTCGCCTGTCGCCACCAGCATGTAATTAGGGATTCCAGGAAATCTACCACTCCGAATGGACAGAGTTCACTCCTATTTTGCATTATCTTCACTCTGCACACAGGTAGTATCCCACCCAACCAGTTCTTGTCGAGCAGAATTACAGCAATCCAGTGAATTGACTTCTTTGCGCCGCCCTTCTCAAGTTCTATATGTGCGTATGTAAGTAATACATCAGGGGTCTGACCTTGTAGGCCAGCTTCCAGCCCATGCGCTTGGCGACGGCCGCGGGCCCGCCGTGGGCGACCATGGCCTTCTCGAGGTCGGTGCGCGTGATGGCGCGCAGCTGCGCGCGAGTGGGCATCGTGCCGGTGCCGCCAAAGCAGCGCTCCAGCTCAGCGGCCAGCAGCCCAAAGTCCTCCGCCATCTCAGACAGCCGCGGCCGCTCCGTGCGCCGGCGCAGGTACGCCGCCCGATTGCCCTCGCCTGCAAAAAAAAAATTCCTGGAAACATTATTATGTGATCGGCAAACCCACAGCCTGAGGCCATAGAGTATACAACCAAAATTTGCTGCAGGACATTTTACAAGGTGACCATACAACACATCAGCCGCCTTGCAAAGGTGCAGGCAAGGCCGAAAACAGGAGACAAGCCATGCAGGCGTTGTATCTTATTTACTAATCTACTAAAAATCTACTGTTATTGTCTGTATAGTCAACCCTGATAGCTACTGAATAATGCAATAGTCAGCATTAGGGGAGCATCTGGCACGCCTCTACTAGGAGGCTGCACAGCATGGGAATTGCCCAGGATGTACCTTGTGCTTCTAGCTCGGCGATGCGGCGCTGAAGCTTGAGGTCCTCTACGCGCTGTTTGAGGGCGGCCAGGTTGAAAGGAATGTCCTCGTAAACCATGCGCTCTAGAATGGGTTCCAGCAGGCCCATCATGGGCGTGCTGCGTGGGATCTTCACCTCCACGGCGTACTTCAGGTGCGTCTCCTTGCGCCTCGCTAGAGACAGCGGCCGCAGCTGCAGCGCAGCCAACAAAGCTCAACTTTGAACATTGGGGGTGACAACTTCATTATTTTCTCTTTAGCGCAATTATCGGTAGTCAGGAACGCTCTCCTACGCTGATTTTGCTTCTGTTGTGTGTATTTGCTTTGTGTACTGAGCACAAATCAGCACAGGAATGCGAATGAATGGGCCAAGGAATGGCATAAAGGTCTCTAAAATATCATGGGTGACCATTTGTGTAGCAGAGGTGCGTTCTCTGATGCAGGGGTCGAAGGGGGAGAGAGGTTGTTGTAAGTAGACTCATTCCCCTTCGGAGTGGCGAACAAGAAGTCCTGGTTCGAGTCTCTGACTCGCCAGTGACTTTTTTTTCAAGATTTCGTGTTTTTTTTCTAATTCTGAAAACTTTATTATAGTGAACACTCATTGAAGCAGCCCTCACATGTCGCTCAACACCCAGATAAGCTTCAACACAAGGCTCTTCTCTGTGATAGCTAGGCAGACCAAGGTGAGGTGCTCACCTCATACTCTGGTTCGCTCAGCATGAATTTGCCCTGCAGGACCCCAAAGTCCCCGGCAACGGCCCTGAACTGGATCTCCCTGTGCGGCCGCTCGTGCAGGTCCAGGACGGCCTCCGCATGCAGTTGCATGAACACCATGTCCTTGAAACCCACCTGCCAAACAGCACAGATGTTTACACTCCATGCCCCACAGGACCATCAGCAGCAATTCCTTGTCGATTCCTTCCCAGATGCAGGATATGGCTGTGTCAATGAGCTACTCTGGCTCCAGACAGATCATCGGACAGACCTAAAAGATCCCTTTTCACTGAGTCAAGGGGCAGAGGCCATAGGCGCAGCGCAGCGCACCTGTCGCAAGCGCGTCAGCCGAGACTCCATGCCAGCAGGCACCGGCAGCCGCTCGCACACTGCCAGATTTGGCACGAACTCGGGCAACGCCTCGTAGTCAGTTAAGACATCCCATACCTGCACGAAGAACACTCCCTTAAAACCTTGAGCACCTCTATCCAGCTACCCACTCACAAGACAACAAAGCCCTGACGCATTTCACGTCGTCCTGTCACGCATTTGCATGGAAAGCAAGGGTGCACCTGGGACGGCACTCTTGCATGATCGCGGTCTGCCAGACGAATGACAAGAAAAGCAAAGTAAAACTCTGAGAAGTTGTCCCTACCTCCTCCAAGGAGGCTTCCACGGCAATGACGGCCACGGCACGGCGGTGCAGCGTGTTATTTGTGTCCAGCCGCCGCAGGTGCACCTCCGTCAGCGCCTCCAGTAGAGACTTCTTGGCTGTGCCAATCGCCGGATAGGACGCCTGCATGCATAAGACAACAGCCAATCACGTACATGCCAAACCAAGCCGCGCACAATTCTCTCTTGTAACACAGCTAGAATTGCATGCTTTGCAGCCTGACATTTCATTCAGTTCCCGCTCGATCATGCAAAGATCAAGGCATGCGGGGGCCAAGGCAACAAGTTTAACATCATGTGATGGTTGTTTGTGCGATAGCAGATTGTTTAGGTGATTCTCACCTGCACGGCATCTTCGCGCCGGCGCCTCTCTGCCAGGACCTGGGCACGGTCTGGCAGTGGCGCGACTGTCTGACTCCGCTGGGCCGGCAGCGGAACTGAGGTGACGCCCAGGTAGCCTCCAGGCCCAAAACGCCCCTTCTGAGCCTCCTCCCAATTGATGTTTGGAGCCTGCACGACGCGCCAGCATGCAACTGGTAACATGCACCCGTGACCTGACGTACAAGTAACAAAACATGCAGGTGCATACTTGACATTGCTGATCTCCATTCCTACACAAAGTGCTACACATGGCTTCACACACAGAGTGTCAGGAGCATCAGCAGCAGTCCTGTGTGACAAGTGAATAAGGCTTGCATAGAGGACCACACCTGCAAGCGCAGCTTGGGCCAGGGTGCTCTAGCTGGGCCCTTGGCCGGCAGCACCTCTCCGCGCAGGTCTCTGCGCTGGGGCCCAGGAAGGGTGCCCACCGCCTCGTCCCGTAACGCCCCGGCCGCAAATCGCGGCGCCTCCAGCTTTGCCCTTGCCATCTGAGTCAGAGCCCCATAAATATAAGCCATTCATTGCGTTCATTGTGGTCTTGTGGAACGCTACTGCACTGCTTCCTCAAATGACCCCATTTGTGCGCACAAGCATCTGTGTCACTCCCAGGCATGTATGGAATAGACATTGGTTGTTTTAATGCAGGCTCCTCCAGCAAATTGAGAGCAGACTGTAAAGTTCAGGCCACACTCTCCAAGTTCTAGGGGATGCCTGGTGAGTAGCACGTGACCAGCTGACTTGAATGCACATGCGACGGCCTGCAGTCCTCCTCCCTTCCAAAACAGACAATGCATCTCACAGCAGCCAGACATGTCGCGTGCAAGTGCTCACAGCAAAATTTGCGCCCACCTCTTCGGCTCGCTCGGCGATGGCGCAGATATTTGCAGGCAGGCCGGACTTGACGACCTTGGAGACGAGCGTGCTGGGAATGGACCACTTTGGGGCCACGCTGATCTCATATCTCAGCTTTGTGGTGCCCAGGGAGCGCCCATCGCGCACTGTGGGATCTGGCTCCACCGTCCACTGCCCAGAAAACTCCTACAATGATACAGCAAACGATGTAGTAAGCAAAATTGTCCGGAGGAGACAGGCATGCAGTCAATTATCGCCTGCTTACACGGACCACAATCCACATTGGCCTGCAATTTATGGTCAGCCAACTTTGAGACCAATACTGCAAAAGATGCAGGACAGGCAGAAGAACTGCAGAGCTTACGGTTTGCAAGTTGCAACCAGAGCACTGGAGTGGCAACAGGAGGTGGGTGTGAGTGGCCACAAGAGGTGAGCACCTTCAGGTTTGGGCTCTCGACCATGGCAAAGCGCAGCTCTCTGCGCCCCAGGGGGCCTTTGACCTCCTGCACGTCCAGCACGGCGCTGGCCTCCAGTCGCAAGTACAGGCTTTGGCTGCATCCCTGCTGGCGCAGCCGGTAGCGCGTTGCACTCCCCCCTGGCAGCTTCTCGCACACCTCCAGGTTCGGCACAAACTCCACCAGCCTGTCATAGTCTGTCAACACCGCCCAGACCTGCGCATAAGCAACCTGGCTGATGTTCCCACGATTAGGGCCCAAGCTACAAGCAGACTTACGTGCTTCGCCGAGCAGACTTATGTGCTTCGCCGAGCAGATGCAGGCTCAAGCTAAAAAATGAATGCCTTTGACATGCTTTGATATGCCAGACTTGGATGACGACTGGAGGTATGCAGGTTGGAGGTCTATAAGAGGAGGGTGCCTGCCTCCTCAACACTGGCGTGCACGGTGACCTCTGCAAGAATGCGCTTGTTTTTGACCTTGTCCACCTGGACAAGCTTGACACTTCCACCGCCAGGATTCGGGAACACTGCATGACATACACATGCTCCTCAGTCTGACGGATTTAGGAGTGAGGCAGTGGAGCAACACCAATCAAAGGTTTCAGCAATGGTCAGGCGTTCAGGATACATGACCTTGAATGCCTTCCGCAATCAGGGCAGCAGAGCCTTACTTCTCAATACAAATGATACATTGCCGCTGGTTTAACATTCAGAAAGATGTTCAACAAGGTGTGTATGCTCCTCACCTCCCGTGTACACTGCCTGTGTCTGTAGGGTAGAGGCGAGCTTCTGTCGCCTGTGCAGGCGTCTGATGAGAAATCTACCTGCATTGCACCGCCAATCGAGCGACGTGGGTGCTGCACGACACGTTGAGCTCGCCGACGCTCCAGAAACTCTCCTTGCTGCCAACTCACTTTCTATACAACTTTTTGAAGGAGGAGGGAATGGATTCAGCGATGGTAGCATCGAACAAACTAAGAGGGTTGGGGTAGACTGACAACCTTTGTGCCTATCTAATTGGAATGGCCCTGATCAACTCGACAAACGCACACAAGCCGGGCTATGCGATCTAGGATTTGCCCACGTGGAAAGTGCATCGGAAAGGCATGCTTAAGCTTACTGAGGCTCCTTTAATCTCGTTGCGAAAGCGAGAGTGTGACATTGCTGCCAATATTCCAAGTCTCTGTCCTGTCAAACCGAGCAGCAATGGATCAATAGATCAAGTTGATGTCCTGCAGTGCTGTTGCGTCCGTGTAGGATGAGAGCAGTCGGACTTTTTATTTATATACTTAATTTACGTACGTGAGGGTGAAAAGTGATATTGCACATTTCGAAATGCTCACATTGACTCCCTTACTGCCCAGTCTACCTGGAGTGCATCCTCCAAGGTACCCTTTTATGTGGTCAGATACCTCTCTTTGGTACGTAGGTATTTTCGTGGTGTTGCTGTATGCTCAAACAAATAGCTCATCTCAACTGATGCTAACATTGTATTCAAATGGACAGGGAATTGCCCGCCATGGCATGCCACTGATACTTGAGCATAAGTCTCAGGGCTGGGCAGTGAAGCCTGAAAGGAAATTCCTATAGTGCAGCAGAAGTGACAGCTCGATTCTACACGCAGGTGTTGTCTGTCACCAGTATTTTACCAAAGAGGAGCATGCCAAAGGAGGAGGGGTCCCAATGTAGCTTGTCAGGGAGCGAGCTCCAGCAGTGACGGTAATGCACCAGGAAATGATGCATCGGCACAGAGCAATGCCAGTGATGGAAATCCATCCTCTCAGCGCCCTGCTCCCTGGACCATCATTTTTGACATCAGGGAACGTGAAACAATCTGGACCGATGAAAACAAGGTACACCGCCCTGCCCTTCTTCATGCAGAATTTTTGCATTCCTGTATCCTCTTTCGAAGAGTGTAGTTCAATTTGCCACTGAATGGCCGTTGGGACTCTCCATGGGACTCTCTAAGTCGCTTGCTGTTTTGCAGGCTCGCTTGGTGCAAATGTTCGCTGCGAAAGAGCTGGGCATGGATAAGGACATGCTGTCATATCGCCTCCGCCAGCTGACGCTGCTTCTGCCGGATTTGAGTGCGTGATCCGTTGAGCAATGCAGCACACAGAACGAGCAGTCTGCAGTGCAGGCGCACGCACATTTGCTCTGCTACATGTGTGTCTACTTTGTGCTTGGTGAGGAATCGGGATGTTTGCAATGCAGGTGGCAGGGTAGCATCAATGAAGCCGGCCCTGCTGGCAGACATCCTGCGAGACCCTGTGGCAGTGGCCGAGCGCTGCGTGGGTCTCAGGGACGGCCTGCCCTTTGCAAATGTGTCCAGACTCATTGCAGGCGACCCAGCGCTCTTGCTAGAGGCAAGTAGTCTGCCCTACCTTGGAAGCCCCAATAAAGATGCAAGGCGTTGATGAACAAGCAATCATGATGGGCTGCATGCAGGAGGTGGAGGCAGTTGTGGAGAGAGTGCAGAGCTTGGCGAAGGTGCTAGAGATTGATGACCGGCATGCTCAGGAACTGGCCACCCAAGAGCCCAGGTATTCCTGGCCCTGCCACAAGATATATCGCCTTATGCAGGTTTGCTTTTGCTGTCCACGGTCTGTGATGTGTGTATATAATTGCCAAACTCTGCATGGCACGATATAATCATGCCTGTGCATGCCAGGTTCTTGGATGTTGAGGGAGTGTCAGAGGTGCTTGAGGAGATGGAGCGCCTGATGCCCAAGGCCAACCCAAAGACAGTCCTGCTGAGGGACCCTTCATGGCTGATGAGAGTGGAGCGCGGCGTGAAGAATCTCGGTCCACATCCTGACGATATCTGACTTTGTCCACACTAAGTAACGCTTGTTTCTGCCTATGTGCTCTCTATTCAGCAAAATACGCTTAATGTAGGCATGCGGGTGGCAGCTTTGCCATGGATGTATGAGGTCCTTTGCCAGCTGGGGCAGGGGTTTAGGTCCTCAGGGCTTTCTGTAACATTTTGTTGTGTCACAATTGCAGGTCAGGGCTGAGTTGCGGTGTACACAGAGATCTACAAGGATCAGCACATTTGTGGGTCAAAAATCGAAATGTTGTGTTGGACTCACTGTACCATCACTGATATTTTTATAGCGCCAGGGCTGAACTCTGGCCAGCGCTTTGTATATGTATAGCAGCATAAGGCCTTGATCAATCATGTATGGCACTGGGCAGGTACAATCAGGGCAGGAAATTCTATCATCGCTTTCCATTCAATATATCACTTGCCATAAAATCGAATGATTAGATAGTTGCAAACGTTTTTGGTGCAGCATTTCTCTTACAATCTTGCCGGCGCAAGTGCCAAAGGCACGTCCCTTGGGTCCACATTGTGATAACTCAGAAGTGTGGTGTATCAAGATGTAACAATCAGTAACCTTTGATCAGGTGCCATGCAGACAGTATGTCGACAAAAATATTTTATGCATTTCCGATTGAAGACGAGGCATCAAAATGTGTTGGCAGTCTCTGGCTCATTCAGTAAATCCAGCACCAACTCTGTACTGGCAAGATCCTTTGCCGTCTTTCCATCTGTGCCCTGCATTCATGACAGGATATTGTCTCAGCACTCGCAGGATTGTCTCATTTGTAGCACAAACTGCTCCTGACTTTTGTGCCACAGACCTGTGCCAAATGCTCTGAAGGGCATTGCTTCTGTTACAGGCTTCACTTCTAGAGCGGTTGAGCTTTACCTTGGTGTTGATATCTGCGCCAGCGCGTATGAGCTCTGCCACCTTTGGGGCATCATTTTCCTTGGCTGCCATCAAGAGCAGCAGGTCCACAGGCGCCAAGCCCTCTGCAGAGTAGAGAAAAGTATGTTTATATCTGAGTCGGCAGACACTCTGCATAGCCCTGTACAAGCTAGGGAGTCCCGATAACAATGCAGCTCGCACACTGTGGAAAACACGAGCCTCAGGGCACTCTTAAGAAGGCGTGGCACTCACGAGCAAGCATTGCATTGAGACGATCATACGTGCCCTGCATCAGACATGCACGACTTGATTGATATTATATGATATGAGAATTATGGTGAAATGAAGAGGTTCAATGGACAGCGGCCGTTTCACTGAAGCACCCAGCAGTGCTATTCCCGGTCAAGCCAGCATACCTCGGTGGCAAGCATTCCCATGTAATTGAAGTAGTGCTCCACATCGTCAGCGCTATAATCGTCCCTTTTTTGTGAGGCATAGACGCCTGCAGTGCACCACCGTTCGACAGCCATCCTGAGGAAAATTGGTGCAGTACCTGGATAAATTGAAATACGGCATCGATGCAAGGATCGGGAATTTCACCTGCATCCTCTGATGATCCTCTGAGTGGGTTCTTGAATTTGAAGAAAGCTCTGCACTTTGCACCATTAGAGACAGCTCTCTGCAACTGCCTGCCACTGGGAAATCTGGACTGAATGTGAAATCTCTGTGCACAAATGGGGCTATTCAGAATTCTCCCGGTGCTGCAGCAGTGTTGCTGAACAGGGATCGTTGATAACATCTTTGCAGCAACACAGATTTGCCACCCCTTTTTTCGTAATGGAAGACTCGGCTGAAGCAGGAATTGAAAGCTAGATAATATGTAGCAATGATACAAGACGGGAGTTAAAAACTGCACATTTCTGGGATCTATCTTATCGGGGACCAGATTTATTGCGCCGTCTTCCGACAGGCCTCGAACATGCATGCACCACCGTGACAATGTTCGTGAAGTGATTGTCCATCCAGCCAAAGCTTAATAAGTTAATAGCTCAGAATAATAAATTATGAACCTGGTGTTCAATGTGCTGCCAACCTTGAGCGACAGCAAGTTTGAAGGAAGGGGCGCTGCAGGCGTCTGTCAAACGTGTACTGCAAGTTGCGAATCGTTCTCCGAGAATTTCAAATTAAAGTATTTATGCAAAGATTGATTATTGGCACATTATCATAAGCATCGTGCGGGTCCATCTGATAGACAGGCCTTGGCGATCTATGGTTTTTCGACAGATTTAAAGCGCAGATCGCCGTCACATTCTCGCAATTTTGCATGACTACAAAATGGTGAAACCAAGTAAGTACGCTTCCGCACACGATTCCTCGGGAGAAAGCGCAGGAGAGCTGGCGTCAGACGAAGCTGGGCACAGCTCTGACAGCAGCTATGGCCAACACCCAGCAGAGGCCCTCATCATTGCTAAGGCCAGGAGACGAGACTCACAGGGTGCAACCTCGTCGCCACTGCCAACAGCAACTGCGGTGCGTAGGCGACTGAGAGCCTTAGCCAGGTTTTTATGAAAGCGCCAGACCTGAAACTTATGTTTTATGTTGACCTGTATTGTGCAGGTTGTTGGCGAACCATCTCAAGAGAACGGGCACTTGGAATACCCTCCGGGTCTTAGGATCACTCCCTTGCAGGAAGAGCAGGGGACAGCAGCTGGGGACTTCACTATGGGCAAGGTGTCAGCGAAGAAACGGCATAGAAAGCGCAGACACACTTCAAAACTGTTGAAGATCGCTGTCAAGAATGCAGAGCTGGCTACTGATGCAGGTGTGAGATTCAGTGTCACAGAAACAGACAGACACGGGCCTCCTTGAGAGGTACAGCTTTGAGTGAAAGACTTTCTCTGGGAATGCACTGAACACACTTCAACGACTACAATCCAATGACCACAATGGAGAGCATGAACATTCTGCACAAGAGGTGCAGATGTCATTCTTGTGTGCCGGTGTGTGACTTCATAGGGTACATGGTACATCTCCTTGCTGTGCTTTGGTCCGGCACCAATGTGCATGCGCTCTTGGCAGTGGTAAAATGAGCAATCAACCCTGTCAAAACTAATCAATGCTTACCGGCAGGAGGTCTCAACCAGGCCTGGGCTCGGGGTGTGTGGCGCCTGCAGGCGGCAAAGCAGTGGCCACGGAGACCACAGCTGTCAGGACACAGGACGATGACATTGACGGAGTCTCCCTGATGAGCTCTGACAGCGAGGAGGAGCGGGGCATCACTTTGGGAAACGCTCCTGATGCGCAAGGTGCACACTCATATTGATTTTGGCCGTCTTGAAATCTCTGCTCAGTTTAACACTGTGAAAGACTCCTGCCAGAGGACAGGTGTTCAAAATGGCACATGTCTTGATAATCCTGATCCCTTGCACTGCGTATTGGACACCGCCAATTCCTAACCGCCAATCCTGAAACGCATCTGGAGGATGGGACTGCCCTTCGGGAAGTCCTGTCAGACATTCCCTTTCAGCATGTGGGAGGCATGCTGAGATATGTGCGCATGGATATGGGCTGCAGGGGTGAGTCGGCCGGTGCTGGCTGCGCCCGTGGGAGTGACGGTGGTGCCGGAGGGCGAGGAGGCCGTGGCACGCGCGCCGGAGATGCAGCGGCTGCTCAGACAACCGCGGTGTGTCCTCGGCTCACATTGGAACTATAGATAGAGTTCATCTTCCCGCTTCCCATCTTCTTTTGTGCAATAGTGCAGTGTTACGGCACCTACATTGAGAGATACCGAAATCTGTGATGCCAGAGTCCAGCTAGATCAGTGCAGATTGTCTGGCTGCCATAAGGCGCTAGACAGGGCGGCCTGACTGTCGCGTCAAAGTGTAGTTGGTGCTTGAATACACAAGGTTGTGGTTGAATGAGGTGCGTGGGCGGCGCAGGTACTTTGACGAGGATTTTGAGGCGGCGGCGATGCGGTGCTTCAAATGCGGCGGCCAGGGCCACATGGCGCGCGACTGCCCCAACGAAGAGCGCCAGCGCCCATGCCACCTGTGCGGCCAGTTCGGCCACACCCGCTACCAGTGCTCCAACAGTGCGCGCCTGGACTGCTTTAGCAACATCAGCCCAGACATATGCTCAGTTGACAAACAAGCAATTTTGTGGTATCATGTCATCACGGACAACAGACAGAGTGGTTTCTTGCACCACTCCCCTGTTAAAAGCCTGCGAGGAAACCTCGGCAGCTTGCTGTCTTGCAACTGGCCAATTCTTGCAGTAGGACTGCGTGGATGCCAAAAACAAGTGCGCATGCTCTTTGAAAACCATAGATGAGGTGCACTGAGAGCCCACTGCCATCCTGGCTTCTGTAAACCCGAATCTGTGCATGTTGCAAGGCGCCAGCCCAGCAAAGAGGGTGGCAAATTCTTGCATGGCACGAATTGCCATGTCTGACATTGACAGTGTGGGTGCCGCAGTGATCTGCTTCAAGTGCAACAAGCCGGGGCACCTGGCGCGGGACTGCGTGAACGGCTACGCATCAGCGGAGGCTGCACCCCTGTGCCAGCGCTGCGGTCGAGAGGACTGCCCTGCCGCCGGCGCACCCGACTATGTCAGGTCAGCACACTCTTAAATCTCTCGCAACTCCTCTCACATACTTACGGATGCTGATAGGCTGATATTAAGCAGCTGCATGGATGAACCCGGGGAAGTCCTGTATGCGCATTACTGTACCAGCATATATTTGCTTGGCAAAATACGCTCAAGATCGGCATTGCTCACGACTGACAAGTGCTCAAGAGTGCACACTGTGCCATGCCTCTGTACTTACAGCTAAGGGAAGCCTGTTTACGAACAGGTAAGCTTATGGCACTGCTCTGTCTATGCCCTTGGTTGACAAGGAGTATATTGCTATGCCTGTGTACTTACAGGTACGAAAATCTAACAAGTAAGAGTAAAGCGCTGCTCTGTATCCACTGCAGAGCGGAGGGAGGCTGCACTGGGGAGTATTTGGAGGGGGACCTGCGGCAGGCGCTCTGCGTGGCATGCGGGCGGCGCGGCCACCTGTGCTGCCAGCTGGCTGAAGGCCTGCCGCCCCGCAAGACCTCCTGCTACAACTGCGGCGAGGGCGGCCACGTCGCCGAAGACTGCTGGCGGGTGTGCACACCCATCTAGTACAGGGAACACCAGTTGTAGGTGTCGCTCGAGCACTGAAGGATCCATGACCAAGGAGACTTGGCATGCCCCATGTGAAAGATACGGAGATGGTGACAAGCGCGCGGAGGTTGCAGGTTCTTCTGTAGATGCTCGCCATACTATCCGTCAAAATTCCTGCGCAAGGGGAATCTGGAGTGCCACAAGGCCTTTCAAAACCCCTGTGTGAGTCGAAAGAGCCTTTTTTGGTGCAGGAAGAGCCACAGGCGGTGCAGAACGAGCGCAGAGGCTTCGGGCAGCGCAGGTTGACTGCGGTTCCCCGAGGCGGCGGCGGCACGGAGCACACCTACTACACCTCCGCAGTGTCCAGCAGGTGCCAGACATGTCTGATCCTCAAAAGTGCATGTGCTCACCAACCCTGCTGCCAATGCCATTGCAGGCTAGAACTCCCCATTGCTTGTTGGGATGTGCGGTGTGCGATCATGCGCAGATCGGTCAAAAATACTGCCTGAGACTGGATGTTTGCAGCAGGACATCCTGGGACACGTATGGACGGGAGGATAGCTACACAGGCAATGGCTATGCAGGTGCTGTCCCATGCTTCTTTCGTTGACAAAGGCTCTGCTCCTCTTGGCAAGCGACAAATGCACGTTTGCGCTCATTTAGAAAACCGGTGTTGTCTCGCATGCACCTTGAGAATGCAAATGCCGAGGTTGGTATTGAAGATATGTGTCCCTTGTGGAATGCAGGTCAGCGGATGGGCAACACATATGGGGGGTTTGCAGGAAATGGGTATGGCCAGGGAGCTGCCACTAGCTACCGCGGGGCTTCCAGCACCGCAGAGCGGGTGGCTAAGTTTGCAAGAGCCACTCGGATGGAAACCCAGGAGGATCAGCCTCAGCAGGGCAGGCAGGTCACCACATATTATGACAGCCATGGAAACTGGCAAAGTCCAGAGAAAGGCAGTGCTGACTGGAGGAAATACGGTTCCACCCGCAAGAGGCGATAGCGTTATAAGCCTCTTGGACTTCAAGATGCGGTAATGTGACTTATTTTATGTCTTATCGTGACCAGCTGTGAGGGTTGATGGGTGGACAGGACAATGCGTGCATGGCTGATACAATGTGTTTTGGTGCCTCACTAAGTCAATCTGTGACGTTTACAGTTGGTTGGTCAATCAGCCTCACCAATGCCAGACTTGAACGCATGTTGCACTGTGTTGCAGTCATTGCATTGCAGACAGTTTGTCTTCACACAGCTCTTTACTATTAGAGAGTGTAAGTAGAGATGAGATCAGAAGAGTCAAAGTAATAATATACATATGGGACACAATAGCTGGTTCAGTCCAAATTTCGCCTGCCTGCCTGCTTGACACCTTGCAACCAAGGCCCAAAGCATGCGTGAACCTGGACAAGTAATAGCTCTGATACTGTCCACATAACCATGCATTGACCTCTGTACCAGTTCGTCAATGCCAGAGAGGCTGCAGAACGCCAACGGAAGGCCTGGCAGACCCCTCTAAGTGATTCATCCACCCTGCAGCTTCCTTAAGGTGTCTTCCCTTGCGGCTGGCTATGCAGACTCACAAAGCCTGCAACCTTTCATCGTATCACCTTACCGGTAGGGAGAGGCAAAACGACGCAAGGCCCAAGGCTGGCGCTCAGGCCAGAGGCTTGGTGTATGGTTCCAGAGGCTCTCCCCTGAAGCGAGCGCCCCTCTCGCCATCCTCGTCCATGTCACCCCAGTTGACGTACTGCTCCTTGGTCTTGGGGAAGTCCCTCGGGCTTCCAGCCACCTGCAACCGGCGCTCGCACATTCAGGAACCCTACCCCCACCCCTGCCCTGCCCTGGCTTAGCATTCACAAAAGCTGTGAAAGAAGTCTGGGTCTTCTCCAGACATGCATAGGTAAGAGTGCCCCTTGGATTGAGCCAGGCATGTCTTTGCATCCTCCTTTGACTGGATGTATTGTATTGCCCCAACTAGAAATCAAGATGGTGCCTTGGGGACCGTTACTCATGAATAACAAGCAATGTGGAAGCCATTTATATGCTGTTTAGATTTAGTTAATCTGAAGATTCTCAGGCAGGCGGTAGCGGGCTCACCTTGAAGCCTGCATCGTCTCCGCCAATGACATGGTCGATGAGGCCGTACTCCTTGGCTTCAAGCGGCGACATGTACCGATCCCTGTCTGTGTCCTCATCAATCTGCGCAGCAGCCAGGCCTATCAGGAGTCTTGCTTTGCCAACCATTTTCTCCACCATGTTTGCCCTTTTTGTATTTACAGTACTTGAATCAAGGTGGCCCAAATCATTCGCAAGCCCCCAGAACTTGCTATGATCTCAGCGATTGGAAAATGCACAAGCAAATCATTCGCAAGCCCCCAGAATTTACTAGAATCTCAGCGTTTGGAAAATGTACAAGCACTTCCTTGCTGCCAGGGTGATAAAGCAGGGCACCAATGCAGCAGCAGACCCAGATTTCTGGGAGCTGGTTTCTGCCGTCCATCTAAACCATGCAAACAACTGAAGGCCAGAGATTGACAAATAAAAGGTAGATCTGACAGGAGGCAGCACCTTATCAATGGGCTGCCCGGTGCACTCGGACATGATGCGATTGAGATTGGCCTTGTGGTACATGATCTCCTTGGCCTGGATCTCGATGTCCACTGCCTGACCGCTGGCCCCTCCCAGCGGCTGGTGGATCATGATGCGCGCGTTGGGCATCGAGTAGCGCTTGCCCTTGGCCCCGGCCCCCAACAGGAACGCCCCCATGGACGCGGCCAGCCCAAAGCAGTACGTCTGAATATCCGCGCGGCACAGCTGCAGGCACATGCGCAAAGCAGTGTCAGAGAGCGAGTGAGTGTTGTTTGTCTCAGCAGCAACTTCAGAGGGCCATTTATGTGATTAAATTCTACTGGATAGGCGGAATGCGGAGAGGGGTGGAGTCTCAAGCTCATCAGGACCAGCTTGTTTTTTTGAAGAGCATTATGTAGGCGGACTGCAGGATTCACTGGATGCAAAATGCAGGAAGGGTTGGCCAGAGACAGAGTTTCCAGCGCAGTACGAATGCAGTATAAGCCGGCCAGAGACAGAGTTTTCTGACCTGCATGGCGTCATAGATGCCCATGCCTGCTGTCACAGAACCTCCAGGAGAGTTGATGAACAGTTTGATGTCCTGTGCATGCATCACACAGATACATCTGAGCACAGGTCATTTTTGGGCCACGCACAATGTAAATTCCTTGGTCTCTTTGGAGCACACGTCCTTGCGCAGCAGCTGCTGTTCTGAGAGAAGAGTACCTTGGTGGCGTCCTGTGAGTCCAGCAGCAAGAGCTGACTGATGATGGCATCTGCTGCAAAGTCGTTCACCTGCACCAATAGCAAATCGTTGGGTGTCTGCCACAAATCACGGCCAGGCAGGAACTCCACTGGACCAGAGATCAGGTCATGAAATCGCACCTCTCCACCCAGAAAGACGATCCGCTGTCTCATTAGCAATCCAAATGGGTCTCCAGCCATGTCTTGTGTCCTGGACGCACAGAACTGTTAAAACTTCCAGGTATAGAATCACAACTTTGCTTGAAATGTTTATTCGCTAATTTCAGATCAAAATAGAATATTCTTTTGATTTTGCTCCTGTCTTTGTGATCACTTTGCAGGTCTTGCTGTCTCCCAGATCACTTGAGCAAAAGTCACCTAGGAGTCATAATCGGCTGCTGCGCCCTGATTTCGAGCCCAGATTGGCGTTTCAATGAGTTTCTCAATTTAGCAGATTGTCCGTGTGCAAATCCCGCTAATCTGGGGCTCTGAGCGCTTTTCCAGGCGGCTACGACATTGCACGAAGCCTGCTGTGCAGAACGTGACCTCTGTGCAGGTCCGCAGCTGCATGAGCAGGGAGAACTTATGAGCCCCAAAGAGGAAGCCATTTTGAAGAGACAAATTGACCAAGGCAATTGCTTGCTGTTATGCATTGCTGGATGCTTGGTTGAGGCTAAGGTTACGGATCGAGATCAATCCGCCGTCAAACCGCCTAATCGCCCGTTCAATGGACACCTTCATGTTTGTGAGTGGAATTGGCAGCTGAGTTCAGGAAAGACTTGCAGGCATGCAGACACCTGAATTGCTGGTCTGCATGATAGCCGCAATATTACACAGGCATGCATGATTAGCAAAGGTGCATCAAATTGACTTCAAAATGATGTTGACATTAATGTTGCAACATTGTCACCGTCACCATGATGGTGACCACCGTTGGCACTGGCCGGTCAGTGGTGCTCCTTGCAAGCTTAGAAATTGCAGGCACTGAGCAGCACTGCATTCCAAATCAGCCTAGATGTTGACCGTCCATGATTTTGATTAAATTCATAAAACAAAACTGTCGTGAGGCGCATGCCCCAAGCGGCTTCCTAAGTAGAGTCTGTGCATGCAAAATTTTGTCCAATTGGTAGACTTTCACTCCAGCTGGTACATTTGCCACTAGCAGAACAATCCATGTGCAGCTTGCTTATTCCTGCGTAGTACTGGTACCAGTGAATACCTAAATAGATATAAATGGAGTTTTTCCGACCTTCTCTACTAGCAATTTAAAAAGCTCTTTGTCAGGTAGGCCTGGTCTTTACGCATTCCAGCTGCATGCCATGAGGGTGACCAGCAGGGCTCTGCAGCCTTACTCCTTTGACTGGAACTTGATGGAACGGCTGTTGACGCAATGCCTCTGGTCTGTGGGGTTGGGGAATCCCTGCAAAGACAAGCGGCCACTTGATCACATTGTGCAAGTTCTGCATGCCCTCGCAATCTGGCACAACAACCCGGCTAGCAATCAGGACACAAAGCAGTACCTCTGGCACACTCACAATGTTCTTCAGATCCTCAGGTGAAACCAGCGTGTTGTGCAAGCCGGGACAGGGAGTCACCTCTCCCTCAAAGACATGCCCCAGGTGGCCACCACACTTGGCACAGGTGATCTCCACTCTGCGCATGCCATATGCATTGTCCACATGGCGGTCTACGGCGCCTGGGATCTCCGCATAGAATGCCGGCCAGCCGCAGCCGGAGTCAAACTTGGTCTCTGACCTGAACACCCAGCCACCAAATCAACATTTCGAAACCCAGAACATGTTTGTGTTCTCCGTGATGATCTGTATCTGATCTGCAAGGCAGCCTTTTCCTCCTTACCCTGGCGCTCCACCTGTCTTTCGTGCATGGACTCTATCCTGCTACTTCAATTCAATCTTTCTCACTAGTAACACAAGCAAGCTATCACTAAGCTTGGGCAAGTCATGCAGAGGTGCTGTGGATCAAGATGACAGATAGGAATACAAGATGGTGAGACTATAGAGGTGAGGGACTCACGTGTAGAGAGGAGTGCCGCAGCCTGCACAGTTGTAGTCACCCTCCGCTTTGAACTTGTTATACTCGCCACTCCCAGCAGGTTCTGTCCCCTTCTGCCTCAGGATTCGGTACTGCAGACAGAGCCATCAGGAGCTCAGGACGCAAGATCGTTGTTTCAGCTCAAAGAGTTTGGTGAGATCATTGAAATAGGAGACAAGAGCAAGCACACATTGCAAGTTAAGGTTGGCTTCTGGATTAACGAAAGCTTACTGCTTGCAAGCACAGGGCTTATACAAAAGTATATAACACAAGTGCTTCTTCAGACCAACTATGTGTCACAGTCTAGCAATTGGAACGAAATTATAGGAAATCATGGGGGAGTCACCTGTTCGGTGCTAAGCACCTCCTTCCATGTTGACTCTGGAGTATTCTTGTCTAGTTGGACGTTTGTTCCGGAGGCCATCGCAGATGTCGACGTCAATAACCTTGCAGGACGTGTGATTCGCTGGGATTGAGGTGATAAAGCGAAACGAGGAATCGCACGAATGCTGCCGGCAATCTTCAAAGCTTGCATCTTAGGAAGCTGCACATAATTTTCTCGAGACACGCAAGAGCTTCTCGAGAGACTGCAACAGACCCGTAAAGGGCCATCACAATATCTACGGGACCGTGGCATAGATTGCTCTTCAAGTTCAAAGAAGCAACTTTGAAGAAATCTGAACCTGCCACGGCACTCCATGGATTGGTAAGAGTTGCAGCAGATTGTTGGAGTGCCATTATGCCGCGTGACCCATAGTGCGCATATTGCCCGGGTTTCCACCCACATGCCCCTAGTGCTTAGTAGCACCCGGCCGGGTAGCTACTCTGCAGCGCGTCACGCACCGTGCATGTGCTGCCAGCACTGTTGCCAGCTGCAGCAGCAGCAACCTTGCCTAAATCACCTAATGTCCAGACCGTGTCGCAGTGATCAGACTGCATGGCATGTGCTTCACCCTCGAGCTAGCTTGATAAGCAGCCACAGTGGCCACAACAGTACCACTGGACACATCACCACCACCACCAGTGGCCACATCATGATCATCCATAGATCGACGATCAGCCCGAGCTTACACTTCCGTATATTCTTAGTCCACATGCATGCGTACATAATCATGACCTGCGCTCATTAGAATGATCCGATGACAGCCTAGACAATATTCCGATGATGAGCAACACCAGCGCTTTCCTAACACAGCTCTCCTAACACGGCTCTTGACTTAGGCGCTGTGGCCTTAAGCTAGCAATTCCCCTAAGATCCCTAGAACCTGTCACACCAAGGAAACTGGTACATCCGAGACAGCACACATGAGCGTCCTAGCCACTGGCATGCGTATTCGGCAGGTGAAACAGACACTATTGCAGCTCACCAAACACCACTACGCAAAATTTTGGTGCTGCACACACACGCCGTCCTTGCGGTTGCAATGCGTTTCCACACGACAGAAGCTAAGAGGGTACACAGAAAACTGGAGCCAAAATTGCCTGCGCAACTTCACGGAAATGTGATCTTGCAGCGCCTGGCTTGTGCTCTTGGAGGCGGGGTCCTCTAAAGACCCGTAGAAAGAACCCCCCTGGGGCCGCGGCTGCCTTAGAAGGCGCCGTTGGACTGCAGCTTGGCCGCCACCTTCTGGCCCAGGCTGGCATCGCACTGCGACAGGTAACCGATCCACACGCGGCGCACCTCCTGCAAACCCACTCAGCATGTAAGTGACCAGGACAGTGCAGCATGCATGCACTTGCATTCTTGGTCTAAATTCCTACCACAAGTTCCTCTATTGGTATTACCGTTCTGCAGCTCAGGCAGAGAGTCAGGAGACAAGAGTGGACAAGAGCAGGTACGGTATGCAGTCTCTGTAACTACCATACCTGCCAACGCCAACCTTTGTTCTTTGACTCTAGAGGTCTGTCACCCACAAAGGCATCAGCAGAGGCTCAACAACAACCAAAGGGCCAATTGCAAGGGACAATGCACATGTAAGCTGGCTGGCGGGCAGCGGTTTAGATGCTGAGCACCGTGCCCACGGTTGATTGGGTCTTTAGGGACCTGGCAAAGTCCATCAAGGGGTAGGATGTGACAGCCTTTACATACAGCTTAACTGCAGATGCACCTTGCCTCTGGCAGGAACGGCAGTGTAATAATAACAGTTAAAATTATTAGGAGGTATGCTGTGGAAGCATGGGCTGCACCTGGGTGCACTTGGGGTCGGAGAGCATGCCAGCAATGCGGTTGACAAAGCGCTCGCGGCGGGCCGGGTCAAAGCTGCGGAAGCGGTCGCCCGGCTGCTTGAAGTTGTTCTCCTTCTGGATGATGCGCTTCTCGCGCTGCCCCGACACAAACGTGTTGTTGATGGGGTGCCTCTCCGCGTGGCGCACCGGATCAAAGCGCGACGGGAAGTAGTTCACCTAATTTACAGCCCCAGGCTTAAACGCCATCCACTTGCATTTAAACATGCAGAACTCCAGACGATGTGTGCAACATGCGCAGCAAATCCGCACAGCAGGTTGTCAAACTTAGGCAAACAATGCCGACTGCACGACAGACTACAAGACAGTGCGACTGCACATTGCATCAAATTTCCCACATCTAAGCCCGTAATCGCTCGCGTCATTGATGATAGCGCATGCTTGTCTTGAAAGGCAAGCAACGAGGAGCGACTCTGCGGAACTAGAGGAGGGCCTTGGAATGTGAGGAGAGGTGGAGGAGGTGGGGGGCGGACCTCCTCGTCACGGTGGGTGAAGTTCATGAAGCCGTCATGGTGGTTGTTGTGGTGGGGGCCCTTGGGCGCGTTGGCGGGCAGGAGCAGGTAGTTGGGGCCCAGGCGGTGGCGCTGCGTGTCCGCGTACGAGAAGATGCGCGTCTGCAGCAGCTTGTCGTCCGAGTAGCCGATGCCTGCATGTGCAATCCATCCAAACTCGGCATGATCTGCCTTCCAACTAATCCACAAGAACAAAGTTGGGAGCAAATGGAATAGTCAATGGTGATAACTTACACTCAGTTTGACCTTTCCAAAACGATAAACATGGATCCAACACAGTAGTCACTGGTGGAATGACAGCACATCGCACGAGTCCATCCAAAATGATATACATGGATCCAACACAGTAGTCACTGGTGGAATGACAGCATGTCGCACAAGTCTGCAGGTCACATGCAAAAGTGCTGTAGCGTATCTTCTCAGCCACATCACGGCACGCAAGAGACTTGGAGACTTGAGAAAGGTGCACTTCCTCAAACAATGACTGAGGTTCAATTCAATGAACAGCTTGCACACCTGGCACAACGAGGGAGGGGCAGAAGGCCAGCTGCTCGTTCTCATTGAAGAAGTTGTCGGGGTTCTTGTTGAGGACCATGCGGCCGACGGGCTGCAGCGGGAACAGGTGCTCCGGCCAGATCTTGGTCACGTCCAGCGGGTCAAAGTCAAACTTGTCCTCGTCCTTGGGGTCCATCGTCTGCACATGGCACAACCATCAAGTCAATTTCCAGCTTTGTGTCAGCAGAGGAAGGCCTCAGAGGCCCTCATGTCCTGACATGAGCAAATCCCCGCTTGATCATTGACGGTCCCAAATTATAAAAAGCCTTGCTGCCAGGTGCATGTCGCATGCATCTAACGCCTCACATCAGAACTGCAAGGCAACCCTTCCTCCCTACTCCCTGCCCGCAATGCCTTATCAATAGCATTGTGTGGTGGTCTGAAGTGGAGCTGATGGAGGTCCTGGTCCAAGCTTGCGGAGCACCTGGATGAGCAGCTTCCACTCGGGGTAGTCGCCAGCCGCGATGGAGTCGTACAGGTCCTGTGTAGCATGGCTGTGGTTGCTGCCGCCCACCACCACCGCCTCATCCTCCAACAGGTTCTTCACCCCTGCAGCGCCACACACACTTCTAACGAATTGTGGCTTGACCACGACACTCTCTACGAATGTGTCTTGGGAAGCAACCCTCCCCTCCTGCCTTCAACGTCACACCTCCCTGCCTGAGCAGGCCCAGGAGCAGACAAGTCGTCCTGGGAGAATAGATGCATGCATGCACTCATTTTTAGCAGAGCTGCAGCGTTTGAAAGGAGCAAGGTCGCATTGCCAAATGCTGGGATGATCATCGGGGCAGGAAGGTAGTAGCGCACCGCAGGTGGGCTGCCAGTGGAACTTGACATAGGTGACGCGGCCCTCCTTATTGATCAGCGTGTAGGTGTGCACGCCAAAGCCCTCCATGTGACGGTAGTTGGCAGGGATGCCAATGTCGTCTTGCAGGAAGGTGAACTGCATGAACAAAACTTCTTCAACATCTGTGCACAGCTCGTCAATGCATGCAAACAGACAGGCCCCCTTCTTGTGCCATGCCACATGTCTATTTCAGCAGGTCACACAGAAGATGGCAGAGACCCAATATCTGTCAATCCATGGGTCTTGGTGTTGAAGCTTTGACCCCTTGGTAAGGGCCTTGTGTGGGGCAGTAATGCATGCCTCAACTTTCCTACTGGGAGAACCAGATACAGGGGATGCAGGTGGGTGAGACGCAGCACATCATGGGTGTCTGAGAGAGGCGAGGGGCGCACCATGTGCATGGACTCTGGGATGTGGGAGAAGAAGTCGGCGATGCGCCAGTCCTCCTGGAGGTGGTTCTTGGGGTTGGGCTTCAGCGCGTGGACCATGTCGGGGAACTTGATGCCGTCACGGATGAAGAACACCTATTGCACCATGTCCATGACCTCTTCAACACGTTGCATGGGGTCAAATGGACAATATTCCCAGTGAGACACAAAGACACAGGGAATATCCCCTTCATTCTCTACATGCACTGTAAAGGGCGAGGCTCTAATCGAGACGCTGAAGCACAAGGAAGTGAGAGACAGGCGGCTGAAGGGTGCAGTCTTACCGGGAAGTTGTTGCCGACCAGGTCCCAGTTTCCTTCCCGGGTGTAGAACTTCACCTGTTCGTCAGAGAAATAGTCAGCCCCTGACACAGCTACAAACAGTTTTGCGTGCAGGAACCACAACAATTTCAGTACAACAGGTGATGTTGAGCGGTAATAACAGGGCAGCTACTTACCGCAAAGCCGCGAGGGTCCCTCAGGGTCTCTGGCGAGCCCCGCTCATGGATCACGGTCGAGAAGCGCACGATCACTGGGGTCTGCACCCCGGGTGAGCGCAAGCAGTCAGCGCAGGTGAGCTGCGAGATGTCATGGGTCACCTGCCCGCCACACAATCAACCCTTAGAAAGACTCTCGCGCATTAGACTGGTCTGATCAGCCATCTGTACAGCAAACCTGCCAGACAGCGAAAAGCTCCCTGCTTTGCTGAAAAGGCTGCCAGCTCAGAGGCACTTTCCGTTGGTACTGGTTTGACGTTCGGACATCAACTCCTAGAATATCGAGACGAATAATCGCAAGCATGGGCATGAAGCATGTGCAGCAGTACAAGGACTGCACGATTACCTCGAAAAAGCCCTTCGCACTTGCTCCGCGAGCGTGAACGACGCGCTCGGGGATGCGCTCCCTGTCAAACTGCAGCACGCACAACATATTGATGAGAAGATTGTGAAAATCGAAGATCGGCATGCGAAGATCAGCATGTAAGGCACCAGCAGCAGCCACGCCAGGATGCAAGCTAAACGCGCACCTGGGCAAGCTTCTCCACGAGATGGTAGTCCTCCAACAGGATAGGACCTGCAAACAGCATTCACATGACGTTAGAGGAGGTAACATGGAGCAAGGGCTTCCGGATTGTTGACAAACCACAAAAAACTGTCACCTAATGAAGAAGGTCACCTCTCTGTCCGACCGTGAGGGAGGAGTTGTTGTTCCACACCGGTGCGCCAGAATTTGTCGTCCAATAAGGAGAGTCATGATGCGAGCTCGGAAGATACTACAAGACAAAATCTCGCACAGGTCAATATTGAAAACACCAAAGGAGACAGAGTTGTATTCTCCTAGCAGGCATACAGCATGCCAGACAAGAGTGTTAGATGAAGTTTCCTTGGTTTCCCTCTCTGCATGCACAATGTCAGGGCCACTTGCCTTCTGGGGGTCCATGGCTTGCTTCTTTCTGTTTTCCTTTAGCCTCCTCTGACCACGATGTCCTGCGCGAGAAGAGCTGCCCGGCCTCGGAACCGGTGCCTAGTCCTCACTTGCTTCTACACAAGTTTCACTTGAGAGCCAATAATTTCGTTTGCAGCAAGACTTTTCGGGTTCGGCGCCCTCTTTTGCCAGCTCGAGATCACGAGGTCCGAGTCAGCCACCCGGAGATATTTTCAGGGTTCCCATCCTAGCCCTGAAATCCCTGATCTTTGATCGCGACCCTAGCCCTTCGAATTGAATGCAGAACAGCTCGATGCCCGCGGCGAGCATCGCAGGGAAGATCAGAGCGTCTTCGTCAGATCAATGTGCTCAGGGATTGGTATCTAGACCATTCCCGTGTCGCTGCTGCACCAGGTGCGCATCAGCTCGAATTCAATCTGGCCACTCAGGATGCTTGTAGGGTTCCCTTCCAACCACTTCACGGGTTGCTTTGGGTCGTGACAATCCCGCAATAGTGCAAGAAGGATTGCCAGAATGGCTGATCACATTGGGAGGGCCTCTGTTGGTGCCACAAGGACAATTTATTCATTATCCACTGACATGTGATGCTCACGCATTATCTTGCCATATTCTGCCTGCAATTGACCAGAGTATTGCAAAAATGCCTGTATTCGACGTCTCCAACGTTTTCTTCCCTGTGCACCAATCGAGTTGAGAAGGATTTCTAACGTTTCGTGTGATTCCAAACAGGCCTGAAGGCAGCATTTCAGGACTCTGCTCACCGCATTTAATTCGCGAGTCTATTGGGGATAAACCATCATCCTTCAACTGGCGCCTGCTGATCCACACTTTACAAGTACTGGAGCGTGAGCGTGTTCTGGACAACCTACTGAGCTGAAGTCAGCAGAGCCACTGGGGAGGTGAAGGATGTGATTACAGCAATACACCAGTTCGTGCTGGGCAGTCAGGAAGTGTCTTGTAAGCACCATGCAGCCACTCCCAGTACAGGGTGCAACTGCGCACTTGAGCGGTCCATCCCTCGCTGCATTTCAATATGACTCGAGCATGAATTTTGGGCGGTTGGAGCCAGGTATGATCCCCTATTGAAATTGTCCTGTTTGCTCCTATCGCTGCTGATGGTTCCCTTCCTTTGATCAGAAGCCTAAACTGAAGCAGATATTGTGTGGTATCCTCCAGAGCAAGATGCCCATCAGCATGTCCTAAACATTCCCTCTTTTGAGGAGGCCAGCTTCCTCGAGGCAGGGGGATCACCCTTCCCAACCTTCGGCAGTGACTATGGCGATGTGCTGCCCGAGAATTTGGATGCACATCAGGTGCAGGTATCATCCTCCTCCTGTTGTGTCCCATGCCCTGGGTATTTTTATGCAGGTGCTCACTGCCGGTAACACCTTTTAGTAACACCTGGTAGCAACACAGCCAATAGGGGTTACAAGGAGGTGACAACTTATGATTAGCCTCACCTGGAGGACATACAGCGAGAGGGTGGTGTGGCTTGCAGGTTCAGATACGACGGCGTCCTGCTGCCACAACAAGTGATGGTCACAGAGTGACGCCACAAGGGCCAGAATGCCTTGACACGCTTCTTTGCCCGGCCTCACTTGACAAGTGCGCCTCCTCAAAACAGACTTGCCCCTTCATCCGTGCAGGACAAGATTGGGAAAGAAGTACTGGCTGCATGCCTGCCATTTTAAAAATCCCATATCCTGAAGTGGAGATTATTGAACTGCGGCTTTCTGTTGGGACAGGCTCCTGGGGGATGTTGAAGACGATGTGCACTTTCCGGACATGGACTTGTCGGGGACCTGGGACATGGGAATGCAGATGCACCCCCACTTCTTCGTGACACAGCCTGTGGATGAAATGCCCCCAATCCCTGAAGTCATGCCGGGCGTGGATGTGCCCTTGAACAGCCCCTTGCTGCCCCTGCGTGTCCTGCCAGCAGAAGGTGGGCAAAAGCTCTCACACCATCTCCCTCCTCAGATGTGATCTGCGCACATATGCTGCATCTTCCGCCAGGAATGTTCAGTCGTGAGCCCGTCATGATCTTGCGTCATCATGCACATGACTGAGGCTTGTGGGAATGTGCGCGTGCAGAGATGCCGCCGAATGTCACGGTGACGCTGAGGGGCAGGCGCCAGCAGCAGCACGCCTCGCTGGGGCACCTGACAAAGGTCATGCAGACGCTGAACAATGTGGGGGAGCCGTCTCTGAGCGCCTCCCCGCCGCCGGCCGTCAAGCCGGAGCCCGGCACCGTGCAGGACGTGCGCGGGCCGTCAGGGCTGCACCTGCAGCGGCAGTTGTCGGGCGGCCGGGGCCCGCCGCAGAAGCGCCGGCGGCCGTCCACGCCGCCGCAGGAACGCCCTCTGAGACGTGACCATGGCAGGGAGAGTCACGAGCAGCTTGCTCACCCGCCGGCGCCACCGCCGCGCGGGGCCGGCAATGCCGCGCCAGCCGAGGCAGCCGCGGCGCAGCCGCACAACAAGCGCCGCAGGCCGGAGGACGCCGCCGAGCCGGCCGCGCAGGAGTCGCGGAACCTGCGGCGAAAGGGCGACATTCCCGAGCGCCTGGCGGCCATCCTCGCGAACGAGCGCTCCCCCAGCAACAGCGAGGTGCGACTCATTGACAATGCATCTATAGACACTGTACATGCTGACTGTGCCTTTGATCAGGGCTACTTAGCAACAATCTTAGGCTTGATTGTGCATGCTGACTGAGCCTCTAGTCATGGGTGCTTGACACCCGTGTAAGGCTTCAATGCGCCAAGCCCCACCATGTACTCCTTACATACTCTTCCATGTGTTGGTTACTACAGCAACTAACAACAAAGATCTGGAGGCCTCACATCTGCAGCCGCTGCCAGGGAGATGGGTCTGGCTTTGATGCTTCGTGAAAATGATAGTGGGGCCTGTTGTGGTGCAGGACTCGGATGAGAAGACGGAGCGCATGGGCAGCCAGCAGGGTGCAAGCCCCTCAACGGGGTGGGGCTGCAGGCTCAGCAAGGCCACCATCAGGTGCGCACTTGCTGCGCTGCACCACAGTGGCAGGAGAAATTAGGCAAGCAGTTGGAGGGCAGCCTTCTGAGCTGCATGCTGCCAGCAAAATCTTTTGAAGGATAAGGGGCAGAGCTCCACGCCAACTGTATATTCCATTTGTATGTGCATGTAATGTCAGGCCAAGTCTTGAAGCCTCCAGCAGCGACCGGATCTGCCTCACCTCAATGCTTCACTAACCTACAAGCCAGCTTGCAGCAGCCGTCTCCGTGTGCCTGATGTTCACTGATTTGCGCCTTGTTCATGACAGGGCGCAAGGGGCGATGTACCAGCTGACTGACGTTGAAGTGATGGAGGTGGAGACTAAGCTGGGCCCTGACCCCACAGAGGAAGACCGCACAGCCGCCTATAAGCGCGCAAGGAACAGGTCTTCAATTTGAATCTTTGCAAGGAATTCACTGGAACAAGGGACATGGTTGACAAGCTGCACATGAAGCCACCTGACATGCAAGGCAGATGCTGGGGCGCGGGGGCATTGCAAAGATCTGGGGATGTGAGACTAGACATGGGCATAGCTGCCATCACTTGATTGGCTGTCCATCAAAGGCCTTAGCGTGTGCTTGGCAACAGAGATAGAGAGTACTGCCCTTAGCCCCAGCCAGGCCTGTCATTTGTGCATTCCCTGATATATGCATGCTGTGACATAAGTGCCCCACCTAGAGGTCATCTGATTACTAGTGACCAGAGGAATACATGGAGAAGACAGGTCCGACCCCCTGAGAGGCAAGGCGAGTGCTGTGGCTGTGTTGATGGTGAGTCTCTTGCTGCAGGAGCGCTGCCAGGAAGACAAGGAAGAAGAAGATGGATGCGGTGCAGGAGAAGCAGGAACAGATGCAGCTGCTGGGCGAGCAGAACCGCAACCTCATCTCCCAGCTCAACAGCGAAATTGCAAAGGTGTGACCTGGATGCGCTGGGGACTCACTCTACAGTCTAACTAGAGTGGTCCGCACATTGGCAATTTACACTAATCTTCATCTGTGTGTGAATTTGCTGGGTTTTGAGCTCCCCAGCCCCTGTCTTTGCAGCTCAACTTCCATTTGGGCAGTCCATAACAATGATGGCCCCACATTCTCAGGTGTTCCTTTAGATCGAGCAGACTAAACACCCCTTTCTAAACACTCACGTCTTGCATGGCAGGTGCTAGCTTCCAGCTCCATCTGGGTGCCACACTTGTTCACCAGGGTTCATTAATACCAGAACCTTATCAAGCAGTTCCATATGTGTCACATTGCCTCATAGGTGCCACTGAAGCAGCCCAAGAACAGGGGGATGTGATTTGATCTGCAGGATACTTTGATACCCATGCAAGCAGTCAGAAGAGAGGAGGAGAAGGTAGCACCTACCGGCCCTGGCTGATTCCAGCATTAGGCATCCTACCGGCCCTTGCTGGCACAGCTCGCTCACGCACTTTAACAGCCCAGCACCTATAAAGTCACACCACAGCATGCATAGGATGAGCAATACAGCGTCCCAGCTGCTTGGTATGATTTGTGTGCACTGGGGTGCTGCAGGTGGAAGTGTCTACCAGGGAGAACAAAATTCTCAAGACGCTGCTGCGCTACCTGCAGCTGCAGCCCGAGGCTGCCATCGCCAACCCATCCCTGGCCAATTTCGAGGCCCTCAAGAATGACATGGTGGCCTCGCCCGCTGACACCATTGCTGACCTCAGCGCTGCTGCAGCGCCGACGCCGTCACCTGTCTCCCAAGACTGCTCCGGGGGCCATGGGCCAGACGATGCTCCAAATAGTGCGCCTCCCAATGCCTCCAATCAATATTTGTGTTTAGTCCGCCCAATCTAGAGGAGCGCATGCGCAAATGTGTCCCCCACATGTTATGGCCTGCCAAATGCAAATTGGAAGCTGCAAAAGCAGGGGCTGGGAGCTCGAAACTACAGCAATTCACACATAGCTGAAGGCTGGACGCTCAAAATAATTCAAGCAAGTGCCTACGTGCGGACCACTCTATTTCTCTGGACCCTTTGGCCACAGATGACCATTAAGTGGGACAACCATGACAGGATGGGCAGCAATGCTTGTCAAGACAATTCTGGCTTGGTCTATGCGGCACTTAGTCGCTTTGAGTTCTGAAAGGACAGATACTACACTTGCTTTAGTAACCCTCTTTCCTTCACTAAAGGGAGAACCTCTTAGTAGCGCATCATGCAGAGCGGGGATGTGCAGAGGCACCCAGAATTTTGACATTTTGCCGAGCCTTGCAAGATGGGCTTTCAACCATGTCAAGTCTTGATGTTGCCTGTACTGCCAAGAAACCGCGAGGCAGCCATTTCTCCCTGCGTGTTGCTCGCATGGCCTTGTGTGTCTTACCTACATTCTCTGCTGAGTTAGTATAAGGTCATGAGAAACACCTGTGTGACATTCAGGAGCCAGGTGGGAGCGGGCTCAGAGGCTTGGCAGTGCGCGGCTGATTGACAGCGAAGCGCAGGAAGTGGCTGCAGCCGCGCTGGCAGCCAGCGAGGGCAATGTTTCTGCCGCCCTCTCACATCTGGTCACAAAGGCACTCAGCAAGCCCGTGCAGTGATGCAGCTGCGCACAAATTGGACGGAGAATAAGAACAAGATCACTTGCTACGTCTTTGAGCACCCAACATGACCAGATCTGCACCTGTGTGAGCATCATGGAGCGCTCTGTTGTGAATGCGCAGACAAGAATTCTGGCAGGACCGCGCAATGTTATTGTCAATAACTCATTGAGCTGCAGATGTACAGGTTTGGACCAAGCAGAAATAAATCTGCCAGAAGCATTTGGTACTTTGCAGCTGCAGTTGGAGGCAGAGCACCAATAGAGTTGCACGCGCTGCTAGACTCAGTTGATCAACTTTACATCCACTTAAGTGCAGAAGCTTCATGTGCAGGTTGCACTTCCGCGGAAGCTTACTTAATACTGAGAGACTGTACATGATCAACTATGCTGCATGAACAGAATATAGAAGTAGTGAATAATTATGATGGGCTCTTTGATGGCTTTCTTGTAATGACACATGAAGTATTGGCACTTTGATCAGCTGAAAGTCAAAGTGGCTTCGTTCGGTGGAAAGAAACGGTCCCAGGAACGCCTCTGCCGCCGAGACCTGTGCTCCAGTGGGATCTTGGAATGCATGAACATGTTTATTCCAGACGGATGACCTTGACTTTGAACAAAGGACAAAATGAATGGGTGTTTGCACTTCAGCAATTTACTTAGAACGCAGAAATGACTGAGCAGCGACGCTGCTGGACATCATGGTTATAAGAGCAGTTCCTCCAAAACTTTGGCTTCTAGCAATAACAGGATACGCACCAGTAGTGCTTGCATTCTTTTATGTCAATGATTTTAAGACACGAGAGCTGATTATTCTGAGCGCCATTGTCAGCTACTTGGGACTAGTATTGACCAAGGCTCTCATTCCTGTGCTTCAGCCAATACATTTGCGTCGCAATTTGTTCGGCTATGACATCAACAAGAAAGGTGAGGAGTTTGTTATTAACACAGTGGTCAGTATCGCACATGTATCAATTGCTTCCCTGAAAACTCTTCTGGTTTTCATAGATCTGGATTAGTATAGGTCAACACTGACTTTCAGTTGTAAGCTCTTACTTCACTTGAGACTGAATTTGCTGAAAGTACTAGAGAGGAATTTTCAGCACTACGCGAATTGAAAACTGTCTTTGTGTCTTGATCTGAGGGGACTAGTGCTGAGAGCATCGTTCCGATTTTATGAAGTTGGCAAAGTGTCAACGAGTTCTGTGTTGAGCGAAAGGCACATCAGGAGGGGAGAAGAAGGTGCCAGAGTCACTGGGCCTTGCACCAGGTGTCGTGTTCCTGGTCTGCATAATCCTCTTCCAGCTGCTGCAGTACTATGACGTCCCCTCAGTCTGGCACTGGGTGCAGACTTGGGGAAGGGAGGGAGCTCTGAAGCAGGCAAGCTTCACGCGCAATCCTTCAAGTCATGGCTCGAGCGTGCTGGAACATATTCCTGTAAAGGCCGGAGGTCTTCTTTGGACAAGATGCTCAGTACCGAAATCCTCTTGCAGGAGCCTATTGAGGACGCGTGGCTGGTTGATTACAATGCAGCACTGGCCACCATCTGCTTCATGCTGTTCCTGGGGTTTGCGGATGATGTGCTGGACATTCCCTGGAGGGTGAAGCTGCTTCTGCCAGCCCTCGCCTCCCTCCCTCTGGTGAGAGATTAAGCCCATCACCCTGCTGAATTGAGAAGGCAATAACTCCCTGTGAAGGTCACTCTGCCATTTGGCAAGAGAATGTGAAGCCTTTCATGAGACCGCTCGGGATCCATGCTCATGGCAAAGTTACAGCGCTAGAGGCAGCAGTTATATTACTATGATACTGTGCAGGTGGCGGCGTACGGAGGCGGCACGGGCATCTCAGTACCGCTGCCGCTGCGCTCTTTGGGCCTGCCTGCATACCTGGAACTTGGGCTGCTGTACAAGGTGCGCTGACTGCAGCACTTCCTCAAATGCACTTTCTTGCAAGCCGGGCTCTCCAAGATGCATCTAGCACCCACACATTAGATTCAGGTCCACATAACGCAGATAATCAGCTCCATCCTCTGGAGAAATTTCTGAGTCTGGTACCAACATCCTGGCTAGAGTTTGACGGAGCCAGTATGCACAGCTTTTAATAAGGCAGTGAGTGTGGTGCTTGGCGTGGCAGTCCTGTTGTATGTAAGGAGTCTTGCATACACCTTGCTCGCCACTTGCCCTTCTGCACACATTCAGAGGACTCTTCTTGAGGGGAACGGTGCGTGATGTCAGGTGTACATGGTGATGTTGGTGATCTTCTGCACAAATGCGATCAACATCCTGGCGGGAGTGAACGGGCTGGAGGCAGGGCAGACGTTCGTCATCGCGTGCGCAGTCGCCTTCCACAACATCTGGGAGCTGGCCGGCCCGGGTGGCGCGCCAGGCGGCGCGCACCGGGACGGCCACCTGTTTTCTCTGTACCTCATGCTGCCGCTGGCCGGCACCACGCTGGGCCTCCTGCTCTTCAACTGGTACCCCTCGCAGGTGAGGCCGCCCTGGTTGCTGTTGCTGGCGTGCGAGTAGAAGTGAGACGAGGTCGCTGCATGCGGCAGCATGGTCTGTGCTGTGACCGGTTTGCTGCCTTGTTTGATGCAAGAACAATCAAGGATACTTCACAGAAAGGCAAGGGGTATGAAGGACGGAGGAACTGTTCGTTACACAGCGGTCTATTGACTCTCATTCAAAGATCTCTATCATGGATGCTGCTAGAGGACATCCTTGTTCACCATGTCAGGCAGCAAAGCAGGAATGCACTCTGGTCAGAGAAACATGCTCTTATCGAGTGGTGCAGGTGTTTGTTGGGGACACGTACACCTACTTTGCCGGCATGACAATCGCGGTGGCAGGCATTCTGGGCCACCTCAGCGAAACGCTGCTGCTCTTTCTCATTCCCCAGGTGCGCAGCTCCTTATGACATTCCATGCGTGAGCTGTGACAATGCTAGTCATGTGACGCTGCAGAAGAAGGCATTTGTACGGCATCCCAAATTAGAATGCAAGACATCCAAGGCAGTGCAAGCGCAAGAAGGGAGGGAAGGCTGCCTAGCAACTTAATACAGTGCATCAACAAAACAAACATCTCCCGGCCCAGGAGCATCAATGATCCAGAAGAAGGCATGTTTGATTTCTACAGCATTGTCTTGCGTACTCCTTGATGTGCGCTTGTCTGATCTGTGTGGCATGTGCGCAGGTCCTGAACTTTGCCTACTCACTGCCTCAGCTGTTCAAGATCGTGCCCTGCCCCCGGCATCGCCTGCCTCGCTTTGATCCGGCCACCGGCCTGTTGCATGCAACGCCGAACTGGAATCTGGTCAACCTGACGCTGCACATGTTTGGCCCCTGCACAGAGGAGCAGCTTTGTTGGCGACTGCTGAAATTCCAGATGTTTTGCTGTGGGTTTGGCTTGGGTTTGAGGTGGGTGTTGACAGGCATCTACAAGTAGATTGCACAATGTGTTGCTGCCAGTCTTGATGTGTGCTCGTATTTGTAGGCAAAGTTGCAGATCATCCCAAGATTCCTGTATTAAGACAATTGGAAGGCCCTAAGATTTAAAGAGGCCGTAAGCTCGGACAGTGAACAAGAAATGAATTAATGTAGAGATCTCCTCTTTACTTTTTTTCTCCACGTGTACTTGGCTCATGTATAGATAGATTTATCTCGTATGATAATCAATTTGAGCTTCCAACTCGGTGACAGCGAGCATAATAATATCCCAGCTCCAAGCACATTACTATTCCGGATCCGGCGCGGGCACTGTGCAAGCAGCTGCTGATCTGGAGATTGGTATCCGCTTTCACATCGGCAATGTCAGAGCTGCAAAAGCACCCAAACATTGTACTGACAGGATTTTCCCCACTCACCATGCAAGAAGCTCGTCAGCCTAATGTGCAGTTAGAAACCTACCGTAAAACGCCCTACGGTGGGGTCCGGAGGGTGTGTAAAGTAATCGTAATATGGAGCACCGTGCTCGGAAATTTGCAAGTCGCATTTCTCGATTTTTGCGTGCATTGCGTGATGTAACCACACAGGACGAGCACTTAGTCCATCTCTTTGCGACTCGACTGGCCTTTGCACTCGTCATACAGTTCAGCACGCCTGCACAGGCTTGTAGATTATACGCATCCGCCTTTCGCAGCACCCTCTAAAAATGCCCAGAAGGTCCCAGAGGCCGCGCTATACCTTTCAGTCTTTTGTTCTAGACGATAGGTACAACTTCCAGCCCGAAGAGCAACAGCCAGCTAAAGCAGCGCAAGATAACCAGGACAGATCAGATGACGATCATGGAGACTATCTTGAGGATATCAGCTACGAGAATGCCACTTCATCTCTCAGCTCCATTTTTAGCAACAGGGAAGATTGTCTACTGCTCACCAAGAGCCAGGATAGCAGAGAAGCCCACTTCTTGACACCACAATATGATCTGGAGAGCAGGTCCCTTGAAGCCTTGCAGTATGGTTTTCTTGCATTGCGCTTCGTGAAAGTCGCTGGGGGTGAACACCACCTGGTCAGCTTCTGCAGGAATCCATCTTGTCCGGACCCAGCAGACGATGGCAGACTATATGAGCTGGCAGACTTTGCAAATTGCCCAGCAGCAGCTCTCTTTGGGGATCAGGCCACGCTCTGCACATGTGCAAAAGCTCTCCTTCTGGCAGTCGGCGGCCCAGAAGCATTGAAAAGGGAGATGCAGCAGGCTCAGGTTCCAGACTCAGCAGCACAGCAGCAGGCAATCATGCATGACAGCAGAGGCCAGAGGTTCTCTATAGTGCGCGCTGGCGACTGCTTCGGGGATTGGGGGGTGGTGAAGGGACAGAAGTGCCAAACATGCCCATCTCAGCGCACTAAGTGCCGTCATGTACTGAGGACTCAAGGATCAGAGGAAGGTGATGGTGAGGCTGCTGAGTGGCTGTCCACTGAGGCATTCGAGCGCAAGATCAACGAGGTGACAGAATTGCGCTGGCTCTTGTGTATGTATCTTTGCTCCTCGCATGTAAGCCTGCTTTCATTCATCAGCTTGCTTGAGGACATTTCTGACTGGCTTGGCAGAACTTGGATACTGAGAACGGGCAATTCCGGCTGACATGCATATCTCAGCAGCAGATCCCAGAAGAGTCTGAGGACGATGAAGCTGTTCTCACCATCATCACAGGTGTGCACATAACTTGGGCTATTAGCTCAGCTGATAGAGCGCACCCTGACAAGGGTGAGGTCGCTGGTTCAAATCCAGCATAGCCCACAGTAGCTTGTGGCAGTGCTAGGCAGATTTTCCTGGAGGTGACACCGTTTGCATGTATTTTGCAGAGCGCTGCGCGGGCAGGGCAAGTGTGCCTGCTGAGTGTTGTCCAGACACGATGGCATCCTGTCCCATGTGTGGGCGGTGTGACTGGCATGCAGATGACGTGCTTCTTGAGAGATGCACGGTTTTTCTGCTGGCAGCCGCTGTGGAGACATCATTCCCCGTCATGCGCTGTGGAACACCACAGTGCTCTGGAAAGCTGACCGCAGATGGCAAGGAGCATGCCATGCTGCGGCAGTCAGCAAGACATGCCTTCGGGTATGAGCTGCTGTATGACTGGGCAGCCAAGACATCTGTTGGGGGCGCTCCTTGGTTCACTTTCTGGCGTGACACCCTGCAGAGGTGCACCCCACCGCCAGGATTTGCTGTTCATGCCATTCGTGCTGTGAAGTGCTGGACAAGCCTTGTGATGTAAGGGTAAGTTTAAGCTGCTCTCTCAGTGTGACTGTGCAATCAGGTATGCTGGAGTGGGTGTGGATATTCTGCGCCGGTGGATGGACCTGCGCTCTGTCTTTCAGAGTGCTACTCTGAATTTTATTGAGCTGCAGTTTCTGGACTATGACTCTGGCCCTGGTGGGTTTGGCTGCGGCCACAACTCTGGAGTTACAGCTGATGGAATTACTCTCGGCTACCACCTTGAGCAAGCGCATTTGGAAGCGCCATATCTTGCTGCACAGGTGATGCTCGCTGCTGTAAAGCATCTGTTATCCTCGTAGTCAGATCCACCTTGCAAAAGTCCCTGTGTTAAGGGTACAAACTTAAGTGATACAAATCCTTGTCTGTGAAGGATCATCCCAGGATTCCAGAAATGAACAATGGGTGTCACTGACAGGACAGCAGCCTGGCGGCGGGGTCGACATTCAGCAACAGGATTTTTGTGCGCAACAAGAAGTTGCGTGACGTGTTGCACGCCTTCAGCTCTTCCAGGAGTGGAGGCGGGGGGATCAATGCGGAGGACTATGATTGGCTGACTGCAGAGGTGGAGCAGATGCCCCCGAGTCAGCTCTGCTGCCGTTCCTGGGCGCTGAAGAGATGGGCATGCGCATGTTTGCCTTCAAGGCTCAGCAACCCCTCCTGCACATCTTGAGCACGAGCGCTCCAGTCTGCCAGCTTGTGAAGCCGTCAGTCTTTGATGTGGTGGGGCTCATCACAGATGGCCACCTTGAGGCAGTGTCTGTGGAAATGCTGAAGCCTCTCGCTGCCCGTTGCCCGCATCTTTATGCCTTCATCAAGCAGTACATGGGCCTAGCAGAGATGCCGCCGCATGCGACTGCCCTCCTTGCGGTGCTGCTGAAGGTGAGTTTCTCGGGTAGCAACTCGAGTTCTCTCTGTTTGCAGATCATGGCGTACATGCTTTTGCAATTGCTGCAAGGTTAAAAAATATCTATGTGAGAAGCCAGTCCTTGTGAGCCCACCGTCACCAACACCATTGATTGGCATCAGGATGCATGCATGCAATGAACATCTGCAGTGCACATGTCATCACTCCTTGTCAAGTAGTACATTTGGGAATGCAGGTGGCCAAGCAGGCGTTCGTGGAGGCAGAGCCTCAAACATGGCAGTCAGTCCCCACCCGCCAGGGGGGCGACCAGCACCGCGCCAACGCAAATCTGCGTCGAGCCAGCAGGATGGCAACCACGACTACCAACCCTCTCACTTGGACGCGGGCAGAGACATTTCTGCGCACTGGGAGCTGGAGTGGTCTGGGTCCAACTGAGTGGCAGCACACGACTCATGGAGGCTCAGATGTGTACAGGCCCCTGCGCGCGTACGCTGCTGACGGCCGCAGTTTCGGCACCGTGCCCACGTGCACAAAGCATCAGCGGCAGACAAAGAAGCTGGTGCCTGGCTGCCAGTTCTTTTGGTGCCTAGAGTGCCGCAAGTGCAACCTCTTCGTGGTAATGGGGGATGCTGAGTCACCTCGCACAATCTTTGAGGCACTGTACACGAGGTTTCCGTCAGCGCCGCGGCGCTTCTGCTTTGACAATGGATGCAACGTGCACAACTACATCCTCAACCGTGAGCCACAGCACTTCAAGGAGATGGAAGTGTACATTGACGAGACCCACTGGCAAGGCCACAAGCATTGCTCAGTAGGGTACAACACTGGTGAGTCAAATGTTGTCACACTCCCCAGACGACATTGCACCACATTCTACATAGCTGAAGCAGCTTCTTTGGAGCCCTAAGGCCATTGGATCCTGGCATGCATGTCTTGTGTGCTTAGCATGTGCTATAATTCTCCAAAGCAAAGTCAGCATCTATGCATGTGCAGAGAGTCACCTGTAATTCCAAATTTACAGATATTTGATGACGATTAGGAATTTGATCGAGACTCCATGCTCAACTTCTGCTGTGCATGTGAACAGGGGAGTACAAGGATTTTGTCAACTCCCCGCTAGCGGAAGAGAAGAATAGATTCCTAGGGATGGCTCGCACGCAATGTGCTTACATGCAGCAGATTACTTTCTTGAGATATCTGAGATATTTCTTATACCGCCTCAACAAGCTAGAAGCAATCACCACCGCCGGTCAGTGCTGGTGGCGGCGGCCGTCCAAAGGCCTAAATGTATGATCATCCTAAAATGCATGTGTCATTAGGCCCATGAAGAGTGTCGACCTGTATTAACTACTATATTTGCTAAAGGCCATGGTGGTTCAAAATGAGATCATTGTTGTGATCTCTACAGATTTTAGTTTTGCCGTTGTCACACTCAGGATATATATAAATATGTTTTCGGGCACATGCATGCATATGATTCTCCATGAATCAGGGCGCCACATGTACATCATTCTCAAAGTGTGCATGCACTTCACCTTGATAGGCACTATGGCATGTGGACATGCTCACATTCAAACCCAATCCATCTTCAATTGTATACATGTGTGAGAACAGATTCCTTGAGGAACACATTCACATTTGGTAGACGGTGTATGGAAACAGCTTCTTTTTCCATCATGGGGCTTTTGTCTCAGCTGGTCATAAAATGATGTGTGTGCCTGTTCCTGATCTTCACGTATGGCATGAGTTTATTCTATGGTTGGTTGTTGACTGTCAAGAATACTGTTGCACTGGCAGTTTCATTCTACATCAGAATGATCATGGCAAAGTATCTGGTGGTTTTTATAGAATGAAATATGCTCATAGTCACGGCCACAAATTCTTGCCGCAATCAACCTGATGTTTGAATTCTTGGCTTCCTTTGGCTATCCTGTGACTACGATTGTAGATCATTCTTTTCAAATGCACTATTACACCGCAAGCTTATTGCCTTTATTGCAATGAGAACGCCACACTCATGGGCTGTAGGCCACAGCCGTGATTCTAGTGGATGGCTTGTGGGGACGCTTGGACTTCCTTGCAGGTGCAACTCCGGCAGGCAGTTCCATTGACAGGACATGTGCAGCCGCCATGGTGCCTGGTGTGGCAGGGGAGGCAGTGCATACCCTGCCAGGGAAGTTGCCCAGCCGAGCCACGTCACCTGGAACGCACAAGAACTTTGCAATCACTGACAGCTGGAACATCTTCACTTGACAATGTACACACGCTATAAAGTGCTCCAGCGACAGGCTACCTCAGTGATTCTCTTGAAATGTGTATGTGTATATGGTCATGAGAAGGACATCGGGAAGACTGCTACCTGTGCTGTCATGCGCCGCATCAGCCCAGTGCACGCGCCTGACAGGTATGGTGGCGGTCTCAGCAGGTCCCCCCGTTGATGCTGCTTGGCCGCAAGTCTGCTGAATCCTTGCCCCCCCTGATATCCCCAGAGCGCATTTTGAGACGTCTGAGATATAATACTGGTCATGGTCTGATATAGACTGCTTGAATGTGCAGTATGCTTTTCTTGCTGAGAGGATGCATAAATTCAGTCAACTCAACCAAGAGAATAGTCACCTGCCAGCCGTGCCCCACGCCGAGTGGTGCTGCCGTCAGCAGCAGGGCGAGGAGGAGCAGGCACGCCTTCTATTGCAGCGCAATCTCCAGCAGGGAGCGCAGACCCAACGCGCCCTGCCAGAGGCATCAGGCACCTCATTTCTTGCGCACATGGAGTAATGCATGCATTCTTGGTACGTGAACAAGATAATATGCTTAAACAAGCTCGCTGTCAAGTTCGTGCTATGCTTTTATTAGGGGCGCACTCTGCCTCAGCTGCCTGACGGTGCTGCGCTCCTCCATTGAGCAGGCCGCTGCATCAAGGTCCCCAGCAACGCCATCCCCGCCTTCTGTGGCAACCCCGGTTCCACCACTGACCTGCACACCCGCATCGCCCCCAAGATCTGCGGCGGCGCCAGCCCCATCCGCTGGACTGTCGCTCGGAACAGGCAGATCTCTGCCTTGACAGCCCCCGCTGGCCGCAAGCTCACTGGCAGCTCCACCCTCAGCGACATCTGCACCGCCGTCCGGCACAGCCCCAGCGCTGAGCTGAGCATCCTCACCACTTGCTGTGGCATCTGGGGTCCCCTCACTGCTCACTGAGCCCAACCACACCAGATGTGAGATGAAAGAACTATTCTGAGCCACAAAATTATTTTTGCACTGACCAGCATTTTTGCAAAAGTCAGTAAGGGACACAGCCAATCCCTCACAGGGGCGTGATAAAGAGAGTGCTGATCACCTTCGCCAGTGCCTGGCACCAGTAAGGGTGTTATGTACTTGCGGTAAGCTTCCAAGATTGCCTTGAAACGGAAATTGTCCTGATTGATACCTAAGGCCACCCTCAATCTTTTCTTCTTCTTTCCAATTGGATTGATCTTCTTGACCTACAGAGCAAGCTTCATTCAGATCAGTGAAGCCCATCCACAGATCTCATAATGGGTCACCTGTAAGAATTGAGAGCAACAGCCTCAAGCGTGACTTACCACAGCAATACCTCCAGCAGCGTGCGCAGCGTTGTGCAGGTCATGCAGGGCTATTGTGGTTCTGCACAAAGTGATAGTGCCGTCCCGCACATACATCTTGTTATGCTCTGCCTGTGGTAGTAGGCTGACTTGGCATTGTTTGATGCCTCCCTGTGTTGTGCCCTCTCCGTCCAGCAGCCACTGTCCATCCACCTTCACAACTCCAGGCGCAATAGCATCACCTGCAACAAGGGAGCTAAGCTACGACTCAACTGAATCGGGTGCATGGCACCTACAGGTGTCGGTGTCACTTGTGTAGAAACTATAAAGTTTATGTAGGAAATTTGACTCTTCTTGAGGGTCAGTGAATCTCACCTGCAACGTCCTGCTGCACCTCATCATTGCCCACTGAGCCGTTGAAACGTCGCATTGCAGCAAGGATTGCCTGCTGGGCGAGCGGGTCAAACCCAAGACTGCCCACCTTTGCGGTCAGGCGCTTCAAGAGCAAATCATTGGCTGGCTGGGCTGCATGCTCCATGATGGCTTTGAAAACCTCTGCTGATTCTACAGGCTCCATCTCACGAGGCCGCTTGTATACAACATCAGCAGGGAACCACGGCGCAATTCTCACCACGCTGTCATGATCTGGCAGGCTGTTGTAAGGCAGCTTCCCTTTTCTGCCCTTGATGGCCACATCCAAGAATTCCTCCAACACTTTGATTTGCACTAACTTCTCCAATTGCTCAAACGTCTGATCTTTGAAGCGCTGGGCCTGCTCTGCCAATCGCACCTACACAGTGATGGGTCAGACAGAGTTTCCAGTAGCAGTGCAGGAGAGCCATACTTTCACATCATAATGAATCGAGTTAGAGCATTTCACACCTGCATCTTCGCCTGAACTTGGAAGGCGGGCAACACCTCCTCTATGTTCAGCCAGTTGGGGCCGGCAAGCCCTGCCAGCCCCTTGCTGGCTCTGCTCTTTATATCATTACTGGTGTTCACAGTGACCAGCATGAAATCTAAGCCGCAGGTCCTGCAAATCAATTCAAATTTAGCAAAGGCTGTCAGCTGTGGGCTGAGGAACATAATAAGATGTCCTGCAGGCAGAGGCAGGCACCTGTGTATGTGGACGAGCTTATCCATCACAATTTTTAGCCCGTTTTTCTCTTCTTCATTCCTCCTTTTCTTGGAGGTGATGATACCCTGCAGCGATATCTCCTCATTTGTCCGGCGTTTGCGTTTAGTTGTATTTGCGGATGGGTTGGCATCAGGTCCATCGCCATTATCCGTCGCAGGAATGGCTTCAGTTATCTCTTCATTCTGCTCAGTACTACTAAGACCAGCAGGTTCGCTTGAGCCAGCCGTGGCACCCTCCATAGACACCTACACCTATTGGGCTTGAAGTGATGACAACTCCTCGGGGGTAAACGACAGTACAAAGTGTTTACAGAACAGTTATAATATCTCCATAGGACTCCCTAGGGCCTGTACAGCTTGCATAGGCTCAGAAAATATGACTTTGAGATGTAAGAAAATAAGGTGCACGGTGCTCTCATGTACATGCTAATTTAATACATTCCCTCTCTTTATCTTGGTAGGTTTTAGGGGGGTTTTCTAGCTCTAATGTGGCAGCGCTGCCCTTTGGTGGAATGTGTTCACATGATCATTCGTCTTCAGCACATCAAAGCCATCTTATTGCAGCCACCCGGTTCCCTCTTGGCAAGCAATGAATCTGATGCTTGCACAAGCTAACTACAGAACCTTTTTGAAGTATTCACCACAGGCCAATGAAGTGCGACCAGGTGGGTGTAACATCAGCAAAAGTGCAGATCGATCCTTTCTTCCAACTCGTCGCTAGACATTCATTGCTTGTTGATCTTGGAATGATACACCATACTCTTTGCATTTTTGACTGGTAAGCCTTCATATAGTACACCCTGTATGGGAGCAGATCAAGACTGACCAGGATCCATCTGCAGGATTGTATCTGGGTGGCTGGCAAGCCTTTGAGGCCCAGCCGTTCACCCATGTGTTGACTGTCATGGAAGACCCCGGCCTTCCGTTTCCACCGACACTGTTGTCGCGCCTGACCATTCCCGTTGAGGACACCCCAAGTGCCAACCTCCTAGATCGCCTCCCTGAAGGCATCGAATTCATTCGGTCAGCCCTGGCAGAAAACGGCGTTTTGTTCGTTCACTGTGCTGCTGGCGTGAGCCGGAGCGCAACAGTAAGCTCTTATGCCTTCACCTTGCCCCTCTAGTTGATGCACCCCTGTACTGATGCCTTGCAGAAGTGCAATGGCGGAGAGAAGTATGTAGTGTGCATCCGATGTCTGATCTACATGTGTTAAATTAATCGTGGATGTCCTGCAGATGGTCTGTGCATACCTGATGGCGACAGAGGGGCTCAAATTGGAGCAGGCTCTGAGTGCCATCAGGCAAGCGCGGCCGATCATCAATCCCAACAGCGGCTTCTTGATACAGCTGCAGCTCTTCCATGAGATGGGCTGCAAGCTGGACTTGCAGTATGAGGGGTACAGGCTGCACAAGATGGAGGAGCTGGGAAAGCAATGGTGGAGGGAAAAGTCAGTGGAGACGGACAGTCTGGCCCAGGTGGCAGAAGCACCAGACCTGCAGGTGACTCCTGCGCCTCTGCACCTAGAGATAGCATGCCCAGATAACCATGAATTGAAGAGCCTAGCAAGGAAGCAGCAGTGTATGATTCCATAACCAGCCGATTGTGGATACCTCATTGCCATTCCTTCTGATAGGGATGCGTGCTGTTTGACATTTCTGATGTTCCTATGACTTGTGTGCCTAGGTGGCCAGGTACCGGTGTCGGAAATGCCGACGGCTGCTTGCCACAGAGAAGAACTCAATTCAAGTTACTGCAGGAGAGCAAGGCAGCAGCAGCGGTAAGTGCCGCTGCACTGATCTCAAACCACCTCTTCTAGTGGTGAAGGTGTGTCTAAATGGCTGTGTGGCAGAGCTTGACTTCTGGTGGGAGTGCAGGCGCACAGACAGCGGAGGGGGAGCAGGAAGGGTCTCTATTTGTGGAGCCCATGCAGTGGATGACAGAGCTGTCATCGGGGGAGGTCTCTGGCAAGCTCTACTGCCCACAGTAAGTAATCGGTTCCCCCAACAGCATTCGTGTCCCACTGGATCATAAACAATTGGCCATGCATTATTTGCAGCAAGCATGTCCCATACACAAGTCTCTTCAGAGGGAAAGGTCTGTCACGGCATGCATGCCAGCATGATTTGTTCTGGTGCATGATGTGCAAGTCCTGGAGAATCCCGCTTCTGACAGACCACTAGGTCCGTAGTATCAGCTCAGCATGCACATTGATCGAAAAGCAGAGTCGTATCGAAGCGGTGTTTGTGGTTTGCAGCTGCAAAGCCAGGCTGGGCTCGTACAGCTGGTCAGGCATTCAGAGCAGCCAGCGCACGTGGATCACCCCAGGCTTCCAGCTGCACATGTCCAGGCTTGATGTGGAGAATTCCCAGGCTGCCCCCAAGGTTGTCATCAGCAAGCCCCGCTTCTGAGCAGGGCATCATCTTGCAGAGGCGCTGCAACCTCTCTCTGGCATTAACCGAAGCAGCTGCTTTCATGCTGCCTGGCATGTCGCAGGCAGTTCTTTCTTGCGCGGGTAGATAGCTAAAACCCACATGTAAGTGTAGTTCAGGAAGGCCCTCAGCGGAGGTGTCTACAGAACTTTTTCAGCCTGGGTTCCAATGGTATGTATTTTGTGTTGGGTGGTCTGTGTCTCATCTCCTGGGCAATAGCCATTGAGCACTGACTACTGATAACCTGGATATGACTCATTTCCTAGACTACTTTTTGCCACTGCCCATCTTTGTTTGTTAGGCTAGGTGTAGAGCTGAAGTACACTTCTAGTGTTGAATGCCGCAATGCGCATGCGGCATCAGTGTGTGGCTATATCTTAGCATGCTTGTCCTGCGCATTAACTTAATGCGCATTGAATGGTCTTTTTGGCGTGCCTGATGTGGGGATATTTGCCGGTGTTGTGAAGCAGCAATGCTCTATAAATCTTGGATAGAATAGCCTATAGCCTCTGGAAGCAGACCTTTCCGGCCATTGGCTGCAATACATCATGTATTGCGCAATTCATGAATCTGATCAGAATTTTGTCATGCTGTCAATGGTGTACCATGCACTTGCTGCAGTCAACATTGCATGAGGTGATCTTACTGTATGCGCTCATGAGCTTGCAGGTTAGCCTGATCAGCCTGCATGTACACATGTGCAGCTCTGCTGGTACACCTGGCAGGCCCATGGGCGACCCGGGGGTGACCCTGCCTCACTGAGATAGCTGGCACCCGCATGCACGTGCACGTGTAAGTCAGTTCAATTGGAGAACAGCCAGGAACGTCCAGTAGCATGGAACTTCGCGTTGCTGATCTGTGCAAATTTATAAGCGGGCGTGTCCCCTGAGCAGCTCACCATCAGGAGAGCAATTCAAGGGCTTGACTTCAAGCACCCCAATGTGAAGGGAGCGAAAATTCACAACACGGCAGACGATAATCCGCCACATGTTGGGGAAGAAAGTGCCTTGATCGCCTCTTGCATGCCTCAACAGATTGCCCTTGTTCCCTTTCAGAGAGTTCATTTAGGAGATCATGAGTGAACCAAGACCACCTGGTGAGGAGGATGAGGAGCTCCTGCCTCCTGGCGTGGAGCAGGATGAGCAGGAAGCTCCTCCTCCTGGGGTAGAGGAGCCTACAGAGAGCACAGCAGCACCAGAGGCTACCCTCGCTGTCATTGCACCTGCTGCTAGTGAACCTCTGGCCGATGCGGTGGCTACTCCGGTGTCTGAAGCGCCAGTCAGCGAGGCAGCATCAGAAGCACCACCTGCTCAGAGCCTTCCACCTCCAACTGCACAGGCAATAACACCTGTCGATTATTCCGCATATGGCTATGGGGCGTATGGCTATCCTCCTGTCGCAGGTGGTGGGTACGCAGCCAGTTACGGCTATGATGCGGCCTACTGGAACTACTATTATCCCCAGGGCTATGCTGCACCGCCTGCCGCAGGTGTGTTTCTTCTCTCGCAATTCCCTTGATACAAGTATGCTTTCTGCTGTCATGTTGCAGTAGGCTCATGATGTGGAAGCTTTGACTAAAACAGAGCTGGATCATCCAGGTAAGGGAAACCTCGTTGCACGAGTGGGTAAGTATGGCCTTTATTTGGTGCATGTCACTTTCAGAGCACTTTCAAGACTAACGCTGCCCTCTGTCCGCGCCAGGAACTGGTTTTTCTTGTTGTTAAGGGTCGGCGTAAGGTACAGAAAGCACACCATGTGCGCTGATTCCCACCTCTGAACTCGCACCCTGCCGTGCTCGACCTTTGCCAGTGCCAGGATGGGTCCCAACAAGGTCGTTGCTGCGCAGGATACTACCCGACGGGGTACGAGGGTTACTATGGCTATGACCCCAACATAGCCTATGACCCTAGTGCGGCAGCAGCCTATGACCCCAACGCATATGCTGCTGCGGCGGCGGCCGTCCCAGCCGCCGCGCCGCCAGCCTTGCAGCCGCCAACAGTGCCGGGAGCAGACACACCAAGCGCAGCCGCGCCAGATTCCTCCACCACACCCGCTCTTGCGAGTGCCCCTGCCGAGGCCTCGACAGAAGCTGCAGCCGTCTCGGCAGCTACCGCTGCGAGCACAGCAGAGGCCGGTGCAGCAGCACTGCCCGCGCCGGTGGTCGACCCTGCAGCGGCAGCTTCCCTGGTGCCTGTGGCAGCTGCCCCTGAAGCTGCCACGGCCGGCTCCGAAGAGCTGCCCGCCACGCAGGTGTATCCGCCGGCCCCGCCACTGGCACCGGCCGCCCCTGCAGAACCGCCTGCGGAGCAGCCACGCGTTGTCCAGGTTAGCCATCCTCAGCGTCATGCTTGTGCACCCCTTTTCTTGCACAGAGTAACAAGAGTGATCTGTGGTGGCATCTTGGAACTCGCTGGACACCAAGGTGCCAGCTTGGTATGCCAGACGTGAAGGCAGCTGGGTAGAAAAGGCCCGGATGCAAAGGCAGGACCTGCTCGGGCATCATGCATCAAATGCATTGACATTTTATTGGGCTCTTGAGGCAGTAGCGACGGGAGCCTGTGATGATCTTCCAGGTGGTATCGCTGAGCGAGGAAGAGAGGCAGCGGGCTGAGAAGGCCAGGGCAGATGCAGAGGCGGCGCGCAGGGCGGCCGATGAGAAGCTGGCCGCAGAGGCCGAAGCGCGCCGCAGGCGTGATGCCGAGCGCGTGAAGCTGCAGTTTGGGCCCCCGGCCCCGCCGCCCCCTGCCGTGAAGGCTGGGCCGACCCCCGAGGAGCTGGCGGCCGCCGCTGCAAAGGTATTTCCCGAGCCTCAAGTTTGGAGCATTCCATAAATCTTGCTGGCAGACTGCTCTTCTGCAGATGTATGCTCTGTTCTATTCAGGTCTTTAGAGTCCGCCCAATCTAAAGGAGCACCTGAGAAAGGTGGGACAGTCGTTTTATGGCCTGCGCATGTGTAAATTGATTTGGAAAACAGGGTTGGGGAGCTCGAAACAATAGCAATTCAGAAATAGATGAATATTAGAGACTCGGAATTGCTCTAGCAAGTGCCTACGTGCGGACCACTCTAGTTGCTAAAGTAAGAGTAGGGGATGCCATCAGGTGTGAAGTAATGTAGAGGTTTATAGGCTCTTCTGATTATCAGGGGGAATGAAGGCGGTGTTGGCCTTGCTCTACACTGAAGTTTTCTTTTTCGATCTGGCTTCGAAATTGCTTCTACGCAATTCTATGCTGATGATGTTAGTTGCGGCGCAGATGCAAGCCCTGATGGCCGAGGCGAATGCAGCCAAGGCCAAGGTAGCGATGGAGAAGGAGGCGGCCGAGGCCGCACTGAAGGCCAAGAACAGCATGCCGGTGATGCTGCGCGGCGCCAAGCTGAACATTGCAGTCAAGCCTCCGGTGGCAGGGAACGCGCTCAGCGCGGCTGCAGCCAAGGCTGCGCAGCTACAGCAGCAGCAGCCGCCCGCCTCCAGTAGCACTGGAGCTGGGGAGAGCGCCACCCCCGGCGGACTTGCCAAAACAGGTGCTGCACCCGTCTGTTAACTCGCCATTCATCGCATGCCCATGCGGTCTCTATGTGATTCAAGCTGCCTAATTGCATGCCCGCGCAGTCTCCTTGTGGTTGAAGACGATCAGGACAGGCAAACGTTCAGGGATACAGAGAACACTGGTATGGGGCGTTGCGCTAGAGGACAGCTCTGTGTTAATGGCACGAGCAAAGGAGCCAAAAGAAAATCAACCTGCATGTCAGTGAGACTGGTCTCTTGAGGATGATTGTGGTATCCAGGCTCCGGCAAGACGCTTTTTCTGCCGCCCACAATAACGATGGCGATGGCAAAGCCAGTGACACCTGCGGCGGCGGCGCGGCCGGCGTCGCCCCCCGGCGCTCGCGGCGGCTGGCGGCGCTCCCCGGCATCGCACTC